GTCAGACTTTCCACAAGATCCTGTGGCACGCTGGTCTTGTGACATCCAAAAGCGAAGGCCACCGCATCGTGAGTAATCAAGGCGCATATGTGGGTAGCCGCCCTGGAATTCAAAAGAGTTTGACGGGTGGAGGAATGCCAGACGACTTGACCTTCACACCAATCAAGACATGGCCTGCCCCAAAAACGCCAGAATTTATCATAGACGGCCAACTCTTGATCTTGAAACTCGGGAAGTGGAAGTTAAGGGTGGTCAACATCATCAGTGACGAGCAGTTCAAAGAGCAGGGTCTCACGGCCCCTGGCTGGGAAGAGTTCCAAGCCGAGCAGAAAGCAAAAGAAGTCGAAGCAGAAACTTCTGAATGAGACGACTCGCGGCTTCTACAATTATTGGCACTATAATGCTAACTTCGACCGTGTTTTTCTGCTACACTAGACTTGTAAATATATACCAGATGTACTTTTAGCAATGAAGCTTAAGCCACTCCTACGATACATTGTCCCAACCTGGGGAGCATTTCGGATTCCATAGAATAAAAGGCATGGCAGCGTTCTCCTGTTTCCACAAATAAAATAATTCTTGCAGCCAATTTCAACAGGCTGCACCGTACATAAGGGGATTGGTTGAGCAACATACGGAGGATTAAACTACCTGAGCTAGTTACAGTTACACCCGACTGGGGAGGCTGGATGACTGATCATTCTCGGCGACCAGAAACCACTAAACGCGTCGACGCGTGATGGCAGTCTCGCGGAGTCGATCAATCCACTCCCTTCTTTCTTCCACCATTTCTATACCTTACGTTCATCTACTTAGTCCATTACCACTCAATTCATTATACAGGATATTTGACATGACTAACTAGTAGACTAGCTGCTGATACCCTACGTCGTTGATAGAAATGGCCAAAGGACCACCCGCTTCATCTCCTCCCTCGGAGACTCCGCTGAAACGGTCCACCTCCAGCACGCAGAATATGAAAAACCAAAAGTCAATCCTGGGGTTTTTCCAGAAATCATCGCCGTCAACACCCTCAACGCGCAATGCGGAGCCCGCGTCTTCACCGGCTCAGAGAGCATCGGCTTCTCGCCCTCCCAAGCGCGAAGAGAAGCCCGGAAAGATTGCCTCCAAATTCACGCAGGACCTGACACCTGTACCAAGTAGTGAATTGGGACTACCCGATGAGGAGGATGATCAGAAGCAGGTATGTTGCACACCTTTTATTGGTCCTTGGTATCTTGCTAATGGTACATGGTTATAGATGAGCCCTGAAGAAGACTCAAAGAAAGCGACGGCTTCTCCATCTCGCAGGGTACGGCCGCTCCATTGCAAATTACCTCGCTCTTTTTATATAAATTGGTATTAACGGAGCCTCCATACTCAGTCAGCGAAGAAAGTCAACTATGTCGAATCGGACTCCGAGGGTGAAGACGACGACGACCAAATATTCCGCCCTGCTCGGAAGAATAACCGCGCTTTGAAGAGGAGAAAAGTGTCGCCAGAAAGCGATGACGACTTTGAGCAGGAGGCGCAGAATGGAGAGGAATCCGATGACGGTCAGTTCAGGATATTATTGCACCCAATTCGAAATACTAAAGTTCTTTCAGAAATGGATGATTTTGTTGTGCCGGACGATTCAGACGAGGAAGTCAAACCCTCAAAAAAGCGGAAGAGACCAGCGACGCAGTCGAAAGTCAAGTCTTCATCTTTTCCTCCGCCATCTGAGGTTGATGAAGATCTTGACTTGGATCTCCCTGACGCCTCCTCGGGCTCTGCCTTGAAGTGGACATATGACCCAGAGAACATGGAACCTCGCCAGGCTCGTGCTGCAACAACATCTACCAGCAAATCACCATCAAGTACCGCTAAACCCAAGGCTCATACGACTGAGCCTGAACAACGTTATCCTTGGCTTGCTAATATTCGCGATATCGATGGCCACCCCATCGGTGACCCAGAGTACGACCCTCGCACCCTGTACATACCCCCTCTTGCGTTCTCCAAGTTTTCTCCCTTCGAGAAGCAGTATTGGGAGATAAAGCAAAAGTTCTGGGACACTGTCGTCTTTTTCAAAAAAGGCAAATTTTACGAGCTCTACGAGAATGATGCCACAATTGGACACCAATTGTTTGACTTGAAGCTCACCGATCGCGTTAACATGCGTATGGTTGGAGTTCCAGAATCTAGTTTGGACCACTGGGCCAATCAGTTCGTAGCGAAGGGATTCAAGATTGCGAGAGTTGACCAGTCTGAGTCGGCTCTTGGAAAGGAGATGCGTGAAAGGAATGGTAAGAAGGCTGGTGGAAAGGAAGACAAAATCATCAAACGAGAACTGGCCTGTGTTCTTACAGCAGGTACGCTTGTCGAAGGTGCTATGCTTCAGGACGACATGTCAACATACTGCGTTGCCATCAAAGAGGCTATTATCGAAGATCGTCCGGCCTTTGGAATCGCCTTTGTTGACACTGCAACTGGCCAATTCTTCCTTTCAGAATTTGTTGACGACATGGATATGACCAAGTTTGAAACCTTCGTTGCGCAGACACGGCCTCAGGAGCTTCTTCTTGAGAAGTCAACCGTGTCACAGAAAGCGCTCCGCATATTGAAGAACAACACTGGTCCCACGACGATCTGGAACTACCTAAAACCGGGCAAAGAGTTTTGGGAGGCTGACATCACCGTCAAAGAGCTTGACGTGAGTGAGTACTTTGTCTCCCAGGACAATGACAATGTCCACGCATGGCCAGATGTTCTCCGCCAGGCTCGTGACAAAGAGCTTGTCATCTCAGCTTTCGGTGCGTTGGTGCAGTACCTCAGACTCCTGAAAATCGATCGGGATCTGGTCACCATTGGAAATTTTTCTTCTTATGACCCAATTAAGAAGGCCTCTAGCCTCGTCCTGGATGGCCAGACTCTCATCAATATGGAGATCTTCGCGAACTCGTTTGATGGTGGCATCGATGGAACACTCTTTCAACTCCTCAACCGCTGCATGACACCCTTCGGAAAACGGATGTTTAAGCAGTGGGTATGCCACCCATTAATCGACCCAAAGCGTATCAATGCTCGACTAGATGCCGTAGAAGCCCTGAATGCTGATTCTAGCGTTCGGGACCAATTTTCCTCGCAACTCACCAAAATGCCTGATCTCGAGCGCCTTTTATCGCGCATCCATGCTGCGAACTGCAGATCACAGGACTTCGTGCGGGTACTAGAAGGTTTTGAGCAGATCGAGTACACCATGAGCCTACTCAAAGACAGTGGTTCCGGTGAGGGTGTTATTGGACAATTGATCAGCTCCATGCCTGATTTAACTGAATTGCTGGAGTATTGGAAAACTGCGTTCGACCACTCTCAAGCAAAGGAAAATGGTATACTTGTCCCCAAACCAGGAGTGGAAGAGGACTTCGACAACTCTCAAGAGAACATCAAGCAGCTACACCAAGACCTTGACAACCTGTTGAAACGGGTTCGGCGTGAGTTGGGTTCTACAGCCATCTGCTACAGAGACAACGGGAAAGAGATTTACCAGATGGAAGTACCAATCAAGGTCAAGAATATCCCCAAGAATTGGGACCAGATGTCGGCCACCAAGCAAGTCAAGCGCTACTATTTCCCTGAATTGCGAACCGCAATCCGCAAGCTGCAGGAAACGCAGGAAACGCATAGTCAAATCGTCAAAGAAGTCTCCAAACGATTCTATGAACGATTTGACGAGCATTATGCCACCTGGCTCTCTGCTGTGCGGGTTGTCTCACAGCTGGACTGCTTGATCAGCCTGGCCAAAGCTTCTTCAAGTCTGGGTGAACCAAGCTGTCGCCCTATATTCGTTGACGAAGAACGAAGTGTTCTGGAGTTTGAGGAGCTTCGTCACCCTTGCCTTCTTTCTTCCGTTGACGATTTTATTCCTAATGACATACAACTGGGTGGCAATTCTCCCAATATTGACCTACTTACTGGCGCTAACGCTGCCGGAAAGTCCACTCTACTTCGCATGGTATGTACCTCAATCCCTCATTGGCCCGATTTCGGCTAACTGTTATAGTCTTGCGTTGCTGTAATCATGGCCCAGATTGGTTGCTACCTACCTTGCAAATCCGCCCGGTTAACACCAGTTGACCGCATCATGTCGCGTCTCGGAGCCAATGACAATATATTCGCTGCCCAATCCACGTTCTTCGTCGAGCTCTCAGAAACCAAGAAGATCCTTTCGGAAGCTACACCTCGATCTCTTGTTATTCTGGATGAACTGGGCCGTGGAACAAGTTCGTATGATGGAGTTGCAGTTGCTCAAGCCGTCTTACACCACGTTGCAACCCACATCGGCGCTTTAGGGTTCTTCGCTACGCACTACCACTCTCTCGCCGCGGAGTTCGAAGGCCATCCCGAGATCTCACCAAAACGCATGAAGATCCATGTGGATGAGGATGAGAGACGCGTCACCTTCCTTTATAAACTTGAAGATGGTGTCGCCGAGGGTAGTTTCGGCATGCACTGCGCTGCGATGTGCGGTATATCGAACAAAGTCATCGAGAGGGCCGAGGTTGCTGCTAAGCAGTGGGAACATACGAGCCGGCTCACGGAAAGTCTCGAGCGCCGCAAGGGAGGCGGACTCGTTGGTCTCGGCTGGTGGAGTGACATTGCCTGGGCTCTTCGCGAGACAACCAAGCAGGCGGATGATGATAACCCAGCCGAAATTACTGATAGAAGCTTAGAGGTTCTTCGGAGGGCTATTGAAGCCTTGTAATTTTCTGTTTCCGTTGTTTAATTTCTGATGATTTATCTTGCAATCTGTGTTGGGTTCTAAGTTGTCTTTATTACTTCCTCCCATTGTGCGTGGTGTCAGCGGTTAGGGTTGTTCGGCGTTCGGATTATAAAGGCTAGTACGTTTGTTACTATCTCGGTTTCCTCGAAGCAGTATTATTCGTGGTAGAATTAGATTATACCAGAACCAATCTTTTTTTTTATTCCTGTTCTGATCCTACTATCTTCATTCGACTTTCAAAATGCTGAAGTTGTTGCAATCCCATTCTTCAAAGTCGAAGCAAAAACTAAGCGAAATAAAAACACCATCCTAATTCATCATCAACAGCATTATCAGGAATAAACGAATAAGAGAAAACAAAATAAAAAACGCGAATTAGAAAAAAAAAAGTAGCCAAGTGGTCAAGTCACGTTGATTCCTCCTCCCCCTACCTTCCAAGCAGGTATTCTGCTGAGTCCATGACTTTACTCGCATGTAAGAAGAAGCTAGGCCGGGCGCGTTCAGCTTCTGCTCCCACCAACCTAACCTCGGACCCGCTCCATAGCCTCAAACTCGTCATCAACGTTAACTTCGGTCATTATGTCGTCCTCTTCATTCTTCACGTGCGCATCCATTGCGGTGTCTTCGCTCTCTTGTGCAAGGATGTTGTCCACTTCTAACTGCTCTGGTTGGGCCCCGCCCCCCATCTCCCTATCGCAAATTAGGACGTGTAAATCGACTATCTCTCTGCGTCGCGAGGCAGATATAGAGGGAGCAAGGATATAGCATACTTACTCATCATTCTCCTCTTCCGACTCCACAGAAGCATCCTTTTTGGGGCGTGTCTTCCGCTGACGCTTTTGCGCAGGAGGTGCAGAGGCTTCTTCTTCGCCTTCAGCAACAGCGGTGCCGCATTCGTTTGTAGCAGTAGTATTAGCGGCTGCAGATCCCCTCTTTCTCTTCGCGGGGGTCTTTTTGGTTGCGGTGCTAATTGGGGTGCCGCCCTCAGTGTTTCCAGGAGAAATGTCATTCACAAACTGAGCGGCGTGATCATAAAACTTTTTCTTTGCCTGGCGATACGAGCTGGATGCAGAGGATACATTCTTGTAAGGCGCATTGGCGGCAAGTTTCTCGTAGTCGATCTATTGTGTTATGTATTAGCTCAACCGTCCAGTTGGTGGGAACGCCGGGCATAACATACCTTGCCTGAGGCGTCAGTGTACAAGATGCCGAGAAGAATGAGTCTAGCTTCATTATGGGAGAGGCCTAAGAGGCTCTCTGGTTTGCCTTTGGTTGTGGCCGCCATTGCTGGTAGGTTGGAGAAGACGTTGCTGTGTTGGTTGTGTGTTCTTAGGGGAGGAAATGCCCGGAGGATACGGTGTTGTCGGGTAGCGCAAGTGAGAATATTTGCTTGGAGAGAATTGTGGAGGAGAGATTTAAGGGACGAAAGGAAGAGGCAAAGTATCGGGTAAAAGAATAGGATGGAGAAGTGAAGTGAGTTGCAGCTGAGAGGGGGAAACACAGGGCAGTCCACGCAGGTGAGCAAATATCTGGCAACTCTGTGGGCTTCTCTCACAAAGTGGACTTGTAAGTGATCCACTTGTAAACAAAGGCTTTCCCATGCCTAAATACAAGAGTAAAAGCAGAAATCAGCATAATAGGTGCTAGAGCTTTTTTACTGGTACACTGGGAGCAGATGGTTCTGTATGAATTTTGTATTCCAATTGAGTTTACCCTCGAGGACGGTTTTGTATCTGTTTGTAAACGTGCTCCCAAAGCTCTGGGTAAAATGTAGTTGACTCTTTGCCAGGTTTGCTTTTCTCTGCTGTAAAGAAATGCTGTAGAGTCTTGCCCCGCCACCAAGGCAACGGAGCAGGGTTCTTGTTCCGAAAGCTCACAGGGCGAATCGGGGACTTATCGGGGACAAGATCACTCAGTCGCACCTCGGATTGTCTTGGTATAGTATTGAACTTCATGGTGTTCAGATATAATGTGGCGGTTGGGGGAAGCTTCTTCGCATATTGCACGGCTTGTTCTCGCGATCGCCGAACGGATATAGGCAAGACAAGGTGGACAAAGTTCACGTATGGGGCGGAGGTATAGGCTACAAACAGCATAGGCAAAGCGCCACCAACGACGACTATTGTAGAATTGAAGGTTAGCAGGGCCACGCATAGGATGCGCAAGCAAGTGAGTCCTTACTAGCTGGCCCTAGATATGAAGGGAAGTCCGAAGACATAAAGGCTGGCGCAACCACCAGGCAAGAAACTCCAAAGAGGAAGATAGTTGTTATTCGCAGCATCCCCAAAAACATAGTGCGACCGGTTCCTCCATGGTAGATTAGGATTTTTTCTGGAGGTCCTACAAGCTAATTCAACGCCTGTCCAATTCCTTTACCCAGCGGTTTCACATACCTCGCAGGGGACCCTTGTTCGTTTTTCCGGCGGAAGCAGGCGGGAATGCTCGCGGTATACTGCTGCTAGCAGATTTTGGTTTCAATGAAGGACTCTCGTTATTAGGTGGTTGAGGGGCGCTGCGTGTCGTCTTTGGGCGAATGAATACCAAGTTGCTGCAGAGCTCTCTCCGCACGGATCGGGGAAGCGCAGAGCGCAATTGAGGATGGAACAGAACGGGCGGTCTCATTTTGACGAAGATTTATGATATATGGCAAGCCTCAGAGGAATTGCGGCTGTAATAACAGAGCGAGCCACTTTCAAGCGCTCTGGCAGTGCGACACGGGGAGTTTATATAGCAGCGAAGTGTGGATGAGAAGCTCCGAAACGTGATCGCCGCGGGCTTGGCTGCTGATTACCTATCAGGGTTAGTCCATTACAGCGGGCGTCTGGACATCTTGCGAGTTTCAACCTGCTACACCAACTATTTCTCCGCATTCCTTCAGGTCACTCTGTTGTCGCTCTCTTTGTGCTTGTGTCTTCACGGTAATTAAAAGATTCTATGGTATCAGGCTGGTCCATGACGGCTGCTTCTTCCCCGCTTCTTTTGTCGCAATGAAATACGTTCAGCGGGATGTATTTCGCCCGCTCCTTACAGTATGCCTCGCGGTCCTGTATCTTTTTCTTCCAAGTGAAGCGTATCAAGACGTCTCAGATGCGACTTTAAAATCACTGCCACGGCCCGGGAAGGACTTCGATATCCACGACGGGCCTATTCTGTCACCCATTCTCATTCCTCGTATCCCGGGCTCTGCTGGATCCACCAAGGTGCTAAACCACTTCGCGGACTTCTTTCGGACCTCGCTCCCAAAGTGGAATGTCGAGTACCAGAACTCGACGTACGTGACGCCTGTTTCGGACGGGAAAGAAGTCCCCTTTGTGAATTTCATAGCCTATCGGGATCCTCCATGGGCACCAAAAGGCGATGTGGGAAGACTTACACTTGTCGCGCATTACGACAGTAAGTACGAACCGGAAGGGTTTATTGGGGCAATCGATAGTGCAGCACCCTGTGCGATGATTATGCATGCAATGCGAAGTATTGACGAAGCGATGACAAAAAAATGGGAGGCCATGGAGGCCGAGGGTCACGCCAATTCTTTAGATGACCACACTGGAATCCAGGTCATTTTCTTGGATGGTGAAGAGGCGTTCAAAACTTGGACTGCAACTGATTCTTTGTATGGGGCTCGCTCGCTTGCACAGCATTGGGATTCCACGTTAAACCCAGCAATGTCGACCTTCAAGTCGCCACTTTCATCCATATCTTTGTTCGTTCTTCTAGATTTGTTAGGATCAAAAGGTCCAACAATCCATTCATTTTTCCCGACAACGCACTGGGCATACCAGAATCTGGCAAGCGTCGAGCGTCGGCTGAGGGACCTCGGTATGTTCAAGTCTGGGGGTAAAAGCTGGTTTCCAGATGCTTCAAAGGATTCGCATGAGATATCTCCCCACGACCCAGTGGGCGATGATCATGTTCCATTCCTTGAGCGCGGAGTCGACATCCTGCACGTCGTTGCCTTCTCCAGCACAGGTGGATTTCCGAAAGTGTGGCATACAATAGATGACGATGCGGAACATCTGGATATGGATACAGTAGAAGACTGGAGTCTTCTTGTTGCCGGATTTGCTGCCGAATGGATGGAATTAGAGGGCTTCGTGCCTACATCAAAAACAAAGCAGAAACGCAACTTCGACAAGACTGAACTGTAAGCCATACCTGATCTTGATTATCTGATACCCGATTTCCAATCTATCAAATGTATTTATACGGCACATTGTTATATCCGAGAATTTCAATCCTCAGTTTAAGATTTTAAGATTTCATTTACTGACTCCGACTATTACATAGCTTATGATGTCTTGCAGGCGGCATCTGTCGATACAGAAATATATGAGGAAATGTCTAGGTCTATAACATCGCTGTCGTGCAATATGCCGTTATTCATCATCGGTAAAACTGTACAATCCCCCATTCAGAGCCCAAGTTTATATCAAGTTGCCCAACATATATCCGACCATTTCCGTGAGTCCCCATTTCGGTTGCAATATTGAGCGCAAAACCGCGGGTCCCGGGCATACTCCTCGCAACCCCCAGGCTACGCCAAATACCGTCGCTCCAAGAACGAAACGCCAGTCGATATCAGCAACAGTGGCTGTTGGAAGTCGCCAGGTTTCGGCGAGAGTTGGTTTTGCTATCTTTCCTCCATCGTAGCTTGTCTGCCGCCCAGGTTTCGCAGTCAAATATGTGATGAGTGACGGCACAATCCCGAAAACGATAACGAGTGCCAAAGATGGGTCAAAGCGAGTTAAATCAGTGGGAAATGCGAAAAATCGAAGAACTTTCAACGGATCCGCCATTCCCGATACAAAGAGCCCGGTGCCAAACTGGAGACCCGCCAGATAGGAGAAGATCAATCTGGAGCGTTCTGATCTGACCAATGCCTGGGGTACGATGAAGGTATTCGTGAAGAATGTGAGAGCCGTGGCGCTCAGAATAAACGAGAGTTCGGAACTTGAAGGGTACGTGGGCGTATAGCAGGGGACACCGGCTGAGCAGGGTGGAATACCCGACACAAAGTTTGCTGTCAGCAGAGCCGTCGTGAAGAAGATGGCCGTTGCAATGAGCGAGCGAGGTGATAAACGTGAGAGGCCGCAAAGCATATGACCCGATGTACACCCTCTACCACTCTGTCATTTCACACGTTGTTAGCTGCTTATCTTTGCTGCAGTACGGGCCCAGTTCAGCCTACCTTCGTTCCCCAGCCAAGCAGGAATCCGGTCCCCACTGTTGACAACAACGAGTCCCATGAAGATGGTGCGTCTGGGTACGTCGGCAGCAGAGATGGCATGAATAGATAGAGCGGAACCACACTCGACATCAGGCCGGCTATTATGGGAACATTATCTCGACTCGGGTTGAGCATGGACCCTGATAAGAGCGAAGAAATACCGAAAACTGATCCATTGTGAAGGAGGAGGCTGGAGGAGCTCTGGTAAAGCAACAAAGCCCCCAGCGACGTATGGACCGGCGTGAACATGATGGCCCTAGGGATGGCAGCTGAACAGTAGCGGGGGGGTTAAAGCTGTCGTCCCTGCATGATCCTAGTGAGGGAGTTGAGAAGTAAGGGAAAGGCAGAGGCGATTCGCTCAACCAAAGGGAGACTACATTTTTCGGCATCGGGGACCAAGCGTTGAGTGAAGAAACGGTCCACCGTTCTTATGGCGTCAACTGGATGGTGGTCCCCGAAGCCAGAGATGAATAAAGTTTAGCTAGGCCATAAATCCCCGGACCCTGGAAATGGCCCTACGATGGATGTTTCTTCACGGTTTTTCAGTCGGCCGAAATCAAAACGGAAAATCGCACCAGGCCAGTGCTCTGGTCGTTGAGAGGACTCTGCATATCCCCAGTGTGTTGGACAGCAGCTGCAGCTTGGATGGCTCGTGGTCGGGATCTCCACCCCAGAATTGGTCGCCGATACTATGGGTCCACAGATTCATGGTTATAAAGCCGTAGCCGAGTAGTATATAGAAGCAGGAATCAGCATTCTAGTTCACTTTTTGTTGTTGAATCCAAATTGCGAAAGATTCTAACAACCTGCAGCAGTCACGGAGTGTAAGAAGCGCTGCAGAGTGTTACGGTACATTTACCGCAGCTCGCCAGCGATTTCGGGCAGGTTAGGCACGAAAATGACAATACCGTATTGGGCAGAACACGGCGCAGAACTGGACTCCAATCATCATTCACCAGATGCGATGGAGGTTGCTTATTTCGAAGTATTCAAGTCGATAGAAAGTCACTCAGGATGGCCTGGTGACCATCTGTTCCACGCTTGAGCCCATTCCTCGCGCAGAATTGCTGGTGCTGCAAGTCATTCACTCGGCGTCTCAATCTTCGTTTGGCTACTCCAAAATAAACAACACAACCGATGGACTTGGATAGCATCAGCACCACAAAACCTCATCTCCGTCAACAACTGGTCGTTCATTTCGCTTCCATCTTCAGCATGTGCCCAATAGATCTCCCTGCTGAGTTGGTTCTGTATATCGTTGACTGCTTGATACCCCCTAACCCGCCGGTCGTGTTTCCTCGTCGGCATGTGATCACTCGTACGCTTCTCAGCTTGACGCTGGTCTGCAAGCTGGTCTCTCGAACTGCGAAGCAACTCCTGATCAAACACTGTCTCCAAATCGATTCTGGTGGTTTACTAGACTGCTTCCTACAGCGGACCGCCCCGTCTGGGAGTGGAGGCCAGGCGCCTCACCTGCCCGTATCAGTTGGACTCTTTCTGTCTCCATTTCCGGTAGATAACCTCAATATCCCGTCCACTGTATACCAGGTAGATCGCCTGTCGAGCATGTTATGCAGAAATCTCACACGGCTCGTCATTGACATGCCGCTCCGATATTTATACCCCGAGGATGATCACGAGCAAGTACGCCCAGCCCTCCGCGCAGCGTTCGCTCGCATGACAAAGCTCGTAGAGTTCTGCTCCGTGAAGGACGAGCTCTATCTGAGCACGGTTGAAGGAAGACAGGAGCCGGCGGTCTGGTCCTTTTGGCCGCGCCTGCAGCGCCTAGCGCTGTACAACGTGGCGGTCGACTCCAGCCAGTTCATCGACGGCCTCCGCCAATGCTCGAACTTGACTCACCTAGTCCTTGTCCGACCCGACGGCCTAAGTGAGGAGGTCCCCTCGGAGCACATGGATTCGGGATTCCTGTCGTCGCTTCAGCGCCTTATCATAGTCAATACTGCGGCAGATTTCTTACAGAGCATGCCTTTTGACCAGAAAATGTGGGAAGAGTCCTTTGTTGGCCGGCTACATGCGCTGCGAAGTCCAGGGGATGTGGATGCGGACAGTGACTCAGAGACGGGGTCCGTTGCCAGCTACCTTTCCCTGCGGGTGCCGTTTGGGAGAGACGATGATGATATTGAGATATGCCAGGAGTGGCTCTCTGCACAGGCGATGAGTGGTGCTCTATGGGGGACATCGGATAATCATCCAGCCCCTCTTTACTCGAGTAGTAATTATATGGCCTGACTGCATTATAAATACGGAGAGACAGGGAAGTATACCGTTTTCCCTTGCTTATGCTGGTCGATGCGGGGGGATCCCGCCGGTCAATCCTCCGCAAAACTTCCCGAACCCACCACTGGTCGCGAATACGAACCGACCTCTCGTTTGTTCTGGCCTTGATGGGTACAAGACTTGAGTGGTGCAATGAATTCGGGAGCCTGGACGAGCTCGCTATTGAACACTTTCTCTCTACGTCTTGCCATCTTTCGTATCCTTACTCGTCATCCTCTGGTCGATTATAAATTTTTTGGCTTCGTTATATATTACCCTGAGAACTATGTCGGCGGAATCGTCTCTAGTCATAACCAACAGAGTGCCAAACATGGCCCACCGGGAACCTGAATTTTGGAACATGGACACGACATGGACCTGCAATGTCTGCTCTGCCGCTTTCCAACGGACAGACCATCTTAAGCGTCATTCAACAACACGTACGTGTGTATCCTCGGAAGAGAGAAATCGCCAGAATTAAGCACAGTGCTAAACCCCATCAGACAGGGCAGAAAGACCTTTTGTTTGCGAATTTTGTGGTTCTTTATACAAGCGAGGGTTCGTAGTCCCCCTAGTGTGGCCTATCCTCGTCGGCCTAATTGACCATTGACATTTACACAATAGAGACATATTAAGACGGCATTGGAAATCATGCGCCGTCCGTATCGAAACCAGCCACGCTGTTCCTGAGCCCCGACTCGGAGGCAAAGAGAGACACGCATGTGATTGCTGCGCACGACTGAAGAAGTCATGCTCAGGAGGTCAACCTTGCTCAGAGTGTGATTCACGAAAGAGGCCATGTTCATATGAGCGGCTGGGAAAAAGGGACGGTCTGAAGATGGAGTCTCATTCTAGATCTCCACTCCGTGAGTGGGGAGGGGAATCGGCCGCTGGTCATGATATGGATCGGCTTCTGGATTATGGAGCCCTCGATCTTCAACCTGCACTCGAGCCGGCACGATCTACGTGGGATCTTGGTCCTCAGAATTTCTATGCTTCAGCGGACGTCTGTTATAAAGCCTATGGTCGACTTTCCTAGCCCTTGCTGCTATCTCGAGCGAAATGAACATATCAGTAAGATAGCGGCTTCGGCATTCCGGGGGTTGGTGATTCGTATTGCATGTATGAAAACTTGGACATCCCAATGTTGTTTCGCGGCTCCGTCGGACACGGACACGGACCCCCAGTCCGCCAAATTTCCGATCGCTTATTCAAATAACACGATTCGCGGGCCTCTCAAAGGAGGTATCGCTTATATTCTTTGCTCACTGGTTGGTGACTGCAGATCACCTCGCGAAGAATTCGGGACAAGCAATCTCATGATACAGTAATACTACTGCACTGGTGGCAGCGATGGGCAAATTATCTATAAATACTGAGACTGTTATCCACATGGTTGAGGTCTATAACACTCTACACCCGTGAGTCAATATTCAAATATGTCTACTACCGAAACAGTTGATAGAGCGGCCCATTTCAACAATTGGCCCAATGGCCAAGGTGTAAGTATGCCTGGATTTCCATATATCGAAATTCCATCTCTGACCACAGCAGTTCGACACCAACCATGAGCAAAGGTCTCCAGTTGAGTTAGCAGTAACCGGGACAATTCCATCCTACGCCGCAGGAACTCTATACAGAACCGGACCAGGGCGATACAAGGTCGATACAGAGCATGGAAACACGTTCCAGATCTCACATTGGTTCGATGGATTCAGCCAGACACATAGATTTCAGCTTGTCCCCTCAGACGTTGCCGGATCGAGCATGCGCGTATTCTACAACTCCCGCTTCTCAACTGATGACCGCATCGAGTACGTGCGCAAAACAGGCGGCCTGGAGAAAACCTTCAGCTTTGGCGGGGTCGGATATCGAGACCCGTGCAAGGAATTGTATCGCAAAGTCCAAAGCACGTATGAGCCGCCAGAGGATAGCCCATCATTTAGCAATGCCGGCGTGACGCTCTCCATCAACATGCCCGGGATGAAGGATAGCAACCAGGAGACGAATGGCACGGGGACAGTCTCTCATATCAAGACCCTCCACGCCAGAACGGACAACTTCAGCTACAAACAAATTCACCCGGACACCCTCGAGCCCATTAGCCTAGCAAACCAAATAAGCCTCCACCCGGACCTGAGTGGCCGTCTCTCCGCCTCCCACGCCAGGACCGACCCTCAAACCGGTGATATGTACAACTATAACCTCACCTTCGCACCCGTACCAACATACCGCGTATTCCGCGTCTCCGCCGCAACCGGCGAAACAACTATCCTCGCTGCATTCCAGGGCATACCAGCGTACCTCCACTCCTTCTTCCTGACAAAGGACTATGTGATGATCTGCGTCTGGAACTCGCATCTAGATCCCTCGGGCTTCGCAAAGGGCTCGTACATGGCTGCACTGAAGGACTTCGATGACACCATCCCATCAACGTGGTATATTATTGACCGACGACAAAGCCACGGCCAGGGTCTCGTCGCAACCTACGAATGCCCGGCGTTCTTCTGTTTCCATACTATTAATGCGTGGCAAGAGACGAGTCCAAATGACCCTGAGAAAATTGATATAGTTGCTGAGTGCGTGAGTTTGAAGAATACGGATGTCATGAAGAAGCTTTCTTATGATTTCCTCCTCTCTTCATCCACGGTACCGGGGGCGCGTCCAGCTCCCGAAACGAAGGATAATGGGGGCAACGGACAAACTCGGATTGCGCGGTTTCGGTTACCTTCTGTTCCGAAATCTGCTCCTGTCCCTTCTTCTGCTGATGATGGTGGGAAGAAAGTGGCCGGGGCAGCTATTCTTGAATTAGTATCCTGCTCAACCTTATCCCCCGAGCTCCCGACTCTTAACCCAGCCTACATAACCCTCCCACACCGCTATACATACGCTGTAGTCGACCGCGGGTACTCGACGTTTTTCGACGGAATCATGAAGTTTGACTCCGTGACGAACGAGACGCTGATCTGGTCAGAGCATGCCCAGTCCCCCGGTGAGGCTATCTTTGTTCCTGATCCTAACGGCTCGGCTGAAGATGACGGGATATTGCTGACGGTTGTGTTGGATGGAATGAGCGGGAAAAGTTATCTGCTTGTGCTAGGTGCGAGGGATTTGACGGAGGTTGGGAGGGCGTGTGTGGATGGGCCGGTAGCGTTTGGGTTTCATGGTTGTCACGTTTCTGATACTGGGAGGGTTGGTGTGGATTTCTAGGATGCTCCGTATTTATATATTTATTCTTAAATTATCTATTCGCGACGCCTTTATTATTCGTCTTTTTCTCCCTTGTTCTTTTTTCTAGGTCCGTTCTATCGCAACCCAGGCAATAACAATCCATATCTCAATAATCATAGTGCACCTTCTGCTGCGCCATCGCCATCACCCCACTGAACAAGGATCTCCTCCCCCTTAACCCTGGAATTAAACCACTCCAATATCTCAATATTACTATTTTCACCCCCTACAATACTCGCTCCTCTCAGGACATCCCCCTCAGCAACCTTCCAAATTGCCAACGTCACCTCCGCAAGCCCCAAATTCTGCGCAATGCAAGCCCTCGTCCCCTTACCAAAGGCAAAGAAGCTGTTCAGCATCGCATCCGTCGGGTCAAGCCACCGCTCAGGTTTGAATTCCCGTGGATCAGGGAAGACGCTCTCGTCCTGGTGTAGTTGAAATGTGGACACGCCGACGCTTGTTCCTTGTGGGAAGAAGTGAGATTTGTAAGTCCAGCCACTGGCTGGGACAGTACGAGGGAGGCGGATTGGGTTTGCCCAGGCGAGACGGAGCCCTTCGCGGACCACGGCGCGGAGGTATGGGGTTGAAGTGGGGTCGTCTGGCGTAGAGGTTGTTTGGAGGGCTGTGCGGAGACGGGTGTATCTAAATGGCATGTCAGATGAGCTGCGTCGAGAAACTTCACGGTGAAGGAGATCAAGGACTGACATTTCAGGATATTTGGTCAGATACCAGATGATAGTAGCGGTTGTCATGCCAGTTGAATCTGTCCCCGCGAAGCAGACATCTTTTACTTCGATTTGAGCTTGACTCGACGAGACCCTTTCAAGAAGTCGGCTTTGGTAGCTGCCGCTTTTAGGGACAGATCTTTGGATGAGCCCGCCGGTATATTCGTCCATGGTATTGAATGATTTTGCTGTTTCAGGGGACTGGGTCAGATGTTCGAGGAGACCGACTAGGTAATCTCCTACTTTGCCGCACGTGAAGTTGAAGAATGCCCCTACCCCGACATACGCATCGACGAAGGGCGAGGCAGACATGACTTCTACGCTCTCGCTCTCTTTAAGAGCTCCATATCTCTCATGAAACAGGTACGAGCTCACCGCATCAATGGCCAAGGCCCTGCCAAGCTGCAGCACATTCACGGGCTGGCCAGATTTCGCAACGCCGCGGAGCCGCTCAACGAAGTCATCGACAACTTGGAGCAAGCTTTCCTGGGAATTACGGATCGAGGCTGTGGAGAACAGCGGAGCAACGGCCTTTGCGCGACTCGCCCGCTCCGGCAGAGTCAATGTCGAGAAGATAGTCTTGTGGCCGTCGATGTCGAACTTTGAGTATACGGCGGTCTTAGGAAAGCCACCCCTGTTGATGTAGATGGGGTCAATTGCGTCGCCGCTTGCGATGTCGACATCATTAGGTGCAACGCGGAGCACGGGGCCGTACTTTTTGTGTAATTTAAATACGACGGTGCACTCGTCCCCAATGTAAGTATGATAGGCGAGCCATAGGGACGTGCAGGCTGCGAGTTTTGGCCCGGGGACCCTAGAGAGAGGGTGGAAGTAAAGTCGGTAGAGACACCGGGAGAGGAGGGCTCCGAGGAGCAGTGTGAGTATGGCAGCGACTGCCATCCAATTTGTTGTTGTGATGTGAGGATAACGCGGGGGTCAGTGGGGATAGTTTACCGCGTTGTACTTGTGGGTTGGATCAGACGCTCTGCGTGAAGGCCACTGAAAGGGATCTTTGCTGTAATGAATTGGTTAACAACCAATCATCTTGAGAAGATACGAACTCAATCAATCTTTCTTAACGAGGGGATGGAAGGCAGTGATAAGAGTTGGGCTGGGTGCAGAGTGGGAGAGAATGACTGACGTGTTGCAGCAAGGAGAATAGTTGAGAACCAATGACTCACTGCAGGAAAGTAATGATCGAGCCCGGCGGGGACTCCATCGACTAACTGCAGGGGGCAATGAGTTGCTGACAATGGGTTGCCTTATCAGCAAGCCATCTGACGACTAAAAAGCTTAACAGTTACAAACGAGTGCTGGAGAGGTGCTGCCGTCAGGGTTGAATTCGGATCAGGCTGCTTGAGGGCCAGTTCTTCATTCTGAATATATAATTAATGAGACCATATTGCATTGTATATTAAAACCTGTTTCAGTTCCAGAGGAGTGTGATAAGGACGCAGAGGTCGCCAGATATGCGTCCAACAGGTCCCCTGGGCCGAATGGGACGCGTCTTACACATTGTATACCATAGAAAGCCAGGGGAACAAGTGCCACAGCCTGGTGCCCCAGCTTCGTAGCACTGAATCAGGTTTCTGGAAGTAGCCAAGCTGGATCTGGTTCATCGTCTTCATCTTCATCGTCCAACCTGGCTGCATCATGGGAATGGTTCTCCGCATCTCGTAATAAGTCAGCCGGAGGATCCGGGTTTTCGTCACCATAGGTATCAGCCTGGGATTCATTTTCAACGCTCTTGCGGGACTCTGATGATGCTTGTGCAGACTGGTGGAGTTCTTCTTCTGTGGTATTGAAGATGCTTAGGAGCATCTGCCGGGCCTCTCGCAGGGCTTGGAGCTCTGCCGAAATACAGCATACGAGAAGTTTCCAATTTTTCCGCTCCGCATGGTCCAAATGTTGTTCTACGAGGTCTGTGGTCTCTGACAGGTCATCCATGATAGCATGGCCTGGGCGACCGTTGTTGAATGAGGGTCCATCCTCTTTCAGCAGCTGCTCTTGTGCCTTTATTGAACGGTGCATTCCCGTTCGCAAGCGCCCCTCGAACCCTGTTATGGCTTTAACCACCCGTTTCCAAACGTCACCACCCTCCTCGAGTGCCTCTATCTCGGCATCAATTTCATTTTGTCTTTGTTTCAATTCAGACTGTTCTTTATTCCAATGTTCTTGTGCCATCTCAAGAGTTCTTCGGTTGGATTTCAGGGAATAAAAGCTTTCTCCAGCGGTTCCCCTTGCTGGTGGCTTCACCGGGGGATCCGCGAGGAACTTCCGCGTATCGCTCTCGAGAAGCGACAAAGAGGCTTTGTAGGAGGACATTTTGGCCTCCACAGAATTTTCAATTTGGGATAGCTCCTGAACAACGTGTCGGTGCTTCGCTTTCATCTGCGCCAGTTTATTCTCCAGCTCATGTATTTGTGCCTCGAGCGTCGAACTCTCATCTCGCAGCTCCATGGACCGTCGAGTCTCTCTGTCATTGTTCATGGTTGAGATAGCCTTCTCCAATCCGGATCTTTTGGTGTTGAATGTTAGGATCTCGTTCAATCCAAGGTCTATTTCCTCCCTCCTGTAAGAAAGTATTTCTAGTTCTTCCTCACGCACTCGCATCAGGTCATACATGGATGTAAATATGCCTTCCCGTGCTGAACGCAACCCAATCTTCTTGTTAGACAGCTGTCGAGTAGGTAATTTTGGAGCTCCCCTGGAGCTTACTGATCCCGAGTACGACATGTGGCTTTCATTAGGCATGTCGGCTTCAGGTTGCTGACCACCAAGGCCAGCCAGCAGTCCTTCGCTTTGGGCATCTATAAGATGCTGCAGATTACGCTGTATATGTCTCGCCTGCCGTTCAACATGACGTAAGGGATCCTGATAATTTGGAGAAGCTCTAAGAGGCAGCGGCACTAGGCTCTGGCTCATATTTTGAGGGAACATGGTGGACATTTTGGATGTAAACATGTAAACACAAGTGCTGCTTTCAGTTGGTTGAATCTTGGCAACGCCTGTAGTCACAGAGATATAGATTTGAGGAAACGGCGTACTTGCGAGCCAGTTGCTAGAGAAATACCAGGCAGGGTAATATTAAACAAAGACACCTTCCGGAAACATGGACTGCCATGACCCTCGTATTTAAGATGGGTTGATGGGGTCGCTCACATGCGCCTTGCCATCACGCGGCAGCAGTGTCACGTGACAGTTTCTAGGGCGGCCTGCAGGAACCACCGGCACCTTTCCGAGAGCTTCCATCAGCCTGGCGTCCGTTGACGTGTGCCTCCCTCTGCCTCTTCACATCATCTTCCTCTTCTTGTATTTCTCAACTTTCTCCATCCTTCCTTGTTTTATTACTCTCGCCGCCTTGTATTTGCACTTTACCTCTGTCGTTTCCCATCACACTTTGACCTCCGATCCGTCGGCGTGAAGCTCCGTCGAAGCTGTCGCCTCACCCTCTCGAGCACTATCATCTCTTTTTCTACCGCTGGTGCACCGACCTGTCCTTATCACCATGGTTGGGCTTGCTTCAGCCGCTGGTCTCGTTGGCTTTCTTTCAGAGCCTGACTCTGAACTGAGAGTATTTGCTTTGAAGACCCTAGATTCTCAGATCGACCTTCTCTGGACGGAAGTGGTTGACTCTATTCCGCAAATGTTTGTTTCCCATCTCACTCCACCTCCTTCCATCACATTGCACATCTGCATTTTCATTGTAATGGGCCTCTAGAGCTATTATTTTCGGTCAACTAACAACTCCATTCTTAGAGAGGCGCTTTACGAAGATGAAGAATTCCCGGAGCGCGGTCTTGCCGCGTTAGTCGCCGCAAAGGTTTACTACCATCTCCAAGAGTACAACGAGAGCATGGTGTTTGCTTTAGGCGCCGGGAAGTTGTTCGACCTAAACAACGGTGGTGAATTTGAGGAAACCATCATTGGTATGTACCATATACCCTCCACTTCCTAACTTGGGTGATTTTTCTCATCCGAGTGTTTTGCCAGCCAAATGTATCGATACCTTCATTTCGCTGTCGACTTCCCAACGACCCGCAGGCGGCGATCAAACCGCCAACTTGAACACCTCGTTCCCCGCCCCGGTCGAGGGTGCCAGCAGCACCTCTGCCAGCCTCACTTCCCCGATCACCCCATTCTCACAATCGGCTCTGCCATCGAAGTCGCTGTTGTCTAGGCAAGAGGTCTCAGGCGCAGACGGCGCTCACGCGGGAGGCGAAGATATTAGTTTAAAGGATGTTGAAATTCCGCTCGTCCTAAAGCGCGGTGTTCAAGGCCAGTTGAAGGCTGTCGTTGAACGTTTATTCGAGCAATGTTTCAATGAGCAACGCTATCGCCAGGTTATCGGTATTGCTATTGAAGCTAAAGATCTGGAAGTGCTTCGAACAGCTATTGTTCGCGCTAGTGAGGACGAAAAGAAGCAACACGGCGAGTCCCGCCGGAGCGAGGAGCTGATGGAATACGTATTGGACATTTGCATGGGCGTCGTCCAGGAGCGAGGTTTCCGCAATGAGGTACCGTGACAAGACTCAGTTGATTTTGAAGACCGCATGCTAACTGATATTCAAGATCTTGAAACTTATTCTTGACCTTCTTAATGAGATTCCTTCGCCGGACTATTTCTCAATCGCCAAATGTGTCGTCTATCTCAACGAGCACTCGATGGCTACTTTCATACTTCGCCAGTTGGTCGAGAAGGGGGATGCACGGTCACTTGCTGTTGCCTATCAGATTTCTTTTGATCTTTACGACAACAGCACCCAGGAATTTCTCCAGAAAGTTCACCAGGAGATCTCTGAGCTCGTTCCGGAAAAGAACGAATCAGAAGCAAAGGAGGACCAGGAAGAAGCGAAAGAGACCGATGCGTTGTTGGAAGGTCAAGCTTCGTCTATCGGTACCAACGATGACTCCAAGCTGACCACGGAGGCCCATACCGCGTTCAAGAATATACTTGATATCCTCGATGGTCTCAGATCTATCCAACTGAACATGGAGTTTCTGCACCGGAATAGCAGGGTCGATGTTGCCATCCTTAACAAGCTTCGCGACAGCTTGGAACCTCGCAACTCAATCTTCCACTCGGCTGTGACCATCTCAAATGGCTTCATGTATGCTGGAACAGCGCAGGACAAATTCTTCCGAGACAACCTGGAATGGCTCGGAAAAGCGGTCAACTGGTCTAAGTTCACTGCGACAGCGGCCCTGGGTGTTATCCACCGTGGGAATTTGAATCAGGGACAAAAGCTTTTGCAGCCATACCTCCCCAAGGACAACATTGCTGGTGTAAACGGATCTGGGTCTGTTTATAGTGGCGGTGGCTCCCTTTACGCGCTTGGATTAATCTATGCCAACCATGGCGGAATGGCTATTGATTACATTCGCGACCATTTCAAGAACGCTTCCGAGGAAGTCGTTCAACACGGAGGTGCGTTAGGTCTTGGTGTTGCGGGTATGGCAACCGGAGATGAGGGTATCTACGAGGATCTACGGAACGTTCTCTACACCGACTCTGCTCTCAACGGTGAGGCTGTTGGTCTTGCCATGGGTCTGGTCATGTTGGGTACTGGTAACATGAAGGTTCTCGAAGACATGATCCAGTACGCTCATGATACGCAGCACGAAAAGATCGTCCGAGGATTGGCAATGGGCATGGCCCTTATTATGTACGGTCGACAGGAAGCTGCTGATGAACTGATTAACGGCCTCCTGGGCGACCCTGACCCGACCCTCCGCTATGGAGGTATCATGACCATCGCTCTCGCGTACTGCGGGAGCAGCAGCAACAAGGCTGTCCGGAAGTTGCTCCATGTTGCTGTCAGTGATGTGAACGATGATGTCCGACGTGTTGCTGTCCTGAGTCTGGGTTTCATTCTCTTTAGAAAGCACCAAAGCGTACCCCGCATGGTCGAATTGCTCTCTGAATCCTACAACCCTCATGTTCGTTATGGTGCAGCAATGGCTCTTGGAATTTCATGTGCTGGTACTGGCCTTGACGAAGCAATCGACCTCCTTGAGCCGATGCTGAAGGATTCGACCGACTTTGTGCGACAGGGAGCTCTCATTGCTTTGGCCATGGTGTTGGTGCAACAGAATGAGGCTATGAATCCTCGGGTCACCACACTACGCAAGACGATGATGAAGATGGTTTCCGATAGGCACGAGGATGCTATGGCCAAGTTTGGCTGCGCGATTGCTCTAGGTATTATCGATGCTGGCGGTCGTAACTGCACGATCAGTCTTCAGACACAGACAGGAAACCTCAACATGCCAGGGATCGTCGGCGCTGCAGTGTTCATCCAGTACTGGTACTGGTTCCCTCTCACTCACTTCCTGTCGCTGAGTTTCGCGCCAACCTCGGTTATCGGTGTGGACCAGAAGCTCGAGGCCCCGTTTTTCAAGTTCCATAGCAACACAAAGCCCAGCCTCTTCGACTACCCACCCGAGCAACAAGTCAAGACCGAAGAAGCTCCAGAGAAGGTCAAGACTGCCGTTCTTTCTACCACTGCGCAGGCCAAGAGACGTGCGCTGCGCCGTGAAAAGCAGCACAGGCGAGAGAGCATGGATATTGACCAGACTCCTACCACTCCCAAGGTGGCAGATCAGATCCCGGAGAAAATGGAAACGGATGAGGCCAAGGGCGAAGACGAGCTCAAGGAAGGTGAGAAGGAGGCCGGGGAGAGTCAAAAGAAGAGGGTTGAGCGCGAGAAGGTTGGATATGAGCTTGACAACATGTCACGAGTTCTCCCAGCCCAACTAAAGTATCTCACGTTCCCCGATCCTCGATATGAGCCAGTAAAAAGGGTATGTATATTCGGCCTCAGTTTTGTGTATGAAGATAAACTAACTCACCATTATAGCCCACCGGTGGTGTTGTAGTCGTTTGGGACAAGACGCCGGAAGAACCCCGAGAAGTCATTGAGCTCAAGGCCAGCAAGGAGACCAAGCCATCTGCAACCCCAGCAGACCACCTACAATCTTTACAGGATCGTCTGCAAGGGTTCCAAGACGGGGGCGCTCTGCAAACCCCTCAGCGTGGAGCGGACTCCCTTTCGACGTTAGGAGCTACTGCTGCGGCTGGAGTGTTGACCGCTGTAGATGAAGACGAGGACGGAGAGGAGGCGCCTGTTCCTGAGGAATTCGGATACACGAGTGATGACGGAGAGGCAGACTACTAAGTGTGCAATATGGGCGCAAGCTGTATTACTAGATTAATATAAATCTATGTCTCGAATAACCGCGGTAGTTAGATACCGCATAGCATTTCTGGAATGTCTACTATTGCATCTAGTTTATGGCTCGTTTATATGGGAAGTAGTGCACCCGTAGTCGTATAATTTTGTGGTAATGAGGGAGAAAAGTATGTTTGCTCATGGCTCCCATCGCGAAGAGGACATGCATAGTCTGACAAGTCTTGGAGTAGTTCTACAATCCTATTTGTCTCATGCAGGCCATGGTCCGCGGCAAGTCTGATGGCTAGACTGTCAGCATAGTAGGCCCCGCTTGCTCCCGGACGGAGTGAGATGAATTGGCCTCGAACAAGGACTTCTAGGTGATCCAAGTCTCCTCTAAAAGTCGCGACAGGTCGTTCTTCGGCAATTTTTGTAGCAGATGTCAGCAGCTGATCAGATATTAAGCACGGCGTGGAGATGTCCTTCTTGACAAGAAGGAGCATCCCAAGGGCCAGAACCATGAAGCACTGGAAGATCCTATGCTCCGCTCCATTTGGGACAAGACCATCAAAGCGAGATCGATAGACTTCTTCCAGGTCATCCTGAAAAACCCATCCGTTGTAAGACCGGGAGAAACCAATCGCTATGATCAAAGTAGATTTGTACTAGTCAGTTGCGCTCTCTCGCTCGGGGAACTTGTTCAGCGCTGTCGGGAGGGAAATGGAATCAATGTACTCCGTAGCCATATTCTTCTGTTATACGCAGCGTCATTGCTTCGGCGTATATCAATTCTCGGCATTTAAGCTTGAGTCTAGCCTTAGGTATCAGGGCACTGACCAGGCTAGTCCACTTTGGTCTGCAAACTACCTGGGGAAGTTGTTCTCCAATAACTACGCACTTTCAGTCATTATTTTTCTTCCGACATACAAATTGAAAACTGAGACACCAGAGAAATTCTGAATCGGGATGCCATGTCTGTCCGCGATTGTGGTCTCTTCAACAGCGCAAAGAGTGAACGTTATATATCGGTGCAGCTGCTACTATGTAACTCGTCATGCTTTCTTACTCCAGATTTTCTGGCCTCCGAAGCAAAACATGATGAGTAAACATCCAGATCGACTGGCCGGATGCCCTTGGTTCAAAGCTTGGCAGGCGAACATCATCTCATTAATATCATATGAATAGTTATCTACTGGTCAAGGTCGACTCGACTCTTGAGATCATGGGTCACGTGCGGGAAAAGGAGCCTCGGCACCTTCTCAAAAAGTCGAGCAGCCACCATGCAGGGATGACGCATGAGGACGACGTCTGGGCCAATCAGATGCAAGCAAATAGCCAGCATCATCAGCTGGCCGAGGCACAACCACACGTGAGCTGGTCAGAAATGAGCCGGTGGTGCTTCAATTGAGGAAAGCAATGCGGGCCTGGAGAAGAAATGAGTAACTGGCAGCGTCAGAGTGGCCCAGAGCTGACCAGCATGTGAATCGGGTTGCCTATACCGGCATATACTACGTATAATGGGAAAATCACCGAGGAATTTGCCTTTCCTGTTGTCGCAAACACCTGCGCACCTGCGATGTACGACCTCTTTTTGGGCTCTTGACCGAGATCAATGGTATCCACCTTTGCTTTTTGCATCCAAGGCGGCAATTCCCTGGATCATTCTTATATCAAACCGCTTCTCCCTTCCCCTCCCTGTTTCCCCCCTACCCCAGGTTATTCTTCCCCATAGGCTTGTCTCCAGCATCCCACAAATTTGACCCTTTGTTTGCTTCGCGACATCACCATGGCCAAGACATTCAGCAAGGACGACGTGGCCACGCACAACAAGGCCGACAATCTTTGGATCATCGTCGACGAAGACGTTTACGACTTGACCAAATTTCAGGACGACCATCCAGGTGCGTTTTCTAGAGCCCGACATTGTTGTCATTAATTTGCATGTGAAACTGACATAATATGCGCGGATAGGTGGAAAGAAGAGTATGCTCGTCCGAACCCCACGAAATGCGCCACGGCCGCCAATACTAACTGTTGTTTCATTTAGTTCTTACAAGAGTCGCCGGAAAAGACGCGTCAAAACAGTTCTGGAAATATCACAATGAGGGCATTCTGAAGAAGTACAAGTCGCAGCTGCAAGTTGGATCTTTGGACTCCAAGAAGGCTGTGGAAGCACCTGCCCCCGCCGAGAAGAAGGAGACACCCAAGCCTCAGTCAGCGCCAGTTGTCGATGTCGCGACAGCGAAGTCAGAAGAAGCCCAGGAGCCTTATGGCGACTTGATCCCCTTCGCTGACCCAGCATGGTACCAGGGGGTGAGCTTCCTTGATACATGTCAAATCTGACCTGTTACTGATTGTTTATAGTACCACTCCGCCTACTTCAACCAGACTCACGCTGCCCTCCGTGATGAGATCCGGGCATATGTTGAGTCGGAAATCGAGCCGTATGTGACTGAGTGGGATGAGGCCAAGGAGGTTCCTGCCAAGATCTACAAGCAAATGGGTGAGCGGGGTTATCTCGCCGGTCTCCTCGGTGTCAAGTATCCCGTGCAATATACCCCACACCGGGTTCAGTCTGTCGCCCCCGAAAACTGGGATCTCTTCCACGAGATGCTCCTTACAGATGAACTGTCTCGCGCTGCAAGTGGTGGTCTGGTCTGGAACTTGCTCGGTGGTTTCGGTATTGGCTGCCCTCCGTTAGTGAAGTATGGAAAGAAGGCTCTTGTTGACCGGATCCTACCCGGAATCCTTGCGGGAGACAAGCGTATCTGTCTTGCGATTACTGAGCCCGATGCTGGCAGCGATGTCGCCAACCTTGGCTGCGAAGCTAAGCTTTCTGAAGACGGCAAGCACTACATCGTTAATGGCGAGAAGAAGTGGATCACCAATGGTGTCTGGTCCGACTATTTCACGACTGCTGTTCGTACCGGCGGGCCCGGAATGAACGGTCTCAGTGTCCTCCTTATCGAGAGAGAGGCTGGCGGTGTCAGCACCCGGCGCATGGACTGCCAGGGTGTCTGGAGCAGCGGTACTACGTACGTGACCTTCGAGGACGTTAAGGTCCCCGTGGAGAACCTCATTGGCAAGGAGAACCAGGGATTCAAGGGTAAGTTGAGAATATGTGAACGTTGTTGAGAGTTCATTCTAACACGCACGCCAGTCATCATGACCAACTTCAACCACGAGCGAATTGGTATCATTATCCAATGTATCCGATTCTCACGTGTCTGCTATGAGGAATCAGTGAAATACGCCCACAAGCGCAGAACTTTCGGCCAGAAACTTGCCAACCACCCGGTCATCCGTATGAAGCTTGCCCACATGGCTCGTCAAATTGAGGCTAGTTACAACTGGCTCGAGAACATCATTTACCAGTGCCAGTCGATGGAGGAGACCGAGGCGATGCTCAAGCTCGGCGGTGCCATTGCCGGTCTCAAGGCTCAGTCCACAACAACCTTCGAATACTGCGCCCGCGAAGCCAGTCAGATCTTCGGTGGGTTGAGTTATAGCCGTGGCGGCCAGGGTGGTAAGATCGAACGACTGTACCGTGACGTGCGCGCCTACGCCATCCCCGGTGGAAGTGAGGAGATCATGTTGGATCTCAGCATGCGCCAGAGTCTCCGTGTGCACCAGATGTTCGGAATGAAGCTGTAAGACTGACGAGTACGCTTTGTTTCTTGGATATATATCCCCTTCCTTTTATTTTTTTCTTGGCTTATATAGAGACTTTTGGTTCTTGGATGTACAATATTGGAAATATCTTATGTTAGCAGGAGCGATTCTATACCTTCAAGATTAGTACAGTATAACTACTTTCAACCCACTAGGCCATAATTTAAATGCCTCGTATTTTGGCCAGCGTTTTCCATGAGAGCGCAGATAGCCCTTGTGCAGACAGCGTTGCAAGAAGAAATTAAGATGACAAAGCGTCTTTCAACATACACATATTGTAGAGAGAACCACACCTTATATATATATAAACAAAACCACGACAGGCGCAGCGCCAATAATTTGCAGCTCCTCCAAAATGGCTGGCATGCCCTCCTTCGGCTTGGCGAACCCTACCTTCCACAGTATCGCGAACCCCCAGTATTATATATCATTTATCTGTAGGTATGGTTTCCCCAGGCGAATCAGTAGTATGGTCCCAGATAGTAGTGAGTAGATGGACACTAAAGGCCTATTATACTCTGTGACGATGGAATAGCAGGCTCCTGTGCTGCCTACCAATCAGGTCCCCGGTCTCTCCTAGCGGAGGCTCCCAAAAAGGCCGAAAAACAATCCGGCGCTCCACAAGGACCAAACGCGCAGCCGCCTTGAACTTCTCAATGAAACTCGCCTTCTGAAAGCTCCCGACTATCGAGGTCTACACCCCCCCTTTATCTCCCAGCAGATCGTTTGGCGTCGTGTAATTGTTTGTGCGGCGAGGGCAGCTTCATTGTTCTGCTTACTCTTCCCTCGAACTGCCCTTTCTTTCACTTCCCGATACGTGGCTGCCACCGCGGACTCGGCGCAGCACCGAACAACGAACCGCCCGACCAAAGAAATCTATCTTCTGTCAACGGTCGCCAGAACACACTTCACATCGGCCACCTGACTTTACCGGCATTATTAGTCGCCTGGCGCTCTCAGACCTTCTCAGTTTGTGGCCGACTCCTTTTACTTTTCTCCCGAACCTTTTTCGCCCTGATTCTCAAAACCCGAACTGTCGCCGCAGCAGACGCCCGCCCCTCAAAGCCTCGACGCGAGAATGTCTCGGAACGTGATGGAACAGGACTTCGGCTCTGATGAGGAAGATGATGACTTCAACCCCGCGCCCGCACAGGAATCAGATAATGAAGATGTAGATCGCGGCCAGGTTTGTGTTATCCTGGATCTGCTATTGGAGGATGTGTTGAACTGACGAACAGGAACATAAGACCCGAAAACGTAGCCGTGAGGACGACGCTCAAGATGGAGGCAATGACGAGGATGGGGAGAACGAGGGCGGTGACGACGACGATGAGCTTCAGGAAGGAGGGGATGACGATGAGGAAGAGGAAGAAGACGAGGAAGAGGATGCTGTTACGGTTGGTGTCTTCTACTATCCATTTCGCTCGAAACGCGCATGGGACAATTGCTAATATGGCCTTTTCCTGCTCTACAGCGTGGACCGAAGCGGAGAAGAGGTCCTGGCCTCCATAACTTCATTGATGTTGAGGCGGGTGTGGACGAAGATGAGGACGAGGCTGAAGATGAGGAGGATGATATGGAATTTGGTGAAAATGTCCATCCGGATGATGAAGTTGCCGTCGGAGCTGAGATGGACGACCGTCGACACCGCGAACTTGACCGTCAGCGCGAAGTGGAGGCCAGCATGGATGCTGAGAAACAGGCACAATTGCTCAAGGAACGTTATGGGCGGAATCGCGCAGCTGCCACGGACGCCGTCATTGTCCCCAAGCGGCTTTTGCTTCCTAGCGTCGACGACCCTAGTATCTGGGGTGTTCGGTGCAAGGCCGGAAAAGAACGTGAAGTTGTCTTCGCTATTCAAAAACGTATCGAAGAACGACCGCCTGGTTCACGGAACCCGATTAAGCTCATCTCGGCGTTTGAGCGTGGGGGCGCGATGAGTGGCTACATTTATGTCGAAGCGCGGAGACAAGCGGATGTCATGGATGCCCTACAAGATATGTCGAATGTTTATCCAAGGACGAAGATGATCTTGGTCCCTGTAAGGGAAATGCCGGATCTACTTAGGGTACAGAAGTCGGAAGAACTCAACCCCGGCGGCTGGGTTCGAATAAAGCGTGGCAAATACATAGGTGATCTCGCTCAGATCGAAGAGGTAGAGACTAACGGTTTGGCTGTAACCGTTCGTTTGGTTCCTCGACTGGATTACGGTTTAAATGAGGATTCTGGCGCTCCTATTGTTGATCCTAAGAGAAAGCGAGCTGGCGCGAATGCCGCTGTTGCACGCCCTCCACAGCGGTTGTTTAGTGAGGCTGAAGCCAAGAAGAAGCACAGCAAGTACCTCTCCGCTACGGCTGGTTTAGGTTCAAAGTCATGGAACTATCTTGGCGAAACTTACATCGATGGTTTCTTGATCAAAGACATGAAGGTCCAGCATTTGATCACGAAGAACGTCAACCCCCGACTCGAGGAAGTCACCATGTTTGCCCGCGATTCTGAAAACGGCACCTCGAATCTTGACCTCGCCTCTCTTGCGGAAACGCTCAAGAATTCTACCGCAGAGGAATCATATATTCCCGGAGACCCCGTGGAGGTGTTCAAGGGTGAACAGCAAGGCCTTATCGGCCGCACTAGCTCCACTCGTGGAGATATTGTGACTATCCTGGTAACGGAAGGCGAACTGGCAGGCCAAACAATTGAAGCCCCTGTTAAGACACTCCGTAAGCGCTTTAGGGAGGGTGACCACGTCAAGGTTATTGGCGGAAGCAGATACCAGGATGAGTTGGGTATGGTTGTGCAAGTGAGAGACGACACAGTCACCCTTCTCAGCGATATGAGTATGCAGGAGATTACTGTCTTTAGCAAAGACCTCCGCTTGTCCGCAGAAACAGGCGTGGACGGGAAATTGGGCATGTTCGATGTTCATGATCTCGTACAGTTAGAGTGAGTTATTACCTCTTCTTCGTTAGTTGGGCTTTTTTTTCTTTTACTAACAGTCGCGAAAAAGTGCTGCTACCGTTGCTTGCATTGTCAAGGTTGATCGTGAATCATTACGAGTCCTGGATCAAAACGGTTCTATCCGCACTATCCTCCCTACGCAAGTCACCAACAAGGTCACCCCGCGTCGAGACGCTGTGGCTACAGACAGGAACGGGGCTGAAATTCGACATGGGGACACTGTTAGAGAAGTATACGGCGAGCAACGAAATGGGGTAATTCTTCATATTCACCGTTCATTCCTGTTCCTGCACAATAAAGCCCAGGCTGAAAACTCGGGAATCGTCGTTGTGCGCACTACCAATGTTGTTACAGTGTCCGCGAAAGGAGGGAGGTCCACAGGTCCTGATCTCTCCAAGATGAACCCGGCTTTGATGAAGAATGGTGCTCCAGGTAATATGATGGGGCCTCCTCCGTCAAAGAACTTTGGACGCGACCGACTTCTCGGCAAAACAGTTTTGGTTAGGAAGGGCGCTCTTAAGGGTCTGATGGGTATTGTTAAAGACACGACCGATGTGCAGGCTCGCGTAGAGCTCCATTCTAAGAACAAGCTTGTGACGATCCCAAAGGAGCTCCTTGTCGTTAAGGATCCCGTTACTGGCCAAACCATTGATATTTCCCGCGGTAGAGGGCCGCCACGGGTTCCTCAGGGTGGATCAGCTGCACCGCCATCCGGCTGGCAGGGCGGTCGTACTCCCATGGCCGCCGCCGATTCTTCAAAAACACCGGCCTGGGGTGGTGTTACTTCCTCCAGAAGTAAGTTTTCCCATTTTCGCTGTTGTTAATACCGCCGTACAGCCTCTAACATGATTTTTGTAGCACCTGCTTGGGGTGGTGGTGGCTTTGGTTCTCGCACACCTGCGTGGAAGGCCGACGGATCACGAACCTCGAATCCATACGATGGCAGTCGCACAGCTTATGGAGGCGCAGGGGCACGCACACCGGCTTGGAATGCAGGAGCAAGAACACCTTATGGTGGCTCCGGCTCCGGCTCAGGAACCAGCGATTTCGATGCCTTTGCAGCCGGGTCCCGAACTCCCGCCTGGGGTGGCGCCTCTGGCAACCGTACTCCTGCTTGGTCGGCAAGCGGCTCAAGCGGTAACAAGACATATGACGCCCCGACACCGGGTGCGACGTACTCTGCTCCTACCCCAGGCGCGTACGGTGGCGCACCCACACCCGGTCTCTCAGCACCTACACCCGGAGCCTGGGCCGACAGCGCGCCGACACCGGGTGCCTACAACGCGCCTACTCCGGCTGACTTTGGCGATCGTCCATACGATGCACCAACGCCGGCGATGGGTGGGGCTGCCGCTACACCGGGTGCCGGCCCATACGGCGATGCAGACGACGGCGGTCCCCGATACGAAGAAGGAACGCCCAGTCCTTGAATGCATAATTTGTTTTTTTTTTTTTTTTTTTTTTGGCTTTTTTTCTCTTTTTGGCTCGGAATTTTTATGGGTTTACAACTAAAACGGCGCATTGCATGTTCATTCTATTCCTCATCTATTGATGTTTTCTTTTATAGGTGACTTTAGCTACCGCCTAGTACTATACTACAATGTATTATCAATCTATTAACATATAAACGTGTCTCATCACCTAACAGAGGATATTTTGGGATGGGGAATTGTTTAGATAGACTAAACAAATCATTGGGATTATATCGGCGCCCTTGGGTCGCAAGCTTGCTATTTCGCCCCCCTGGTAGACGACCATTTCTCAGAACATGCAAAAGATATCGTATTGGTATCGATCAAATCAATAAAACTCCCCGGCCCGTCACTCCTGGTTGCCGTTTCGTTTAATAAGATAGTATGTATGGAGACATGAAAACGTGAATGGAAAAAGGGCCAAAAAAAGAGATATCGACCTTAAGTATGGACTTGAATCATTTCCCCAACGAAGTGAAATATGAAAACCTGTAGGTGCAATTTGCAACCTTCAACCATAGTACTCCCATTCTTTTTTTTTTTTCTGCTTTTGACTGTCAACCCACTTTCCTTGGCCCGGAAGAGCCACAGTGGGAATCCAACCCAATTGATATCAACTGACAACTTGAACGGATTGAAAAAGAATTAATAAAAACCGACCTGAGTCTTATCTATGTCATAATCGAATCTGATAAAAAAGCGAGAAAAATGGTGAGAGCAATATGAAAGAAGATAAAAAGATAAACACAAATTATTTTTCAGTAGGTCTATGCCGGTACTGCTCGCGCCAGGATGCGTATATTGTCAAGGAGACCTTTTACGAGATCTTCGTACTGATTGCTGGGGTCACCAGCCATGGCGAGCTGACCCTGGCGGCGGATTTCGGCGGCTGAGACTTCGACTTCTAGCTCGTGTTCGAATTCGCCTTTTGCAGAGGGCTGCGGGAAGAAGTGAATTAGGACAAGAACAAATAGTAAGAGAACGGGAATAAGAATTTGTAACATACTTCGGACCTAGCAACTTGTGTCAAATCGACCTGGTACGCCAAATGTCGGTAGCTCATGCGGTCTTTATTCCGATCGCTGGCTCCTCGGCCTGTATCAGCTGGCGGGAGGTGAGAGATATCACCGTCGTAGCTCATTTCTAGGTTGACACTGACACGCCAGTCGACGCAGGTGCGAGGACTGTAAATATCGAGGTCTGCTACTCGGCATTTGACAATCTTTGCGAGGACTTCGCCTGTCCGTTGGTCAACGGTGACTCGGACTCGGGGCTTGTGGCGCGGGTTTAGGTTTTGTCGGATAACGGGTGGCAGATCGGAAGGGGAGACCTCGTAAAAGGAATCTCGTTCCTTTTTGTGGGCGTATGAGAGGGGAATCCGTCCAGGATTTGCTTGAGGCATAGACCCCTTCACAGTTTCGTTGAGAAAATTGTTCATAGCCCGGTGTTGTGCCTGAAAAGAAGTCAATTCTGATGAACGACCTATAACCAGGGCGAACCAAAAGACGTGTGAAGTGTAAGAAAAGAACAGCAAAGGAACGTACCTGCGTCATATTGCTTTCAAAATTTGTTCGAATTCGGGAGTTGTCACGATTTATGACACTTTCAGTCTGTATTGGCAATTGGAGCCTGTCTCCGCGATCAAGATCCATTATTTGTCCCAGCTTGGCTTCGATTTCGATGATTGCGCCTTGGCCCACAGCAGTCGCACCAGCAGGGCCTGCCAAGGCATCATTTCGGAGGACTACGTGCTGAAAGAGGAAGTCACAGACAACCTTGGTGATTTCTTCGTGCGGTATGAACCCAGTAATGGATGGTTCCCAAGGGCCCAGGCTCTTCAACTGTTGCGGTTCTGCAGGCTGTGGCGGTTGTAATGGTTGCGAAGGCTGTGACGAGATCGGCGGGCCATTCGCAACTGAATCTTCTCGCTTTATGATCTTTGCTGGGGGGGCTTCCTCTGAGACTGCATGCTGCCGTTGTAACCACGGGTCCTGTGGCGTATTCCTGATGTGTTTGGGAATCGGCGGTAACAAATTTGGGATCATGGGGCATTTCCCCTTTGTGCGAATTGATCGTTGGGCGAAAATAGGTGGCTCATTGTACCGTCTTCGCTTTGGTTTAGGAGGTTGAGGGCTCGAATTAGCGTGGGTCAATTCTGACGCAAAGTTTGTCTTTTGCGGGTGCTGGGGCCCTGGCTTTCCCTTTGGGGATACATTTGCTACTGGCCCCAGTGATCGCGGAGGGCTACTGACTTGCGTTGCGGTTGGCCCAGTTGAAGCTGCATGGGCGTGGAGGTTTTGCGCAATGGGTCGACTGTTTTGCGCAGCTATCCCATTTTCCCTCTCAGTCGATTGCGTAGAGACTGCAGGCTCACCAGGGCCTGCCATGCTGTCGCGCCGCGTCCCTGAGGAAAAGGCTGTTTTCGGACTAACACTCTCATCGGACTCTCTTCCCCCAGTGGTGCCCGATGTGCGCCGGGGCGCGCCATCGAGTGTCTTTGAATCGTATCGCACAGGTCGCGAAACCGCGGTTGGTGACATGTGCATCTGGACATCCTGCCCGACCCATGGACTAGATGCGCGATTCGATAGGGAATCGTGGCCTGACGACTGAGGGCGGGCAGACGATGGAGTTGACTGGTGGTAGAGAGCAGCAGCGGAACCTCGCGGCGTACCAGGAAGTGATCCTTGTGTCGCGGGTGAAAATTGCTGGGACGGATATGGATGGTGGGTGGCGGCTGGAGGGCTCTCTCTGTGGGGGAATGAGTGTGAGGTGGAGGAATAAGGGGTCAGAACAGACTGGATGGATTGCGAGCGCTGAGCAGCGACAGGCGACGGTTGGTGGGAAGGAGGATGTTGCGGATGATGGTAGGCGACAGGCGCAGCGAAAGAGTCACGCGAAGCAGAGGGCCCATAAGGCGCGGGAGGTGGGCTGTGGCCGCGATGAGATTGTGCGCCCGCATTGAGAGATGATGTAGCATTATACTGGTAGGGAGACTGTAGTGAGCCGTAGGATGAGCCTCTGTCTGGGGAAGTTTGGGCGCGCTGAAGCGGTGCAGGCTGCTGCGATGGCCCGTTGGGATAGCCAGATGGGTAGGAAGAGGAGGATGATGACGACGGAGGCTGGTCGTGTGCTGGATATATTGGCTCGGAGGGTTTACGAGAAAGTTGCGATGGCGATCGATGAGACGGAGGCGACGGAGGACGGCGTGATGTGCCAGCGGCATCACTGTTCATAATTGTGCGCAAATCCATGGTGACGTGGGTTTTTTTTCTCCCCTAAACCGAGACGAATGCGAGAAAGGATCGAACGGGCGCGAGTTGGCGAGAGACAAGACACGCCCCCTTCCACAACACCCCGGAGCGGATGATGGCGAGTTGGTGCCTATCAATGACGGAGACGAGGAAGGGGGAAGGATGGCAATGGCGATGAAGACATTTAGGGGATGAAAGGGGTGCGCGGGACGAGATGATGCTGAAGGGGAGCAGACCGATAAGAGGAAAAGGAAAGGAAGATCGATGAAGCTGCGGATCTGGTTGTGGAAGGTGAAATGAAGCCGATCGACAACAGCAGTGGTACACCGTTCGTCGTCAGTGGATGACCCGCAATCGACTCGGGGGCATGGCAAGATATAATGGGATGGAGGGATGAAGAAGATGGTGTTGTTCGAGCACACGAGACCAATCATCACCAATTCATCCGCTCCCTAGATACTGGAAGTTGTCCTACACGGTTCTACTACGGATTATCAGATTGGGAAACTGCAAGTACGACACCATTACACTATGCATATTCAATTACCCTCGACACACTTTCTGCATGCTAATAATAACCCAACAAAGAATCCAAGCCCGGATGACGAAAGCTGTTGTTTTTTTGACTTCGAGTGCTGGATGTTGGAGGTTTTCTGCCCGGCGGTGAGAGCTAGAAGTCATGTGATCCAATCTCGTTATTTCTGCCGTGGAGCACCGCGCACGCACGTGTCGGTCACTGCCGGATTGGGAAGCTGCGATCGAAACCAGTGACTGCCATTCTGGGCAGCGTCAGGAATTGCCTGCCCTGGGAGATTGAACAGCGTGCAACGCAATTGGCAGAAAACGGCCTAGGTGACAACCTGGTTCTACTAATCCCTGGCGCGAAACGGGATTGTCGGTGCAACGGGCGACTCGGAGTTCTCCTGGAGTCTCCTCCATTGCCCGATAAAAGCGCGCCAGTAATAATGGTGAAACGTCGCGTCTCTTAAAATCCTCCGGATCGACACTCGCCATTTGGCCTTAACTTCCTCAACCTCCCCTCCACCCCGACGCTTGATGTTTTGCTTACTCTGCAGTCTGCAGCCTTCAGTCTCCTGCACATTCCTGCGCTCGGATTTCATGAGCGACTGAGAGCCTCCATAAACTGCTCGGTTTTGCAGCTGTCAGATGCGACCACCGATGACGAATCCCGGACCCATATCCGCTCCCCGTCGCAGATAAAAAGACTCCACTCTCGCAGCAACTCTACTACATATAAGACCGCGCACTTAGGTATTTCGCTCTGTCGCCCTCAAGAGAGACCCTGGATCTACCTCAATATCACCCTCTCCTCCGAAATGGACGTCGAGAAGGAGATGCCGCCGTCTCCTGCGATCCACAATGTTTCCTTGAATGACGTCGAATCCGGTCTCAATCGTGAATCCCAGCATGGAACTCTTGCGTGGCCGAGTCTTAGAGGGTTTTCCGCCTCAGATATTCTGTCTGACCCAGCAAAGCTATCTCCACTGGTTGAACACTTGCGCGAAAACTGGCAAGATTATTTGGAAGACTGGTTCACTAAGTTGGGTATACTTATCACGCCAAGCTACCTACAACACCTGGTCGGTGGCCAGCCGCCCCCGCAGACGAAACTCCATGCAATAGCGGCATTGGATGGGTTGCGAGGATGGGCCTGTCTGCTTGTCTTCAATTTCCACTTTCTATTTACCTATACTTGGAAGGTTGCGGTTGGGTGGGGTTTCAACAATGAAAACTTCTACTATTTCCAGTTACCTATTGTTCACGTCTTGGTCTCGGGCCATATTATGGTCGCCATATTCTTCGTTATATCGGGCTACGTTCTTTCCTATAAGCCGCTAAAGTTGATCCGCAGCCGGTCTTGGGAAGAAACGTTTGTTACCATGACGTCCTCAACATTTCGACGAGGTCTTCGCCTTTATATCCCATCCATCGTCGGCATCTTGCTGGTCCTGATTGCCGTACGCTTGGGTGCATACAACTACTCCCAAAAAGTTCTTTTTGAGGGTCATACCATCAGGGGCACCAACGAGCAGCATCCGCCAATCATGGTCAGGTCTCTTAGCAAGCAGCTGTGGGACTGGTATGCTACAATTGCACGCCTAATGGACCCATTCGATTGGGCCCTCTATTATAACAACTACAACCCCCACCTCTGGACAATTCCCGTCGAATTTCGCAGTTCTATCGTCCTCTTCCTCACTATCCTCGCCACATCGCGCGTCAAAGCGGCGGTGCGTATCTCCCTAGTAGGTACCTTGGTATGGTTTTGCATGCGCTATGGCCGGTGGGATATTGTACTTTTCCTGTGTGGCATGCTCATGGCCGAAGCGGACCTAATTCAAGGTCTTTGGGAAACTTCCCCAGCCTCTTCCTCCGAGGGTGACAAAGAGAAACGGACATGGAACTCTCTCGCTAACGGCTCATTATCACGCTCTAAAAGCCGACTTGGCCTGTTAAGCTCTAAACGCTGGATAGCTCTCTTCATCCTAGGATTATATCTAGGATCTACGCCAAACACCGGCTACAAGTTCACTCCTTTCTTCATGTGGACGTGGCACATTACTCCAAAAACATACCCAGAGCCGCACCGCTTTCCGCAAACAATAGGTGCGCTCATGATCGTCTACAGTATCAACCACTCAAAGGACATCCAAAAGCTTTTTACGAACCGTTTATCCCAGTATCTTGGCAAGATATCCTTCGCTTTTTATATCGTCCACGGGCCCATACTCCACTCGTTGGGATATTCACTCATGCCTAGCATCTGGCGTACCACAGGCAAGGAAACCGACTTTCAGTATTGCCTCGGCTTCTTCATTGGCTGGCTTATTTGCCTTCCCATCTCGCTTTGGGCAGGTGACCTTTTCTGGCGGATGGTTGACGTTCCAAGTGTACACCTGTCGCGGTGGATCGAGAGTAAGGTACTTGCTCAGACGACCGGACGAGAAAAGCAGCAAAGATCCGCTTAGCATGCTCATTCGAGACGAGTACTTTGTCCTCTCGTTTCACTTATGCGTGTCCCTAGTTTCTTGCGTATGTGTATGTTTGATATATCTTGCATTAGCGGGCGTATTGAATATTTTATGTTCTTGTTAACCATGCTCACCCGTGGTCGCTCTGTAGAGTTCAGCTCATCGTTTCCTTGTCCTGCATCACGCAGCATTTGTAAACCCGAAGGAAATTGGTAGCTGTTAGTTGAACGTATATTTATGCACCTTCGAATAGAGCAAGTGTCTTTAATGGTAGGCAATGTGCAATGATTCAATCATTCATTCGTATACTCATACCAGACCGTACCTATGCCAGGCAACAACCTAACACGCTCTAAGGACATATATGATTCAAGCATGGTAAGACCAGATCTTTCTGCGTCACCTCGTAAAGAGCCAATAACAGACAGGAAGAGAAAGAAAAAACGGAAGCGAAATAGCAAAAACGCAAATCGGATGAGTGAAATGCAAGACACTTGAGACAATATCAAGAAGAAAAGAGAGAAAGTTAAAAAGTGAAGGATATGGCGTCTAATGGATATCAATAACTTTTTCTTTTCCTTTTTGACTTTCTTGTTTCATAGCGAAACTCCCCAAACCCCTCGTCCTCCACAAACGCCTAACCAGTCACGAGGGTGACCGGAGTTCGTGGTTCCAGCTTGCGGTGACCAGCTAATATTAGAAATCTCGTAGTCGCATTGCCATGCAGCCGCGGGACTGCGTTCGGTGGTTGTAGAGGGTGCACCGGGGTGTTGTACCCCTGGTGGGACAGGGGTGGAGTTGTTCTGGTTCATAAGGTCCCAGAGAAGGACAAGACAATCGTCCGCACCAGATGCGAGAACTCCACGCCGATTGGGGGACCACTCGACCGAATTGAGAGGAGCAGAGTGACCCTTTAGTTCGAGGAGTGCTTGGCCAGGTTGGCGAACATCCAATACCCGGACTATGCTAGAATCTTGGGAGAACGTTGCAAGAAGATGGGCATCATGTGGCGATGCTACATTTGTTAGTACGATATCTAGAGTGCGTAACCGGTAGCGGCTTACCCGAGATGCGCAACAAGGGCGGGGGCCAAGTACTGGCCGGTGCGGAGGGGCTTCCATTGCCAGGGCTCATCACCACTAAACAACATATTGTCAGTTCTGAACTACCCACAAGACTCTAAGGAAACTCACTTTTCTCATTCTTATCCGTCGGTTCGTATATAATCGTGCTGTGTTCCAAGCTCCTAAGATCAAACATGCGCACACTTCCATCAGCGCCACAGCTGACAAAAACATCCACACTATTGGCACAAAAGCGCACGTCATACACTTCCTTGTCGTGCGCAATAAGCTGTGTCTTTGCTGTCAAAGTCGGGATATCCCAAATTGTGCATGTTGTATCAATGCTAGAGGTGATAATCAAACTAGGAGATATCGTATTCCAGTCTAGAGACGTAATAGGAGCTGTATGCTCGGGAGACTTCGAGTTCGAAAGCAAAGCCAGCGGCGAAAGTTTAGCTGTAGGCGCATCTCTTTGACCTGGCTGACGGGTTATGGAGTTGGAGCTGTGTTGGGGCTGCGAGTTCGGCAGGGACCATAGCCGGAGATGATCCCCAGAGGTGGCCAAAAGGTCAGTAGACTGCTTTTGGGATGATGGCGGTTCCCAAAGAATGCGAGTGACAGGGTATGAATGGGTAGCTTCAGCAGTTTTCACGTATTCCAGCTTGAAATCACCGGGAGCTGCATCAGGGGTATCAGGGTCAGGATATGCCAAGTGGGCGTCAAGGATTTGTATCTAATGCCACTAGGTTAGACTTAGGGTCCTATTTTTCGCCCACGTGCAATTAACTTACATAGTTATGATGGTCTTCCAGATAGCTTCCTAGAGCGATTTTTCCGCCGAAGGAGCCAGCATTCCCCGACACCGGCCACTTACACCAGTCAACGGCATAGATCGGCCATGGGGTAATGTAGTTGCTGTTCGTAGGCACTTGATTTTCAGCGCTATTGAGAGGTGCTGCACCTGTATTCGTGATATGGTCGCTGAGAAGGTCTCCCGGGGATCGAATATCAGCCAAACCCAGAGGAGAGTATTTAGCACCCTGAGGGGTTGGCGGTTGAAACCCAGCATTCGGAGAGGATCCAGGAGGCCTGTATCCTGCTGGACTTGACCTGGAATGTCCATGAGAATTGGCGGCATTAGAGCGCGGAGTAGATGATTGAGGGTGTGGCTGGGATTGCTGCTGTTGCACCTGGGTAGATAACTGGGGTAACGTAGGAAGTACGGACGGAGCTGTATTTATGGACACCGCTGGGGGTCGATTGGAAGGATTGCCCGGTTGGAGGGCACCAGGGAGAGCTCCCCCGGATCCACCGCTATTGCCGCTTCCATACTGGTTAGACTGGGAGCCCGAGGGATGGATACTGATAGACGGGAGGTTCGTGTCGGGGCTCGATGGGTATTCATGAGGCATTGATTGTCGCGGAATTGCGCCAGATGACGAGTTTCCCGATGGAATGTGAAGCTCTTCGGGTTGACGGCTATAAATAGTCGACCGTCTGGAGTCGAAGGGCTGCGCGGGGTTTGACATATCGACGGCGGTGGTGGAAGGGAGGATACTGTGGGAAGGTGGACGCAGAACCACTGCAGAGCAGCGGACACTCTACAGCGCAACCCTGTTTGTGTTTTTTATCGGTCCCAACGGTAACTCTGATGAGAGTCGTGCGGATTGGAAGGTAGTCTTTTCCCTAGTATGGGCAACAAGCGGCAAGGTCGTAAAGAGCCCCGACGACACTAAGAGGGTGTGGAGTCTGGGTCATGCCAAAACGAAGGGCTGAGTGGGATCAATGAAGCACGCCCCAACCGGACGAGATGCGACAGGGCTGAAATGGCAACGAACGGCGCAGGGAAGGAGGGGAGGGAGGAAGAAGGTAAAGCTCGAGGTCATCTTGGGCCGTTCAGTTGATCTCCGCCAACCAAAGCTGGAGTCGAGTCGCTCCCCCGTGATGCTGACTCATCCAGATATCACGAAACGGTAACTTTGGTATTTTACAGCAGCCGCGGTCGTTCCTCGGCTTCTTGATGCGCCCTCGTTGCTTGATTTTATTCTAATTTCCCGGCCATTTCTGTTCTTTGCGTCTTCATTATTCCGTCTGGAATCTACTCGTTTGATATTTCGAGAATTACGTGTTTGCTGCTTCCCCGCCTATGCGCGATATCCTCTGAAATTCCCGTATCGTTTGTCTCTGTGGTGAGCTTTCATCCTTATCTACAACTTCCCCGCGATGGCTTCAGATCCCATCTCCCCACCATCGCCATCGGCCTTGCTTCTACTACCACCTCCCCCGTCCATCTCTTTCGATCAATTCACAGCCATCTATGAGCCCATATTGTCTAAAGTATTTTCCGATCTCCTCAAGGCACTCAATGGTTCAAATCGCACCGCTTCTCTGGAAATAGCCCTTTCATTACCTGGCCTCCAATCACCATCATGCCAACCACCAACGAGAGCGTTTTCAAGCCTTCAGCGCATAGTGGAGCATGTCTACAGGCTTATTGGGATGGTCTGCATAGCACGCAATATTGAAATGGAGGCTCCTGGTGGCATCGACTCGCGCGTGATCTTGCTTGATTTCGACTCCGTTCGAAACGCATCGACTCTATCCACAAACCTGCAATGCAACGGTCCTATAGTCGACGTGAAAACATTGGCCACATCGGGGCGCCTATGGGAAGATATCTTCTATCCCAATACCCCAGCAGGTCAAGATCTGGCAACCGCATTCAGTAGCTTCTACACTTCAGCCAAGACTCCTAATGGTGGAACACTACAATTGATCGCAGGAACGCCTCAATGGATGCCCGGTGAATCATTGATAGTTCCCGAAGAGATAATCGAGGGCGCATTGCACCACTCAGTCATACTGGGAGGCACCTTTGATCACTTCCATATCGGACACAAACTCCTCCTCACGGCAACTGCGCTGGTCTTACAACCTGCAGGTACCGAACGCCCCGGGCAAGAAAGGATCATAACAGTCGGGGTGACTGGGGATGAGATGCTGAAGAACAAAAAGTATGCCCAATTCCTGGAGAGTTGGGATGAGCGGTGTCGAAGTACAGGGGCTTTCTTGACCTCGATCATGGACTTTGGTCCTCCCGAAACGAACCTACCACGCATCGAACAAATTTATAAACCGGTTCCGAATGGGAGAGCCATGATAATGAAGATCCGGCCCGGGATAACTTTGAAGATGGCGCAAATACTGGACCCCTATGGACCAACAATTACAGAAGAGGATCTAACTGCCTTAGTTGTCTCCAAAGAGACACGCTCAGGCGGCGCGGCCGTCAACGAGGAGCGAGCCAAACGCGGGTGGAAGCAGCTAGAGGTGTTCGAGGTTGATGTGATTCATTCCGGGGAAGTTCCGGCAGAAGGCGTTGAGGATTTTGCATCCAAGATAAGCAGCACAGACATCAGACGAAGGCGAATGGAGCTAGCGATGATATAATATGAGCCAACAGTATACGAGTGATAGTGTATGTATATAGGAGTCTCGGTCCCTGCTGGGTGTGATAGCCGTTCTGAAACATCAACATCGACGGCGAGGGGAATAATCCATATGGTAGATATCTGGATAGAGTGTGCATACGTATGCCTCGTTTTAATTTCTAGGGATCATTCTTCTTGGAAGCACCATTCACGGCCTCGGAGGCCGCATAAAGTGGGATGCAGAGAGTGAGTTGTTCGGGATCGTTGGGGGAGACTGGATAAACGAGCACTTTGACCTTCTGATCCTAATTTAAAGAAGACTGACGATCTCATCGAGGTGTCGGCGGGCGAGAACCATTGGAAGGGGGGCCCTTAGGGTAGTATCTCAGCCGGTGTTTGGGAAAGCGCCTGCTGGGTGGTGGTCAGTGGTCAGTGGCCAGTGGTGAGACTTTGCTTTCACACTCACGCATTCCCTGTCCACTCCATCTCTCCATCTCGAGACCACCCTCCCAACCCCCAACCCTGATTGGAACTGTCATGGAGAATTTTCGATCCGATTCTGCACGAGCTGGCTGTCGTCATTTCCGTGTCTGTTCCACAGCAGACCCCTAGATGCCAGGGGTTGGCGATGGAGTGCCCGTCAAGGCCCGTTCAGTGCCAGGACTCACCAAGGACTGGGAGCTCCAAGACGAATTGATTCGCTTCCCGCGGCGGGGTTTCATGCAGTCGTCGAGCTCGCTGCTGCAGGCATTCCACAGTCATGTCGCATTGTCTCGCATCGTCTCTTCGAATCCTTCCTTGCCAACCACTGGTCCCAAGCGCTGGCTGACGCTCGTCCTTTCCCCGCCCGTCGCTCCCCCGTCAACCATCAACACCTCCACCACACTCCACCACCACCCAGCGCAAGTTAGCTCTCGCCCTCTCTGCCAATCCTTCTGCTTCTCTTCGACCCTGTCCTGCAGGTTCGCGCTGGGTATCCGCATGCTGTTTCAATCATGTGACTTAGGTGTGCCAGCGTTCGTCCAATGTTCGTCCTTCGGTTGGCCCAGACGAGTCGCCCTGGGCGTGACTAGATTTTAGATAATGCCGATGACCCTCGTCAACCTAGTCGGCGGGACTGGCGATGTGGGACTTTGGGCATTTCGTCAGACATTTCGATGTGCTGCAAGCGCTGTGTCTGTGGCCCGCCACCTATTATTTGGTTCTGCTGCAGTTTATACCAACTAGAAGCTCTGTGGTCGTCGAGACCACAATAAAGGAGAGGCAGGCAGCCACGCAGGAAGTAAGAGAGCGACAGACAAGATGCATCGTCTCTTGAATATATAATTTAAAAGACGCGACCTTTTTTTTTTTTTTTTTTTTGCCCCTTTCCCTGATTTCTTGCTTTGTCGCCTGCTCTATCTTGTTTGCTTTTTGTCTTCTACTTGTTCTCGGGACTTTGCTGTTTTCCCCTGCGACTAATGCTCTGCAGTCTTCCGTCGCCGCACCTCTTTGCTTATTCCTTCTTCAGATCACTTCTATTTCTACCCCAGCCTGCCCTCTTGGTTTTTCCTCCAACATTGTGAAACTTGAGAGCCGGCCGGACTCTTCCCCTTCAACTCCCTATCTAGTCGCCTTGGTTTCCATGCGATTTCCAGGAGCACGAGTGGCCGGACACGCGGCTGCCACGCTGTGCGAAAACCATGACGGAGAATCCACGACGCATCGAGGACTTAGCAGACGAGCTGATCAGTGATATCCTCTCCTTTCTTCCTGGTGCAGAAGATCTATCCAGCACGTCTTCGCTTGTCAATTTACACGACATTCCACCAGCACTTAATGGGCGAGGTGCTCACGTTTACGGCGAGGGATCTGAGCTGGGTCGATTTCGACTGGTCTGCAAACGCTTTCTTCGCATAAGTACCCCGAGAAAGTTTGACCGCTTCAATCTTCGATTCTCGCGGGGGGGGTTCCGGAGATTGGAAGAGCTCCTAGACATGCAGCTGGCCTGTCATGTTCGGTCTTTTACGTACATGGTGCGACCTTTCTACCAAGGAAGCGGTAACCGTCTCTTGAATATACAGCCCTCGCTATTACTGGGCTCAGAGGCCTGAAGAATTCTAACACCATAATCTAGGATGGACACAATTCCTTGCCGAAATTGATCCAAACGAGCTCCCGTCCGTCGACGCCCATAGAGCACGTCTGCAAGAGCAAATAAGTATCATTCGTGGTAACCTCGACCGTGAGCTACTACAAAGAGCGATGGTTGCGTTCTCGTCCCTTCAGAAGGTTAAGCTTCTTCGACTGCAGGACGAAGCAGACGAACGTTTACTGGACCATATGCATGAGCATGAACGCCGGGTGGACGAAACTCTAGCTCTGGACTGGGAACCAGCTTGTACCAGAGCTGTCACAAACCTAGGTCTGTCCTTACTCGCGTCTAGTTGTACGTCTGTTCGTTTTGTTGGGCCTCAAATCGACCCCAATGCGACGGTCAAACTTCTGCAGACTCCATCCGCCACGCTCTCCAATATTGGGGCGCGATTGACCTGTCTAGACGTCACATTCCATGCCAAGACAGACATAACAAGCCACATGGACGTCTTATCTCAGGCCTTCCACGACCTCTTCAACGTTGCAAAGAACCTGGAGACCATACATTTTGGCTTCGCAATCGCCGTTCCTTTGGATTTATCCCTAGACCGGGTCTTTCACAATATCCAGTGGAAAAGACTACGCACCCTTAGTATCCAGGGATGGCGGCTAACCTCCCACGAAATTATCACGCTCTTTCGCCGTCACCGCCGGCAACTCCGCGATATTCGCCTTGTCGGCGTCTTCCTCCGTGGTGGGGGCCGCTGGCTTGATGTTCTCTCCGTGCTGCACGATGAAATGGATGAGATAGAGCGCATCAATTTGCGTGAAATAAATTACGCCAGTCATTCTGATGGCACCTACGGCCCTAACGGCAGCAACGGCCATAGTAACGGCAACGGCAATGGATCAGCTGGGAATCAGAACTGGCTTTCCATCCTTGTTAACCATAATATCATGGCACATGCACCCTCGGGCTCTTCTCCGTCGTTCTACCACCAACCGGTTCTTAACACCGACCACCTGACTTCAGCCTCCTCAGGCCATACACGCCACTCGTTCCACGCCTCAACCCTAGAAGGGCTAAGAGATCGGTCTGTAGACGAACTTGGTGATAATGGGGTATACGTAACACATGAACAGAGTCAACTCTGGGAGGCCTGGGTTTTGTCTAGCACACGCAAGGTTTTTCGGAGGAAGAGCTAATTCAAATATCGGGAGGTCTCATTGATGGTGTGGAATGTTTAGCGTGCTGTTCTCTCCTATCTCGTTTTGCATCTTGATAAATACCGACTGGTGGCCCTATGATACGCTAAGCAGAGGAGGGTTCGTCAGATGAATGAATGCATCCTATGGTTATTATGTGAGTTTATGATATTATAGTATGTGATGGATGCATATAACGCGGCCGCTTTATTCTGGGCCGGACCTATACAAGATAGAATCCACCGATATACAACTACGTGAATACCAGAGAAGCAAAGAAAGAAGAAAAACGATGGAGAATATGTCAATAGGAAATAAGTAGGTTTTTTTTCTAAGAAAACGTGTCTGCTGCGAGAGTTCAATGCAAGTGAAGCATAAGTCTTTTCCATATCCGGGTTCCAACGAAGTACTAGCCAGCCAGTAACTAATAGGTATCAGGCAACTATAGCTGAAAGGCAGGAAATCACAAAGGGGAATAGAAGGGGACAGATGTTGATCTACTCAAGTATAACGGCAGAAAATCGAAATGGATATATAGCAAGGGGATAATCCCACTAATATGGGCTAAATTGCGCATGGTCATATACCACCAACAAGGGGACCCTGATCTAAAGGAATCGCAGCAGCAGAAGCCTGGCCGGAGCTCGGTGGTTTCGTACTCCGTTCCCTCATCCGGCGACCTTCCATGAGTCCGCGTAGACCACGCTTTTGGAGCCCAATCACGCTACTGAGATCTCCGGTCCAGACCTCGATGTCGGCGTGTGTACCGCGACGGCGACGGGGGGCGCGGGATGGGTCGCCCGATAGGCCCTCGGAGTCAGAGTGATCGTAACTAGTGGCGGAGGCGGAGGATGTGCTTGCGTTACTAATGGAGTCGTCACGATCACGCCTCTGGCGACGGTTGAAGACGTTGGTGTTGATGCGAAGAGGGACACCGCGGGAGCCCCCAGCACTGCTGCTCGCGACAGATTGACCGGAAGTGCCGTGCTCGGTATCGGAGGAGTCTGAATTCAAGCGACTGTCATTAAGTGTCATGGAAGCAGCCGCATTGGCGAGTTCGCTAGCGGCGTGAGCGCCGTTGAGGGCCTCCAGAGTGCCACCGGGTCCGCTGATGAATCCGGTGCCCCTACCACCTCCAGCAGCCATGGCTGCCGCGTTGAAAACAGCAGCAGCATTTCGGCCATCTAGGACCTGGTGTAATCGCTCCACTGTGGCTTCGAGAAGGCCATCTACCTGGTATGGTCGGGCGATTTGAAGCAAAGAGCATAGGATTTGAGGAGTGCAAAGTGGAGATCCGGCCGGCGGGAGGGACGAGGTATAAAGGTAGAAAACAAGAACTTGTATAGTAAGGACGGTATGTGGTAGGTATAATACGCGAGGTCGGGAGGTGGGAGGTAAAGTGTGCGCAGAGGGTAATTCGAGGTTGGCTAAAAGGGACTTTGAAGGGTTGTTGCCGTTGCTGGCGAGAGTTGTGGCGTTGGAGTAAGTGCTACCATGATCTAGTGATGGTGTAATTGTGATACTCGAGTTGCGACTGGGGTACGGCTGCAAAGAAGGCCGCAGAGTCGCTGAATCTGATGTTGAAGTATCAGACGACTCGCGGAGAAGTTGGATGAAATACGGGCCCCATCTTCGACTAAGGATCCGTGAATTCACGGAAATCCGCTCTCCCCCTACCGCTTGCAACTCCATATCGGCCATTTCGAAAACTGTCTGTGCAAGACGCCCTAGCTCAGATGATGCGGCGGAGAAAGGTCGACCGCCGGATGTGAGTTGGGACAACTTGTGATGGAAAGAGGCAGGGACAGCAGGTGCACTGTGGGAGCTGTATGCAGACGTCGGGGAGGTTTTACAAGGGTTGTTGTAGAGTCCGAAAGCCTCGAGCTCAACCATACATAGATGAGTAAAGTTTAGACGACGGTGATTGTAGTCCTCGACAAGGTTACGCTTGCGATTCCCAAGAATCACAAATGTATTCCGCCTCGCCCACAGGACACCACGGTTCCAGCTGCCATGCCCAAACACTGATCCACCAGCATCAATACGGCCCCAGGTGAGACTCTTCAAATCCAACGCCCAGAGCGCGTATTCTTGCTTCGAAGAGGTAAGGTAGGTACCGCTCACCACAAAGTGCCCATTAATTACTGCCCCATTCGGGAACCGCAGACCAGGGGGGGATGCCTGGCTCGGCATAGGTTTCTCAACAAGACGACCATCCGGAAGACGTATTTGAAGCTCGAGCTTGACGTCCAGGAAGTTGTAGTTGGAGTAAATCAACATTGGGCATCCTGTAGCACTCGAATCTTCTGTAGTTTCGAGTGTATCACTCTCAGGAGAAGTGCTCCCAATGTCAGACAGTTTTATACCAGTCAATGGGGCAGCTACACTTCTATAGGCGCCACAGCTTCTTCCCAAAGGGCTTGTGTTTGTCCACTTCAAACTCCGGAGATTGAATACGCTGATCTGCTCAATATAGTGGTTGGTGCTATCCTGACCACCTACTACCACCATTTCGGCTCCACCAAAGCCATCAATATCCACACCGATCGAGCCCTGGTGAGGGTTAGAAGAGGCGGGGTTGTGGTGAATTGCCGAGAGTGGAGCACTCGCAGAGGTAAAATAAGCGCTAGAAGGGATAATAGTTGCGCAGTGCGCATATCGCCCTTGAGGAGAGTCATGGGTATTCACGCGGGTCCACGACCGAGTTGGGACATCAAAGATGTGGATATCAGACATCACGACTACCTCCGGTTGAGAGTCATGTCCACCGTTGTTCGCCGAGTCTGGAATAGGCGACATTCCGCCATAGCACACTAGCTTATTGTCACCGAGAGCGCAAACGCTGTGAAAATATCGGGGTCGGGGAATATCGCCAGAAGCTTCGATTCTCGACCAGTGACGCCGGATCAAGTCCAGCTCATATATATCCGACGTCAGATGTGGGCGAGATTTCGATAGGATGCGGCCACCGAAGATATAGATCTTGTCGCCCAGGACGGTTGTAGTTGCTCCAACAAGAGGAGGGGGTTCGCGGCCGGAGGTACGGCGGACGTTGCACACGAGACCTGATAGATTGACAGGGTTGGAAGAAGAATTTGGAGCCGGAGTGCCTGGAGACACTCCAGAGTGAGGGTTCTCATCTCTGAAGGAATCCAAATGGCCGAGGCTCGACTGGCTTCTCGACATCATCTTGAAAGCGGACGACCCTCCAAACCGCAGCCGATCTAACGCAGGTCCCTCTTCCTAATGTTTATATATTATTCAGGCCACGCGAAAATTCCGTAGAACAGATTGTTTCGTGGTAATTTTTGTTTGTTTTTTGGCGAGCGAAGGTATGTGTCGGTTTCCAAGGTAGGATAGAATTCTTCCAAGCGATCGTCTTCCCCGGGCTGACGTTCAACAGCTTATCTCCGTGCGCGGCGCTAGAAAAATCTCGAAGCGACAGGGTAGCATGAGCGTCGTAAGCAGGGACGAACAAGGCTACAACAACCGAAGGGATTTAGGGAATCCAAGAAATCACGCGATATATCACACAAGCCGGTCCCGGTATTTGGTGTTTAAAATATCGCAGGCGGTTTAACCAGGTCAGGGGCGGACGGGAGGACGAGAGAGCAATCGGTGCACTCTTGGAGGCTTCCCCGCCACTACCAATCCAGGCGCTTTGTTTCCGAGAAACGCAGACGGAGGGATGGTAAGCGGCTAGTTCAATTCGAAGAATTTATTCGGGAGGACTCGTAAATTCGGTTTTCGCTTCTGTCTCGAAATCGGTGAGTGCCTGGCCGCCGCAAGGGGAATGAGTTGGTGTGCTCCAACCACCTGTCGGGGGGTTTAACGGATCAGCACAAGGAACCACGGCGATAGGGGTAAAACGGTGGGAGCGCTGGGCCGTACCAAATCCACGAGGACGGAGCCGTACTCGTACTGGAAGAGCGGTGCGGAGTCTTGTTCAAGGCGGTGTCTGACTCTCCCGCAAGAGTTGAGCAGCGAACTGTTGTTTGCTCCAAGGCCGTTGTGGAGAAGAAACCGTTGGACCGTACAGACGGTCGCCTCGCAATGTTGACGCCAAATCTACGCTGACAGCTGAGGCTGAAAACACCAGCACGAAAAGGAATTGGAATTGTCGACTGGCCAGAAATCAACATAAACCACGGAGAAACTTCTGTACACTTATGCTTATTTTTTTCGGAAGAATATACGCAAATCCCTCAGCAAGAGGACCTGCCAGGCACCGCGAACCCAGGTAAGCAGCCCTGAGGAAAGCGCTATAAACGACGATAATAGGGCCATTATTGTGGAATTTCAAAGCGGGGTATTACACTCGAGCAATCAGATAACAGTCTCAGCGCGCATTCTCTGACGGCTGGGGCAGGTTGCATTTCTAGCAATGCAGTTTTGACGCCCGATCTCATGCAAGGTGACGAGTTCGCCTCCCTGTTCGCTCCGGACCCCAGCTGCCTTCAGGCTGCTACCGAGGGACGTCACAATTTTTACTCCGTATTATCATGGATACGGTGGTATTGTCATGGCCTCTCACGCTACGGTCTGGGCTTTCGGCTTGCATTTGTAGGCTATGTCCCGGCTTGTATGGGCTTCCTCGGGCTAATCAAGTCCCACGAGTTGGTACGACTGTAATGTATTTGAATCATTGTATCATAAGGTATCAAAATAAACAAAATCCACTCATAAGATTTTATTCTCTTTTGCTGCTCCCAGAAAGTTCATCCCGTAACCGTCCGAGTCACAGTATACCAACTACCTGTAGCTGAAATTTGACAGTCTCAGGTAGCTCGCATGGCATCGTTTGTCCCAATTTACTCCTTCTTGACGTTGGTGAAGCGCAGGTAACTACAAAAAAAAATTAGCAATTGTCCGAAGTAACTCCACGTAATATAACTCTCGGTGGGACTTACGGCTTGACAACGCGGACATCACCGAACTTCTTCTGAGCATCTTCGGTGGAAACAGGAGGAGGAACGACAACGTCGTCACCGGGGAGCCAGTTGATAGGTGTGGTAACACCGTGCTTTTCAGTGGTCTGGAGAGCATCAACGACACGGAGCACCTCAGCGGTGTTGCGGCCAGTGGAAGCGGGGTAAGTCATGATAAGACGGATCTTCTTGCTGGGGTCGATAATGAAAACGGAACGGATGGTAAGAGCCATGCCTATGAAACATATATTAGAAATTGGTCAAGTTAACACGCTCCTGGCGTTCACATACCCTTGGCATCGACATTGGTGGTGTCCTGGTAGTCAACCATGTCGAACTGGTGGGCAATCTTGCGCTCGGGGTCGGAGATGATGGGGAAGGTCAGCTTAGAGCCGGTGACCTCATCGATGTCCTTGATCCAGGCCTTGTGGGATTCGGTGCCGTTGGCGCTCTGCAAGGAGTTAGTAAATTCTAAGAATACTATTACAACAGCGGTGTCTACTCACAAGCCCGATCAGCTTAACACCACGAGCAGTGAACTCAGGCTCAAGCTTGGCGAAAGCACCGAGCTCAGTGGTGCAAATGGGGGTGAAGTCATCCTACAATAAAGCCAATATGTTAGCACATGTCACTTTCTAGGTCTTCCGTACCATATCGGCTGCCAATTCGGGGGCCGAGGGCTACTCACGGGATGAGAGAAGAGGATAGCCCAGCTGTTGCCAATGTAGTCGTGGAACTTGATAGGGCCGTTAGAGGTGTCGGTCTCGAAGTTGGGGGCAACAGAGCCGAGACGGAGGCTAGAAATAAATCATAGGTCAATTCAGGGGCCTCGAAAGGTACACGTAGAAGGACTTACGGAGCAGCGCGTTCTTCAGCCATTGTAATGATATAGTCTGGAACTGGTATAGATGCGAGGAGTGCGGATACAAAGGGAGACAATTTTTGAAGCGGGATTGAAGCAAAACTTGGGAGAAAGGGGGTAAAAGAGAAAGCTTCCCATAAATAAGAGGACCCCGAGATGCTTCAATGCCCCTCGATGCGGTTACCCCTCCATCCTCTCCCCTCGATCACGCAATTTATCCACCGCCTTCCTGATAAGTATATATCGTGGCATCCCGATGGATGGTGCCCCCCACTTGGAGCTCGAAGAACGGTTCGCGGGTTGAAACTAGGGGCAACATGCACCCGTTGACGCCAAAGTTCGAGACTCCCTTTCATTAACTATTGGATCGTTCTTCCTTAGTCACGAGGTTGTTGGCTTTTCGGGTGAACACTTCCCAACCCCTCTATACACATAATACGATGTCAACCTTTGGGCTCGTTGTTTGTCTAACTTTGTTCCATTTCATTCGACTCTTCTCAAAGCTGCATCTGTCGGCCGATTCCATTCGGCAAATGCAGTGGACGGCAGCACCGCTCGGCCGACAGTTTGTACCTAGTGACCAATGGAGATCACTGCCGATGGCGCAATATGCTCACATCATCACTCGAATGAATTCTTGGTCAGCTCGAAGAGGGGTGAATGTGAACGAAGGCTGTCTTAGGCACTGGCCGAATTCCAAAAGTTGCCCAATTTGGGCCGAGTCCCAAGAGGGGGTCAAGTATGGAAACTGCAAGCTCAGGGCTTAATATTGGTTGCAGCGTTTAGTATCTCCAAAGCAATCCTTGCCTCGTCTCTGGGCAAGTATATCTAATCTTGGTGCATGATTTCCTGGGAGTAAATGAGCATAACTCCAGCCAATGCCTTCTTTGTTGACCTACACTGGCAAACTTGCTTTGTGCTCGAATCTTAGGACCGAAGAATACCAATACCCACGGCACTATTGTCAATAGAACGCCCTGGTTAATGTTAGCAACCCGAGCGCTAATCTTGGGAAACCCTTCTTACAATCCCTCCTAAAAGGCTACAGGCAGCGGGGTACCCAAGATTGGTAAACATAGCATCCGTCACCAGTGGAAACACGCCTCCAAGGACGTTGCGGCCTGAGAGTTATCAGCGTTGTTCGTTGAAGCCTGGTTGATCCCTTATCCCCAGAATGGGGGCAGATAAACGCACAAAAAGACTGGGCGGCAATCGCAGAGCTAGCGTATCGATGGTATGTATCGGCAAGGTAATTGAAAGTGGCCAAGTATATAGATAGAATCCCAATTGTTGAGCAACCGATGGCGATAGTTGGAATAATCCAAGGAATCGATGAATACGACGTCCAACCAAACCAGAATAACCCAACCGGCATCAATATTGACTCGACGCACGCGAAGTATAACCGCCCTTCTGGTGTGTTTGACATTTTGCCAATTCGAGTGGCAACCTTTTCTTGGTTTACACTCACCACTGTGGCAATAATCGAAGCAACAGAGACCGCTATCGACACTGTCAGCGAAAACGAACGGTTTTAAAACTCTTTTTATGGAATATCGAACCCGAGAAAACCGCCCCATTTTGTTCAATAGTAAATTGATGATTGGTCGAAAAGACAAGAGGCACAGCACTAAATTTCAGATACAAAATTGCCCAACTAAAGGCAACCCAAAGGGAAAAGAAGAAGACCACTGGCTCGGTGAAAAGAAGATCTTCCAGCCAGGTTGTTCATATCAGCTGGGGCTTATTCAGGTCGTTGCATAGGGCTAGGTACTGAGCGGGTACTCACGAAACGGCCGGTAACATGAGATAGATATCATTTTAAGCAAAGTCTCGCGCTCTTCGTCACTTTTGACCTTCCATCTAATTCGCTGGACTTGTTGCTTCTCCGGAAACTCATTCGAGTTAAGCACCACACCGTAGTAGCCAGCTTTTTCGAGCGCCTCGTAGTACTTATTCAAAGTCTTCGCCTTTCGACTCAAAAGTACACTTCCACGAGTTTCTTTCAGGAAGAAAAACAGTATGAGTAGAAACACCGCAGCAGCAATTGCCTGGGAGTAGTAGATCCATCGCCAGGATGCTCGTTGTTGAATAAAGCCGGAGATGAGTGGACCTAAGCCTGTGCCGAAGAGGACAGCACCGGCAAAGTATGACATGGGAGTATTGCGATCCCCAGCATGGTAAATGTCACTGATGACTCCACCAACCATAGTCGAGAAGGTGGCTGCAATGGTAAAACAAGTCAATAACGTCTCCATATGCACATAGAAGGTATAGTACATACATCCTCCAATTCCGAGAAAGAATCTTGCAACAAGCAGCCCGGCAAACGAATTTGTCGCGCCGCAGCCAATAAGGCAGACTATGTCTTGTTAGTATCACCCATTTATCGCCATTATGCTCAGTGGCAGTCGCAGCTCACCAGTAAATACAACACCACTGGTCACAAATATTGGTCTTCTGCCATTGATCTCCGAAAAGGGTGCCAAGACCATAGGCGCGATACCAAACCCCAGACAGAACAAAGTGATCCCCAGATTGTAGACAACTCTACTCACGTTCCACTTTTCGGTAAGCTCATCCGCTGGAGGAGTATATTCGCCTGCCGCATATGCTGACATTGCAGTCACACCGCATGATATCATAGTAATTACAAACTTGCGCGGCTCAGACCAGAGAAATGGCGATGCATATTGGGAGAGATCTGGGCATGGTGGTGGATCTGCCCGGCCGTGCTGCGGGGAAGAAAGACCCACAGGCTGCGGCAGGATGGTATCGAAGGTGAGATATAAGTGCTCGACCGGAGTTTGCGAGCTGTTGTTATTCTGCGGAAACTGGGCACTTGGATCACGGTTATTCATGGCCGCTGCCAAATCGTCCTCCTTGCGATGGTCGGAGTTCTGTCCGATTGCCGAGTGTAGTTGCCGAGGACCTTCCTGCTGGGAAACCATCACGGCGTATCACTGTGTCTTTCATCGAAGTACGTAGCAAAGGAAGAACAACGCCAGGAAATTAACAAATCTTATATCTCGGGGAGAAGGAGGAGAGACGGGATATTATTCAGCCCTTTTGCTTTCGTCGAGGATCATGCCTCAAAGAGTCAAAGTAACAGACTCGCGCATCCCCCGAACTTGGGCTTGACCATGTGGGGACGGGGTTTAGCGGAAATTCCGCAACTGAGCTTGAGAGAAGCCGATAGGGCGAGTGATTTCTCCATCGAAATCTTGATCCAGTCGAATATATTCGAGCCCCGAGTTGAATCAGAAAGGAGTCTTTGTAAATTGATGGAGGCCCGGGCAAAACGTCACCCAGCTTCGGACATGGTTATCTCCTCCCCGAAGCTTAAAGACTACTCAGATGCAAGGCATGGATAATAGTCTCTCTCTACGGAGTAGACATGATAGACTTTTCTCCCCCAACCCGCAGTGTGCACCAGAATGCCCTGCGAGTAGATTTGAGTTGTTGATTTGAAATAATAATGGAGCTATGATCATGATTCATGAATCATGAAGCAGGAATCCAGAGGCTGTCGGCGTCCTTGCTGTACTCACCTCACGTGACATGATCTGCTTGGGACCCACTGCAGCCGACTCGCGTTGGGGACGAGCTTCGTCTTATTGACGACTGCGATCCCAGATGACTCCGGTCCAATCTCATTGATTGCGGAATCGAAAATCACATGGTGGTATGTGCTCCTATCCTCAACTATCTTGTTATTATTGCGTTGTTTCCAATCGGGGACGAGCCAGCGAAGGCGACAGACATCGGATTCTAGGCTTCACGCGAGGACGGGAACGCCAGCGGAGACTAACGACTGTCATTTCTGTGCAGGCGCGTTCAGTCACTCGACCCTTTATTTCCCTCGAAACGCTTCATCCTTCCCTTTTGACTAGCTAACGTTTTCGACACTCATTTTCCTTGCATTGATATCCTTTCTCTCTCCTTTATTTTCACAATACCATTTGGGTTCGTACATTCAATTTCCCAGAGCCCATCACCATTTCGCTTCTTTCGTCAATCATGGCGCTCGGCAGAAAGCGCAAGTCCGAGAGCGTTTCAGTAGCTGACAAGGCAGCTACTCCCTCAAAGAAGGTGTGTTGTAATTCTAGTCCGTCAATTGAGCCCTGAACTACTCATTATCACTTCCTCGCATCCCTTTCCGAGCCAAGTATCACAGCCGCGCCGGTCAATTGGTTACCAAAGGCTTTACGAGTCCGCGGAGAGCTGACGGTATTTTCACCACCAGGTTGCCACCGACACTGCCACGACGCCTGAAACGCCCGCCACTGGAGAGAAAAGAGGTAGAGGTCGTCCCCGCAAATTCCCTGTGGGTTCGACTCCCGTTCGGCCAGAAGGGCCTAAGAGAGGCCGCGGGCGGCCTCGTAAAGATCCTTCAGGTACGATTTTCTTCGAACCCATCGTATTTCCGATGCCTAATTCCTTCGCAAACACCGATAATCGGACTACTTCCGTTCATTCCCTTGCGCTTCTCTAACATACACCAGCGGCCCCCAAGACGACTCCCAAATCAACTACGCCTGGCAAGGGCCGTGGAAGACCGAAGAAAATATCTGGCGCCAGCGACTCCACGCCCAAGTCGAAGCCTCCCACAACAGCAACAGATGATAACACGGATGATGAGAGTGCACGTTCTTACTGGTTGATGAAGGCAGAGCCCGAGTCTCGTATGGAGAAAGGGAAGGATGTTAAGTTCTCTATCGATGATTTGCGGGTTGCTAAAGAGCCTGAACCATGGGATGGTACGTACTATGTCTGCTCCAATCCTGATTTTCAGAGTATGGGCTAATTGGAATCTTCTAGGTGTACGCAACCCTGTCGGTAAGATCATCGATTACGCGGTCTATTCAAGAAACATTCTCACCAAATCACAGCTAAAAAACACATGCAAACCATGAGGAAAGGGGACCTTGCGTTTTTCTACCACTCCAACTGCAAGGTTCCAGGCATTGCGGGTGTCATGGAAATTGTTCAGGAGCATTCTCCAGACGGTAGGGTTTTTCTTTCAAGTTCGGGTTCCTAGGCGACTTGACTGACAATTTTCTTCATTGCAGAGAGTGCCTTCGATCCGTCACACCCATACTATGATGAGAAATCCAAGCGTGAGAACCCAAAGTGGGTTGTGGTTCACGTAGAGTTCCGCCGCAAGTTTGATCATTTGATAACGTTGCACGAACTCAAGTCCCACGCAACTGCCAAGTCGCCCCTCGAGAACCTCCAGATGCTTAATCAGACGCGACTAAGTGTCTCGTCTGTGTCTCCAAAGGAATGGGACTTCATCATGTCACTGGTGAAGGAGGGTGAGAAACCGGTGTCCGCAGATGACTCTTCCAAGGAAAATGTCGACACGGGGAAAAAGGAACCAGAGTCTAGTGAAGAGAAAATTGAATAGTAGCATCAGGCTATCCTTCCATCTCGGGAATCCCAGCCTGGTTAGTTTGAAGCCGGGCATGGCTAGCTTTCTTATGTATAATCAATAGCATTTTCTTTCCCTTTTCTTCCCCATTCCCACTTCTTCCTTGTAGTTCTTTTCTCCTTGGACATATATGGCTCCCTACCGCTTGCCATGTACAACTCATTCGAGAAAGGTGCAGTTAACGAGGGGTGGAAGCCGAGATCAAGCGGGTGGAGGCAGGGATGTGATACCCATTTGATACCGTGAGACGAGAGGCTTTAAACAGTGCTTGGTAATCAGCTGCCATCCCGCCATATCTAAGAGCTTCTAGTGCCCGAGAGGGAGGTTGTGTTTTCGACCCGAGTGGTAGGTCCATCCATGTCTCATAGAATGCCTCAGAAGAGTAAGTCTATGCGAAAGAGGGGCGTCGTCTATTGCCAAGCCCCGCAGCTTCCAGTGGTTATCTCTTATCGCCCTCCAGCTTCGAGCTCCTGCAGCTCGCTGGACTACATCCCTTGCCTCCCTCCCCCTCTCACACCCCACGTCCATTTCTCTTTATTTCCCCCGCGGGTTCCGATCCCTTTATGTCCTTTATTTCCACGTTCTCCCTTCGGTTCCGTCTCTGCGGGCTTCGCATCTCCAGCTTTTCATCTACTCTTCATCCTCGACGGCAGTTTCATTCGTCACGGCTCACAATGTCCAACTCCATTATCCAGCTAACGGCTCCGAATGGGCGCAAGTACGCTCAGCCTATTGGACTATTTATCAACAATGAGTTCGTTCCGTCTAAATCTGGCGAACAGTTTGCAACCATCAATCCTAGGTACCGTAGTAGCTAGCCCCCAGTCCTACTCAGCAGTAAACTGATATAACTCAGTGATGAGTCGGAGATTGCTTCGGTGTATGCAGCAGGTGAGGAAGATATCGATACCGCAGTCAAGGCAGCCCGGAAGGCCCTTAAGGATCCGTCATGGAAGCTACTGCCTGCTACGGATCGAGGCAACCTGATGCTCAAACTGGCGGATCTCATCGATCAACACAGGGAAACCCTGGCCACTATTGAAACGTGGGATAATGGTTCGTAAATCACATCATTCCCATCTAACTCAAACATCTGACTCCATCAGGCAAGCCGTATCAGGTTTCTTTGAACGACGACCTTGGAGAGGTCATTAACACCATTCGCTATTTTGCCGGTTGGGCCGATAAGATCCATGGCCAGACCATCGGTACCACTCCTGACAAATTTGCTTACACTCTCCGCCAGCCCATTGGTGTTGTGGGCCAAATTATCCCCTGGAACTTCCCGTTGGCCATGGCAGCTTGGAAGCTGGGCCCTGCATTGGCATGCGGGAATACCATTGTCTTAAAGCCTGCGGAACAGACTCCTCTCAGTATCTTGTATTTTGCCACTCTTGTCAAGGAAGCTGGCTTCCCAGCCGGTGTTATTAATATTGTGAACGGTATTGGAAGAGTAGCCGGAACTGCCTTGGTTACTCACCCCGATGTGGACAAGGTTGCTTTCACCGGCTCAACAGTTACTGGCAAAGAGATTATGAAGATGGCAGCCGGAACCATGAAGAATGTGACTCTGGAAACCGGCGGCAAGTCTCCTCTGGTTGTTTTTGGTGATGCAGATCTTGAGCAGGCTGCCAAGTGGGCTCATATCGGTATCATGTACAACCAAGGACAAGTCTGCACAGCTACTTCTCGCATCCTGGTCCACGAGTCGGTCTATGATGAATTCGTGAAGCTCTTCCGAGAGGCAGTGGCTAGCACCAGTAAGGTCGGCGACCCATTTGCCGACGACACGTTCCAAGGACCCCAGGTCACCAAGGCCCAATATGAGCGTGTCCTCTCATACATCGAGAGCGGAAAGCAGGAAGGTGCTACCCTAGTCGGTGGCGGTGTTCCGTACAAGAACGTTGGAGATGGCAAGGGTTTCTTCATTGAACCTACAATCTTCACAGATGTGAAGGACAACATGCGCATTTATCGCGAAGAAGTTTTCGGTCCATTCGTTGCAATCGCCAAATTTTCTACCGAGGAAGAGGCCGTGAGTCGCGCCAACGATACAACCTACGGATTGGGGGCCGCACTCTTTACCAAGGATATCGAGCGTGCCCACCGCGTGGCTTCTGATATTGAGGCAGGTATGGTCTGGGTTAACAGCAGCAATGACAGTGACTTCCGTGTGCCTTTCGGTGGTGTCAAGCAGAGTGGAATTGGCCGTGAACTCGGAGAGGCAGGATTAGAAGCATACTCGCAGGTTAAGGCTGTTCACGTCAACGTCGGGACCAAGCTCTAGTCTGTCCCTCGGTTTGGAATGTTTCGCACACTCATAATCTGTACATAATACGGCATCAACCCAACCGTATGTCGACCCAGGGAAGTAAGCATCGTATTGGAGTTCATCTCTATGACCACGTATACCGGTGACATTAGCCGATGGGTAATGATCTTATGCATATATATATTCACCAATACGGAATGATGAAACTAAGGTTTTTGGACGTGGAAACATGCATCTTCATAACAAATATATATATACCATGCAATCAGCAAACAAATAAGAGCTAGCAAACATTACGTTGAGCACTACCTCAATACCCGAATAATACCTATCTTGGAAATATACCGTCTGGTCTGGTGTCTTGCCATAGACCCAAGTTCTGAGAGTGGCTACAATCCCTGCAAAACGTTTGAGGTCGGGGTTAGGATAAGTTGATTGCTAGCTGCCGATACGCCTAAGGAACCTAGGTGTTTTCTTTATGTCTGCCTCATTCTAGGGGCTTTACACCCAGTGGCTTACAGCTGTAAGCAAGGTGATCGTTGCCTTTGTTGGTTCTGCTGACGACGCTGGATGGGAGTTACGGATCTTCTTTTCCTGGGTGAAATGAACTTTAACGGTTCAAGGTCTACAACTCTGTAGATACCCGTATATCATGCCTATATTCGAGTAATATTATTAACCCCCCGTTCTAGCTTAAAGCGGTGGAATGCTGGCTCCCTCACTGTCTCGTTGGCGTGCAGGGTGGAAGGTTGAATGTGAGACGGGGAAGAAGTGGTAAGAGGGCGCTTATTTCCTTTTGCATCAGGACTAGGTGGCGCAGGCTTAGATGGCGCCGTGGTGAGTTGAGATCGAATGGTTTACGCTGCTGATACCTGAAGCACTCTAAATTTATGTTGTCGAGGATATAAGATCAGGCCTGTTGATGCCCTCCCGCATCATGCATGGATGTTGATATATAGCCACCTGACAAACCACTGAACAATACCAGAGGACGGATCGGCTGAGCCCAGGCCGAGAAATCAATCTCAGAAGGGACTAGCGACAGGGCCCGGCTGAATTCCGGAACCCCCAGGCCCTTTGTCGTCGAAGATGTACCGGTACTTTCCTTTTGGGGAGTGAGACACCGAAAAGGAGGTACTTGGTACTCGCCTGAAAGTGAAGCACCAGTGCCCAAAGTTGTAATAAATAACGACGTTACCATACGTGTATTGCTGATACTAGTAGTTACCGAGAACAGGACATGGTAAATGTTACTAGCGGGGTGTGAGAAAGCACTTTAGTTGCATATCGGCCCAGCTTATCATGCATGTCGAGCCCATGTTAGATACGTTGTCATGCATGAAGAACTGATCATGTGAGGGCACAATTGTGCGCACACGCCTGAAGTATTAATATCGATGCGTATCAGCCCGGATGTTTGCTGCGGGAGGCATCGCGTCCCTGACCGAGGCGCCCTTGGAATCAATTCAGTCATTTCGAAATTCAAGGCTGAGATCGGTCCAGACTGAGGGATAAAAATTTAAAGAAACAAAAATCAGAAAATAAAACAGGATTGGAAGTTTTAGCTTTGCCTTCACCGCATTTTCCGCGGACGCTAGATCCAGTTAGAAGAGCGCGAAGTTGACCTTGTTGGTGACAATGTTGGTGACATGAAGTGGGACATCTTCCAAAATTGCTATCAGGCTGTGCTGTTTGCCTCCTGCAGGTACTCTCCCCGGGCTCCCCGTCGAAGATTGTCTGCCCAAATGATGCAGATGATGATGCACGGGGATTGAGTTGGCAGGCTCCACGTCCTCTGGTCCGTGACCGTGACCGTGTTGATGGCCTTAGTACGGACGTATTGCTAGGGGCAGGTTATCGACCCACAACCGCCCTTAAACACCTTTTGCTGATTTGGTGAAAGATGGGCAATATGATGGCGATCACCCCAGACGGATGGACAAAGATGAAGCTTTTCCTTTATCTCTTTCCTGGAAAATCGTTCGAGAGATGCTTGACCGCTTTATTCGGCAGCTGGACGAGGCAACATTATTCGCCAGGTTGTTTCAAGCCCGACGAGAAAGCTCGAGGTTCACACTAACCAAGTAAAGGCTGAAGCTTGCTCGTCATTGTTGGGCCCTCGTTGGATGACGAAGTACTACATACATATTGGCTTGTTCACAGGGTTACTTGTTTGCTTTTCATCTGCATAGTTATAACAATTTTAATCGTGCAGACACAGACCTCCTGAAGCGTCTGAGAACGGGTGATCAATGCATATGAGAATGCAGATATGTCGTTTGAACGGCTGTATGTCAGAAGGATTGATCCCAACTGGCAGAAAATTCGTCCACAAAGTCCGGCAGTTTGGGACACCCGGCGATGTGCCGTGTCACATCCACGGAACAGAAGCGTCAGATTCAGGGACCAGCGGCAGCAAAGACGCGGTTCAGCGACCAATTTCGGCCGGTCGGATGGAATCCTATTTGTTCTCGACTCCTCCACTGTCACTCCTTGACAGGGAAAAGTGAGGCTATTGGAACACGGGAAGTGCGTCATAGCAGCCAGACTCGATGCGTCGCAGGAGAGCTGTGGAGGGACCAAGCAAACATGCAGGAATTCAAGCAATTACCCCAATCATGGCGTGGAGCGAAACAAGGAAGTGCTTAAATAGATTTTTACACGTTCAAGGCGATTGCTTATGGGGTGCATGACAGCTGACAGGTCGCATTATTGACAAAAGCCGGGATCTCGACGGCCTGGCTGAGGGATGTTCTTAGTCGTTGGCTAGTTTAGGCAGAAAAGATATCCGGGTTAAGTATTATTCTGAATCGAATTTCCGCCCCCAGTATTATAAAGATGTGACCATTCCTTTAGAGATACGGCGGAGGAATAGTATGTCAGTTATGGTTACTCTGAACGGGGGGGAGGTAGCTTGCCCAAAAGAGTACACAGTGACGTGGTCTTGATGGGCCTTGTCAAGCTGCAGCAGAGACTACCCTCCCGATGCAGTTCGAATCCGTCTGAAGGGAGACACCTATGTACTCTGCTAATATCGGTACTTGGTGACGGTCTCTGTCTAGACGAATCGGCTGAGTTGATTGAGTGCATCCAACAGAGGTCATGTGGGGGCTTGGCGCTTCTTTCCAAATCGGCCACGCTCCAGGTGCCGCGGCGACAGTTTACTTCATCACAACCCCCTCCCCCGTGTCTTATAATTGCCTCCAGCGAGTTGTCGAGTTGATCGATCGTTTTGGCCTCAATCTCACCCACAGCTGTGTCGCAGCAAGATCACTCCAGCAATGTCTTCACTTCAGAAGTGGACGATATCCGAGGTACGGACAGGAACTCCAATTTCTTTGGCAGGTTTACCTGCTAGACTGTGATTCCTAAAAAAAAAAAAAAGCTCAATAATAGAATCTCACTATTCTCATTGCTAGCCGTACATCTCAGTTTCCGGGTCTTTACTTGAAGGACCGTTTTACGACAAGAGTAGGAATGAATTCCGCTTCGTTGACATCTGGGAACAAAAGTTGTACTCTTTTGACCTTACGAAAGGCCCCACGTCTTTGAAGACCGTTGATACATCAGAATCCATCGGGTAGGTGCCTTTGTGCTTTGAATTGTACCTTTACAACTGCTAAGGGGGCTAAAACATTACAATTTAGGGTGACCGCAAATATAGCGAATGCAAGCGAGGCCCAAAAGGATCAAATAGTTGCAGCCGCTAAATACGGATTTGCTTTCGTAAACCGCAATACAGGCGAGCTATCATACATCGCACGTCCTTGGGATAACCCAGACAAGCTTCACAAGTGAGTTGAGCAGTGCTCTTCACAACTGATGCACCCTTCCGAGATCTTGGCCTAATCATAATAGAATGCGCTTCAATGACGGAGCGGTGGATAGCAGAGGCCGCCTTTGGGCTGGGGCAATGAACGACCCCAAGGTTCAAAGCCCGGTCAATGAAGGCGTCCTTTTTCGGCTGGACCCAGACCTGAAATTGAACAGCATGATTGAGGAATTGACGATACCGAATGGCATTGGGTGGAATGATACCAACGATACTATGTATTTGACAGACTCTCCAACTGGTAGGATTTTTGCTTTCGACTTTGACGAGAACACCGGGGAAATCAGTAACAGAAGAGTCCATTTCGACATTGGGGAGCCGAAGGAGCCTGACGGTTTTGCTATCGATGTTGAAGGATGTATTTGGAGTGCTATCTACGGTGGTGGCAAGATTATCCGCATTTCTCCTGAAGGGAAAGTCATCGGCGAAATATTGCTTCCCACACGAAACATTACCTGTCCAGCGTTCGTGGGCACGGAGCTCTTCATCACAACCGCCAAGGACGATACCAACGATGACCAGTTTCCAGAGTCGATTCGCTATGGAGGGCATCTCTATAGGGTTGATGTGGCAGTCCAGGGCCAGCCGAGACACGAGTTTCGCATCAATCCATGACCTCTTGAGGATGAGCGAGAGCGAAGACTTGATAGATTTTGGCGACCGGGAACGTCACCAAACAAACATTGCCATCTGATAGACTTTAGACGTGAAACTCATGACATAACACTTGAATAACGAAATATTTCTGTCTTTGGGACCCGGACGTTGGTGCCTCCATCACCATTCATACCCGAGTTTTTACTTTTAGCACCCGAAACCAACCCAATAGCTCCGTGATCTATGGATCTTGCCCAAATACTGTGTAACGGCGTTCAAAGCGGTGAGGATAGAGCTGGAATAAAGTACCGCTCTGCTGAAACCAAGCATCGTGGGATCCTGCGTTCGTGTTCCAGGGTAAATGCCGAGTGTCTCCCTTTGATATCCTCCGTGCCACTGAGGTTGTCCAAATCCAAGCTGCAGAGTCTCCACTTCTGTCTCGCCCACTGCAGTGCTAAAAAACAAAAAACAGAAACAGAAAAAAAAAAAAAAAAGCCATCCAAAAGCAAATATGCGACGAGAAGTACGTACCGATTCCCTGACTCACAAAAGTACTTCTCCATTCGGCACGTCAGGTCGACCCACGTTTGTGAACGTCGAATTTTTGCCAAAGTACGCCCGGCCCTGCACAGCTCCAGGTTTGGAGAATTGGAGTACACCGAATAAACATCGAAACTCGACAGGGGTATCCGGCACCACGGTGTTTTCTTACTTGGTCAGACAGTGTAGACTTTAGAGGAAGTGACAACGCGATTATCCCCTTTAATAATATTTCCGCGGTCGCACTTTCCTTAGGTCCTGTGCGATGGTAGACGCACTGAATACCGGGATCGCCTTCTCTCATTCTTAATGATGCAGTGTTCCTGCCTTACCTGAGGTTAATCTAATCTCAACCAAAACTTTGACTAGTCGAACAGCGCGACGTGCGAATAACACTGCATGCATCATGCAGCCGGCCAACTAAACCCGCCCTATCCACGGCACAATCTCCAGAGAGGGATGAGACGTGCTAACTGCTATCACTGACTTAAACTGTAATAACCAATGGTCCTGGATATGATTTATTTATTATTTATTATTATTATTTTGCCGTACTCAATATCGGTGTCCGCAGGCTTTGCCTTTTGCAAGGTGTGGTACTCGCTACCTACTTCTGAAATCTCCTCCGACTCATTGTGCGGAGTAACCTCGAAGATGCAGGACGTGCGCTTAACTCGGGTTACAGTGATAATATTCCAGATGGCACGAGATGGCCCTCAGGTCCATAAGAAGCGGTTACGGCGGCACTGCAGATGGGGGTCGTTTGTCAGGAAAAAGTAACCATAACTACCACGCGGACGATCCATCTGATCCATGATCTAGATCGCAAGCAACATGCTGTCAATGGTCATGATAATGAGTGACTGACTAAATGTCGCTTGCGCCGCACACCGACTCGTAACGACTAGAGAGTGGACAACGCATGAGACCCGCGAACCGCAATGTTGGGAAAGAGCGAAGACCTCCAGTCAGCCCGCCCAGCCTGCCAATCGCAGAAAAAAGAAAGAAAAAGAAAAAATAAAAAAACCGGCAAGAGGGCCAACTTCGCAACCTTCCAGTCTTTGCTCTCGCCGTCGTATCTTCTCAATCTCACCTCCCCTCAGCGCTCCGGCGCTTCAAAGCTCTTCTGGGACCAATGGCCTACAAAAGAAACGGAACATAATTCCGTCACCTTGGAACTCCAAACACTCACAGGGGCAGGATTTGATCATTTGAGGCCGTTGCGGTCTGGGAGCTCGAAGGATCGCTGCTTACCGTCTTTCCGAATACCCAATCCCACCGAAAATCGTCTATTTTGCACGCGATGGATAGGCTAACTCGGATCTCTTAGGTTACCCTATTCCCTCTGACACGCCCGGGCCAAGGTAGACCAGGCCCTCCGAATCTCGCGATTCAGAGTTCAGATCCAACGTGTCACGTCTCAGAACCTGCAAGACGCTCCATCTAACCAGCCTTCGCGTGATCCAGATTTATTGGAGGTTTGGAGCATCAAATCACCAATCTCGGCACCGACGAGGATTGAATGCTGTCTTTGCAACCAACCTCGTGCGAATCTTGTGGCCGATCGGCACTGATGGCGTTTGGAAGACGGGTCCCGTGTGGGTAGTATTGTGATTTGATCGTTTTTGAAGTTTGGACTCTTGGAGCCGAGGAACAAAATGCAGTGTTGATCGAGAGGACATTCCGGAGCCCTCCGAAGGAGGTTTGCGGATGGTTATCCGTGAATGACAGGATTGCATATCTTGAAACAACAGACTGGCACCAGTCAACTCTATATTCCATGGGCCGGACCGACCAGTGTTTGCGGGAAGGTCGACAGGGTACCATTAACGGCGGGGACGAGCAAAACAAAACCATATCCATCAAAAACGCCAAGCTCGTAGCCATGCAGACTTTCCACTCATGGCTTTGGCTTTCTCCGTCTGTTCTCCATCCGGACCAAGCAACCATCAATCAGTACAAGTAATGAATACGATAAATTTGGGATTACTCGACATCTTTCTAAAACACTGCCAACAATCTTGGCCCCTTCAAGCTTTCTAAATTGATACACGCTTCGCAGCACTCTTTTCTATGTTCCAAATTCAAGTGACGACCCGGCTCGTTGCAGAATCAAACCCCTTTCGGAGCGACTCTGACCACAATTACAGAGCAAGCCCTAATACGGAGTAGTACCATCTCCTTTATAAAGCACAGTTGTGACGGCTGTAACTTTGTCGGGGAATCTACACCTCGGCAGATGCAATTGAGTTGTGAAGTGTCGTTGCCTCCTGAAGGCCAGGCGAAGCATGTCTCATGTTATGCAGCAATCAGTTTCGAGACAAGCCATGCAGGAAGGCACCGACAAGCCCCGGTGGAGGCGGTGCTGGATATCGTGCTTGGTTCGGGAAAACTTAACCGTTAAGAGCTTCCACAATCCACACTAATCCCATTTCTCCTGCAAGATGATCTGGATGGCCAACATCGTTGCTGCTTTGTCGTTTGATGCCCAATGACGTAGCGAAAATGTGCCTTTACCCAGCTCACGAGCCTTGATTCACTCTTGCCACTTGGAAGTTTGAACTTTGAGCCGTTCGGCTGCCCACTGAGTGGCTGACATATTTATCTGTCATTCTGTCTCCAGTACCCGTTCCACACGGAGCCTTCCGCACGGCTCAGGAGTCAATTATGCCTGCATGAGTATTTTTGGCCCGTGTGGTATTGAGCTTTAAGATTCGCTCGACAGGCGAGACGATTGATCACTACCCAATGGTGTCGCAGCCATCTCAGGAAATGGATGAGGGGCTGTCGTACGGTCTTCAATTGGCTGTTGAGACCATTAAATTGACCCGATAGGATGAAAATACAAGAATGACGATCAATCACAGAGGAGGGCTGAGAGTTAGACCAGGACACGGAGATGGACTCCGCCAAACTAGTCGTAACAGCCTTTTGGGTGGAAGCACCACGATACAACCCACATTTATGCAGAACATCATGGTTTCCCGAATCATTCCAACAGGAGCTAAAGTTTGGCCTCACGTGCGGACCTGAGCAGACACGGTGCCCCGTCGAAGATCGTTTCTCATGGACGGCAAGGGCCAAGTAGACCAGTCGCAAAAGAGTGATGTATACATATTCGATCAGCACTCGAAATGTGCTTCGGGATCTCGACATTACTTTTTTTTTTTTTTTCAATATCTTTTCTTTTTCTCGGGGACCCGGTTGGGCTTCTCTGCTCTCATCGGGCCCGCTGCCCTTTTTCCACGTCGCTTCTAGCGGGAGTTGACGAAACTGGTAGGCCGTTACTACTTAGGAGGAGTATTATTGTACGACGATGAGCTGCGGGGATCTTGCGAAGATTTCGGTGACAGTTCGAAGACGCCGGACGGTGACCTCAGTGTCTCGACGCCCTAGTTGATCCGGATTTCAGGGGCGATTAATTTACCAAGAGTCAGGTCCTAGCGGGGAAACAGCATCACTTTTCCTCAAGCTATGCAATAACGAGTAGGAGATCATCACCGTGATGGGGCCGCGAGGAGAAAGCTCGTTTCGATGGAATCCAGGGAAGTCCCGTCATCCTGGAGCTCTGCTACCAGTGGTCAAGTTGTGGTATGATGTTCTGGTGGGTTCTCGAACAGCGAACACCGCCCGGAACCTCTCAAGCTCCCAAGCTTCCAAACGTGCCTGTGTCGGCAATTTAGGGTATAACGAGAAGCGGTAAGTAACCAGGCTGTGGGTGCAGTGAATGATAGCCACCATCGCTTGTTGATAGAGCTCCAGGTGCTGGGCCTTTTAGGCGTGCGTCCACAATGGGTGCTCCCTGGTAACAAACCGCCGACCTGCTCAGTGACGTGCATGACAATTTGTCCATCCATAACTGCATGGGGCTTAGCATCGAATCCTTGGTGATTCCGGCCTCCACTAAATTTGACCATGACCATGGTGACGGCGCTTCTTAGGTGCTTCGGGTCGCTCATGATATTTCCCCAGCCCCATTCCCTTACTAGTTACCCCTTAGTTCACGCACTAGCTTGGTCTTAAAAGAATTTCGTCTTTGCGACCAATTGGGCTGCGGCCTTGGACGTACCACTCGATGAGGGACCCGAAGCATGTCATAATAATAAATTATAATATGCTGATGCGAAAGGTCGAAACTCTCGAAACAAACAAGTCACTTGCGTCACGTCCCCCGAAGGCATACACATTTCCTGCCCAATTGAGGTTTGATATCCCGTCTCCCGCTGTCATGACTTTGCTTTGGCTTGGGGAAGCACAGCCTGCGCCCTCTGTATTCTTTCCCTTCGGGGCGAGGCACATAATCAGCCATGGGAATGGCACAAAGTACGTGTTTGAGCCTGCTTGGCTGCCAGATCACCAGCCCCAGAACTCGCGCCGTTGAAGGACTGACGAGCAGCTCCTAGTAAGCACCGTGTACAACACGTGTATCTTCAGTACGGTATTGTACGCAATGGTATGTAATGATTTTTTGTTTTTTGTTTTTATTTTTCGTTCCCTTTTCCCTATTTTCTTGACCTTTTTTTCCTTTTCTCTTATTCTATATTTGATTTAATCAATTAATTTCCTGGTGGAAACCCTCACTGGGCTGCTGAGACCATGTCTGCTCTACTGATGGTTCACGACGGCCAATACTTCATCTTTCACACCGCTGGATCTGATCCTCAACAGCTGGAGCTTCCTGCAAACTTCCCTAACGGCTCGCGATCATCACTACTGACTTGGCCTGTCTGTTCGCCTGGTGATGCCGTAGTTTGCATTAGACTTGCTTCATAAACCCATATCCTCCCCGTCCTCCTGTTCTCTTCCCTATTTGGCCCGTATACCCTCTACTCCTCCTCTGTATATCTCTCTTTTCCAACCGGCCCTCTTTATTTCATATAATTCTGTTATATTACAATCTGGTGCCCGTATCCTTCAGTTCCTAATAAACTTTGCTTGTCGTATAGTATCTACGCCTTGTGGTCACTGCCCTGTCCTGCCCTGTGCTCTCTTGCCCTTGCTACCCAACACCACACCAAGGGGAAATCCGGGGAAAGCGAATTTCTCGCATAAATCATCGCCTGCTTTCCTGTTCTCCCTTTTTTTTTTTTTTTTTTTACTTCTCACATTCCGTCCTTTTCCTTCACCGTGGCTACCAGCGTGTTGACTGCTCCCCAATACTCCCACTCGCACTCCCACCCGGTGCACTCACGCCAATATCATTCGCTGTCTGACTATCACCTTGCCCGTTCCGCCACCGGCTCCCTCTCTCGCCCTCCCCTTCACGAGTCCTCTTCGGCTCTTCCGGAGCGAGAGGGGGTTCCGTCATGTCCCGGGCGTTCTCTGCAGCATTCCACTGAAAGCAACGCGGAGGAGCATATGTCGAATATCCCGCCAGTTTCAGGTCCTTCGCCAACCGATGCACGCTTGCGTGGCAACCCCGGTTCGCTCGAACGAAAGAGACGCCATGTAGACGAAGATATCCTCTCTTCTGCTACGGAACGTCGTGAATTCGCGCGCTCTCGGCCTCTTTCCTGGCACCCTTCTACCCCAGTGGAACCACCGCTGGGCTCTTCACAGCATCGCTCTATTGGCGTCAACTCGATCTTGAATCATCCAGCAACGGAAGGGCCAGGAGGCCGGACAGCATCAGTAGACGGTGGCCGCGAGGGCCTTGAGGAGCAGATGCATTCAGACTCAACACCGTCTCATTCTCGCTTTTCTTCTTCGTCATCGGCGGTGCATCTCCCTTCCCCTTCTATGCACACCGCAAAACCTGCAGTTTTGTCACCACCTGGTGTGAGAAACCACCAGGGCATGGCTCCCATTTCACCCTCTGCACGGATCGTGGGCGCAACTGGATACTTCACCCCAAAGACTGGTGGTCCGGGACACTCCCCGCTAGCCCAACAGCTACCTGGTCTACAGTCGGTAGCACCGGGATCGCCTTTACCAGTCGAAACCTCCTCTGGACATCCTCCGCCCGGATCGGGTCTTTATCACCACCACCAGAGCTCTGCGCCCTCGACATCAGCATTTGCAACCCACCGAGGGAGCATGAGCCACACCCCGACCCCTAGCTCCAAGGAGAGCAGCCCTACAACGCCCGTATCCATGTTTAACCAGTTGGGCCGCTCATCACCAGCCCTTTCTGCTGCGCCACCCCCCCAGTCTGCCCCAACGTACATGACCTCTGCCCCATACGCGACAGCCGACCCTGTTTCTCGGCAACCGGCCTCCCTCACTGGGCAGAGTCGCTCCGGTGGGACGGAAACACCTGGCGTGGGAGGGGCCCAGAATCAATCGAGCACCCTTCGTCCAGGTATGATACCTTGCTTCGTCGACATGAAATCGGGCTCTTCAAGCCAAGCAGAGAAGCGGAAGGCGAACAGCGATGCGTCCAGGAGATTTCGTAACAGAAAACGGAACGAGATGCAGATGGAGCAGAAGATCACTTCACAGCAGGATGAGATCCGGAAGCAGGCGGAAACCATCCAGAAACAGGTCGAGGAGCTTCAAGTTTTGATGGAGCAGCGGGAATTCTATCGCTCTGAGAGGGACTACTTCCGCGAACAAGCCTCTCACTTTGTCCAGATCCCTGCCCGATCGGCATCCCCTCAGCTCCTACGACCCAAGGCTGAAGCCCCCGGGCCGGAGAGGGAGGCTCAAGCTTGGACTGGATCAGATGGCCCGCTGAAGGTTGAAGAAGCAACACCAGATCTGTCCTCTCACCAACGCGCGGCGGGGCCTATCGGGCCCGCTCCAAGTGTTACCCCCCTTCCCGGTACAATGCCTGGGGGACGCTGGTCTGCTCCGTCGCCGCACTCGTCCGCACAGACAGCGGACGAGCGACAAGCAAGGCCGATGCCTCCGATACCGGGCGCGTGGAATCGCACTGCGTAGAGGCAGAAGCTGCAAATATGAAACAGCTACTATAACGATCACAACAACTTGGCTTGAGCTGCGTCAGGAACCTAGCTCCACCGATAACGGAGCCAAGCGTGTTTAGAGTTGGACAACGCCTCCACTCCTTGTTACTTACTACAATCTACACACCCTTTGTACTGACATGGTCTGGAACTCATTGGAAAAGTACTTGATATTTTGTTTCTCCGCAGCGAGAATCCATACTGCATCGAAGGATTATAGGACATTTTTGCATGGGTATATTTGGACTTTGTCATTGCTTGGTGGATTATCTCGTCTTTTTTTTGTGTGCATGATCTGGTTTATTACGTCTGCACATATTCCTCATACGTTTTATATTATTACCTTGATACGTTATTATAAGATTCTGCTTATCTTTATCTGCTGGATACAATGGGGCGTGGAGCACTGCGTTGATCGGCCTTGCGTGAGGGGGGCAACTGTTTCATCGTTATCGGTGCTAGGTAGTTGGTGTTTGGGATATGATTTATTTTCCTACTGGCTTTTATTATTCACTTGCTTTTGGTACTTTGAGACTGATACCATCGTACATTACTGCTTTTTGAAAAGCATGGCATTGCTGATATTATTGATGTTAACTCGGCCGTGCGATTTGTGGACTTCCATAGACTGTATAGTACAATTGATCTTGCCGCCGTTGCATTTGGCATCTGGAAGATGGAAGACCACCAGCTAATTAATTATAAATGACGCAGAGAGCTAGCAAGTACTAGCATATGGGGCGTCAGGTACCTCTACCAAGGGGAGACCTTGCCTGAGGCCAACCATCGGAGCGGCCTCCCCACGTGCCGTCCGCCAGCCTATCAGTCTGTCATTTCTGGCCCTTGCCTCCACACTCTTGCATAGAACCTTGTGGACAGCAGCCCGTCCTCGTCCACGTCCGCTCCTCGTTAACGTGGGATGGCCTCCTCTTCAACTCTCTGGCCGCCCACCGAACCAGGCACCAGGAACCCATGATCCACTCTATGCCGGTCGTTGCGACGTAAGCCGAAGATGAAGGGGCTACCAGTATTTAAGCACCACCACCCCGTTCGGCGGTCCGGGTTGAGGAGTAGGCTCACATTCGCTTTGGTCATGACTTTCGCTGCGATATCGCTTTCGGTTTTTTATTTGCTGTCGAGGTAGGTTGATCGTACATGCCGCAGAATTATTACATACCTCCGAGTCCCATTAATGGCTGGATTAATGCTTACTCGCCAATGCCAGCGTTTCTGCTCAAACCCCATCCCAGAACCAGTCATGCAATTCCATTGACCACGGGTACCAATGCTTCCCGCAGGTCTCGCATCTCTGGGGCCAGTACTCGCCGTATTTTTCGTTGGATCGGGAGTCTGCTACTTCTCAAGATGTTCCTGATGACTGTGAGATCACGTTTGCCCAGGTGCTCTCGCGCCATGGGGCTCGGTATCCGAGTGCAAAGAAGTCTAAAGCCTATGGCGAACTTGTTGAGGCCATTCAGAACAACGCCACTTCATTTACTGGAAAGTACTCGTTTCTGAATGATTACAAATATACGCTGGGGGCGGACGACTTGACTGCCTTTGGTGAGGATCAAATGGTTGATTCGGGTATAAAGTTCTATCATCGGTATAAATCGCTGGCGAAGAAGGTTACTCCTTTCGTCCGTGCATCGGGATCCGATCGTGTCATCGCCTCTGCGGAGAAGTTCGTTGACGGGTTTTGGAATGCCCAAGTCAATGACCATGAGTCGAGGCGCGAACCCCCCAAAGTCAATGTGGTTATCCCAGAGGGCGACGGGTTCAATAACACACTGGACCATAGCATTTGCAGCGCCTTTGAGAACGATAAGTTGGCTGATGAGATCGAAGCCAACTTTGCGGCAATTTTCACGCCGCCAATTCGCAAGCGCATAGAGAGTGACATTCCTGGCGTTGAACTCTCCGGCGACGATGTTGTCTATCTCATGGACATGTGCTCATTCGATACCGTGGCCCGGACACCGAACGGAAGCGAACTGTCCCCATTCTGTGCCCTTTTCACTGAAAAAGAATGGATCCAATACGACTACCTGCAATCTTTGTCAAAGTATTACGGCTATGCAGCTGGAAGTCCCCTCGGTCCTGCCCAGGGAATTGGATTTACGAACGAGCTGATTGCCCGACTTACCCAGTCCCCTGTTAGGGACCACACGACCACCAACCGAACTCTAGATTCAAACCCAGAGACATTCCCGCTCGACACCAAGATGTACGCTGACTTCTCGCACGACAATAACATGATATCTATTTTCTTTGCGATGGGTCTGTACAATGGCACTGACCCTCTGTCTCAAGCCTCGGTGGAGACGGTCGAGGAAATGGACGGCTACGCAGCGTCATGGGCTGTTCCGTTTGGCGCCAGGGCGTATTTCGAGACGATGCAGTGCAAGAAGGAAAGAGAGCCACTTGTTCGGGTATTGGTGAATGATCGCGTAGTCCCACTGCATGGCTGTGCAGTTGATAAACTTGGACGCTGCGGTTTGAATGACTGGATCCAGGGCTTGAGTTTTGCAAGGGCAGGCGGGAATTGGAAGAGTTGTTTCACTTCTTAGACAACATTTTCACCTTTAGAGCTGTGTCATGAGCTATTATAGAAGAGAAAGAAAGCTGTTTAGTGTGATTAGTACTGGGTTGTTTATTTCATTGTTGTTAGAAGATGTGTTTGTTTTACTGATATTAGCTCAATCACTTCCTCTCCATTGCCGCTTTACACCGAAAACTTGCGCATTCATCTTCACAGTGAATCCACCTGCCTAGCAACGTGATATTGTGTTGTGTTCGTAAAATGTTTTCTTTAACAATTCCTTTCTTTCCTGTTGACTTTTTATCTCCCCTTCTCTTCAACCTTGTTCATCATTCCACGCCAATTTCCAACCACGAAGATGGATCCAAACCTAGGTCAGGGATACCCTTCACCCTCTCCATCTCCATCGTCGTCGTCCTCCTCCTCCTCTGCCTCATCCTCAGAGACGAGCACTCCGATACCTGCTCAGCAGCAGCCGCAGCAGCAGCCGCAGCTACCCAGCCAAGGCCCCCCCCGCAAGCCATGTCTAATCCTCATATGTCTAACCGACATAAATGCCTTTAGCGCACGCTACCTCTCCATCCTGACAAAGATGCAACGCGATGCACACCTCATCTTCGCCCGTTCGCTCTCCGATCTCCAGCGTATCCTCGCAAGGGAAGTCATCGCCACTTCAATTGCAGGATTCATCGTCACAGACGCCAGAGTCATGGGAATCGACATAGAAATTGACCCTGACACCGACGCAAACAGCGGAGAGGCCAGCGGTGATGCCGAGATGGCGGGAATATCCAAGGTGCTCGGTGGGATTGTGAACGGGACTTACTTTTATTCCAATGCACATGCATTGGGCTATCTGTCTTCAAACGGAGCTGTGTCTAACAGAGGGTTGATACCAGGGTTTGGAGGGCCCAGGCGTACCAACCCCCCCAGCCCCCGTGAATGGACGGTCGTTTTTGCATTTGACTTCCCGTCCCAAGCCGCGCGGTATCCATTGCGCTTCGGAAGGTACATGGCGGAGACATTCGGCGTCGGATGGAGAATGTGCGGTGCCACGAAGGGCAAGTGTGCATTGGAGATAAGCGAACGGGGTCTCAGGAAGATGGGGGAAAGAGTGTATCGGGGGAACAAGTATCGACTCCGCGCTGTGTTCTTGGGATCTGTTGATGAGCGAGACAAAGTTCTTGTTGTTGCGAAGGGTGCGAGTGTCGGTAATGGTGGACTAGGGAGCCAGGGACAGCCTGAGGTGTATCGTGTGGATGAGGATCAGAGTGGGAATGAAAATGGAGAAAAAGGTGTGCGTGATATGCGCGCAGCAGCAGCAGCAGCAGGAGATACAGATAGTACGGCCGGTGAAGACGGAGAGTTTGATATTGAGCAGGTAGAGGTCGGAGACGAAGGTGTCGGATGGACGCTTGCAGCGGATAGCAATGGCCCGACTGGTCCTTTAGGTGGAGAAGGCGAGGAGTTGGATATGGACATGGAGATGATTAATGCCGAATATCGCCGCGAACAAAATGACTGGGCCGACGATGAGCTTACTGGCACTGAAGGGTCCGAGAGTCCGCACGAGGACGAGAACGAAGGCGTGAGCACCACTAGCAGCAGCAGCAGCAACGCAGACGAAACCCTCAGCAAACGGGTTATATATGTGAATATCCCTGACCAGCGTGGAAGCCAGAACGTCGATTCCGATGACGCATCTGCAGCCCAATCGCCAAACAGAAAGAAGAAGAAAGAAACCCCGAAGCACGTCGCGAACTGCCCTGTCGCCATCCATGAAGTCAAACAATTGACAGGGAACTGGGCTCAGAATGGTCAACTACCTCGCATGCGTGGGTATGTCGGCTTCGCTGGACACGTCGAGGATAACAGGTCTATGGCAAGCTTGATCTTGGGGATGTGTGCGGTGCGAAACACCAGACCTCTGCCGGAATCCATGCGGACTTTTTTGCGCGATCATAATCTTGGATAGATTGCATCGTCTTTTGTCCTGTCGAATACAGGATGTTTCCCGGGGTGTTATCTTTGATTTGGGTGCAGTATCTACCTCGTACATGAATCTGGACTGGAGATCGAACTGATATCAATGTACCACATGATGCATAATGTACAATAACTAAGTAGTAGCTGCAAGCAACGCCATGCTCAATGAATACATACAAAAAAAAGAAACAATGCCAATGACAAAAACACGGTTAAATGGCGTAGAGAATAATGTTTGAATCCTCGGAGCTCACTTGGTCTCCTCGCTATTGGGTGGAGGCAAATCACTCAGGCGCTTCGGCTGCTGGTTTCCATACGCTGATATCAAATATCATCAGTACCGACTGACCTACCATTTCAAGGAGAACATAAATCCAAAAGAAAGAGAAGAGAAGTACTCACTCCGCTCATACAAAACCCACGACGTATACATCAATATCGGCAGCGCCACAATCGTGGAGATCCACCTGTCAAACCACCTTATTAGAACGAACAAATTCCCACGGCACTACCTCGGAGAGCTCAATAATGGGGAGCAAAAGATGATTCCTACCGTCTCGAAGCAGCTTTATACTCCTTCGTCTGCCGGATATCTTGAACCGGGAGTGGTCGTCTCGGCCCCGGTCCAGTCTGAAGATGGGGATCCATGACAACGCGAGGCTTTAGGTTCGGATTTGTATTTCTTGGTGGTTGTTGAGACGACATTTTCCCTCTTTCCTTGTTTTTAAAAAAAGCCTTCTTAGATGGAATCCAGTTATTCAATTGCCACGAGCTCGCTCTTTTGTTGAGTCGGCGCGTCTGTTCAAAATGGAAAATCGCGGATGGGAACAAAATCGGACCACGTGATCCACTGGGGAATCGAGGGCTGGGCTGGACTGTCCACGGTATAGAGTCTGCGTGGTCTCGAGATGGGAAATGTCCACCGCCTCCATTTACCCAACCGCCCACATTCTCCAGGGAATTGCCGTTCGCACCTTCCTTGGATCAATGCAGCTGCGTAGTTATTTCCCAAAGCAGGTGCGACGACCGACAGGGGGAAGGGGCATCCGGGCCGGCGAATGGTTGCACCTTCCTCTTTCAGCGGTTGTGCCATTCCCTGTTGTGCCACAATAAGCTGCAATTTACCAGACGGAAAGTCCACTGAGCCTGATGTGGCCGGTCGCTCCTTCCTTCTATGATTACCTATTTCAGGTCCCTAATCGTGTTTTGCCTGAGCTGTGATCTTACCCTACTTGCATAGGTCTAGATAATATATACTACGGGTAACTTAAGTGGAAGGTCAGGATTTTGAAATACTCGGCAGTAGATTATGTAGAGTACAGTACAGCCTCAGGCCTAACCTGTGCTTTTGTATGGTATTTCGTCAATTGAACGAGACAGATGCAAGCAACGAAAAATGGAACGATATAAAAGGTATGGTGCAAATCGAAGAAACTGCTTGTCTCTGCCAACCATGAGATAAAAGATAAACACATGGCGCTGTTCTGCTGGCAGGTATTCCAAGTTGTACCTTGGTACAATAAGTCATGATCGTACCCGAAGACTGGGTCCATCGATCCCAGAAACGAGTTGGATAGAACAAAGTCACGGAACAGAATAGGATGACAGAAAATAGAGGAAGTTCATGGACCTGATTAACGTAAATCCACCAGATTAACATGCGAGTAAAAGAAATCATAATCAAAGCCGAAATTAAAAAAGGCGTTCAATAAAAGATGAACTATGTTGGTCTTGCCCAAAGACTGCAGACATCGCTATGCTTGATTCAATAGCCGCCCATGACTCCGAAAGAGGAACTGAAAGAGACGATTTCGGAAAGATGAAAAGAAATTCCTGCGTGAATAGAGGCATCTTTGTGGATTGGTGATTGCACCTCTAATCAAGATTCATGGGATCGACGGCAGGAGGGCGAATTGGAGATTCAACCGTGTCCCCGTGGATTCCGGTAACTGTTTTCAGGGGGGTTCCTTTCCTGCGTGCATGACCAAGGCGGGCCCTTTCCGCTCGCTTAGCCCGATCTTCTGCGTGCTTCTGGAAGTTGGCCATCAGGGCATCGGCCGCACGGCGACGGGGCCGGCCTCCAGGTGTCGTTTCGGTAGAGGGGTGCTCGGCTGAGCCAGGAGTAACCTCAGTATTAGGCTTCTCGGCCTGGTCGGTTGCTTTTGCGGGAGTTGAAGGCACTCGAGTTGATTCTACAACGTCTTCAGTAGTAGGAGCCTCAATTTTCGACAACTGCATGTCATGACTACGAGCGTTCTCTGGGCCATTGTCTTCGACATCAGACTGGCCGGTATCAGTGCCATCAGTGTCACTCGAAGCCTGCTCCAGGAGAAATCGCCTGTTTTCAAACGTCAGGGTAATCTTGAATGATTTCTTCTCATCTGGTGGACTGTCTTTGTCTTTGTCTTTGTCCTTTTCTTTTTCCTTTTCCTTATCTTCTTCAATAGGCTGGGTGGGAGTCGTTGCGGGGGGAGTTTCGGTGTTATTGGCTCCTTGTCGCAGTCTCTTCGGTTTGGGGGTATCAACGGGCTCGGTCGTTTTATTGGCGGACGCAGTGTCGGCGCGGCGGCGCTTGCGAGAAGTTCCCTTCGTTTTCGTCGGGATGGTTTCAGGAGTAGGAGGCAGGACCGGTTCGGGTGGTGGAGGTAGCACGGGAGGTTGACCACTGTCGTAGAGCTTGATCAACTTGTCCACTTCTTCAAAGGACATGAAGCTGGAGACATAAATTCCCCTTGCGCGCGCGGCTTCCCTAATCTCAAGCATACGGCGCTCTTCGGGGACGTTTTCAAACAAGAAGCATCCTTGATTATCAACTGGTGTATTGCGGTCTCCGATACGTGGAGGATAGCCAAGGGCGCGGTCCTTTTCAGCCTGAACCAACGACCTCACGCGGACAGGGGGAAGAGGAAGCTCATCATCTCCGTAGGTGTTGTTGGGACGGTACCACTCATAATCCTCTGGAACAATAACATACTCTTCTTCATGCTTGTTTACTTGGCCTGTGTATTCCCAACCTTCCTCATCGGTCCATGGTGTTGAAGCTTGTACGTTGTCCGCGAATGGCTTACTGGAGGGTGGCGTGTTTTCCCTCTCAGCTTGCGGTTTTTTTGCAGGTTCAGGCGAATTTACTGCCTCTTTTTCCTTTGCTTTTTTGTCAACTTTTTGTTGCAGCTCCTTAATCCATATATCAACCTTTGATTCAGGGACAAATCCTGGTGCGACGGCAGCAGCAGCTAGCTCATAAATTTGCCTAGCGATGACCATAACGTCAGGTTTCCTTGCAGGTTTTGTCGCGGACGCTGGTGAACGCCGTGCTGGCTTCTGTTTAGAACGTGTGGTGGTGCCAGGGGTTGCGTCAGAGTTTGGCTTGTTAGATGCTGCCCGTGTACGGCGGCTTCGATTCTCCGATTCGAGCGATTCCATCGCTCGCATAGTTGGCTTACGTGTGCGTCCGGAGGTGCGTGCGGCTGCGGAGGTCGTTGTTGAAAGACTATTTGGAGAAGTAGGGCCATCCATGTTACCGTCAAGGCCGTAGTTGTTCTTGTACATTTCCGAATCGTAATCGAAATGGTAATCCCCATTTTCAATATGGCGGGGGGTGTTGATGTGGTTGGCGACCTCATCATCATGGGTTTTCTGCTGGGCCAGGAAAGACTCCAACGATTTACGGCCCACGTTGAGTGTTACCATGTTGCTTCGTTTGCTGGGCGATTGTGACTGGATGTGTTCATGGCTTTTGTTTTGAGCCACTGAGGGCGCTGAATTCGCAGTCTCTTGATTTGAGCTGTTGGGTGTTTGCTCAGTCACGGTTCTGGTAGACCTGCGGTCGCCGCGGCGTGGTCTGGTGGATGGAGCAATAGGAGTTGTGGTCTGTGGCTGCTTCGCAGGTGTAGTGGAGTTCACAGATCCATTCTCCTGCGCTTTCGCCTTAGCAGTTGGCGTCGCTTGGGCCTTCGAAGCTGGCGGTGCCTTGGTAATCTTTGCACCAGTATTGGCACCGAGCCTTGACTTCCGGTCTCGACGAGAAGACTGAGGGGTGGAAGCGCGCGAAGAAGCCTTGGATGGGGTCGCTCTATCTTCCTGGCTCGCACTTCGAGCTGGATTGGACTTTCTAGCCTTGCGGTGATGAGACGACACTGCGGCACCCATGGCGGAAGGTGAATCTGTGGAGTTCTCTTTGTCTGGTTCAGCTTTGATGGTAATAGGTTTGTCCCTGGTCGGAAGGTTCTTCGGAGTTATTGTCTGTAGATCGGCTGGTGGATCGATCTGAGACTGCTCAGTTGAAAGCCCTTCAGCAGGAGGCGGGTTAGATTTGGAGCTCGTCGGAGTTCCTAGCTCAGGTTCCGTGAGAGATGCGTCCTGCACCTGAGAGGTCTGAGTATTGGACCGCGCAAGGTTACTAGGACGAGGTGGCTTCGCGGAAGAGCTGTACGGCTTGGGGTTTTGAAATGGTTCAGAGAAGGCTCTGTGGACTGGAGTCTCTGCAGCACCTGGAGGTGGAGTTCGGTCCGCAGAGTTAACCCCACGCTGGGTTCTACGTCTCTTTGCAGAAGGCAGAAACTCTTCGAAAGATGAAGTGAGAGGAGTTGGGGGAAGAGAGTATGATGATTGTGTTAGATTTGACGCGTTGAGGTCGGGAGCTGGGGCTGTTCTTTGAGAAGCCCTAGAAGAGCTTCGACGCGAGTGTGTCTGGGGAAGTCAGAAAGCGAGAAAGCGAGAAAGTGAATGAAGCGAATAGGTGGAAAGCGGATGAAGGGTAGAGGATGGAAGAGAGAGAAGAGGAAAGGAAGAGGAAGAGAGTGAAGACATACCGAGTTCAAGTCCGCCAGCGCGGCGGGGGAACCGGGCTCACGAGTAACAGAAGCCCTACCAACCACTGGCCTTGTGTTAGCGGACAATAAACTGGGCTATGAATGGCAGCATTCCTACTTTTGGCGCTTATTCCTTGCGCAATACGCTTCTCCTTTTGAGCAGATATCTCCTCGTATCTCGAACGATGGCCCCTCCTTTCTAACTTCTGAAGATCATTGGCGTTTTGGCGACTGGTATTTGGTGCTCAAGGCAACGTATTCGCCGCAGCTCGGCTGTGGCCTTGTCTCGTCAACGGATGAGGGGTTTATTTGCTCGATTTCAGAATCTACCGGGGCAGCCATGCAGGTCAGTAAGTGAGCAGAATAAGGGCAAACGGAGTGTTCCGGATCTAGGGAACCACGACTCCTGACCAGCACAACTTCTCGAGCAAGCCACAACCCGACTTACCAACGATTCAAAGTACCCCTAATAGCTTTAATATAGTGTCTCGAGCAGGTTGAGGACTACAAAGGTGGCTTTGCGGAGCGTAAGCGGGCACGGTACAGGGTACTGTCGGTGAGGCGAGGGCGAAGGAGGCGCAACGTCAGACAAATTTCGCGGGCGCAAAAGTCCTCCTCGGGCTAGGAGAAATTGGGGGCGGGCATTATGGAACGGTAGAGAAATGTCTTCCGGCACGATCGCGGGCGCAGAGGTCGCAGCACTCGGAGCGTAGAGGCAGCGCAGTCGTCGAAAAACGAGAGCTTGACAATTGCTGGGTGGCAGCCCGAAGGAGAACCAGCAGGGAATTAGGGCTTGAAGTCACTGGACCCAAAAGCCCCAAACGCCGCCCGGCGCTTATCTTAGCGCTGCTGCTTGACCTTCCGTTGCCTTGTCCCCATCAAAGCTGCCCTCCTCTCCGTCTTCCTCTTCGCTCAATCAGCTTATCCTGCCGGAACAATGCATTGGTGGCAGACTGTTTTCCAGCTCTCCTTGCTGGCCTCGACCGCGCTCCCGGCCGCCGCTGCGAACTGGGGGTTTGCTGATGCCACCGTGTCAGTTCAGACCAAGGGCGCCGGAGTCGGCGCCGGATTGAAGGAAGAGTACGCTCGATCCTATTGCTTTATCTTGTTTTAAAGACACTTAATAAGTTAAATGCTAATACATGTTGCGTCCGAACCAGAATCCCTCAGAACGGCGCTCTCTCCAAACCCGTCCCTCTCGGTAATGCGGATACCCTCAAGGTCGCCCTGACAGCGCAGGAAGGAAAGTCGGCAAAAAACGCGCACCAAGTCTTTCTCCTCCTCGAAGACCCGAATTCGGGATTAGATATCTCCTACCCGTTTTCCGTCAAGGGCAATGGCAAGTCTCGGGTTGAATTGGTATGGAGCCTGCAGCTCTTGTCGGGATAACTAGCTGACGTGGCCTAGACATGGAAGGATATCCCTACCCAATTCCTTTCTACATCCGAGCCTCTTGATGCGAAGATCCTGATCGGATCGTTCGGAAGTTCGCCAGCGTACAACAAGCCCGCGTTCCAACTGTCTCTAGCCCGCAGCCCCGATGAGCCCGTCCCGACATATGAAGTCTCGCGATACGGAAAACTCCCTGAGATCCATCACATCTTCAAGAGTGACCCTCAGAGCCCACCCGTTGTCATCACACTTGCTTTCATTGCGACAGTGCTGGCCGCTTTGCCTCTCCTAGCTGCCCTGGTAAGCAAGTCTTTTCGCCGACCGTGGAAACCGGATCTAACGTGTTTCGCAGTGGCTATTCCTCGGTGCTAACATTAACCACCTCCCTACGGCGATTAAGTCGGCGCCAATTCCCCATGCCGCCTTCTTGGGCTCGCTGGTCGCTCTTGAAGGTATTTTCTTCCTTTACTATACCTCCTGGACCCTGTTCCAGATCCTCCCGGCTGTTGCTGCCGTCGGAACTGTCGCGTTCATTAGCGGCAGCCGTGCGCTCGGAGAAGTCCAGGGCAGGCGCCTGGCAGGTCTCCGGTGAGTACTTGCGACATTGCTAAACGCATGCCTTTGTTCGGAAGACCCGGGTTGGGGGAATACTTTGATACCTCGGCGCAACATTCAAATATGCTAGAATCAACACTGTAAAGCTAACATGAATAAAACATGATACTCAAGGAGTATTTCACTTTCCATGCTTGTAAACAATGTAAACATAATATATACCCACATGAGTTGTCCTGCCCTATCGTACTTGACGTCACCCAACAACCGTCCAATTCGGGCTAGCTCCGATAGATAATCCGCTATCTCTAAAATTCATCCCAAAGTCCGCCATCCATTCGACAACTTGTTCCTCAAGCTAGATAAAACACCTAATCCTAACAAACCAAATGGGTTCATCTGCTTCCAAACCAGCGCGCTCGGCTGCCCAGGCCGCCTCCCGCCGCCAATACCCTAAACAACCATCCACCCCTTCACCCGCAACAGCATCGCAAAGCCCAGCAGCAACAGCACCCCGACGACCACCTCCGCCTCGCCCCTCACCAGCATCTCGAGAACAAAATATCCCACCGCAGACTCCCGCGCAAGGTCCAACATATCACTCCAAGGAAAAGGCTTCGACTGAGAAATCATCTGGTGCGTGCTCGCTCTACCCACCTACCTACCTACTTATCTCCCGCAAACTCAAACAAACAAACTTCCCTGCCACCTATCCAAACCCTTTCGTCACCCGATGCCAGCATATATATACATCTTAGATACTAACATGACTCAATAACAGCAATCGATCTCGACGGCCGCGACCCGCACTTCGCCGCCTCCCTCCGCTCCATCGGCGCCGTCAAGCCCTCCCCCACATTCTCGAACTCAAGCACATTCAACCAAGCACAACAAGGCCAGGGCCAAGATCATCACCCAGTACAACAGCATTCGCCGACCGTATTCCCCACCGCGTCGAATCCGGCGCTTCTTGTTGTCACGGCACGGCAACGGGCTACGAGAGAAGCCGAGTCTGAAGCTGAGGAGATGGGGAGAGGCGGGTTTTCGGGACGGAGATATCTGGACGCGTTGACCATTAGGCAGGCTCTGGCTATGCGAGATAGGCAGGGAGTTCCGGAGGGGGAGATCGAGAGGACATTGAGACTTAGGCAGGGGGTTGTGGGGAGGATTGGAGGCAGGAATGGGGTTTTTGGGGTTCCGTGAGTAGGTAGGCCGTTGGGTTTGTATTATATATATTATGATGGGTTTGATTGTATTGGTATGGGATGAATGGAGTACTTTTGAATTTGGGGCTTATGAGCGCTCCTCTCTCCGTGTATCATAGTTAGGGTATCTATTTGCACGTATTAACCGCAGTTTTGAACATCAAAACCGCTTTAATTCCTTATTTCAACCCGCCCCTTCATCTATCATAAATCTATAATAACACGCCCCTTGCAACTGCTTCCACTTCTTCTAACACCGATTCCTTCTCGCCGGCCGCATCAACAACCACCACATCCCTTTCGTCGACCTCTGGGCTCTCCAATGCCTCTAGCTGCGAATCAACCATATTTGATTCCATGTAGTGCCCCTCCTTTTTCGATCTCAAGACCAACCGCTCCTTAAGCTCCGCTTTACGTTCCTCCCCAACAGATAAATGGATGAATGTCACGTTCACAGGATTCTCGAGTAGATATGCTAGCTTTCGTAGCTCATCACGGTAAGCCCTCTTCAGCGCGGAGCACGTAACTACCACTCCTGCTAGCCCACACGGCTGGAATAGACGGTCCATAACAGCTCCACGGATGTGAGATAACCATTCCCATCTATCCAGATCTGATAGGGGGTTTCCCGCTGCCATCTTCGCTCGGGAGACGCGGGAGTGCAGGTCATCCCCTTCTATTGTGGTTGCGTTAAACTTTGTCGCGAGAGAAAGAGCAGCGGTGGATTTGCCGGAGCCACAGGGGCCCGTTAGGAATATTACATTGTTAGATGAAGATCGGTTCAAACAAGGAGTGAAAGACCAAGCTTGTCGGCGGAAATACTGTATAAACCGAGTTACAAAGTCCTGAGTCATGCCTGCCGCATTGCGGAGGGATGGGGCAGCAGACTGGCATTTTTTCGTGTCGTATAGAAGAACGCGTGCTGGTAAATCGTTGTCGTATTTATTTGCGAAGAAGCTGAGGAGCTTAACAGGTGGGTTGATTGTTGGGTCAGGGTTTGAGGCACGGAGACGGGCAAGCCATTCGCGTTTAGGGAGAGCCTCGAAGGTTAGACCGGCTTGTTCTAGAAGCGGTAGAAGGTCTTGAGTCCAGTGGTTGAGGGTTGGATTTGTGACATTCATGACCTCTGCCGCTTTTGAGGAGAGTGTTGCCTCGATAATGCTGGATGCGACGGTGTCGACTGGTGTCCATGAAAGGACATCGTCCAGGAGAGGAAGCGCGTTGATAGTTTCGGCCGTTTGAAAAATCATAGGAATAGCCTCAGAGGCGTTCCAGATGCCATGATTGGTGTCAGCTATAATTTGACCAACACGTAACACTCGCGATGAAAGTGTAGTTTTGCGGCATGCTTGATTCACTATGTGCTCAGTCACCAGCTTTGATTGAGCATACCCCATAGACTGGGCATAGGTAAGGGACTCTGGAAGAGCTTCCGGAATCCAGTTTCCAGGTGTGCGAGCAACCGTGCTGACAGATGAACAGAACGAGAACTTCGCTGGCTGGGGGCGTCGTGTTTCCAAGCAAAGGTCCAACAAGTTGCGAGTTGCTGCGATACAGCTCTGCTCAAAGCTCTCTAGAGCCCAGTTGAAGTTGACAGACCAAGCACAATGTATCACTGCTGTGACCGAGCTAATAATATCCTGGTATACTGCCTCGTGTAGCCCTAAACGGACCTTGTTCGAAAGGTCTGCGGGCAATGCAACAATTTTGCGTTCTGCATCAGGGCTGAGATCGGATAGTACAAACCGGGCATGTAGGCTTTGTCGCACCCGATGGAATGCTGATAAGGGCGAGTGGGCGCGAACGAGACAGTATACCTTGCGGACGCTTTCCGATTGAACTAACTGGGCAACAATATGTGCGCCCAGGGAGCCTGTAGCGCCAGTCACAACGACATATTCGCCGTCGTCATTTCTCGGAACTGGAACATGTTTTTTGAAATCACGACCGTACATTTCGATAAGATCGGTCATTCGCTCCTCGATCGGTGTTTGCAGCTGAGGACCGCTGCCCAGTCTTAACCGAGTAAGTTCGCGGGCCATCGCCTCAATCGATGGGTTCTCGAAGACGAAGTTCTGGGAAAGTTTCTGGCCACCAAGGCTCAGAGTCTTCAAGATAATACTTCGCAGACGGAGAGACTGTAGGCTGTCAACGCCTAGGCTAAACACATCCGTTGAATCCTGTAATGCAGAAGGCTCAACTGAGGCAACGTCAAGAAGACTGTTGCGGAGAAAAATCGTTAACTCATCACCTTCCAGTACTTGGTTTCCGCTCGCATCCTCTTGGTCATAAACCTGGTTAATCTGCTCCGCGAAATCACGGTAGAAAGCAGAGCGAATGACAGTGCCTTTATCCGTCTTCCGGTAGACTGCATCTGCAGGCAAAATGCGGATCATATCTCGGGAGATGTATGCGTAGGCAGGGCTCTCTGCGTTGCATTTTTCAATTGCCGGGAGTACGGAGTCAATTATTTGATCATCCGTTTCACCAGCATGCCCTTCGGCGCGAATCAAAAACAGCCCAAGCCTGGACCTGTTTGAACCAAAGGCAACAGCTTCTCCCACATTTGAATGATTGCGGGCAACCCCCTCAATAACCAATGGGTTTGCTTTCTCACCGTTCTCAAGTACAAGCGTATCATCGAGACGAGCATAATATCGCCACGCGTTCTCCTTTGTTGGGTGTTTTTCGAATAAATCCTTAGTGGCATATGCCCCGTCTGGCCGGTTACTCGCCACCTTTGATGGCCAACCTTCAAGAACGCAGAGTTCATAGATTCCAGGCATCTGCTCCTCCCATCGAATATAGGGCAGCAATGTCGGCCCTGGCCGAACATAATCCCAGTCAATATCCGAGCGCTCGCGAAACGAAGTCATGAGCTGTCCTGTTTCTGTAGTTCCGTAGTGAGAAACAAGTCGGACTCCGTTCTGAGCAAGTTTATCACCAATTGGCTTTGGGCAGGATGAGCCACCGAACATCACCAGCTCCAACCGTGCAAGTATCTTCATACTTTCTTCAGACTCGGAAAGCAGTTTCAGCCCATAAGGAACAGCATAGAGAACTTCGATCTCCGGATGTTCCTGGAGTGTCGTAAGCAAATACGGACCAGTCAACGGAAGGTCCGCATTATACATGTATATCAGTTTCTGGGAGTGCATGGCTCGGAAGAGGCAACTAATCCCATGTGCATGGTAAAGAGGAAGCGTGATGAACCCTCTAAGACCAAAATTATTGGCATAATTTTTCAAGGCCCCTGAATGGGTTTGGAAAATAGGTTTTGGATGGCCAGTCGATCCGCTGGAATGAATAATCCATGTTATATGTTTATTCTCAACTGGGCCATCCAGTTGAGCATCCAGGAGTTCCGCCATCGAGTCAGAATAGTCACCAGGCACAAGTACCGGCTGCAGGACAATCCCTGTTCGCTGGGATACATTTTTTGCGACGGCTTGAAATCCAGGGTACGCGATGAGGAATGAAGCCTTGGTGCTTTCAACCAAACTGACATATGCGTCCTCGGCAATTCGCGTCGATAGTAGAAGAACCGTATGTCCCAGTCGGGAGACGGCAAGTAATGCGATCAGGTACTCAAAATCCGAAGGGCCGAGTAAGCCAACAACTTGCACAGGATCATCAGATGTCCGTCGTTGAGGAATCACACGTGCGTATTGGACCGATGCAGCCTCGACTAGATGGTGCAGCTACACCATGTGTCCGATTAGTATATTTAACAACAGTGCTTCTCTTTAAGAGATAGCTAACTCACCTCGCGCGGTGTATAGTATGTATATTCCGTGGCCTTTGACGGATATGCCACAATAGGCTCATCAGCCTTATCACCCTCCGCGCGAGCCCGCAAAAGATCATCGATTGTGTATATCGCGCGTTCTTCAACTTCCGTCGCTGAAGTCGCGGGCGACGAATTGCTACCCGACGTCAAGACATCGCTTGAGGGTGCTGAAGACGGAGTCACCGGTCGTGGTGCGGCTAGTGACGCCATGGTGGTGATAGTTATTCGAATGGATGGTTGACAGAAGAATTGGATCAAGATAGGCAGTAACTTATAACATCAGCGACGGGGAAGCCGTGCTCGGATACGCAATGTCCAAGACGGATCGGGTTGACGTCCATATTTGCAGATATGCCGACTCTGGAGTAAAATCCGGAAAATCGATTCCATTGCGGGTGAGTTGGAGTGGAAGTTGGGGTTGTGGAGGCCGTTTGTCTCTCTTTTCCGCCAGGAACCCCACACGCTGGCGGATTTCCCCATTGTAAGGAGCGGATATCCGCCGAAATCCGCATTGACATTCTTGATCACGTATACTTGCGTTACTCATCTAATTGATCGTAGTTATCCGATAGCACAGACAAATGTTCAAGGTAGATCTGGTCACTAGTCGAGAGGCAGGTCAAGAAGGGAAGGGGCGACTAGCTGAGGTCGTCGGTCTCTCCTTCCTTTCACCACGAGGTCTATTTACATGTCCGAAAAGGAAAGTGCGACCATAGATCGTCATTTCCTAAAAGCTTCATATAAAATGCTACATGTAATGGAGCAATTACGGCTGTGAACTGGGACAGGGAAGGCACTAGTAGGCTGGATAGGCTATCCTACATGATTTATGACGGGCTCTGTACAAAAATGCAGTTCGGTAAACCTCAAATGTGTGTTACATTTGCCAAGCTATTGAAGTATTCAAACAGTAAACTTTGTTTTATTCACAGCAGCAGCATCCAACGCAGCCTTCCGCACTGTTTCTTCGCCAACCTCCTCGAAAATGTCATACCCCCAGAAGGCCGGGAAGTTAAACCGCTTATGACGCTCGAGGGCCGAGAGAGTCGCGAAGGCGTCGTCGGGAAGATGCTTAACTTGTAGGTTGGCTGAAATCCGGGATGGCGTGACACTCTTGGACAAGACGACGGTTCCACGCTGCACGCCCCAGCTCGCTAGGAGCGGTCCGGGGTCCATGTTGAGCTGTCCCGCAACGGTGTGGACCATTGGGTCATCGACTGTACGCGGCTCGCCGGTCTGGTTGTTTCCTAGTGGCGAGTAGGCTTCAATGATGATCCCTTTGCTTTGGCAGAAGCGAAGAAGATCTGGTTGTTGAAGGTACGGATGCGCTTCAATTTGGTTGGCAGCGGGGACGACGGTGACTTGACTTAAAAGCTCTTCGAGTCGATGAACATTGAAGTTTGAGACACCTATAGCGCGGACCTTTCCGGAGGCAATAAGTTTCTCCATTGCCTTGTATGTGGTGATATAGTCAACATCGGCTAGTTGAAAGACGCCGTTGTTGTCCAAGGGAAACCACTTGTCACCGGATTTGAAGGCACTGAGTTTGCAGTTAGAACAGTGTGCGTATACTTAATAAAGAGTATATATTACCAAGGCCAGTGCATAAGGTAAAGGTCAAGATATTCCACGCCCAAATCTTTCAATGTCTTATCTAGTGCAGACTCGACATCTTCTGGTGCATGTTTCGTATTCCACAGCTTGCCTGTTATGAAGATTTCCTCGCGATTCACTCCGGACTTGCGAATACCGTTACCAACCTCTGTCTCATTACGGTAAATAGCAGCGCAATCGATATGACGGTAACCTTGCTTCAACGCAACTTCGACTGCATGTTCCACCTCTAACGGCTTGGCTTGCCATGTTCCGAATCCCACAGCTGGGATCTTGGCACCAGTGTTGAGGGTGAAATGAGACGGAAGAGACATTTCGAAATAACAAACTTAACAAGAAATTAAGAATTGAAGAAATATGGGACTGGCGGGGGTATCTTCTTAAATCCTGTGTCCGGGAGGCGTCGGAAAAGCATGTCGGAAAAGCGGGCTCCTGTGTGACCCAGGACCGAGTCAGAATCGGTGGATACTCATAGGTGCATCTTCAGCAAATTGCTAGTATAGATATAGCTGATAGATAAATGTAACCGTTCTATTCTGAGCCCTCAAGAATTATAAGTCTGGCTGGCTGGCACAGGAGGGGGTTATCATCCCATATAGGCTGCTAAACCGGGTCAGCGATACCACACATATTTGTTCATACATTAAAGAAAAAGAACTTACTAATTGGCAAACTATCAAGCTGCGGCCAAAAATCAAGCATCAGATCTTTATCCGCCGCAAAACTATCAAACAAGCCCTCTGTCCGCGGATCCGCAAAGTAGGCATCACCTCGAGTCATGCCTGAGAATGGGACGAAACTCTCTTCCGGATCGACAAGAGGATAATCAGTTGTCATCCTCTCCGCATGTTGTAAGTGGCGACGACCTGGAGTGGCAGGCACTGGTCTGGTGTCGCTCGCGGGGCCGAGAGCTGAAGGGAGGTTCCTGGAATGACTCGGCCCAGGATGTGTGCTTGTACCTTCCGCAAAGGGAGATCTTAAACCTAAGCGCTCCAGCTCTCGTCTGAGGCCTTGCAGGATAGCGCTGTACTTCCAAGATGGCGAGTTCCGCACCGTGGCATCGGCAAGATGGTATTGGGCCGTCTCGGATAGGTTATATAAAGTTTGCTCATCAAGAGAAGGCAAATTCATATCGCCCGAGGTGTGACCAAAACTGCTACCAATTGGAGTAATTCTTCCACGTCGTACCTGGATAAGGTATATATAAATAATAGAAAGGGCATTGAACGCGATATACTGGGAATACCAAAACGCATGGAATAACTGGTTTTCACAGACGAAGGTGAGAACCATCTCAATTGCGTCTCGGGCTGCGGTCAAGCAAATTCCAAGATACTGCGCATAGCCAGCCGCACAGTCAGGCCAGATCTGTCCGTAGTTACGAAGAAGCAATGGCCGGGTGATAAACATGAGTAGGTGATAGCGTGCCAGTTGCAGGACTGTTAGCTGACGCTGAAATACCGGAACTAGGCTGCTGGGGTGAATATCCCCGGACAAGATGGGTGGTAATCCAACATGCCACTCATCGACATTCGCGCACAAGGCCCTGATTGTATTGAGCTGGTCTCTGTTAGAGATGCCCGCCACTATGTAGGGCTCCTTTGCGGCCTGGGAGAGCGTTCTAGCCAGCAGTGCGTGAAGCACTGGAGCATCCATTACGCAATCTCGTTGTGGGCTTTGGATTCTCGTGGGCAAGAGGTCAATATCATTCACTCGAGCTGGAAGCTCCTCGTCCATGTCCCCATCGTGCCACAAGCGCGGCCTCCCTAGAATGACACTGATGTATTTGTCAAGAGTGTATGAGCTCCATATAATTCGTCGGCGACATTCTCGTTGTATGAGATTTTCGTCGTCGTTATCCTTTCTGGCGCGTCTGCTATGGAACCCTAGAGCCATCATAAGTTGGATTGCTGTACCGAGGGTGAACCAAGCCTTGTTTGCGCGTGAGGTGCTCAACAAGTAGAGTACCATGAGAAATCGTGCCTGGACTGATTCAAGTCTAGGTGCACCTATCTCCTGGGAAAGGAGTTGCTCCGCTTTAACGAAGTAGAGTTCACTGGTTTTCCAGCCAGCATCATCCGCGTCTGTCATGCGACCATTTGTATCCGGGCGATACATGGTCGCCGTGCTGAAAACCATCAGTAGTGTGGCGTAGTAGGCGGATGATTCCCCGATCAACGAATTGCGGTCAACGTGTTGTGTCTCTTCTCCATATAACTCATTCATCGCTCCCTCGATTGTTGGCTGGTGTAATGTCCGGTAGGTCGGGCAGGCGAACTCGAAATATCGACGGACCAGACCTTCTGCCTCTGCTCGGTCCGGCCATGAAAAATTCGCAAATTGGACATCTGGAGCCATGCGGTCACCAAAGTGGAATATAGAGGCCTCCGAGGCACGGTCCGAGCCTCGCGAACCCGATACCACATTCGACTGGGTCGCCGGGAGGTCGCGCACTGCCTGGTCCAAGAACGAGTGAGCTGAAGTCGGCCCCCAATACTGGTCGATAACGTCTGTTGAGAGTCTTCGGTCCGGAGGGGCATACGGCGTTGTCGATTCACTTTCAGCATCCTGTGTGGTTTTTCGCAGGACTGGGGAATCGTGTCTCGGGCGCGAGTTGGATGGCGGAGGAGTAACCGCGATGCCGCGATGATAGCTCGTGTCGTACGTACAGTCCACCTTGCGGCGAATGCATGGAACACAAGGGATGTTCCCAGTGCACGCTTTCTTTTTGGACTTGCAAGCATCGCAGGCTCGTGTCACCTTTCGCGATTTCCGCTGCCGGGTGTCTGGAGTGGAGCGTGAAGCTACCGAAGAGGGTGTCCCTCCAGAGACCAGAATCGCGTCGGGACGTTGAGAAGTTCTTTCATCAGTGTCCATTTTGCATGACCCTGTCGATTTCCGCCTTTTCCAAAATGTGTCCCCATCGGTTGGTATCTGTACTCTATCGGTTTGGTGTACCTTGTGCGGGGAAAAGAATCCGCCGTTGGCTTTTCCGACACCAGATGGCGGATTTCCACCCTAGGGCCTCGGCTCTTTCTAACAATAACCAACCGGTTTTGTTCAAAGCCTCTACTGGGCACGTGGTATTAGACATAGTTGAAAAATATGCTCGGAACTTGAAGGTCCTTCCCTACCCTTGCCCCCTCGATTGCTCTAGTTTGATGCCGCGTCGGAAGTTGTAGTGATGTAGTCAAATAAACATTGTTTTAGCGTATGGCTAGAAATAGGACCAGTGTCACCAAATTAAAGCAAAGTAAAGTATAGGAGTTGTCTGAAGAATGTTTTTTCAATGGCAATATGACTGGCATGGCGGGTGCCTAAGGAGCCTTAGCATTCTGCTTCATCATAACGGATGACGACGCTCTAACAAGCAATCGCCCGGCGAGGGTCGAGTAGGATAATCGGACGATGCTCTGTTGAGCGCCCGTCAGGCTACGGTGAAGGTGAAGAAACTGACAATGACCTGTTTGTACGCTCGTCCAGGTCGAGAAGAGGACGATGCTCTTTTGAGCGCTCGTCGGGTAAAGGTGAAGGAGGAAGAAACAGACGATGTTCTGTTGAACGCTCGTCGGGCGAGAGGGAAAGTGAGGAACTGACGAGGCTCTGTTGAGCGCTCGTCCGGGTCGAGGAGCTGACAACGCTCGAAATGACCAGTTGTCCAGGAAGATGAGGAGGAGGACAGGAAGAGCTGACATCGTGGACTCTAAACGAGTAATCGTCCAGGGCCAGAAGACAGTAAGGCACTGAAGGAGAGGAGGGACACCCCAAAGGCGGCCCCAGGAAAGAGCAAGGTGAGGAAGGAAAACAAGATGAGGATTTCTGAAGATAAAAGTCTTTTTGAAAATGGGTTTAGTTGTGGGCTCCCGTCGCTAACACTGCCGGGATTCCTCTACTGCGCTCATTAGGGAACAGGGCTATATAGAGTCATATGTTTTTTACCACCCTTGAATGCAGAGGCACCATATATACCTGTTCAACATATACGATGAGTATTTCCTTCCAGGCTCGCATACTTCGGTTGGGTAGATACTGGTAGGACTGGGGAAGTCAACACGGGACTGAGCTAAGTACATGGACGCGGTGGACAAGTATATACTGCTGTATCCAACTACAAAACAGCCGCGCTACTCTTAAATGTCTACACAGGTGATCTGTTCCATCAAAAGCCTACGAGGTGGCAGTTCCGTACAACATTTTTGGAGCTTTAAGTTGAGTAGACTGGTTTACCCCGATGACATGCGCATACATGTCTCGCCTCTGTTACTTCCAGGCTTTTATCCCCAAATATCAGGAAGAGACTGCCTGCATACGTGGAAATATCACTCGTTAACTTGCGGAAAACATCCACGAAGACTGCGAAAGGCAGAGCATCTCGTAGCGTTGGTTTAGACAAGAGCACTGACCTGGTTATGTGCGCGTACATTCGGGCTGTGTCACCAGATATATGCGTTGTCAACGACAACCATAATGGTCAGTTCTAAGTTCAGATTCGACGGCCAATTTCAAGGCTCTCTTACAAACTGATCCAGTGCATCAGCTGGAACTTGGGCTAGCAGCTGACAGCATTGGATTCAGTGACCATTTTCGTGAATTGTGAGATACCGGACGCGCAATCAAGGCATACAGTGAAGTCTTCCGTGGGTGTGAATAAGTAATATCCCACACCTTATTGATTATCGCAAGCCACTCAGAAGTTTTATCCTGAAATTTCAGGTAGCGCAGACGGCGATGCGCATGTCAATGTTTGCCGAGTGAGTGGTGGACCGCAGCCTGTGTTTGCGAGTAGTTGGAATTAGGAACGCACTCTGCCCTATCGATCGACGTTTGACCAGCCAATAGTGACTTTATCATCTTCGTCGCATGGTCAGGCGTTCCTTCACCCCTCGCCCCGTACCCAGAAGTAGACCGAGGGAAACCGAGATCAGGTCACTGGTCCAGCGGCAATTGTAGACATCTCACAACAAGCAGTACTAGCAGGAATATCAAGTGGTAAACGCAGGTGATATATGTCCCACTACTTATTTCCAATCTCTCATCCCATAGGCGCCGATATAGAAACTTGTAAACAAGGCTGGCAACGTGGCTGTGGCTTGCGAAACGCCCGCCCCATGGAAGGCTCCCGTGAGCCATGGCGCTCCCACCAAACCTGAATTTTGAATTCGCCAGTGGCGCCTTGGATGCATTGGAAATTTTGTCTACCCAACGAAGTAACCGTGCTGCAAACGGCCGGAAAAGGAAGCCGCGTGAATGATTAGAGCCACGTTAGCGAGGTGAAGGGACTCGACGAGAGGCCCCTAAGGGCAAAGACGGGAGTTCTCCCGCCCACCAGATTCGAACGAATCGGCCATCGTGAACGGTGAAGCAGGCAAAAAATTTTGCTTGTCCCCATGACCAAATGGGTACGCAATGTACTTTTGCACGAACAATGAACCAAGAAGTTGTTTTCTTTTTCCCGAGCCGCGGCCCCGGGCCCAACGCTTTGTTTCTTGGGGCGAGGATCGTTGAAGTCATTTGGCAGCTGGCGTCAACCACTCCGTCTGATCCGTGGATAACTCGGAACCGATCAGACGGGGCATCCCCCCAGAGTCAGGCGTGGGATCTACACCGTATTTGTGGGGAAATCTGGAAAGCCAGGGTGGGAAGCCAGGGAGAGCCAAGGGCTGTCATAATTGGTGGTTTTCTGGAACTTGGACTCGCCAATCAGACCTGGTTCAAGGCTGTCATTTCACGACCGGGGTGCAGTCGGCTAATGGGAAGCTGGTAAGACGTGGAGACGCGACACTGGGCAGTCTGGGGATTTTGGAGTTTGGGAAGGGTGGGGTCATGTGTGGGTTACTCGGAGCTGCCAGATCGGACACTAAGTGGGTGACGCAGCAAACTTAGGTGAGTTTATCCCTTTAGTTGCTGTCACTAAATGGTTGGGCCTAAAACGTTGGGGAAAGATGTGCAAGATTATTTCAAGTGCATTTGGCTTAAAGGTGAAAATTAAATACATGTTTCTTGGAAAAAGGACCGTCTATGTAGACCATTGCAAACCTTCGCTAAACACCGCGATCGCTAACTCTGCTCCGCCGGATGATTACTGTAATTAGTTAGGAAACAAGAAAAGACAAGAAATAAACAAATCGCCATCGCTTCCTGAAACGCCATGCCATGATACCTTGTTGGGCGAGCAGTCAGTCGTAAGTAAATCGAAAGTATGTTCAGAGACACAGAAACAGAAGCAACAAAGAGAATGAGACTTGGCAGGTCGACTACCACGCGGCGTGGCCACCGTCCATGCGCAAGTCGCTTCCCGTCATGAAACTGCTAGCATCACTGAGGAGGAAGACAGCAGCACCCCGGTACTCCTGAGGGGAGGACAGGCGTCCGAGCATGTTGTGCTTGGGCCACTCATCGCGGCGTTCAGGGTACTGCATAAAGAGCTGCTCAACCATGGCAGTGACAATATAGCCGGGAGAGATAGTGTTGACCCGGATATTGTACTGGCCCCACTCGGAGGCGAGGTTACGGGCGAGTTGGATAACGGCAGCCTTGCTGGCGTTGTAAGCAGAGCAGATGAGGCCCTGGAGAGGAAATACAGTTAGCTAGACAGCCAGTGATAATCGGGTGGTAAAGCGGGGAAAGTCACCCCGACGAAACAGGATATAAAGAACTTACCCGATTGGCAATAGTACCGCTCATGCTGGCAATTAGTGCAATGCTTCCTCCGTTTCCAAAGCGAATCATCTGTTTGGCGACTGCTTGGGCGGTCATCATGACACCAGTAACGTTGACTTCGAACATTCTGTTCGCATCCTGTGATGTATAATCCAGGGCCGGGGTCTCCTGCTGGATTCCCGCAGCAGCAACTAGGCCGTCCATACGACCCTCGGTGTTGGCAATTGCTTCGATGGTGTTGTGCAGAAGTTCTGTGTCACGAACATCGATGCGGCGGTACTGGAAATCAGTGCCCAGCTCCTCCTTAGCACGCTTCTGGATGTCGTAGAATTCAGGAGACTGAAAAAGAGAGTATGTTAGAATCTGCCACAATACATGGATTCGGTGTTACTCACGGGCTCCTCAAGGCGGTCCAAAGCGTAGACGCGGGCACCAGCTTCAAGCAGGGCTTCTGCCTGGGTCAAACCAAGACCACGAGCAGCGCCAGAAACACAGACAACCTTTCCAGCAAGGCTAAACTCGGGAAGTCTGTTGCCGCCGGCGACGGATGGCGTAGCCTCCTGCTTGACAGGTACCACAGGGGTAGAAGTGGTTTCAATGGAGACGGACATTGCTGTTCAGTGTTTGGTGTGTTCAGGATGTGACGACGTGAAGAAGTGTGCCGGGTACAAAGCGGGTGCGTGTTTCAAAGGAAACCTTGAGAGGGAAGAAGTACAGGTATAAAAGGTTAAGCTGGCTTTGATGCAGATATTACCCTGTGAAGATGGATTGAGTGTATAATAGATGAAGGGAAGGCATTCCGGGAGAGACTGGAAGCAAGACTTTATACCTGGCTTGACAATGGCAGACTACATTGAGCCCAGCAGGTCATGGGAGCTCATGTGAACAAAAAGAAACCAACAAAGGTAGGGTCGAGTCCAGACCCGGGGAATGACAGAACAGGTTCCACCCAGAGGTCACTCGACCAGCAGTCCATGCTGGTCGATGTACCTTGCTGGAGTAACCTTGTCGAATTGATCCTTATTTTATTTTACTTTTATTATTCTGGCTAGCTACTTGTGCTTTTGCTATTCCAGGCAGAAATACCTGATGATATCCCTAACAAAATCCAGAGAGTATAGGAAACAATCACCTGAGACAAAGTCACAAAAGTGAATGACAATGCTTAAGGACTTTGAAGATTAGCGTGAATGAAATCATTATTTGTTCATCAATTGGCCTCAATTTACAAAGCCGGCTGGGTAATTCCTACACAGAACCCAATCATGATGGACAAGTCAGTCAGGTGATGGGGTGGCCGGGATTCTTGTTTGGGGCAATCCGCAGCTGTTCCTTTTCCGACTCCCGGGGGCAAACTGGCTGGGGAGGCTTAGAGCCGGGTTGGGGCAAGCAAAGACAGGTGGCGGTCGAGAACCCTCCATACGTTTCTTTTGCAAGTGGTCACCAGACTGGACAGTTCGAGAAACTAAACGGACGCTTCGAATGTTCCATGAGGAGTCGGGCTGAGGCTGGGGTTGCGGAGATCAACGCGAATCCCTCGCCTCCGCAAAGGCCGAGGGCAGGTGGCAAATTGTGACTCGCGATCGTTTGCTTGAAGAGAAGTTTCAATATTTTGTCTCTCGACCTTGTCAGATATGATATCCCCTCCGCCATCTCTCTTGGTACGGAGCAACTCCGGGTTCCTGGGAGAGTGGCATTGAGCCAGATTCGGTAGTCCGTGCTTGTGCCCCAGCTGCAGTGGATTTATCTTCAGGTCACCCGACAAGCTTATCCAGGCATTTTCCCTATTGGCCAATTCCTCTTCGTCTTTTTATTTTTATTTTGAGCCCGGATTCTGGGACTGGTCTGCGTCTCGCGGCTTGGGCCTCGACTCAGTCCGATCGTTTGCATCAAGCGTCTCTGTCCATCGTTCAACGATTTGTCTCTTCGAATGTACATGGCCCCATGATTCATGGGCAATTTCGCCAGGTCTTAAACCAAGCTCAGGAGCTACGTCCTAAAAGAATATCGAGGAAGCTCCTCCCGAGCGGCGAGATCCCTGATATTGCTTCTAAGTATATCCCTGTCGTGAGATGTTTAGGCTCACTTAGTCTTTCACACCTTACCTAGTCCATGAACGGTTTCCGCTGCAGCGCCGTGTGACCCCCAGATTCTAAGAGTGCTTCCGTTTCAAGGAGGAAAAGAAGTGCCGCTTAACCGCCATGCTGAACTGTCACGACGGTGCCCGGCCCGGGCCCTGGATTCCTTTCTCGGTAAGCTAAAAACGGTGCCAGGAGCCCGAGGCGGGTGCCACCGCTAGGCGCCCAGGCACCATCAGTCTCTGGTTGATCGAAAGGCTAGTCCCTTGCCTGGCCATTGGTGTTTACCTGCAATGTTCAAGGTTTCACTCTCAATGTCCCCCTGTCCTTGTGAGAATATCGGTCTTCCTGATTGACGCTGGTATCTCAGATCGTCGCTAGAGGCCGAAGAACGTGTTCCGGCTTCTTTGCCGCTTACGCGATTGTAGATCTAACTGTATATTTAAATACACGGGCTCGCGCTCGAAATTAAACAGGAGTCAGAATGGCCTGCTAGGTTTTTTTTGGAAAGATGATCTTCTCCAGTTCAAATTGATGCGCTGTTCCGAGTGTTCGGCAGCGAAGTGCGCAGGGACCGGACCGTCCGTTTCCGGCCATGAGAGCAATATAATACTTTTGTCAGCAGTAGTAGGAGTAGTTACCTTAATTCTACCCGTATATCTGGAATGACACGTACGAGAAAGAAGACAAAAGTACCCCTTCCCTCTGGCTCTCCGCCGGGAAGGCCTCGCTAGCGTTGCAAGATCTCAGAGAGTCTAGACCGTCAGTCTGCAATCCACAAATCATGCCAACTCCTTGTCTAGCTGATAAGGACCACTGCTCAAGGCAGCCTGCGGACTGCTGACTGCGGAAATATAGGATATTTAGACCCGCTGCCGAAAGTAGAGATCGTGATACTCAGTCTTAAGTAAACACACGGACACTTCCACCATGTGTATACTATGAAAAGAATCATCCCTTTTATTCTTTAAGAATTTGTTTTAGTCAGCCTTTCACATAATAGTTAAATACTAGAGCGAGGCTATCGTAGGATAACAAAATTGCATGCATAATATAAGGGAAATAACAAGCTTGACTAGCACAGAAAGACAAGGCAGTTGTTTTCATCTTATTTTGAAGCCAAACTATTAAATTCAAAACAACAGGAAAAAGATAAAAGAAGGAGCTGCGGTCCTACCATTTGCCCCTTTTTTCCAGCTTAAGGCAAGAAAGAAGACCTCACAGTGTGTATCTAAACATTCTTCTCTCCACGGTATTCCTCATCACCACCGTCTCGCTTCCCATGTTTTTCGTCATCATCTGCAGTGTCGCTCTCATCATCTCCGGGTATATATGCCGGTATCACCTCCGCCTCGCATACTTCGGTCACTCCGAGGTGTGGCAGGAACCTATAACAATGCAGGCTATCAACATAAATAAGACCCGGCCGCGCAACAAAGAGAATCCGCTGGCCGTTGTATAGATCGCGTCGGGGCCTCCAGGCGTATGAGTGGATGATTTTCTTCTCCGAGCTATCCGCGCTCCATATTCCGCCCAGCTCATCAATTCCACGAAGGAAAGGCTTGCCGTTTGTCCAGGTTTCACATTTGATCATGGTTTCGAGACCCTTCCGGAAGACATTGATGAGCCCAGTCCGCCTCTTCTCGGCTTGCATAGAGGTGCCCGGGTATGAGTCCTTGAGCAACCAGCAAAACGGCTCGCTGGCTAGAAAGCTGTCTACGAAGCCGGGCAATGCTGCCTCGTGTCGCCGGGCATTGTACTGACCGAATTCAAGGTCGTGGACTCCGTGGCAGGCTTCTGAGTTGGCGAGCCGCTGGGTCTGCATTTTCCATAGGACTCCGTGTCTTGGGTTGGCTATAAGCACAGTCGAATGACGCGAGTCAGTAAACATAATGGGGGGAGAGGGGACTTTGCCTGGAGCTTTGTAGAAATACTTACTTTTGTAGAAGCGCTCGAAAAGGTACTGGAGTTTCTTTCCAAACTCAGGGTCCTCGTTTGAGTCGTCGGGCCCCCTTTTGCCATCCAAATACCAGAATGGTCTCTCAAAGAAGAGATCGTGGATTGCTAAGTGAATGAGTAACTCGCCCATGAGATCGCCGAAGTGAGCAGCCGCAGCAGGAGGTAGTAACGGTCGAAGTTTGGCCCAATCCATTTGTGCGCAGAAGCCGTCGGCGCGAGTGATCAGACGATGGATCTGATACTCTGGCAGTACGCTGATGTCCGTGATCAGGTACTCAAGAGTCCAGCCAAGAGCCATCATACGTGTGATGCCACAAAGCATCCCTAAGTCTTTCAGGTCAAACCCCCATTCCGCTGCTCCATCAGTAATGAGTGCGTTTATTCCTTGCATGAGATGGCTGTACTGTGGATGCCGTATGATGAAGCTGCACCCGTGTTCTCTCTCAAGGTTTGCTTCCTTTCTCATCTCCTCCACTGAGGGTGGTTCATTCCCGACAGGCTGGGGCGGGCAATAGGTATCCATGGCCTTTCGCTTTAGGTCAGAGCGAGTCTGAACCATGATTTTGGATCGTATATATGTATATGGGTATGGATTCTATTGTTCAAAGATAAGAGAAGCCACTGAGGACACGGATGTGCAAAGGTAAGAAAGCCGGCAGGAGTGAGATCAAGGAGAGGGTGCAGAAGAAAAGAAAGTAAGAATTAACAGACTGCGACAGAGCGCAGTGCGGTGATTATTGCTTTGATTTCGGCTGCTGTCTCTTTCAGTTCTTTGTTACAACTTACAAGACGCCCCAACTCGCCAGCCCGCAGCACCGAAGCAGGCGACTATCCGGACCAACAAATTTGTTCCCACTGCATCTCGGCTGAAGACAGATCGATTTTGATTTCAGGATTGGCACAAGTTAACCTGCACTGGCCCGTTTCACCTTACGACCCAACAACTTCTCTTTCCTTCCCGTTTGCCAACCTTTTACCACACCCGCACAGAGCAAGCTCGCGTTTGTAAATGGGCTAGGGAGAAGGTCCTCGGTAGTGGCTACATCTGCTTTATTAACATGTAGCTTATCATATTCTACCATCGTAGACTCCTCTCTGTCCAAATTCCTTTGGCACTTTTCTGACTCTCATAACCCATCAGTTCTACTGCTCCATATACTGCACCGCGGCCGCATCCCACCAGGCTATCTCACCAAGCTACTTCGAAATTTCACAATGGCCAACAAAAAGATTCTAGTTGGGATTGATTATGGGACCACGACTACGCGTAAGTTCTCGGCCTTGCCCCTCTGTTTCTTCTTTGCACATTTGGTGAATAAGTTCTCTTGATGAAGGTGTCACATACGCCATTTGGGACCCCAGAGATCCCTGGTGTAGAGATGTCAGACTGCTTGACATTGCGGGCCCCGGTGGTATCCCGTCGACAATCGATAATGGACAGGGAGGGTCCTGCACCTGGACCAAAATTCTCCTAGATGCAAACTATCGACACCCAGGCTACCAGAGCCGTGTCTTACGCGAGTTACAAGGCTCGGGGTATCTAAGTGTCCCAGATCCACATTCATGTCAAACTGTCATTATAGAATTCCTGAGAGTCTTGCTCAACAAAATTAAGCTATTTCTACGAAACGTGACCGACTTTGACCGATTGTCAGTTACTGGTTCTCTATCCCCGGTGTCTATTCCGGTGTCGCAAAATCGCAAATGCTAAACGCTATCCAGACTGCTGGTTATACTGGTAGGCCGCAAGACAACGTTTATTTCTTGTCTGAAGGTGAAGCTGCAGCGGTGGCTGTTCAGCACCGGATATCAGATGACAAGGTTCGTTTGCACACGCGCTTCTTTTCTCTCATTTCTTCTCCAAGCCCCTTGGTCCGTTCCATTATTATGGTATGCTTGTTTTCTGCTGGCTAATTCTCACCAAGCTACAACCTGGCACTCCGTTCCTCGTCGTGGACTGCGGCGGGGGCACGACAGTAAGTGCCATGATAATTGCTCGATCTAATCCATCCCATGATAACACTGAATCAGGACGTGACCACACTCGAAATTACAGATGCCACTGGTGTTGCTCGCAGTTTTACCAATTTGGGTACTACCGTCGGTAGGGCCGCCTTTCTTGTCTAAGCTCGCATCGTAGGGCGGCCGAGTACTAATAGAGCTTGCAGGACTCCACGCCGGCGGAACACAGGTCGATTGTGAGTTCGTACTCGTGCTGGAAAACGAACTCAATGCGGTACCCGAAAGAATGTGGGATTTGGCAACTTTGCGTGGAATAATGGGACAGATTGAGCGCCTGAAGTTTCATTTTTTGGGGCGTCAATCTGGCACTCTCCATCTCCCCAAACGACCACAGCTCTTGGATGCTGCGACTATGGAGAGAACTGTGGATAAAGTAGTCGGTCGAATTTCATTGCGTGTTGTGGATACTGCCTGTCAAGATCCCAGGATTAAGGTCTGCTCTTGACTCCGTTGACTCTGGGATTTACATGGGCACAAAGAAACTGATGATCTGTATTTTATAGACAGTCATTCTTGTTGGAGGGTTTGGACAATGCCCGCGTCTTCAAAACAAGCTCAGATGGGACCTGCAAGAGGTAGGCCGTTCGTTGATTGTGATGCAACCGTACCAGTAAGTGGCCGCTGGACCCCGTGTGCTGCTTCGAATGAGAGGCCTTCCTAACACAAATTTCATATTCAGGCATCAACTCGTCTCTCACGGGGCAACCCTCTTTGGCCTCGAATTAGCACATCGGCGAAGCGGACTGTCTCTCAAAAACTACGGCGTGGTGTCCGTGGTGTCCCCTGGTTATGGAAACACTGGAGAAGCCTCGCGGGTGCCCTTCTGGGTCATACGAACGGTTCGTACATCTACTTTCTGGCAAGTTGGCTCACCTTTACGTTACTAACTGCATGATAGAACGACAGGTTCCAGGAACCCGGCCAAGGATGGCTTGACGTCCTACTTCTTTATGACGGCCACGGCACCACCGTTAAGACTATTCCATTGATCGAAAACAATTCTGGCATAGCTCCAAACAGGATAGACGATAGTGAGTTATTTGCCCCTGGTCTTACGTGGTTTGGAACCAAAGGTTCTATATGGCAGCGTGTTGATTATGAGGCAGGCGTCCGCGAGGTTCATAGTATTTGCTGCAACTTGGAAAATATTTCTCTACAGAACTCGACAGTCCCACGCCAACCTCTTCCTGGTGCAGGAGGAACTGTATTCCTTCTCACGGCTACAGTTCACTGGCAATTCATAAACAATCCCTCAAGAATCAAATTCACCGCTGCTATCCTTGGCGTATGCGTTGGGGAGAAGGAGATACATATCAACTATTGATCTTACGGCGATCCTCCAACGTTGTTCCATCGACCATTAGCCTGCCGCTGCTATCTTTGATCTTCCTTGGTTTCTTGGTCCTGTCGTTGGATTTATTTTGTGGCTGATGCATCATTGTTTTCTATTATTGTCGCTCCTTACATTCATTTTCTTTAATCACTACTCGTTTGCGATAGTACATGGCCCGTCTCGTTCTGCACAACTCGGATATTATATCTCATGACATTACTAGCAAGGGCGCAGAAATAGATTGCGAGTCAATCATCTCATTTGGACGGGCAGAATGGTTGGATGGCCTCAGCCAGAGACGCAGAAATTCGCCTGGTAGTAGTCGTTGAGGAGCTGCAATCAATCTAGTAAATCGCCAAATCGCGGACGCAAACCGAAGAAAAGAAAAGAGTAATTGTCATTGTTAGTTCTGACCATGGTCCCTGAAGACTTTATTGGGGATAGATTTTCATCTCGTCTATATTTGTAGGAGAAATTGGGGCTGAGCCTCCTCACTCCCGTCAGCCGCAGTGCTGCCTGTCTGCATACTAGCCTAGTGGGCCGTGTAGCCTGGACAGCCTCATGTCACTTCATCTACCACATATCATAACTAATTGACCTGCAGTCTCCAGCCCAAGCTTCGTACCCATAAACTCACATCTCACAAAACAACCCTGAGCCAACATGGACCCCCAACGCAGCACCGACTTTCTCCCTCCGCAGCCCCCCGCAAACGCAATCTGCCGAGTGATCGACTTCGCAGCTACAGAACCACCACTCCCTGAGTACAAAAGGTACCTCGCGGCAGTCATCGACAACGCACTCACCGAAGCAGAATGCAAAGAACTTCTGCGCTTAGCGGAAGAAAGCTCACCCAATAAGGCCTGGGGGCGGGGTCTCATCAACATTGGAGGCGGCCGCCAAGCATTATCCACAGAATCGCGGAACTGCGGTCGAATCATCCTGGATAGCCCGGAAGTTGCAGAGAAATTGAAGGGCCGGCTTATGCCTTTCTTGAAGGAATTAGGAATCGACCGACTTGAAAAGACGCCGCTCATAACGGGACTGGCTGGTCGAAGGCGTACATACCAGCTCACCCGGTTCAACGAGCGCCTGCGCTTCCTGAAGTACGTCGGGGGTGAATATTTTCGGCCGCACTGGGACGGCCACTACAGGACTCCCGATCGCCAGGAGATATCATACTTCACGGTCCATCTCTACCTAAACGGGGACGGGGAACAGGATCTCAAGGAGTTGGAACGTGCCAATGCTGATGGCCTGGAAGGTGCTGGGAACACGGATTTTAATGGGCGATTATTAGGCGGTGCGACGTCCTTCTTGCCCCGGTATGAGGAAAAAGAGAGACATGCACGAGTATTTCCCAAAACGGGATCAGTTCTGGTGTTTCAGCAGAGCGAGTTGCTGCATAGCGGGGATTCGGTTTTCCGGGGCACCAAGTATACATTGAGAACGGATGTGATGTATGAGGAGGTTACTGAAGCGTGAGACGCACTGGTGCCTACGATGTCGTGGCAGTGTTCTCCTCAGCCCTCCAGGGCTGAAAGCGCAGCCACGTATGCATGATGGAAATGGAAATTGGCTGGCCTGGTTGTCAGCCAACGTCAGCCTGTTGTCTTGATCGAAGTTGTGTCTTGTTGAAGCCTGCATCTGATCCGATATTTATCCACTGTGGTCTTATGCCCAGCATAAATCAGCATTAATGGTCTCCTTCATGTTCCGTATTCCGTATTCCGCGCTCCGCCCGCGTCAGGCACTGTGTACTGTGAACCACAGCTCGGAGTTTCTTCCTCGCCCTCCCTCATCGGCTGCACAAAAATTTCCCAATCTCAATTTCCACCGGCTTACGACCCACAAGTCCAGCCGGCGACATCCACGATTCGAGGAAATAATAATCTGGCAGCCTGGTTGACCGCTTGTGCATGTGCGATGGTGAGCCGAGTTCCTTGGGCATGAGAATCCAAGCCACAATTCCAGCGCAGCGACGAGCTATGTTCGGAATCGGTGTTGTAAATACTGCCTGCCGATTCGTGACAGCTGCGAAGGATGACTCGGAGTGGAGAGTTCTGCAGAACAGCACAGCCGAGCATCCACTTCGCGAGCCACAAGTTCCGATTTCACAACAATTGGGCGCGCTGCTTGCTGGGGCCAACTGCGGAAATGCCGGATCTCCCTGGTCCCATGCCCTGTGAAGGCTGTGATATCATGGTCCGTCCATCGAATCGACGTCAATGGTGATCCATAGTTCATGGGGTTGGCCCACCTTGCTATGCTGCGTCAATCCCTCGGCGTTCTTGGTTACCAAGTTTCGTTAGCATGGCGCTCGTTGGGAGACCCATCATCCCCTTTCCCTTAAATTAGGGGCGGAACAACCTCGTTGTCCCATCTCGCTGATCCCTCGCCCTTGAGGCTAAAGACCCTTCTTTCCCAGACGCACGGTCATTGCCATCGGACACCATTCATATCCTGTTCTCACTGCGCGTGGGTGGTATTTCGTGAGCTACCAAGATGAAGTCCACAGCGACGGTGTTTGCTTTGGCAGGATTGTTGTCCGGTAATTCTCCGAGTTTTATTTTTGTTATGTTATGCCTTGGATACTGATCGCGTTTGAACCCTTTATAGGTGCGACATCGATTCCTACCGATGTTACCAAGGATGTATCGCCCGTAGTCCGGTCGCTCCCAAATGCTCCCGACGGATACACGCCAGACAATGTTACTTGCCCTTCCAACCGTCCCGAGATTCGTCTTGCGACGAACCTATCGCCAAACGAGACGTCATGGCTCAAAACCCGCCGGGACAAAACCCAATCGGCTTTGAAAGACTTCTTCGGCCATGTTAGCGTTGGAGACTTTGATGCGGTCGGGTATCTTGATCGAATCTCGAGCAACTCTTCAAATCTGCCCAATATCGGAATTGCAGTCTCTGGTGGAGGATATCGTGCTTTGATGAACGGCGCAGGGGCTATTAAAGCATTCGACAGCCGTACAGATAACTCGACCAGCGAGGGCCAATTGGGTGGCTTGTTGCAATCGGCGACATACCTGGCTGGTCTCAGTGGTGGTGGTTGGCTTGTCGGGTCGATTTTCGTCAACAACTATACTACTATCTCGGCGCTGCAGTCGTCCGGGGAGGGAGGTGTATGGCAGTTTCAGAATTCCATTTTCGAGGGCCCAGATGAGGGCAGCATCCAAATTTTGGATTCCGCGAGCTATTACAACGACATCTATGACAGTATTCAGGCAAAGGGAGATGCTGGCTTTGAGACATCAATCACGGACTACTGGTATGTTTTCTTGGGCATTTGCTCTTCTAAGAGTTTAGCTAACGTGTTATAGGGGGCGTGCGCTGTCTTATCAACTAGTTAATGCTTCAGATGGCGGCCCCAGCTATACCTGGTCATCGATTGCCCTTGGCCAGGAGTTCCAGGATGCCAACATGCCGATGCCGATTTTGGTCGCGGATGGCCGATTCCCTGGTGAATTGGTCATCAGCAGCAATGCCACCGTATTTGAATTCACTCCCTGGGAATTTGGTAGTTTTGATCCTACCGTTTTTGGATTTGCACCTTTGGATTACGTCGGCTCAACTTTCGTCAACGGCTCCATCCCATCGAATGAAACCTGTGTTCGTGGGTTTGACAACGCTGGATTTGTGATGGGCACTTCTTCGAGTCTGTTCAACCAATTCTTCCTTCAACTCAATGATACCGGCCTCCCAGATTTTCTGACGAACGTCATCGGTGATGTTCTTGGAAACGTCGGTGAAGATAATAATGACATTGCCGTATACTCGCCTAACCCGTTTTACGGCTGGTTACCGGAACATACGGCCTATCCCCACGAGGAAAATCTGGATGTTGTAGATGGCGGAGAGGATCTTCAGAACATTCCTCTACACCCGTTAATCCAGCCAAAGCGCCACGTCGATGTCATCTTCGCTGTTGATTCTTCGGCAGATACAGAGTATAGCTGGCCCAATGGCACCGCGCTTGTCGCCACATACGAGCGTAGCTTGAACTCGAGTGGTGTGGGCAACGGCACTGAGTTCCCTGCAGTTCCGGATACCACCTCATTCGTCAACTTGGGGTTGAACTCACGCCCAACCTTCTTCGGATGTGACAGCAAAAACACCACGGCCCCTCTTGTCGTCTACCTTCCCAACAAGCCGTTCAGCTATCTTTCCAACTTCACGACCTTCACGCCCTCCTACAGCCTCGATGAGAGGGACAGCGCCATCCAGAACGGCTACGATGTTGTGACCATGGGTAACAGCACAACAGACAGCGACTGGTCTGCTTGCGTCGGCTGTGCGATCCTTAGCCGCTCTTTTGACCGCACCAACGAGAACATTCCCGATATTTGCACACAGTGCTTCGACAGGTATTGCTGGGATGGCACTACCAACACCACTACTCCAGCCGAGTATGCTCCCAGTACCATCATTAAGCAGAGCGCTGCTTCCGGCGTTTTTCCTACTGTTTTGACAAGCGTACTTGCTGCGAGTGTTGCGATTATCACGATGGTCTAGATGATTTCAATATATACTTTTCTGTGTACATATATGGATTCTTGGATACTCGAAATCGATTAATTTTGGATGTTACAAATAAATAGTATATCGCGGATTTTAGTAGACTAAATTGCATACATACTGAGTGATTGCACAAAAACGGCACAACGCACGTGCGACGAACCGGGCGTTGTCATGGGCAACAACCACGTGACTTCCTAAACCAGCCACCCGCGACAACACACCGCATGCATTGACTGATCTCCGACGGGCCCGATAATTCTTGCTGCAAGTTAACGACAGCAGACGACACTCAGTAATACGAATAATTTTGCCGTTAACCGGCTCCTTCATATTCTAATAATTTCCGGGACTACGTGCGACCAGTACGTATTTCGGTACTTGGGGCCCTGATCTCTTTCGACGCACCGACACGCGCCCGACCGCCCCACGATGAGCACTTGGAGCTTAAATCAACAATAACTACAGTCTAACCGCGACCACCAGAAATTGACACCACGCAAATTGGAACTTTATATTGGCTTCCTTGCATATATAAGACCGCATTTCACTCAACCCGACCATGGCCCGAGCTGCGGTCATCCCTCAGTCGCCGCCGAAGCGCGCTACGCGTGGCAGAGCTAAGGGGTCAACAACCACAAAGACGGCAGGAAAACAAAATGCGAAAACGACAAAAGCTGTTGAAACGAGGAAGCGGAATGCGCGCATAGCGGTATCACATACGAATTCAGAGTCTGAGGAGGAAACGGAGGATGAGATCGAGGTTATTGATAGTAAAAGCAGGGGAAAGACAGCGGAAAAGGGGAAATCTACCGGCTCCGCCAAGTCAGGAAGAGGGAGGAAGGCAGTGGCTGCTCCTGATAGTGAGAGTGAGAATGATGATGACGAACTTGCTCAGTCTACTGCGCCGAAGAAAAAAGTTGGACGGCCAAAGACCAAGGCTGCGGCAACAGCGAAAGAGGATGGAACTACCACCACTACTACGAAGCCGGCATCGAGAGGGAGGGGACGGCCGAAGGGTACGTCTGTGAAGGTGACGGCTGGTGAAGACCTCCTGCGAGAAAATACGCGGAGGAATGAGCGTCTTCAGGACAGCGACGATTTATCGTCCTCGCAGCAAGGACCGACAGAGATATTCATAGCGACGGGCTCGGCTATGTTGCGAGGTCCGGCAAAGAAGAAGAAAGTCACATTTCAAGAAATGTCGGATTCCGATGAGAGCGAATTCAGTGAAGTGCCTGCTCCCACCACTACGAGACGCAGGAGAGGGACAATTGTCGCGAAGGATGTGGACGGTATTGGTGCGAAGCCTGTTCGTAAAGCCTCCACGCCATCAACCAGGGGTCGTAAGCCTGGACCAGCCAAGAAGGGCGGTGCTAAGCCTCTGTCGCCGAAGAAGGCCACACAGGTAGCGAAAGCATACGCGAGCTCCGACGGCGAGGATGATGAATTGAATGGCGAGAAAGACGCCATTAAGCTTGTGGTTCATTCACCGCAGAAGCGTGGATCGGGCATTACTGGACTAGGATCTCCCGTGAGACGGATCAACTTGTCTCCAAACAAGGCTTCCAAAACAGTTGATGAGAATGGTGAACCCACCGTTCCTTCTAGGAAGTCATTTGACTTTAACGAATCGCAATTCATGTCCAGTCCAGCGCGCCGGCCACCTGCGTCGCCGTTTCACTTCACATTGAAGGAAACACCGAAGCGAGCAGGATTGACTTTCAACGACAACACAAAACTGGCTAGACCAGAATCCACTCCAACGCAAAAATCCCCTCTTAGGACCTCTCCGAAGAAGGCGAAGCTGGGGACACCCGGTCCAGGAAGCTTGTTTGGACATAGTGGTAATGGTGCTTCCCAGCCAAACTCCACCCTGACTCAGAATTCGCCTTTGAAAACGTCTCCTAAGAAAGGAATATTCGGTGCGTCATTTTCGTCTCAACAGCCATCACATCAGGCCTCCACCTCCACGCCTTTGAAGTCTAGCATGCTTTTGAGCCCAGCAAAGAAAGTTGGCACTCCATTCAAAAGCTCATTACCACCTATGCCATCTTCATTGGCCAAGGAATCACAAATACAGGCAGACGCGGATACCGACGACGAAACTGTTTCCATGTATGACGAGTCACCATCCAGGGAACAAAATTTTGAGGGGGGGACTGTCATCGATGCTCACCAGGATGCGCATGGTGCAAGGCTAACGCCTGACGGAAGCCCGGTTACTCGAAGGAGTAGGCATTCAGAAAAAGAAGTTCCGGCCCAGTCCGACTATTTTGGAGGATTCGACAAGGAAGCAGATGAGGATTCTGATGATGAGCTTGCCGCACTCGAAGCTCACGACCATGCTGAAGACGTCGAACATGCGGACCAGCAAATGGAGGAGCTGATTCAAGAGGTTGAAGCCGAATTCGAAGAAACGGATATGCAGGCGCCGTTTGACTTCGATCAGGATGAAGAAGAGAGCACAACCCCACAAGATTCATTCAAGGCGAGCTCTAAATCAGTTAGAGTTCAGGAGGATTCCATCGCAGACAGGCGCTCAGACACCCAAGAAGACGACTCTGACATGGAAGTCCGTGAAGAGCCTACCCAATCAGCGCACCGACGCAGTTTTGTCGATGGGCTTGAGGATGTCTTTACTGAGAGATCTCCTCATCGCGACGCCCCAACAGACAATACCACCCATGATATGGATGACCGTGATAACTACTCTATATCCCATGATGAAGCTCCAGAAAACGTTAGTCAATCTGCGCGCACTGTGGAGGAACACGATGAACCGACACTTGTTGGTGAGAATACCTCGTCTCCCTCGAGGCATCCGATGAGTGCCGACCCAATTCAGCCCTACGAAATCGAAGAAGTTGAACACACTCCGTTTATGAGCTTCCTTTTAAACCACTGGGCGCCAACTCTACCGCTTGTTGAGGAACTCCATTCTACATCAATATCTGTCCAATATACAGAACGTAGATCACCGCGACCCAACACTCCGGAGGACAGCCAAAATGACGTGCCGAATACCCCCTCCGTCTCCAGCACTCTGGAGAGCCAAGAAGAAGAGCTCCAGGACAAATCGCTTCCCACTAAGGGGCCACGCTTTACTTTACTTGCCGAACAATTCAGTCAGTGGAAAGCAAGCAGCCCTGCCAAAGCCGAGACAGACCGTCCTCGCCGCAGAGGTGTTTTCTCACTTGGAAGACCTAGTGATCTTTCGCGCACTACACCTCAAGCACCTAAGACTGATATCTTCGCAAACGCGCCCTCTTTCTCAGCTAAGCTCCGTTCTCAACCAGCACCACATACATCCCCGGTGGTCGATACTAATGAAGAACTTGATATTCACGAAGACACGGAGCATCCGGTTGATGATGAGGTTGTTGAATCAAATACTGAGCACGGTACAAGGAGCCCCATGGCAGAAATAATAGATTATGAAGCCCCAGAGGCTCCTGAGCTCTTTTCGGATAGCCCTCGTGATGAGGCGGAGGGACAACAACCCAAAGCTGTGAACTACCCTACTCTGCAACCATCAGTAGAAGAGGAAAAAGAGAATGATGAGATGTCCTTCGTTCCTGCCACGCCCGCCAAGAACCCGTCTCTCCCGCAGCAAACATTCCACACAATGTCGAAAGTGCCCTTGAAGCCCGAGGGCCAGATATCTCCTTTGAAAATAATGCGAAAACGTGGACGCTCTCTTTCGATAAACTCTCCTGTCCGGTCCTCCCCCAGACTTCGGAATTTTTTGCCTCCACCAAAAGCGCACCGTGTATCAGAGTCCCCTCCACGGAAATCGCCTCGGATTCAAGAGGAGTCTGTCCAGAGATCCCGGTCAAGGGAACCTTCAATCGAAGCACAGCAGGTGCATCGCGCCCGAACGCCTTCCCGATCAGCTAGTCCGACTAAAACACCTCGCAACCAAGTTTCAGATTATGAGCTTTGCCTACGCGGCGCTGTTGTTTTTGTTGACGTCCACACGACTGAAGGCGAGGACGCCAGCGGCATTTTCATCGAGCTCCTCCAGCAGATGGGTGCTAAGTGCATCAGGAACTGGTCATGGAATCCCCGCATGAGCTTGTCCCCAGAGGAGGGTACGCCCTCATTGAATGGCAAGGTTGGCATCACCCACGTCGTCTTCAAAGACGGCGGTGTTCGAACCTTGGAAAAGGTGAGACAAGCTTCCGGACTGGTAAAGTGCGTGGGTGTTGGCTGGGTTCTCGAGTATGTTTCCCCTTTTGTTCCTATTAATGGTTTCTCTAACTTGAAGCAGTTGCGAGCGAGAAAGCAAATGGCTCGACGAAGCGCTTTATTCCGTCGACAGCTCAATCATTCCCCGAGGTGGCGCAAAGCGGCGCAAGAGTATGGAACCTCGGGCACTAAGCAACATCAACGGAACACTTATCAAGTCGGGCATGGCTGGGTCATCAAGCCGCAGACCTTCTGCGGCCTTCGGAAATGGTGCTAGGAGTACCACACCGGAAGAGCCTGGTCACACAGGGGGAGACTATAAATTCTGGCAGACACCACGAACTCCTAGTGCTGCTTCACTCGGATTCAATTTTGATAGCATTGGCATGTCTCCTGCAACGCCTTTCTTCCTGTCTCAGCGGTCAAAGCTTGTGCAGCAGACTTGCCCTCCAAAACAAACACAGCAGGGACTCTTTTCTAGAAATAAAGCAGAGGAGGGACCATCACGTGAATTGAAAACCAAACTGGAAGCTGCGCGACGAAAGAGTCTTGCTTTCAAGCCTCCTGTTGGAAGCCCTCTCGTGGAGTAATTGGCGTTGGGATGTTAGTTTCTTGACGATTTTTTTTCTGCATTGGACGGTTGTTCACGGATATTTTCATATCATACCCCTTTTGCCGGCGCTGTTATGGATTTGTTTTGATAGTATGCTTATTTAGGAATACCCTATCCGAGTACTTGTGCATCAATAGACTTGTCTATCTGCTCTGGGCGACTCACCATGTACTCGTCACGTAGCTGACCCACGGCACTGGCGGCCATGGACAAGCATATGTATATAAGTCCTGAAATCACGTGGTGGTCTCGGGCCGCAAATAACCGCACGTAGCTGTGGCTGCCTGCATGAATCACAAAAGAGATCTTCGATCTTCGAAGTGCTGCTATTTTGCTTGCATGGTTGCTCTGGTGGCATTGACCTCGCCTGTTGCATTCTTGACCGCCATCTGAGTCATAATCATCTACACTCAGTGAAGACATATCTCCTACTTCCCCAATTGTTCTGCTGCGATCGATAAAATTCACAAACCATGAGCGCCGAACCCTGGACCCCAAAATGTAAGCCTGTCATATCTTACTCTTGGGGATACATCCGCTGACGATATTCCACAACAGCCTGGACAGGAAAGCCCATCAAACAGGATGTTGTCTATGACGACGCAGAGGGCGTTCAATCAGCGCTCCAGAAACTCGAAAAGCTTCCCCCGCTTGTCACTACTCATGAGGTGCGCATTTTGTTTCTCCAGCGGTGCTTGTTATTTTCGCACAGATGGGGCAATGTTTTTTTTTTTTTGCTAATCGGGGTGCAGATTGCCAATCTGAAGAAGAGTCTAAAGAATGTAGCTCTCGGCAAGGCTTTTGTTCTCCAAGGAGGTATGGTCTTCACGATCGATATTGTAGTCGTTTTGCTAATATATAATATAGGGGACTGTGCGGAGCTATTTGATTACTGTAATCAGGATATGATTGAGGCAAAGGTCAAGCTGCTTCTCCAGATGAGTCTTGTCTTGATTTGGGGTATGTCCTCTTATGTATTATTGAAGACCATTGACTGATTGTTTGTAGGAGCAAACATGCCTGTCGTGCGTATCGCACGCATTGCAGGGCAATTCGCCAAGTGAGCTTCGCCCGCCTTGCTAAAAACTAAATCAATGGCTAACGGACCTAGGCCCCGGTCAAGTCCTATGGAAGTCATAAATGGCGTCGAAATGCCTTCTTTCCGTGGAGACAACATCAACGGTTTCGATGCCACGCCTGAATCCCGACGTCCAGACCCTTCGCGTCTGGTATCTGCATACTTCCACTCCGCATCAACTCTCAACTACCTTCGCGCCTCGCTCTCTTCAGGCCTAGCAGACCTCCACTCCCCTCTCGACTGGGGTCTTGGGCACGTCATCACACCGGCCATCAAAGAAAAGTACGAGCGCATCGTCACTAGAGTCAAAGATGCCCTCCGCTTCATGCAAACCGTCGGGATCGACACAGATCGCGGCGTAGAGACAGTCGACGTCTACACCAGCCACGAGGGTCTCCTCCTCGAATACGAAACCAGTCTCACCCGTCTCCTCAAAGACCCCACGCCACCAACCCCAAGTTTCCAACCCACCGCATCCACCGCCTCACAACCACCAAAAAGCTTCTACGCCACATCCTCGCACTTCCTCTGGATCGGCGACCGCACGCGCCAACTTACAGGCGCCCATGTCGAGTTCTTCCGCGGCATCGCCAACCCAATCGGCATCAAAATCGGCCCATCAATGGATCCTAAGGACTTGGTTGCCCTGCTTAACACCGTGAACCCAGACCGCGAGATCGGCAAAGTCACACTCATCTCCCGATACGGAGCACGGAACATCGCCGCCCATCTACCGGGCCATATTGCGGCCGTGAAATCCTCCGGCCATATACCCGTCTGGCAATGCGATCCCATGCACGGCAACACGCAGTCCACGCCGACGGGTGTCAAGACGAGACACTTTGAGGATATCTTGTCGGAGCTGCGACAGGCGCTGGAGATTCATCGCGCTAGTGGTAGTTTCCTAGGTGGCATGCATCTGGAACTTACTGGCGAGGCCGTTACGGAGTGTGTTGGTGGTGCCGGGGGGCTGACGGAGGAGGGGCTTGGAGAGAGGTATACGACATTTTGTGACCCGAGATTGAATGAGAAGCAGGCGTTAGAATTGGCGTTTTTGGTTGCGGGTTTCTACAGGGAGATGGAGGGGGAAGAAGGCGTTAATTCTATCTAAGAGCGGTTGGTAGTAATATAACAGTAAAAGTAAAAGTTAGATAGTCTATATTTTCGGGCCTGCCTTGTTGTTCGTTGGTTAGTACTACTCACATACCATATCAATGATACAAAGACATTCAGTCATCATTTAATATATGAGTAGGAGTATAATTCAATACCTAGGCGTCGAACTAACATTAACCTTAACCCCTCCCCACCTCCCACCTCCCAGCCCATATATCGCACTAGTATCACTACCACCTAGGTTCCCAGGCACAATCCTCTCCTGACTCTCTGGCCTCGCAAGCATGGAAGCCCTATATTCATGGAAACTAGTATGCACCTCGGAGATCTTCAAAATGCCGTCTCCCCGCTTGCGTCCCCAGCTATTACCAAGTTCGTATACCGTTGCTGAGTGTGGATGGGATGCGGCCCACCGGGCACCAGCGCGACTCTGACTCCGACTCAGTCTCCTGCTGGTGATTGATACGGGGAAGGATTTGTGGAGGATGGGGAGCGAGCCGATTAGGAGGCCGAGCGCTGATTCGATGATGGTGCATATCAACGACGGGGCTGTTATAACTGTGGATGTGGTCAGTAAGGAAGTATGTATATAGGTGGGTGGGTGGGTGGGTCTGTAGGTAGGAAGTACATGGCATATCAGTAGTATTCTGGACGTAAACCACGATCACAAAGCGCACGAGCGCAGCGGCACAAGCAACAAGGCCTAAACCGAACAGGAGGAGCACGAGGACGCGGTGTCTAGTCGGCATATCCAATTTCCAGACAGTCGGTATTGGAAGGATTAGGAGGATGATGTCAAACAAAAATAACAGCACGCCCTGGTACATGTTTATGGCGAATGTCTTTTCCGCTGAGAAACAGGCGCCGGAGTCTGGGACTGGTTCGATTGTTCGCGTCTTGTCCCAGAAGGCGCGGATGGGGTTGCACTGGAAGACAAGGGCGAGAACTCCAGATATAGCGAAAATAGTAAGGAGTAAGATGAGGTACCGGCTGATGAGTTTGATGTGATGCTGCTGGGGGAAGATGCGCATTGCGGAGGCTGCCAGGCTGACTTTGACGATGGCGCTGACAACGAGGGTGCTGCAGAGGGAGGCATAGTAGATCTTTGGGATGTCAAGGTTTAGCGTAAGTAAATAGCTGGACATAAAGTAAGTACCTTCATCCATACTACTGCATCATCACTGGGGACGTCCTCGTGGTGGAGGCCCAGGCCGTAGTATGTAAAAGTGTATGCGAGGGCCAAGTAGCCATCAACCAGGAGCTGAGCGTATTAGATATAATGAATATAACTCGAGAAAGGTCATACCAGTGCTATAATTACTAGGTAGTCGTCCATTTCGAACGTCTTTACGGCCACCCATCGCTTGTACAGCTATGAGTAGTTAGCAGCAAGCCATGGACGACGTGATATCAACAGGAAGAACCAACCCTGAGACAGCAGACTAGGGTGCACAAAATGGCCATTGCCAGTGCGACTCCCCTAACAGCATCGACCATTCCAGCTGCACCCATAATGAGTCTTTTCAGCACGCCGCTGAAGGACGTAAAGACGTTCAGAACAAGATCAGGTCAAGTTGTCGCAACACGCGAACCCCACTCAGGCACGGTTAAGGCTTAAGACTCCTGCAGAAGAATACGTAATCTAGTCTGGAGTCTTGAAGACTTGAGCGCGGAGTATTCATTCTGGCCTCTTGACTTTCCATTAACGAGCATCGACGTGCAGCCAAAAAACTCCAGGATCCACCGCTGTTTCGACCAGGGTCTGTCGCACCATCACTCCTAGGCGAAGATAGTGGAACGCGGGTCACAATCACCACCCAGTCGTTTCTCCACGATCGATGCACAAGCGAATTTACAAGTCCTGCCGCAGGATCCTGTTGGTCGACGTTGAGAGATTGCGGGCTGGCAGCCAGAGATGGTCCGACGGCCGTGAGGGGAACCCTGGACGGGCTCAAGATGGAAGGAAGTCTTCAAGCAGATAAATCCTGCTTCGAAGAGGCTTTATCCAGAATCAGCATCAGGTTCGGAATTGCACAATGAAATCCCTGTATGGTGTTGCTCGCTTGTTCGCCTCGCAGGCTTTGCTTGTGTTAGCCAGCCCTTGGCCAGCAGTCGAAGGCCGAGCCAATTCTGCAGATTTGATTCTCTGTCCGAGAACAAAAAAGAATTGGCCTGTGACTTGGACTTGGAATTTGTCCTTGCAACGGTCTTCATTTAATTATTTGGCGACAGCGCCCTCGTGGAGGATCGCCTTCATATGAAGAGCATCACACGTGGCAATGGTCGTGCCTTAGCCACTACAACCATCTAGACCTTATATATATTAATAATTAGCCCAAAACGGCTCAATAAACTGTTAGCTATCGCCGGAGTCACCTTAAGCTTCCCGTTCTCTGAATTCTCCTAGATTCTAGCACCAACTCTCTCCGTGCGGGGGACAGATATCTCCAGTGGTGGGGCTAGCTGTGCTGTTGATGCCATTATATATACTCTGTACTCGTCATGCCATGTGCACAACAAAAATCTTACCATATCATTCCTCGGGCCAATTACGATCCCGATATTTCAGACATTGCAGAGGGGCTGTTTGTTTCGAGGATTGGAAGGTTAAATAGAAATTTAATCTATTGAAGCAAGTACGATACCAGAGCACATATATATGGAATGCATGTATATTCAGCAGTAGCAACACCTGGCTAGCGGCTATATCAAAACAAAAATATGCGGTGTAGGTGTAGTAGTACAAAGTTGATATCAATGCCATATCCAATTCAACATATCCATTCAAATCCAAAGCAATTCATGGTATCGCAAAAGGCATGAAATAGGTGAATGCTCGCTGTCTACCAAATCTAACCCAAGTAGATAGATAGCAGACATAGCCAAGAAACAATCTAAATCGTTAGTCGTAACATTGGAGATGCAAATAATCCAAAGTTGGCTTTCATATATAAATGGGATATCAAGCGCCATGTGGTCGCGTTCCAGGGGGCGGGGGAGTTATTGCAACTCCAGGAGGCGGACTAATGGCCATCCCCGGATGCAGAGCTCCCTGGGCCGGCCCCGGTCCTGGACTGGGGCTCGTTGGCATCGTCTGAGATTGATATGCCATCGCAGGCTCATATGTGGGAAGAGCCGGATTAGCAGTACGGGTATATCCCGGGCGCATTTCGAATCCGTTCGCGACATCTTCTTCACTCGATGATGACCAGGCGTCTTCGCGCGCTGGGCGAGAGTATACACTTGGAGCGTAGGGGTTAAGTGGAGGGTATGTTTGGGGAGGCGGAGCGGATTCCGGGATCACAGATGGCGCGGGCTCGTGCATCCGATCGTCTTCGGGGTTCCGAAGCGCGGCGGTGCTATCCGTCGGACCGTACGCACCTGGATATGCTGGCTCGGTGCCCCAAGATCGAATCGGATGGGCTCTACCCTTCTTCCAGGGTTCGGAGAGGGATGGGAAGTATTGCCGGTAGGAGATAGAGGCGCAGATTATACCTAGTAGCGACCCGGTGATCACGTCGAATGGGTGGTGTCGCGCGTCCATAATTCGGGATACGGCGATCAGGGTTGCGCCGAGGCAGGGAAACATAACCAGGAACATCTTCCAGACTTCGCCCTTGTTGTCCATAATATGCAATTTGCCGCCGATCCAAAGCGATAGATAGAACAGACCCGCGAACGAAGCTAAAAGGTTAATAACAAGTTAGTATTTGCAATTTCAACTGTCACGGAAGTGTCTTACAGCTACTATGACCTGCGACAAGTTAGCACCCGCAAATCCCAAGTCCAGAACGCGAAACATACCTGAAGGCCATGACCGGAAGCCATCTTTCAAGATATGAGGATCCCCAGTACAGATACTATAGTCCGACAGCCCAAAGGGCACACCGTCCGCGCTACCGGGCCTAGGTTGGCACCGAGCAATGACATCCGGCCTGGGCTTGCCGCAAGCAGTCTTCAGGGCTTGGGTAATAACAAAAGCCAGCGCCTGGGATAGGACAAGGCCAAGAAACCCGCAGTTGAACTCCCACAGCCGATCCTTGAACCGGTATGGCCCTGTAAACTTCCTCTTCCCATTCGTTTTAATCGGTTTGTTGTGCGAAAATAGCCCGTCAACGAACAGTGTGTAGATAGCAATTATAACGAGCGGACCTCCCCCCGAACAAGCGACGGCTGCGAAAATCGATATGCGCTCGGGGTCGGCATATGGATACTGAAGGGATATATTGTTTAAAGAGAAACGCTGATGATATGGCTCGAGCCTATCGATGATGTAGAAACCGACGACGAGGCCGCTGGGCTATTGTTAGCGAGGTGTTGCGATAAAAATTGGACCAGCCATTGGGTAGCACGGAGAAAACGGACACAAGGACGACATAGTCGATGATATATCTGTAACAAAACCACGCGTTAGCAAAAATCGATCCAGTGAATACCGCAGGAGATCTTGCTGGTCGACTCACGAAATGATCACTCGCGGCCGCAATCGGCGCTTCGAGAAGGGGAGTTTAGAAGGCAGACGGTCCATCACCATCTAGCGCGGCGCCGCTTCGTCAGAGGCTGGACGCTACCTGATAGTTAATCAAGCGAGGAGTCGGTCAATGCGAGCAAGTCGTACACGGTCGGGCTGTCCAGGAGCACTTCCGGAAACCATGCACGTGGAGAGAACGGCGAGAGAACCAGGGACGTTTAATGAGGAGCGGAGGATTATGAACTCAGGAGAGCTGAGACGGGGGAGGACAAAGCATCTTGGCTGGACCTCCCAAGACCCAATCCAGTGAATCCACACCTGGCGGGACTTGCCTATAAATATGCAATGGATTCTGTGACGAGCCAACTCCGCCCACACGCGCCCAGCTGCTCCCACAGTCTCTCACTAGCAGCGATCGTCTGTAGGGGTCGGCTCAGCCACACCGGTCGCCGCGTCTACCTCCTTCTGGCTATTGGGCACTTGAGCTGTCTGGCCCTTGAGTCTTGGCTTTGTGAAAACCCGCATTTGGAACAAAAATACATGGTGAATCATGCTGCCTAGAATAACTGGCGACAACATATTTGCCTGGTGCTTAGGCAGACACAATGTTATGAAAAGCCACTTGATCAATCTAAAGAACATGAGTAATGTCCTTTCTTTAATCACTAGACATGGAAATTTTCTGAAAACCGAAATAATAATAATTTTATTTAGACAATCAAAAGAAGGAATGGCATCCAAAGATTAAAGCGTTATCCTAACTAATCCAGAACATATGAAAGTTATGTTATGTTGTACAACTCATTACGGCCATTATGGTCATCTTTTCGTTTCGCGCCTTCCATCGGGAATCCTGTCTGCCTTTCATACCCAGACAGGATCACTGACTAGATCTTAGAACACCTTTGCCCAATCTAGCAGACGGTGATGTACAGACCAAGACTATATCCAAGTTAGCTACTGTTGCCTCAAAAGTGTTATATACGTGCGGGGATACTCACGGCGAAGGGTTGTAGTCCTCGAAGAAGTCGAGTTCCGTGCTTCCAGCGTTCGACATCTCGAAGCCGACAGTCTGGCCAGCAGGGCACTCGGTGGTGCTGATGACATAGGAGTTGCCGGGGGAGATAGTGAATTCACCGTAGTTCTGGCCAATAGCCGGAGCGGTGTTGTAGGTGGTCTGCTGGGTGGCCGGCGAGGTTACGGCTCCAAATTGAACCTTTCCGTCTCCGCTGAAGCTGTAGGACGAAGTCTCGAGATCCTCCTTCTTAGGGAAGAGGAAGACAAGGCTACAAGTCTTTCCAGCATCCGATTGGGGAATGTCGAAGTTGAAGATAGTCGACACGGACGACGACACAGTTCCGTTGAAAGAGGTACCTGCGGCTTGGTCTGGCGAGGAAGAGTCAATGGGGACGATCAAATGGGGGTACTCGTAGTTGCCCGAAAGGTCCGTAGGGCAGCTTCCGCCGGGCTGGGTACCGGAAGGGGTCTGTCCACCACCAGCAGGACCAGTTGGGGTTTCACCTCCGCCAGCAGGACTAGTAGGGGTCTGTCCACCACCAGCAGGACCAGTAGGAGTCTGTCCACCACCAGCAGGACCAGTAGGGGTTTCACCACCGCCAGCAGGACCAGTAGGGGTCTGACCACCACCAGCAGGACCAGTAGNCCACCACCAGCAGGACCAGTAGGGGTTTCACCACCGCCAGCAGGACCAGTAGGGGTCTGACCACCACCAGCAGGACCAGTAGAGGTCTGTCCACCACCAGCAGGACCAGTAGGGGTTTCACCTCCGCCAGCAGGACCAGTAGGGGTCTGTCCACCACCAGCAGGACCAGTAGGTGTTTCACCTCCACCAGGGACACCAGGTTGGCAGCCGACTGTGACAGTAGTGTATACAGTTGATGTGGCAGGGCAGCCCTCACAAGTGCCAGGCACGCCGCTAGGGCCTACACCACCACCACCGGCGGGGCCGGTAGGGATTTGGCCTCCGCCAGCAGGACCAGTAGGGATTTGGCCTCCACCAGCAGGGCCGGTAGGGGTTTGACCTCCGCCAGCAGGGCCGCTAGGGCCTACACCACCACCACCACCGGCGGGACCGCTAGGCGAGGGGGAGACAATGGGAACGGTAGCAGTAGAGCCAGGAACAGTAGTAGTGCCTTCGCCGGGGCCTTGTCCACCACCGCCAGGAACACTAGGCGAGGGTGAGATCACCGGGACACTAGAGCTAGGTGCAGGAGCGGAAGACGAGGGCTGGACCGGGACAGAGCTAGAACCGGAGCCGGCACCCGATCCCGCGCAAGAATCGGCGTTCAGTTGCACACTGACGCAGCCGGTGACGTCTCCGCTGTTGGGCGAGGTGTAGATGTTCAGGCCACCATTCTCACCAGTTTCACAGGCAACGAAGTTGGTTTGTCCGTTGTACTCGAGCTGGCCGTTTGTGTTGACAGAGAATCCTGGGGTAGGGCTCGCGCCCAGGTCACACTGGAACTGTGTTGTGGGAGCTGTGTGAAGCAAACCATTAGCAATATATCCAACCGTGTATTTAGAAAATCAACGTACGAGTCAAGATGCAGCCACGTCCGCTGCCATCAGTGATGGAGCCATCTGAGTCGATACAGAACTGGCCTTGAGGGGTATTGCCGCCGATGCGGTTCTGTCCATCACCAAGCTGACCGACCTGGCCAGAGGTCTCACCAGATGCTGAGATGTGGAAGCAGCAACTGGTGTCACGGGGAACAAGTGCGTTAGCACCAGCAACAAAAGCCGCAACGGTAGCGAAATTCCTCATGTTGACGATAGGCATGTCAAACCGTTGAAGCGAGTGTAGAGGGGAAGAGTTAGGTTTAGCTTTCGACCTTCACTGCTGGAGGGGGGAGTCGACTTTATAACTTTGGGTGGATTCTCCAGGTAAGTTACAATATGGTATGTAATCATCAGCTTTCAGCAAGCTGTGAACCCTGGAAAGACAGCTCAAGACTGGCCCAATCATGACAGCATGGACAAGGCTGTGATCTGACCGAAAGTATCTGGCCTGGAACACGGTGAATGATGATGGGCTCGACGTCATGGCTGCGGTGGAGTTAAGATTTTGATTTAGAACAGCTTCGGGATGCATCTCCCCGTCACTAGGCGGCCAGTAAAACCGAAGCAAGTAATCAGTCAACAGTGGGCCGTCGGTGAATGTGCAAGGTCGAGCTTGACCCTGCTTGGACAAAACTTTTCCGATTCATGGTTCAGGTGAGCTTCTGCGAGCCTGAGAGGCAAATTAAGCCTTCACCCACGGAAGCAAGTGGTCCTGACGGTGTTAACAAGCCCACCACCGGACCATAGCTGGCCGGTTCTGCTCATGCCACTGGGCAAGTGAAAGGCTTTGTTCTGGTGTGCCTGTTGTCCACTTTGCGAGGTTTCATGGGAGGAGAACTCCACAATTTTGCATTGATCTAGGTGCTCTCTGTATAGATGACAAGTTCACTATCTTGCAGGGAAATGATGCCCATGAACTGCAATCCAGGTCCCGATGGCTAAATGTCTTGCATCATTTTCGCGCATCGCAGGAAGCCTCCACGGCACCCTGTGTGGAGCGACGAGAATTATGAATAGTCTGGACCCGGTCTGTCAGCCCATAATTTCGCTCGATCGACTGTGGACAGGTCAAGGCAGTCACTGTCCGTTTGCTGGGTCAACACTCATGTTGAGTGAAGTGGGAGTGTGAAAGTTGGTGGAGAAGCACAGTGGAGCAGCAGTGAACAGGGACGGGCGATGATGGGCTGGCCGGAAGGGGAAAACTGGTCGCCCGAGGGATCCGGTGGGCCAGAGCTCTGCATTGCACCCAACAGCGTTACTTATTCTCACATTTCCACTCCATCACACTCCATCGCAGTCGGCTCTCGCATGGCCAGCGTCAGACTGGATACGTACTCTTGTTCTTCCAGGTAACTCCCCATGGAGATCCTATCCACATCTTGAACGTCATTGTTGACAACAAGTGAGGTGGAGGCCCAGGCAAATTGATTTTGGAGACGAGGACGAGAAGTCTTCCGGGCCTGACGCAAGGTAATAAGACTAACCATTGTCAGAGTGCCCGTTGATGTGGTGACAAGGAACAATGATGCCTGGGTAAATATAGAAACAGCCACGCTCCGCAGGATTCCGTAAACAAGCGCTCTTGAGGCGTCTCCCACTGTGTCATTGACAGCCGTGCTAGGCTTTTAACGAATACGGTTCTATCAAAATTAACCCTGCTCAATTCGTAGTTGCTAGCTGAAGCGCTAAAAGCTGATCACTGGGTTTAGCCGGTGACAAGCCGCGCGCTATTTTAGCATCGATAGTTATTATTTACCATCAACCCAAAGTCGTGATGCGGACATTACCCTATCGGTTTATGACGACCGTTCCCCGCCATGGACAACTCCGAGGATCGAGTCGGCAACAACGGAAGCAAGGCCGACGGGGGTTTTCTATTTCGGGAACAGTTGGGCCAAGACCACAGCCCAGACAATCCAGTAGTACTCTTCCTGGAAACGATTGACGACAATTCACCTTGTTCCATTTATGTTAACTAACTATGATGTAGAGGGTGAAACGTAACCGAATTTCCATCTAATTCTAACGGTAAGTACTCTACACGAGCACAATACAGTCAAAAGGGAAACTAGTCAGAGAGCCCTAGTCGTTAATCTTGGAATCCATACAGATGAGTATACCAACAGAAAAATGGTATGCTCATTGTAAGAAGTGTAGAATTCCTATCGTCTACTGAGTGGTCCGCAATCGACGTCGGATTATCATAATGAACAAGTATTGTCGGGTATCTGAATCTAAAATTCTTGTTATATACCTAGCAACTAGCCCATCCGGGCGGCCCGGAATTTGCTGATTCGCTTGGGGGCTTCTTGAGTTTCGACGGGTACCATTTCTGGTTCTTCGTCGTCAAGTGAGCCGCCGTTTTGTTTGGCCATTTTGCTCTTCATTCTGTGGAATTCAGTGGCAATCTCCTTGCAGTGTAGCTCTTCGTCTAGCTCGTCGGGCTCTGGGGCTGTGGCGGTTCCTTCAGAGGTGTCACGCTCCATAAGCGTATCTGCAAGGATCTTGCCTCTATTTTTAGTAGGGCCTGGAGGCTTTTCCGTGACATCTGAGATGGGTTGGGAGAAAGGCCTTGGCTCCGTAGGTTTGGCAGGAAATAATGGCATTGATGGTGTTGGTGCGAGCGGTACAGTTTTGCGCAGAGCAGAGGACTTGTTGCGTGAAGTCTCACCTTGGGATGCGTCCGGATTTGAATCGCCGATGGCTCCTGCCATACCGCGAGCGGTCTTAAAACGGGAGGTCTTCTTTGGAACGGGTGCATCGGCCGCGCCTTTCTCAACAGGCTGCGCACGTTCGACAATGGAGTCTGACAAAACAGGAACGTCGGTTTCTCGAGTTGCAGCCTTCCTTGTTTCTGGAGCTGGGGGTTGAGGAGCTGGCGCAATGTCAAGGTCGTCGGCAAAAGCAACCTTCTTCTTCGGCTTTGCCTTCGGGCCTGCGTCACCATTCGAGTCCGGCGTCTTCTCGATTTTGACCTTGCGTGCCTCTTCTAGGTCGTCTTTCACATCTACCGGTAGTGAAGTAATGTCTTTTCCGGCGTTCCACATTCCCCGAGCATTCAATTTCGCTTCCAACTCACGCATCTGCTGGTGGTAGTTTTCGTCCAATACAGGTCGGATACTGCGTCCATATTCGTCCTCTTCCTCTTCCTCATCTTCATCGTCAAATGTGTATGAATCGGACCCATCGTCGACGGAGATGTCATCCGCATCCTCATCTAACTCAAGCTCGGCGACAACCGCGCCAACTTCGTCAAGACCATATTGCAACATTTCCCGACGAAGTCTGGCATCCTCAGGGGACTCGTCAATATCCACAACTGGGATTTCCTTCTTGAGTTCTATTGGAACATTGGCACTACTTGAGGCCTGTACCGTCGAGGCGCCATTGTTCTCAGATGATGCGGACTCTGGTCGGGCCATCAGCTGTACGTCCTGCTTATGTTCCTCCTCAGAATTTACAGCATGGTCCTCCAACGTAGGCTCTGACGATGACGAGCCACCAGGTGCGGAGTCATGTGGCTTCGGAGTATCCGGTATGTCCTTGACGCCGGCCTTCTTCAAGATATCCAACAGATCAGACGCCTGGTCTCCTGGTGTTGTAGTTTTGCTTGAGATAATTTCCCCATCTTCGTCGAGTTCCTCGATAATCTCTTTCATCGGAAAATCAGCCGTTGATTCAGGGTGTTGCTGTTCGACAGTATCTAAGACTCGCAGCTGATTTTCAGCAGCTTGCAGTCGTTTTTCCATTGATACAACGTTATCCCTCACGTAATCAATCCGTCTTGATATAAGGTCCGCGACTTGTGTCTTTGTCCGCTTGAGTCCTTGTTTCTCGCCGACGATCACTCGAAATTCATCTTCGGTGAGGAGGCTCCCGCCAGAATTACGGCTGACTCGTAGAAAATCGTCTGTTGTAGCATCATCATCTAAATCGACAATATCTTCCTTTAGGCCTTCGTACTCCGCCTCCCATTCTCTCCAGTGGTAAAGCGACTGCTGCAGCTGTAGGACATTGCTTTCCAGTTCGAGGCGCTGGCGTTCGAGGCCTTCGATGTTATCGTCCGGAACCCCCATATTCACATGGACGGAGAGGTAACTTCGTGACCGTTAGGTCAAAAAATAAAACTCGTAACTGAGTTGGATGTAAAAGGTGAGTGAGTTGCGAGGGGCCTGCAACTTTTCCAGGCGGCAAAAAGTAAAAGAAATTCCGCCGCGCGGAACAAAGATTGGAGCATATGATTGGTCCATGAGATTGCTTGATAATGGCCCACCGAGGAGCTAGGTACCTTTCGACAGCCTTGAACATCGCGGCTTACTCTCCAACCGACATCTCTGAAGACATCTCGCCGTTACTCGTCGCAGAGTAGCGGTACTATCACAATGGCCCCTTCTCGCGAGGCTTTGGTTAACCGTGGGGATGAAGATGGTAAGTTCGCGCCCTCAGAGTATGGAATCCGGAGCCCAGGCTGACCACGCTCTTTATAGAGGTCTGCCCCGTCTGCAAATCTTCGCGGTACTTGAACCCAGACATGCGATTTCTTATCAACCCAGAATGCTACCACAAAATGTGCGAGTCGTGCGTGGACAGAATATTCTCTTCAGGGCCTGCGAACTGCCCCGTAGCGGGTTGCCACAAGACACTGAGAAAGAATCGATTTCGCAAGCAGACATTCGAGGATATAAACGTTGAGAGGGAGGTAGATATACGGCGCAGAGTTATGACAGTGTGAGTTATGAGCTCTTCACGTTCTCTCAGCATACAGAAAATTAACTACATGTAGTCTCAACCGCCGAGAAGAAGAGTTCGATTCCAAGCTAGACTGGGATAACTTCCTGGAGCAGCGGGAGGAAATCATATTTAATCTCGTCAACAAAATCGATGTCGCAAAAACCGAATCCGACCTGCAAAGCTATGCGTCGGAGAACATGCGCTCCATCCGTGCGAATCAAGCCCTCGAAGCGAAAGAAGTCACGTCTTTTCAAGAACGCCAAAACCAAGAGCAAGAGCTGGCACGTCTACGGCGGCAGGCTGCCAAGGAAGAGTACGAGAACGAACGAAAGGAGCTGTTGGCTGGCCGAGAAGAAGTTCTCAGCCGCCTTGCAAGTGGACGAGGGGCAGACGCTGCTTCCATCGCGCGAGAGGGCCAGAAGGTCTTGCTCAAGAAATCTTCAGCACGGCGTAGCGAAGAGGATAGAATCAGACAGAAACAGGCTGCACTGCGTGGGACAGATGCCAAAAAGCCTGGCGCCACTGGTGCTGCGGCAAGCGAAGAGGGTGGGTCGGGCTTGATTAAAGGTCTCAAGAAGATCAAAACCCCAGAGCCGGAGTTGCCCTACGATCCTTTTGGTGGGATGGTTCCCTACAAACGGGACTATTACACCATACGCGACTATTATCCGTCTCCCTATCTTGATCATGTTCGACAAGATACTCGAGTGCTTGCAGGGGGTTATGACATTCAGGAATACTATTCACGAACCATGCTCGAGGCCTTTGCAGGATTAGGATGTTTCATCGATGAAGAAGTTCCGCAACGAGAAGTGAGCTCCTTTAATGCCATGAAACCTATCGGCACAGAGGGAACTGCTCTAGCCGCCGGCTCAGAATCGAGCAGCAAGTGATCCGTATAGTACAAGCAAGAACGCCTCAAAAAGGAGGCCATTGCTTTTGCACTTTTTGTTTATTGCATAGCGGCGGCGTTTTGTCTTTTGGCTATCTTCGCATAGATTATTTGGACCATGGTCATATAGCAGAAATTGGTGTACATGGTGTATAGATAGGTGCAATCAAAATACAAATTCCGAGTTACATGGAAATAACAGTATTATACAAGTCTTCAATAGTCTCTTAAACCTCAGATCTTCCCACCAGTAATCTGCTCTCCCAACTTCTTGACTCTGCCTTGGATAACATCCCAACGCTCGGACTCGCGTTTCGGGACATCGGAGCGAGTTCCTAGGTTTCGGGGGAATCCTAAGTTCCAAATGTTTTCGCCATACTTATAATCGCTGCGCCAAGCTTCATTCTCTCCTTCAGGGAAGACCTTGTCGATCTCGGCGGCGAGCTGGGCCTCGGTGGTAATGAACTCGCGAGCATTCATATAAAGAGTGTGTAGCGAGTCCTGGCGCTCCAGCTCTTCCTCACGTTTCTTGTTTTCTACTCGGAGCCGTGATTCGGCGAGTCGTTGTTCTCTTCCGGGATCGGGCAACACAGGGGTTCGCTTGGGTAGCATTTCCTGCACAATGGAAGGCCGAGTATAGCGCTCATCGTCTCGTTCGGTCTGGCGGAGAACGCGCTCTCGTTGAATTTGTCGCTGGCGACTTCGCTCTTCCATTGTCCTATCCGTCCATTTCTTCCGCTTGTGTAATTCCAGCAGGCCCTCCTTGAGGTTCTGTCTTCTCATGTCGGCCATTTCCCGCTTCCGTTCTCTGTATTCAGCATGAGGCTCATCGGGATTGATCTTTTCTTGGTTGGTAGGGAGAGGTGCAGCGGCGGCAATGTACTGTTTATTGGGCTTGTCCACTCGTCGACGGGGGAAAATTTCACGCGGTACCGGTAATGTACCTTTGACGCGGGGTTTTGAAGGGAGATCTGGTTGAATTGTCCGGGGAACCTCAATGAAGTTGGGTGATTCAGGTCCGACACGGAGACTTGAGGATGAGGAGAAACCACGGAGCTGCACGCTGGCAGTCCGGCCGCCGTTGCGGAAGAGCGACATTGCGGCGTTTGATTCCCGGGGAGGTATATTCAATCGGAGAGAAAAAGATGCGATCAATTATTAAGGACGGGTATGAGCTCACAACCCGGCAAGTTGGGCTGTGGTGACTGCTGCTGAGCAACGCGGTTCAGTTGTCGAGAGCCGGAAAAAGATCGAAGCGATTTTCTCATTGTTGGTCCGTGCACAGCTCCGCTTGGCGCCGTCGAAAAAAAAATAATTTCTCCTCACCTCTTCTTTCCTTCTCTTCTGCGCTCTGCCAACTTTTTGATTTTACTCCCTACCTCTAGACCTCTCATTTCTTGACCTTTTCGAGTTATTAGAGGACTCTTTCGCTATGGGTTCTGGGAAGAAGGAAGCCACGCGCCGAACCCGCCAGGGGAAGGTTGGCGATGGCATGGCCAATGTGAGGGTGAAGGGCGAAAATTTCTACAGGTAAGCTTCACCCAGCTCCCTTGCGATTGGTATAGCAGCTGATTTGAAAAAAAGAGATGCGAAGAAGGTTAAGAGGTTGAACATGCTTAAGGATGGTAAACCTCAACGTGACTCAGAGGGAAACATCACCCAGGCTGCCTCGTACCAATCTCGCGATGCCCCCGTCGCTCGGATAGAACCCAACCGTAAATGGTTCGGGAATACTCGAGTCATCTCGCAGGAAGCTCTGTCTTCGTTTCGAGAGGCCGTCGCCGAACGTTCTTCGGATCCGTATCAGGTTCTCCTCAAAACCAACAAGCTTCCAATGAGTTTGATCAAAGAAAATCAGACCGTCAATGGGCTGAAACAGCACGAGGCTAAGATGGCGATCGAAACGTCACCTTATAGCGACACATTCGGGCCCAAAGCTCAAAGAAAACGGGTCAAACTTGGCGTCTCGTCCCTCGAAGACTTGGCTGGCGAGACAATGAAGATGCAAGATAGCTACGTTGAAAAGACGGACCAAGGCCGACACGAGGATGGTACGCCGATCTTTGCTGGCGATGATGCGGCGACCGACCTCCAGCTTGGCACGATGCCGACGTCTCGTGAAGCGGTCTTCCTGAAGGGTCAAAGTAAGAGAATCTGGAACGAGTTGTACAAGGTCATAGATTCGTCAGATGTTGTCATCCATGTGATTGATGCTCGCGACCCCGAGGGAACACGCTGCAGAGGCATTGAAAAATACATTCGCGAGGAGGCGCCTCACAAGCACTTGATCTTTGTCCTCAACAAGTGTGATCTTGTACCTACCGGTGTAGCGGTAAGTCTTTTATCTCCTTTTATCTGCTTTTATCCTCAATTTTTCATCCCCTATTATCCATTGGCTCAAGCCATGCCATCGCTAAGTCAAGTCTACTTCCGTGACTTTGTTTCACGTTTTCTCTATGGAAGTATTGTCTGTTACAGCTTTGGCATATCAACGCTGGTCCGCGCCGAACTTCATTCTGAAGCTAGGCTGATTGGTTTTCGTTTTGAAAACTGGTCGTTAAGGACTAAGCAGTGTTCTGTTTTTGAGTTGAGTACTGCTTCGCCATTGGCGACTTCGTAGCAGCGCTCTTAGTAACATTTCACACATCACTACATTTGTTCTTTTTATTTTTATATAAGTTACTTATTACGTGACGGTGTTGCTAACGTTATACACCAGGCCGCTTGGGTACGCCATCTATCGAAGGACTATCCCACGTTAGCTTTCCATGCTTCGATCAACAACTCGTTCGGCAAGGGGTCTCTGATTCAACTTCTGAGGCAATTCTCATCTCTTCACTCCGACCGAAAACAGATCTCGGTTGGTTTCATTGGCTACCCAAACACAGGAAAGTCATCGATTATCAACACTCTACGTAAGAAGAAGGTGTGCACGGTTGCTCCTATCCCTGGAGAAACCAAGGTTTGGCAGTACATTACCTTGATGAAGCGGATCTACCTCATCGATTGTCCTGGTGTTGTTCCTCCAAGCCAGACGGATACTCCCGAAGATATCCTTCTCAGAGGTGTCGTGCGAGTGGAAAACGTCGAGAACCCCGAGCAGTATATTCCTGCTATTCTCAAGCGTGTCCAATCTAAACACCTTGAACGCACCTACGGTCTCAAAGACCCGCACGATTCTGTTGAATTTCTCAGCATTCTTGCAAGGAAGGGTGGCAGACTTCTTCGTGGAGGCGAGCCCGATCTTGACGGCGTTGCTAAGATGGTTATCAACGATTTCCTCAGAGGAAAGATTCCTTGGTTTACTCCCCCTCCGTACACATCTGGTGAGGAGGGCGAGAAAATTGAGGGCCGTGAAGGCAGGCTTGGAGAGATGGGTCGGAAACGCAAGATAGACGAAGCCTCCGGCGATGACCAAAAGGCTTCGGGTGAAGCAACTTCCGGCGCTGAAGAAGAGTTCGAAGGATTTGATGATGAAGACGAAGATAGCGATAATGACTCGATCGCAAATCTTCAAGTCAGTGACGAGGAAAGCGGGGAGGAGTGAGCAGACTTGCAATCTCTTTACTCCCGACACTCCACAACCTCCGCAAGCAGAGCGATCGCCATTCGTACAAGTCACACTTGTCTGCTTGTTTGACGCCAGGGCGTCGCGAGCTGGCTCTGTACGCTTAGCTGTCGCTTTCCACTTGGCCAGTGGACAAGTACTTGACAGCTGTACAGCTCGCGGACGCAGTCTAGAACCTGTGACAATATTCATGTTACCGGGTCTGCCTGAAATGAGGAGATACGCAGCAGCATCCAGTCATAGTACCCACCTCATCAACTAGGCCAGGTCGTATTAGCGTGCATGCGCCGATGATGCCTCCGGTGGTAGGATCCATCATCGAGCTCGATGTCCTTGACATCGCTCTATTAGATACCCATGTCGTTACAAATGTTATGACAATGTCCCATTACATCTTCTATATCAATAAATCCACCGCATCAGTACGTAGTAGCAAACAGTAAATAAATGCCGCGGGCGTTGGTGGCTCACCGCCGTGACTCACGTGGGGCGGGATCATCAGCGTCATCATCGACCATGGTCGGATTGGATCCATCCATCTCATGGGCAACTGCCTCATTCTGCGGAGGACGGACCACTGCCGACCATTGTTGTTTCAAGAACCCCCATAATCCTCCTTTCATGGTTATGGCCTTTCACTCTCCAGGGTCTTTGGGAGATGTGCCGATCTTCAATATATAATGGCTGAGGGCATGTCAGTTGTTCCGTATAGCTCATCAAACGACGTGGTGCTGTAAGTCTCGGCCTTTTCATCTGCTACAGAAGTTTTCTTGCTTAGATGGCTCTATTTCAGACGCCATAACGACTCTATTGTCATCTTCGATCGCGATTCGCAGCAGCTAGTCATTCAAAATGCGGCCGAACGCGAAGATGACGAACCCCAATGTCCGTACTGTCGCCGCCCGCTGCGGGGAGATAACTCCCAAGACAACCACCATGCCGGAGCACAACCGGAATTCGTCAATCCTGAGTACTTTCGCATGCTCCGCAACAGCCTTCCTCCTGCCTCCGTAGAATCGACCACACCCCTGTCGCGACGCTACGGTCAACCCGCCCTTGCGGACGGCCCTTCTAGCGGATCCAGTTACTCTCACGCGCATAGCGGCCACGGAATTTCGTCAGCTGCATTTACACCGGACTACTTTAAAAGGTTTTTCGTGGAAGAGAGGGTACTAGGCAAAGGAGGTAAAGGCGTGGTGTTATTAGTGAAGCACATGTTGGATGGCGTGTCTCTGGGGCATTATGCTTGTAAACGAGTGCCTGTCGGAGATGACCACGAGTGGCTTGAAAAGGTTTTGATCGAAGTCCAACTTCTGCAGCACCTTTCTCACCAGAACCTTGTCTCGTATAGGCATGTTTGGCTTGAGAATGCAAAAATTACCACGTTTGGACCAAGTGTTCCTTGCGCATTCATTCTCCAACAATATTGCAATGCGGGCGATTTGCACAACTATATCTGCGGCTCCGTACAGACTTCCACGACCCCCCAGGAATTGAAGGAGCGTCTTAGGAGGAGATCGAAAGGTGGTGCCGAACCTCCTGTCAACTTGAGGGAACCACGCAGATTACACTTCGACGAGATATACTCATTCTTCAAAGACATTACGTCAGGGTTGCGATACCTTCATGCTAGCGGCTATATCCATCGCGATCTAAAACCCAACAACTGTCTATTGCACAAGACAAGTGATGGAATTCGAGTCCTAGTCAGCGACTTCGGTGAAGTTCAACCCCAGGACGCTATTCGGATGTCTACCGGCGCGACAGGAACCGTGTCGTACTGTGCCCCGGAAGTATTGCGGCGAGAGTTTCCCAACGGTCCTTTTGCCAATTTCACGTTCAAATCAGATATATTCTCTCTCGGCATGATATTGTATTTCTTGTGTTTCGCCCAACTTCCGTATCGAAACGCCGATCTTATTCACGAGGAAAGGGAGGACCTCGAGAAGCTCCGTGAAGAGATAATGGATTGGGATGGGTTTGACCAAAGACAAATACGCCCTGACTTGCCCGAACAACTTTATACTTTTTTATGGCGTCTGCTGTCCGTGGATCCTGATCTGCGTCCATCGGCAGATGAGGTCCTCAGCGGTCTTGAAGTTGGAGCTAGTGCAAATGAGAGCTTTCGCACGAAACGCGGCAGCAGTAGCTCTTCTGCCCCTGACATGCACAGTGGCTCCAGGATTCATCCTCTCGATGATACGGCTGAGTCGCCATTTCACCAACCCGCATCTCCGAGGAGGTCATTTTCGAGGAGCCCTGTCGCTGTACGGCGCAACTCAGTATACGAATCGAACGGTTCTGTCGGGGACCTTACCCCCGTTATCGAAGACGTGGACCGCGCTGTAGAAAGAAGAGGCTCGCTCAGCCCGGAACGTGACCTGATTGTGCGCCCGCGCTTCTCTGATACACCTTCCGTCTCCCCACCTAGGAATGAAACCCGGCAGGTCGGTCCGACAAACGACGACGCTCCTGTTCGGCTGCTGCCCCCGCCACCAAGCCAGATCTCTCTTGCACCGCGTCTCTCGAGATGGCGCCCATCATTGTTTGCTATTCAGCTGACATTGTTCCTTGTCAAGATTGCGATGGCTCTCCAACCTTGTACTCCGTTGGCTGTCAACCCCTGGGTGCTTTACTTTTTGATCCTGGTAGCCGGAGTCAACCTACGGATGGCCAGTGTTGGGGTACAAGTAGCATCCCTAGTATTGCATCTTATTGTTGTTGTACTAAGCTTGAAGTTGGAGATTCTATGTGCCCGGCCTGCTTCCACAACCGAGACAGTGTTTAGGAACGAATTATGATGTACATGCTGCCTATGTTTAATTATTGAACATACGAATACGGAAGTAGCGAATTTGAAAATTATACTTATCATCTTATTGTATTCTCTTCTCAGAAAGCAATTATCACCAAAACAGTACCCCGAAATCTATGGCCACAGAGCATCCAGTTCTTCTTCACCCTGTACGCGTGGGCCCGATTCAAGGCTCTGCCCCAGCGCCCGTCAGAATCACAGTGCCCTGTTTCGATCACCGTGAAGATCGTGACCCAGTTAGCTATACTGCCGGGCCCAGGGTACCAATGAACAGCAATTGGTGCCTTTTTTACGAATAGTTGCTCTTTTTCGTATTTATTTATTCTTTTTTTTATTCTTGAACTTTTTTTGCCGTTTTCTTTTCGCCCCCTTGAAAAAAATTTCTTTGTGGAGACCACCAACGGAAACCCTATATATTCCGCATGTCCGCTGGGTATCAAAGCTAGGTTTACACAATTTGCCGGTAGATATCCAGTTAAACAGTGACGATGCTACACTTTACAATGGGTACTAATTCACTTTTCTAGGTACGTTTTATGCCTTACTTTTACCACTTCTCTCTCGTGTTCTATTGTTCTTTCCACGGCCGAGAGGCCCGTGGATTGACTTTGGGCTACTGGCGAAGAGCAGATTTTTTTTGAACTTTGAATTGGGAAAATACGAAAAAGAGCAACTTTTCGTAAAAAAAGCACCAATGGTTTAGTGGTATGACACGACTCTCCCAAAAAGGAAATATTTTCCCGATTAGTGGTCAAGTCGAGACCCGGGTTCGAACCCCGGTTGGTGCATCGTATTTATGTATTTTCTTTTTGCTTGTTTTTATGCTCCCAACTGCTGAAGAAAACAGTGAATTTCAAACCATACCTATTATATGAATAAACCAACAACAGTGTAGAAATACAGATTCCAACAACTTATTTGCTCTTGTTCAACTCAGCCCCTAATATAATATCTCAGCTGTTTTGTAGACAACACAAGTTCAAGGTGTTTGTCTGCTGCATTGGTTATGAAGCTCTCCTGTACCTCTGAATCAGTTAAGCGACCATGTTTCAAGGTTGACTGCGGGTCTCCGCTATTGTTCTTTGCTCTCAAGCTGATTGCTAAGAGAAGTAACCTTGATTCCCGAATGTCCGAAGCCTCTAATGTATTCCTGGGCCAAGTTGCAACGCTAGGAAAGACAATGACATGTTTGCAGTTGAAGTCTTCCTGTTGTTCAGGTGAGATAGATCGTTGCCGTCGTATTCATCAAAAGTAATAAACAATATGATCAGCCCAATGGGTTCGGTGCCTGGCGAGTTTTGGATGTTTGCCGATCTGAGGGAAAGTTCCCAAAGTCCAAGGCGGCTGTTTACAGCAACTGGGTGGGAACAGACGGGTAAATACCTCGCGGAGAGCCACTGATTATCCTGCCTTTGATGCTGGGATTGAAGAAGCGAAACTTCATTGAGCATATGAGCGCTCCAGTAATTCCTCTCTTACTCCTAAGCCTGATGGGTCTTTAATTGAGTATTCTGCAGGCTTGCATTTTGTCCTCTATGGGAAAACAAGCGCGCAGTCGAGTCCTATTTTGACGGTCGACACTAGACTATAATTTGGCATTGCCTCTGGGTTACGGTTTAATGTTTTGGAATGAGGGCCTGTATATTTCCCTTTTTCGATGACTCTTACCCGCAGAGTCTCCTGGGTTATAGTGTTTCGTCAATTTTCCTTGTCTCCTGAAAGTAAGCTTTTCGATTTATGCCGCCAGTGACAGCGATCTAAATTTATTAGGGCTAGTAATATAAGCCTCCGCCGCTTTGTGAATCTATCATAGCTTGTAATTTATCACTAGTTCGCAATGGATGCATGTTTGTATCGATATTACCTTGATGATGAATAGCCCCCAATTGGTCATCTCCCCTGTGCCGATTATCCAGACAAGCTTCGCAAGTTCGTGAGATTTGGGTGAGATTCGGGGACGGCCTTAAGCTGCTGTTCGGTGTTACGGTAACCCCTCTTATCCCCGACACTTCATTGCAACATTTACGAACTCTTTGTTACCTTCTCTCTCCTCACGTTACACATCAGCCCTCATCCTTGTTTTCCTTTTGTATATTGATGCACTCGACCCTATAGATTTATACATATATATATATATATAATGTCCTGTCCAGACTGCTTCTCCGGCCATGTCCGCAAAGACACCCCCAAGGGTCACGTCGCGAGTCTCCACGGGCTAGAGACCTATGTCGCGGAGCCGGATGTCCCACCGGACCAGGTCAAGGGCATTGTGGTCATAATTCCAGATGCCTTTGGATGGGAATTCGTCAACAACCGAATCCTGGCGGACCATTATGCCGACATGGGAAAGTTTAAGGTTTACCTACCTGATTTTATGAAGGGTGGGTATCCAAATTTCTCGGCCTGATTTCTAGACTTCTATATGTAATTGGGACGGAATTGGCCGGCTAATTGGCTAACTGGCTTACAGGAACGGCGGCGCCAGTCTGGTCTATTGATACACTCCGCGCGCTATTCAAGACTGGCACTTTATGGGACTGGGTGACGAAACCGTATTCACCCCATCTCTCTCTCCATAGATGCATGCATAGCAGCTAACGAGGAAAAGGTACCACATCGCCAACGTCATCTATGCCGTCATCCCATTCATGTTCTGCAACCGGCCTGCAAAGTCTTATCCGATAGTAGAATCCTTCTTCACATCTCTCCGCCAATCTTCAGAAGGACATCTGCCTATCGGTGCGGCGGGATTCTGCTGGGGCGGGAAACACACGGTTCTCCTTGCCCATGGGGCAACTACGACCATGGACGGTGAGAAGAAGAACCTGATTGATGCTGGATTCACGGGTCACCCCAGCTTGTTGGCAATTCCCGAGGATATCGAGAAAATTACGATACCTGTAAGCTTTGCCCTGGCGGAGCTGGATCATAATGTCAAAGCGGACAGGATTGAGGAGGTGAAAAAGGTTATGGAGGGCAAGGAGGGTGAGGTTAAAGTTTATTTGGGAGCAGGCCATGGGTTCTGTGTTAGGGCTGATATGGAGGTTGAGGATTCGGGGAGGCAAGCAGTTGAGTCGGAAGAACAGGCGGTTGATTTCTTTAATAAGCGGTTTTCTTCGTAAATTTATGATATAATGGGAATTCACATTGGTAATATGGTGAAATGATTTTGGCGTTTTGGTGTAAAACGGACCATAGCCGGGGAAGGCCTATTTAATATAATTGGAATAGTTACATTGACTAGCTAGATTGAACTACTTTCTGTTATATCAGGTTCAGGATTCTCGATGAGGGCCCTCAGTTTCCCGCCTGATCGTCTCAAGAGAGCGCGGTACGGTCCTTGCTCAACAACCCTTCCATCTTCCAATACGATAATATCATCTGCCACCTCCATCATTTCCTTTGTGTGGGTGATGATGATAACCGTAAGACTTGTTTTAGCCGCAACAAGTCTCCGCACCGTCGCCTTGATGGTCGCCGCGCTATCTGGATCAAGTGCCGATGTCGCCTCGTCAAGAATAAGTATCTGAGGCCGGCGCACAAGAGCACGCGCAATGACTATCCTTTGTGCCTGTCCGCCTGAGAGTCCGACTCCGCCATCCCCAATCACGGTTTGATAGCCACCAGGTAAGGAGGAGACAAAATCGTCTACGCCCGCTGCGCGGGCTGCGGTGCGGACGTTGAAGAGGTTGCTTTGCTCGGAAGATTGATCTAACCCGTAGCTGATATTCTCTTGGATTGTGCCGGGGAATATAGTGGGCTGTTGGGGAACGATGGAGATGAGAGAGCGAAGCGAGGGTGTGTGGACTTCGCGGATATTGTTACCAGCGAGCAATATACTTGTGTTTAAGGAGGAAGGTGTTTCGTAGAGAGACAGAAGCAAGGAGGCGATAGTGGACTTTCCGGATCCGGAGCGTCCAACTATCGCTGTGCAGGAACCTTCGGGGATGGTGAGGGAGACGTTTCGCAAGACAGATGCGTCTGGGCGAGATGGATATCGGAAGCTTAGATGGTGGATTTGGACTGGGGCTGCCTTGCGTATCTGGAGTACACCTGCGTGTTCGTGGGATGAAGCGTGTGGAAGGTCGACGAGCCGAAAAAGTCGTCGGGCCATTTCTCTAGAGTTGCTTATTTGAGGAACTGATTTGTTAGCTGGGGGTGGGCAAAGCCGGTAAGTTGAAAAACGTACTCCAAGTCATGACTGTGCTGGCGTATGCCAGGCTGAAGAGAAGAACCGAGTTTACAGCTGTAATATCATCCACTGTAAACTCATTGTATCTGACTAGAGTTGCTCCATAGTAGAATATCAGTGCTGTTTGTGTTAGCAAATACTGTACAACCAACAGGTTCATCCAACTCACCAGTAACAAACACATTGGAAGATTCCACTAGACCAAAGAGTAACCCTGTGTAGATCGCTTTCCTTAATCCCATCTTTAAACACTGAGCTGCAGCCTTTAAATGTTTAAGATGAAAGTAAGGCTCTAATGTCAAGCTCCTCACCGTTCGTATTTCTGAAAATGTTTCTAGAAAGACATCCGAGGCTGAGGCCCTAGTAGCAATGCATCGCCGGTCCCATATACCATTGGTCGTCTCAAAACCTCTCGTAATGGCAAAGACAATTGGTCCACACGACAGTGCAACCAGGGTCTGTTTCCAGCAAATCGCAAGACTCCATACAACTGCCATTGCCATGATGGAAACAGCAACTAGAACGAACGCAGTGAAACGAGTGATTATGGTACGAACATCTTCACCACTTTCATGAAGACAAATTGTTAGCTGTGAGGCACTATTCAATTCGTCTTCGAACCACTCTCGAGCCTGGTCTAGGACTTTGTGGAACGCCTGTTTCCGAAGGCCATTGACCCAGGCTTGGCCGCAAATATCCAAAAGATAAAACATATAATAGTTTGTGAATGCATCACCGATTGACACTCCAAGGACAGCTAGAGCCCATCTCATGCTATTGTTGCTTTTGTTATAGAATGTCTTGAGGAGCTCTGCGAGGAAGTAAGAGAATATCGGGGTTGCGGCGGCATGAGCCAGAATGCAGAAAATTGCGAGGGCAAGAAATAGATGCTGTCTGGGTAGTAAATTTGGTACGACAGACTTCAATGCCCTCTGTATAGGCTTCTGAAGGCTTTGTTGGGGAACACTCGTTTTATCGAGTGAGGGCTTTATTCGCTGACGTACTTTGAGCCGGCGGCGCAATTTGGAGGCTTTAGAAGGACCAGCAAAACGAACGCTTTGAGCCCTCATACTGAGGTCATCCATTTCGATTTCATTGTGGCTAACAAATGGGTCTTTTCTGAGAGAGGCCTCAATTTGATCACTCCTCCAGAGCGAGCTTCTTAGATAATCCGGGAGGTTACCAGGGATAGTCATATATGAGTCCTTTGAATGTAGCGGAGGGGGCTTGTCAAGTTCATCCGAGGACCATGACGATGTAACGGAAAGGTCACCATCATTGTGATACGTCCCAACATAGTCGTCTTCCTGATTCTCATCCTCACGGAAAAAGCCACTCAGCTTCGGGTCTTCTTTGAGCTCTTCTTTATACCCGGCCTGAACGACAGAACCGGTATCCAGGACATAAACAAAATCGTTGTACTTGATATGAGACATGTCATGGGTGATGATGACTGTGGTCTTGCCCTCACGCCATTTGCGAATAGAGTTCATGATCTGGACCCGATTCGTTCCATCCAAAGCACTCGTAGGCTCATCCAATATAAGGACAGGAGAATCCCGCAACCGAGCTCTTGCAATGGCAACTCTCTGCTTCTGGCCTCCACTGAGGGCGTTGCCTCCTTCACCAACAAAAGTGTCAATTCCATGTGGAAGTTTCCCAACCATGCTAGGTAGCATCGCGAGATTTATAGATTCCTCCATGTCTCTTTCGCGAATATTCTCGTGGTCACGGCTGCCGAAAGCAATGTTTTTGAATATAGATTCGTTGAATAGGATGCTTCGTTGCTCGACGTATGTAATGTTATTCCGAATCCAATTGACACCGAGCGTTTGTATGGGATACCCATCAATAAGTATCTCGCCTGACGTTGGTAGATAGAACCGAGTGAGCAATTGTCCAAGTGTACTCTTGCCAGAACCGCTTTTCCCAATGACGAATGTTGTCGCTCCGGCGGGGAATAGAAAACTCGAGGAGTCTAAACTAAGTCGATCTGGCTGGGAGGGATATGCGAATGATAGCTTGGAAAATATTAGTCGCATACAAGGGCTTAGAGAGAACGACCTACCTTTTTCACCTCGATGATACCCTCACAATGACTTGGATACAGCGCCCCCCGCATCTCTCGCGAAGATTTTGCTTCCAGACCGTCATTTAACGTGCGTTGCAAGGCGGCAACAGCAACCTTGCCTTTCTCCAAGATCAAAAGATGCGGCATTAGCCACTCAATGGCCTGGGCAAACGCAGAGCAGGCCCAAAACGTTCTCAGCACATCACCCGCTGAAAGCTTCCCCGATGTCACAAGGTAGCTTCCGTACCAGAAGCCTTGTACAAACATGGCGAACATTATGAACCGCATAGCAGTTATCTGAAGCGCGTTAAGGCGTGCTATCCTGGTATACTCCGACGCAGCCTTGTCCATGTGGTCGGTAAACTTCTTCAGCTCAATATCTTGCGCATTCAGATACTTCACGGTATCAATAGATGTAACCGCATTATTAACAACCTTGGAGGCCGTCTTAAGTTCATTTTGTTGAGCTTGGATGCCAGCATTGATCTTTGGTGCCAGGTAAGGAACTATGAGCGAGACGAATGGAATTCCAGCAAGGATTACGAGAGTAAGGTTCCACGAAGTATAAAATGATACACCGAGAGACACGAGAATGCGAAATATGTACTGCAGTACAAGCGCTAGCGAATTCGATGTTGCCGTTTGGATTTCCTGCACCTGACTGTAATTGCATCAGTCGTGAAGAATGGGTGAATACTGGGGGACGCACATTTGAAGACAACCCAGGAAAGTCCGCGCTCCTTCTTCATGCTCTTCGAAAAAACGCTGTTCTTTCTTCAGTAGACTATCGAATAGTGTACTGCGAGCATTCGCAGCCTGCAGTTCGCCAAAAACGACGAAGAGCGTGTAGTAAGTTCCATTGAAGAACCATCCCAGCACACCTACGGCCAAAAATTGCAAACATTGACGCGATACCCTCGGGATTAAGACATCACCAGTAATATCTCCGGATCCAAGAAGAGCGAAGTCGTTGAATACATTGCCCAGAATGATGGAAAACAACGGCACGGTAAAACTGGCGATGAAACAGCAAAGAGTGGCTATCGCTAGGGTTGGGACATGCTTCCTTGTTGTGAAGTTGAGAAGTGGCGTCTTGACGAGTCTTTGTAAATATCTTAGATAAGCCATCATCGGCTAGCACTTTGTGGTTGTGGTTTATTCATTGATGTTAGTAGATTGAGTGTTGGGCAATGAGTGATATAGCAAAAAGGACAGAGGAAAACAGAGAAACAGCGACGTCGCCTAATATTTCCATCCATCCTTTTTGTTGTTAAAAAAAAAAAAGAAACAAACACAATTTGACTGGTTTGGCCCTCCAAAGTCCCAATGCGGGCACATTGAAGGTGGTTTCATGCAATAAGATCAATGGGTTGGCGTAGTATTGTTCTTGACCGGCGGGGGCCGACTACGGCCCTGCCCACTCCATGCACTACCAAGAGTACACAACCACCCTCCAACAAAAACGTCCCATATAAATACATGTGTACTTTTTCATCTCCGCCTCGTCCCAGAAAACGAGGCACTACAAACAGACCCGGCAGCGCCACGAGGCCGCCACGGCCACTAGCGCCACGTGGGCTCGCGGCAAGACACAAAGATCGGTCCTTGTTGGAGGTCTACAATAACTGGACGATTCGATATCCTCCGGTATATGCAACGTGTTGAAATGGGTAATTTGTAGATTCTAAAGTCTAGATGCCGGAGATCCGACGGGTAGTAAGCGGAATTATGAGCTGGCGTTTTTCTGTGCCTGTGCTTGCTCGTACACCCAGTCATTGAGACCAGCACGGTTTCTAAAAGCCAAGCAGTTGTTAGCTACCCAAGAGTCACCATATCCATTGGAGCAGAAAGCCAAACTCACCTCGATATCTCAATGGCGTAAAACTGCATGCGCATTGCTGTACTCCGTTAGATCGAACATTCTCCCCGCAGCGCATCTGTCTGTCAGTCCTTCCAGCCACTTACCGAAAATTGTGTTGTCCTTCTCATACTCGGTCTTCGGGTTCGCGCGCAGCATCGTTCCGAAGTTGAAATCGTGGATCTTCTTCTCGTACTGATTGATCCAGTTGCGCCACTTTTCCTTGCCAGCCTTGCTCTTCATCGAATCCTCGTCGATTGTCGCGGCCGGATCGAAATCCGGGAACTCTTGCTTGAAGTGTTCATAGATCTCATCGTCGAACTTTGTCAGGCGCAGCTGCGAGCCAGGGACCTTCTCAAGGATCGACCAATATGTCATGAGGTGTTCGACGGCTGTTTGGCATTGTTGTGAGTAATGGCCGGAGGGGAGCGGGGATTTAACGAGACGAACCCTTAACGGCGAACTGCTTCTCCATCTTTTTCATTGTCAGCTTTGTCCGGAAGGCCTAGAGGGGTCGATGCGATAAAGGACCTACATCATCCAGGTTCTGCGCCTGCTCTGGATCAAACGGGCCGGCCATTTTGGTGTATTTGAGGGTATCAGATGACTAGTAAATGGTAGACAATAGGATCGTGTATATGAACCGGACGATCTCTAGCAGATTGTGGTTGACACAACTTCGATAGCCCCGCGATGCTCAATTTTTTTGCCGAGAATTTGTGCTGCCGCCCAAACCCCCAACTGTACGTCATTGGTGGTCAGCTTGGCGGTCACCACCATACCTGTGGTTATGGATAGAGTCGCTGCCTACGGAAGACCTGTAAAGGTGAAAATTTATTCCCTTTTGTTCCGGATATATATGGTGCTCTTAGGTTGAGCTAAATACAACCTATGTATGTGGGTAATCGGGTTGCGCGTAAATATATACTCAATATGGCCAGTTTCATCCACTTATATATGCTCTGTTCAGTCGCTATCGGAGTCAGGCAGTTCTTCGAGCCTTCCCTCTTGCAGAGCTTGTGTGACTGGGTTTTCGACCCCCAGAATGCCGTTTGCCTTGGCCCTGTTCGTATTGTTAGTATAAGCAGCATGGAATTGTGTTTCGGCACGTACCTTTCGAAAAGCACGAACAGTCTTTCCGCCTCTCGTTCCTTTTCTTCTTGGGTCATGGGTGGGCCCGTGTCTTCTTTTTCCTTATCCCATCTTTGGCCCGTAATTGGGTTGACCTCCGGATCAAGGCCCTCAGGGTTCGTCGCAAATGCTTCACCTGCAGACTTCGGAATGTCCATGCCTCGCGATGCAAGCAACCCCGCCGCAAAACCATAGCCAATGTTCTTGGTTAGGCTTTCGGCGTTCTTTCCAGAGAGAACAAACATTAGTTCGGAAATCGCAATCTTAAGGTTTCGGTATGGCATTGTTGAGAGTTTGAGCAGTTTCGACGAAAGCGTGTCCGACTGGCCAATTGGCCGGTTTCTATCGTTGTCATCCGGTAGGAGAAGCCACTGCATATATTTGCGTGGACCATCTGGCGCGAGTTCGTGGATTGTAACAAGAGTGTGTAAGAGAGGTATTGCTTTTGTTTCGAGCTCTAGCGGGTCATATGCTGACACTGCTTGATCCAGAATGTTAATCAACTTGTCGACATTGCAGTTCTGGTTGAAAGTAGGAAAAAGCGGGTTGCTCTCATAGGACCGTTCCTTTTTGTTTTCAAGGTCAAGAGTCGAGAGGCAGTTTAAAAGGGTACCAAGAAGGCCATCCAATGGCTTTAGAGGAATGTCAATACGGCTAATGATTTTGAAAATGTAGGGAATTGACGGCGAGAAGGTCGGTGCTAAATCCTCGAAAAGTTTCGATACGTTAAATACCAGCTTCAGAGTATCGATAAATGCTAATTCATCAATTTGTGGTAGTGGCTTTCTGCCCGATTTGGGGAACTGTTTGGAGTGTCGAAGGATTTGCTGCGCGGGGATTAGTATCTTTAGATCCATGATGCGACAACCAACTCACATAGTTGACATTTTCTCCCAGGGAGTGATTATTGATAAGATCGTCGAAGCTCATGTTTGTTTCATATGTCGAGAGGAAAAGTACACGGCTGATAACCATTTCATGCTCGGAAGAATCACACTGACTCGGTTAGTTACAAGTATTGCGCATGGGATGGAGCCTTACTTTCAGCATTTCAGCCAACTTTCCACCTCTACCAGTGTCTACAAATTGCTGGCGCATGTTCTCATCCAGCAAGAGAGCATTTGCGACGCAGCGGAGGGCCGCGTGGCGAACATCCGTTGTCTCTCCGTCAACGCCATATTTTGACAAAATCTCAATCCCCTGTACAGAATTAGAGCGAATCATATCTGCATTTTAACAAGTGCTTGAGATTACCCTTTTTGAATAAATAGGACCCGCGTTGTCGGGACTAGTGCCATGTTGCCTCAGCTGCAGGAGGGTCTGGGTCCTTTCTGGGACGAGTAAGCACAAGTTGTATCCACTGCGCTGTTGTGACTTACGAGCAGAGTTCAATGACTTATCCTTTAGATCCCTTTCAAGGCTGTCTAGAAGCTTCGTAACTTGTTGCAACTTCTCTGAGAACATCAGAGTTAACGCATTGTAACAGCAGGGAAAAAAATCGAGTTACGGTGATTCGCGCCATACCTGGACCTTGAAGAACACGGAAATCCATATTCACTCAACGTTTATTTCGTTTAATTCAATCGCAACTCTGTTATTTGCGTTGTTCAGAAAATTGGTCAAGCAGCAGCGTGTCGATCGCACGGAGACCTGAAGAAGCTCTAGCGGCGGGGAAACAGGGGTTCGATGCAAGAAAGCGTCCGAGGCTATTGACAAAATAAGTCGAAACACGCCTGAAGAGCCAAACGATCTAAAGGAATAAAGAAACAGAAGATGATTTGCGCCCTGGAGCCGATTTCATTGTTCAGTTGATCCTTTGGGTCTTGAGGCCATAGCCATAGAAACAGCAGAACCCCACCGAGCGAACAGTCAGCTTCTCCGCAGGTAGCCTGACGCATAAGGCTGCCACTCTATGATGCCTTGGCACGGAACTCTTTATGCCTTACCGATGTGGCATAAAACGCGCTGCCACTTAACGCGTCCACGGTCCGCAGCGCCGCGTCTTTTCAAGGTGCGCGGCTTGGCGTATTCTCCGGCGTCTGCAGGCGATCTCGACATGGTCCTCATCAAACCTCACCTGTGCAGCGCTCTCAACATTCAGGATAGGAACAGAGTGGCCTGAGTCCGTTTTTGGAGCTTGGCCGTACCGCAATGTTCCTTTACCTCTCTTTCTTCCACTCTGTTTCTTTCCTGTCTTGAACTATGGTAGACGTTCTGGGGCCTTTGTCTGCTCGTCCGCCGACTCCACCAAGGACTGCGTCTCGTATGCTGTCTGAGAAAGATCGGACGGAAGATTCACCTGTGACTGTGCAGACTCCTATCGAATCTCATTTTCTGCAAAATGACTCAACCGGGGCGCCTTCGAGCCGTCAATCCAAGCGCGTGAACTTTTCACCTTGGCCAAACTTCATCAAGGCCCCTTCATTCACTGACGCGAAACCGAGCGAGATCAAGGCCCTCCTACCTTCGAATGACCGAAAGCCGACTAGGTCCATCCTCAAAGCGACCAACTCGCCAGGCCCTGTTAGTCCAGCAGGCCTCATCCCGAACACCCCCGAATCGTTTGCAATGCTTCTAGAGTCCATCACCCAGCAATTAGCTGGGGAGTCAACAAGTTCGAGGATTGATGCGTATATGCAGTTCTTTGGCGCATTGAGGGCGTACGAGAAAGTGCCAACCGAGGATGAAATCATGCGCAAGCTGGGCCTGATCACGCAGTTCATCCAACGCGATATTAGTCGCGACCTCAAAAAGGGTGGGACGTTGGATACCAACGTCGTTATATATGCTTTGAAGCTCTCTGTGGTGTTAGTTTGGCATCCTCAAATCTCTCCACAACTGCCCGAAGACTTCAAGCTTTTCCTCTTGGAGCACTCTGTCAACTGTCTCGAAGATGGCAAACTACCAAAGTCCGTCGCAACTCATTACCTTACCCTTTTGTCAACACAGAAATTCTCGACAAGAATTATCACAACTGCTAGGGCAACTCGAATACTGGAAATGCTACATGGCTTGACCGATCGGGTTAAAGGGAATTCCGTGGTCTCTCAACGTTTGACGATATATGAACGCCTGTTCGAATTATCTAAACCAACATTTATCTCTCACTCTACATTATGGATGGATCATCTTGTATCTGGACTGCTCCATCAGATCAAAAATGTCCGACTAAATGCACTTGAACTCGGCTTCAACGCCTATATGGCGTCTGGCGCGAACTCCACATTGTCCAAAACGCTTCGCGATATATTCGACCGACCCCTTGCAAACAACAGAAAGCTGGTTTCAGAGATAAGCGAACGTATGTCGAGGATGATGGCAAGTCCCGAAACTGGTGAACACGTCCCGCAGATTTGGGGTGTCATAACATTGCTGTTGAGGAACAAGCGGTTCAACATTGATCAATGGCAGCATTTTAAGGAATGGGTTCTTGTTCTTCAGAAATGCTTCAACTGCAGTGACCCTGAAATCAAGTCGAAAGCGATCGGCAACTGGAATCGGTTTGTTCTAGTCGTGAACATCAGCGAATCAACTACTCCATCTCTATTGCGAATGTTAAGCAAACCGATACTGTCCCAGTTTGAACGGAAAAAGCACGACAAGCAAAATCCACAGCCCAGCCAATTGGTGGTTGCGAGTTATTACAACTTGCTCTACTATGCCTTCCGCCCAGATGCGTCTCATCAACAGCTCGATATCGTCTGGGGAGAGTATATCGCCTCACCCTCGTCAAATATATTTGCCTCAGTTCCCAGTCTCAGTGACCGACTCGCCCATGCTTTGTCGAGAATGTTGTGGAGCTCACATCCTATCCAGGCTTGGTCTGATAACCGCGTCAATGAGCCAAAAAGGATTGTTGCCGAAGAACTCCCACCCTTGGATTGCAAGTGGGTTAGGTCAAGAGTTCCTTCCGTGCTAAAGGTGTTTGAAGATATTTTGAAGTCATCTGTTTGGGACCCCGAGCTAGAAAAGTCTAACATTGCCACTGCGTGGGTTAGCCTGTCTCATGCTCTGGCATTTGCGGCAAGCAAGGAGATAACCCCTTCCCAAGAGTCGATGCAAACAGTAGCTCATGTTTTGGGACTTTTGGAAAGGCTATGGCACGCAGGGCCTTCGTCCCTCAATGCGGCTGGGGAGAATACAATGGATACTTTCTTTGAGCGTTTCAGATTTCTGTCAACCACTATGATATCCGCTTTGGGAAGCATCCCATTTACGGAGAAGTTGCTTTTAAAAACAGCAGATTCAACATATCAAGCCTCCAACACACCCACGCACCGCAATTCGAAAGCCAGCAACCAGCCTGATAGTCCCATTCTACACCTACTCCGGCTCATCAGTGATGTATCCCAAATCCTAGCACCAACTCCAGCATATTCTCGCCTCATCAAGGACACCGTTGAAGCGTCATGTCATGGCAAAGCTTCCAGGGGCTCGCGGCTCGATATTTTGAAGCAATGTGCAAATGTATATCCCGATGGCAGTGATGACAGCGAGTTTCTTTTTGGATCTGGAGGTTTCGCGCAGATTGCCTGGACATCAGCTGCCCAACTGTCGGCAGATTGTCTATGCTCCTTTCCTATTGAGTCGGCTCGTGAACGGGACGGATCCATTACCCGGGATTACACCACCGTGTTCATGATTCTTTGCCAGGGATTGAGATTTGCAGATAAGTCCCAGGCCTGGGATCGACTTTTGGATGCACTTATTCGTGTTATGAGAACCGAAAGAGGAGACCTTTCAATCGCGACAATGGTGTTGGAGCCGTTAGCGGGTCAGATGATGGGTCTTGATGTTCGCAGTGCCTGTTCACCCGCATCTTCCTTGATAAACCATTCGTTATCAATTAATTTCGACTATGATAGCGGAGTTAAGAGTGGCAGCTCGAACACAAATTCACCCCCACATCCCCACGCATTAATTGGATTGGCACACCGGGTTCTTTCCGAGTCCTATGAGTTCTCTGATCCCCAGAACTTGGATGGCGTCGCCATCTTCATAGAGTCGATCGTTTCTTTCCTGGGATCAGGCACCTTTACCTTTAGGTCTGTGCTTCTCGATAATCTACAGTCTCCCCTTGGCCTGTATTTGAAGGACACAATGCGCAAATATACTGTCGAAAATGGAGTGGAGAGTAAGATTCTTACTGCTGTAAGTTGATGGAATATGTCGCTAGCATATGTTCTAACTAACCCTTATAGTGTCGCGCAATCTCGACAGCCATCCTGGATATTCTGCAAATTTTGCCTCATGACGCTTGGAATCTCCAGAAATATGAGCATATTATCTGCTCGGGCTTGATGTCCTCGCACACCTCCACCGCAAAGCGCTTTGCAGACTTTTGGAATTCCTCTTTTGGAATTCCACAATCTTTACCATGTCCGCCCCTCGTATCCCAAGCCTTAGGGGACCTCGAAGCCCGTTTTGATAGTCAGCCGGCAGGGGTACTCCATGGACCTACCCTGGCGTCACGAACCAGTCACTTGGAACTCGGACTTCGCCAGCACACCAATACACCTGTCGCGCAAAACTCGAACGTTACATCAGAAGACGCCCCGGCCAAGTCCAAAATCGATTTTATCCTGGATGCACCCACAGTGTCTGCGTATTCTGCACACATGGAATCGTCCTCAATAATCGAAGGCTCTCAATCGGCTGCCTCGACGTTGCAAGAGACGGAATCGAGCATTCACCAAGTTGCTCCTGAGGGGACCGCGGACAACACTACCACTATCGAAGAACCACATCCCCCACCTGTCAAAGAAGATACTACACGACACAGGGAGGTATTTTCGATGATTGATAGCCTCCGCTCTTCCTCTCCTCCCACCACCACGCCCGGGGGGCTTGGATTCATGACACCCCCTCATTTACGCAGCCTACGGAACGAAGAATCTGGGACGGAGACTCCTAAGACCCCTACGATAGCAGCTGTCGCTGCGGAAAATGAAGACGGGTTCCTTGGTTCGTCCCCCACACCTGCCATCAGAGGCCGAACATCGTCGGTGGTGCCCGCAATTCCACCGCCGTTTGCTGAACCCGGCGAGTCAATGGATATCGATCCCCCTTCATCGCCACCTGAGCCCGAACGGCAGAGTACTGATTCGGGACATGATACTCCGCAGCCTTCAACTAAAGGCAAGAACAGAAAGAATAATAAACGGAGAAACAGATCTAGGCGATCCAAGACGCCTAGCAAAGGGAAGTCTCCTAAGAAGGAAATGCCAGATAATGCCCCGACGCACAATGAGCAAGCTGGGCAGAATAAGGACGGCCTTTCTCAGAAAAGCCTGAGAAGTCGCCTTCGTTCTGCAGTGGAATCATCTCCGACAAAGAACGAGAGCACTGAGCCTCAACGAGTGGACCAAACGGAGAAAGCGCAGCAAGCGCCAAAAGAGCCAAAGACGCTTTGCAACGAACCCGGCCACAACTCTGTTGCTGTTCGGGAACCCATACCTGAACTCACCCCAGTTCTACATAATGAGAACCCTGATGTTGCTGTGGAATCTGCTAGCGAAGATACCGATACACAAGCTATGTCCCAGTTAGAACATGACCTAGTGTTCGCTGTGGATTTGGGAAGTGACGCAGCAGACAAAGAAGCCGCGGAACATATGCAAACAGCTGCGGCCACACGCAAACGAAAACGGGAAGGGGAAAATTGGACCATCATGGCTAAAGAAGAGCGCGAGCGCCGCCGTTCGTCAAGGATCTCTTCCACCTCAACACCTACAGCTGAAGTTGAAGACAGCCAAACTATGCGTTCCAAGAAGCCAAAGCTCTCCACGGCTTCTCGTGCAACCCCCCCCTCACCGGCGAACTCAGCCGCGAAGAAACGGAAGCACGATGCTGTTGATTCTGCATCTGTAACTCCGAAGCGCGACCGATCCAAGAAGACTAAAGACACTGCACAAGAAAAGGACATGCAGGAATCTCAGAAACGACGATCCGGCCGCATCAGCGGTGTTCCCGGACCTGACCTTCCACCCGCGGAGGAAGACCCTGGTCCAAAGAAGTCGCCTCGGCCAAGCAGCTCGCGGAAGCCGAACAAGAAGCAAAAGAACCGCAGGTCAGAGAGACGCCAATCCCAACCAGCGGAAGAAGCTTCCAACCAAGAGGCTACTGCGGCAGGGGAAAGTGCCCACGAGAAGGCAGATGAGAATCAGCAGCCTCAACCTCCACCCACGGACAATACATCTGAACAGCCTCTGGAGTCACGCAGCTCCCCTCAAGTTAATGAACCCGAACCACACACTAGTCAAGAAGAGCCACCGAAACAGTCAGATGACGCCGAAATGGCAGAGGTGCTGGAATCAGTCCAACCAGAGGCACAGGTAGAGGCACAGGAAAAGGCTACAACAGACGAACCTCAGCTTGAAACCGAGATGGAGCACCACGCACCCTCTGAGCTGATCCAGACACTACAATCCCCTCCTCTACCAGAGCAGGAACCACAACAAGAGCCTGAACAAGAGCAAACGACAGAGTTGGAGCCAGCACCCCAGCCCAACCAGGACACACAAATATCAACCTCACTCCGCTGTCTTATCGATCAGGTCAAGCTCGCCTCTTTAGATCGAAATGCCGTCAAAGAGATGGACGATCTCCTTTTCGACCTTCGGGTTGAGATGCACGAGGCCCTAAGGCGCCATCGTCACACTACCGCCACCACGTCAATCCAATAAACCATTGATATTTTTATGAGGAAAACATATACACACAAAAAAAACCCCCCCCATTTTGCATAGCGATGGCGTTTTGAAATACACTCAGATAAAGGCATCGAAGAGCGTACGAAGGCTGGTCGACAGGCTGACAGCCGGTGCCCGCTAGACTGGTTTTGCTTTTCCTTTTCATCATCTTGTTGTTGTCTCTTTCCCGAGTGGACTGTCTTGCTGTTATGCTCCCTGTACACGTATACTGTACTCACCGATATACCTAGCCGAGGCATTGCTAGTTAATTAGTAGTACTTCTTCCTTCCTTGAATTAACCGTACCGCCCAAGTGGACATTCACGTAAATTGCCCCGTTTAACTTTGGCCCATGCAGTTCCCTAGCGAGAGCGGCCAAGCCGAGTGGACCAGAGAAATTCCGCAATCCTGGCAAAGAATAACTCAATCACCACCTGCAACGCTTAGGTAGTAGAGTTGGAAGCACGCCCAAGGTCCATCCACCCACCCCATCAAAACTCAGACCCCAGATTGGAACCGGGACTGGAATTGAAATATCGCCACCCCATCCAACAATTTCCCTCATTTCCAACCTTGGGCGAATCTTTCTTTCTTTCTTATTTGAATCTCACATGCATATCCGGCCGAGGCCTTTCCTTACCCCATCCCAACCACACAAATCACCACAATCCCCAGAAGCCTCAAGGTTAAATCCAAGCCACTTCCCACCACGCACAGCGCCAAGAAGGGTCCAGATTCTTCCATCCTTCTTCCATTATTCCAATCCAATTCGCGCGCCACATGTTAATTATGCGTGGGATGAGATGGCCGGCGGCTAGGTCCGACCAGCCAGTCAATCGACCCCAGTCCAGCTAGATCAACACTGGGGTGCGAGGTGCTCGCCTGCGAGGCGTGCTTCCAGAATCCAGGCGACGGCTGAGCCGGGGGACGGAGCACAGTTCCTATTGTGGCATAGTCTGGGGGCGGGAGGGGATGGGAAGGATGTCGTGACTGTCTCGGCGACCTGCGTTGGCGACTAAGACTGGAATCTGAGACGCCGCGATCCTTGGCTTGCAGGGGAAGGGGGGGTGGTTTGACTCGTAGAGGGACAGGTTCCGGTTAGTCTTCGTATTTGTAATAACATGGGATCTGGGGTTGGGTTGGGTGGGTTTCAGAGTTTAGCTCGAAAGATTAAACTAGGATTAGTCTGGGAATTGTCAAGAAGATTGCGGATTGTGGAGGAGCGGTTATTCAAGGGGTTCGCGGGGAAGTCTTGGTCAGGGTCTTGGGGGTTGAAACCTAGCTAAAGGGGGTTGGTGTGGTTATCCATCAATCTGCTCAAGAGTGTCTTGGGGAGATGGAGGACTGGGGGCCATCTGACACGCAGAGAGGAGAATCTCACATCAGCGCTACAAGTACAGAGTGGTTGGGACAGATACACTGAACTAGGAAGGAGAGAGTAGTTGAAATTATGGACAAGTGTAGATTATGCTATGAATGGCATTTAATCATACATAAGTCAAATCAGTCATTAATACTAGCAGCCGCCAGTCTGTGATCTATCCCAGAACATGTCCTAGAACACCCAGGCAAGAGAGGCGAGAGTATAGTTGAGTGGGAAATACGAAGGATATAAGACTACTAGAAGGCGATGCTGAGCATACGCCTCCAGAGGGGCAAAGCGGCATATTTGGCACGCTCAGCGTTGATGTACTCCCAGTCGACCTCGCGACGACCACTGTCGATGTCGATTTGGTGGGTGCGGAGCCACCCCTCGCGCTTCCAGAGATAACCGCAGGCCCAGAAGAAGAGGACAACAGGAAGCGCTAGGTAACTCTTGAAGAAGCCCTTGGCATCATTGTAGGTGCCGTTGGGGCCACCACCAGGGGGTGCAACGGCGACAAAGAACTATGAATGTGGTTAGTTTAATGAGCTACAGTGAGGTTGTAAACGGGAGATTGGAATGTACCTGAGCGACCAAAACAATGAAGACGAGGAAAAGGCCGAGATACGATCCGTAGACACCACCGAAGGCCTTGAAGGGGATCTCGTCGAGGGTGCGGCCGTTGTGAGCCCATGCCCTGCGGAATCGGACGTGTGCCAAACAGATGGAGCCCCAGGTGAAGAGAGCAGCTAGACCGGACAGAGCCTGGAGCCAAGCGAAGACTTCCTCACCCGAGGAACTGACGTTGACGTATCCGAGAACACCAAAGAGGATGAGGGTCGATACAGACACAAGAGGGCGACCTGAGCGATCAATGTAGGCGAAAATTTTAGGAGCATAACCCTGTTGGGCGAGCGCTGTGAGGGTACGCGAGCCACCGTAAACACCAGAGACACCGATAGACAGGACGGAGATGAGGATTATAACGTTCATGAAGTGGTCGTAACCATTGAGTCCACCATATGCGGCAATGAGCACAAAGGGGGATGCTTGGACGTCAATGAGACCGCTGCCGAGGAGACGGTCGTCGTCGGAGCGAACCAAAAGACCGACAAACAATAATCCGACAATGTAGAACCTGGGACACTATTAGATTCCGGAGGGAGGAGGCACAAGCGAGAGAGCAGAACATACAGGGTGATACGCCAAAAGACCTGTTTGATGGCACCGGGAAGAGACTTGGTGGGAGTTTTGGACTCAGCAGCAGCCAGGCCAACAAGTTCCGTTCCACTGAAGGAGAAGGCCGCGGTGACAAACACGGAGCAAAACCCCTTGAAACCATTGCGGAAAGCACCAGGGTTATACCAAGTGCGCGCACCCCAGTACTCACCGTACCGACCGTCCGACGGACCACCGCCGCAGACGAGGATCAGAGCAATGATCATGAAGACGATAATGGCACCGAGCTTCAAGCACGAGGACCAGAATTCTTCTTCCGCATAGCCGAGACCACCAAAGATATTGACGATGATGATCGCGACCATGAAAACGGTAATCCATACGGCGACGCTGACATCAACTTGCCAGTAATCAATTGTGAGACCAGCGACGGTCAATTCCAACGGTACGACAACAGCCCATTGAAAAACGTAGTTCCAGCCCATGGCGAAGCCCCACGAGGGATCAATGAAGCGGGTTGAGTAAGTGTAAAAACCACCAGAGATAGGGTACATGACAGCGAGTTCACCAAGAGCGTAGACTGAGCTGTCAGCGAGATAGGCTAGGTTATAGGGTTGATTGTATCTACACACCGACATTGAAGATCATGACACCGATGATCAGGAAATCGAGGAACAAGGATCCAGGTCCTCCAGTACTGAGCGCACCACCCGATCCGACGAAAAAACCAGCACCTAGGTAGGGTCATTAGCTGGGGACTGTTTTGGGGTTGGTTTGCCCAGATAGGACTGCTGGAGACGCATACCAATGGAGCCCCCAATGGCAATCATGTGCATATGGCGCGTTTTCATCGTACGATTGAGCTCAACATGGGACTCAGGACGGCGCTGGAAGGACTTCCAGGTCAGACCATTCCGAGTCCAAACGTCCTCCTCTTCGTACCTGTGGATTTGGCCATCGTCCACGTAGGCTGGGGGCGGCGCAGAACCAGCTTCGACGTCGAGACCCTCCTTCTTGGTGGTCCCGACATCGTAAGTAGTTTTTGAGGGTTCGTCGGCACCCATTGCAGATGTCCGGACGCAAGAACAAGAGAATTGGGAATTGGGGGGGGGGGGGTTAAGGCAAGGAGGATGAGGGGAGAGAAAAAAAAGACGGGATGGACGGTCCAAGAAAGATGAGCGTGTGATCTTGCTTTAATAGGGATGGCAGGCGGCATCAGAAGATGCAGGGAAGCAGGGAACGCGTTTTTCTTTGTGAATGGCGAATCATGATAAGAGCACCGCAGGCGATGGGGAAGCCGAGAAGCTGAGGTTACAGTTGTCGCATCTCACCATGGATCGGGCAACGGCTGGCCCCTGCGATTGGGTCTCGCAGCTTCACTGGGCTCGACCTGACTCTGGGGTTGGCGCTGTTACAGCTGTGGCGCTGGGAAGCTAAGAACCGGTGCTTGATTCAGAAGTACTCCGTACGACTGGCAACTTAAATTGCAGGTCTTTAATTATTCACTACGCCGTATAGCTACATACATAGTCAGGAGAGCGCGCAGAAAAAAAGGGGGATGAGAGATGAGACAACGGACAGAAAGAGGGACAGAGGAACACAGAAGAGCCACCAACAAGTGATAAAGGTCAAGAGAGAGAGATAGGGGCTGCTATCAGTGAGGGCCGAAGGTGAATGGAAGACCCACAAAATAGAGCACAGAAACCAAACCCGCTGGAGATAGGTAATTACAGGACACACTTAGATTACGCCAAGTCCGATAGGAGCTTTCTCCACCAATTGCATATCCTGCAGGTGCGGTTACCGGCGGGTCTGTATAAGATACGTACGACAGTACCAAAATAGAGTCTTGGGCCTCGTGGAACTAAAGTAGTGGATGTAACATCATGATCTGGGGTTCTCCACCGCGATAAGTGACAGTCAGCCATGACAGCTGATATTGCTGATATTGATGGTGTCGCCGCTGATTCCTGTCGAGCTCTTCTTTCACATCATGATGGCTGTTTTTTAAGCACATACGGGAGGAAGAATCCCAAGGGAATGCGACCAACTCAAATGGTTGCCCAGCCCAGCTCCGTCTTGGACGGCTTGGTGCGGGGTTCCATGCCAGGAGACACGAGACTTGACTCCCCTGCGTATCTCGGACCAACACGACCAACACTCAACGCATCATCACCTCCGTCTTCACCATCACAACTCCCCATCCTACCATACCCTCGATAATACCTAATGCTTAGTTCCATCATTCAATGAATTATCTTGCTCTTTCTAGTCATTTAATGTCTAATTACAGCCCCTAGATACTCGGGTGGTATCTAGATGGCGCAGGACGAGGACAAACCCTCTGGGGCCACCCTGGGCTATCTTGCCCCGATATGCGTAGCAATATTCTTCATCATGGCCTGGTATTGATATTTGCCTCGTCTTGTTTTTCCTGTCCCAAATCTCATTCTGAACAGCTTTCGATACAGGCTTGTTTTCGGCACACGACAGCGCTTCAGAGCTCACAACCACCAAATCGATCACGAGTCCTGGCCGCTGGGCTTCCCCCGCATTATCCTGTCTCCCGCCGATCTGGATGCTCGGTTCCCCATAATAAAATATGGCGCCTGGTCGACGGCCCACCGGGAGGCTAATCCCAAGGAGACCGAGGTTGACCTGAATACGAGCCAAGATCTAACATCGCCTTCGCCTGCCGCCACTGACAAAGAGACAAACCAAAATGACAACTCTGTGGAGAATGACATTCTCTCCAGCCATGGAAACTCTCACAACGAGTGCGCTATCTGCATGGAAGACTTCGACGATGATGATTCCATCCGCGCACTAACTTGTACTCATGTCTTTCATGCTACCTGCCTCGACCCATGGTTCACTAAGCGTCAGGCGCGATGCCCGTTGTGCAAGACCTCATATCCTCCTGACCCTAGTTCTTCGGCTCCCACACGTCCAGCGACCGCCTTGATCAGGAACCATTTCTTTCCGCGTGGGCTGTGATTGTTAGTATGTGACTCACACTTATGCTACAATCTGTCATGAGACCGGTTCGCTTCTAAGTCACTGTTAGGGGCAGCGGTCTTGCTGAATTCAAGATGCACTGCATCCGCCCTTTCAGTGTGATAGCTATAATTGGTCTTGCTGTTGAGCCCCTCGCTCCCTCCCGAGTTTCGCATGCCCTCAATTACACTCCTATCCCTGAACCCACGGATCAGCCGTGCCCGGTCACGGGAGGTCGATGGTCGTGATTGCGAACTACCGAAAGTCATTTCGTCTGATTGACCTGGCTGCGCACGATTCGGATCGCTTCCGCGCTGCGTCGCCGCAAAACTAAAGATCTTTCGCAGAAGCGGCCACAGACAAACGAGATTGGCAACATATAACGAGGTGCTCGCCTCGCGGATATACCAGATCTGGTACGTAGTTGTCAGCGGCGAAGCAAAGTTGAACACTTTGTTGAGTATTGCTGCCACGATTGTGAAGACACCCAAGCTCATTATGCACACCAGCAACACTTTCTTCGTTTTCTTCATCTGGGCCTTTATCAACAAAGGGACCGGAATGGCAAGCATAGCTGCATCGGATGAAATGTTGAACACCGCCTGTGTGATCGAGTAATGTTGGTACGTCGCACATTGCATGTTCTCCACGGGCATTGCCCAGTACTGGGAAAATGGTCGGCAGTAAATTGCATAGTAGGTCACCATGATGACCACAAACCCCACTGCTACATACCACACCACAATCTTCACATATAGGTGTAAAGGGAGGTTCTTTGTCAGCCTCCAGAACAGCGTCAACATGCACGTCTTGACACCCCATGTCGAGAACAGCATGCATTGCTCTAGTCCAATCACAACCTTACTACCAATTATTCGATTTCGGACTTCTTGTGGGTCGCTCAGGACTTGATCGTAGTCTGCGGGGTCCATAAGGTTCGAGGCATAGCGGGATGAGACCTGTATCAGTACGAGAAGACTGGTATAAATGAGCTATCCGCTCGGGAATCGTCAGCTTGTATCATGCAACAATGTCGCGCGGAACTCACGAATGTCGCGCTCATCACATAGTCTTCGACTGTGAGTTGCTGGATTAGCAAACAACCACCCTTGACATAGCATCCACGTACAGTACAAGCGCTTGATTGATTCATTTGCAATTACTCGAGACGCCCTTTTTTTGGTCAGCTACATCCACATAAGACACTGCAATCTGGATAACTTGCATTCTCATGATATACAATACCACGCCAATACTCCAGAAAATGAGCGACTCTGTGAGTAGCTGATGGGGAGTAGGAGAAACATTCCCCATTTTACCAAGACAACTGACACCCAGTGGTAAATTGTTTCAAAGCTGAGGGACCAAAGCATCAAGACATGCCGTCCAGTAGAGGAATGGACTGCCTTTAAACTCCCTGACGTCGATCGGAAACAAGTTGAACATCCACGTCTGGTGTTGATACTCTATATTCACTGTCTCGGGCTAATCCAGCCAAGCAAAGAGCTACTGCATTGCAGAATACAATCTCCGGGGTGATAAAGCTTCGCAACGTCGCAAGGGAGTTGCGCAAGGGGCTTCCCAGCCACAGCACCCTCTAACGGTTGCCTTGAGAACTCCAAGACAAACTCTATCAAGGTAATATATGAAGCTCCAGGTAAAAGCCCAGCTTGCGCGTCAGCGAAATTTAAAGGGAGCAAGATTGAAGGGGAATGAGTCTGAAGGGGCGATGACCACAGCCCTGCATCTCGCATTATATGGCATTCGCAATCACTGGTCGAGGAACAAGCAAAACAAATATAAACGCTCTTCAATTCTTGAGATTATCCCAGCCAGTTAACATCTTTATCCCCCCATCGTGAATGTGCCGGGTATTGGTGTAACGCTCTGCGGCATGCCACTCTTTGAAAGCCAGACTCCGGGGCCAGAGCGAGAAGGTCAACCAGCAGCTTCGGTCTTCATCGTGGCTGCCATCGCCCTTGCTTCAATTCTTCAACCCAAGAATGCGTCAACAGCTCAACACGAGCGCTGTCAAATTAATCCAGGTCGTTTAGAGATCGTCGAATCCCACAACCTTAAATTGAGCTGACGATCGTGTGATGAACGCGTTGTTCATGCAGCCATGTTTCACACGCTCATTCGTCAATATTTTTTGCTTTGCATCCCTGCACAAGCCTGTTTATCCTCTGGTCTCGGAGCCGGCAGTCTGTCTGCGCACCCAAGTGGGAAGGGTCCTACCGAGTATGGAAGTCGACGAATGTTTCAAGGCTATTATTACACCAGCTCGGTTTGACTTTACCTGAGAACATGCCTCAGCAAGCTGGGAGTTAACTCAAAAACTTTAATTACGAATTCTCTCACTCTCCCTCGTCCGGCTCAAAATGGAGTCTCAGTTTTGGGCCTCGCTGCAGTGCGCCTCCAACTGAGGAGAGTGCTGAAGCACTACACAAATCAAGCCTGCGAAGTCTCACCTTTGTATAGTTTCGTTTTCTTCTTGTATGACACTGTGCTCCTTGGGTTTCCCGAGGCCCAACCCATCGGGGCACAGATAAGTCACTCCGATTTGCCATGGTGGTGTCCTACCTTCGTACTCCCGGCCAAGACTGTCGAGTTTCGTGCCGACAGGATCTCGGATCGAGTCTTGCTCTCTCGCCTGAAACGCAAGGGAGTACTCGTGCGCCATATTTTGGCATGCCCGTGGTATGCTCGGGAGCATATTCGGAGTTTCTGCATGCCCAGCTTGTTTCCTTGCTGTCTTGCTTTACGGTTTTTATTTTACCGACTATTTAGTGTAACAGTATCTGGGCTAAATAGCTATTCCATGTTAATATTTAATATGTAATATCATTCTTCACTTTTATACTTTTAGATTTCTTCAACAGGGCAAACTTACTTGGTTTACGTGGAAGCGAATTTCTCATGGTATGAAACCAACATGATTAGTACCCAATTGCGCCCCAGTCCCAGACTGCAGGGTTTTGTCTAACAATTTCTCGGCATACTTGCACCTGGACAATCTGCTATGGCGTTTTAGTTTACAACCTAGCCACTTTAACCTCTTCAACTTCTGGATCAAGCGTGATAGGTCCTTTCGTTCAAATCGTCTTAGATCATTCAATGGCGTATCTACATCATTTTAGTGACATACTGTTATCTAGTTACCCCCAATCTTAATAACTTGACCACCCTCCCAGGACTCCCCAGCCTCCAAAGTCTGCCATCCATTCACAGCACCCGGCTCCACGCAAACCATCTTCTTGTATCCATCATCGGGGCTGAAATCGCCCATTCCCTTTGCCTTTTCAATCCAGGGGTTCCATACGACGGCATCATTCAGCCCTTCGCGCGTAATGCTGAAAAGGTCTTTCTCCTGTCCTGATGAAGTAGACGCGATAACGAGGGGAACTGAGGGGTCGAGGTCCTTGTACACGCGGTCCGTTTCAGAGGTGAACTGGATAAAGGGGGCGGATTCGGTATGAGAGCTCGCGTTTTGCACCTTATCGATGTATGTCTTCCCCTGCAAGTTCTTGACGTGAAGCTGAGAAATATCCTATTCGTTCAAACAACCCGTTAGCCACCACTTACCCCTCTTACTCAGGAGGGGGTAACTCGAAGAAGGGGAATAGAAACCCACCTCAATCCCAAAGTAAGTATGCAGCAACACCTGGAACTCAAAGCTCTGCTCTCCCTGGTTCCGCACCTGCAGCAAAGTCCCCAAGCCCTCTGGCGAAAGTGTAACGCTGTAGACTAGTCCAAACTCATGCGGCCATTTCGATCGGAAGTCGGGTGTGAGCATTGCAGAAGACAGCCCGAAGTCCAGCTTCACGGTGTCGTCGGCGGCGGCGCTGCCGGAAGACTCGGAGGAGGACTTTCCGAGGAATTCCCAAAGGGAAGATCGCGCAAGGCCGTGCTGTGGGAGGGCAGACGTGGCGTGGTTTGGGGGTGGGGGTCCGAATACCTGTTTCGAGAAATAGTCAGTATAAATTTTGTAGAGGTGCGATTGCAGGTTCAATAGCCGTCGTCGGTGTATGGGTTGAAGTTGAAGGAACTGGCACGTACAGGGAATACAACGGGGATTCCACCTCGGATCGGTTTCGATCCGTCTAGTGTAGCAGCTTCACTGAGCCATAGCTGTTCTGTGCCGTTGGATGTTTTCCAGGATGTCACTGTCGCGCCGTGGAGGTTGACGGTAACGGATTCGCCGGAGGGCAAGTTGGCCTGGACGACGTTGTTGGCAAGGGAGATTGTGGGTTGGGGCGGGGTTGCGGTAACACCGATGGCGGCGGGCTTGTTAGAACGGTCCATTCCGGCTGGCAATTATTTGTATATCAAAGAGAATGGAAGAAGGGAATGTCTAAAGGGAAGAGGTGAGATAGGATGATGGAGGAAGAGAGAGGGGCAACCGTGCTCAGCAGCGTCATAAAGTCTGGTGGGGCCGTTTCAGGTCCACAGATCTATACTCTGGTGCAAACAAAGATCACATTGGAACATAAATATTTACAACAGAAACTCCCCCTTTGTCTTCGCAACCTGCTCGTCATAATAAGGCTGGAAAGCCAACCATCCCTTCTCAGGCCCACCAACCTGCGGTGCGGAATATGCCGCTTCTTCCTCGTCGATGAAAATCTTCTTAAAGCCCCCCGCGGCCGCCGCATCAGCCAACAGCTGCGCGTGGCAAGTCTTATCAAGGCTAATAAACCAAAACGCGGCCTCGTCTACACTCTGTCCAACAGTCAAAAGCCCATGATTCTGGAGAATTGCCGCCTTTCCATCTCCCAACGCCGCGGCAATACGCTTCCCTTCCTCACCGTCTAAGATCACACCTCGGAACTCGCGGTAGACAGCATGACTCTTGTAGAAGCGCAGCGAGTCTTGAGTGATCATCTCTAGCTCACGCCCGAAGCATGAAAATGCCTTCCCGGCAACGCTATGTGCATGGCATGCGGCGTTAACGTCCGGTCGGGCCTTGTGGATTTCAGAATGGATGGCGAAGGCGGGGAGGTTAACTGGTTCATCGCCCTCAACGACATTACCATCTTCATCGACAAGTACAAGGTCAGACACCTTTATAAGGGAGAAGTGGGCAGAGAGGGGATTTATCCCTGCGGGTTTGGTCAGCACCTGCGTCTCTCGAAGCGCATAAGGGGGAACGTACAGAAGTGATCAGTCAAGATGGGATCGCGGACGGAGATGTGCCCTGCAACACCCTCGTCGAATCCACGGTCTGCAAATATGCGGAATGCTGCGGCCAGGTGCTGCTTGCGATATAGTCGCTCATCTTCCAGGTTGTCGAAGTTGGGATAGCTGCGGATTTTCAATGTCTTGCCGCTCTTTGTCTTACCGAGAACTTGGACCTGCGGTGGCTTCTCAACCCGATTGTTCACAGTAGAAGCAACAGACTTGGTAGGCGCAGCGACTGGTGGCTGGATATCACTTATGGTTGTTGGGGACATTGTGTATACGATATCAATGATATGGCAACCGGGGTGATGAGTGTACGTTCAATCAAATGAATCGAGATGTTAAGCAGTTATTGTTGAGTGGAGCTATGCCTATATATGTGGTATTCGATCTACTCCAACCCCGCCTTGTAGGGATTTGCTTCATTGTCCTGTTGCGCAAGATTCCACGGAAAAGCGAGATGCTTTTCCGGCCCGAGGTTATACAAATCCGTCTCTACTCCAGGAATATGTTCTTTCTACTAATATTCATCACTCCATAGGACTTATCTACTTTCTCCGTGGAAAATGATGCCGCTACAATGACGACACTTCCAAGTCCCTCGCCGCTCGCGAAGAAATATGTGACGCGTGCCTGCGACATCTGCAAGAAACGGAAATGCAAATGCGACGGCCTGGAGGTGCGTTGATATTGCAGTCTAGAGACTATGGACATGAACGAGCTAACATTTTGGCTTCCTAGCCTTGTTATAGATGTGCATCACTCCGACTGGGTACACTCCAATCTGCGGGATATTTTTGGAGGTGCAAACTGACGTTGCAGAAATAGACTGCAGCTACAACACTTCATATAAAAGAGTGAAGAGACCTAGATTGGTTCGTCGCTTTATCTTATCGCCTGAGTAGCCCTAACAAAGACTACCTAGGATGATGGCCAAGTCCAAGCTGGGAGACCACCAAGTCAGCATCAAAATGAGACCATCTGTCACAGCCCAAATGGGACGGACGACGCCCGACTATCGACAGAGATAGAAGGAGATGACGGTATGCCTCTGATAAAGAGATCCCTACTGCCGTCGATATACCTGTATTGATGGCTCCATTACTGCAGGCGACGCCAGCACCCACGCTTTTCTCAAAAGCGTCTACACTCATCTGCAATCAATGGGACAAGTTCTTCCTCGTAATCTCCATCGGCCGGCGGAGCAAATCCTCGAGGGCGATTCCCCTGCATCTATTTTCTTTCCACTAGAGCGTCATTTTGCGCAGGAGTATATTGATTGTTTCTATGAGCACTCTAATGCCACATACCGGTATATCCCGAGATCGCAAATCGAACACTTACTGGATGGGTTCTACGCCCAGGAAGAAAAGGTCCTGCAGGATGATGCGGGTATGGCTGTTCTGCTTCTCGTTATGGCTATTGGGTGAGTATTCTTTGCGCAAAAAGCAATGGTACCTTAAACTAAGAGCTGCAGTTGTGTGTGGTTGGCCTCCTGGCGTAACCTTGACCTAGGGGAACAAAAGACCAAAGGGTTAGTTTCATCTGTGTCCATCAATATCTGTGCTTATTATCATAGTTCTCGACTGTTCAAAGCTGGAAAAAGACGACTCGCTCAAGTGGATACCGTATACCCACCGACCACCATCATCTTACAAGGGCACGTACTGGAGGTAGGACGCCAACACATCTTCCTTTATAAATGAACTAATAGAGCCAGTGTCAATTTTATCTAGCGCTAAATATGTTTAACACAGCTTGGATTTCGCTAGGGAATGCTATTCGACTAGGGCAAATGGCCGGTTTCCAGAGAGCAATCAAACAAGAGTATAGCCTGCAAGAGTGGTCACGGCGCGGAATCTTTTGGTCGCTATATATGATGGACAGGTATGTGAATAGGACTTACAGAAATATGTATTAACGGTTGCGAAGGTATCTATCTGCAGCATTGGGTCGACCCATGGCATTAGATGACTCCGATATCACTCTTCCCTACCCAAGACCTGGACTCGAGGGAGACCTGGGCAAGAATGAAGTCGGCTTGACGAAAGGAGTAGTATCTCATATAAAGTAGCACAAACATCGCATTCGTGTCTTAGTTTCTGCTAATCCATTTATAGGCTTACCCAAATAACGGGCAAGATCCTGAAGCAGCTATACCCCGCAGACAAACATTCCAGGGCCCAGAAGCGCGATGATATTGTAAATGATATCGAGCACGACCTTCAAATTTGGCTGGAAGAAACACCCTCCTTCTTCCACCCAAAAGGCAATGATGGAAGTGAAGCCGGTGGCTATTTGGCATTTTTTGAGATTCCATGGATTTTCAAACGGTCAGTTTACTCCATTTCCGGAATCATATAGCATCCTTTATTTATGCGTCGCTGGCACAGACAACAACGGACTGTCCGAGCGGCATTCAACTTCACTACCATTCTTCTATACAGAGGCTATCTCCTTGATGAATTTCTGCAGCCGAATGTACCCCGTCGCGGAATACCATCATCCAAACCAGCTGTTGAGAAATGCGTGGAAGCAGCTCTCCGACTGGCATCGTTCGCCGCTGATATTGAGACAGATGAGACATACAACTCGGTATATTGGGTACGTATTCCACGACTCTTAATAATAACGAACAGCTGTCACTAACCAGCCCATAGGTAACAACTCATCTCACGTTCTGCGCCATTTCAATATTGACGGTGTATATGACTCTCTACAATGACCCAGATCAGCAGAGAGCTATCGAGACAGTCCTTGAAAAGGCCATGAGAGGGCACCGGAAATTAGACAATAGCATTAACAATCAGTCACAGCGATTACTTGAAGTAAGATCTGGATTATTTTCTTTTTGCCGCTCTATTAACAGGTCCAACTCCAGGAGTCCAGGTCCATTGCTCAAGCTATTCAGGCTAGTCCTGAATATCCATCGAGAACGCAAAGACAAGACATCACAGCCTTACACCTCTTTGAGGCAAACTCCACTCTACCCATTGACAACGACGTTGAAGCTCTAGAAGGTGACGAGCGCTTGGATTCAATATACAATGAATCAGGATGGGTACTCAACCAAACCACCCCGCATCTATCATCCGCCAATACTAATAAGCCCAGGATCCCCAGGGCTACGCAAACATCCTCCACGGCGAAGGTCTGGGTGTGATCATGAACATCGGATTCGACACCTCACTGAGCCCTCTAAACGACATCCTCCCACCCTAGATATCGGGCTGCCCCCTTTTCCGCTTTTAGTCTCAATCAAAGTCTACTTAACCCCTCCTCGACCTCCCTAGCCTTCCTCTCCACCTGCTCCCTAGACGCCATCAGAAAAGTCTCCTCGCTACTATATTTCCCTGCAAACTCTTTCTCATCTCCAAAAAGTTCCCTGTACTCATCTTCCCAGAAGTACAGCGCAATCCCTTCATGAAGCCTCATCAGAATAGTGGCATCGGGATCCCCGCGACAACAAGGACACATTTGTATCTCGTCTTCGCCGGGCGGTGGGATCTTTATAGTCCCTTCTTTCACCCCCTCCGTGAGGAGATCCTGGCTGGCGCTATAGATTTCCACCATTACATTGTCAAGATCCGTGTGCAAAAGGCGGGTTTTGAATGGGGCGTGTTCGCGCGTGCATCTGTCTGCGCATTTCAGGTAGACCCGGCCGAGGGTGTCGAGTGTTCCATAGCCGGTTAAGGTATTTAGTTTGTCTGTTGAGGCTTTGCTGTTGCTAGGCGTGTAACTGACGAGGCGGGTGCCGGTTGGAGAGATGGAAGGGGTTAGATGGGGGAGGAGGGAGTGGATGGCTTCAATCGTTGCTTGTAGTGGGAGGTTGTGGAGGGTATTGAGGTGGGTTTGGAGGGGCCAAGGTGATTCAGGGGGTTCGGTTTGTTGCATGGTTGCTCATGGAATAGCAGCATTAATAGTGTTACTGGTAGGTGTAGTTTTGATGATGGTAGCAGGAGAGATGGAGGCTGAGGCTTCGCTCAACCTTTATAAGTGATGGTCTGATAGGCCGCAGCAAAGTCATCAGGCAACGATCTACCTACAGCGTAAATGACAACATGTCTTTTATTCTGTGAAGGTAAAGGTAAATTCTTGATGTTTTCCGGCCCTGACAGCAATATGTAAGTGAAAATAACTTGAACGCTTCTAAGTATTTAGAGATAGAATGTATTGTTGGCTATTCAAGCTACAACTCGTAGACCTGAACAATCCTTCACATATGATCAAAATGAACATAGAAGCATAAATAGCAAATAACCCAAGCCGTCTGATGTACAACTCATCCTATCAGATATTCAACAAACTTTCTCAATTATCCATATTCGACTATTACCAGTGAGGATTTACCTGCGATCCAGATGTATTCGATATGACTATCTATCCTCTCAAGAAAAAGGGTCCAAAATCTAGTCAAGCCGTCGTATATTGATAATGCGCTCCTTCTCTTCGTATCAATAAATCCTACACAGTATAGAAATATTGGAATCAGTCATAGAACACCAAAAGATCGAACAGATACCTCACCTTTCGTATGTAAACAGAAACAGAGTCCTCACACTTATCGCCCTATTTTGTGGCTGACACCTTAACCGCTGGCTTCTTTTTAACTTGAGTCTCATTGTCACCAGAACGCTTCCCTTTCTGCGGTGCTTTTTGCGGTGCGCTGGTCTCGTCCTTCTTCGGTTGTTCATAACGCAACACCGACTTGGAGCCATGAGGTTTCTTCCATCCTTTTGCTCGAGAAAGTCTACCGGGGCCGTGGCTAAGCTCCGGGCATTTCCGCTCTTGATGACCCTTCACGTTGCATATGGGGCAGGGTCGGACCTTGGGACATTCCATTACCGTGTGGCCGTCTTTCTTGCAGAACACACAATAGTCACATTGGGGACAGGTTCTGAGGGTAACACCGCATGTGCCGCAGCGTTTGCAGTGGATGCGTTCTTCATCTGGAATGAATGATTTTGCCATGACGAGTGTGTGAGATGGGAGTGACCTTCGGATACGTAGGGGGGTTAGAAAAGCTATGAAGAGAAGGCGTGGGAGATGAAGAAGGAGAGGGTTTGAGAAGAGAGAGGGGAAGAAAGTGTTGCAACCTGAAATATATTCATCAGGAGTGAGAGCGTGGTCTTCAGTGCTCAATTCACAACAAGTCCAGAAAGCCAATACAGAATGGCAAGAAGCAGGTTTGCCTAATCACGACCAAATATTCACTGCACTGTGCCTTTTTCCACCATCAGATACTACTTCTCTTATGCACCGGGTTTTGACTAAATGCTTTGTACTTGTACATGGAGATATCATGGGTGGTTCAGTTCCTACAAAGAACGAATGTCAGTAGACGGTTGCCCCTCTTCGCAAACGGAGGCAAACGGAGGCCATTTGCACCCTGAGAATTTTAAAAAATTTTAACATAGAAGAGAAGAGGGGCATATAGTAAGGAGAATCTCCTTCAGTTGGATCTTACCTTAACTGGGTGAGCAATGCTAACAATGGGCAACATGCACATAATGTGATATGAATCTTGAACCTAAGTCCGTTTAAACTTGGTTTTAGCGGTTAATCCCATCTATGATCGGCACTATGTACCGGTGGTCGGGCCATCTTTACGAGATCCAGATGTCGATCTACGCAGTGTACCGCTGTGAGTATGTATCCAGACTTATGGACTTGAGCACTGTCATCCTGAGCCATGAGCAATGAGGTCTACTCCAATTACGAACACCTTCACATTGAAAGTATTAGACATCCTTGATTCAAATATTCCACGCAACATCTACCGTACTCCATGCTCTAATTCTATTCCTCTAGAACAAAAGAATCGGGCAGCATGAGGACATCAAAGAATATATAGCAGACACCCAAATCAAGCACTCTGGTTGAAGTCATAAGCATTACCAAATCCCCGATTCAAATAGCGCGATAAGACCTCCTCCTGGCTAACCCAGTCCACTGGAACCTCAAGCTCGCTCTGCCCTTGAATAGTCTCCTTCAAATCATCCGCAAACTCCAACTTCATCGGGTTCCGATACCACGGTGCAAAGTGAACTAAGCAAACACTCATTAGTATTTTTTTACCGAATATCTGACTAGGCAGAAAATGAAGGAAAGGGATCCATACTCATAGCCAACATAACCCTCGCAACCTCCGTTTGATTCCCAATACCCGCATGCCAAAGCCTCAAATCCCTCACCACAAGCGACCCCTTTGGCACAACAGGCTGACAAGGCGGTCGTACAGCCCGACGAGCCTCAAGCCTATCTGTCTTAATTCGTCCACTCGCCCGCTCTCCATGCAGACCTTCCTGGACGTGTAGTCCTGTATCCGTGTGCGTGCCCAACCACACCTCCGTCGATCCATTTTCTGGCGTCATGGTAATCAGTGGCACATTAATCACGTACGCGAATGGATGCTCTGGGTGCTCAAAGTCTGCGTCTGAGTGCACAGGCTGCGACATTGGGGGTGATGTGGCTGTTGGTGGCATTGCGGTGTTTCCCGAGCAGAAGGTCCATTTCGGACGGGGGCCGAGGGCTGTAGATGTTATTTGGGTGGCGATGGGATCTATATATACCGTTCGATTAGCTTCTTCATAGGTAAGGTGTTGAAACAGCAGGAATCGGTGCCACTCACTCATGAATATATTCTTGTCAAAGTGCTCCCTAACAGGCGGTGCGTCCTGCTGAATATTGCCGGGGTTGTAGTTATACGGACTATCGTCCTTCCTGGCCTGGAGGGCGTAGGCGTCTTTTACCATTTTGTCGTTGAGGCGAGTGAGGCAGTCGTGCGGGATGACATCCTCGACGACGACGAGGCCATCGCGATGCAGGCTCCGGATTGCGATTTCGAGGTTCTGGGCCGATAGGCGTGCGTTTTGGATTTCTGGTCTCGATGGGCGAATTGAGGTTGGGTAGCTTGTTAGTTTTCTGACCTGGGTTGATAGTTGGCGGGTTTGTTTTGCGAGTCTTGTAACTGTTTGATTCATGATGTGTGAGGTTGAGACTGTAGTGTTCCAATTGAAGGGGTTGGATATGTTTAGAGTTGTTGAATTGGGTAAATAATTGTGCTAAGGCAGAGGGTGAGCTAGGTACTTATATTTACTACTCCTCCGGTCTGCCGCTTCAGTGGTGGTTATCCCCGCAGACTCGCCTTTTTGACTTCGCCTTTCGCTTTTGGTTTCTGTTTTGACGTTCTCAAGAGGTGGATAGAGCACTCCACTAATTATTATAGGAGCAATTTCATTGGAAGGGAGCAGATAAAGTCAGTTCGCATATGGAAAGATCCCGCCTTTCCCATCTCGCCTTTCGCCTTTCGCCTTTCGCCTTTCTCCACTTCATGTGGGCGACTGAACAGCGAGCCATTCAAGGTCAAACAATGTTTCCGCAGACTGGACTGCCCATGGCCTTGTGATAGCATAATATTACTAGCAGATATTATTATGCTCTCGGAATAAAGTCGATTTAGAACCAGCCGATATCCTGACCGTTTCAACGCCGATTCTTTTCATCCCGATTCACCCTATGGCTACATACAGCTATTTAAATCCCCTTCATCGCTCAACATCTGCAGGCGAGGAGAGTGCTTCTATTATAGTGGAAACTGGCCACCCACTTAATGCTCCCCACCGCTTCACCTCCTCTGTAATCTCGTTGCGTTTTTGAATGTCCTGAAGCCAAGGGCCGCCTGTTGTATATTGTGAGACTCGGTACCAAATAGCCCTGGAGGAAACTTACAGAAAGCTATGGGACCAAAAGCGTTAACCCATACCGGCGCCGAATCGCTTGTAAGGGCCAAAGCACACACTTCAGTTGCATGGTGATCTAATTTCTGACGGAGAGAGTTCATGTTGTTCAGTCGTTGTAAGGTATTGAGTGGCTGTGGTAATGGCTCTGCCAGCCAGAGGATACTCATGGCGGTGTGATAGTAATGGAGACTCGACACTAGTTGTGTTAGACGAGGTTTGGGCCGGTGTATATTGTACTCACCATGCCAGCCTCGGAGAGCCCAAATGGATGGGAAGTTGCCTTGCTTTCCCAATCCAGGGGTTTGTATTGGATCAAAAGATGAGGGAAGTGAGGCTTTCCAACTATCTAGCTCAGACTTCATACTTTTCCATTCTGGGAGGCTAAGAGCCGGAGAATTTATTGATAGGCACCGGTTGATTATTCTTCCAAGGAGGAATGTGACGTTATTAGCAAAGTCCGCGTCGTCTGCAGATTCCGGGGGAGCATGTTGAGACAGCGAGATCATGAGACTTCGCTGTTCTATAAGGGACACAGTAATATCCTCTCGCAGATAGTTCCAGAACCCTGAGCTAAGTAAGTCTGAGGTGAGCTGGACGTGCCGACTGGCTAGGAGGGAATAACATCCTTGTAGGTGACTCTGGGAGCTGACGTTCTCTGTCGTCTATAGTTAGCATTTGCCATTCTGAGAGTGGGAGTTGAGCTAACGCGTTATTATTTCGTAAGAGCGGAGGAGGCAGATTGCAGCCAGTGTTTCGCCAATTGGCATCTCATCCACATTTCGAGTGAGTGATATCAGTCGCCGGACACTATCATAATGGTAAAACTCGGCGACATCTAGATAGCTGTCTTCTGCCAATACACGGTGTTGGTGAGCTGCAGCAAAAGCCAGAATAGCGCTTAGCAAGAGCGGATTATGTCGAGCCCGGACAGGCACTACATCCTTGAAATGGCGCCTGCTGTCGTTCAGGTCATACCAGCCGGCGAGCCCTTCTATGTAGTGGCGAAATATCTTCGCGATCTGAGGATCCCACAGGGCTTGCTCGGGGTTGTGTGTGGGGGTGTATTCGTTTTGGCGGCAAGGAGCTGGAAACGAAGGACTAGACTGGGGTGCGTGGGTGATGGGCGGGAGTTCTGTTGGTATGTCGTCAATCCACCGACAGTCTCGAGAACTTCGTTGGCAGGGTGCGCACGTAGGTCGACTTCCGTTGCCTTACACGCCAGTATTTAGCAAATAGTGTGCTTCATTAATTTGACCCAAAACCAACATTTGATTCTTCTCGATCTGCATTGTTGGCTGGAGATTACAGGTCAGCGGTAGCTTTGCCGAGTTGTCAAGACACTAGGATTCATGCAGTAATGAGTGCAACAGCAGACAACACTCACCACCCTGGGTTAAGTTATGGTCAGAATTGCGCTCGTAAACAATATTGATCAGAAAACTTACGGTTCCGCTCAAGTCGTCGCGGCATCTGCGTGTTTCGCAGGATTTGTTGTCCAGACCGTGTTCGATGAAGAGTGGAAGAATGTTCGGCGGTTGGCGCGCGCTTTTCGCAGTTGACTTTCCCCGCAAATAATGACCAACTGCTTCTTGGTGATGTTTAACCCAGAACAAACTCACTTGAACCAGCTTATACTACAGATTTTGTCTGCAGCGCTTTCTTTGTCTACCGACATATAAGTGGCTAGCCAGTATCCTCCCTGAGAAAAGGTAAAATAATGGCTGTCATTCTTTGTGTCCCTCTATCATATACCGCAAAAGGATATACATTGAATATTCCAGGCTGCTGATTTATTCTAGGTCACGGATTCATCCTAGTGGTGAATGTCCCATTATACATTTAGTATTATTCTCTGCATTCATTCAGATTAGGTCTGAGGCTCCCTTGTTTGGTCACCTTCAAAGCGACCTGGCAATTATAAAGACTGCACTGCTCACTGTGGTTCGCCTGCATTGCTTCCATATATTACACACCCTTGTCCTGTCAAAAAGAACATAATCATCTTCAAACAAGGAGTTCCTCTGGCGTATGTCACAATGAGTCTCCTTAGTCTTCCAAATGAACTTCAGCTCTGCATCGCCGATAATCTCGAATATACATGGGACATCAACAGGCTTTCTCGCGTTAACAAGCGGCTTTACGAGTTATTGAACCCACGGCTCTACCGATTCGACAGGCAGTATACTCGCACATCAACGCTGCTAAGGGGAGCCGGCTATGGCTTTGAGCCTATAGTACAAAAGCTGCTTGAAGATGACGTCTTTTTAAAAAACATTTCTGAGCAGGAATGGGATGGACTGATTTCAGGATCCGCTTCAAGAGGCCAAACAAGATGCCTCAAGTTGCTTTTGGAAGCTGAAAAGCGGCTTTACCCTTCAATCGAATGGAAGCGGACTTTTTTTAGCCTCCTGTTTGACGGGCTCGGCCGGGCTGCATCGAATGGACATGTGTCTACAGTCCGGCTCCTTCTGGAATACGGAGCACCCATATTGAGGGAAAGTCGTTTCTGCGTTCAGACTTTGCGCCATATGCCGGTAGCAAAGGTGGTCATGGATTGGGTTCGCCAGTCTAATAGGTCCATTGATACCCAGATATTAGCGAATAAGCTATATAACTTACTCGATGATACAGTACGCCTTTACTACTACCACCCATCGGATGATTGCGTTCGGATGATCGTTCAAGAGTTTCTTGATATGGGTGTCAATCCAAATTCTCAAGACAGAAGAGATGCTACTATGAGGTACATGATCAATCTGGACACAGGCTGCGGTTTTGTTTACTACCCCGCCAGGGAAGGGTTCTCTGAAACCGTGCGGTGTCTGCTAGAGCATGGCGCAGATGCTACCCAGAAAATGGACGATGGAAGTGGTTTGAGACCCCTTTGCTTTGCCGTTGAACGGTGTGATATAGGTGTCGCAAGGTTGATGCTTAAAAGCGTCAATGCCAAGGAAATTATCGCTGATGGTAAAGAGATCGGGCCGTTGTTATGTGTTGCGTCGGCGTGCGGCTTCCAAACACTGGTACGAGAGCTTCTCCACGGCGGCTACCATACAGAAGAAATTCAGGAAGACCGAATAGGTTGGGTTGAGGAATATGACCAACAAAAGGCACTCCAGTGGGCTGCCAAATTTGGACATGGGGGAATTGTGAGGCTCCTGCTCAACCACGGCGTCAAGCCCAACTTGGAAACACTCGGCATAGCAGTCCGCCACCGATCTGTACGAATTACAAAAATGCTTCTTGATGCTAATGCAGACGCCGCCTGTTTCCCAGACGGTTATATTCTCCACGATGACTGCCCGGCTTTAGGTCCATCTCTATTCACGCTCCTACTCAACCGACACGCTGAGCAGAATCCCGGATATGTCTCAGACCTTTCCAGAATCATGCAAAAGGTGCTAAGAAGTGGCCATATACCTCAAGCCCAGATTCTCCTAGACCGAGGTTTCCGTTTAGGGGCTATCATTAAAGACAACCCTGACGATAACCTCGAGATCATGCAAAGCCTCGATATTCTGGAATCCGCAGCATATGGTGGAACTGCTGCGCTGAAATTTTTGTTTGACAACGGTTTTGAATACCCACAGGGTGACACTGTAGAAACCATTTCAGCAATAATGATTGCCGCCACCAATTGGGATTTCGATGCAGTAAGGTTCCTCCTTGATAAGGGAGTCAGGGCCCCCAGGGACAACGAGCTCGTGCATACGCTTATGTCAATATTCCGGAAGTATGATACGGAACAAGCAAAAGAGCTATGTGATCTGCTAATTAGCCATGGCGCCGACTTCAATTTCACAGGCGAAGTCGGCACCGACGCCTTGTTTTCCGCAATTATCTACAGATCCGAGGACGCCTTGAAGCTTTTCCTGGAACATGGTGCTGATCCTTTATTGCTAGATGAGTTTGATGGAGAGCCTCTGGGGACTGCATTGAGATGGTGTTATACCCGAGGGGCGCAAATTATGTTGGACGCAATGCGTGATCCACCTCTTGATAGATTGAGAAAGGAGGTGTTGGGACTCAAATCAAAGGCCGCGTTAGAGAGACGGTGGAACAAAGTGGGGGCTTTCTACTGCTTTGAGGTCAAAAACGGGCTCCATTTACTGCCGACACCGGATCCTGAGAGTATTCCAAAGCCATACCGACGCTGGCCGGAACCTCCTGGCGGCGTAGACTACGCTGCACTGGAGCGAATCAGGATGATATTTGGTATGGACTGGTGGTAGTGTTGTCGATGACCAACATTTGTATACTAAAATTGGGAGGGCTATGCCATTATGTTAGCTTGCGGATAGACGATAATTAAAAATGGAGCAACTCCTTCGCTACTCAGCCCTATCGGTGTCTGGATTGTATCGCGGCCCACCGATACATCAGTTTATGTAATACGTATACAGTCAAGAGCAACAAGTTCATCACGATTCACGACTCATGAATCCGGGGAAAGGACTAAGAGTTCGTCAAAAAAATGCAATAACTCAATCATACCACTAGGCAATAATAACTGGTTCATTGGAAAGTTTCCTGAACCCTGACCTTGTGTCTATCAGAACAGTTCCTGTTTCCGTCGGTCTCGTGGAAGCCCAGCCACCACGTCGTGCGATCAGCGCCAATAAACAGATAGGCCGGCCATCGCCCAGCCCAGCTCATTGCCATGGCAGGCTTCTTCCAATTATATCTGCATGCAGCCTGGACGCCGCGTCGCTGACAGCCAGGACTCGGCTCCTTTTCGTTGTAGCCTTCTTCAAGATGCTCGCTCCCCCCTCCTTGTCTTCTCTCCTTTTAGGAGACTCCATTGAATGAATCCGCCAGGGCAGTCAGTTAGTTCCTAGTTTTCTCGCTTCCTCGTTGATTCTTCTTCTTCCTCGTATGCGTATATAACTCCCTCTGCCTTTGTTTCATAATTATCACCCTCAGCCCCAGAGCGACCCACACCACCGACCCCCAGCTCTCAACCCAGCCGCCGACTCCGTGTGCTCTTTCCGCTCGAGTCCGCCTTTTCCTCTGTCTGGGTCTGGTCAACGACAAAGCCTGGTTCTGTTTTCATATTTTTTTTCCTGGCGGTTTTCGACTTCACCAACCGTCCTATATGCATTGAACTGAGCATTATCGGGCTATCGCTCTTTCTCTGCCCATCCTCTCAGCATGCTGATTCCAATTCAGCTTCGGCAGCTCGAGCCACGTCAATCTCCCGATTCTCCAACTGATAATTCAGACAAGAACGATAACTCTTCCCAAAATCCCTCAGGAGGTGGCAACAACAATGCGGTCATCATTGTAAGTCGTCATTTTTCTCGGTCGTTGTTTGGGTGTTTTAATAACTAACATCTCGTGGCAGGTTGCTGCCATTGTGGTATTCGTTATAGCCTTTCTTGTCGTCGTCTACTTCGTCCTCCGCGCTCTCCGACGAATGAACTGTCGCCCAAAATACATACCAGGAAAGTTTCTCAAAGACAGGTGGATAAGATGGAACGTTGGGAGTACATACGGCCAGGTTCCGGGTGGCTCATCGTCAGATCGAGCCGCCGGTGTTACCGTAGCCCCTCAAGCCGCCGAGGAACCCTCACGGACCGACCCTAGCACCGGGGTTCGTCGCGACACCTCGATTCGTTCAATCATCTCGTTGCCTGCTTATTCCTCGACTCCCAAACCCACCGAGCAAGTCATCGCCCGAGAGGGAGAACGTGGCGGAATGGACATGGTGGTGGAATTCCCGGAGACAGCAGAAGAAGAAGAAGATCGGCGAGAAGAGATGATGGAATCCCTGTACCAGATTCGTCTACAGCGACGGCAGGAGATTGCTGATCGGGAAGCTCGACGCCGCGAGCGCCGTGAAGCTCGTGAACGAGGTGACATCCTCCGTCTTGAACAGCTGAGAGTGGCAAGCCGAGCACGAGCCAACAGTCGGGACTCCGTCAATGGAGGAGCCTCGGGCACGGCGGCCACTGCGTTGGCAGAGGCTCAAAGTCGAGGCCGTGACCGACGAATCTCAAGCGTCAGCTACGCTGATGTAGGCTATGTCCGGCACGACGGTTCCCGCCTCCGGGCTAGTTCGCACGACTCCGATTCCCGACCACTCCTAAACGATGCTGCTGCGATGAGTGCGGATGGCCCTGACCGCTCATCTGGGCTTATGAGCGTCCATTCTCGCGGTGAATCCTATTCCTCCGCAGCTGGTGGCTCTGACAGCGAGAGTTTGACACCTGTACATTCCCACGGTGCTTCCCTGCGTTCAGTCAATCATTCAAACGAAGAGTTTGAAGATGGGGATGTCGGAGCACGAAACATCCCACCTCCAGATTATAATAATCTGGATTGGGGGGACGCCCCCCCTTATGAGCCTTCAACATCACAACCGAATTCTGATGGCCCGCCTCGATTACGGGAACTGACTCCGCTACCCACGATCCAAATCGACGTTGTAAGCCCGGTTGACAATGATCCACCCACAATTCCAATTACACCGCAGGAAGAAGAACGTGTGCCCTCGGCTGCGGACTCTTCTTCCCAGGATAATACGCATTCAGCTCAAGATACTCGGCCACGGGAAACTCCTGCCGAAACAGGCTCACCAAGCGACAATAACGCGCCAGCGACCGCAAGGTCAGCATAGTATATAAACGCCTTATTACGAGTATGACATGCTACGACCATAATATTCCTTATACATTCTCTGTCTACAATTTGCATTTCATGATGTACCTAGCAAGGCGTTTGGGTGGCACTGGTAAAGTGAGAAGGCGGATATTTAAGTGAATCTCGGCTGTACATATAATATAACTTTGTTTATTAATACGAACTTTTTTTTTAAAACCAAACTCAATGCTGATGGTGAATTTCGGGCGATAGTTATCAGTGCCAACAAACAATTGTTCAGCGGCACATTTCTTGGCACGTTTTTGACATAAAGGCGGTGAGACTAGTTTGGCACGGGGTAAACAAACCCAGCCTCCCCAATTACTATCGTTTCGACGATCGGAATCCGACCGACGCGCTGTTTTGTTTTACGCAAACCGTATCAGAGAGGCAGATACATCTTAACGCCTCGAGATCAGAAGCGGGGTTTTCCTACCTTCAGCTTCAATCTCTCGAATATTCTTTCGAGAACAATCCGTCGCGTCATTTACTATGTCGCGCGAACACACAGCCAACAGCTTCGCGTCTTTCGGGTCTGATTTCGATCCAGAACACGAAGCAATTGCGTCAACCAGAGAACTTGACGAGAGCCCACAGCTTCCCAAGATGAACGGCGCGTCAAGGAAGCTGTCGCAGGTCGACGAAGAAGATGAACCAGATTACGTCTTTAACACCTCCACATTCGAACAATACCTCCCCAACTTCTCGCCGATAGGGACATCCGAAGAGGAAGACGACAACGACATCGACATCGACGACGATATCTCTATTGAAGCAGGTCGAGGCCCGTCCAACCCCCCTCGCCGGCTAAATGACTCTCGGAATTCATGGATGAGCATGGAAAACAGCGTCCGTTCTTCCTCCCCCGCTGTCAGACTTGACGTTCCCACACCCCAGAAATCAGCCGTTCGCAATACGTCTCGACGTGCGGCTAGCGAGAATCTTCGAAAAGATGCCCAGCTGAGACAGGCGAGTCTCGCTCACAAAGAAAACATCGATCCCAACCCTCCAAAGACCAGTCGCAAAGAACGACGAACTCTGTCTGAGATCCACGACAAGGTTCGCGATTCATACGAAGGCTCTTTTCTTGAAGATGAGCGTCCGTCACCGGCTAAGACCAGCGCTACGCGTCCCACCCGGTTTGGAAACGTGAATTTATCCCATCAGATTGCTGATGCCGTTGAGCGGGCGTCTCAGGAAGCATATGGGAAAGACGCCCGTCGGGGCAAGGCTCGGGCATCCGCCAATGCTGGAGGCGATACGGGCACTCAACAATCTTTTCTCCTGCCCGATTTGCCTAACCTCTCGGATCTTGTCTCTGGTGTTTATGAAGATGGAACCCCCGTGTATACGCGACAACCCAAAACGCGGACCACGCGGTTTGTCTCACCTCCAGCCGATGCCACAGATGCTTCCTTGAGCCGCGAACACATGCCTCTCGATGCGGTTCCAATTCCAGAAGACGAAAAGGCCTTGTTCGTGTCTTTGAGGCTCCTCCAAGACAAGGTTTCTGAGCTTGAAAGGGCCAAGGGCGATACTGAAAAGAAGATGGAAGATTTACGGCAGGAAAATAACTTCCTGAAGGGAGGCAAGTCCCGTGGTAAGCGCCACGAGCTTGAACAGAACGACTACAAAAAGGATCGATTGATCAACGAAAATCAGAGTAAGTCCTTTTTTTTTTTCCTTTTCCGGTCTGAATTTCCAAGACTAACTGTGTTCTAGAATTGGAGTCAACGAACTTAGCACTTCAAAACAAGGTGGATCTTCTCGAGCGCAAGACCGACATACAAGAGGCGGCATTGAAGAAGCTGAACAAGGAGCGTGACATGGCTGTCTCTCAACTCGGAGTAGCTTATCTGGAGTCTCAAGATCTGAAGAGTGAAAACGAAACTCTACAGCACGAGGTCGCAGAGCTTAAGGCTCGGTTTGCCCAGCTCTTCCCGTCCGGGTCACGGACGCAAGAGGAAACTGCACAGTCTGAGCAAAGCACCGTTAGTGACGCCAGCACAGAAGAGAGTCAACCCAACACCCGACAAAGCACTACCAAGGACGTCACCGCTAAAAGCACGCGTTCGAAGTCAAAGAGTGGCCGCAGGGAGGATTCCAAGTCCAGGGTCTCAAACCAAGTTGACAGAGAAATTTCTCGTCTGGAGAGGGAGCGTGCTGATGATGCCCTCTTCTCGATCGAACTTCCACGAGTAAGGGAATCGACTGGTTCGAAGAAACAAAAGGGCACACGGTCTCGGGAACCCAGCTCCCAAAGCAAGAGGCGGTCGAGCAGCGGAAAACGTGTCAAGAGAGTTGTGGTGGAAGAAGTTGAGGTTACTGACCCCGTCGACACAACTGCCGAGGCAACAGGACACACTCGCAAGTCATCCGCCACAGATCAGGATCAGACTCTGTTGAGCTTCATCGACGTAAGTGCCGTAAACTATATGACAAGGCTTATATTCTAACGGCTTGCGTGTTTAGGAACGTGAGATCGCGCAGCTAAGAAAAACGCTGGAAGAAGAACGGCTGGCTCGCAAACGTCGTCAATCGAACCCAGCTCCTGAACACACTGCGGGCGAGACTGAGAACCTTACCCGCCAGAGTGCGCTAAAACCTGCTCCTCGGAAGTCTTCAATGAAAGAAACAAAGGCCACGATACCTCGACCTGCTTCCGCACTTGGTGATGTGACTGCCACCTCGAGGGTTAGCCTACCGGAAGGGGATAGCCACCTATCAATCCCCGCTGAACGCCCAAGACGACACTCGGACCATTCGACGGCATCTGTGGCTCAGCGACGACGGCGTCGGATTGCCGAGGAGATGACTTCGGCGTTCATCCTACCCGACATCACACTGCGACACACTGACTTGGCGGAGAACCTCATCAAACTCCCCGAGTCGACCCAGCGAGTGCTCGACCGGGCCACCCAGCATAATGGAAAGAACTGCACTGTTTGCAAACAGTCCGTTCCCGGAGAGGGTTGTGAGCATACTAGGGACGCTGTCAAGATCCCCAAGCCCACCCCAGTCTCCGAGCGAATGCCTGAGCCGTCTGTCTACAATGAAGAACCCACCCTGCGACCTGCACAGTCGCCAGCAGTAGCCCTTGCTACCGTGCTAAAGGCGTTGGAGGACGAGTTGTCGCACTTGCGAATGCAGCTCATCTCCTACCAAGGCGCGTACAATAAGATGGATGCGTCTATCAGCAAGCGCCAGAGAAAGGCCCTGGGTGAGAAGATCGAGAAGCTGCTGAAAGACATTGATATGAAAGCCGACCAAATATACGCACTTTATGATGTTCTTGAGGACCAGAGACATCGCGGACAGGAAATGACTGAGCAGGAGATCGAGGTGACGCTCCAATCTATTGGTATTGACGCCAACCCTAAAATGGGCGATGTTACCGGCACGACCGACAAATCTTCTCGGAAGGACGGAACAGAGTACGATGTTGACGATGATGATTCAGAACTCCCATGGGAGGGAATTGAAAGCACAACGGAGATGACTGGAGGGAGTCGGCATCGCTAGATTATTGTTTGGTTCATTCTGTTGAATGTCTAGCCCTGCTATGCTGTTGAGCTTATTGGAGTTCAGTCACTTATTTGTTTCATGTTTGTTTTATTATTTGTTTTCATGGACGGTGTTCCGGCTGTACTGTGTGCATTTGTTTTTGGTATCTCTCTCGCATTAGTTGGGGAAGCGTGCAATGGCGTCAGTCTGTCCCAAAGTAGCACCATTGAGCATCAGTTATCATCCAATTGATTTTGGTTCTTCCTCTGCAATGTCGTATCATCGTACCCAATATTCAACAATACCAGTTTGTTTATTCTTTGGCTATCCTGTTAGGCCCTCGACGCCGTTGGCTTGATCTCCCAACCCGGTTTAGCGCTGCAATCCACCTGGTACCTCATCGGAGCCGATATCCGCCCTGATTCCATCCCAGAGTTCTTTATTTCTCCAATTTTGCCGCCCGCTTTCTCTACTCTTTCTTTGCTTCTGCTACCGCACCCTCGCCTCTAGGATTTATCAATTTAGACTTATCTATACAAACTCGTTCCATATATCTAAAATATAGATTTTGATGGGCGCTAATCACCAGCATGATTCGAATCTTCACCGCAGAGATCATGTAGATTCTTCCTCGAGTTCGAATTTCTTCGCCAGCAATTATTCCTCTCAAAACACCCTCTACGGCGACTCTGACGATGATGCTAGAAGCGTTCGAACCGTCATACACAGCAGCAGCCCTCCTCACCTCCGCCTCCTAGAGCCCGCACCGATAACCGGCGACGAAGAGTGGTCAGGCGACACCAGCGACGAAGATGACCCCGTCGAAGCCGCGAGCGAAAAACCAGTAACATGGTCCTCGCTTCCGAACAAAAGCCAACTCGCAATCCTCACAATCGCGCGTTTGTCGGAACCCCTCACCCAGACGTCTCTGCAGGCGTATCTGTTCTACCAGCTGCGATCTTTCGATCCGTCGCTACCGGAATCGACCATCGCGACGCAAGCCGGGATCCTGCAGGGCAGTTTTACGGCTGCGCAGTTTTTGACGGCGGTGCTATGGGGTCGACTGGCTGATTCGGAGTGGATGGGCCGGAAGCGCGTGTTGCTGATTGGGTTATTGGGCACTTGTATCTCTTGTCTTGGGTTTGGATTTTCGAGGTCTTTTGCCGCGGCCGCGGTTTTTCGAACGTTGGGCGGTGCGTTGAATAGTAATGTTGGGGTTATGAGGACTATGATTTCCGAGATTATTGAGGAGAAGAAGTGAGTGCGCCCCCGCGTCCGTCGTCGTCTGTCGTCCATCTGGTCTGTCTTGTGCTAATCAGAGGCGCAGATACCAATCTCGAGCGTTCCTGCTGTTGCCGATGTGCTTCAACATTGGCGTCATTATCGGCCCAATACTCGGTGGGACGTTGGCGGACCCGCGCAAGAACTATCCGCAGCTTTTTGGACCTGGTTCGCTCTTTGGAGGTGAGGATGGAGTGTGGTGGATGGAACGCTGGCCGTTCGCGCTTCCGAACTTTATCAGCGCTATTTTCATCTTTACGTCGTGGTTAACGGTGTTTTTTGGGCTCGACGAGGTTTGACCCCCCGTGCCTGTAACTGAACCAGCTGTGCTAACCTGTACCTGCAGACCCATGAAGTTGCACGGTACAGAAGCGATTGGGGTCGGAAACTGGGACGTCGGATCGCAAGAGTAGTTCAACGCCGACGATACCACCACTACCGTCCTATATCGGACTATCCGGACGACACGTCTCTATACCTCGACGAGAGCATCGCCAGCAGATCAGCCCCTTCAAGCCCTGTCCGCGCACGGATGCAACATCGCCAGAAACGCCCTGGCTTCCGGCAAATCTGGACAGCCAATGTCCTCTTGACTCTTTTCGTCCAATTCCTCCTCGCTTTCCACACAAGCGCATTCAACTCTCTGACCTTCATCTTCCTCCCAAATCCCCGCGCTCCAGAGGGAAGCAACCAAGGCTTCTTCCGTTTCGGCGGCGGCCTCGGCCTTCCGTCTTCCCGGGTTGGGCTCGCAACAGCGATTATCGGTTTGATCGGCCTCCCGCTTCAAATATTCATATACCCGCGTGTCCAGTCTCGTCTAGGAACACTGACGTCCTTCCGCACATTCCTCCCTTTTTCGCCCCTCTCGTATGCGCTAATGCCATTCCTCGTCATCATCCCCAACTTCCCGTGGCTTGTTTGGCCGGCCTTCACAATTGTTGTCGGACTGCAGGTTGTCTCGCGGACGTTTGCGCTGCCCGCGGCTGTGATCTTGGTTAACAACTCAGTCACGGATGCGTCTATCCTCGGGACAGTCCACGGTGTTGCGCAGAGTATCTCGAGTGCCGCGCGCACTCTAGGCCCGCTTTTGACCGGTTGGGGATTGGGTCTCGGGCTGGAGTATAACCTTGTCGGTGGTGTTTGGTGGGCATTGGCGCTGGAAGCACTGCTTGGCTGGTTCCTGCTTGGGACAATTTATGAGGGAAAGGGGATTGATAGGAGGAAGGATCGTGAGCAGGAAGAGATTGAGGCAAGTCAGGAGAGGAGGTGACACGAGGTGAGTAGCAGGTGGCTTGCAATGAGTAGCAGGTGGCTTGCAAGGATGGTGTAATTTTGAGACGCCCCATTATGTGGGCTTGGATATGAACTGAACTTGAACATACAACATACAACATACAACATTGTGATCTGATGTGATGAGTTGTCTAAGCGAGATACGACATGATTTATGAAAAGACCTGTTTAGATTTCTTTTACTAATAGAGTCAATACACAACTTCTATTTATTTGTTTACCGTTAATCCAGTCCCGATGTAAATGCCAAATACAAACCTCTTAGCATCAAAATTTGAATGCACCACTTTAAAGTCCCAAAACAAAGTTCAATCTGTCTCTCCATCCTCCAATTACACCGCCGCAGCAGACAAGGTAGGAGGAGGCTGGATGAAAGCTTGAATAGCCTTCTTTGCATCCCCCTCATTCGCCCTCAAAAGCTCCGTCGCTTTGACTTTACTCAAATCCAGCTCGTTCACCTACATATCCGCATCAGCATCCATAAATCCTAAAAGGTCAGGGTATAACATACCAACAAACTCACATCCTCCCCCGCAATCTTCACCGCAGGCGCAGCCTTCTTCTTACCAACCTCCGCGCCAACATCCTCACTTTTCCCCGCAGCCTTCGCCGATCCCTTCTGGTGTCCCCCCGCCGCAATTTCCAGCCTACTCATCGCCTTACCCAGGGCCTCCTGGTCCGCCGAGGACGGCTGTTTTGCGCCCGCGGCCGCAGTGGGTTCGGATGTGATTTCGGTGGTGTTGAGCGAGGACAGCGCGGCGGCGGCTTTGCGGTCTTCAGCGGAGGTGGAGGTTGTAGGTTCGGTGGGGGCTGCGGAGGGGATGGGGTCAGACATTTTGGTTTGGTCGAGGCTTAGTTTGCAACTTAAAGTTGCTCTGGGTTTTGGAGAGTTATGAGTTGGTGGGTTTGTTAGTGAGTAACTTGGGTTATTTTTGGCGGATAGTGAGATTGAGAGAGAGTGTTGGTTGTATAAAGAGAGAGGGGTGTTTGTTATGAGGGGATGGGTGATGTCATCATGTGACGGGGTTGTATTTATACAAATAAACAAAAATGATGCTCTGCGTTCATTGAATGTATGTTAGTTTATTTCTAATTTAGAAGCCGTTCGAGATGGGAGTCTATGTTCGTTGAATGGTTGATCTACATGCTTCTAAATATATATTGGAAAGGGCTCGGGCAGCGCAGGATATTACTACAATTGGGTAGCCTCGTATGCGTATAGCACTCTCCGGCCGGACTTCATCACTTTTTAACTTATTTAATTCCGCGCCGTATCGCATTGCATCCAGCCCATGACAACTAGCCATGCTGGGCCAACTCCCAGCAGAGATCCTGTTTGAGGTATTTAGATATGTAAGATAGGCTGGCTGCTCTTGTATTCCGCACACCACGCTCATGTTCACAGCTTGACAAGAATACTTTGATGAACCTTTACCAACTCTGCCGCCGATTCTACTCTATTGCTGACTCCCAGCTGCGCGAGATATATCGAACGAAAACGTTCTCTTTGAATACCGACTTAACGCTATCCCGGAGCGTTGACAGGCGCACCCTGAAGTTCATTAAAGATCTGGTTTTCGTACCCGCATTTAAAGATGGCCGAGGCCTAGGTTGTTTTCGAGAAAGCATTCCCGGTTTAGCTCTCGACGATAAGCGTGATAATGAGGTAGAGTGTGCTTTGATGCCAGTGTTCCGGGGATTGCGAAGAGATAGCCTCGTGAGTTTCAGGTGCGACTTGGCTTGTTTTCTTTCCCCAGGGTGTGGTTGGATCCTTATGTTGATATCACTCCAGATGGGAACTCGGATCGTGCATACCACTGCAAATTATGGGGCCCAAAGGATACCTACGCAGGCACCAGAAGAATATAGAATATCTGGCACTCAAGACTACGGCTTGGCGCAAAGACCACGCTAAACAGCACAAATTATCTATCTCACGATTCCATAAAGTTCGAAGCCTTTCATGGCAGGGCGTATGTATGGTCAACCATTGCATTGCGCTGGCCGAATTCTTCCAAACCAACGCCCATCGCCTAGAAGAACTCGAGCTGAGCTTTGGTTCCCAGATTTACGCCAGTCTCCGCGAGTGGAGAGACCTTCAAAAGGATTATACTGTTGCCAGGAACGCCTTTGTATTTAAGATCCTACAGTTGGACCAGGGCCAGACGAAAACCGTCTTTCCGAAATTGAAGAAGCTGTCCCTTGGCCATGTAGCTTCAGGTACGCCTTCACTGAAGTGGCATACGCGTTCCAGCTGCATCGGCTCCGAGCATTAAAGCTCCGTGAAAGTACAGCAATTGTGGAATTGCTCAGTACTATCGCGACAATCACGAGCCGCGTAGAACTGATTTCACTCGACATAGAGCTTGGCTCAACTAGTGACCTGGACACTGAAGCATTCCAGAGGTTTTTTGGGCTTTCATTCCCCAACCTTGAAGATGTGTTTATACACGTGGACGCCACGGACGACAGGTCAACCAACTTGCACTGGAGGTCGGTTTTGGCACATGACCGGCAAATCAACCGTTTTGTGTACAGTCGGCGGCATCAAGTTCAGGGAGACACTATGAGCGAGGCACCAATGACCCCATTCAACACAACTGAGGCCTTAGATGGAGACATTCTGGCACTACCGAGTGTCGTAAATCTCAAGTGCGTTGCCATATGTGACAACTTATCAACACTGGTGAGTGTTTTTGTTCATTCAGTGGGCATATACGCCTCTAACTTTGCTTAACATAGGCCACTAGACTGTCTAGGACCCCAGCACTTAAGTGGGAGATATTGAACATCCGCTCGATTTCCGAGTACACTCACGGCAACCCGCTAAGCTTCGAAATGATAAACGATATGATCGCAAGCTTTTGCGCTCTCTTCCCGGGCCTTTCTTTCAATATCAGCAGAATGCATCGTTTCAGCCCTAGAGAACTGGGGTCCCTCCTTGGATTTGCGTGCTGGGCCTTCGGGCCCAGCGGTCTACCAAAACTTGATCTTTTGGTCTATGGAGAGGTTAAAGATCTGTCGGAGCCTTCATTTGACTACATCTGTCTATGCCGCAATACAACGGCGCTCGTGGGATGCGTTCCGTTTCGAGTGTTAGAGATAGATAAAAGTGCTGACGGTGATGTGGAGTTACGGGGGAAGATAAAAGCAAATGCTGAGTTCTTGGAAACGATGCCGTCTTCTCCTTGGGATCCCATGCATTGAAATCCCAAGGTAGGAAGGAGCCAGCTAGATAATGTCCATTGCACCTGCTTTGTGAATTTGGGAATAAACATATAGATCAGGAAGGAGCGACGGAGTGGAGTATACTTGGAATAGCTTGATAGAAAGATAAATATATTTCATCTAAACTAGGACAATAGATAGGGTAAACTGCCATCCAATCCTTTTAGGCATTATTTCATCTCGCCAATCGTAGTCATAGCATGGCGTCCGTAGATCATGATCATAAACATAAACTAAATCATCAAGCTCATCAAAAGAAAAAAAAAAGATCGAAGTAAAAGAAAAGTTGAGCTCTCATCCCCAAAACCATCACCTAGTTACCCGAGTGATGATCGACCTAGGTAAACACCTCAAACCACATAATGCGGCCTGCGGCTCGAAGAGCTATGCCTCCGACCATGACCGTGACTGCTGTGTCCCCTGCGACTTCCATGACTGTGGCTCCTCCTCGTATGCGTCTCCTTAACCACAGTCACATGGTCCGGATTCCGGTGATAGATCCAAAGCGCAATAATCGCCGTCCAGAAGAAGAACAGGACCTCCATGATCCCGATCGCAAAGCAAGTCTTCAACATGCGACATGTCTTGTTCAGGTCATCAGCGAGCGGGTTGTTCATTTGCCGACCAGGGAATCCAAATGGGCCGAGTGCGTTGTAGACGCTTCCGCCGTCCCAGTCGCCGCAGTCGGCGTTTGCGATGAAGCGCAGCTGGTATACGCCTGCGATGAAGGCGCCGAAGAAGAGGAGGTCGACGAAAGAGACGAATGAAGCGGAGCGCTTGGTGGTCGAGTGCCGGATTAGAGTGTCGACGCACCAGAAGACGGCGATTACGGAGACTATAAAGAGGACGAGGATGAAGGGAGGTGTTATCATGTTGGCTTTGAGGTAGCCGTCGACGAAGTAGGCCTGTGTTATTGGTTAGTGTCTGGTCTGGTCTGTCGCTAGGGCTTGGGAGGGGACGCACCATCATTCCGATGATTGGAATGAGAAAGGTTATCTCCGTGAGGCGATTGAAGATGAAGAAGATGCTTCCGATCATGTTGGCGGTTGGGGTCTACAGTATAGACTGCTGTATAGAAGAGATAGGGCTGTAGAATGCGGGGCCGCGAAGGGGAATGTTGATGGAGATAAGCTTAGGTGTGGAATTGCAGTTGGACCACAGGAATGCGAAGAATGTGAAGTTGAAGCGAGAGAAAGAGATCAAAGAATGTCACTGGAATGCGATCGATATCCTCTGAGTCTTGATTCACAAAGACTGGAGTGTTTACTGTCGATCTACACGATCAGCGATGCGACGGGATGTGATCGGTCAAAGCTCAACACACGCGCAGCCGCACGAGGAACGAGAATCGGATCAGGAACAAAATCAGGTTCAAAACGATGCAGGGGAAAAGGCCGATGGAAATAAGTAAGAAAAAAAAAAGATGGACCCCAGCTGCGAAATGAGGTTATGGGCGGGCTGAAAGCGAGGGAGGCTGGGCGAGTCAGAGTCGCTGCGGGGGTGGCTGGGAGGGGCATCAATACCAGCACCGGCAACGTGCGTCTGCACAACATCCATGCTGGAGCTGACACGCTTCCAGACTGTTCGCTCTAATTAGTCTGGTGCTCTAAAGACGCCGTCACACTGTCTGGCCCCGAGCCTGTGGGTACGGACTACGGAGAAATGTCGATTCGTTTGGTGATCCTTGTTTATATTTGGCCAGCCCTAAATATTCCACTCTATAGTACAACGCAACGTTAGGATGACATTGTTCTCCCAACGCCTTGCCTGGCGCATAAAGCAACTTTAATAGAATCCTACAAGCAAAATCCGGTCCTTTACCATCCGCCTTTACCGCCAAACCCAGACGACTCCTCAATCTTCTTGCCCACACCGCGCGTCGGCTTCGATTGGGCGGCTTCGTGCTTGCGCAGTTCTTCTGGCACCCGGGAAATGGGCGATTTGATGAGCATCTGCTTGATATCATACCTAGATAGGTTAGCACATTCGTAAGTGGAGACAAAAAGCAAGGGGAGCCGTACATGACGTCGGTGTCCTCATTACCCAAGAATGTAATGGCCACACCACTCTTTCCGGCACGACCGGTACGACCGATACGATGGGTGTAGCTTTCAATCGAGGTAGCCATGTTGAAGTTAATAACGAGACTGACGTCTGGCACATCGATACCACGACCAGCCAGATCCGTAGCGACCAGGACATCCGTGGAGCCGTTGCGCACGGAAGCCAGGGCGGCTTCACGCTGCTCCTGCGTCTTACTTCCGTGCAGAGTGACGGAGGAGAAGCCCCATTGCTTGATTTCGCGGGCAATCGCGTCACAGTTTCGTTTGATGTTGACGAAGACGATAATGGGTGGCCGGAAATCGCCTGATGAGAGAATCTCGCCGAGGCGCTTCTTGCGCTTGTCTTCTCCGGCAATCATCTCAACGCGCTGCTCGACGGTGTCCACAGCTTCACCGACACCACCAATTGTGATGATCGCTGGTCGTCGGAGGTACTTTCGCGCAATCCGTTCAACGGCTGTAGGCATAGTGGCTGTATACATCATCGTCTGGCGATAACGGTCTTTTGATCCGATGTGTTGGCTCATAACGGCGGAATTCTCTGCTTCGTCTGAATCCGGCTTCTCGTTCGTAACTGGGAGTGCGTCGAGGATCTTGTTTACCGGTTCTTCGAATCCAAGATCGATCATACGATCGGCTTCATCCATAATCACGTAGCAGCACTGGCTAAGCACCAACATACGACGCTCAATACAGTCCACCAGACGACCCGGCGTGGCAATGATGATCTCTGCGCCATTTCGCAGACTGAATGCCTGTTCCTCAAGTGAGTGACCACCAACAATACTGACAACATTGAATCCAAGCGGCTGCGTGAACTTCTTTGCTTCAATCTCAATCTGCTGGGCCAATTCACGGGTCGGTGCAAGAACTATCGCATATGGGCCGTCGTTCTTCCGCCACTCGAACTCGTCTATCCGAGGCAATTCCGCAATATAGACTAGAAGAGGGAGCAAGAATGCCGCAGTCTTACCGGAACCAGTCACGGCAACACCGATAAGATCACGCGACTGCAGGGCGATAGGGATAGCAGCTCTCTGAATAGCCGTCGGCTCCTTGTACCCAACACGGTCAACAAGCTCCATAAGTCGCTTCGGCAGGTTGGACTCATCCCATGATCGCATAGGGTTCGGTACGAGTCCACCCTTGGTAGCAATATTGAAATCTTCCTTGAAGATACGCCAGTCTCTCTCGCGCATATGCTCCAGTTTCTTCTCGCTCCAGTGCTTGTCCAGTTGGTTCCGCGTGCTGTCCTCCCGTCGTCTCCTCTCCATCTCAAGAATCTCCTTTGCACGAATACTGCCCGCTTCGTGATCACGGTCCTCCAACGCCCGAGCATACTTCTGCGCAACCGAATCCGCCACATCGTCTCCAAAACCAGCCAGACGCCCGCGCCCGAAGAAATTGGCCTCGTGTCGGTGTTGATACAGCGGATTATAGTCACCGCTGGTATCCTCCTCTGCATTCCACTCGAAATTGAATTTCCTGTCCGTCGTCCGCTTCCGTTTCTTCTTTGCTGAGAAATTCGACGTCTGGTCTGCACCCATATACCGCTGCTTAACGAGAGCTGCCTGCGCGGCGGCCTCGTCCTCTTCATCGAGTTGCTTACCGGTCTTCCGATCTGCCTTCGAAGCGCCTGGTTCGTTCCTCGAACGCATCGCCGTTGGCCCCGTCGGGGCCCGGTCGTCGCCGTTCCTCATCGCGCGGGGGCCAGTAGGAATCGATCGGGCATCTCCATTCGGTGTGTTGGAGGCCGTAGATGTAGTATCCAAATCCATTCCATTATTGAGGCCGTTAGGTGTTCCATTTGACTTGTTGTTCACCCGTCGCTGCGCGTCAACTTCTTTTGTGCGCTTTTCCAAAGCGAGTCGTTCGCGTTCCGCCTTAGATACAAATTTCGGCTACAGCAACACACGTATAGTTAGCCACCGAGCCCCTCTTCAGATAATACTTTAGCCATGTAAATGACGGCGCAGAGAGAGGAAGAGAGAAAGAAACGTACCTTTGCTGCGGCGGCGTCAGCCTCTCTCTTCTTTCGGACTAGTTCTTCAACACTCAGCGGGGTTGACGCCGGACGCTTTGCGCCCCATCCCACTTTTTTCTTCTTTACTTGCGGTTCGGAAGGAGGAGGGGGGAGGTCTTCGGGCGGTGGTGGAGGCGCAGATACATCTGGTGGCGGCGGAGGAGCACCGGATTCTGGAGGTGGAGGAGGAGCGCCGGCATCTTCAGGGGGAGGTGGAGGGGGGAAGGCAGATGATGATTCTGTTGAGGCGCCCATATCTTTGCTGCGTCTGTACGAGAAATGTGAACAGGGAAACAAAGGCCTGTCAGTGAAAGAGCTCAAGACCTCGATCGGGGCAAAAAGAAAGGCGGAAGGGCATCAATTTATACGGGTGGCAATGAGACCAGAAGCGCAATCACGTGATCATTAGATTTCTACATTCAAAACTCACTCAACTGACGAGGTAGATCGTGAGGAGCCTGCTACTTAGTTATAAGAATACAATGGAGACAGTGTCCAAACCGATGATATCCACCCAATCCAATCACGCGTTGTCTCGTTTTCTGAGCACCATAAGACAGACCTGAACCGCCCTGCTCGAGCATGGAAATCGCTGGAAGGTGGTGAATAGTTCAAAAAAAGAAAAGGAAAACATAACGTAAGATAAAGGGGAACAGTGGTGTTCTACACAGGGTCAAAGACAAGCCAAAGACCTCAGATGGGAACAGATCCGCTCACACTATTGAGTCGGTGATAGATGGGGTATAGCTGCTATGTCTTGCGGAATCTGGGATGTCGTATCAAGCCTGGGCGTTCGGGAACCCGCCGTTGACCGGACTCTGTTGCTGGTAGTAGTTGTACGGGTTGGTTTGGGGTACAGCGGCGACCGGTGCAACGGGGGCGACGGGGACGACGGGAGCGGCAGGCGTCATGGGAGTAGCGTCCTGGGGTAGGGCCTGAGGAGTTGGCTCTGTGCCTCCAGTTTTCGCCTTACAGACAGATGCAGGACCATGAACTTCCCTGTCAAGTGTCATGTATTCCTTTGCGGCATCCTGGGTGCCGCGTTCAAGTAGGTACGCCATATAGATCTGGACGAGCTCCTTGGCAACGTCTGTTGAGAGTGCGCTCTTCGATCGGATATCCTCAACCACTTGCTTTATCCGCCCATATTGAGCTTCCTCTGTTGCGGCGCTTGTAGGTTGGTCCAGCTCAAATGTGAGGTAGCTCCTCCAGAACGGTTGGCTACCCCAGTAGAATTGCTGGTTTGACTGGAAAACTTGGCGAGCCTCCTCGGCCGAGCCCTTGATCTTCCACAATAACCGAGCCCATTCGGCCACAAGACCGGCCTTGGTGCTTATCTCGGTTTCTGGAGACTCCAACTGGGTCTTGTACACTTCGATGGCAGAATCAAGCCCGCCATGACGACGGCATACATTAGCCAGCGAGACAATTGTTTCGACGTGGTTGGGGATGTTGATGAGAATAGCCTCATGTATTTCCTTGGCCACACTCACTCGCCCGGACATCTCTTCAAAGTAGGCATACTGTAGGCGGGTTGCTGGGTTGGCGATTGGAACATATAGATAGCTTGCACGCTGGTAGATGTTGCGTACTTCCTCTTCTTTCCCAGGCTGGGCGGACATCCATCTGGCATAACGCTGCCAGAATTCATCGTAATGAGCGCATGTCACGAGGCATCGTTCATACAAGAACTGTGTTCGCGAGTAGGAACCTTCAGCCTCTTCAAAGTCGAGGTATTTTCTCCAGTTGGCCAGTTGGCCTTCATCAAGTTCAGTGACATGGAAGTATGGGCGCTTGATTTCCGATTCGTACGTCCAGCGCTTCGTAGTCTCGGTCTGCGTCTTTGAGAAAATTTCGAGATGGTGGCTGTCGACACGAAGACGCAAGTCGCGCTCGACTTCGGCATCGGCCTTTGCACCAGGAGGAACCTGTCCTGCGGCGGCGTCCAGTTCGGCTCGGAACTGTGACAAGAGATCATGGGGCGCCAGCTCCGCTAGAGGACGCGTTTGCGCAAGCTGTCTGTAGCGCTCAAAGTAGCGAGCATACTGGTGCATCGGGATCTCAATGACGCGGCTTAGGATCCCAAAAATCTTGTCAAAGCCCTCGACTCGTTCCTCGTACTCGATGTATTTGTCCCAGAACGGGTGCGACAGGAAATCTAATCCAACACAGTTCGCTCCTCGCTCAAAGAGCCTGTAACGCATAACTGTTAGCGACGTTCCGAACGGCCCAAAGCGGCAAAGGAAAGAAGGGGTGTGGGAGGGGGGAGAGAGCAAAGTGACAAGGATGGCAAACATGAGCATTTAAAGTCTTTCAGTGCGTGCGAGCCCAAACAATTCAACGACTAGGAATATCAGCTTGTGGAGAGGCTGCCTTCCCTGCTCTGCATCGAGCGCAGAATAAGTACCATCGAACAGGATTCGTGGGCCATGGTGTCGGTGCAAGGAAAATGGTGCTGGAGTTCAAATCACAGTTCTTTTTTCTACGGGAAAGGGAAACAGCCTGAAAACGCCATGGGTGAGAAGTAAACTCCAGTCGAGTTTGGGAAAGGCGACGTCTCACCCATTTTGAGGGAGCTGCTGTCAACGGGCTTTGCGTCATGCGCATTTTGCCCCGTCATGATAACGTCGGTGCTGCATCGGTAGTGGTTACAGGGAAGGAAAGGAAACCAGCTCTAGTCTACTTACTCTCTGATGATGTCTGTGTCGTGGGATGTCTCCGCTTTGAAGGTGCAGTAGTTGGTCCATAGATCAACGGATGAAGAAATGCTGGCAATGCCTCGCTCGTACACCTAAGACCCATAATCAGTAAGATGCCCAGTCGAACGGGTTCATCACTGTAATAAAACACATACCATATCCGCCGCCTCAGTTCCAGTGATAGAGAATTCAAGGTCGGCATATTTCTTCCAGTATCCAAACAATAGCGGAAATTTGGCGAGGAATCGGTCGTAGGCGTTGCGCGTCGTAGTAATCGCTTGCGGGTTGGAGTTTCGGTTGACACCTCCCTCCAGAGCCTCTGCAGCCCGAACGAGTCGTTCCCAGCTCTCGAAATTATCCGGATCATCGAGCTAGAGGTTGAACCTTGGTTAGCTTCCAAATCGACACAAGCACAATAAGATGTGATCGCATCATACCAGCTCAGCCTCTAGCTTCCTAAGTTCCGCATTCTCCTCTTCGGAGCCTCCAAAGTTGTAATCCGCCATGTTGGCCTTCAAGACTGCAAATTACAAGCACCGTTTGCGAAACAGTCGCCTGCGAGAACGAGATACCGCAAGGTTGATAAGAAGAAGAAAGAAGTGATTAAATCAAAGATACCCGCAGGAAATTAGGCGGGGAAGTTAAATTTCCAGGAAGTGCAAGCTGAATGTCTGAGACGAAGTAGTGAACAGAAACAATGAAGCTCCGAGATCAAATCGAATCCCCAGCCACGAGAGCCGAACTGGAATCGCGCGCCGCCCTTTTTTTCTTCCGCCCCCAATCCGGTTTAGCGCCGATTCTGCAATTTCTCAACTCCAAAAGATAACCGTCCATCCACCCATACAGTTCCAACGATATTATTCTCCGCCGTACAGCCTGAACAATCGCCACGCCACGGAGTACTGGCCTTCACCCCTCTTACAATGGCCACCCCCCAGGCAGCAGGCACGTCAAGTGTCCTCACCCAACTCCCCGTCCGCCTCCGCAATTTCTTCGCCCGCTACCCTCCCCAACACTACTCCGCGGCCGTCACACCACCAGCAGAGATCCCAACTCCCACGCCTACAGAAACAGAACCCCTTCCTTCCCCATACACACCGAACAGAGACGCAAAGGGCTACAAGCATGAGGACCCGAAACTCTCGCCATCGCGGGCCCTCCTCCAATCCAACTCGAAATACCCGAACCCATTTCTCCCACGCAAGAACTACCGCACGGGGAAATGGATGGGCCCTCGCTTTGGACTGCGTCAGCAGGCGGAACTCGTGAAGCTCGCTATAAGGTATAATGTTGAGGGATTGCTGCCGCCGGGCACGAAAAGCACCGAGTATAAGGAGACGAGACGCGCGGAGCGCGGATTGCAAGTCAAGGGTACTGGTGTTGGACAGAAGGTTAAGGGTCACAAGTGGGAGAGGACGATGGAGGGTAGACTTGAGGATAGGAGGAAGGCTATGATGGAGATGCCGGAGTTGATTCGGTTGTGGAAGCAGGTTCGTCTCATTTTCATTTTCATCTTCCCATCACCACCACCACTACAATATTCTCTCATGAGTTGATTACTGATTGCTTTCCTCGTATAGAGAGGTCACGGCCGTGGGTGGAAGAAGTGGCCCAAGAGGTGAGCTGCTCGCGTTTGTGTTGGATTGGTTGTATAATGTACTATCTACGGTTTATTTTCGGGTCCTCGGTTGTACAGTTCACTGAAGGAGAATTTGGCTTGCACGAGGACACAGATTTTACAATATTCGTTTCCGTTTTCGCTAGCATGTACTGTACCAATAGATATTTACCTGATTTTATATACGGACTCGTGTGCAACACACCACTTTACCTGCTACAGGAGCGTGATTCCTACCTAACTATCTTGGTGATAAGGGTATATTCAATAGTCAATGCTGAGTAAAATACCTCGAAAGAGTAACTTCTGCTATGGTACATGCATGACGCTATGAACCGGGTATATGGTCATCCAAAATAACATCAATATCAACGACAACATCATGAATCATCATCATAAGACGGCGTAACAACATCCCCAACCATGACGGTTCCCAAAGTCTCACCTTCACCAGCAGGCGAAATATGTCTCCCAAAGAGTATTTTCCTGTTAAACTTCCGCGTCTTTGCCAACGTAACATAAGGCTCTTCGCCGCGCTGACCGGAATATTGGTCAACACAAACCATCTGGCATCGTTCACAGGAGCCTAGAACATTAAACCGTAGCTGTTCAAGGCCAATATCCAGGGATGTCCAGGTATCCTCAATATAAGGGTTTTCAGCTGTTGGGAGGTTCTCTGCCACGACGACGTTGGCGCGGAAGACGTCCGCGGCGACGGCCTTTTTGCCGCTTGGATAGTTGCTCGGGGTGTTGGATTTTATGGATTCGTTGAGGCGGTTCACGGATGAGCGCGAGATGAGAAGAAGAGGGCTTTCGTTGGAGAGAAGTATGGGACCAAGGTTTTGGCGTGTGGGTGTGGGCAAGGAAGGAGGTCCCTGAGGGAATGAGCCTGGCATGGTTGGCTTTTGGAGGCCGTGGTTCTGAGTTCTGGTTTTTGCAGTACAGGATCTGGTGGAGGACTGGGGAGGGAATCTGGCTAATGTACAGGGCACTTCGAGGAAATTTGTGAAGAAATTCGATACCGTCCGTGAGGTATATGCTTGGAGGGTCACTTTGTCGCCGCAGACGGTGGAGGGCTTGGAAGAGTTCTGGCACAGTGAGGAAGTGATGCAGTTGGTACTCATACGACTCAGTGGGATCTCGAGCGCTCTCCCCCCAGGGGAGGATGTATCCCCGCAAGTTATGCGGAGAATCCCACGTTCACGGTCGAGTGTTGGTCTAATGAGTGCCATACGAGGGTACCTTTTCTGATTGAGGGTTGCACCTGTACCTTGGTGGACAAGACACCATTCTCGGTCCCAGGCTAGTCCTTCTCGACGCACTTCCCACCGCTGCCCGTCTGGTATTCGGAAGGCACCGCAACTTTTTATCGGGTAGACGGAAAGACTCTCGATGTAAAAGCTGGGTTGTTGCAAGGATACACTTCCCATAGATGGTACCAATAAGCCCTCGGGGGGTTTGTCGACGTAGAACTCTGCTAAGAAAGCCATTAATTTGTCGATATCTCTTTGGCTGCTCATAGCGCCCAGACTAGCTCGCAATATCCCAGTTGGCCATTCATCCATAATATCGTTGTCGTCTCCGCACCGCATCCCAGCAGAGAAATGGCGACGCATATCAGCCCCGGTCCATCCTAGACTCACAGCTGTACCCCCCGGGTTGCAAAGCGTCCCAGACCTAATCTGGATATTCTTGATGCTTGCTAGTCTTTCCACCTCCGATTTACCAACCCACATGCCACGGCTGTTCCTTATATTGAAGGCAACAATTGGGCCTTGAGCAGAGTGGGTTTGCTCAGCCGGGTTGGGCGCTGTATAAACATGGCAAGCTTGTGCCCCATTATAATGCCTGAGGGCAGCCATTCGGTGACGCAGCTGCTTCACAAGAAATTGCGTATGTGAAGCGACATTATGCATAGAACCATATAGGCGATGGTGGGTCTCGAATGCCGATTCCAGGGCGATTATATTGTGAAACGGAAGTGTCCCATCCTCCAACCGTTCATGAATCGAAGACTGCTTTTTCGCATGCCACGAACTCCCACCGGCCAGGACCATATCTACTGTACCGCCGCCAAAAAACTTCCGATTCTCAAACACACCACCCGCATCCTTCCGGACAATCAGCGCTCCAAGATCCGGAAAACCGAATATCTTGTAGAAGCTAAGAACCGTGAAATCCGGCGCCGATGCAGCATCGCTCAAATCGAGCGGGGACGTCGAGACGAGAGAAGCCGCATCAAGAAGGGTATAGACACGACTTTCTGTATCTGGATATCGACTGCGTATCTGCTCGCACCATCGCATTGGAAATCGACGTCCATTCATATTTGACTGCGCAGGATAAGCAAACAGTCCAAGAGACTCTGAATTGTCTGAGCCCAGCTCAGATATCCACGTTTCCACATCCTCATCGCGCACAAAACACCTAGACCCTGCCTCCGCAAGCTCCCGGGCTCCAACCAGACTGGTATGGGCATCGACGTGGTACCCATACCAGAAACCGCGTGGGGAGTCCCGAAAGGCATCCGCAACTAGCTTAATGCCGGCGGTTGCGTTCGCCACGAAAACAAGATCAAACTCGTTCGGATCCGCATTGAAGAAACGAAGTGCGCGTAGACGAATGTCCTCTATACGCTGTGCCGAGAGCTGCGACGAGGCAGACATGGAATGGGGATTCCCGTATAGATTCCCGGTCAGGTCACGACTGAACGAGTCAATCAGCGACTTTGCGTAGAGCGTAGTGCCCGCATGGTCGAGATAGGTTGTGTCTGCAGAGTCCAAACTGATTAGCAAGTCGAGCGCGTCGGAGACGACGCTGGGCCGAGTGTTGTACTGACCTTTTAGCAAGGGATATTCACGATCCCGGATGAGGTCGACGTCGTCGCAGTATCCTGAGCAGTATGCCGTTGACACAGCGGCACTGCCCTCTGAAGTTCCCATATTCGTAGACGTTCTGAGAGATTGGCACAGTGTTGGAGCATTATCGAGGGTGGTTGTGCATCATTAAGAAGGCAACGAGGGTGGCGAAGGGATCTGGGGAATATGTAAGAGGTACAGCTGTCGCTTGACCAATAGTGGGGAGACCCAAAGTCGGGGAAAGAGTGAGCTTCAACCACGGTTCCCAGAAACGATTCTAGTGTTCTGCTGAAGAATACCACAGACAATGAATGTCGGTCGGTTTACTGTTGGTCTGGGTGTCGGAGGTGGCCGATGACGATGGAAGATAGACACAGAGGACGGCACCGACCGAGAGCTCCCTACTTATCGCCGCAAGGCAACAAGACTATTGCAGAATGCTACTTGATAGTTATCCACCCAACGTTACTTAGGCTTACAGTTTATTCTCTGTGATCGACCCTAGGCAAGGACGTTGGGGGCTCCCCACTCTTGTCACGGCACCGTCGGGAGGCAGAGCGGGTGGGAATAACAGCGGCCTCATTGTCTTCAAATCTATAGGCTTTATTTATTTTGCCACGACCTGGTCCTTTGAAAAAGTGGTGAATTTCTATACTATTTGGCGCCCATCCAAGGGCAATTATTTATACCTCCTTCGCTAAATTATTATAATTTCCCCGGCTTAGAGCTTGCCACCTTCCTTGGAGTAGCCCTTCGACTTCAACCAGTCTGCAACATCTGCACGATCACGGTGGACCCAGCTGACCTTGGCGCGGATTGCGTCGAGGCTTTGCTCAATAGCACGGTCAAAGCCCTGAAACAGTGTTAGTCATATGCGGCCTGAACAGGCATGAGGGGGAACATACCTTGGTATCCTTGTTGGCGAAGAAGTTCTCAACGTCCTTCAGTTGCGCCTCCGTGCAGAAAGAGGCAGTGCAAATTTGTAGAACGGTTCCAAGCATGCCCAATCCAGGGGGCAGGCGTTGGTAGAGAGTGTCCCAGTTCTCCTTCACCCAAGTCCATCGGGCGTCAATACCGGCGGCGTGGGTACGGAGTCCGCCAAGGGGCATGTAGATGTCCTGGTTCTTAACCTCGTCGCCCAGGGCCAATCCGAGAGTGCGTTTGATGAGGGCCGGGTCTTCGGCCGTACCAAGGCAACGGAGAGCCGTGGTCTTCTCATCAGAGGTGGGGGCATTGCGGAAGCGGTCATACACAACATTGTACTCCTTTTCACCGCCGTTTTTCAGGACGATCGAGAAGACGCTGCCACGAATGTTAGGGTGGATGGCACTGACATCACCAGCAGCGAAGCGCTGGAACATATCCTGGGCGGCCTTGACTACAGTCGGCTCCTGAGCATTGCCAGCGGCACTGAACAAGAGAGCCTTGAATTGTTGTAGGATATGGTCATCCTTGTCGGAAAACTCCCATCCCAGTTTCTGTGCCTTCTCGCCGACCAAGGCACGCTGGAATGCCTCCAGTGCGTCCTTGGACTGAGAATCCTCGAAGATCCAAGCCGCACGCAGGGCACCAATACGGGTCAAGATCTCGTTCCAAACAATAAATTCGGGCTCGCCGTCGAAACCTGCGAGCAGCGATAGCAAACCAGACGTTTTCTGGTAACCAGAGGCAGCCAGTGCGCCGGCATCAGCAATCATACCTGCGCGATCCTCAACGGTAAGCAGGCCCTCTTTTGCGGCGTTGCCCAGTTTGGTTAGACGCTCAGGGGTGTAGGATGTGCGGTAAATCGCGGTGTGATCGGCATTAAGCTTGTAGAAATCGAGATCGGGAACCTTGAACTCTTCCTCACGCGACGACAGCAGGATGTTTTCGTCAACTCCATCCTTTGTCCGCAATCCAAGCATCACAGGGAAGAGAGTCTTGTCTTCCTCAGGACGAACGTCGCCCGTGCGGAGGAATCGATTCTGCTTGACCTTGATGGATGAAGAGCTTGGGTTTTCCGACACGGAGACGACTGGGAATCCAACGTTCTTGGTCCAAATATCCATGACCTCCTCTACGGGCTTGCCACTGGCATTTGCAAGGGCGGACCACAAGTCGCCGGTTTGCGTGTTGCCATAAGCGTGCTTCTTGATGTAGTTACGAACACCCTGCAGGAAGGTGTCTTCGCCCAAATACTTTGAGATCATGCGCAGGACAGATGATCCCTTGGAGTAGGAGATGGCATCAAAGATCTGGTTGATCTCATCGGCACGTTTCACAGGTACTTCGATTGGGTGACTGCTGCGGAGAGAATCAAGGGAGAGCGCACTCTGCAGATTGTCGATGACATATGTTTGCCATACCTTCCATTCGGGGTAGAAGCTGTTGCAAGAATACCACGACATCCAAGTAGCAAAGCCTTCGTTGAGCCAGAGGCCGTCCCAGAAATCCATGGTAACCAGGTTTCCAAACCATTGGTGGGCAAGCTCGTGCTGAACAGTTTCAGCAATGCGCTCTTTCCGCGAGGCACTGCTGGTCTTCTCATCCAAGAGCACATCAACAATACGGTAAGTGATCAAACCCCAGTTCTCCATGGCTCCAGCACTGAAATCGGGAACCGCAACCATGTCCATCTTTGGGAGAGGGAATTCGTTATCGAAAGCCTTTTCGTAGAAAGCAAGGGTCTTAGCCGCCAAGTTCAAAGAGAAGCGGCCATGTTCAATGTCCTGATCTGGTGTGGCGTAGACACGGATGGGAACACGGAAGTCCTTGGTCTCGATGTACTTCAGGTGGCCGACAATGAAAGCCACCAGGTATGTAGACATAACCGGAGACTCATTGAACTTGACAATTTTCTTCCCACCCTCAATATCCTTCTCTGAAGCAACGTCCATGTTGCTCAAACAGGTCATGCTCTTGTCCGCAATCAAATTGACAGTGAATTTAGCCTTAAGCGCAGGCTCGTCGAAGCAAGGGAAAGCTCTCCGGCAATCGGTCGGCTCCATTTGAGTTGACGCAATGTATTTAGTCTCACCGTCCGACGTCTTGTAAGATGAGCGGTAGAAACCGGCCATGTTATCATTGAGAGTACCGGTAAAGGTCAGCTTAAGTTGAGCGGATGAACCAGCGCGGATAGTATCCGAGAACTTGATTGTAGCCTCTTGCTTCTCATTGTTGAGAGAAATTTCGGGTGATGAGCTGACCACTGACCCTTGAGAGGACACGGTAGCTGTGTGGATGTCGATTTCAGTAGAGTTGAGGGAGACGGAAGTCGTGTCTTCGACAACCTGTAAGCTACATGGAACGATCAGCTTCAAGATCCAGTTTGAGATCGGTCATGCAACGACCGTAGTGCCACCTACTCAATAACGACAGTTCCCTCATATTTGAACGTCTCAAAGTTCGGCTCGAGAGTCAAGTCATAGTGGGTTGGCTTAACGTTGGTGGGGAGAACCTCACGGTCAGGAACGTTGGTCGAACCAGAGACCCCAGCACGACGAGAGCCACACATCCTGCGATACGAGCAATAGCGTTTTGAAGACTGAGAGAGGGGCGAGCGTCGAGAAGGGCGGTTGGCGCGAGGTGGAGAGAAGGAGGGAGGAGGGGCAGAAGCTGAGACAGAAAGTAAACGAGAGAGGGGTGCTGCTCTGGGGGGTCGAGAAAGCGGTGGCCGTGCTGAGTTCAGCAGCTGCGGCAGCCGCGTCGATGAAAGGCGACGCATGAACGAAAGCCCCACCCAGATATGACAGATGATAAAAATAGCGAGGGACCGAGTTGGAGTAAGGAATAAAGGAGGGGAGAACGTTGGTACGGGAGAGATCCAGCTCCAATGGGCTTGAACAATCAAAACTGACAGCTGTTGAAAAGACAAAGAAAGCTGCAAATCTTTGATCCCCAGACGGCAGAATGAGCACGGCCGCGGTTGTTTTTTGCGGCAGGCGGTCAGCCTATCAGTGAATGCCATTGTAGTTAGCCTTATCAGTGCCTAACCAGGCCATCCCAAAACAGCTTAGTCTGTCACGTGTCCACCCGGTCCCTTAAGTTAATTCCTCGCCTGCAAATTCTTCCGAAAACCATACATATCATTCATTCACGCAGCTTTTCTCTCAGCAGATGCCGGTAAACTCAATTTTTGGGTTTAATAGCAAGGCATGTGCATGTTAGGCTGCTTCGGCAGTGCTTGCCAGACCGTACACCAGCAAGTTTGAGGAGCCCACGACAATTACCTTTCTTGCAGAGGATTTCGTGGGTGGGCTTCCATAGATGGCTGGGACAGATTCACTTATCTTATTTACTTTTTGTTGTCTCTTGCTATCTTTTCATAGAATGTAATAGGCTTGAATAGTCCAGAATGAAGTTTTTCATGCAAACTCATACAATAACACCAGAGTGTCGTAGAAAATGCTATGCTATGCTATGCAACGCAAATTAATTATTACAAGAATATAATCGCTTCCCATAATATCCGACGCTAGGTCACTCGATCAAACAACTAAAAGTCCACTGCAGGACCATGCTGCGGCGCCTTGATGCTCGCAATGGGCAACTTGGTAAAAACACTCCTCGACCACCCGTCCGCATCCACAACGGTCTCTTTAACCAGAACATACCCCCCGAGCCTTGGCATTGCAACGGCCCAAACAAGATAATAGATAGCGCCCGCGCCAAATATCCCCAATGCCACCACGCAGTGCAGGTAGTAGGGTAGTTGGTCGTAGACGTTCTGGTCTTCCGTCGGCGGGATATAGGGAGCGACCACGAGATATAGATTTGAGAGGCAAAAGAAGACGGTTACCGGGAGGGTTGCGCGGATGCCGGGGGACCAGTCCGGGAAGTTTCTGTCTTTTGTAAGGTAGATGTAGATAAGGCCTAGGGAGACGAAGAAGTTGACGATGGCGAGGGGGTAGGATATGAGACTAGGGTTTTGTTAGTATTTTTATAACTTCTGGCGACGGCGTGGCTGGCCCGGGGGGCATACTTGACAAGGAAGTTGTAGGCATCGCCCGGGGGAGGAGCGAGCATGATGATGACTGAGACGACCCAGTGCTCAAAGAGACCGGCAGCAGGAGATTTGAAAGGCTTGTTGCTGGCCCAGAGCTTTGAGAGGGGAAGGACACCTTCGCGGCCGAGTTCTTGGACGACTGGAGGTTGAGTTAGCGGTTTATTCTTATTTTTGGGAAGGGGTAGTAACGTACTTCGACCTTGCGAGAAGATGACGGATAGGACATTTCCAAAGGCTGATAAGGCCACAAAGACAGACATGACTTTCTCTGCGCGGGCCCCGAACATATTTCCAAAGAAGACCGCAGCCACGATCTGGCCCGACTCGAGCATCTGGCCTTTCGGGACGGCTGCAAAGTAGGCGATATTGCAGAGCATGTAGAGGACGCCGACAGACCCAATTGCAATTGGTGCAGCAATCTTCAGAGTACGCGTGGGGTTCTTGGTCTCGCTCAGGGCCTAGTACAGATTAGCAGCAAGCAATGAAGGAAGAGTACGGAAGACATACGTAGTTGGCATTGGAGTAGCCAATAAAGGACCAAATGACATTGTACAGTGCCATGACAACACCATATCCGCTTCCAGTGGTTCCCTCAAAGGCATTGGTAAAGTTATGAGGAGTTTCAACCTTGGTATGACCAGCCAGAGCCACCCAGCCAGTAACGACGATGAAAACAATGATGACAAGCTTGACTACTCCAAGAAGGTTTTGAAGGCGCAAACCCCAATTCAATGCAAAACCGTGGATCAAGAAGGCGGCAGTGACACACGCCAACCCAATTCCACGTTGGTTCCATCGGTCGACCTCGACGTCGGCCGCGTTGAGAATGTATTGTCCAAAGACGACACTGTTGCTCGCAGCCCAACCGAGCAGGACGGCATAGGCAGCGAACATGGCCGTGGCCAGGAACTTTGGCTTCTTGTAAACATATTCGAGATAATTCTTCTCGCCTCCGTTTCTAACCAAGTTAGCATCAACATGCTCAAACTACACCAGCTCAGAAGTAGAACGTACTTGGGGATTGCAGTTCCCCATTCCAGGTAGACGGCGGTTCCGGCAACAGCAATCACAGTACCAGCCACCCACATAAACAGCGAAAGGCCAACACTTCCAGACAACGACAGAATCGTGCTGGGGGTGGCGAAGATGCCGGTCCCGATGACTCGGTTGAAGATCAAAAAGGATGCACTGACAACGCCGATCTGGCGGCGATCCTCGGGCGTTGTATCGAAGATGTTCCCTTCATCTGTAAACTGTCAGAAAAAATAAACACATTACTCGTGCCAGCGAGATACCTACACAATTGAGTGACACCGTCTGCACGGCGAGGGCCGTCTTCAGCGGCCTTCGTCTCCGGTGCGATCTCATTCTTAGGGGCCTTTCCCGAAGTGATATCCATGGTGGAGCAGCAGGGCCTAATTCCACACAGACTGGGGAGTGAGAACGAGAGGAGCAGGCTGACGAGAGCCGGGCTCTGATGTGGAAACGAATAGATATATAAGACGACAGTGATGATGTGCTGCTGCCAGGACTGATGCAATCAAATCACGCTCGCGCTAAAGCCTCAGGGTCGTATACAGTGGAAGGATTGTGGTCTCGGCAACGCCGCAGCTCAGAGTTCAAAATCTGGGCATCAGGCAAGTGAAAGAAAGGGTAAACCGAAAGCTTGAGTCGAGCAGGGTCGAGAATCGAGACTGTCAAGTAGGTGCCGGGGGAAACCGAGCCGCAAGCACGCGATCGCCAGGAGAGTCGGCCGGCGCACCAGACAGAACGGGAGAGGCAAAACTCTATACAGAGTCGGCCCCATCCAGGGTGCCCGGGCCATGACCACAAGTAGTCGGGTTGGACTCGGCGTGGTGGTGGAAGAGGCAAAGAGCGAAAACTCAGCCAGTAGGGCTCCACTGGTGCCACTCGCAGCTGGCGGCCCTCACAACGTTGCGTCCGGCATGACACACGAAAACCGATCACGCAATTTGGCGTTTTCTGCAGCAATTGCCTGGATGTAACTCTACAGGTGAACACAATTAATATTGACCTGGTTGTGATTGCAGTAGTGTGAACTCGCTATATACAGTGTAATAATCGATTAAGCAACTCCGACCCATGGTGTCAGATCATCATCCGTTCTCGTAAGTAAAGTATGCGGAGGCACTTTGTCCCCTTCCAGGCCAAAACGCCCATATAGACATTCCAAAAAACATAGTCCCAATAATGTCAGTAGTCTCTCAAATTGCAAGTGTTGTATCTGGACCCCGGGGTAACCCGCCGCGTCCAAAGAAATCAGCCCTATATAGATAAACTCCCTAAGCAATCCCACAATTATATAAAGGAAATCAAAGAATATAAGGAATGCATGATCCAGCATGCAAGAAAGTGCTACTTGCTCATCGAGCAGCAGCCGCCCCCGTTACGTGCGCCAAATTCGACGGCACCATCTTTCCGCTTGACGGCGGAGTTTGTCGCTTAGTGAGAATTGCCAGTTTGTTTTGCAATGACTGCAACCGGGCTCGTATGCTAGACACCACTGCGTGACAGGTTAGACTAATATACCACATATTCAAAAGGGGGACCGGGCTTACACTTCACGACGACTTCTCGGTCTTCGTCCTGCACGCCGTCTAGTACAATCTTGTCGCCCTTATCAGAGCTACTTTTCCTTCCTGAATGTTGTACTTCCTCTGACTCCAAAACGGCCTCCAGCATTAAAACGGCAGTCACATAGGCCATCTCGCACCCAGCGAGGTCTTCGCTTGTGAGCTCGTTAATCGCCGCTGCTCGGCTCATCTCCAATGCGCGGTCGTACATCAGCTTCTCGGCCGTGACGCCAGGACTGACTACGACATCCACAGACCCTGCAGAGCCGGCTGATTCGAGCGAATGGTTATTGGGGTGGCAAGGATGGTCTGGAGGTAGACGTCGCTGCGCGTCAATCAATTTGAGTCGAACAAATTCCGCCTTCTCCAACACCTCGTTGAATCGGCCGCGGACCCATTGCACGACCTTATTAACTCGAACTGACAAATCATCAAATCGACTAACGCTGTATTCGGCCATGGCTTCGCCTCGCTTTTGGCGACGCCACCAAAGGCCGGCAATGTCCATTGACTTGGCAAGGAGGGACAGTGCCTTGACATAAAGAACCAGCGCTTCTTCTGAGAGTGTCACAGCGGCATCAGCAGTTAGATCATTGTCTCCGAAATCCGAGCCTGGTGCATTGGAGATACCATCGCCTTGGGCGGACGGTGCCAGCGGTATAAGTTGTTTATATTTCACTTCCGCGAAGCCGTATACAACATCACTCCGGGAGGCGCAATCCTCAATATCTTTGACCGTTCCCGTATCGTCATCTGCGTGTGACTGGCGCCTAGAGCCGTCTCCGATTGTTAAGAGACCAGCATTAGCTGCAGGATAAGCCGGAAAAGGGTTATAAGCCAAAGGGGGTGAGCGCCCTCCTTTGGTAATATTCAAAGGCGGAGAGAATCCCACTCCGAACAAGCGACCACTTGCCATATTCAGGGCCTTGGAGATAGCTGATGTTGCGGATGTAGGACTCCGGCCATAACGTCGCTCGTAGGACGGGTGGCGATTGTGAGCCGAATCTGCTCGAGATCGACCTGGTATTACCTGGACTGCTTTGCTGGGAGAGCTTTGGGGTGATCCCTGCATTGTTGTTGGAAGAGCCGGCGTTGTCTGCCTCCGAGGAAGAGCACCAGTGTTTTTACTCTGGGTCCTTGGGTCATGCGCTAGCTCATCTGCGAAAGCGTTGACCTCAACCGCCCGCTTCTCAACAACAACATAGTCACGTTCAAAAGCGACTTCCTGTGCAGCGAGTTCCCGCTCCTCCCTCGTCTTTTCCACGGGTCGTTGTGTGGACGGAGTACCGGAGAAAGTCTGTCGGTTTCTCTGGCGTTCCATAGCATTGAATGCCGAAGGGCGATCTACAAATTCCTGTCGTCCTGGCGCTGTTGCGTGAGATACAGCATCCGGCCGCCGTGGAACGGCAGTCCCGGATATTTGTCTCGCGGCTGAGGAAGGTCTGTCTCCACTCCTGGTCCTGCCCATGGGGGTAGAAGTCGCAGGACTATATGGCCTCTCGTTGTGAGGTACGTACCGATGGGGCGGTGGATAACGGATTTGATCTTCCACTTGGTTATTAGGGCCTTGGACGTCCGCTGTCTCATCACCAGCAGATGGAGACTCCGTTGTTTCGGCAGAAGCCGCCTTTGGTGACGGCTGGGGAGGCGCAGCAGGTGCATCTTCGGATACCAGGCCAGGTATTGGGCCCGTGATAATGTTGTTCTCGAAAAATTCCTCAAACGTAATCCGAGCCACAGGGTTGAATTTCAGAAGGCAGCGAATAAGCGTTTTAATTTCATCCGAAACGGGGTTATCTACTGGAAATTTGATCTCGTCTTTTGCATTCTCGATCTTCCGGAGCAGTTCGACGTGGTTTGTTGCCCTAAATGGTGGTTTTCCCACCACCATTTCATAGAGCACGGTACCGACAGACCACAGGTCAGCTTTGGCATCATATTTCTCATACCGTAAAATCTCAGGGGCCATGTACAGCGGAGATCCGCATAGTGTTTCTGCAAGGGCCGTGGACGGGAGAGACCGAGCGAAACCGAAATCTGCCAACTTAAGTAGTGGCAACGATTCTAATCCCACGGCAGGGGTAAACGAATCTTCGGTGCATTTAAACGGGGCCACCTGTGGGTCGGTTTCCGTATATGTCGGCGCAGGGCAAAGTAACAGATTCTGGGGCTTGATGTCACGGTGGATGAGGTTTTGGTCCCGAAGAAATCTAAGGGCGCTTGCTAGTTGCTTCAGGAAATGCCGGACAAGCACCTCGTTTAAAGATCCACCGGGTACATTTGGGTACTTTGCGATCATATGCCGAGTGTATTTATGGTCCTTGAGGCTATCCCGTCGCTTGATAAACTGCGATAGGTCGCCCAAGGCACAATATTCCATCACTAGGTGTATATGAGACGAGGTCTCGAGGCAGTCGAGCAGTGCGACAATGTGAGGATGAACCAGACGTTTTAGAATACCGATCTCCAGGGTCAAATTCTCCCTTAGCTTCTTACTGAGCTTTGATAGGTTCACCGATTTGATGGCAACGTATGTCCGTGATTTCTAGGATAAGCACATAGGTTAGAAACAGGAAAGTTCAATGAAATAAGAGGAAGCTGGGTGCATAGGTTGGTCCGTGGGGAAAGAAGGAACAGGATCAAAGCTGTAACTCACCGTATGGACGCCTCGATAGACGGTAGCAAAACTACCCTTTCCGATATGATCCATCCGCGTGTAGCGGCCAATAAGCACCTCATGATAGCCATCTTTCGAGCTCTTAGAGCTCCTTGAATGTGGTGACGCCATGGCGATAGAAGGGCGGGTATAACTCCCGGAGACAAACACGTGCAACAGCCAGCCCCAACCCCGTCAACCACAAAGCTATCTCAGCACTGGAACGATCAGGACGGGAAATACACGCCCATCAGGGTAGAGTATGGCACAGCTTTGAAAGAGTGGAGGGCTGTTAACGGCGGCGATGATTGTAGTAGCAACAAAGGATGAGATGAGAGTCGGGACGAGAGTGATGTAATGGGTCGGTTGAGAGAGAGCAGGTTACTGCGCGGTGAACGAGTCTCAGGAAACGGTGAAGCGGAACCGGGGGAGCTTCAGAGCAGGATAAACTCCCAAGGTGGTGGGCGGTTATGGAGCAACCAAGGAAGGTGATGGGGTGGCAGAAGGTTATCTCAGAAGTTCAGAGAAGCTGAGGATGGGAGGCGTAGCTAGCTGATAAGATGAAGATCGGAGAAATAGAAGTGGCAACGTGAGAGAGATGGAGGGCAGAAGCTGTAGGGGATGGTATAGAGTGCTAAATCGAAGAGAAAGGATAGAAGAGACAGAGGATGAAGCAGGAGGACGTAGAGAAAGCTGGGTTGACGATGTCGTCGCCTGGCAAGCGAGGAGCGTGACCTGCGATAACGGGCGACAAGGCGATGATCAGAAAGGCGGTCAGAAGGGCGGCAGTTAGGCTGAGGAACCGGGGAGCACTGCCAGCAGATCTCTTGTCACCGGGGTAGGCAGGGGTAAAATGAATAAATATGAAGTGGAAGAGAGGTGCAGGAGCGAGTTGGATAGAACAGGAGGTGAAGCAAGCAATAACAGACTGGGCAGGGCGAAGAACCGAAGACGGTCTCTTGCGCCCAAGACATCGCCATCACGTTATCGATTAGATAAGAGTCGTCACCCATTGTGGCCCACATCACATGATCCACCCATCATCATGATCGGATCTTGTTCGCTCGCAATCGCAATCGCATTCCAGTGTGACTCAATCCTACCTCATCAACACGGAAAGGAGATCCAGCACCACATCATGGCCACGTCTGACCTTCTGCGCTCAATTTCCACCCTATCCCATCCCCTCCAATCGCGGTGCAGCTGCCGAAACACACCCCCTCAAATGACTCAACAAGCGCGCTAGCCCCAGCACGTCCAAAAGATGCACAGTCCTCCGCTCGTCTTGTCAGTGGTCACTGGCCTGGTGGTCGCCCATCTGAACTGATAAGCTAGTGGGCTCAATGGGGACGACGCTCCGTTCCACGGTTGAGCAGCAAGTCAGGACTCGGGACGCGGAATAGGATGCGATGGCCGCCTCCACTGCGAACGCTACTTGGTGCGATCGACAATCGTTACCGTTCGGTTCCTAGACAACGTTCTTTCTTCAGGGCAAAAGTTGCACTTTGGAGACAACGACGGGGCTTACGCATCCTCGGATCAACCATGGTTCCTCCTAGTTTGACTCAGAGGAGTCGAAAAATTAGCAGTAGTTTCCCCAGGTCACCTGCATATCCCTGACTTGGTAAATTTAGATGCAGGCGAGTACTTTTGCCGCATGATAAGCCTGATCAAAGATTCTCTTTGTTCGTCCTATTGGGCACTCCATCTAGGAGGCGTGGGCACTTTATATCCATTTTCGCGCATTCCGCAGGTTATCAGGTTAACGAATCCGCCTCTGGCCCTTCAACTGGTACCCTTGGAGCATACCTCAGGAGTTCAAGCCCCTCAGGAAAATCGCCAATTCGCCCATTGTCATCCCACAAGGCTGCAAGAACCTGCCGCTCACCAATCCAAGGCTGTCGGGAATGTTGAACCGCGTAATTCTGCGGGTAAAATAGTTATGTCAGTGCTTTGGAGTAATAACGGGAGGGGTCCCATCACTCTTGTGCCGGCCCACGTACATCCAGTATAACCAAATCACCCTGTTCCCATCGGATCATAACAGCACTCTTCTCCGCAATATCCAGCAATGTGTCAAGATCTTCTACATTCATCGGAGTCCCATCTCCAAACTGCGGTGGTGGATGATATGACCCATCGTCCCCACAGAATGGATGCCTCGTGGCACCATGGTATCTACTCCGACCCCAGGCAGAAGTTATATTTCCAAAGAAAACTGCGGCGCCTGTAGGTTTATGAATGCGGATCGCTATAACCAAGTTAATGGCCATGGTCAGTCATTATAGATGGGATATGGAGTAGGTAGTAATCACCAGGCACAACATGAGTCACGCTCAAGCTCCCATCCTCATGCCATTCAAAGTGTTCACTGTGGCGCTTCACCTCGGTCTCAATCTTCCGCCGGAAAGTTTCTGCTTCATCCTCGTCGCTGACATGCTGCCCATAAGCCCCGCGGACGCTGTTCCCAGTATTAGATACCAACTGTTTCGACGTATATCGATAAGTGTACTTGGCTCCTAGCCGACGCAGATCTGCCAAAAACGCGGGAGCAAGTTCCGAAAGCCGTTTGGCGATGTAAATCGAGGATGTAATCGGCGTTGCGCCGCCTTGCTCAGGGGCCTTGAGCGCGCTGAACGTTAGCCACGCAGGGTTGATAGTGGACCACCCGTACTCGTTATGAGGCCAAATGGGAAGTTCTGGTGGCCCCTCATTTGCTGTTTTCACATTAGGTGCCAATACTGTCCGCAGCGGTGGTCTCCCGACTTCAGTATGAGGCTTTAGTCCGAATGCATGGGCGACTTCGCTATAGTCGAGAGGAGTTTTGAGAGGGAGGCCGCGAATGAGAATGGCGCCGCCATGCTCTTTTATAAGTGTCCGCAACTGGCCGCTCTCCGTGATGTTTTTGATGAATGATACGGCCTGGTGAATTGTTTTGGTGTTGGTGACGTTGATGGCAAGCGGAAATGGCGCACTCCAGGTGAGGCCCAAGTCTTTGGTATCTGATTGTCCTTCAAATTCAAAGAGCTCGAATGAAGATGCCTTTGAACTACTTTCATTGGGTCCCGTTTTTGGATCTGTAGTTTTACTTGTGTTGATGATGGCGTTTTCCGATGGGAAAGTTATGGATGCCATTTTCTGATATCGTCTTCTTAGGAAGGGGTATACCTACCAATCTCTCCGAGCATGCTGGGGGTATTTATGGCAGTCTGTCAGACAATTATGATCGCGGTCCATCAGAATCTACGGTCTGGGATTCTTCGGGATTTGCTCCGGTGCTAGAGATTTGAAATAACTCTCCATTCTCCAAGTAAAGCGACTCGGCTCCCAGGAGAGTGGAACATATCGAAACCGAGTAAAAGCGCAATATCGGCCCTTCACCGACCCAGGGAGATTACCAGAGTCGGAAATATACCTCGGAAGTACGCCGTTAATTGGAAAGTCGGCATCAATTGTGCCTGTCAAGTTTTCAACCTCCAAGCACGCCATGCCCGCCAGGATTGCAACACCAAGGGCTCTACCAATCCTGGTGTATACTTGCACGTTGATACTCCAAATCAGATGGAAACAGTATACCGGTCCACAATTTGCGGGTAAACGCTTCAGTATTGCGCTTACGATGTGCTCCGGATCCAATAATGCGATGGAAATTGGGGCTTTCATGAATCATGGCATTCCCCAAATATCAGAAGACATAGCATCTTGGATCGTTCCTGAAATCCCTGAAACTATTCTTGAGTGGATTGACCAAAAGTCCTGGTATTCACCGTATCCGAACACGACTAGATACTAGGCGATATCGAAATGGGCACCGCCGACCTTTCAGTTGAAGCAGCGGCAGACGTCCAAGATGCCGCCAAAGTCCCCGAAAAGGGTGTCTTCTACCGGCGCGTCTTCTTCCAAGCGACCGTGGTAGGATTGTGCGCTTTCCTCGCGCCAGGTCTCTACAATGCAATGCAGTCGACTGGCGCCGGTGGGCAGCAGTCACCATACCTTGTCATGTACGTTCCCTGCGCAAAACTAATCACTATATGTGCGTCTACTGATGCGTATTTAGGGCCGCAAACTCTGTCCTCGGCGCCACGATGGTTCTAACATGTGCTCTTGGGAGCGTGGTTGCGAATTGGGTAGGTCTGAAAAACGCGTTGATTTTTGGGACTACGGGATATTGTGTATATGCCGCCTCACTATATACGAACAATCGATACGGAAATGAATGGTTTGTATACTTGGGTGCCACGGCTTGTGGTATTACAGCAGGGGTTTTCTGGGCTGCGGAGGGAGCTATCATGATTGGGTGTAAGTTTTACTGGACTTTCATGTTGTGGTGGTGGTACTCACAACGACAGACCCGATTGATTCCCAGCGAGGACGGTATCTGGCATATTGGTTAGCATATCGAAACGTATGTGACCATTGTCCTAAATTCTGCGCCAGCTAACGAATTCTAAGGGCGGGTCCATCGTCGGTGGCATTATCAATCTTGCATTCAGTCAGTTTCGATATTTACAATCTGGATTTCCGAATCCCTCTAACGAGCTGTTAGACTACTCTGGAAAGTCAACCGGAAAGCTTGACTGGAGAACTTACATCGTGTTTGTAGCTCTGCGTAAGTCCAGAGTGACCCATACACAACTATACAACATACTAACTAAGCAGAATGCGTCGCCCCCCTTGTCGCATTGTTCCTATCTCCCCCGGAGAAAGTCCAACGTGCCGATGGACAGAAAGTCAAAACAGCAGAGAGGGTCAGCACGGTCCGCGAGATCAAGGAGATTCTCAAGATCCTCATCCGCAAAGACTTCCTCCTTATGTGAGTAGAACAGCTCTACCCTCCATCGAAAGCCAGCCAACACTGACATAATACAAATCCAAGGCTCCCCTTCTTCTTCTACGCAACTTTCCTCCTTTCCTATGCTAGCTCCTACCTAACCCTTTACTTCAGCGTGCGAGCGCGTGCCCTGGCATCCCTGATATCCGCCCTCGCGCAAATCACCGCCAATTTCTTCTTCGGCAGCTTTCTCGACTGGCAGCGGTTCACTCTGAACCAGCGCGCACGGTTCTCATACATATTCATTATGGCTCTGTTCGGGGGCACGTGGATTTGGGGAGCCGTCGTGCAACATGACTACGAGATAGTTGCCCCGGCTTTAGATTGGGTTGATAACGGGTTTGGGAGAGGTTGGGCATTTTACATTTTGATGCAGGTTAATTTGTATGTCCTTTCTTCCCCTCTCTTTCTTCTTCCATTGCCTTCGGAGACAATTGCTGATTATAGAATGAACGAATTGCAGTGCTCTGGCATATAACTACGGCTACTGGCTTGCGGGATATGTAGCCAGAGGCCCAGCTGAGATCATTCGGCTGACTTCGACTGTTCGGGCTGTTGAGGCTGCTGGTGGTGCTGTGGCAGCTGGGATTAGCTCCACTTCTGCACCGGTATGTGTTTTAACCAGGTTAAATGAGCATTCTTCTAACACTAGGCATAGCTCATCGCTGCGTTGGGGGTTAATTTTGGTCTATGGGGGCTCGCCGTGGTGCCGACGTACTTCGTAGCGAGGAAGATTGGACTGAGTGCGCACGAAGCTGGGGATAATGAAATAGATCAGGTGTAGCTGAGGCTAGGTTTGTTCAGTGGTTGAAAAGATGAAGGGGGGTATTTAATAAATTCATTGAAATTGGCTAATTAGACCACTATGATAGGTATATCGTGATTCTGCTTAAATTTTCCAGACCCGTAAGTGTCTGTTCATGTGTATGCCGGAGACAAATCGTATGTCTATAAATACTATACTCTAGATCTCATCATCATCTAGCATTCAAAATCCTAGTCCTCGCACTAGTAGCCACAGCACAATGGGGACGACCACATTGTCATTACACCCGGTCAGCACTGCTTCAGTTGCACTAGCTCCACCGGCCGCTAAAGCTGCCTTGACCACCGCCAAGGGCCATGAGAAGTGCTTCGGTCCGTCCTGCCCGCTCACTGGCCATTGCCCAAGCGCAAGCCATGCTTGTGCGAACATTGAGCCGGCAGTTACCGCGATTGCGAAGGCTACACTACCCTCGACAGATTTGCCCCCGCCCCAGAACCACTTGTGTCGGCCAAAACGGCGCCCAACGAGTGAAGCTGCTGCGTCTCCTAGGCCAACACAGATGACTCCACTGAGCATGCTCACATCTCGACCCTGAACATCCCAGAATTTCCACGGGTGCTCTCCGGCTCGGGGAACGTCGGCCAGAGCGAGCCAAAGGGGAATGGCACTCCCTATGAGGAGAAATATGTGTGAAACGATGACCGGGCCTCGGTAGTCTCGGCCATCCACATACGGCTCAAGAAAGTTCGTCAAGGGTCGCGATATAGGTGGAAGCTGCGACGCCCGGAAGAGATCTAGAAGCAGGAATATAGCCAAGACCAGGGCCAGAGCAAGGGCGCAGAATCCGGGGTCAATGTATATTGTTGGTAAGAACATCAACACCATTGTTCCATGGAATACTTTGCGCCTAGTGTCAACCTCTGCGAAGGTGCCCAGCCGGATGACAACTGCAATGCCTGTCACAAGGACAGTCAAGCAATAAGCAATCATCATAAGACGGGTGTTGGCTTCTCCAAAGGTGCCGTGGCGGAGATGTTCTGCACGTCCAAGATGGCAGAACGCGCTCGATAAGCTGCTATCCAATCGAGAAGGAATGGATATCCAGTCCTCCAGGCTCGAGGTGATAACCCAAAACCTGAACCAGGAAATGTTCCCGAGCAAGTATCCCAGTGCCCACCCAAAAGGCTCTTCTCCCTGTAACGCCCGTTCGCTTACGTACTTCCGCACAGGTCCTAGGATAATAGCTAGAACCGCTAGGTAGACGTAAAAGCCATAGATCCATTTGCGGACTTGAACCTGCGGAACCGTCATGGATAAAAAAGACGTCAGGTCTGGCGCTAATGATCTCTTCCGACGGCCTCTTGGAGTAGTTCTGGCCTTTGCTGAGCGTAAGGCCTCTTCGAAACTGGGGGATGCCTGTCGTTGGGTTGGGTCTTCCACAGTACCATTTTCTGTGGGACTCTCTTGTGAGGACTTTTCTCGGTGGTCGTATGGTGTCCGACGCGAGGCAGATGTCACATGGCTATCGGGAGAGTCGCTATCTGACAGAGCGTCTTCAGAGGAACCAGCTCGGCTCAGCTTCTGGCAGATTCTGTGATCCAGCAGATTCAAAATATTTTTGGGCGAATTGGAGGCGCTGGGAGACCGTCGAAACTTCCAAGTCGGTATCCTGGCTAAGGCGACCTCCCAGTGAAGAACTTGGCGGCACGAGATAAAAATACACAGGCTGCCTAGCCATAGCAGCGCTTTGAGAATTTCCGCATGTGGGGAAGTGGCGAACAAAAACAAATTAATAAGAGCAGTCGTCAGAAGCTGAAGTTCCGCTGGAAGAATGCTGGTAGACAAAAGGAAATCTAGAGTGGGTATCAATGCTTGGTGCAAAGGAAAAACAAGAGTCAAAACTTCAGGATTGAAACCACGGAGAGAAAGAGGTGATGGGCGAATACTGCCCCAGGACAGTTTCTCTGAGGCAAGGAGCGGGAGTAAGGTGAGGAGCCAGTGCATCACATTTTGCCCATGCACTAGGTCATGCATAGGAATGGCTGCAGGGGGGATTGAGGCGAGAGCCAGAAGTATATTTGGCAGTACCAACGACGGTTTATGATCCGATAACGACAAGGAAACGTAAACTGGAATTAGGATGGGGTATAAAAGCGGAGCTGGGTCGAAGCTATACGGGATATCGAAGGACAAGAACCTAGAGAGTCGTAGACGTCCATGCCGGTTTAGAGGATATATCGCGTAGACACCGACGACAGTAAGGGAATAGGTCATGAGTTCTGGCCAAGAGAAACCACGAATTAGCAAATGCGACAATAAAAAAAAAATTGAGGAAACGGCCGGGCGTACCTTTCTTCCAAGCCCACGCGAGCGATCTTGCGCTCTGCTGGCCCAAAACCACGCCGCCCACGGAGAGTAGCAAGGCGGCCTCGAAAGCCCTCCGAATAACCCCAACGCGTTTTTTATTCTTCATTTTATTCCTCATCTCTGTTAATTCAGCCTCATTGTCACCAATAGAGCTCCGTCGCGAGCTCCGCGAAGTTGACCTGGCCATGGACGGCCAGCGTTGTAATCCAGGCAGCCACAAGTCATGATCACCAACGCCGTTCCAAGCCGGCCGTGCACCCCTTCGTGATCGAAGCGGCGGCGCTGGCAGTCCTTTTAATAAGCCTGTGCTTTCATCGTCGGCCTCAGTACCGCTGTCACTGGACGTTCGCGTGCGGTGGTGGACGGAGCCGTTGCGGCGATATGGGTGAGGCGATCGCGACTGTGATCGGAGATCGTCAGGTGCAGCAACATCAGCGTCAGGTGGGACCATGTTCGGAGACGGCCCGTCGTCCTCCTGGCTTGTCGAGGGGGCCATGACCCCATGGATATCGAAGAACCGAGCTGTGTTTATAACGCGCAGAACGTCATGATCGGGTGTGCAAGTCTGGGTCGTGTGAGGGAGCAAAGGCCACTAAGCCCCAGACGGTCAGTAATTAAACCAGCGGGGCCGGACAAGACGGCGGGTGACAGATCAGCAGCATACCTGACGGGAGGAAGAGACATGGGAGATCAGTGGGGAGACAAGTGTAGAGGAGCTGAGGAGGAGATGGAACTGGAAGAGAGATGGCTTTTGCGAAGTGGAAGTTGTTATCAGGCGGATTGCGGCCTTTTTTTTCAGGCCCGTAACATGCCTGCAGCTGCTGCACCACCATCACCGCTCAGTTGACGGTGTTCAGGAAATAATCATTATCTACTGTGCTTTCGTTTGCCTTTGCCTCTCGTCTAATCTTCTGTTTACGCCGCCCGCCCCAACGCTTTCCCAACATCGGCCCTAGCCTCTCCCAGCCCAGAGGACAAAGCCCTGCGACTGCGCCAGTCCAATCGGCTGGGCGACACGTACGACGTCTCAGAGTGTCCAGGCCGGTGGAAATGCTAACAGTCGCCCGCCCACGATGACTGGCGACTGCGCTGCTGGGCACGCTAGGTCCACGGTTATCGTCCAATCAGTTACTCGCCCACGAGTCGATGGATAACCGTCTTGCAGCTCCCATGTTCGGGGCTTTTCTCGAATCTTACGCCATCAGTAAGTATCGCCATCACCCCTCTTCCCGCTCTACGCGGCATGGTGGCGCTGGGTGGCCATCACGTCTGTTTCTGTATAATCACGCCCGCTGCCAGTCGGCGCCCATCTGCGCCCCAGACCGACTTGCACGGGATTACTTGTCCATGGGAGCAGTCTTGGGGTAGAGGTTGGCTGCTGTAGATAACGCAGTGGAACGCTCCCGACTGGGCTTGCGCTGCGTATACCTCCGATACGCGCTGTATCTGCGTTTGGAGGTCCGCTTCGCTATCAATCTCAATGCACGAATATCTTTGGTTTTCGGTTGTTGTGGCTTCAACCGTGCGCCCAAACTCTGTTTCAGTCCTGGTTAGTCTCACCCCCTCACAGCGGTAGCCGAGTCCCTGCCATTCAATATCGCTGTTTCTCGGGAGTTCGTGGACCTGGACTGCAAAAAAGGCGGGTACTCGGTTCTTGGAGTCCTCCGCCTCCACGATGTCAAAGTTGGGAATCTGGGGACGCGCAATGGGTCTGGACTGCTCGTGCCCTCTGCGCCCATACTTAATGTCCCAGACGTCTAGCGCTGACTCCTCTTCGTCCGATTCTCGGTCCTTTGGGTCATGCAATTTCTGCCAAAGTTTCCATGCAAGCTGAGCCCTGACCTTGATGTGGTCTGTCCCAGTGAAGAAAGCAACAGCTCCCAACCACCAACCAACCTCCATAGTTGTGCCTATCCGCCACATGTGTTGCAGTGACAGGATAGCTCGTAGACTATACGTCTCAGCCCAATATGGTTCCGCTGAAGAGCTTTCAACCAACTCCATAGAGGCTGGCTCCAGAGGGATCTGTCCCGCAATGTATATCACCCTTTCCGTACCCTGTAGAGGCACAGACATGGCCTGCGAATAGGGCCCGATATTGGCCGGGGCCCAGTAAGATCGCGATTGGACATGTAAACCACTGCGTTGAGCCCTCGGGCCTAGATCCACGACCATCGAAACCATCACGTTTACCCCCTCGGGCAGACTGTCACCACAAGCCACTGTGGCTCTTGCTGGAGGGTTTGGTTTCGTGAATAGAGAGACGTAGATACCGTTCATCGAGGGGAAATCAGCCATTGAGCGAAGCAAAACCGTAGTGAAAACGATATCAGCCGTTGTTCGAGGGCTGGCTTCATCTTGGGCTTGGGTATCCAGAACGGCTCGGATCTTTTTCACAATCGCTTCCATCTGCTCGGCAGCGCCAGGACCAGCCTCAGGCGCTGTGATATTGGACACCGTCCAGATACCCCCACTAAAAGACTGAACCGGCTCTGTAAAGATCCATGAGCCTTTCTCCGTGGCCCTCGAAACCACGCCATCATCACTCTCATTCCCATTCCCTTCCCAGAGCCCAGCCAATGCACCAACAAACTCCTCATCCAGAATCGTAGGCCTCCTTACATCCCCGGGCCCAACCCCATCACCATCACCACCATCCTTATCCACAACCCTTGCCCTCTCCAACCTCAAATACCCAACACCCCCTTCACCAGCCCTGACCTCCCTTCCCTCCTCACCAACCTCAATCCTCCCCTTCCACAGAAACTCCGGCCCATCAACCGCAAGTGTCTCATACTCCCCGCCCTCCCCCAAAACCGCACCCCGAATATCCTCATCCAAATCCACAGCAAACTTCCTTACCCCCTTCACAATCCTCCTCCTCAACGCCCCACTCCCATCCGCAACATCCCCCCACAGAAACCCCTCATCCAACGCCCCTGACGCAACTTTGACTATCCGCGCCGAACAACCCACCGCCGCCATATCAGCCAGCAGCCCCGCCTCATCCCCTTCCCCAGATACCTCCCGCTCCACAGGCGCCGGTAGAAACGGATACATCCACAACCAAGCCAGCGGCGTCAGCCCCAGTCGCCCCGCAACATCCTCGATCCTGGTGCGTTGGTACGTGGACAAGATCGCGCCCGCGCAGACTGCATTCGCCTCCGGGTGCGCGGCTTTCACTTTGTTCAGGAGCGGGATGAGTGATTCTGTTTCGTCCTCCTCTTCCTTCGTTCCAGTAGTACCACTACCAGGATTAGAAGTTGGAGTGGAAGTTGAAGTTGAATCACCATAGACCCTCCCCGAGTCAACGGCGCCGCCGACAATCGGCGCGCGATAGAGCGGGATGCCAAGTGCTGCTTCGTAAAGAGGGATCACGTTCCATCCGATCGTTTGGTACATGAAGCTGTCGATGTCGTCTTGCTCTGTTTGTGTTTCTGTTTGTGTGGGATCATTGCTGCTGCTGCTGGCAAGTGGTGGCGGGTGGAGATTCGCCAAAGCGACGACTTTATGGCCGTTGCGGATGCAGTGCAGGATTGAGTAGAGGGAGTCCTTCCCGCCTGAGATTAGGGCGATGACGCTGAGGCTCTGGGATTGTTGGGAGGATGATGGTTTTGGCGTTTGTGTTGGTGGTGACATTTTGTGAGATGATCGATGATAATATGATAGTGTGATGTTGGTTGAGGTGGTGAATGGGATTTTTCTCTTTCTTTTTTTTTTTTTTTTCTCTCTCCTGGCTGGTTACCCCTCAGAAGGCAGGGATTTGGCGGGGAGGGGTTGAGCCCCGCGAGGGGTACCGAGTATCGTGAATGAGGATATATGGCTCCTTTCCCTTGATGGGTTCATTTGTTTGTTGGATGTTGTTAATTCGAGAAGACTTAGCTAAGTTGGTTTGGGTGATTCGGGACTCGGGAGTGGTGAAGCTTCGGTGTCGCAAGTGTGGTTGGTTGGCTGACTGCGGCCGCACCCGCACGGCATTCTGCGCCAAACTCCCAAGTCTTCTACAATACGGTCTTCTACTTTCTCGCTTCGAGTACAATCGGAAATATGCTTTAGCAACATCTCATATTATGACTAGCTAACCGCCAACGGACAGCGCAAAACGCAAGTATTATGCACACGGGAAATGCAGCCATAGTGGCTAAGATACAAGTGATATAAAACAATATAGGGGTATGAGTAACGATGGGGAGAACAGTAATAAATAGATAATACATGTGACCAGCACAGGAGTGACACAGTGGCACAAAAATGGCATATTACATCAAAATAATAACACTGAATGGCAGGGTGAAGGAAAGGAAGAGAATCAGAAAAAGAAAAGAAACAAAAAAAAAAAAAAAGGCAAAGGCAAAATTCAAATACAAGAAGCAGCAAAAGCTGGTGGTTGGAGATCAACGAGCGGAAAAAAGAAAATGATAATACAGCCCGTTGTAAGCCTTGGCTGAAAAAGTGGTAAAAAAACTCTCAGCCATGCGATGCCCTCTATGATTTTGTTCCAACCGAGTTGTTGCGCCCCTTCTATAGTCCCGAAAACACGGGCGTCCCAAAACACCTCTTGTTTCCGATAATTTCTCTTTTCTCTGGTGACCTCGAGAATTGTTGATGCGAACCGTAACCTTGGAAAATAAAGATAAAAAAGATAATTGCCGTTCTAACGCCGAATCCAAGTCAAACCAATCAGTGCAGAAGTCGAAGCTGGTGTAAATGCAGGAATGTTGTATGATGAATGTATGTGGGAAGAAAACTCCTGGTCGCATAGCGTTCGTGACAGGCTCAGGCGATACCGGATCACGCGTTGCTCTCCTCTCGCTTGCGCTTCTTCAAGGAGCGTCGGTCCCCAGACGAGATCTCGGCGCTGTCATCCGAGTCACTGGTAGTCGACTTGGTCGCGTTTTCGTACAGAACAGGACCCATCGTGGATGGATCCTGCTCTTCGTACGCCTGGGCACCATTACTGTTGTCAATGACGCCCATAACGACGGATGTGGCAGCGTGGGTTCTGGCGTGTTGAGCGAGGTTGTCGCTACGGGAGAACTTCTTCCCACATTCACCGCACTCGAACGGCTTGTCCTGCGTGTGAAGAGAACGGTAGTGACGCTTGAGGTGCTCCTGGCGGCGGAAACGGCGGGAGCAAAGGGTGCAGACGAAGGTCTTGGAAGGGTCCTCAGTCAACGACTGCTTGCGGCCACGGCGGTTGACTGAGACAGGGGCGGATGCAGTCTCAGACCCGGAAGAGCTCACGACAGAGTGCTGGCGGGCCTGGCAGTCTGCATGGTCGTGCGTTGGCATAGACTCAATTGCGTTATCATTGATAGGCATCTGGGCCTGCATACCAGCAAATGCATCGGTGTCGTCTTCAGTCGAGGCCTTCTTGGGCGACTTGCGGTTGCAGCGCTTCTTGGAGGCCATCTCCTCTGAAGCTTCACCAGTTTCCGCGGGGATGGCTGGCAGACCAGAAACAGACACATCCAGCTCCTCGTTATCCTCCAAGCCGTGCTCGCTAAGGAACTCGTCCTCATCCAGAGAGTAGGTTCCAAGGCGCTGTCTCTTTCCACCAAGGTAGAAGGTGCTTCCACTGGGGTGGAAGTCAACCAGGCGGTTCACAAACTCGTCATCTGAGTCGAGGTCAGAGAAACTATCGAACGTTGGCAGACTGTTAAGCGGGTCCTCGTTGGAGGATGTGAAAGATGGAGCGGGGTTCTCGTGGACGGGCAAAGTGACAGCCTCGCTACCGAGAACCACCTTGGGCTCCTCATCGTCGCAAGACAGAGAAGGAAGCGGTGGCAGCTCAGTAGGAGCGTTGTGCGCCGACTCCACGGTAAGTTGCCGGGGGTCACAGAAAGAAGTGGAGTGCTCAAGCTGGAGTGGTGATTGGGACTGTCCAAACATAGAGGAGACGGGAGAAGGCGATGGAGAAAGGGACGGGCAAGAGCTGTTAGCTGATAGAAGCTCCGAACCATGACTCGAGATGGAAGGGTTGTGGATGAATACTAAAAGGAGCTGTTAGCTTTCCGTCTCCCTTTCTGTGCCGGTGGCTTGTTGTCTTCCCAAGGAAGCAAATCTCAAAGCTTACCTGGAGTCATGGCAGGCGATGCCGAGCGTTGCCAATCAACGTTGGCTAGGATCTCAGTGTGGACTTCGCCCTCGCACCCCTCCTTAACACCCTCCACCTTCTCCAATGTGAAGAAGCTGTCGATGGGGGTGTGGAGGGTACCGTTGGAAGAAGGCGGGCTGCTCACAGAGCTGCCGGCGGCGGAAAGCGGTGGTGTTGAGGGGAATGCGTAGTATTCGTTGCCGACGAACCTAGTGTCGATGGGCATCAAAGCAGGCGAGCCTTGCACGGCGAGAGATGACTTGAAGTTCGATGGCTGTGGGGAAGCGATTGGAGTCATGTTCATGGCACCGCGGAAGGCGTTGGTGGTGGCCATTTGATGCATGTTCAGGACTGCAGGAGCAGAGTAGATGGGCTGCTGCTCGGGCACGCAGTGCTGCTGTTGAGGCTGTTGCTGGGCATGTGGGAATTGCGAGACCTGGCCATAGTATTGCATTTCAGAAGGATGGCCGGCGTATTGTTGTCTCGGTTGTGACTCGGCAGGGTAGTATGCGAATTGTGGCTGTCCACTGGGGGGCATTGTATATCCGTCCATTGTTGCTAGAAGTTGATTCTATAGTTTCATCAGTGTCTTGATCGGTATAAAGAAATGTCAAAATACTCACATTAGTTGGAAGTCGAAGTATAGGAAGGAGCAGACGAGTGCCAGCTCTCAACCAGGTATTATTAAATATAGATATAATATGGAGTGGTGGAGTATATTATTGGCGAAGTATATCGGCCAGGGTGATTGTTGGAAAGAACGTCGTCGGATTGCTCTCGCTCTCAATGAAGGAATGATGAGAGAGGCGGGAGTGTATCAGAACGAGCTCAAGGCAGCAGGAACACTTGAGTATAGCGGCGAGTTGAGAAGTCGCAGTTCCGTGCTTCGGAAAAGATCTCGTCTTCTCAAGACGGCGTGTCGCAAGGTCTATGAAGGAAGGACAGGAACCTGGATAAGAGCAGAGTATAGTATGACGAGCACTCAGGCAGGAACCGGAAGACAGGCAATAGTCGCAAGAGAAAGCAACAGGAAGCAGGAAGTCAGAGAGAGAAAAAGGAAAAGAAACGAAGGACGAGGGAGCAAGAGAAGTCTAAAAAGGGAAAAGGAAAGGACAAATTGAAATAAGGATAGGAAGAGAAGATGAAGTCGCGGGGTGGGAAATGAGAGACAGGGCCGATATGGGAACAGCAAGACGGAATGGAAGGATGGTGGAGGATGATGGACGGGCTGGTGGATAAAAGAGTGTGATCTGCTTGTGCTACGAATTGGCCGGACTGGAGCCGTACTTTTAGGCTGGAATAATCCCAGAAAAAAAAAAATAATAATTAAATATTTCCATTTAATTTATTTATTCTCTAATTTAGAAATAATCAGCCAGCGAATGATCTGATGATTCCACCGAGATGGTGTCATATCACCACAACGACTTCTAGTAGTAATGTCCGGTTCTTCGAGAAGCCAACGGCTCATGATAGCACGACGGATGGTCGGTATTTAATCTCGCTGGCAAGTCGAAATTTTGATACCCAGCGCACTCCAACTGCAGTTGCAACTTGCAGGCCTCCCAAGGTTCCCGTTCAGCGTTGGCCTTGACGGTGGGACTGTCGACGGGCAAGGAAGAGCACAGAGCAAGCAGCGTGGTCAAGGCCGTCGGATGTTGTGCTCTTGCCCAAGTCAGCGAATGGCGAGGGCGAGGGCGAGCAGGGTGTGGCCCACTCGCAACATCAGCCGGGGAATGCCAGAAAGCGTAAGTCGGTGGGGTCGCAGCACGAGTGAGTGGGAGTGGAAGTGGCCCCAAGGCCCATTTCCAATGGTGGCCTCAAAATCCATCGTCCATTGTCGCGGACCCAATTCCTGCGGTCCGGTTACAGGATCGGTGAATGCGGAGAGCGATCTCTCCCAATGGAGGGTTGTGCTTGGTGTTGGTCTTGGTCTTGATGCTCGCCCTCAGGTGTGAGACTGTGAGCCTGCCCACCACGACTGCCTGCCAGTCGCAGCTGGCGAGAGATCAAGGTTTCCAATGAGCTCGCAACCTGCACTGGTTCCGTGTCTCAGCTCTGAATTATCAGACCTGCGCTGTTGTGTCCTTCGCTGGCTGAACCAATTCCGAGACGTGGTCGACCAGTACACCCAATGATTTTCGCTCCTGCCTAAAATAGATCACAATTTGATTAATTGCTGTGCCCTCCCCCGCCAGTCACGCTGCGCGCTCTCCCTCCCTCCGGCCTGGAACTCAGCCTGCCTCACCACTGCTGTTGCTCCCTCCACGGACTTGCCCGCGCCAACTGACGAACGCTCATCCAGCAATCGCATCTCCCCAACGGCCTCGACAGGTGATGCCTCGTCCCCTCGGGCGCCGTAACTCGGCCTCGTTCCATCGTTTGGCTTATCAACGACGTGCACACCCCCAGTCCAGCGAATCAGCAGCCGACTGGAAATTGGTGTGGAACACCTCGGTTTCTTCTTTTGAATGCGAGCGGAGAAGCGACCGGCGACCCTCGGCCAATTGCAGTCTGGCCCTGGTGCGATTGTGACAGTCTGGTTTGAACCGAAAAAGTTGGCTGCGGCGCGAGAAAGAAGGATTGACTCGCTTGCCTCCCCGTCCTCGTCTTCGGCCCCACTGCGTGCGCATCCCGTCCAGCCACTTGGGGGATGGATGCACCCCATGCCCAATTTGTTAAAAGAAAGAATTGCGGTCTCAACTGGGCCTATGAGCTTCCGTCTCCATCGTTTTGATTGCGCTCGAGCCGTCGCCTTCATTTTGAGCAAGATCAGCAGAGGCACTGCCAGAGCAGCAAGAGGATCTCTTGAGTCTGTGACTGTGAACACAACACACGGCAAGGTCGATCAGAATCAATTCCCCGGGCTGGGACCCTGCCAAACGAGGATTTGTGCCACCCCGACCCTTGGTAGTGCCACCTCTACTGTCGCGGTGGACTTTCCTTCACGACAGCGATGGAAGACAAAGGAAAGACTGACCAACCAGACCGGAGTAATAATCATTCAACATTATACCTCGCTATATCAACGGCTGTTATTGATTGGGGGTTTGGATATGCAAAATGGCGACGCTGGCGAGCCAAGGCCCAGGATTGCCAGGTTTGGGTTGGACCTGTTCAACATTGTCTCGACCGGTCAGTTTGTTCCTTGCGGCCTACTGCAGGAACAAATGCGGAGAGCGCGCAGCCTTGCAGGCTTGCAGCAGCCAAGGCTCTTGTCGGAACATCGCATCCACACAACAGACCCAATGTAGAGTCTGGTCATGGTCAAATTGCAGGTTGTCCTCACCACCGACTGCTAAAATCGGAGGGAACGGCTAGAAGCCAATAGCAAGGTTGCTCAAAAACGCGCCGCCGAGCGCAGTCCCGGTCGACAGGGAAAACTGTCGTTACGCAGCGTCAATTCCTGGGATCTCGCTATTTTGGTTGATTCCCTTTCGCCTCTTGCCCAATAAGACACATTCCGGGCTTGCTTACAGCCTGCTCAAGGTTCCGTGTCTTTGTCTCGACCGTCTCAGATACTTCAGTATCAAAGAACCTTGCCTTTGGTCCCACTCAGCGATAACCCAATCCTGACTTTGGTGGCCAACGTTTTCAACAGCCCGCTAGTTTTGCCTATAGTCTACCGGTAGCAGATAATGTACTAGGAAACCAAAAGTCGGACTATCAAACAGGTACAGCCGCAGCTCAAGGTTCTATCTTCGACATGAGAAAACGCAAAGCAAATGGTTCTCGGTCTTTGCGTTTTGGTGTCTGATCGCGCCCCTCCATATTCAAGCCATGATAACGAGAATGCAATCGCTATCAGTCTCCATCACGGCAATAATCAGGCCCATATCGAATCCTTCAAATGCAATGATCAGCAACACATAACTTTATTCGTCGAGAACCTCCATCACCGACAGGCAACTCCCAAACCAGCTGACAGCTCAGTATACAACCCCAAGGTTCATGCAAGGGGGTTCGGATAACCGGAGCTGTCAATCAGATCTCAGACCCATAACCGTGGATGACAAGGAATCTTATATTCTGGCTTCGTAGTCGCCACAAGCCCAGCGAGTTGGTTGGTTTAGCTGAGGAAGGTTCAATGATGCGTTCCCGAAAGTTACCAGGCTTTCGTCGCACACGCATCATTTAGTCTCGACATTAATGGTTGACAACTCCGAGTCAGTTACCGACTCTTACACCGACATTCATTGTGCACGTTCATTCTCATTTACTGGGGGAAAGGGCAAGAACTGCAAACACGGCAGTATTCAAACTCCATCATCAGGTCCAAGGTTGCGATGAAGGTCATTCCAGCCAACTCCTGCCAACTCGAGAAACGTCGCCCTCCATAATAGTGGAGAAATCGGACTAATCAAGTTAAGTCTCAGAATCTAGATTGTATGATTCGCTACTCTAAAGATATCTTGGGTCCACTATCGCGACTATTTGTTCCTTGCAAAGGACTAAGGTACTTTTTGACGTGAGGGTTCGCGGAGATGACATGGAGACGGGATGTCCCTCCAAAGTCCTTGGACAGAGGCAGCAATCTGAGTACTTTCGCCTCGTCATCTCGTCGGCTCGGCCCTATGCCTCCGTAAATTAATAACGGCTGGACCTTGGAAACTCCTCCTCTTGTTCCCCTTCGGCCGTTGAAGTTATCCACCTCTTTGATTAAACGCCAGGCCAGAAGGCTTCCAGAAGGAAATGGTGCGGTTCTCTCCCATCTAGCTACGTAGCAGATATATTAGATGGAGTTTTCTCATTACCGCGATGGGGCTGTGTGGCCTTCTCGAAGCAATCGACGCCTCCACTCGCATGCAAATATGAATCGTACGGGCGATGGGGAGACTATTGGCGATGGATCTTCGGTCGGAGAAGAAAGCAAGTAAGCAAGCTCGAGGTGCATCTGGTTTCAAGACTCACCGTCATTTCTTAGCATTCACGGCATCAATGCCGAGAGAGGAAAAAACCGTTGTCGCACAGGCTCCTGCAATCAATGTGACGGGTCGGATTCTTCGCCAATGACCCAGTGGCATGGCACCAGTCAGTGGTATCAGATTGTAGCTCTGGCTGAGAATCGCCAGGCATTCATACAACCAGGAGGACAAAGCAGGAAATGATAAGATATGAGGGACTTTCAACTGAAAGGCAATTGCGCGTATCTGACGGCACCAACGACTATCGAATGCTGATAGGCAAACAGACCCCACGGTCTTGGGCAACAGAGGAAAACAAAGGAAAAACCGCCCGCCGCCCTGCAGATACGTAGCGTATTCCGAACGCCAGGCACTGCGCCTGTGATGCGATGATCGCCGCCGTCACGCTTTCCTTGCATAACTGCCATCGTCTGATTTTCGAGTCCCCGTCTGTCTCCCCGACAAGTGGATGACAGGTCGAATGTGAAGAAACCCCCACCAGAGGCAAATTCTCGACGGAGAACAGTCCGACAAAGGAAGGCAAACGAGAACCGCAAATTGCACTGTCGCTCTTGCAGACTCCGATGTCCCTTGTTGGTTGTTTTGCTTTTGATGATTGGACCATCATCCACGAGGTCCCTTCCAAGCCGGTGATATGCGAGGCTCGAGCGAGGCAATATGACAGCCAAGCGGGATGGGCCTCGTCTACTGTCCAGTCATCAGTGTCGTTCTTTCGAGAGTGGGCACCACCAGCGTCAGACCCGCCTGCGGACGGGGCCCTTCCTTTCGAGGCAGAGCCCTCGTGCGAAGTTGACAGGACTAAACAAGTATACCTTGGAGAACTTGGTCGGCGGGTTCTCGGCCACGCCGCTTACATGGCGAATCAAACGTCGTAGCCGTTCCGTTTGGCAGTTTCACATCTTCAAGAGTGGGATGGTGAAGACCCGGCAACACGGTGGGTGGGTGGCGAACGCCGTTGAGATGTCAAAGGATGCCATCGAGCGATGGCAACGATACGAAGGTGCAATTGCCGAGAAATCAGAGAGAGAGAGATGTCGTCTGACTGTTCCAACCAACTACTAACTGTCGCATCGACCGGAGTGTTCTGGAAATAGAGCACCAGATGTTCCACTAGAGCCGACCGTGAGGCCAGACCCAAAAGACCAAAAGCTGCGGGTCCCAACGCCTTCACGTTCAGTCATGCAATTATGGCAACTTGAAGTCGAGCCTGTTCCTCCATTCCTTGACTACGGTCTCCCAGCCTCCTTCTCAAAGAGGGAGGAAGGTCAATCATGATTGTGATCATCCAAGGACTCAGGCCCCAAAAGAGACAAAATCACAGGGACGCCAGCGGCAAGAACCGACCGGACCGACGATGCGATGGAGATCAAGCTCCAAGTTGCTCGAGGGAATATTCCCTCATAGCGACTCAGTAATAATGACGATGATTCCATTTGCCACAGTGCATTCATATTTCATAAATTGATGCAAATGAAGGCGATAGAGCCAAGACAATAAACTCTCGGTGGGGAGAGACGACGACTCGTGAATGCGACCGTATGGCGTATCCCAGTCCCAGGCCCAGCCAGTCCAGCTCGGCAGTCGAAGCGAGCGACAATTTAAGTTAACAATCTGAAACGGGCTATGCTATTCTGCAGTCTCCAAACCCAATAAAACTTCATCTCCGGCGTATCCCCTGTCCGCTCCACTCTCGGCGCTCTAGCCCAGTCACGTTGGACGGCGACGACAATCAGTGCGACCGGAGATGCAACTATTGAATAAGAATACAAATAGGCTTCACATAGCGACCTTCGAAGAATCTTCCACTGCCAAACCCAGTGGTGCTCATCCTGACTGGCGGGGTCGTCGTGTTATTTGCCGCTTTGCGTATCCTGTATAGAGTTCGACTTCAGGCCCCAGAGGTTAATCGAGGCAGAGTGAGAGGGGCGATGCTGATTCAATTGATAATCCTCGGTCGAAGTCCGACAGACTGATTCATGAGATACACTCAGCCTGAGGCAAAATCCTGCGTCGGTCTCAGGAAGAAACGCGCCATCTGTCTCCATGGACCTGGGACACATTTCCGTCCACGCTCGCCTCGGAGCCATGCAGGTTCAAAGATCAAGATGGCGCTAATAATAGCGCGTTGCGGGGGTGCAGACCCAAGTTGCAGAGCCGTTCCAAGTTCCAACTGAACACCGTGTCCACTATCACACAATATGAAAACACAAGGAGGGTCAGTTTGTGTCATTGCGTTATCTACTGATAGGCTATCAGCAACAGATAAACGAGCTTGACTCAGTGGTTACCCACTGGCCGGGAAAAGGATTCCCTCAATTCGGTGCCTTGATGCCAATCCTGGGGAAGGACCCAAGGAATCGCTAGCTTTGCTGCTCAACCAAAACGCTGTCTTCATTTGCCGTTTAGGGAAGGTGACGACTCAACTCCGTGGATCACAACTTGTGGCAACTGGCAATCCACTGGCTCAAATAATCGCCGGCAAACGTGGCAGCACTAGACTAGATGGGCCCGAAGCAGTGAGCATCATGGTAGACAGGCCCTCTCCAGCGCGGCAAAACCTGTCTTTTCCCGCCTGTCGATCTCTGGAGACGATGAACGTAGCGCAAAAGCAACCAAAGGACCAAGGTTGAGACCGGTGCACACGTGCTTGATGCTGCATCCAGTTGGAGACGACTGATAAACGGTGGACCACCAGCCCAGCAAAAGGCTCAGAGAGGCCCGTGGAATCCGTCAAAGGCCGTTCCAACAGTAGCGCATGAAGTGGATTCTATCCGTCAGCTAAGACAATCTAACTGGAGCCAAGCAGAATTTGCTAAACTTGTCTAGGAACTCAGCCCGGTTCCTTGCAAGGAATCGGTCGGAGTCTATTCCCTATGCGGGAAAATGTTGTCTATCCGACCCGCGGTTCGAGCAGAGGAGAGGAGTCCAGAGGAGCTGCGTGGGACCCAGAATCTTGGTAGACTTTGAATAGTCTCCAAGGTCCCTCAGCAGGAGCACGCATTTGTCCAGTTCTTCTTCACGCCTCGAAGGGGCATGATTGACGGCTACCGTCGTGGTATCAACACGGTCCGCTTCCTCACCATCTCGGGGCTCCTGGTCGGGAACTTCCGCGATGCCCTCTCCGAGAGCGAAGTCGAAGTCCGAGTGCCAGATATAGTGGACAATACGAAAACAATACGCAAGCCACAGGGAGACCACGACTCGCGAACGTGCCTGGCAGCCTGCCGAGTGCCCACTGCCACTTCCGATCGAGGAGTGAAACAACAACAACCAAACTTCACTCAAAAGAATCCCGGCCTGACAGCTTGGTTCTCTATTTGTCCGACGATCCGCAGTTCAGGATGTCTTCCGAACTCGCCGTCGAGAGCGAGCTGAGCCAATCCGTTGTCCGCTGACACGGCCTGGCTTTTTTTTTTCTTCCTCCAAACCAACGCACTCCACTGCAGCCAAGGAACTCTGGACGAGGAGAATTCATTATTGTGCCAAATTGAAACCACTGGAACCCACGCGCGGTGGCCTCAAAACTCTATCTGGTCCCGCCGATCCTCCACTTGAGATCGCAATTTATGATTCTCTTTTGAAGTCTTCTGTCCAATCGTGCGTGCAGGCCTCTGTTATCACGGCACAGTCAAAGGGCCAAGCCTGCCGTCCCAGCTGGACCCAAACGTCCAATTGGCACCCTCGTGGGTCGGTCGGAAAACGTGATGGATGCACGTCCTCTGCATGCTGCACGGTGCAGGCGTGCACGTTCGAGGATTCAGGTCCCTTGGGGCGATCGACAAGGCCGGGCCATCTTTCACTGTCCAGGTGTCGGATCTTCAATCTGCCTCTGTGATATGAAGATCAAGCGGTGTGCACGAGGCACGATCTGGCACTCCTCCACTCACGAAATGAAGAACGAGAATTGGTTCCAACAATTCAGTCGACAGACGACAGCTGAATCCTTTGTCTCGAGTCATTCTCATTATCTCATTGGTAGCCACCTACGAGTCAGTCAAAAGCACAGGCACAGGTACAACAAAGTGGCAAGCTGAGTGAAATCAGATCTACCATGGAACGGAATGAACCATAATGCAAGAATGGAACATCAGGGAATTATTTCCGAATGCGTCAATTCCCTATAGCTGCAGTCCTCGCCTATCAAGCGCTTCAGCGCTTCCTCAGACCTGGTGGCGTCGAAAGCACGCCTGTGGTATGAACTATGGTTCGTGATCTTCAGCTTTGGAGATCCAGGATGCCGGGTATGATCGGACTGTCTCCAGCAGAAGCAGGGTTTTCATGTGCGAAGTACGGCCATGACTACGAGACAATTTTGATGGCTAAAGTCGGGGCAGAGTCCATACTTTGGGCGAAACAGCCCTATATTTTCGCACAACCAGACTCAATTTTGCTATTCAGTGAAATTATATTGAATTTTTGGATATGTGGCTCTCAGCTATTGGTCCTTGGATATTGAGGTGTGTCTTGCAGTGTGGTCTTAGCTGCTTCAGTGCGTCCTGTGAAGTCCTGAGATAAGTGGCTATACTCCGGAGCAGCATAGAGTATCATTGACAGTGAGCCTTTCAGCTTACTAGATTACCTTTATTTCCTTCGAATCCAACCCCTAATGAACCGGTGGTAGTGCCATCGTCCATGATGATATTCGTAGCACTGAGGCCCATGTTGAGCAGATACTCGCCTCGATATGCAATGAGCATGCTACTCAGTACATGGTATAAAACGAAGCGTAAGCTCCAACCTAGTTAGAATATCAAATTCTACTCTGTTTTCGCGGTTTATTATGCTTGACTGTTCATTTATATGTATGTGTGTATATATATATATCATCGTCCACAGCCCAGCTAACGGCGTGCAAACTAGATCTATCAATCAACGAATTTAAATTCATTCCCAGATAATCGTATCACAGCGGCCATTGCCATCCCACATGTTACGAACCTCCTAAATGGCCGGCCATTTCTGTTCTCTTCTACTGTACCGCAATTGTCAGTGTCTTGACAACGCGGGAAGAACATGCATGCAGTACTCAGGCTCGGTTCGATAAAGATACAGAATGCACAATATAATACTCGTCTGCTGGTCATCCCATGAGTCGAACTATTGCGCAAACGTGACAGTCTCTGAACCATTAGAGCAAAGAGCAAACGGAAAACCTCGCCTGCTCCATAGAAGGCACCCGGTTCAGGAGGTGATGCAGCTCAGCACGCCATCAAATTCAACTAAGCAGCCTAAATCGCAAAAATCTACCATCCAGGAAGAGCAACAACGGCCGGGATGAGCCTCGGGTCGGGCGATTCTAGGCCTAAATGGAGATGTATATATATTACATAGTTCGATTGGGAAAACCTAGGCGAATAGGCCCAAAGAGGCTCACTCCGGGACCGGGGTCAAAGGGCCCTCGATGAGATGATATGACCTGAATATCATCCTGCCTACATTAATCTGCCATTTGCGTACCTCGACAACAGCGGGAGGGTCTATATGATATCAAGATATGTGGGAGAGAGGAGAGGTGCCATGTACGTGCTTGCCGAGTATACGAGTATACAGAGGGTGCCTTGAATGCAGCTCGAGGGTATCCTCGTTGGGATCCGATGGGAGGGACATGGGGGTCCTTCCTATACAGGGAATCAAGAATCCGATGAAGGTACGTGGTTCATGATTTCATACGATTGTTGACGCCGCGATACAAAGGCTAAGACCCGAGCTAAGCTACTCGTTAAATTTGACCAACGATCAAAGGATATTGTCTATATCCAGCTGGCACGACAGCAACAGCCTCGAAATATCAAGGACCACACAAGTTACGGAACTGGAAGGTTTTAACAGCGTTATGGCACGTCAGCAGGATGAGCCGCTGAACCGCAACTACATCTGAACCTAGCTGGATGCTGAGTCTACTACTCCATGACGGTGTACAAGGCTGAAAGAACAGCGTGCAAGGCAGCCTAGTATCACCGGGTCGGACATACCCAGACAGTGTAAGCATAGCTACTGCGATCTGGCAACGTAGACCTTAGAGCAAGAGCACCTTCTACCACCCGCTCGGGACGGCCAGGAAAAGACGCCGGCAGGATTTATACGTAATGATTATGACAGGCGCCTGGCGAGGCAACCGCAGCGGCCTGAACATAGACTGCCAGAGGACCTTGTTAGGCCGAAACCCGCGCGTTCTCGTACTAGTGGGCGGCGCACTGCAGTTCTAGGCTCTCCGGGAGGATGAAAAGAGGAAGAGGAAAAGAGAAAGGGAGAAGCCAGGTACTCAGACCAGGTAGACGTCCGCAGCATGAGCAACGAAGTTGCGAGGCACATCTGGAGGATAATGGTCAATCAAGATAGATACCGAATCCCACGCCAAAAAGCAAACGTAAACCGTGGGTACCGGGCCTACTATCTGATTACTGTCATGCCCCTGGGCTTATCACTATTAATAGATAACTTATCGCCAGCTTCGAAGTATCTCAAATCATTGATCCTGTGGGAAGATCGGCACCATATCGTATCAAAATACGCAAAATCCGTCCAGAATCCAAGGCGATGGCGAAGAATAAAGAAAAAAAAAACAGAAACGGCAGGCAGTGCGAGACTTCGAAAAAGAAAAAGAAAAAGAAAGGGAAAAAGAAAAGAAAACAGACCGTCTCGATCACCTCAACATTGAGTTCAGTTGGGTGACGACTGGCGGAGCAGCAGCTCGAGAAAACAAAGCACAAATCCAGGCCTCAGTGGATGGTAATTAGATCAAGCTCCCAATGGGAGTCAGTCTCTTCCTATCATATGTTATACATCCGAAAATCTCATCATAAGCCTTAAAGATTGTAATATGGAAAGAAGAGAAAAACATCTCGCGATCTGAACCGAAGAAATTTCGCTGATTATGTAATTTTGTCTATCTACACGTGACCCCGGTCAGCGAGAAAGAGAAACAAAAGGAAGAGGAAAGCGGAAGGGGTTCTTCCGCGCCGAGCACACAGAATAAAAAGCCGCCGCGCAAGGACAGACTTTGTTTCTTTTTCTTCTTTCCTTTCTTCGTGCGGCGACGCAACTATTCACCCGTGTTGCCTGAACATCTTTTATTTTACCATGATGTATTCTCAGGTGTCCGTTGCGTCACAGAAGATTGGAATTGCACGCCGGTTCGTACTTTATTGGTCTTTCTGATTATTCTCGAGGATGAGACCATTTGGTTTGGGATCGGACATACCTTCGTATTTTTATACGATTTTTCTCGTCTTTATGCGGATGAGTGTAGACTATACTCAGTAGCTTGTTGGAATAGCCAGTATCAGAATTTTGCGTCTTGTCATCAATGTCATTGAAACGTAGTCTAATTGGATGTCATGAACGCCATCGCAGCTCCGGTTCTGCAAGTCTATTCACCCTGCTCGTCGCCAATTTTCTCCAGCTTGCCCATGTCTCGCTTCTCACCAGCCTCGCCAAAGATGCGAATCCTGTCCACTCGCGTCTTCTCACCGTCGCCATCGCCCTCTGCAATGAACAGATTCAGCGAAAAGACAGTCTGGAACTTGACGAAACGCAGGTCAATCTTGGCCGTTCCCGTCTTGGGGTCCCAGTCTCTATCCTCAATTGTCACCGTCTGCACGGGAGGAATGTCATCCGCCTCATCGAACCCAAGCACATGCGAGCGGTTCGTATACAGATGAATCACCTTGGGCCGCATTGGAAGATCCTCATCATCCTCTGCCTCCTTCGGAGGAATGGAGGTGATGTGCAGCGAGTGCACCTTGAGCGTAGAGCGGAAGGGAATGTAAAGCATCAGTTGTTCGTCGGTATCACTCTCGACCCAGTCCGCTCCATCCTTGCCCTTTCCATTTCCAAGCGCAGATGGCTTCGACGGCTCGAAGAGAGTCCTGGGAATACCGAATTCGCTGTCCAGGTTCAGCAGTTCGAGGCCCTTCACATCGTACTCGTCTGTGATATCACTGTATCCCTTGGGGGTGGCGGCACCGACCCATGCGCCGCCTGAGGCTTCGCCCGCGGCGTCTCCAGAGCCTTCACTCTTGCCGGCCTCGGTGGCGAGTTTGCGGATAACTTGGTTTAGTTTTGTAGGGTCTGCACCGCGGATCGTGTTGGTGGCACGGCCTCGTTCGAAGACCATAAATGTAGGCATACTGAGACAAGGAAGTTAGCACGAGCGTCCCTGGTTATCACAGTATCCAAACGTATTTTTAAACCGTTCCGAAGGGACGTACGCTGTGACGCCATATACCTTGGCGAGATCCTGTTGTCGGTCAACATCGATCTTGGTGAAGGTGACTCGGTTGGGGCGCGAAAGCTGCGCGGCGAGCTGGTCATAGACAGGGGCGATTGCGTGGCATGGTCCGCACCACTCCGCGTGGACTAGACGGCATCAAGATGAAATATGTCAGTTATTGTACTCGAGCAGATGGGAGAGCTGGCTAAAGAGGGGTGAGGAGGGAGAAAGGCGGGGGATCAACAAAGAGGAAGGGATCTCACAGTCTGCGACGACGAAGGTGGAGGAACTCAGAAGATTGTTGAATTGCTCCTTGGAGGTGATATGAACAGGAGACCCCATTGTGGCGGTTGATGCAAGGTGTTGGATGAGGAGGGAGAAGGATGGGGGGGGAGAGGCGATGTTCGTGTTGACAGCTTCGGACTCGATTATCGATAATATGTCATCAGCCCCTCCGCGGTGAAAAAAATGTCACCATCGCACCTACTGTCTTAACATCCTTACTGAGCGTCTAGTTTAGTGAATAATTTGGGAAGAACATGTCGATACAATATATTCATAATGTGTAATCATCAATCATTCATCATGTGAAGCTCATAATAACTTCGCGATGCTGCATTTATATGGCAAATGCGTCTTCTGTAGCTCACCAGACCGATATCTCAGAGGCATACAGGAAAAAATTCCAGCCCTCGCCACTTTGTTGGATCAGTGGCGCTCTGTTCTGCAGATAGTTCTCCTATGGGAAGCCGGGTTGGAGATGTCGAGTCGAGTATTCCATACGTTGCCCTTCTGCGGACGCAATGGCAATACCGGACCTCGAGTCGATCTGTTCTCAGAAACAGACGTGAGGCTCACAGTCCATTTGAGATGGGACAACCACGGACAATCACGGACAAACCCGGTGGTCGCACCTCGACCGCGATTTTGACCCCGAGTGTACGGGGGTCTCGATGGACGAGAAGAAACAGCAACAAAGGCAATCAAGTCTCTCCCCCCATCACGTCTTCTGCCCATTCCCATTATCATTTCCATTATCATAATCATCATCCTCCACTGCAAACAGCACCTTCATCCAAAGACTACACCCGCGACACCCAACAACAATCTCCCCATGCTCCGCTTCCCTTTCCAGATCCCTCTCGGACACAGAAAACCCCCGTTCGTCACCACACCTACAACCCCGATACCAGATATCGCCTCCCTCAGGATTAGAGTCCTCATCGCACGCAAGATCCTCAAGATCAACAACCTCCAACCCCGTATGGAAAACCGCGCCGCCATTCTTCTCTCGCCCCGCCATTCGACCCCGGTCTAGTCGGAGAGAACGGTCATATTCGGCGCGTAACGTAGCATCCGAGAGCGTCTTGTATGCGGTTGTGATCTCATCAACTGTGATGGGTTTGTTCCCAGTGCGTGAGGGTTCGTAATCGTCGGAGGAAGGGAGAGGGAAGGAGGAGGTGGTGGTGGCTTGTTCCTGTGCGATTGCGTTCGCGCTCGGCGCTTTATCCGGGTGGTATTTCAGGAGCGCTTTGTGGTAGGCGATTTTAAGTTGCTGTTTCGAGAATGGGGTTGTTGAGGGGCCTGGGAAGGGGAGGTTTAGGATCTCGTAGAAGTCTGGGGTCGTAGAAGTCTGTCGAGTCATTTTTGTCGGCGCCCCCTCTCGTCGTGGGCTCTTCAGACTTGGATGCCGTGGGATCGGGTTCTTCCTTGAGGTGTGAAATGAGTCTCTGTTGTTAGTTCCTGAGTTTTAAACTGGTAAAATGGACTCCAGGGAGCCCAGTGTGAGCTGGAGGTTGCGTGCTGTCGGGCAAGAAATATTTGCGGGTGCGGAGTTCTTCAGATGGGATGAACTTCCGCCGCACGCGATCAGTCAGCCTACGATGTCTTTTCAGTCACTCAACACTCAGATTACTGCGATAATTTATATAGTGTCTTTAAGTTTATTTATTCCCTTTGACTCTCTCATACAGCGCGCGATTTCTACATTTCAGGAAGAAGGATGAAGGAAATTCTTGATATATTGTCTAGCACCACTAGCAGGAAATCTATGCTATAGTAGTACAGTCTAGTGGAAAGGCCCAACGATTCAGCGTTGAAGGCCTGGAACATTCAGGTAATGGTGACGATAAGAGTCGGATATCGAAAATTTGGCACAACAAAAAAAGAAAAGAAAAGAAAAACAGGAGTATGTAGATGTCAGAAGTACTCCATGACGGCTGAACAGGGACAAAACTCAAACAAAACCGAAACCGTAATCAGATAGCTAAATGAAAGCCGGTATTCATCCTTTACTCGGAGGACTTGAAGACAAATCGGTCTTCAGGCTTGCTGGTGAAAGGAACACCGAGCTCGAGAAGCTTGACATAGACATCGGCGAACTCCTTGAAGAAGACATCGCTGTCCTTTGCATAACGGTCGACGTGCTTCTTGAAGCCCTTGTCCTTGATAATGGCAATATCGGTAGGAAGCATCATGAGAGTCTTGGTAGTCTTGTCAGTGAACTGGGCAGGCCCGTTCCACTTGCGGTTCTCCCACTTCTCGTCAACAAGCATGCGGAAGAACTCATTGGTGAAGACAGTAGGGCTGAAGTTCCAGGGTCCATCGAAGCCGGAGCGGTCGGTGTGAGCACGGCCAAGAGCGTGGGCGCCCAACAGCGCAACCATCTCGCGGTCGTCGAAGCCCATGCGGCCGAAGACATCACGGATGTGGACGTGGTCCTTGGCGGCATCGGGGAGCCGGCCGTCGGGTGTGCAGGCTGCGACATCCTTGTCCTGACGACCAGGTCTCCAAGGGATGGCAGGGCCGCCGAGTTCCTGAACGGCACAGGAGCCGGCTAGAGTCCAGAGATCGGAGTAGGTGATCCAAGGGAACTTGGCCTTGATAGGCTCAAGGAAGTCACGAGCGTGCTTGAGACCAGCGTTGGCACCGTGGTCGGACTCGGGGGCGAAGCGCATGGTGGCGCCGTTGCTACCTCCGGTGCCGGTTTCCTTATCGTAGGTGCCACTTGCGTGCCAGGCGAGACGGACGAGAACCTGTTACAGCGAGGTCGACGTTAGATTCTGTTACGCAGGTGGATAGGGATTGCATGGTGGGTGACTTACTGGTCCGTAGCTGCCGTCATCGTAGTCGGTCTCGTTGGCGATACGCTCAGCAATGGCATCGTACACCTTCTGGTAGTCGGCCTGGGTAGGGGTGAAGTTCGCGGAGTTGATGCCACTGTCGGCGCCCTTCAGGTAGAAGTATGCACCAGCACCACCTGCAGCGGCGAGACCAGCCCACAGGAGGGTGTTGCTGGAGGACTTGGGGGGCTCTGCCTCGGAAGAATAGCCACGGCGAGAACCAGCGCGGAAGCCCTGAGGGAGAGCGGAGCGAGTGCTGCGGACAGCAGGTCTGAAGGAGGAGCGCAAGAGAGCGCGAGATGCGGATCTAGCAGCAGATGCCATGGTGATGATGTGATGGATAAAGGAGCGGATGGGAGAGAGGGAAGTGAAACCAGAAGACGAAGGAGAAGTTGGAGACGAAAAGAAGGAGATGACGATTATAAGCGAAAGAAGGAGTTCGGAATGAGCAGGATGAGGGGACAGGGATACAGTAGACCACTCGTAAACACTGATCCAGAGTTCCCCAGACACCGAAGCCTGTCGAACACGCTCGCAGAGCCAATCATTGGGGCCACATTTGTGAGCACTGGAGCCAGATCTTTCCAATTGAGTCAGCAGTGCGTGAACAAGGGCAGACTCTCTCTCCGCATTTCTGTGTCGTTCTCCGCTCAGTGCGCAGGGGTGGCGCTGCAGAGTGAATAATGCGTGGCAACATCATCAAGCAAGCCCTCTCCGACCCATGGGTCGCCAGAGCTCCCCCTTGGGAAGGCCATTGTATTACAGAGTCTAAGCATCGCGATTATTAACGGGAGTGTTCTGTTGCTGGTCGATATACATCAGCAGCCGAGGCCTTGACAAGCCCATGCTCCATAATTGCTGGAAATATGGGGCTCTCCCTCGCAAATTACCAACAGCCACGCGCTGTTTGGTCAGCAAGACAGCCTCGACTGGGCCGTTGTCCGCGGAAAACGCCGAGTCTTTTCCGCGCGGCTGACTCAGCTGGCTGCACAAGCACAGCATAACTCTCACAAGTCACTTCGGGATGGCAAGAACTGATAGACCAAGCTCAGAAGTCTCGACCCAAGAACTGTCTCGGACTAAGAAATGATCCAGAGTACAGAGTACATGCGAGGACTACATGCAAAGACTACACGTATACGGTATAGAAAAAAATGACATTGGGCTTTACAAAGCTAGAATGTTCGTCGTAAAAATAGTCCTGCTGTTCAACAATAACAAACACCAGGGTGGAGTAGACGCAGTCCTGCTAAAAACTGTTTGGTTTTGATCTTCCACTGAACGAACTAAAAAAAAAGTATGCCTCTATGCCACTGTCAGGCTAGACGCTCACTGTGTGGTTCGAGACGCTACATTATCATATCAACACCGGTTCCAGTCTGTCAAAGTCTCAGCTGTCTCGAAGATGCAGGCGTTGAATCTCAATCATCTAGAGTTCAACAACCCGCGCCGAGCGCGAAAAGTCGATTGTTGTGGCAGACTGGACTGTGGGAGAAGTTGAATGCGAGGAGGGAACAGAGAAGAAGAAAATTCCGCTGGCAGCTAGCGCGGGTCCACGTGATACACTTTCGCTTATGGGTCATGTGATCTTCATGGGCAGTATGGTGTACTTGAAATTCAAGCGTTCAATGCTTTGGACCATTTGAAGCTGTTCTGAAACAGCTTTGCGATGCATTGTGTGCATTATATTGAGCAAAAACCATCATTATCTTGACGTTTGCATTCTGAATTTGAAATCTGATGGGGCACTGCACTTAAATATATATTTGGCCTGTGTTGGCGGAGTACTGGCGTAATGGCATGAATTTGTCTCAGCTTCTTAAACAGGCACTGAGCTTTTACTAAGCTTTCTTTAGGACGGTGTTATACTAACACATCTACGTCGAGATGGATTAAGGTGCAGGATCGTGTCGCTCTCCAGAGTACAGATACTATCAGCCTCAGGCATAACCACGTGACACGCTACGAGTATAATTATTCCGCCAAAATCTGCACGCGACTTTTTCTTTTCTTCTTCACACTTTTCATACCTCAGTACGCATAATCAACCTCCAATTCCTGTAATCTTTTTAGGTTATGCCCATAGGATGGTAGGTCATATTGGCGAACAAGATTAACGTGAACTGGAGTATTTTATGGCTTCGCTATCGTGCCGGGTTTCTTCGAAGCTTCAGGCGCAATGGTGGTTGGAGTCACCTGCTGCTCATACATACCACTCACCTGGCAACGTTTTGTGTAGCTGCCATCTGAAATATACCGTAGAAACATCTGAATCGGTTCGGCGACCGTAGTCAACTTCCGGTTCCTGACCGCAAGTGCAACCGGGAGCCGAGTCCGAAGTATCCATCGGTCAGAGCATTTTAACTGTCGGCTGCTGTCCACTGCTCTAAGCTGGTGAAGTATGGGCCCAGAGCCTGCTGGTTGGGGGCTAGACTGTGGCCACTGCGTCAAAACCACCCACAATGTCACTTGCAAGCCTGGCCTGTGCTGCACATAATGCAGTTGATTGACAGAAACATGAAAGAGTGTATAGAGTAGAACATGGCAACAAAAAGCAGGAATAGAGTCGCCATAGTCCACAAGTCCAGCGAGGCCTCCCGTCGCTGTCAGCGTTGCGGCCGACTTCCCCACCTCCGCAGCTTCGTCACCTCAGGCCGCTCTCTCTCCTTTTACTGCCCACCACTTTCTCTCGCCTCCCTCTCTTTCTCCCGTCGCTTGTCTTCTTCGTTACATAGACTTATGATTGCACACTCTTTGTAAATATGTGCGGCTTATCTGTTTATTAATTACGTTCTATTCCCCGTCCCGCTCCGCTATCTGGATAGCCTAAGCCTGCTCACGAGCCACCTAGGCCTTGCCTCTCCTTATTCCTGAAAGTGTCACTCGCCACAGCCACGCAAATATGGTCGCCGGTATCAGTAAACGCCAGCAGTTGCGCAATGAGCGTGCCCTGCAAGATCTCATCCGGTCGGTTCCTGGCAATGATCGATGTGCCGACTGCTCAGCTATGAATCCAGGTATGATCGGCTCTGTCGCAGATGGCCTTGGTTTTTCATGCTAACCACCTGTCTCTTATTTATAGGATGGACGAGCTGGAATGTACGTATACCGACCGACTCCGACTCAAATTTCTCGGAAGAAAGACAACTAATGCGCGGGACTGCAGATAGGAGTTTTCCTTTGCATGCGGTGTGCAGCACTGCACAGGAAGATGGGAACGCATATATCGAAGGTCAAATCCCTGAGTATGGATACCTGGTCCGCGGAACAGGTCGATGTGAGTTGTTATTTGGCCCAATAGTACTGGTTGACACCCGATGGCTGACGAGAAACCGCCGTAGAACATGAAATCCTACGGAAATACCATCGTGAACAAGATTTACAACCCTCGGAACATCCAGCCCCCCGTCCCCACGGATATCGACGAAGCCGATGCATGTATGGAGCGGTTTATTCGGCAGAAATACCAAACAAGGACGTTAGAGGATGGGAAACCGAAGCCACCAAGCCGCCAGGATCCTAGCTATACAAGAGCCGAGTCACCAGATGGCTCACCTCCGCCATTGCCCCCGAAGCCCTCCAGGCCATTTGGGTTTGGTCTTCGATCTGCTTCATCCGCTACGAATCTCAGCCAGCCGACTGCCAGCAACCGTGCCCCAGAGTCGCCCGTCACTGAGGCGCGCCGAGGGTCATTTGAGCTCAAGCTCGCAAGACTGAAGGAGATGGGATTCACCAACGAGCGCAGGAACGCAACGGCCCTCAAAGGACTGGACGGGAACTTCGACAAAACTATTGAGACTTTGGTGAGGGTGGGAGAGGGCAAGCAGACACCGCAGGCCAGGACATCGGCTGCCACAACACCCTCGGTGGGCGCATCATCCAACCCATTCGATCAATTGGATGCGAAACAGCCCGCGCAGCCTGCGCAGCCAACTGGACAAAGCTATAACCCTTTCGACATGCCAACTCCGGCCCAGCCTCAGCCCCAAGCAGCCCCTACGCAATCGCTTGAGCAATCATTTCAGAACCTTCAAGTGGCACAACCGCTGTTCCCGCACTCTACCGGTGGATATCCAAACACGCAGACTTCACTAGCCCAGCCTGGATACACTCAGTCTGCGGCACCACCATTCGCTCCACAAGCTGGATATCCTGCCTCTGCACAACCGCTTGACAGCGGGAACAACCCATTCTTCCAGACTGGAGCCCAGCCCCAAGCCGGCCTCAACACTCCTCCTCAGAATCCTTACTCTCCCCAAACAAACCCATTCTTCGGCCAAGGACCCACGCAACCACAGCAAACACCATTCCAAAACCAGACGCAGACGGCTACGACGGCTCCTGGAGCTGGGTTCCCTCAACCGCTCCAGCATGCAAACACTATGCCGCCGATGTCGTCGTCGTCACCATTTGGACAATCTTCCCCCTTTCAACCGCAGCAACCGCAGCAACCGCAGCAACAGCAACCGCAGCCGCAACTGCAGCAACAGGGGCTTCAGCAATCGCAACTTGGGGTACAGACGGCACAGCCTGGACAGAGCCCATTCAATCCTTTCCAATCTTCGACTGCTCCCAACACCCCTCTGAGTCACTATCCGCCTCAGTCCCCGTTTGGCCAGCAGAAATCTGCCCAACCACTTGCGACGCAGCCTACGGGACGGGTTGATAAGAACAGCATACTTTCATTGTACAATTTCTCCGCACCACCTCCTGCCATCCCAGAACAGCAACCACCACAGCCTACTGCAGCCTTTGGAGGACCAACACCGTTTGGAGGGCCTTCACCCTTTGGACAGGCCCAGAATCAGCAGGCTGCTCAATTCCAACCATCAAATCCTACCAACATCCAACCGCAAACAAATATGGACCCTCAGGCAGCTGGAACACGAAATCCATTTATGGGTTTCCAAGCTCCTGGTACGCAACAGCCAGCTCAGATGCCAACACAACAGCCAGCATACGGGATGGCCATGAATTCCGCCAACCCAACCGGCAATGCGGGGTTCATACGAGCGCACATGAGCCAGCAGAGTGTAGATATAAACGGCTTCCAGAACGGCCGGCATAGCCCAGATGCCTTTGCCGGCCTCAGCGCACAGCAACGGTGAACCTGGATACTCTTGGGCATTCTTGTTTTCTTTTGCGTTTGGGGTTTACTACAGTCCTCTTATAAGACTTATCTTTTTGGCGATTGTAGGAATACCAAACAGATGTGCATTCTTGGCGTTGGAGCCTCTTTGTCAGATAATTGGATTGGGTCTAAGGGACGTTTAGCACAAGTATATAGCGGGCAATCTGACGTTAGATTGGATGATATTACTTCTGTAATCTGCTGCACTTATATTGGTGTCTGATATGTTACCAACGTACATAACAAAAGAAATACTCAACCACTACTATGTACTTCTACTAATCTAATTCAACCCCCTCCCCCCATCAACCGGCAGTTCAACCCCAGTAATAAACGCCGCCTCATCACTCGCCAGGAAACACACTGCATTCGCGACGTCTTCAGGCGTTGCAAACCGTCCAAGCGGGATACCAGATAATAGCTGCGCGCGGTTCTCTGGGGTATCGGGTTTTCCGAGGACGAGGGGGATCCTGTTGCATTATGTTTAGAAGATAATATATAGTATTTGGGGAAAGGGGAAGACATACATTGCAGTCTCCCCAGCCACAGGACAGACAGCATTAAACCGGATATTGTCCTTTGCCAGTTCAGCAGCTAGACCCTTTGTTGCCTTGAACCCGTAAACTTTCTTAGTTACTTTTGAATACAAGACGAGTATATAGGAAATAAAAGAATAGACATACCGCACTAACAGCCCCCTTGCTAGCAGCGTACCAGACGAGATTTGGTCTCGGGCGCAGCGCACTCATGCTCGAGAGATTGACGAACGAGCCGCCGCTGCCCTGGCGCTGCATAGCTGGGCCGAGGATCTTTGCGCTGAAGTAGAGGCTCTTGAGGTTGATTTTGACCAGGCGGTCGAATTCTTCTTCGGCGAGTGAGAGAGATGACTTTTTTTCAACTAATTAGTACATACATCTGGCTGAGAGTAGATAGCAGCTGATATGACAGAGGATGATGAGAGACGTACAATAGCTTTATTAACAACCCCCGCATTATTAACAACGATGTCGATACGGTGGAAATTGTCCAGTGCAGTGCTCAGCACCTGTTCCCAGTCTTGCTCTGAGGTGACATCGCCCTTTATGAATATGGTCGAGCCTGGTCGCTGGGCGGCGGCGACCTTCTCGCCGTTCTCTTGGTGGATGTCGACGAGGACCACGAGGGCGCCTTCTTGGGTTAATTTGGCGACGATTGCTGCGCCGAATCCGGTTGCGCCGCCGGTGACGATGGCGACTTTGTTGGTTAGTTTGGACATTTTGTTCAGTAGATGGAGGAATGGAGAGGAGAAGTTGGGATGGAGAGGGGAAGTCTTCGCCTTCAGTCTTCAGTCATGCAGTATTGACTTGCCGATTACAGCCGAGCTGGTATGATTAAGCCTGCTATGACTGCTTTATTGATGGATTCAATCCATATTTAAAAGGATGTGATGTGCACTTTTAGTCTCTTAGAATATGTCTACTTTCAACTCCATACAGGCAGATATCCCATGCCGCAGAAGACACAACAGCGTTTGCCCAGAACATTCAAAGATTACAGTACTACCATTGATCTCTTAATGATTCCCCGCTTCTGGGGACACCTCGGGATTTACGTGTGCCAGCTGGCGAGCTGTATAAACCCCGGGCTGCCGATGCGGGGTTGAAATCTGCCAAATGATATCAGCAATATTATTCTGTCTTTTCGATATTCTTCAAGCTGTGCAACAGTCGTTTAACTGGGTCTCTGCACCTGAAGTTGTGCTAGTTTTCCGCATCATAATTTATAGTCAAACTGAACATGGCCAGCTACCTCGAAGACATGTTCTCCCTAAAGGGGAAAACAGCCATAATGACCGGAGCCACTGGAGGTCTGGGCTCATCAATGGCACTCGCTCTAGCAAAAGCAGGAGCATCTATTGTGTCCATCGAGCTCCCGGACGATCCTAACGCTGGCAACCTTGCCAAAGCCATCAGCGACGCTGGGAGCAGCCTGCATGCATTCTACTGTGATGTCGGGAACGCAGAGCAGCTCCGTGCTTGCTTTGCGCAGATCTGGGATGCTGGGGCTGTGCCTGATATCCTGGTTAATAGTGCTGGTATTGCGCGGCGGAATAAGTGTGAGGATGCGACTGATGCTGAGCTTGATTTGGTACGAACTACTTCAGTCGTCATGGGTCTTGCCAAGGTACTGACAGGATTGTAGCTGCTTGATATCAACGTCAAGTCGTTCTACATCGCATGCCAGGAGTTTGGCAGGCGGTTACTGTCGCTGGACCGGCCGGGGAAGATCATCAACATTGCCTCGGTGACTGCGTTCCAGGCGAACAAGAACACGAGCATCTACTCGGCGTCCAAGGGGGCGGTGGTGCAAATGACCAAGGCGTTTAGCAATGAGTGGTCGAGCAGGGGGATCCAGGTCAATGCGATATGTCCGGGGTAAGCAGTCCCGCTTTATCAGCTTATCGCCTTTCTAACTGGTGACTGTAGATGGATGAGAACGCCCATGACGGAGGTTTATGCTGCTGACGAGGCCGTCTCGTCGTATCTGATGTCGAGGATTCCCATGGGACGCTGGGGAGATGCGACGGAGTTGAATGCGGCTGCTCTGTTTCTTGCAGCGCCGGGCAATAGTTTCACTACGGGGGCGTCAGTGGTTGTTGACGGAGGGTTCTGCGGAAAGTGACTGTAATTCTTAATTGATAGTGATGTTAGTATTGAGATTAATATTGGTACGGGCAGAGTCTGGATCGCCAAGCAGCATGGAGCCTGCCAAGCGAGACAAGGCCAACCAGTTCCAGCAGACACGCAAGTTCCTTGGTCTTCTCTTGGTCTCCTCTCTTGGTTTCTCTTGGTTCCTCTTGGTATTCCGCTGGGTTTTCTTTTGTGGAGAGACGCAGGAGGAGGACATGACGTCCACCGCGGGGTTGACGCTCTCCATTCAAGCCACCACATCGGAGCCATCTGACATCTGAGCCATGTTTCTCTCTCTCCTGCCAGGGTGCCCGTACTCATGCCCATGTTCATGCCGTGCTTAATGCCCAAACCCACTGACAGGGATCCGGATGCAACAGAACGAGGACTGGCCCCGATCTTCATGCCCGGTTGGCCCACCCTCCTAACTCTGTCTCGCGACCACGGTCTGGGCGCCAAGATGGCTGCTCTGTCTCTGCCAATTACTGATATCGATGCTGATTGTGGTGGAGGAGAAAATTCCAACATTGTGTGCATTCGGCTGAACACGGACTGTCTGCTGGCTTAAATTCTGGCTGTCTCCCCCGTAGCGAGCTGTTTCTCTCCACCATCTTTTTCAATTCCTTCTCCGTTGCTACAATCTACTCGTATAGTTTGAACCTCGTAACTCCTGCTCAATGGCCCGCGAAAAGGTCGCCGACCCTGGAGGGCCTCGCCCCGGACATGGCGCCCTCAGCCTCCCCGCCTACAGCCTCCCCTACGAGCTCGTGCTGCAGGAACTCGGAACCCGCATCGACGAAGGTCTCACCAAGGACGAGGCTGCTCGTCGTCTGCAGCAGTACGGCCCGAACAAGCTAGACGAGGGCGAGGGCGTGTCCCTGATCAAGATCCTCGTGCGCCAGGTGGCCAACGCAATGATGCTAGTTAAGCGGCCCACTTACCTCTCCCCCTAGCCCCAGCTCGTCTTTTACATTGCATATGCATATGAGAAAGAAAGAGAGAATCTTGAGAACTCCCAGAGTCTGATCCAATTCGTTGTAATAGGTGCTGATTCTGGCCATGGCGGTCAGTTTCGGGATCCAGTCCTGGATCGAGGGCGGCGTTATTGCTGCTGTGATTGTGTTGAATATCGTGGTGGGTTTCTTCCAGGAGTATGCGGCCGAGAAGACTATGGAGTCGCTGCATTCGCTCTCTTCGCCAACTGGGACTGTGTCCAGAGACGGCGAGACCTTTTCGGTTCCGTCGACGGATATTGTCCCCGGTGATATGGTTGAGTTGAGGACTGGGGATACCATTCCTGCTGATATCCGGTGAGTGCCCTAATTCTACTGCCGGATTGGTAACTCGACCAATTCTGACCTATATAGCCTGGTTGAAGCGGTCAACTTCGAAACCGACGAAGCCCTACTCACCGGCGAGTCCCTGCCCGTGCAGAAAGAATGCGATTCCACATTCAAAGAAGACACCGGCCCCGGAGACCGTCTCAACATCGCCTACAGCTCCAGCACCGTAACTCGCGGCCGCGCTCGCGGCGTCGTCGTCAACACCGGCATGGCCACAGAGATCGGCTCGATCGCCGCTGCACTCCGCGCCACGAACAGCAAACGCCGCCCCGTCAAGCGCGGGCCTGAAGGCGAGACCAAGAAGCGCTGGTATCTGCAGGCGTGGACGCTGACGGGCACGGACGCGGTGGGCCGGTTCCTAGGTGTTAACGTGGGCACGCCGCTGCAGAGGAAGTTATCCAAGCTGGCGTGTCTGTTGTTTGGTGTTGCGGTGCTGTTCGCTATTATCGTTATGGCGGCGAATCTGTTTTCGAGCAACAATGAGGTTATCTTGTATGCTGTTGGCACGGGGTTGAGTATGATTCCTGCGTGTCTGGTTGTGGTGCTTACGATTACCATGGCCGTGGGCACGAAGAGGATGGTTGAACGGAATGTTATTGTTCGCAAGCTCGACTCGCTCGAGGCCTTGGGGGCAGTGACGAATATCTGTTCTGACAAGACTGGCACCTTGACGCAGGGGAAGATGGTGGTTAAGAAGGCCTGGATCCCTTCGCGGGGGACTTACTCTGTGGGCAACTCGAACGAGCCGTTTAACCCGACGACCGGGGATGTCACTTTTACTGCGCTCTCGCCTGCGGACTTTGATGATGAGAAGGAGGGCCCTGTGGCGGAGAATGTAGAGGGTCTGGTTGAGGGGAACAAGGCGCTTGGGGACTTCCTCGACGTCGCGTCCATGGCCAATCTGTCGCATGTGTTCAAGTCTGAAGAAGGCGACTGGCGTGCGAGAGGCGAACCGACTGAAATTGCAATCGAAGTGTTTGCGTCTCGATTTAACTGGAATCGAGACCGGTGGACCAAGGGCTCGAACGCTGTCTGGCACCAGAAGGCGGAGTTCCCGTTCGACTCGACCGTGAAGAGGATGTCTGTTATCTTCAGCAAGGAGACCCAGGAAGGAGATCACAGTATGATCTTTACCAAAGGCGCCGTTGAGCGAATCGTCGATGCCTGCACGACTGCTGTATGGGAGGAAGGCTCCTCTCCCACCCCCCTGACCGACGACATGCGCACGCAGATCCTGCAGAACATGGAGGAGCTGGCGAAACTGGGACTGCGTGTACTCGCACTGGCACACCGGCCTTACAACGAACAGGGCCGCCTCCTCGAAGGGTCCGACCTGAACCGCGACGAAATCGAACGGGATCTCTGCTTCTTAGGGCTTATAGGGCTGTACGACCCGCCACGCCCGGAAACCGCAGGGTCAATTGCAGCTTGCTATCAAGCAGGAATCACAGTGCACATGGTGACCGGTGACCACCCAGGAACGGCCAAAGCAATCGCCCAGCAAGTGGGCATCCTCCCAGCAGATATGTCCACTGTCGGTGCCGACGTCGCCAACGCCATGGTCATGACGGCCGCGCAGTTCGACAAACTCTCCGACGAGGAGATTGACGACTTGCCAACCCTCCCCCTGGTAATCGCACGCTGCGCACCGCAGACAAAAGTCAGCATGATCAACGCCCTGCACCGCCGCGGGCGTTTCGCAGCCATGACCGGCGACGGCGTCAACGACTCCCCCTCGCTCAAGCACGCCGACGTCGGTATCGCAATGGGCCAGGCAGGCTCGGACGTCGCAAAGGACGCCTCGGACATTATCCTGACAGACGACAACTTCGCATCGATCCTCAACGCCGTCGAAGAGGGACGGCGCATCTTCGACAATATCCAGAAATTCGTCCTGCACTTGCTTGCTGAGAACATCGCGCAGGCATGCACGCTGCTTATCGGGCTTGCATTCAAAGACCGCGACGGCCAGTCGGTGTTCCCGCTTGCTCCTGTTGAAATCCTGTGGATCATCATGATCACCTCTGGCCTGCCGGACATGGGGCTGGGGATGGAAGTCGCCGCGCCCGATATCATGGCACGCCCGCCGCAGACCAAGCAGGGCATCTTCACCTGGGAGATCATGGTCGATATCCTGGTCTACGGGTTCTGGACTGCAGCGCTATGTCTGTCGGCCTTCTCTCTGCGCATGTGGGGGTTTGGAGACGGTAATCTAGGATCTGGATGTAACAGAGAATACTCGCCCGAGTGTGATCTTGTCTTCCGCGCCCGCGCGACAACCTTTGTCTGTCTCACCTGGTTTGCGCTGTTCCTGGCCTGGGAGATGGTTAACCTCCGGCTCTCGTTCTTCCGGATGCAGCCCGAGAGCAAGAAATACTTTACGCAGTGGATGTACGACGTGTGGAGGAACAAGTTCCTCTTCTGGTCGATCATGGCGGGCTGGATTACCATCTTCCCGATCCTGTATATCCCCGTGCTGAACCATGTTGTGTTTAAGCATACGGGTATCTCGTGGGAGTGGGGGATTGTCTTTGTTGAGGCACTGCTGTTCTTTGCGGGCGTCGAGGCGTGGAAGTGGGCGAAGAGAGTGTTCTATCGTCGGCGCAGTGCGAGAAATCAAACCGTCGCGCCGTTGGGAGAGATGAGCAGTGCGCCGGTGGATGCCTAACGATAGCTTTCTCTCGTGAAGCGAGAGATAGGGACCTGGGACTGGATGCTCGATACGGACTGGACTATTGGTTTATGGACTTTACTTACTCTGGGGGGTTGTGGAGTGTGGGTGGTGATGTTAGTTGTTGGATAGAGGTAGATCAGGTAGATTGGTAGACTGTGATATTGGTATTGGTAGTAAAGGGTAGAAGTAGGTAGCTGTAGTAGAATGCCATTGATGATGATGTACTTGTGCATACAGCTGTAGTAGGAATCATCCTGAATGGGGTGACTCTTGGTATACCCTAAGCTGATATAAACCCGGTACATAAATAAATGAACCTAAGTAGCTCCACAAAACCCATTCTTCCCCCGTAGTTAGCAGCACATAATGAAAGAAAACACGCCCAGGGTATAGAGTAACATACCACACACGCTCCGCACTGAAGGACGGTACAAATGATGGCCGTGCTCGTCGTGCAGGGCAGAGAAGCGCACTGTTTGGACCGTTAGTATATGGATATTGGTATGCAGTATATACCAGATAAGGGGTAGGTGGATAACTCACGGCCTGCCTCTTCTCGAGACCCGCCGGGAGCTTGGGGGTCACCATAGCTGTTGCAACAAGTGGGTAGATGATGATCGATAGAAGAGGGAGCTTCATGATGATATTAACAATAAGTTGATCGAGTAGACTGATGGACTCCAGAATAAGGAGACCCAAGGAATGGGGGAGCGGCACTTATCTATCTTGCTGCCATGATTGCACAAGCCGCGTCACTGGTTACGCTGGGTACGGTGTTTTATAGAACTGGGATGGAAATGTTGCGGTTGATATTAGGAAACTCTCCGGTGTAAGGGTCTCTTGGTGATTATGTGGCTTACATCTATCGGTTGATATTCAGGGATAATCCTAGAGTGTTACAGTTACACGGTCATGGGTCTATACTAATACTTATATTCGATGGTCTACTTCGGTTTGATATATCGCCATCGAGATAGGGCTGTTCTACTTCTTGGGATTATACAGGTTATTGATATAAATATCATTATGGCTAAGCTAATCATACTAAATTAATATTTCGAACCCTCATCGTCAACTTCTCAAACTCATCCTTGGACACTCGTGCATCCAGACCCAAATCCTGCATCTTCTCCACCAACTTCTCAAACGCAACGGACTTGTCTACAGCAAAATCAGTCTCCGCCTCACCATGCAACCTGTCGTAGAAGATCCACATCCCCGCCGGAACAAGCTTTTCCTCCTCCAACATGTGTAGAAAGGTCAGAGCCCACGGCATCGAAGTCTCCGAGGCCTCTGTCAGTGACTTATTGAGAACACGTATGATCTCGCCATGCCTACTTTGGTCGATTCGACCCATTAGATACTTCTCCATGTCCTCACCTGCGGTGATGGGAAGTGAGTGCAGTGGGATGGGTTCGCGGGATGCTATTTTTTTGTACTCCATGTCAAAGAGACCTTTGACTGCGCGGATGTGGTAGAATGTACAGTTACTATTACCTGGAGGCGAGAGGATCACAACCCAGTGGTTGAGGGGTCTGTGCTTTGTCCGATAGGGATACAGGTACAGATCGAGGAGGGAGTTGAAGGCGAACATGGACATAGAGAGGTCCAAATCAAGGCTGTTGTCTGACATGTTGACAGGATGTACAGCAAACTCTTGATATCTAACGGTGTGAAAACTGGAGGTGGACGGGCATGGAATATATGGTTTGGGATTAAATAGATATTAGTGTATGCTTTGTTAATAAATAATGAAGAATCATGCACTGAGAAGCTTTGACTATGGTGCAAGTAGTGAGCATACAAGAAGATTATGAGTGAATGTGCACCAATTTGTGCAGGGCATATTCTGTCTGTCATATGCAGCATCTGGTTTCCTTTCACTACTACCAGCAACATTCATTGATACGCTGATATCATGCCAGTGGAGTAAAGGTATATGGATAGTGTTTGCTGAAAGCATGGGTAGGCAGCTTTACAGTGAAGCCTGGCTATAGAGGATTGTGGGCAGATATTCTGGTCATGTTAGGCTATTTACTCGTCAAGGCGTTGAATTTGGAATTAGAATGACATCCTAATAATATGTAGAGCTGGCCGGTGGGAATTTGGCCGCTGAATCTCGCAGTTGATGTGATCGTCGAAGTGGTTCGTTTTAAGTGTAGAAAGGATTCGAGATCGTCAGTTCCGGCGGAATATGCAAGAACTCTAATCTAGTGTTTATATCCTGATCCAGCAGTTTCTCGATATCGTCTCCGGCTTCTCAGACTAGAAACAGGGATACCTGGGTGACTGCAAGGCCAGGGAAATGAGACCTCCCTTTTCCAGCTACAGCCGGACTATAAATGGTAATTGATTCAGCGCCCTATGCAAGGGATGTCCTTCAACCGAGATATCCGATGTAACTCGAGACCAGAATGAAGTTCATTTTTAGAATTATATCCGTTGCTTGCGTTGGTAGCAGTGGATATAAGCGTCGATTCTCACATCCCACAAAGACCTCGGAATTAGCCATCATGCAGGCCCAAGAAAAATATTCGCGCCTTACTGATTAGTGGTTGATACAGCTTGCCATAAGGGGGGTATAATTCCGACCTGTTACTTATCTCAGACAAGCTCGACGCACGGCGCTCTCGGAGGTGGGTCATGCAACGCCAAGTGCTCCTAATGCACATTCCAGGTCACATTCCTGGCTTGTTAATAAACAAAATGAATTGGGGTGGCTTCGAGCCTGGCTTATAAGGGCTCTTCCCGGACCGCTCTTCACTGTTTGTTCCTAAGCTACTGCACTGCTGTCTCTGGACGATATACAGGCAACTCTGCTATCACCTGGAAGCAAATTGGTGTTCGTTGTCAAGCCCTGTAGTTTGCCAAGTCAAGTTGTGCTCCACTGCCAAGGGCCTTGACAGCAACGTAATCTGCACTATAAGCACGTCTTTTCTTTGTAGACCGAGTAATGCCAGAGCACGTAATTGCAATAAAGCACCAAACAACAGCATAAAGAGTGCCCCCGCCTGCTGAGTGACACCAGAAAGCAGGTATTGAAACCAAGCAGAATGGCTGCATTCGACGAAAAGGACATCTCAGCCACTTCAACCAGGGGACTTGATTTGGGGCATGGATATGCGGAAGACGATATACAGGAGAAGGCGAGACTCCTCGGCTGTAGCCCGGAGGACTTTCTTGAGGCCAGGGAGGGCAGCAAAAATCTCAGCCTAGAGGATGCTGCGAGTGTAAGTTTGTATGCCATTATGCCAGAATCAAGCCTCACTCATCTATATAGCGAGCCAAACGCATCCTCCACTTCCACGACCAAGACCCTAATTTCAATCCGGAATCAATTGTCCGCCTTCAAGCTTTTGTCGATCACCCTGACCTTTTCCATAATCCTGATGGTCACGCAGAGCTCATCTCCGACATCAAGCTGGAAGTCTGTCTTCTCACGGACAACTCGCCCTATGCCGAAGTGCGCGCTGTAGTCAGCAACAAGGACGACATTTCCACCCCGGCTGGCACGATCCGCGCGTGGACAATTGGCCTTTTGTTTGTAGTGTTGCTGAGCTTTGTCAACCAGCTCTTCTCCGTCCGCCAGCCGACAATCCGACTTGATGCTGCGGTTGTGCAGCTCTTGTCGTTTCCACTAGGTAAAGCCTGGGAGAAATGGCTACCCGTCGGCGAATTCACAGTCTTTGGTGCACGTCTTAAACTAAATCCCGGCAAGTTCACGCAGAAGGAACATATGCTGATCTCGATTATGGCGAATGTGGCGACGAGCTTGCCTCACTCGCGGTATATCATCTTCACGACGTGGATGAGGAAGTATTTCAATCGGCCTTTTGGGAGCTCATTTGGGTTCCAAATTTGCATTTCGGTACGTACTACCTTTGCCATCGTTTCTTTTGAGCGACGTCTAACTGTATAGCTTTCTATGAATTTGATGGGCTTTGGCCTTGCTGGACTGGCTCGGCGATTCCTGGTCTATCCCTCATTTTGTATCTGGCCTCGTTCGCTTGTCACCGTGGCCCTGAACCAGTCTCTTCACAATGGTAAGTCTTAACAGTTCCCATGCTTTTAGTGTAGTAGTTAAAATCTGGCAGACGATAGTCCCACAGTCCCAGGCCCCTTCAAAAGACTGTACAGCATATCCCGCTATAGATTCTTCCTACTCGCATTCGCCTGCATGTTCGTCTGGTTCTGGTTCCCTGAGCACATCGTCTCAGCTCTCTCGCTCTTCAACTGGCTTGCCTGGATTGCGCCGGACAATTTCACACTAACTGCCATAACCGGGCTTAAAAAGGGCCTGGGATTTAATCCCCTACCTACATTCGACTGGAACATTGCCACCTATCACGTCGACCCGTTGATCGTCCCTTTCCACGTCACGGTGAATATGTTTGCTGGGGCGCTGCTCGGCGGGTTAGTCCTTGTTGCTTTATACTGGACAAACTCGTATAATACGGGGTATCTGCCCATCAACACCAACAACATGTTTGCCAACAACGCAAGTCAATACAATGTCTCGGCGATCCTCGACGACCGGGGCCTTCTTGATACGGAGAAGTATCTGAGCTACAGTCCGGTATACATCACCGCTGCGTCCATTGTTTACTAGTACGTTTTACCAAATTTAAGACATTTCTGCACTGACCACTGCTTTAGTGTCTTCTTCTTTGCCGTGTATAGTGCCGTCGTGTCCTATGCGATTGTATACCATAGACAGGATATAAAGCTGGGGTTTAAATCTCTGGTGAGATCGTTTAGTAGAGGCAGCAACCGGGATGACTTCCAAGATGTCCACAGTCGGCTTATGGGTACTTACCGCGAGTCCCCTGAGTGGTGGTATCTAATCCTAAACGTATATTACTTCCTCACAGCAATTGCACAGACAATATACTTACCATATCTAGGTCATCGCTGTAGGGCTGGGAGTTGCCGCCGTGGCAGCCTGGCCAACCTACACCAACGTTGGCGTCGTGTTCTTTGGTATTGCACTGGCTTTGATCTTTGTTATTCCCACTGGCATTATATACGCCACGACAGGCATTGAAGTTGAGTATAATGTTCTGGCAGAGTTTATCGGAGGGGCGTGGCAGCCTGGGAATGCGTTGTCGGTAGGTGCCATTCTTTATAACATAGTTCCCTCGACCTTACTGAGATGCTCTAGATGAACTTCTTCAAGGGCTTTGGATACGTAACTACAGCTCACGCACTCAGCTTCGCCAATGATTTGAAACTCGGCCACTATCTCAAGATACCCCCGCGTCAGACTTTCTGGTGTCAGGTTGCTGCTAGTACGTCCTAATTTACTTCGCCAGGTAATTTCTCCAGCTAACGTTAATAGCCATCGTATCTGCCCTCGTCTGCACTGGGGTTATGAACTTCCAAATCACCCGCATCCCTGACCTCTGCGAAGCAAACCAGAAGAACAAATTCACCTGCCCAGGCCTGCAATCCTACTTCACAGCCGCCGTCCTATTCGGGTCTCTGGGCGGGCATAGAGTCTTCGGCGCCGGCGCCCAATATACAGCCCTCCTCGCCGCATTCCCAGCTGGCCTTCTCTTCCCTATCGTCTACTACTACGCCACCCGCAAACTGCCCAGAACCCACTGGCTCACAAAAATCCACCCAGTCGTGCTATTCAGCGGCGGTCATACCTGGTCACCTTATAACCTGGGCTACCTATGGCCTGCTGTGCTGCCGGGCTGGGTTTCCTGGAGCTATATACGGCGGCGCTATCTCGCGTTCTGGTCCAAGTATAACTATGTACTGTCTGCAGCGTTTTCGACGGCGATTGCCATTGCGGCTGTGGTTATTTTCTTTGCGGTCAGTTACCATGGGGCTGATGTGCATTGGATTGGGAATCAGCCTGATAGTGGGTGTGAGGATAGTGGCGAGTGTGTGAGACTGCATCTGTCTGAGGGGGAGTATTTTGGGCCTCGGGTTGGGACGTTTGTTGTTTAATTAATAAATATCCTGGGGAATATATCTTGAAAAGATTAGGATATTGGTAATTAACAGAAGAGTATCATGCTGCCTTTGTTGTATCGTCCTTCAAGAACGGCGCTGCAAAGCCATACTGCTTCCACCCGTCTCCATAATCCATATTCGCATCTCGTTCTGTAACTAATTAGCATATCACGTTTTAAAGCAAGACAAAAGGGTGAAAGATACCATGATCAGGCGGAAATGCCCTCCTCCGATGCTCATAATAAACATCCCTCAACCCCTCCCCATCCCTCTTCATATAAAAAGTGGCATATAGACTACTTCGACTCTTCTCCGTCTGGTTCCTCTTCGACCGATGCGCCAGCATACTCCCAAAGAACAAGATATCGCCAGACTCCAGGGGCACAGGGACCCAGGTCTGTGTGTTTTCCCATGCCGGCGCAATCCGGCCCCCCTCTGCAAACTCGATCTGCATGCGGTGGGACCCGGGGACGACCTCCAGACAGCCGTTTGCGAGGGTGGCCGAGTCGATGGCGATGTTGGCTGTGAGATGGGCGATCTCGCCGATGTGGCTGTAGGCGTGGTAGTCGACGTGGGCGAGGAAGCCGTTGCCGTTGGGGAGTTTGTAGTTGATTTTATCTTTGAAGAGGGTTGTTTCCTGCCGTTGTTAATATTATGATATATTCATATTTGTAGGATATAAAATATAAGATAGGATAGGAAGGATACCTGTCCCGCCAGCTGCGCCAGAATCTCCCCCAATCTCTCGCCACAAACAAGCTCGCGGAATTGGTCGTGGTAGTCGACGAACTTCTCTGTGCGCATGAGCTGGCGTGTCCCGTCTGCCGTGACTTCGAAATAGGGCATCCATTTGCCTTTCTCGAGGGGCCAGGTGCGGACTTCGTGTGTCCACTGCTGTAGCTGGGCGGGTGTTACGAGGCCGTGCTCTGCGACTGTGAGTTTGAGGTAGCCATTCTCGTGGAAGAAGTCGAGCTTCTCCTGACTGAGAGTGGTCATGTTGGTGTTGGTTGGTTGATTTGTCGACTTGTTGAGGTATGGTACTTAGGGCTAAGTAGTAGAGCACGACAACGATCGGGGAGGATACAATTGCGCTTGGATCAACGTAAATGATTATTAAATTCGCCAACATTTATATAGTTGATCACGTTTACCGGCATCAGGACCGGTCAGGACTTCGTCCCGGGAAAACCGACTGATGCATCTCGGACTTCGTACCGGTGGCCATACATATACCTACCCACCAGCACACCTCTATTATTATTGTAATTCATTAAACTCCTTAATACCACCATGGCCAATCCCCACGAAACAATAAAGACGTTATTTGCTTTTATTCTCGCCCAAGGGCAAGGGGACTACCTCGGCGAACGCATCTCCCAACTCCAACATTCCCTACAATGTGCATACCTCGCACACTCAGACCCAACCTACGGCACCGACTCAGAAGTCGTTCTCGCCGCACTTCTGCACGACGTCGGCCGCTTCATCCCAGACGCCAAGGACATGCCGGCCATGATTGCGCCGGACGGGGCGTACATTGGCCGCGCGAGCCACGAGGTCCTGGGGGAGCGGTACCTTAGGCAGCTAGGGTTTAGCGAGAAGGTGTGCCAGCTTGTTGGAGCGCATGTACTGGCGAAGAGGTTTTTGGTTTCTACTGAGGAGGAGTATTATGGGGGGTTGAGTGAGACGAGTAAGAGGACGTTGAAGTTTCAGGTTTGTCTATTTACCTGGTTTAGGATGTTTTTGATATTGATTGTTTGGCTAGGGAGGGTTCTTTACGGAAGAGCAGGTTAGGGATGCGAGGAATGATCCCTGGCTTGATGCGAAGCTGGCTGTTCGACGCTGGGATGATAGGGCGAAGGATCCTGAGATGGAGGTGCCGGGGCTGGATGCGTATGAGGATATGGCGGTTCGGTGTCTTGTTGGTGAGTATAAACACAATACGGATTGTTGAATGATGCTGATGATGCAGATTCGAGGGCTAGGGTTGTAGTGGTCGACAAGTTATATGCTCTTCCCGTGAAGCCTGTATTTATTGTCGTCCTTTCGGAGGCACTTTTCGACCAAGCTGTCCATGACGGCGTGCTGTCTGGCATGAAAAGTCATGGTTGGATTGTCGAGAAATACCTTCATATGAAGAATGGCAACAGACGACCTGTGGAAGAAGAAGTACTCGATCAACTGTCAAGACGCGGAGTGCAAGTGGCCCAGATGTCTGCCGACAGCGATACTATCAGCAGTTTGCCGTCAGACACAGCTGGTCGTTCTAGACTGGTTATCGAGAAGGGCCTATCAATGCTGCAGAATGACGCATTCTTGCACCTTTCCCTGGCAGCTGAGCTACAGTACATTGAATTCAGCGAGATGTTGGATAACCTGCAATACCTAACCAGGGACACTGTCGTCGCTATCACAGCCATCTCTAATTCAGGATGTACGAAAACTGTATTCGATGCAGTATTCCAGCGTGCCTCAGTCTAATACTATCGTTCAACCATATAGCAGTAGGTAATCACAAGGCGTGAAACTCCCCATCCAGCGGCCACTCCCCAAGCCCCGAAAGAGGCGCCTGGAGATTAAACAAGTCAAAGTCACTCATATTCTGCATCCACTCAATATCTCCCTGGAACAGATCCACAGGCGAAGTCTGCGGCGTCCCGAATACCGGAACCTCATGACGAGCAGATACGTTATTATTGCTGCTGCTGCTCTCAAACTTGCTACGCAGCCTCTGCACTCCACACCCAATCCGTACAAGCAGATGCTGTCTATGCATCTTGCTCGTCGTCCGCTGCAGCATGGCAATTGTCTGATCCACAAGAGAGAGCATCTTCCCTTTATCCATGGTAACAGCGTCCGTATACTCCGTGGCAACCTTCAGCAGAAAGACAACCGCAAAGGCAATCATCGTATCAAAGCACAGCGGCAGCCCGTTCAACAGAGACTGCAATTCTGTATCAGCTGTCATAACGCCCAATATCGACGCCGCACAGAGCACAGCTGTGTTTGCAACCTCTTCCATCTCAGAACTTGAGAATCGCCGCCTCGGGTCAGGCGAGGATTGCGCACCCCGAAACGCATGCGAGCATAGATACAGCTTCGCAAAGTGGAAGTGCAGCCCTACGCCTTTCGCTGGGTAATTCCCAACCCGCGCATTCGGGCCAAAGCTATCACTCCAGTCCGCGTACCAGGTATCCAGCGCGATCGAGAAGCGGCGCAGCTGGGCGAGTTTCGACGGCGGGACTGGCGTTTCGACGTCCACGCCGAAAGTATCGAAGACAGATGCGGAGATGAGCCAGATCTTCACCTGCGAGACGAGCCGCACGTCGTCTTCGGTTGCGTGTTCGGTTTCGAGGAAGGGCGTTGCTGCTTTGATGCTGTCGCAGTCGCGGGACATGGGTGGGCGGCCGTACAGCACGGAGCAGTGGTGGTCGCAGACGTAGACGAGGTAGTAGAGCCGTGTTTGCATGTATGCGGAGCGGACGCCTTTTAGGGCTTGGTAGATGCTGTGGTTTAGTTTTATTTCGAGGGCGATTCGGACGGCTTATAGCATTAGCATTAGCATTCTAGTCTTGCTATATGAGTTCGGTGGTTGGGTTCGCACCAGTGCCTGCTAAGGACCAGGATAGCTCGTGCAGCCAGAATGCGCCGATGCAAAGCCCCCGGACGTCGTCTATATTATGGGTTCGTGAGAATGTGGTTGCGCCCACCAGCTGCTTGAACTCGCGATAGCACTTGTCGAACAGATGGCCGAATGTCTGCGAGTGCAGCGCAGCGACGGTGCAGATGGCGGCTGTTAAGAGGGGGGAACTGGCTAAAACCGTTTCTAGGCTTTGATGGTCTCCGAGGATACGATAGAGAAGGTGGTCGAGGCGCTCATGGTATCTCTGGAAGAGTTCTTCTGCTTCGTGTCGCGTCAAGATACCCCTGGAGATCAGGTTCGCTGGCGAGGCTGGGGCTTCGCGCAGACTGGGGTTGCTCATTTCTGAGATGCACGATGCTGGGATAGAGGCTGGTTCGCATTTCGGATCGACTTCCCAGGTCTGCTCTTCATTACCATCAGTGCCTTCAGCAACTTCTGTATGCTCTGGTCTTTGCTCTTTGGGCTGTGCAGGCTGGATAGACCCAGGCACTCGAGCCATAAGCTCATTCGTGACGCCCTCTAGCCTTCGGATCTTCTCTGTAATTCCGTGCTTCCATCTACAAGAATTAGACAAGTTCGTAGATATCTTTGAATACCCACGTAATGTCGTCCTCCAGCAGCATCTGTAGGCTGCGATTGACGGTACAGGGCAGGCCCCGTTTGGCGCACCGCGTACACGGCGGCTGGCCATCTGCTTTCATATGACATTTAATCTGTATATTGTGTATGAGTTCAGTTCAGTACAATAGAGCAGTAGACTTAATGAAGACTACCTTCTGCTTCCGACAAGCAACGCAGGCTGTGATTTTCCTGCTGATCTCGGGCGGTTTACAATCCCCGAATGTGTCTCGCAGCGCCGCGATCTGGTCCTCCATAATGTATAAAGTCAATAAACGTTAAAAAATAACATACGGAGATGAATAGTGTGCAGCAGGAGTGGCTAAATAGTTGCGGCCTTCGCCCCGAGCTCCCCCCACGTGGCGCCGTCAGTGGCTGCAGTTGATCGTCAGCGCTGACTCCATACAACACCGTGGGCCCAAGCTTCTTGCTGATTGCTTGGTTTATACTTCGGTTACTGGCCCTGCACTTCGCTCCGATTGTTATTCATGCTAATTTCCATTGGATGTCTGCATATAGAGGCGATGGAGTATATAGAGAGCTGTCCGCCGAGGTCAATGATGGTAAAGAGACAACAACTCCTTTCTGTTCAACATGGCCTTATTACAGAAAATTAAATTTCTAGCCATTGCTGGAGCAGGATTCTTTACCGATGGATATATCAACTTGACCATCGGACTAGGTATGTTGCCACGAAGAAATGTAGACACAGGCTAACCCTCGCAGTGGTCCCTATGTTGGGATATCTCTACTTCCAGGAGAGCGACTCAGAAGTCCCGTCAGTCAACAGCGATATAATGAAGGGAGGACTGAGTCTCGGCATGATCGTGGGCCAGGTCCTCTTCGGTCTTCTGAGTGATACCTGGGGTCGTCAGGCTGTATATGGCAAGGAATTGATGGTCACCCTGCTTGGGACGTTGCTGGTCATCCTGTTGCCGTGGAATGGGCTTTCCAACCAAGATATCACGGCCTGGATATCTGTATTTCGTGTCCTGACGGGTGTTGGAATCGGAGCTGGTATGCTTTACTATTCCAATGTTCAGACAGACGAAGCTGACTGAGATAGACTACCCCCTGTCATCTGCACTGTCGGTAGAGAGTGTCTCTTTAGGTACAAGAGCAGTCAAGGTCTTGTCCGTGTTTGCCTTTATCGGTGTGGGCAATTACGCAGCCAGCATCGTGTTCCTTGTCCTTCTTAGGGCGTTCAAGCCTGCGGTCTACAGTAACGTCAATTCTTTAGAATGGGTTTGGCGGCTGTTGCTTGGAATCGGCATGGTCCCTGCGGCGTTGACTCTGTACGCGCGCTTGACCCTGCCAGAGACGAAGCCCTATACAAAGTGTAAGTCATATAAATCAATATTAAGTTAGACGCTGATGTAGTAAGATGTTGCCGGTGAGGGCGAGAGGCGAGACTTTCGAAAGCAATGGCAGGACTTTCGCGAGTATTTTGGTCAATGGAGACATGCCAAAGTGCTTTTTGCAACTTGTGCCACCTGGTTTCTTTTGTAAGTACCTTTTTCCGTTCAGCTGGACAGGAGCTTATTCTTGCAGTGACATCGCATACTACGGAATAAACCTCAACCAGAGCGTCATCCTGAAAGAAATCGGATACTCCACCGGTCCAGACGCATGGACAACCCTCTGGAACACCGCCGTCGGGAATATCATCGTGCAGTCTGCTGTAAGCACCTTATACTACCTAGATAAAGAATGATGCTCACCATGTATAAGGGCTACCTCCCCGGCTTCATCCTCGGAATCCCCCTCCCAGACCGCATCGGACGAGTCAACCAACAATTCTACACCTCAGCCCTCGTCTCAATCCTCTACGCCATCTGGGCCGGAATCATGGCCCCCTCAGTATCTACCTCCAAAGCCGGACTCATGACCATGTTCACCCTCTGCCAGCTCGTCATCTGCATCGGGCCCAACTGCACGACATTTCTCATCCCATCGGAGGTATTCCCCACTCGGGTCCGCGGCACAGCACATGGGATATCGGCCGCCGTGGGGAAGGCCGGTGCTGTTCTTACGGCTTTTGCGTTTGGGACTGTCACGGATAGGATTGGGTTATCCGGGGTTCTTGGGTTGTTTTCGGGGCTGATGGCTCTGACGGCGGGGATTACGTTGATGATTCCCGAGACCAGGGGGAAGAGTGTGGAGGAGATTGAGGAGGGGGTGCATTATGGGGTGTCCCCTGGAGCTAGCACTGACAGTGTGGAGGAGACTGGGAAAGGAAAGGCTACTGTGAAGCAGGATGAGGTCTAACAGGATATAATATAGCTGAGTTGGAATGCTTAAACCGCCCCCACTAAGTAGGCCAAGACAATGTAGGCACGGAATACGAGGCGCAGTAGCTTCGATAGAATTTGCACTAGTTTATCTAGTTTAGGCATTGCCTCAAGCCAACAGCAATAGGTACTCCTGATTTGTTGATGCGGGTGCCCAGCCAGGGCGTCAAGCACTGCCTCAGGAACTCGTATAAATATGAGCAGCGCCTCTCCCGTTCGCTGTGTTTGTTCGACATCCGAACTATCGCGAGAGATGAGCCGTCTGTCGCGGTTTACTTTCCTTCTGGTTATTCTGAGTTATCCTCCTTAATATGGCTGTACGCACTGCCTGGCTATGGGCCAGCCTTCTGCTGGCAACTTGTATGTAAACCACAACACTAACTACAGTTTATATGCTAATTCGAAACTTCAGCGGCTGCAGCTCAAGAATGTCATCGCGACTTCAAGATAGAGTCCACCAGTGACACCGAATCGCTCTTCGACAACTGCACCACAATCGTGGGCAACATCGATCTGGGCGACGGATTTATCGGCCCGATCATAATGGGCGACGTCGTAAATATTACAGGAACTCTCACGCTTGGTACAGAGGATACGAGGCGGTCTGTCGTGCACCGTGTTGAGGCGCCAGTACTCGAATACCTCGGTGGTTTGGTGACTGTCAAGACAAGAATTGACGAAGTGTCCCTGCCGAAGCTGAAGAACGTTACAGGAGAGATATTGATTTCACCGTTGAATACCGGTAGCAGTGACGTTGAGATGCGGTTTCCCGCGTTGGAGCACGCTGGTGGGATTGATATTGGCCTGGGTGATTATATTTACGGCAGTGGGGGCTTTTCATTGATATCCTTGGGCGTTGACCTGGCATCGCTGCGGTCTGCAGAGTATATTCGGCTCTGGGGATATCTAACCAGGTCAGATACTGCTGCTATTGATGCTTTCTTGAAGCAGCTGACACTGAATAGCCTTAACATGTCAGAGCTTACCACAGTCGGCCTGCCCAACGGAGAGACCAAGCACACCGATCGTAGTGGGCTCGAGATCCAGCTGACAGAGAAAGGGGACGACCTAAATATTACCCTTCCGAAGCTCAAATCGGTTGAATCAAACCTTACGCTCTCTGGGACAATAAGGGAGTATGATTGCGTCCATCCCTCAAGCCCTAATTTCGCTAACTGGACGCAGGCCCCAGCTGGATTCCCTGACGAAGACATCTGCTAATATCACTATCGACGCTTCATACCCTCTGGACATATCATTTCCACTCATTGAAGCCAAGACGATTACATTAAACGGCACCATTCACTCGTTCGTTGCCCTTCCTGTCATTCATCTATCTAGATCTTGACCTAACCTGATATAGCGCCTCGTTCCCCGACATCCAACGGTTCGAATCCATCACAATCACCACCGTCTATGACGACTTCGACTGTGACGGGTTCAAAGAATCCCATCCAGGGAGTATATCCTGCACCGCAGGCTCTCCGTCGAAGAGACTTAGCTCAGGGGCGAAAATCGCTTTGAGCGTTACCATACCGATTGTCATGGTCCTAGCGGTGACTTCCATAGCAATTGTGCTTCGGCGACGTCGTAGCCGAAAGAATAAAGAGTCTATGGTGGCTTCTGGTCCGGGGGGTCCTCCTCCTTATAATATAGCGATGCGGCCATTACCACCGAGGAAGGAGATGGCACCGCCGCCGCCGTATTCTGCTAGTTAATCTATGAGCTGTATTTGAAAATATGAAAACTATTGCCACTACTTTTGTGGCTATAGAGCTTTCCCTCTATGCTGAACTATATCTCGAAGAGAGTCTAGTAGTCACACATATATAGCCGTCGTTAAAGCTGCATGGGTTCTGAAGCGAGATCGGCAACCTGAGAAGACACCAAGAAAGCCAACCCTCCTATATATTTGTAATTGGACAGTTGCCAGAAGAGTAGACAAGGCTGAGATGGATATGCACGGGGTCAGGTGACTGTCCTATGCGCCGTCCAGCCTCGTTCTTCCCCTCATCATCTTTAATGATGCCTCATCAACACATCATGGCCATCGGCGATCAAGAGCATCTACAGATAGCCTATCTCCCAAAACGACAAACGAGTTCCCAGGATGATGGCCCACCAAAGCTGCGCCATGACTCCTACTCAGTGGCCTGGATCTGCGCGTTGCCGATAGAAATGGCAGCTGCACAAGCCATGCTTGACGAAATTCATGAGACTTTGCCTACCGATGCAGACGACACGAACACATATGTCCTGGGGCGAATCGCGAAGCATAATGTTGTTATCGCTTGCCTGCCGTTCACGCAATATGGCACCAATAATGCGGCCAACGTCGCAACCAACCTCAGAAGGACGTTCCCATCAATTCAGGCCAGCCTGATGGTCGGCATTGCCGGTGGTGTGCCTGGAAAGGCTGATATACGCCTGGGTGATGTCGTCGTCGGCTCCAGTGTCCTGCAATATGATCTGGGGAAGGTGATCGGGGATGGACAGCTCAAGAGCACCGCACTTGCTAGATTCCCTGATAAACTCGTCGCAACAGCCGTCTCTAGCCTGCGTGCTAAACACGAAATGGAGCCTAGCCAAGTCCCTACTATTTTGCAGCAGAAGCTGGGGAAATACCCGAACTACGCTCGCCCGAGTACCGCCGATATTGTCTTTGAGGCTGTATATGAGCATGAATCCTCAGCCGTCAGCTGTGATGTATGCGATCGATCTAGAATACTGGAGCGCAGCAAGCGGGGACCAGAAACTGTGGTGATTCATTACGGTGCCATCGGCTCAGGGAACCAAGTCATGAGAAGTGGAACGAAGCGCGACCAAATCGCCAATGAATTTGGTATCATATGCTTCGAAATGGAGGGGGCCGGCGTGATGGAAGTTGTCCCATGTCTCCCAATTCGGGGAATTTGCGACTACTCGGATTCGCACAAGACCAAGGAGTGGCAGAGGTACGCCGCCGGAACCGCTGCGGCCTACGCGACAGAGCTACTTGAGGTATTGCCCATATCAGCAAATCATAGAAAGGCCGAGGACGTACCCGGTGAGTATGCACTATTTTGAAGCTATCGTTGCTGATACGAAACGTCTAGATCGCTACCAGACGGCCAACCACAGAAAAAAGCTGTTAGATAGCCTCCGATTTAAGCGAATGGGGATTCGGGAGAAAACCATTGCAAAGGAGCATGCCAGAACATGCGAATGGCTACTAGATCACCCTGAATACAACGCATGGAATGACCAGGAGCAACAACCTGAGCACAATGGCTTCCTGTGGATCAGTGGCAAACCTGGTGCGGGCAAGTCTACTCTCATGAAGTTTGCTTTCCTAAAGATGAAGACCCAGGCCCGCTCACAGAACTTCGTTGCTGCTTCTTTCTTCTTCAATGCCCGAGGCGAGTTGCTGGAAAGGTCCGTCTTCGGGATGTATAGGGCGTTGTTGGTCCAGCTGCTTGAAGGCTACCCTGACCTCCAGGCCGTACTCGACAACCCAGATCTTGTTTCACCGGAAGAGGACTGTCTGCCATTGGGAGTTTGCAAGGACCTCCTTTCAAATGCCGTAATGGACTTGCGCGACCGACTGTTTGTTTGTTTTATCGATGCCCTTGACGAGTGCGATGAGCAACAGGTTGTGGATATGGTCTGGTACTTCGAAGAGCTGGCCGAGCAGTCTACGTCGGCAGGCGTGCAGTTTCGAGTTTGCTTCTCGAGTCGACATTATCCACATATCGCCATTGAACGGGCGATCAGGCTCATACTGGAAGACCAGCCGGGGCATGCTACGGACATGGCTTCCTATGTTGCTAGCCGTCTCAGCATCAAAGATAAAGTACTCCTCCGGGAGCTGCGACCGAAAATACTCGAAAAGGCTGCTGGTGTTTTTATGTGGACCGTGCTTGTCGTTCATATTCTCAATAAGGAAGATCGACATGGTGGTTTGGCACTAAGAAAGCGACTCGCCGATATACCTAGCGACCTGAGTGAACTTTTCCGAGATATTCTGAAGCGTGATGATGAAAACATGGAACAATTTGTGCTTGCCATGTTGTGGATTCTCTATGCAAAGCAACCTTTATGCCCATATGAATTCCAGCATGCTGTGTGGTCTGGCTTGCGGCTGAAGGATATTGTAGATCCGCAACCTCCGCACTTGAGCACGATGGATGCTGAGGACAGGGCTGGCAGGTTAGAGAGGTACGTGGTTAGTGCATCAAAAGGACTAGCTGAAGTCACGAAGTCGACCCGGCCAACTGTTCAATTCATTCACGAATCGGTGCGAGACTTCCTTATCAGGGACAAAGGCCTGCTAGAACTTTGCCCCGGCTTGGGAGTTAATGTCAAAGGCTCCAGTCATGATACACTTAAACAGTGCTGTTACGCATATATAAATGACGACTTCATTCGCTTGTCTGTCGATGAAATGGAACCAGCAGATAATACCACCAAAACAAGGAGTCTGTTACTGGAGCGGCACCCCTTTCTGCATTATGCAACCCAACAGGTTCTTCATCACGCCAGTGCTGCGGCTACGGCCATTCTCCAGGACGAGTTTCTATCCACCTTCCGTATTTGTGACTGGGTGCGCATATCGAATATCTTTCAGCTCGACGAGAAATGGCATCGTAGCCCGAGCGTGAGTATGTTCTATATTCTCGCGGAAGGGGGGCACTCAGAACTCATTCGAACAAAGCTCAGGCGTGATCGAAACATCCTCATTCCTGGGGAGAGATATGAGTACCCGCTATTTGCAGCCCTAGAGACCCATCACCTTGATGGCGCCGCCGCTCTTCTCAACTTGCCCTCGAAGATATACAAAGGAGTTGATATCACACAGGGTCTAGTGGGGAGAAGGGGCTTGGAGAACTATACAAAGCGGACACCACTATCCTGGGCCGCTCAGGAGGGTCGAATGGAAATAGTCGAACTGCTTCTCCAATATGGGGCTCCCGTGGATGAGATGGATGGACGAAGCCGAACACCACTCTCATGCGCGTGCGAAAAAGGCGCCGAGAATATAGTACGGCTTTTAATTCAGCGTGGCGCAGACACCAACTCTTGCAACATTAGAGGAGAAACTGCACTCGGTTGGGCGTGTGTAAACGGCCACACGGCTGTGGCAAAATTGCTCGTTGAGGAAGGGGCTGCCATAAATGCGAGGGATATCAATGAGGAAACTCCCCTGTTTTGGGCTGCGCGCAACTGTGACCAACAGATTGCTGGTATTTTGGTTGACAAGGGAGCAGATGTCAACGCCAGGGATACTGAGAGAAACGCGCCCCTTTTTTATGCTGCGAGAGCGAACAATTGGGATAGCTGGCCCAGTAAACTGTACAGAACCGAGAGCAAGCATGATAGGCCAGCACCCGGCGTAGCAGTGTCCTTCTGCGAGTTTCTTCTCGATCAGGGGGCAGATATCCATGCGATAAACAATAAGGGGCACACTCCACTCGTTCTTAGTGCCGCGAGTGGGCACAGCAGTGTCGTGAGCCTACTTCTCGCTAAAGGAGCGAATGTAAATAGCAGGGATAGCAAGGGTCAGACTGCACTTTTCCATGCCGCACATAAGGCCCAGGAGGCCTACACAAAACTGCTTCTGGAGAAAGGAGCCGACCCCTCTGCTGGATATTTGGAATATCCGTATGGTGAACATGCTTACGTCTGCGTATTGCTCATCCAGAACGGAGCCGACCCTGACATTGGAGATCAGATAGGGTCATCACCGCTCCTCAGAGCTGCACTGGATGGACATGTCTACATGTGCAGATTGCTCCTCAAGAATGGAGCTGACCCCAATACTAGGAATAGGATAAAGGATTCACCACTCCAAATCGCTGCCCACCGTGGCAATGTTGATTTGTGCATGCTGCTTATCCAGCACGGAGCGGATGTGAATATCCGGAACGGTTTTGGATTAACCCCAGTTGAGGCAGCCTCGATGCAGGGCTTTCAGTGTGTAGTAGATATCTTACTGCAGAATGGAGCCCGCGGGCCCAGACCACAGATTTTGAATCTGCTGAATCGATAGCCAAATTTTCATTGCTACCTTGAATGACCACTGCAGCAAGACTCGATTGTTTCCCGTGGACGCAATAATATGGCGTCTGGATATGTCCAAACCAACAGGATAGCAGGTGATCAGTGGTACACTTGCCACTTGAAGAACTGAATCTGAAACTGGTGGATTACTCCAGTAAACCGTCTACCTTGCTTAACAGACTTGCAAGGTACAAGGCTGGGCCGGGATAGAGGTCGCCAATCCTGCTGTATTAAAAGCAAGGCCAAGTAAACCAAGATGATTGATTTCATAAAGCGGAATAATTATCCGACTGTTATTTATCCCATTTCCTGCTTCCTGCACGGATATATTTATATGGTTGCAGGAGTGGCGGGACGCAGCACACCCACCAGCAAAGGAAATCAACAGGCGGCCTTTTCTGTCTGCTTGCAATATTTGACAATCAATACCTGCTGGAAGAAGAATGTGCGATCGCCTTGTTACTCTGATATGCAGATGACCGGGAAGCAGCTGGTACCGATCGGACCACAGTGGACGATCGCCGATCGCTGATACATTGACTGCCCGGTTACATAGGGCTGAGAATAATATGAGGATACTACTTCTGTTGAGGAGGGCGATCGCGACCGGTGGTTCGCATGGAGACTCATGGATATACGAGCCGCACCATGAACAGTCGTTAACAAGAAACAGACAGTTCTGGGAGAAAGAGTGGAAGCGAGATCACCGCGCCTCAACCGCACGGCCCACGATATGATCAGTCTGCAGTCCCCACAAGGCTGGCTAATGATAATACGGCAGTGTGAGCTGGATCCGACCGATCCGATGTCGATGTTCCTAAAGATAGACTGCAAGGTATCGTGGAACAAGCCACAAGCGGTGAGTTCGCAGGCTGGACCATGGGAAGAATACGAACCCATTGTTCAAGGTCGGATTGTGCGGAGGGTTACATTCTGACTTGGACAGCTTCCAAGGTTCAGTTCCAAGTGACTTCATCTGTTAGGGCAGTGGGCCCGTGAGCCCCATCTGCAGGTATTGATAGGCCTGGTCTCAGCGTGTCTTAGTCTCCAGGTTAACCACTCCCTAGTCGGCAGTGTGCCACCGGAGAAATAGACTAGAGACTAGAGAGTAGAGAGTAGAAAGAGAGAGAGAGAGAGACCGTAGCCTCTGCGAGAGATCGACAAGCCCCGCGAACCTTGGGCCCTTGGTCCTTGGAAACGGCAATACGAGTGTCCTTCTGCAGCCTGAAGACGGTCCAAGGAGGCTGAGACATGGCCAACGGCGAGCGCCACTCCAAATTTAGTGTCTCCTAGTATGCTGCTGTGCGGAGAAGACTGCAGCCGTGGTATCCCTGTTGTACTCACGGCTTGAGGTCATCAGGTTTCCTCTCAGAGCGTTGCACGATGCTGGAAAGGTATAAATAGGAGGTCAAGTCCTCGAATATTGTAGTCCATCATCTCAAGCCAGACAGCATTACAAGTTCAAACTCCAACTCCAACTCAAGCATATAAACATACCAACCTCATAATATCTATTTCCATTATACCCACAATGAAGTTCCTCACCCAAGCCATCCTCGCAGCCCTAGCCTGCACTCCCGCCCTGGCCGCCCCCGCCAAAACCAAGTCCATGATGATCAAGGAATCCGAATGGACCATCGAGAGCCTCAAGCGCGAGTGCAACGACGACGACTCCAAGTGCACCTGGACCTTCGGCATCAACCCAGGCAGCGGCGCCACCGACTGCACCTACGAGGTCGAGGGCAGCCCTGCCTCCGAGGCCAACGGCGGCCCTGTCAACTGCGGCCCCTACACCATCACCTCTGGCTGGAGTGACCAGTTTGGCCCTGAGGAAGGATTCACCACGCTCTCTGTTGTTAAAGAGGAGACGCGTGAGATTGTCTGGCCTGCGTACACTGATAAGCAGGTTGATGGTGGGGAGGTTGTTGTTCCGGACCAGAGCTACACGCCCCAGATTCTTCCTTGAACAACCGAACAATTCTTGATTTGATTTAATGATATGTCTCTTTTTGTCGGCTGAGATTATATACGGTGTACTGCTTGGTTGCATTGTACTTACTCTCCTTCATTCTGGGCGCCGGGAAACGCTGTAACGAATAAATATTATATAGTACACGGCATTTTATGAATAAACACTAGTCAGGCTATGATAAAATGGTTTAAATGGTTAATATTGGTGACATCAGCCAAGTTTTTAATTTATATCCCTGTTACCAAGCAAGTAGGGCCGGAGTATTTCCCGCGGTGTTATAGTAAGTCATACTATCAAAGATAGAATATAATCAAATGACTGTATTTATCTAGACAGGAGAGGGTAAGGTGCGAATAAATAAATAAATATACAAATGAAAATCACCACCTAATTTCCAGACTACGTTCAACCCACGGGTACCGATTCACCCCGAACATCCGAGCATAGAACTTGCGGTCGAGATTATTCACCTTCCTCGATCTAGATCGCCAGGAACCCGCCATACCCGCGTTGTAGGCTACGGGATGGCTGATATCGACGTAGGACATTTGCTGTCAAGACAGCCAAGCCTGGTTGTTGATCGACACCTCGGCGAAACAACGCCAGGCCGTAACAAGCCCGCTTATATGGGGTTCTTGCGCTATAAAGAAGTTGTGATGATCGGCGACTTGGGATGGAACTTCGCCGTTTAATATACACGGTGGATCATGTCAAGCGCAGAAGACCAACCGTCTGCAAAGAACAGGCAGAATTCCCACATATTGTAATTCCAAGGCCGGAATACCCGAGTAGTATTGATTATATACCGATGATATCGTATCCCATCCTACGGGCCCACATTTTCGACACCGATGACTTTCGGTGATCGGATATAGACTCGGCCATTGCTCCTTTCAATCCCTGAGCCGTCTGCTTGAGACACAGTTAGGGCAGGCCTCCCAACCATCATGTTATAAATACCCCAGGAGAATCGAGAGAGACGTAGAGTAAAGTTCTATATCACAGCTACATAGATCTTTAAATATCTCACACAATGCTCCCAATCGCCCTCTGGTCCCACGCCATCGGTCCCAACCCATGGAAAGTCGCAACAATCATGGAAGAACTCGAGATCCCATACAATACCAAGATAATCAATTTCGCTGCTGCAAAGGAAGAGCCTTTCCTCTCCATCAACCCCAACGGCCGCCTCCCTGCAATCGAGGACCCAAACACGGGTATCACCCTGTGGGAATCCGGTGCAATCGTCGAGTACTTGATAGCCCAGTACGACAAGTTGCATATACTCAGTTACGGTGACTTGAAACAATCCTTCCTCTGCCGGCAGTGGCTTTTCTTCCAGGTTTCAGGCCAGGCGCCGTATTTCGGACAGGCGGCGTGGTTTAGCAGAGCCCATCCCGAGAAACTGGATAGTGCTATCCAGCGGTTCTGTAAGGAGGTTGTCCGGGTTACTGGTGTTTTGGAGAAAGCATTGAAAGATAATGGGGGTCAGTGGCTTGTTGGGGATAAGTGTACCTATGCGGATCTGAGCTTTGTGCCGTGGCAGCAGAAGGCGCGCATCTTTGGTGGGGAGGATTTGTATGAGAAGTTTCCTCTTGTTGGGGCTTGGATGGAGAGGATGGAGGGGAGGGATTCTGTCAAGAAGGTGGTGAAGGATCAGGAGGAGGCTGTTAAGGCGGCTGGGGGGAGAGTTTAGCTGTATAGAAGTGTTAAGATTCTTGTTCATTTGTAGATAACAGTATCTTAACTGATAGTCTCATTCGCGAAACTGGCCATCGAATCTCCATCAAGTCTTAAGAGTATTAAACTATCCATTTCCTTCGCGCCGATACTCCAGTAGAATCTCAAGGCGCGGTCATTCTGTTTATAACAGAGCCATTCTATCCTGGCGCAACCAAGCTCTTCAGCCTTCTTTGCAACACCCTGGACTAAGAGCCGTGCATACCCTCGACAGCGATACTGTGGATACACATAGAGGTCCTCCAGGCAGATCCCAGGCTTCGCAGCCCATGCGACAAATGTTGTGAAATAGAATGCCATACCGGCAACCTCGCCGTCCGGACTTTCAACAACTAAGGCCTGCCCGGTATGCACACCTTGGCTTTCAGGGCCAAATCCCAGTGCATTCGAGAGATCGGATTCTGTTGCTATAACTGCCTCTGTGTTGTTTTGTTCTGCTGCTGTTGCCCGCATCATTGCCAGTAGAAGTGGCACGTCTACAGTATATAGTTAGATAATAATTCGGATAATAGCAGTATGTACTAACCTTCGCGGGCGGCAGATCGTATTCTAGCCTCTTGCATCGTTTTCGTCGTCAAATTTGTACAGTTCTCCTTGGAAGAGCTGCGGAATTGCCATCATGTATGTAGGCACTGTGCGGGGCGCAGCTTGTCAAGGAAGGGTGTAGAATTGTCTTCTCCACTTAAAGGTGCTGTGTTTTGCAAAGGCCGTGCTTATCAAAATGTTCCCAAGAAGCTTGATCGTGATGTTCATCGTTTTGAAGAGGTTGTCGGCGCTATCACCGTGAAAGGCCCAGCAATACTACGAGCGAGTGTCTATTATAAACTAACTGGTTTATGGAGGCCCAAGGCAATTTCCATAATATTCAAGGATATCATTCAAATTACAATAGTGTTCTCAGGATAGGCTTTAGTGAATTTCCCAGGCAATAATTCGAGGAAGGTGTTCTGCTCAGTGGGGCAAGCTCAATTCACTAGAGGGTTGAAGAAGGTTAGGTCATTACTTATAACTATTTATCCGGCACAACCACCACCTCTACTAATAGTCCAGTCCTTTGTTGAGTCCTTTGTTGAGTCGAGTTGTGGGTGAAGCCATTGCCTTCGCCAGGGTATACAGGTGGCCAGGTGGCAGAGGGGTGATCTACCCCGCCTCCCCCAGCTGGTCAGCTTCGCCGTTTGTATAGAAGACGAAAACACAACAACACAAGTCACACAACCTACCTCGCTAGCTACTAGCACCTCTAGTGCTATAATAAATAGAGCTGAGTGAGTGGTCTATCTCTCTCGATAAACATCTCCTCACCTGATCTGTTGTCTATCCATATCTTCCACTCCCACTCTCGCCCAAGATGGACTTGGACCGCTACCTGACGTATGATGGTGTCGACTACGAGTGTACAATCTGTGAGAGATTCTTCGCTTCCCGTCGTGCCATTTACGACCATTGCAGAGATACTTCGCGCCATGAATGGTGTGAAAAATGTGAGCGAGTGTTTCTCTCAGAGCCGGCCAAAAACCAACATCTTCGAAACTCTAGCAACCACAATATCTGTTGGATATGTCCCCAGATAGAAGACTTTGAGGACTCCTCAGATCTCGACGACCATCTTGTCGAAGATCATCATTATTGCGATCCTTGCGATCGCGCTTACAGCTCTGCCCGCAAACTGCGAGAACATGATGTCAACGTCCATCACCTCTGTGTCAAATGCAATCGATTCTTTGGGAACGAAAACAACCTACGGATGGTGAGCAACTCTCTCGGTTTAAGGAGGCCTTGTTAATTGTGCTAATACATCCCTGTCTTTCCAGCATCGGCAAACTCACCAACCCCGAGACATGGAATGCTACGGCTGCTATCAAACCTTCAAATCGTTTTCCGGAATGCTAATACATCTGGAGTCTGGCGCCTGCGAATTAGGTACAGATGAGGAGATGATTGATGATATTTTCTGCGACTGGGACCGAAGCTGGATGTTCAAACTTGACAACGACGAGGGGGGAGGATGGAGATATGTCTGCTCGGAATGCGAAAGGGAGTTCGGAAAGCTTTCTGCGCTTTACCAGCATGCTGAAGATGCCCCAGGCTGTTCTGACCGCATGGAAGACGAGGGCTACCTGGCTGAGCTACGACGTCTCATTCGGGACGAGGTGCAGGACCCGTCGGACTAGATTAGTTAAACTGATATGTATGATACCTACAGAAACATACCTGGAATAGGAAGGTTATCACAATCCTGCCAACTTCTCCTCGTATCAAACCCTAAGAGACCCGACAGTATTAACCAGTTTCTTCACAAAGATTATTGGCGCTGTAACTGTGGATTAGCGGATTATCGCCTAGCATTTCCGGAACAATCTTATCGATCAGCGGATGCTGAAGCAGATCAACAAATTCCTGGCCCCTGTCGATGATTGTCCAGATTTTCTGGTTAGGTGCCTTTCCCACCGCGTGATGCGACACGGTTTCTGCTTCTCCTGCAGCTTGTTGTGTCACGGCATCTTTTAGTGTTTCGAATATAGACAACGTGGAGAGTTGAATGCAGAATACAGAGCGAGAATTGAGAAGATGATTTCGAATTCCCTATTCGTTGGTGACTGGGTCTGGAGCAAGCGTACCTTCAATATCTAGTATTAGAGGTGAGTTACGAGGGTCTCCAATGAGACAGGGATAATCATGGCTAGTATAGAGACCACTGCACCAAAAGCCATACAGGGCTAGGGTAAACAGCCATCCCCGCACTGTAGATGAATTGCCGAGGAAAGGCCGCTGATGGTATATCAGGATGAGGGGAAGCAACCGTCTTGCTCATGATTTGCGGGCTAATGCTGATCCCAGATATAACGAGAATACACTACCTGATAGCCTAGCTATCACCCCTCCAAAAGCGAATCCACATACTTAACTTACTGAATCATTCATCTACCCTACCAGAGCCACCAGATACTATCCAAAATGTCCATCTGCATGAGCCCCCTCGACGCAGAGACCGTAGCCGCCGCAAAAGCAACCCTCGACGATGAAGGATACGCAGTCATCCCATCGATCCTGGACGACTCATCCATAAAGCTCGTACACTCGCGCCTCTGGGCCGCCGCAACAGAAACCCAAAACCGCGGAACAGACCTGCACATGCCAGCTCTGGACCCCAACGCCTCAAACGTCCGCGTATTCTACCTCATGGAGCTTGATGCCATATTCCGCGAGTTAATCCAGCACCCGGCCGCGCTCCAGATCGCAAAGCTCGTCGTCGGCGACCAGCTCCTCGTGTCGAATTTCACGGCAAACATTGCAAGGCCCGGGTCCGGTTCTATGCAGCTACATTCGGACCAGTCGCTTGTTGTGCCGGACCCGTGGGAGCATGCTTGGGGGGTGAATATCATCTGGTGTCTGACTGATGTGTATTTCGAGAATGGGGCCACGCTGTTTATCCCGGGGAGTCATAGGTGGAAGCGCAAGGAGGAGGTTCCGACGGATGCGGCGGAGATGTTGAAGCCGTTTGTTGCGAAGGCGGGCTCGATTGTTGCGATGGATGCGCGTGTATGGCATACGTCTGGTAAGAATATCACGGAGGATAAGGAGCGGGCGCTGCTGTTTGGATTTTATACTGCGCCGTTCTTGAGACAGCAGGTGAATTGGACGGCGGTGTTTGCGAGGGAGGCGGAGGGGGTGTTGAGTCCGGAATTGCGAGAGCTGCTGGGGGTTGATATTGACGCGAACGTGGGCAGGGCGTCGAAGATTGGAGCTGGGATTGAGAAACATGAGGCACAGAGGGCGCCTGTTTATTAGACTGTTGGGTGTTGCATCTAGAGCAAGCGCTACACTTTCCCGATCGAGAAGTTTAAGCGTGATTAGATGTTAAATAGTCCAATGGGGAAAGTGGGCCCAACGGTCCGTTCCACGGGAGCCGCGTCGATTGCCCTTTTGGAGTGTTAAGCGGCCAGGTGAGCCCAGGTCCCCAGCCCACTTGGCTTAAGAGTATAGGAAGTGCATGATATTTTATGTGCATATTATTTGGCATCCGCTGTTAATAAGGGTATAGAGGAAGTTGACCTCCTGTGGTGTCCGGAGCGCACGTCCCGTCCTCAAAACGTCGGGAAATAGACGGCCGATAGTCAGTATATATCCAAGCATTTTTGGAGGGAAACGCACATCCTCAAGCAGAATGCGATAATTATTGGCGGCGGCTGTATTGGGAACAATTTAACATCAATTGAACGTTGTGTTTCCGGAATGTTCGAGTTTGGGTTTTGTATCCGGGATTTGATAACATATATATATATATGTATGTATATTTCCCAGCTTCTCTTTCAAGCGTTTGAATAAGTTCATATAATATTGCCTATCTGATTTGCTATTTACTGCTGGCGAGTATACTCAACCTTAGAGGCCATAATAAACCCATCGATGCATTCTAGACAAGCAATACAATGGACAAGATTGACTGGAAAGTACCCCGAGCCCCACTTGTTTCCCCGCGAAATTCAGCTGCGACTTCAACCTCTTGATATCACATCTCAACGACGTCAACGCAGATGCCTGCTCGTCGGCCCGTCAAACGACGGAAAACAGGTCAGTCCCTTTCACATATATAAGTCCAAGCTAACGTGTAAAACAGGCTGGTGAGAACACCACTCAACATCCCTAGAATCTAACTGATAGACCAGTCAAAACTGCCGTAATCGACGGATTAAATGTGATGAGCAATCGCCCTGTGGATATTGTGGCCGCCGCGGTCTAGACTGCAAAAAGGCCGACTTTATCGTCCCAGAGCGATGGCCCAACGCACGCCCGCCTACACGGGCAGCCCAGGAATCACAGCCTGTGGTCACAAGAGCAACACAACCCACACCAGAAGCAACTGCACATATACCGGAATCAACATATGAGATCTTCCAGAATATATTCGGGGTCGATAATGACCAGTCGGCGACATCAGATCTACACTCCACTATACCTCCGCCGTCCGATGACATCCTAACGGAAGAAAAAGCCGGACTGCTAAGATTCTATCAAGACGGAATCGGAGTTTGGATGGATATCTTTGACTGCTCACATACATACCAGCACGAGGTAGTCTGGTATTCCCTCTCGTCGCCACTCCTAATGCACGCCGTCTGTGCCCTCTCAGCGAAACAAATGAGTCTGATTCAGAATAAATTCCTGTGGGAGCCTGTTTCTTCGCGCTTCTACGGCCAGAGTCTTAGTCTGCTTATCAATGAGCTCACCAAACAGAGCAGTACGTCTGATGGTGAGCTTCTACTGGCGGCAACAATATTACTCTCGAGCTACGAGTTGCTCGCTCAGCCGGGCATCGACTATCAACGACACTTGTATGGTGCACAGACTCTAATCTTCTCTCGGAATATTGGATCAGAAGGAACGTCTCTTGAAAAGGCTAGCTTTTGGATCTTTGCGCGCCAGGATGTTGCTTTGGCTCTGGTGAATGAGCGTCCGACTTTGGTTCCGCCGGTGAAATGGCCAGCGCCACCGGACAGTCCGCCGGCTGCTGTTGAGGATGCTTTTGGTATGAAGATTCTCTGGCTCCTTGCTAGAGTGATTGAAGTGAAGTTTGGAAATGGCCAAGTGTCTAGTATAGAGCGGAGAGTGGAAAGTCTGGTGGCTGAGATTGATTTACTCTGGGCTGGGCTTCCTTCGCATGTCCGCGGTGTTCCCATGAAGCAGTCTCATTCGGAGGATGAAGGATTGACTCGGGTTTGGTTCTGTGTGCCTTCAGCGTGTAAGTATAGCAGTCTTACCAGAGATCCAAAGGCTAACAATGCAGCGGCTGCGTGTCTTTATTACCACATGGCCAAGATACTCACGTATGAATGCCTATGCGAACAAACACCGGTTCCACCAAGACAGTCAGACAATATGTTGAAACCGATTGGATACCATGCTAGAGCAATTGCCTCCATTTGCCTGTTTTCAGATCTTGCTGACGGAGCATTGGTTGTGGCTGTAAACCCGATATTCTATGGTAAGTATTAGGGTCAGCTTTATAATTAAGGTGGCTGACGGTAAGCAGCGGCGAAATATATCCCTTCCATGGCACTAAAAACGAGACTTTGGGGTATACTCGACCGAATTGAGACGCAACTGGGCTTTTATACGCGAAATAGACAGACACAGCTGCAGCTGGAACTGAAGAAATAGACCTTGGTTACCGGGACAAGAGCGGCATAAATTTACTACAAGTGTAACTGCTACGGCAACTCGATACATATATAGCAAAAGCCAACACTACTGAATTACTCCAATATTTCCTCGAGTTATCTCATCGCATCCATAAGCTCTCTTGCAGTGTCGCGCCTGGTGGTACTCAGTGTGAAATCAGGCTTGCGGCCGGGCTCAGACAGAGCCAACACAAATCGCCCGTCCGTATCCTCTCTGGATGTGACAGCCAATTCAGAGTTAAACTGCGTATGTTTCTGTTAGCTGAACGTCACTGGTAGCGCTTTATAATCCCGACTGACCTGCTTCGCCAACCCGTACGATCCTGCGCCATCGGTACTGTGCTTCGACTGGGGGAGAGGATATAGAACAAGTAAACGGGGGAGAATATGGGGAGAAGCGATAACAACAAGTCTGAACAGAGAATCTCGACTAAGTCCACGTTTTCGCTGCCCCAGGAACTCGTCGAACAGGATGCTTGTATCGGGCGAGAGCGAGATAACATTGTTGCTGAGTGTAGGCCCCAGCTGCGCGCTCAATCTGTTCACTCGCACGTTGTTCTCGGCTTTGGCGATCTCGGTCTCGCACTTCTGGACAAGCTCCCTGATATCATTGATTGCCTCCTCCGTGGCGTCGTACCCGTGGCGCTCATTGTCTGGGTCGCTGCTTCTCAGGACGACGCGGAGGAGCAGCGTGTATCTTTGGATGCGAGTTATCGGGGCTTTCATGTATGTCGACCACGCGAGTCGTACGCTGGCTTTGTGATCCATTGACTGGGTTAGGAATGTAGCGAAGCTCGCATCAGAAGCTTCAGTTTGGACTGCAGAGTGCAGGCGTGGATAGAGGGCACTGAATTTCAGGTAGATTGGAGTGGCTTCGAGAAGCCATTCTCGAAAGATATCAGCATAGTTAGAAACCCACGGCCCCTCTGCCTTTTGCCTCTCAACCAGCGGGTCGTATAAGAATGTCTTATGCAAACGATAAAACCGCTCGTGGAAGCCAAAGTATTTTTCGGCGAACTCCTGGTTTGACCCGCTGGATACAATCGTGGTCGGGTGGAGTGCAAGGCGATGGTAGTAAAGATAATACATAACCTGGGTAGACCTGAGAAATGACTCCTCTGTCGTTACTATCTCGTGGAGGACGTTCTGGCGGTTGACTTCGTTGTTGGGGACAGGAGCCAGGTCCTCTGGCTTGAGCGCCCACCAATCTCCCCATGCAACGTTGTCGCCGCTGTGCAGGAATTCCTTCAATGGATCAGTTGTGAACATACTGAGGCTAGCCGTAGTTCTCTTTCCCTCGTCTTCTCCATTAGCTAGCTTAGCAGGGATTGGGGTCGACGCTCCTAGCGTGCCATTAGTACTCCCACTCTAAACGAAACAGCGTGTTTGTGGATATACCTGACGTTGTCTGTCCATTTGCCCCTTCAGAGACCTCACCTGCCTTCGTGTTTTCTTGATTCGTTCTCTCCCGGGCATATGCCTTTGCCAGAGTCTGGCGATACACAGCCGAGTTGACGACCTCGTCATCGAATTCAAACAACTTGGAGCTATACAGCGAGGACCCACCGTCCGAAATGCTGAAAGTTTTAAAGGACATGTCATAGATAGACCTCGGTGCTCGCGGGGCCTTGTTGGCAGACGAAGAGATGCGCGACGTATGCTGGGCTACTTCACCGAGAATCGTCATGTTCTGGTCCATCATTTGCTTGAGCTCAGCTATCGTGTCACTGTGCACAGTATTAGAGAACTGTTTAAGAACCTATAGGATAGGTTGAGTGTTTACACTCCTAATAACTGCAGCAGCAAGGTAAGTGCCGTCTGCAGGCCGCGCATCTGGTTCAGGATATCCTTCATTGTGCTTTCGCTCCACATATACCGCACTTTCGCAGTAAAGCGCAGGTCTATCGAAGTCTCCGGCAGTGCTGATTCCGTCAGCTTCGAGACTTCGCTTTGCAGCACATCGAACACCAGATAGCATCCTGTGAGGGCCTGGTCTAGGGTCGATTCGAGACTAGGCTGGCTATGCAGCTTATCCGACACAGACTTCGGGTCTCGCAGCAGATGACTCTGGATATGGGTCATGGATGCAGAGATGAGTGTTGTTTCGGTGCATATTGCGGAGATGGTAAGGTTTGCATTGTCGAATTTATCCTTCAGGTCGTGCAGGGCTTTGGCGGTTTGCACGCAGCTTGCTGTGAGACCGGCTACGCTTGCTGATATAGAGAGCGGATCCATGATAGACACAGTGGAAAGATGTCAAGAAGCAGTGATGGATTAACGCTGGATGAGGGGCGACTTCTGAACTGTGGCAGTGCTGGCGATTGCTGATCGCTAAACATAACTTAACTAGGACTGAGGCTGAGCTGAGTCAGCTTATATGCACAATTGCATCAACTAACTTAGTTATATCTATTGTATCTATTGTATAATCAAACCAAAAGATTCAAGGAGGAGCATGTCGGTTGTCATCTCTAGCTAGGCAAACGGAGGTTGCGGTAGGCAGGCGTAGATCTTATAGCTAACAACAACACGCTCTCTGGTGAATGGGCTGCTATCCTGCTTACTTAGTGCGAACCATGAGCCAGGAAGTAGTTTCCGCTTGCCATTATACTCTAAGCGTGCTGAAGTTGGCGTTTATATGCATGGTAGATGTCGACAACCAGGCCTCCGGTTATAGCGGCGAGACTGATCGGATGTTCCGGAGCACTCAAGTTCACAGACATAATTAAAGCCCACCTAACTTTGTAATTGTGTTCCCAATAATTAGTTTGTTAAACTCTCGCCGTTCGATACTTAGGGGCCATCACCACTGCAGCAGGACTAGCACGAAACCTTGGACTTGCACACACTTGGACAGATCGGGCAACAGTCTCTCGAGCGCTGGGGCTAATGCTGAGCCTATCAATCCCTGGCACGGCTTGGTACCCAATATTAGATTCTTCGCTTGTTCCAGGATCCACCTGTCCTGCCGCGCGTGTTGACTGGCGAAGTGGCGATGACTGATGAGATTCTTCAGGGAGAACGAGGCAAAGGGGATCCAATCGAGACCGTTAGCCCGCGGTGGACGGCGCGATGTGGAGCTTAGTGGATGATCAGCAAGCATGACAGGCGAAGTTCCAAGGCTCAAATCAAACTATTGATGATCGGTCGGTGATTGCTGCTGCAAACGGGATAGAGCCGGTCAGTCTGGGGTCAAGTCCCCCACAGCTCCACAAGCAGAACTCTCGACAACCGCGGCATGACAGTTTCAACAGCTCTCAAGGCCTTCACCGACCTAATCGGCTGCCTTCGGGTGGAGAGGCCCGCCTATCCTGGTCAGGGGTGACAAATACCAGCACGATATAAAGGCTGCGTGGAATCCGGTCGGTCAGATTCACCACGACTCCTAGTCATTCCTTTCAAGATGATGATCCCTCGTTTGTTCAGCCTTTTGGCCGCCACTGCTGGCGTTGCCAGGGCCGCGAACATCACCGGCTATGAGTATGTCGTCGTTGGCTCCGGTGCTGGTGGTGGCCCCTTGGCTGCACGCCTCGCCCTCGCCGGCCACAAGACTCTGCTGCTGGAAGCTGGTGACGACCAGGGTCAAACTTACAACTACAGTATCCCTGCCTACTCGGCGAGAGCCTCCGAGGATGAGAAGCTTGCTTGGAACTTCTTCGCTCACCACTACGCCGATGACGAGCGCCAGGCTCGCGATTGGAAGACTAGCTACGAGACACCGGATGGCGACCTGTACACCGGTCTGAGCCCTCCGGAAGGTTCGAAACTGAAGGGAACTCTCTACCCTCGCACAGGTATGCATCACTCTGGCAAACAAGTAGGATCAATCTAATATGTCTTCAGGTACCCTGGGAGGATGTACGGCCCACAATGCCCTGATTGCAGTCTACCCCCACCAGTCCGACTTTGAATACATCTCGACTCTGACCGGCGATGGCTCCTGGTCCCCCGATAACATGCGCAAATACTTTACCAAGATGGAGAAGAACAACTACCTGCTCCCTGGGATGGAGGGCCACGGCTACGATGGCTGGCTCTCCACCGAGGCTGCTCCCCTGAGTCTTGTCCTCAAGGACCCCCAGCTGCTCAGCATGCTCACCGGTGGTGCTTTTGCTCTTGGAAACCTGACCGATAACATCTTCAACATTGGTACGCTGCTTGCTGGCGATGCTAATGCCGATACGACCACCCGTGATACCAAGCCCGGCTACTATCAGATCCCCATTTCGACCGACGATGCGCACCGAAACGGCGCTCGTGAGTTTATTATCGCTGTCCGCGATGCGAAGAACGATGATGGGTCCAAGAAATACCCTCTTGATGTCCGTATGAACGCCCACGTCACCAAGGTCGCCTTCGATGAGAGCGACGACACCCCCCATGCTACCGGTGTCCACTTCCTCGACGGCAAGCATCTTTACAAGGCCAGCCCGCTGTCCAAGACCGCCTCAGCCGGTGTCCCCGGCTTTGCGTCCGCTTCTCGCGAGGTCATCGTCGCCGGCGGTGTCTACAACTCCCCCCAGATCCTCAAGCTGAGTGGCATTGGTCCCGCTAAGGAGCTGAACCAGTTCGGCATCAAAGTCATCAAGGACCTGCCCGGCGTCGGCACCAACCTGCAGGACCACTACGAGATCTCCGTCCAGGGCAAGATCGAGAACGACTTCTCCTGCCTGGACGGGTGCACCTTCAGCATCCGAGACCAGGAAGACCCCTGCATCGACCGCTGGGAGTCGCCCGTCCTCGGTGACCGCGGCATCTACTCGTCCCCCGGTCTCGCCGCCACCATGCTCTACAAGAGCTCCGTCACTGCAGACGACAGCTTCGACATCTTCTGCTTCGGTGGACCCGTCAACTTCCGCGGCTACTTCCCCGACTACAGCATCAACGCCACGGACGAGCATAACTGGTTCACATGGGCTATTCTGAAGGCTCACCCGCGCAACACCGCCGGTACCGTTGAACTACTGTCCGCTGACCCTCTCGACATGCCCAAGATTACCTTCAACTACTTCGACACCGGTGTCGGGGACCACGACGCTGATCTGACGGCGCTGTACGAGGCCGTTGAGCTCGCCCGTGACGCCATGGCCCGCCAGCCCGTCAACGTCACAGAGGTCCTCCCCGGCGCGGCCATCACTTCCAAGGAAGACATTGAGACCTACGTCAAGGACGGCGCATGGGGCCACCACGCTTCCTGCACGTGCCCCATCGGAGCTGACGATGACCCCATGGCTGTGCTGGACTCGAAGTTCCGTGTGCGTGGCGTCTCGGGTCTCCGTGTTGTTGATGCCTCTGTTTATCCTAAGATCCCGGGGACGTTCACGGCAGTCTCGACGTATATGGTTGCTGAGAAGGCGGCTGATGAGATTCTGAGTGGGCTTGCTAGTGCTTGATTTATGGAGATGAGGATGGAGATATGACTGGAGTTGTATGGATGGGATGATTTGCATGTATATATGCGTTTGGTGTTGGAGAGCACGTTTTCTCTGTACTTTCAATAATATATAATAAGTAGAGTAAGATAATATATATATATTAAGCAACTTAGTGCAGGGTCCAGTAGAATTCAGCATCCAGCTAGATTTAGGTATGCACTATGCAGGCATTCCTCTGAAGCAGCTCTTCGATGGTTATACGCTTTGTCCCACACTTTGCTAACTGGATGATCAGGTCGTCTAGTAATCAAAGGAATGTGTGATTCAGATGATCTACAAAGGGCCCCAAAGACAATTATTGATTGGTTACCAGAGAGGGAAATATATGCCCTCCTTGCAGACGCAGATCGGGAGTGACGAACCACTGCAACCTGCAAGCGAGTGACAGTCTTATAAATGCTTTCCAATTGATTGCAAAGAGTAGCTATCCCTTGCTTCTAAATTCCTGCCCCTTACTCTGCGTAACCCGATTTGTTTTGTGGCTCTTTCAGCGGCATGTGGAGCGTCAAGTCAAGGCTGTTGGTTGATTTAAATCTGATTCTAATCTGAATCGACGGGGCTCTGCATTCTCGATTACCTTCGCCTCAAAGTGCTGCTACAGCAGTATGGGAACCGGCGAGCAAGCTAAGGATGCTCCAGATGGTGGTCTACGAGCCTGGATTGTCGCGACTGGAGGGTGTGCAGCCCAGATGTAGGTAAAAAAACATGTCTCTATTATTGCATTTCACGCTTACTCGATTTATAGGTGCACTTTCGGCTATATCAATACCTTTGGGTGAGCTTGTTTAAAACCCGTTCGAGTGAGAGTGTGTCTAAGGGTCTTCAGTACATACCAGAGCTACTACACACAATCTCTCACCGGCTCCTCTCCCAGCAGCATCTCATGGATTGGGTCCTCGCAGACGTTCCTATTGTACTTTCTGGGAATCATCAGCGGGCCTCTGTCTGACCGCTTCGGCGTCCGCGTCAGTATTGATAGTTCACCCTGCTGTTAAATTACTGACCACCGTAGGCTGCAATTGTTCCCGGCAGTATATTGTTGATCGCCTCAGTCATGGCCACGAGCGTCTCCATAGAGTACTACCAGATTATCCTGGCCCAAGGCATCCTAGGCGGTATAGGCAATGGCTTTATATTCACTCCAGCCATGTCCTGTGTAGGCCAGTACTTCACTGCTTCACGCGCATGGGCAATGGGCATCGGAATCAGTGGCGGTGCCGTCGGCGGTGTCCTATTCCCAATTATGCTACAGAAGCTGATTCCAAAGGTTGGCTTTGGCTGGGCAGTCCGGGCGATTGGGTTCCTCTTGCTCGTTGTGGCTGGTTGCATGTGTACAGCGATGAAGGAATTCGCGCCACGCCGTAAAAGGGGCTGGCTGATTCCTGGAGCTTGGAAGCAAAAGTCGTATGTGCTTGTCAATATGGCCTTCCTGCTGGCCCTGATGGGGTGCTATACTCCGCTGTTCTATGTGGTTGAGTATGGACTTTCCCACGGCATGGATTCTGCGCTGGCCTGGCGTCAGGTCGCGATTATCAATGCGGCTTCGTTCTTCGGTCGTCTTATCCCGAACTTTCTGGGCGATAGGCTGGGAAGGATTAATATGTCCATTGTGTGCTATACCGCCTGCGCGGTGCTATGTTTATGTTGGACTACCGCTACAAGTACTGCTGGGATCACGGTATGGAATGTTGCCTATGGCTTCTTTTCCGGTGCTATTTTTTCTCTATTTGCGCCTGTCGTGGCACAAGGTGATTCTTGCCTTTACTGCCCAGGAGAATGACTAACGAGGTGGCCAGTGTGTCCGAATCTAGGGGACATTGGGACGTATATTGGACAGGGGTCTACATTGTGCAGCTTCGGGGCCCTTGTGGGAACCCCCGTAAGCGGTGTTTTGATTCGGAATTATGGGTATTTCGTCGCGTCCCTGTTCAGCGCGCTGACAATATTTGCAGGAGCCTGCTGTTTAGGCGCTGCTAGATTACTGTTTGGAAAGGCTTTGCTCGTGGTAGTTTAGTCACATACCGTACCTTTAACTACAGTTATTAACGTTGACAATTACAGTTTGCAACTATCATTGGGTACTATATTGATCCATTCAAGCGTTCAGCACACGCATGTCTCTCGAGTCTGTTCAAGAGTAGCAGTACGTCTATCAGCGATTGACAGGAATACTACAGATGGTAGATATCCACATAATGAATCTAATAGATAAATAAAATCAGCCTACACATCCATAGCCTCCCTGACTCCTCCATATAGCGCTGGGTTCATTTTGTGGCGTTTGGTATTTGGAATGCGTATAACGCCTCGCTCAGCCGCACGGGATTCTGCAGGATCGAGTGAGCCTTGCCATTCCCAGGCAGATACGGACGCCACAAAATGAATCTGCACTCAGAGCCAATCATTAAATTCCTATAATCGCAGAGTGTAAGAACTACGCCTCACTGCACAAGGCTGGCGCTTAGAATCTACCATAAAAGAAGGGTTGGTCCCCGGGAGAATCTCATCCCCCACGTTTCTAAATACCCTGATTCAAGCATTTGCACCTCATCTGGTTTGTTTGTTATGTCCGATCCCAAGAAGTATACCGTGGGCTGGATCTGCGCCATCCGCGTCGAGTTCGTCGCCGCGCAGTCATTGCTAGACAAAGTCCATGACGGCCCAGCATTCGTACAACCTCACGACCCCAACAGCTACAAACTCGGCTCGATAGGCGTCCACAATGTTGTGATCGCAACTCTTCCAGACGGCGAGTACGGCACCGTCTCTGCCGCGCAAGTAGCCGCCAACATGCTCAACAGCTTCCCGAACGTGCGGGTTGGCTTGATGGTGGGCATTGGCGGCGGAGCCCCCAGTACTAAGAATGATATCCGGCTCGGAGACCTCGTGGTGGGTGTGCCTAGGGATGGTGAGAGGGGCGTATTCAACTATGACTTTGGCAAGACGGTGCAGGGGAGAAAGTTTGAGGTGACGGCGTTGCTGGATAAGCCGTCGGCTGTTCTTCGGGGTGCGGTGGCTGCGATGCAGGCGAAGCATACGCTTTCTCGTCCTCGTATCCATGAGGATGTTGAGGCGGCGCTGAGAAAGAATCCAAGGCTTGTGGGGGAGTTTGCGCGTCCCCCGCTGGAGAGTGACCGGCTCTACAAGTCTGATGCTATTCACGATCCCGCTGCTCAATTCGATCCCAGCACCCTTGTGCCAAGGAAGATTCGCCAGCCGCATGAGGATAATCCGGCAATTCACTATGGAACGATTGCCTCGGCGGACCAGCTCATGAAAGATGCCACGGTCCGGGATAGACTCATCGCAGAGAAGAATGTCTTGTGCTTCGAGATGGAGGCTGCGGGGCTGATGAACCAGCTCCAGTGTCTTGTCATCCGGGGAATCTGTGACTACTCTGATTCACACAAGAATGATGCGTGGCAGGGATACGCGGCGATGGTGGCAGCAGTATATGCAAGGGAGCTTCTCGACGAGATTCACCCCAGCTCGGTGGAGGTCCAGCGTACGCTCCAGGACCTTGCAAAGGAGGAGTTCAGGCATATGAAACGAGGTCAGTAGATTACTAGATGCTAGATTTGAATGTATGTTATTTGTTTATTAACGTATTGTCGTAAGGTCAGATATAAACAGCCTCCAGGCCAGCAATGATAAGACCCAGACAGAAGCCATTCTGAACTGGCTCGCCAGTGATGATCACCTTGTGCAACAGGAAAGGTTCCTGCAGGTGAGACACAAGAAAACCGGCTCTTCGTTCCTGTCTTCTGCGGAGTTCCAGCAGTGGTCAACAGGGCGCGGCCAAGTACTGTTTTGTCCAGGACCTCCTGGTGCTGGGAAAACGATCATGGCCTCGTCTGTGGTTGACCATCTTTTAAAGCCACAGCCCAATGCTGCAGTTGCGGTCATATATCTCAGCTATCTCAACCAGCAAGAGCAATCTGTCCGCTGTCTCATGGCCGCACTACTTAGACAGCTGGCGTATTCTGACGCCGGAGTGCACGGATCAGTACAGGAAATGTTTAACGAGAAGCTCAAAGTCCCAGAGCCAGGCGAAGAGCGACTGGAAGCTGCCTTGATGTCTGTGCTATCCGGACTAGATCCTGCCTTTATCGTCGTGGATGCTCTTGACGAGTGCGACTCTCCAAAGACCAGGAAGGATCTCGTTACAACATTGCTGCGCCTACAATCGACGTGCAAAGTGAATGTTCTCTTGACATCGCGGCCTGATGATGCAATATCTCGGGTTCTCGGAAACTGCCCTCTTATTATCAAGGAGCTTGTTGCTTCGGACGACCTTGCCATGTATGTCATGGACGAACTGTTGCGTGTATGCCCATCGGAAGCAGGCTCTCGCATTCTAGATAAAGCCAAGAGAGATATAATGGATGCTGCTAATGGAATGTACGTATAGAATTCCAACCTATGAAACGATTGAAACTAAGAATGCAGCTTTCTCATTGCACAGCTATATTTGAGTGCCCTCCACGCCACAGACATATCCTCACCTCGGGAGTTGACAGCGGCTTTAGCAGACTTGAAAGCTGGCCCTCATACCTCCCATGCCCAGTCAAGATTGCTTGAAGACATATACCGCAAGACAATGGCGCGCCTAAAGCTTCAGCGCAACGACTTAGGTCTGCGGGCTCTCATGTGGGTGGCCTGCTCCAAGAGACCGTTGTCCGTCGCCGAGCTGGAGCAAGCGCTCGCTGTCCAAGGATTCAAAGATACAGATCACAAACCAAGACAGGTTCCTATGGTACCGATGAAAACAATCCTGTCCGCCTGTCTGGGCCTCGTCACCGTGAACCCATCCGCTGACAGCATTGTCTTCGCTCACAAAACTGCCCATGAATACTTTTCCACCTCCAGGGAGGAGCATTTCCCAAGCGCAGAGGGTGAAATGACCAGAACCTGCCTGTCGATGCTTGTATCCTACACACCGCGTGAGTTCCTCAGCCAGTCATGTAAGGCTGGACCGTGGAATGATATACGGCACCGGCAGGAGTCCCATCCATTCTACTTTTACGCAGCTTCGAACTGGGGAAACCATGCCCGCGAAACCGATTCGCACCGTGATCTGGTTATGAGCTTCCTGGAACAAGACGACAAAGTGAATGCTACCGACTATGCCCTACTTTCGTCGGGATCTCCCCCGAATCAAACAATAAGGCCGTACCGTGTCTGCCATCCGCTGCGTGCAATCCATCTGGTAGCGTTCTTCGGGCTTGAGGATATCTTTTGCCGTCTACTCGAGATGTATCAATCGCGCAGAAAGTCGTTATTCTCTGATAGGGAACTGTCAAAGGAGTTGAATTGTGTAGCTACTACCCAGAACCTAACACCGCTGCACTACGCAGTCAAAGGGGGACACCAGGGGATGGTTCAACTCCTTGTCAAGTCTGGGGCAGCCATTAATAAAGGGGGCTGGAATCATGAAACACCCTGTGGCCTTGCGCGTCGCTACGAGCACCAGGAGATTTACGTCTTTCTGAAAGAGCACGGTGGAAGGAGCAGGGATGGGATGCCTGGGAAACAGATGGCGAAAGAGGTGCTTGAACGGTCGTCGGAATTCACCAATAAAGTGGTCCGAGAGGTCGACCTGAGTATAATTCGGTTTACTTAAGTGAGGTGGACTTAACTAGCAGATTCAATAGCAGACATGGTATCCCCTAGCTACCATTTATCAAGGTAAATAGACTGTCAGTGGCGTTACTACCCCCTTCCTGTGCCAATATACGCTCCATACGGCACCGCCGCATCCTGATCAATCCATTGCTTCCATATCCCCTCCTGGTCCACTGGTGGAATCATGCCATTCACCCGCCAGTTGTCCGCAGGGTGTTGATAGATGTTGTATTCCCACTTGACGCCCTTCGGCCCCAGAACCGGTTCCACAATTGCATTGACACTATCAATGAAAGACAGGCGAACCTCCTCGCTGGGGAAAGAGCGAGCCGCGTGGTCGATCACGAAGAAGACGGTGTTCGGGGGCGTTTTCCCGCCGCTGTAGAAGGTGCCGATTCGGTTCTCGTGGAAGAAGACGTTGACCAGGAATGCAGGGATGCCGAGTTTGACGTAGTTGTCTGTTATTCCTTTGGCGAGGGTGTCCTTTTCTGCCTTGGATAAGGTGTCTGGTGTGGTTTCGAAGGTCCAGCGAGGCATGTTTGTGATTATTTGAAATTCAAAATATTGAGCACTGTAGATGAATATTTTAGGGTAGGTTGATATGGACATTTATACCAAACTATCCTATCCAAACAGTGCATATGAATGCACATTCTTCTTGATTCAATGTTCCGAGACCTTGATGAGTGATCACTGTATTGCCCTGTATCACTCATCAGATGTCGATATCACTAATCGCAGTCTCGGTTCCGTGGATTACTGATGATGATCGATGTTAAATATCCTCCGCCCATATATTCTTCATAATTATCAAATCATCTACTCGTTAATGATCATGCCGTCTATTCTCCAAGCTGATGTGTATGTTTCCTCACGTCTACCCCTCGCCATAAAACGCGGTGGGGAATCGAGCTCTTTCTCCCCAATATCTTGCACCCTAATCCACGGAGACTCAGAGGCTGTTCTGGTAGACACTCCAATATCCATCTCCCAGACCGAAGACCTCGCCCGCTGGATCAAAGACACTGCACCGGGCAAAGACCTCCGCTATGTTTATATCACCCACGGCCATGGAGACCACTGGTTCGGCATAACCGTGCTTCGAAAGCACTGGCCCAATCTACGTGCAATTGCTACGTCTGGAACTGTCGAGCATATGCGAGAGCAGCTCAAGCCAGAGATACTCGATGGGCTTTGGCGCGCCCTGTTCCCTGGGGACCAGATTCCAGCCTGTCCCGAACCCGCGGAGATGATGGAATCTGCCGTGTTTGAGCTGGAAGGAAACGAGTTCCATGCCGTTGAGGTTGGGCATACGGATACCTACAATACCACTGTGCTGCATGTGCCGAGCATTAAGCTTGTGGTGGCCGGGGATGCTGTTTATGGAGATGTTCATCAGTTCTTTGGGGAGGCAAATACCCCCGAGAAGCGGCGCGAGTGGCTTGCTGCGCTTGATAAGATTGAAGCTCTTCAGCCACATACTGTTATTGCAGGCCATAAGCGTGCTGGCACAGTGGATGGATTGTTTAACCTACACAAGACGCGGCAATATATTCTTGATTTTGAGGAGGCGGTTGCGGCGTCTTCGAACTGGGAGGATCTGTGGAAGGAAGTCCAGCGACGTTATCCCAGACGGATCAACCCTCATGCCATTCTCAGGGGAGCCATGGCGACTTTTCCTGAGTCGAAATTGATTTAAACTTGTACTTTAGTCGCGGTAATAGTTAGACTGGAAGTATTATTGTTATCGAATAACCAGCCTTAACCCTGCCTCCCGTTGTAGTCTGTGGCCTGTATCGTGACGACGACACGTATAAGCTTGGAGTAGCCTATAATATAGCGAAAGACGTCGTAAACGAGCAGCTAAAACCTGCAGACGCTGTGAAAATGGCCTACTGGCCACCTCGGTTGAACAGTGCGTCGTCGGGATGATTAGTGATATCGCACCCTCGGGCCTCATCACATCAACCGAGTGGGGGCTACATATGGATAAATAGGCTGAGCTCCAAAAGATAGAAAGAGCAGCTTCTTTGCTTTCACTCATTCGCACTAGTCCACTATAATCATCCAAATGTCCTTCCGGTCAGCCGTGTATATCGCCCCCCCAGCGCCCTTCAAAACCCCCAATGGCAAAGAAGGCCTCTGGTCTCCCATCGCCTGCACCCTCATCTACTCACCCACAGAGGCAGTCCTCGTGGACACTCCTATAACTATAAAGCAAACCCAGGAGTTGATTTCCTGGATTGATCGCATCGCCCCGAAGCGGAAGCTCTCCTATATCTATATAACCCACGGCCATGGCGACCACTTCTTCGGTCTTCCAACACTGCTAGAACGCTTCCCCAATGCAAAAGCCGTTGCAACTCCTGGGACAATCGCCCACATGCAGTCCCAGATCGAAGAGAAGGCCTTCCATGCAACATGGGAGAGTCGTTTCCCCAATGGCCAGATCCAGCGTCCGTTTGTGCTAGCGCAGCCTTTGCCATCTAACAAGCAATTCACTCTGCCGAAGGATAGTGCTGGTAGTGGTGGATATGCCTTCCACGCCATCGAGACAGGGCACTCAGACACCCATGACTCTACTATCCTGTGGGTGCCGGATCTACGTCTCGCGGTGTGCGGGGATGTTGTCTATGGCCAGGTGCATCAGATGCTTTTTGAAGCGAACACGGCTGCAAAGCGCGAAGAGTGGATTCGTGCTATTGAAACGGTCGAGGCTCTTGATCCGTTGTATGTCGTTCCTGGGCATGTACAGGAGGGTGAGATTCCTGGGGTCTGGCATTTGGCCAATACCAAGCGGTATATTCGGGATTTTGCCAGCGTGCTAGAGACGAAGCCCAAGTCGCCGAAGGATATCACAAACGCCATGGTTAAGTTGTATCCGGATCGGTATAATATTGGGGCAGTTATTATGAGTGCGATGGGGGCGTTTCAGGCTGCGAAGGAGGCTCGCATTTAATAGCTGTCTATATGGATATAGATACGTTTATTCCGCTGTTGGGATAAGCCCTTTAGGCATATATTATAAACCCCAACTGGCCAAACAAGAATTAAATAGCATACCTTCACTAGGTAGGAACTATACGCAATAACTGCAGGCAATGGCATGATGGTGACTCATCCGGACCTACTCTCACCAGTGATGAATAAGTCAAACAGTCAAAGAATGAGTCACAAAAGGGGTAAATTGTCAATAGTGGCTTCCATTACTCCAGTGACATTCACTTCAGGCTCTCCTTGTGCACTGCCGCTTTTCCAACAGAATGGCATCTCCGCAGGCTGAACCCTCGGCAAAGCTAATGAGCGAGAAGCAGCGCCTGAAGCTGGACAAGTTCGCCAAGAAGAAGGAGAAGCTCGCCCAGGAAGCCCTGCTGAAGGAGCAGCAGGGAACAAGCGCCTCCAAGGCGAAGAAGGCCAAGGAGCAGCAAGCCCCTGCGGTGCAGTCGAAGGATTGGGTCGAGAAGACGCCCGCTGGACAGAAAAAGATCTTGAAATCGTTGGACGATGACTTCACCAAGGCTTACTTGCCTGCTGTTGTGGAATCTGCCTGGTACAGCTTCTGGGAGAACCAGGGATTGTTCAAGCCGCGGACAGAGGAGGATGGTAGTCTCAAGCCAAAGGGCAAATATGTCATTGCCATCCCACCACCCAATGTATGGAAGAAGAGTATCTAGGCGTGGGCCATCTGCTAATGTTGCTCACTAGGTGACTGGAAAACTACATATTGGACACGCCCTGGCGCTTTCGCTAGAAGACACCCTGATCAGATGGCATCGGATGCGGCAGTTCTCAACGCTTTACATCCCTGGCTGCGATCATGCGGGGATTGCCACGCAGGCCGTCGTCGAGAAGCAGCTCGCTAGAAACCCGATCAATGGCAAGTCAAAGCGGCAGGACTTTACTCGGGCTGAATTCGTGCAGTTGTGCCAGGACTGGAAGGAGGATTATCACACAGCCATCAACAAAACCGTGCGCAAACTCGGCGTCTCTGTCGATTGGTCAAGGGAGGCCTTTACCATGAGCCCGGGGCTATCCAAAGCAGTTACCGAGACCTTTGTGCGACTGCACTCTGAAGGACTCATCTACCGCGCCAACAGGCTGGTGCATTGGTCGTGCCGTCTCTCCACAGCTTTATCCACGCTTGAAGTCGACCAGAAGGAGCTTGAGGGGACGACGAAGCTGGACGTGCCAGGCTATGAGAGGAAGATTGAATTTGGAACCCTCACGTATTTCAAATACCAGGTCGAGGGCTCTGACCAGACGATCGAGATTGCCACCACGCGTCCGGAGACAATGTTGGGTGATACCGGTATTGCTGTCCACCCCCAGGATGAACGATACAAGGATTTCGTAGGCAAGACTGTGCAACACCCTATCATCCATGGTAGGAAGTTGAGGATCATTGCCGACGAATATGTGGACAGGCAGTTTGGTACTGGTGCTGTCAAACTCACTCCTGCCCATGACCATAACGATTTCAACCTGGGCAAGAAACACGGTCTGCCATTTATCAACATTCTCAACGAGGACGGTACTCTGAATAGTAATGCGGGTCCTTTTGCCGGAGAAAAGCGGTTCAATGCACGGTACGGTGTTATTGAGGAACTCAAGAAGCTGGGCCTTTACACCAAACAAGAGTCTAACAAGATGGTTGTCCCCATTTGCAGCCGGTCAGGGGATATCGTCGAACCGTTCCTGAAACCCCAATGGTGGATGAAGATGGAACCGTTGACGAAGCCCGCCATTGAAGTGGTTGAGACTGGAGAGCTGGCTATTCGCCCAGAGGTACAGAGGCGACAGTACCTGCAATGGATGCGAAACCTCCAGGACTGGTGCCTGTCGAGACAGCTGTGGTGGGGACATCAGATCCCAGCGTACTTCGTCAACATCGAGGGTGAAGACGGCGGCGAAGATGCCGATGACAACTACTGGGTATGCGGCCGAACAGAAAGTGAAGCGCTTGAAAAGGCAAAGCAGAAGTTCCCCGGCAAGACGATCACCCTCAGGCAAGACGAGGATGTCTTGGATACCTGGTTCAGCTCTGGGCTTTGGCCCTTTAGTACCCTCGGATGGCCAGAGAAGACGGCGGATCTCGAAAAGTACTTCCCTACTACGACCCTGGAGACAGGCTGGGATATTCTACCATTCTGGGTCAGCCGCATGATCATCTTCTCTCTTAAGCTCACTGGAAAGGTGCCCTTTACTGAGGTCTACTGCCACGGCTTGATTCGTGATAGCGAAGGCCGGAAGATGTCCAAATCACTGGGAAACGTTGTCGACCCGGTTGATATTGTTGACGGGATCAGCCTCGACGGTCTGCACCAAAAGCTGCTGCAGGGCAACCTGGCCCCGGGGGAGGTCAAGACCGCCCAAAGATATCAGAAGAAGGCTTTCCCCCAGGGCATTCCCGAGATCGGGGCCGATGCCTTGCGCTTCTCCCTCGTAAATTACACGCAGGCTTCTGGCGGTGACATCAACTTTGATATCAAGACGATGCACGGCTACCGGAAGTTCTGTAACAAGATCTACCAGGCTACAAAGTATGCCCTTGGCAGACTGGGCGAAGATTTCCTTCCTCGCGAGAGCAACGCTCTGACAGGGAGGGAGAGCTTGCCAGAGCGATGGATCTTGACGAAGCTGAGCACGGCCGCAAAGGAGATCAACCAGGCTCTGGAGCAGCGAGAATTCGCCAGGTCAACCCAGATCAGCTACCGGTTCTTGTACGATGAGCTGTTTGATGTCTACATTGAGAGCTCGAAGACGATCATCTCAGATGGCACGCCCGAGGAATCCCGTTCTGCACAGGACACGCTCTATACCGCAATCGAGACTGGCTTGCGGATGGTGGCTCCGTTTATGCCCTTCCTGACTGAAGAGCTCTGGCAACGTCTCCCACGCAGACCCAACGACGATACACAGTCAATCACCGTTGCCAATTACCCGGAGTATGAGCCGTCCTTTGCTGACCCGAAGTCTGAGGCCGCCTACGAGCTTATCCTGGGCTGCTCAAAGGGCATCCGTTCCCTCCTGGCAGAATACGCCGTTAAGGATAAAGGCGTCGCCTATATCACACCTCTGAACCAAGAGTCGCACGATACCATCCCAGCCCAGCTCCTCACAATCCGGTCCCTCAGCGGTAAAACACCAGTGGATATCAACATCCTCAATGTTTGTGAAGGGGTCCCTGCAGGCTGTGCCGTCTTCCCTGTTTCCGCTGCTGCCAATGTCTACCTTGAAGTCAAGGACCGCATTAACGATGCTAAGAAAGAGGTTGCCAAGTTTAAAGCGAAGCTGACTGAAGCGCAAAGGGATCAGCAGGATATAGAGTCCATCACGGCAGAGCTGCACAGGGTCCAGGATAAGGATGTGACCGAGGCCCTGCAATCAGCCGAACGCCGGAAGCGAGATGTCGGTGCTGCCTTGTGTGCATTGAAAGAGACTGTCGCGATGTTTGAGAAGATGGCTGTTCAGATTATGGTGGACTAAGAGGTAGAATACCAGTGTTGTATATTTTAGATACCAAATTTACGCTTTCAGATATCACTAAGCTTTTATTTGCCATCCCTGAATCACACCAGTACGCACTATATGTTTAAGGGAATTGTTACAGTCCAGGTAGGTACAGGGAACGCTTCTATATCCAAGAAGAGACGCAGCGGAAGCAGAATGAGTCAATGCATCAATTGCCTCGCTCCATTACAAACAATGCATATAGTAATCCTGCAACTCCAACTGCAACGTACTAACGAGACCCGGACATGCAATGTTGTGCATCCATTACTGTGGAGCTGTTATGAGTCAGAGCCTGCCGCCGTGCATAAAGACCCATCCATCCATTTTCCCCAATCAATCAATTCATAATATCATCTTTGGTCTTCTTTTCTGGTTCCGCAGTAGACACTCCCCAACTCGTTTACTCCAGAAATATGGCACTACCGTTTACTGTCGTGGATGTGTTCACTGAAACACCCTTCAAGGGCAACCCGCTCGCAGTGGTCACGATCCCACCAGGCGTGGTCTTGACCCAAGCCCAAAAGCAGGACATCGCCAGGGAATTCAATCTGTCCGAGACTACTTTTGTGCATGACGTCGCGCCAACTGATGAGCACTTCACGGACAAACGGCGCTTCGACATTTTCACGCCAGCGGCGGAGATACCGTTTGCCGGCCACCCAACAATTGGCACCGCCGTGTTCCTTCACCCACGTGGCGTACGCACCTTGCTTGCAAAGGCGGGTTCTATTACCATCGAACCAGCAGCACACGGCGCCCTCCGGGCCGCGATCCCGCATGATATCAGGCTGCACCAGAGGCGTCTTCCTGCGCCTGAGACGGGCCTCCCGGAACCCACGCCCCAGGCTGTGGTTGCGAGGGCAGAGGGCGGTGCTCCGCTGTTCAGCATTGTCAAGGGCATGACGTTCGCGCTCATTGAGCTGCCGTCACTCGAGCTGCTAGGCGCCGCGTGCGTGGGTGCCATGCCTGCAATCCCCGTGGAGCTTTTGGACAATGGCTGGCGTGACGGCTGGGTTACACGGCGGTACTACTTCGTCCGGCTCGGTAGCGAGCGGGTCGGCAGCAGAACAATTCACAGAATCCGGGCGAGGATGGTGAAGTTAACCATGGAGGACCCGGCCACAGGGAGTGCGGCGTGCGCGTTGTCGAGCTACTTGAGCCTGTATGAGTTGGAGGAGCAGTCGGCCACCTTTGAGATTACCCAGGGTGTTGAGATGGGACGGGACAGCAATATCCTGGTGGACACCGAGGTCGGCAAGGGCCTGGACGGGGCGAGAAGATTGCACGCGCTGCACCTTGGAGGACAAGCAGTTCCGGTCATGAGCGGGACCATCATGGCTCGACCATGATGCGCTGCTGTATTATCATGTGAACCCAATATACATTTCATAGCATGAATTCTTCTACTTTCTAACACCATCCAATACTAAGGGTGTAAACTACTGCTAGGAGTAGTAACTTCCTTCGAAGTAAAGGTGCAATATGTATAGTCCTCCCTCCGGCCCTCGAGAGTAGATTGATAAGAAAATGTACTGCTGCTCGAATCCTGTTGAACCTCTCCCCACATCACCGGCTTGACAGCTGCGTCCTCGTCTCCAGGCGGTGGATGGCAGGCTGCACTGATTGCAGTGCTGCAGGAAGAAAGCAGGGGTAGGTTTGATTTGAGAGGCCGAAGGCTGAGACCGAAAAGGAATATCATGGCGACTGCACCCACTATAACGGTGATAAATATGGCAAGCGGGGAGTATCCACATCCCTGGGCATACTCGAACAACCGATGATATATGTCGAAGGATGCTGCCTTCACCAGGAAAATACATTGAGAGAGAAGCCAGTGCATGAATACCGAGACTGTGATAAGCGGGATGCTGTACCGGTAGGGGAGGCTGAGGTAGTAGGTTGACCGCTGCTCGCCTCTTGGATAGGAAACCCGCAGTGGCTTTCGTTCTGTGGCAAAGTCGTTATATTCAGCCACGGCCAGCATGCACGTAAGCACTCCATTGCACACGAGATATAGAGTCGAGAATACAAGCTGCGGTGAGTTTGCCAACAGCGCTAGGGTAATGAGGCCCTGGTCTCTTATATCCTCGATGAATGCGTCCCCGCTGGGCTTTCCTATGCCTAGTTTTCTCGCCCTAGAAAACCCAATCCCACTGGTAGGCATGGCGAGAAAGCAAAGGAAGATGGAGGCGCCCAGGCAGATAGAAAACCTGGATCCGCTATTAGAAGATGATCACGGAGTGGGGGCTGGGAGTAAATACAGGATATAAGTAAAGGCCCAGCGTCTCCAGCTTGCGGCCTGCAACCATCTCTTGCGTTTAGAAGGGAAGGGGAAATCACGCCGTGTCGTTTCGTCAGGGCTGTCGAGGAATGAAGACACTGCGTCACCGACAGTCAAGAAAATATCTCTGCGCTTAGTTTTCGCCGTTGCATACGTGCAAAGGAATTTAACAATATTGCATGCAATCACCGCGATGGATATAGGCAGGCTAAAGTAAAGCCCGCAGTGCTGCTCTGCGTCGCTGGTCATGCAGCCAGAAACCGTGATATTGCTATCAACTCCGCGCCCAGGGGAATCAGAACAGTAACATTCCATGCGCTCATAATAACCCCAGTGGGGATCCAAACGCGCGTCGATACGAAACGATATCCCGGACGCCCATGTGCTATTCTGCCAATTCGAAGTCGTGTTAAGAAAGTCACCCAGTTGGACTTCACTGGGATTTTCTTTCAGGATGAAAGTTGCAAGTGTGCGTACATCCTGAGATATGTCCGTACAGGCTGCCTCGTCCCGGTCTGGGGACCAGCTAGGGCATAGGCCATCCAATTCACCCCAATCGTCGGTGCCGTTGGCTTTGAAAGACCAAGGCAGATAGTTCCACTTTTCAGATTTCAGTTGAGGCCCAGGATCGGTTAAATCTTTCGTCCAGAAATACTCGTCCAAGATAGACTGGCTGGAAGATCCGTGGAGGTTCTCTCTGTCCGTGAGAAATAGAATCGCGCCCGCCTCGGTGTTGAATTCTTTGTTATATCTACTACTGCAATCGGCGAGACTCATGCTGCGGAATGTGCCGTTGAATATTTCTGCTAGGACGTCCTCAGGGGTCGAACCAAGTTCCTTGTAGAATGACTGGGCTTCGTATTCATCCTTGACGAGAGATTCATTTCTCCCGAGATCACTTGGAATGACAGCAATTCCATATTGCATGGTGCTTATTGAAGAGAAGATGGCCGTGTTGTACCTTGAATTCTATCAGCGAGTGTCATCTAAGAAGCTTAGTGGCACCAACAGCATATGAATAGGCAGTGAAGTAATTAAAAGTAGACCCCAGAGAGCCTTCCTCTGCGCACTCATTATCCACATATTGCGCAGGCTCAAGACTCCAATATCAAGCCAGTCACTTTTTGAATGGGCGTTGTCGACATCGGCCCGTGACGGTGCGCTGAGGCATTGCATAACATAATTGCTGGCTGCCAACAACAGAGCGCCGAGGGCGTTGATAACCAAATGCATCCCAGTAGCCCAGTTACCTGTGAGCGAACAATTACCTTCATAGAGCTGTGTATATGTAAAGTGTTTGTCCCCTGCTTTCCTTGAACACGCGATACCAACTGCGATTATTGTGAGGATTATATTCAAGACAGCAATTGATGCCGTTCCCCACGCACAAAACATGGCACCTTTAATCCATTCCTGTCCGGGCTGGATGTCCTGTTTGACGAGTGACAGTGGGATATTCTCCATTCTGCATTTGGCTTGAATTTTGTCAAAGCCCCCCTTCGCCTTGGAACAGATGACATGAACACGGGAGCGGTTCGAGCTGGGTTTACTGGAAGACGTTCCTGGGCGCTCATCTTGGTTGAAATCTGACTCTGGCGTGTCGTCAATGTCGGGGCTGAAGGAGAAAGAAGAGTGCATGGCTTGCGTATATTCAGATTGCACTAGCTGGGACATAATGACTGTAGGCGAGCTGACCGTGATGGACGCGTAGAACATCATGTCAAGGCGGAAATGGCCACCTGGATATATGATTATGATTCTCATCGTGTCCAGGCTGTTTGGATTGGCTGTGTTGCGGCGATCTTCATGCCAGGAAGCACTGCCACCGACAGGCACAGTGTTGGCCCCCTCTGGGGCCGCATAACCCGCATGGACCCAGAGGATGGGCGCTCAGACTCGGTACATGCAATTATACTGGCCGGCTAACGTCCCTGGGCCAGCTAGCTCATTCCTTCCGAGTCAAAGGCACCATCCTGTTTTTAGTAGTGACGTTGACACGCTCCCCGACAGATATATGTTGTTGTTAGGCACCATAGTTTGCATCCCGCAGGTGTACCGAAAGTACGACCAAAACACAATAGATGCAGGTCATTACTATGCCAGAAAATACAAGTAACGATATATAGTATCAAACTTCCTAACCAGCTAATCCTGGAACAACAGACCACGCCCCAGCGGTGAAGACCAGCTCCCCGCTCTGCTCCATAAGCCCTGGATTAACATAGATCTTCATTTTTGCTGAATCAAGCCCAAGATGGTACGGCCTGAGTATCACGTACACATTCGCTCGATCTGCAGGGTTAGGAGCTACATCCCGCGTGGTTTGCATCTACTCGGTCGCAGTTAGCCGGTGGTTCACTGGGATGTTATAGGAGATAAGTGGATAACGCACACGTTCATACTGATGTCTGCTCATATAAAACGGTGCGTCGCATTTGGACGTCGTAGACTTGACCTCTAGGAAATATTGCGGTCTTGCATCTGCCCACGTATCATCCAAGTACCCATTCGTCACGAGTAGCGAGGTGAAAGCGCCTTCCGTATCAGTGTAGGTGATATCGGCGCTCTCTCGGCCATTCCAAGGCTCAAGATCAGTGTAGTCCTCGTGGAGTGTGACGTGTTTGCGAATTGTGCTTTGCCAGTTATCACGCGAGAATCCAGGAAGGGGCGGGTTTAGACGGGCCAATATCTCGAACACCTGTTAAGCTGTTAGAATGACGGAAGATGTGGATAGTGATATACTCACGAATAGCTCGCCCGCTGCCCCGACAAGAACATCCCGGTAAGGCTTATCAAGCCCATAAAACTGGAAAGGTTCACTGTATGGATCGAGAGAGCCGGTAAGGGCCGTCATGTCGAAAGAGCCTCTACTGGGGAATGAAGAGGCCCTGGCGGCGTTCACAACTTTGCGAAGAAGAGTCCGGTAGGCTGTATCGACTGTCTGGTGCGGTATTATACGGCTGGTAGGTACAAAACTTGCTGCACTGGCTGCTTCCTGTGGAGTAAATTGTGGTCTGCTGGTTGCTGGCGAGAGTGTTGAAGTCCGTGAAAAAGCAGCAGAGATAGAATCATCAGGGGATACGGCGACATAGTGTTCGCCCAGAGATAACTCATTCGATCCTGTTGGAGTCACGCCAACATTAAACTGGTCAGACCCTTCATGGTTAGGCCCAGTGATAGGTTCCTCGGCCGGTGTATCATCTGGCGTCTCGACGGACATAATACCAGCCCGGTCAAGAGTCATACCAACATACTTGGGCTCAGCTTGGAGAACCATCGATAGTACATTTAAAGCCTTGTCATTGAACACCTCACAGATCCCAGTCAGTGGCTCAGTCATGATCCATTCCAGAAGTGCAAGCGGTATTCTGTCGAGGAAGCATAGGAACTGTGTCTCCTCGTCGCGAGGAACGTAGATTATAAGTCCGTCTTCTGACTCGTGGAAATGCAGCTCGCTCTTGCTGACTTCAACCACAATATCCTTTCCATCCTGGTGAAAATGCAACTCGGAACTAATTCCATCTGTCTCGCGGACATCGATGTTCTTCAGTATCTCATAGAACGGTTGTTCGCCACTTCTGACTCGTGGACTTCTGAAATGAACACCGAGTCTGAACATATGTCAGTCAGTGTGCAAATATTCTGTGATATAAAGGGAGTCGTACCGAAGTAAACCGTATGCCTTTCGCGCTATATTCCGCTCCGGTGAAGTCAGAGACCCGTGGGAGTCTCCACGCACCATGGATATTTCCTTGACGGAAGATGATAGATATCGCTTGTCCAACCCGGTCCACTGGAGAAATGGCTCCAAACGTGCGATCTCATTGACATCGAAGTCGAGCAATTTCGCCCTGTTCGCAAACAAATCCGACAGGTGTTTGCGATCTGATATACCAAAGCCCTCGGCGGAGCTGCACAGTTCAACCACGCCGTTTGAGTGTCTCACTGGGAACACCTTGGCCTGTAAAACTCGAATTGGATCAGCGAGACTGCTATCACTCTCCATATATGAATTGAGTAGCCAAATTGTCTCCTTTATTTGTTCTGGTGACGATTGGCTGTTTCCTTCTTCCACGAGTTTATCATGAATCATCTGCAGAGTGAGCGTCCGGACACCGATGAATTCAGTGAAAAAGTCATCAAGGTCTTCATATGCGTCATTGAGTGCCACCATTCCTTTGATGTCTGTTACAGTTGACCACAGGCACTCAGAGGGTCTGTACCACCTGGTGCTACCACCAGACTCGTAGTATACAAGCCGCAAATCATCAAATTGTGCTCTGGCGACCAAGAGTTAGATTAATATCAAATAGCCTTCGGGGCCTCAAACGACCTACCGGATTGCATCCATCATGGAGCTGCTCATATTAGGCCGTCTCCTGTTCAGCTCCTGATACACATCGATCATCAGGGTGTAGCTGGGAGACTCGAAGAGCCGGACCCATCGCAGCTCCGAGAGAAACTCCACGATTCCGGCATTTTGTATCTTTAGAGTGTCATGGAAGAGAGTGCTAATATACTTCTCCTTTGTAATGGCGCGGAATCGTGACTTCAATGGGTATGCGCAATGCATATATTCAGGCGCTTCCCACAGGCATTTCTCAGGAAGCGCCCAGGTGGCAGATTTCGAGCCGTACCCAGGAACATAAATAAGGGGTTTCGCGTTGAACGCCGATCTGCTGTGCGGTTAGAATGCCACGCAAGTTGATGACATATGGGGGTCGTACACGATCATTTCGGCAGACGTCTCTCGAGTTACAGACTCGTGGTATCTTGTCTCAATCCGATTGTAGAGAGCAAATATACGGGATACATCGACCACTTCCGCCTTGTCTCTGTTTGCATCGGCAACGAATTCTAGAATGGTGATGTAGAATTCGAGGTCTGATTTAGGGTATCCAAACCCTAATGCTGTAGTGAGGACCCCTATGTCGGGCAGGCCTGCCTCATCTGATGAAGTAACCTTGAGCCACGGAAAGAATTCTCCATCTCGTAGAAAGCCATCGGCATATTGGATTTGAGCAGTGCGAACGTATGTTTTACCCAGGGGATACATCCTTCCACTTTCGCACAGAACTTCAGTATCTAGCAAGGCCTTGACAAGGTTGGGGTTGCTTGCAATGTTTGGCCCGTCAGCCTTCCACGACCGTAGGAGAAATGGCAGGAATTCGTGCGAACATGACCCGGCTATATGAAGACACTCTGGGCTTAAACTCCGGAAGCTTTTGTCGCTGAGGATAGACCTTGTGAGAGAAGTGAGCGGTATCATGTCGCGGATACTGAACAATGTAGTCAGCCACTCTCTCCACGAAAGAGTTTCCTTATCAGGCTTTTCGGGACAGTCTTGCATATATTCCGGGTGGAGAATTGCTGGACTGGGACTGAATTTAGCTAGAAGTCGCTGGGGGGCTATATGAGCCCTCGTCTGGAAAATACCACGTCCTTTCGAACCAAGATTGTGCCTTGAATTCTTTGTCTAAAATTTGCCAGGCGGCGTACCTAGGTGGAAATTCCATGTCTCCCTGTAGATGTGCAGTGAGGTAAAGGAACTGTAAACGAGATCGAGAGATTTCAAGCCCCGGATATGCTAGCGCGTCATTCGTGATAATTCGATCACGAGCATCTTGCAGAGATGCCTCTCGAACGCCGAGATGAGCAAAGAGCCTTTTGCGAATGGCATTTCTCTCTGCCCTGGGTAAAATCAATCTGAATATGCCGTCCGTTGGAAGAGCATATCCCTGCACGCGGGTGAAATATACTGGGTTACATCGCATGGACGTCGCAGAGACCCATTCCCCTCCCATTATTGGGATGAGATTGATGTTACATACCCTGATCCATATCGGCTGATCTGAAATGGCAAGCAAGAAGTGCGCCATGTCTGTATGCCAGTCATCGTCGGTACTCGGATTTCGCATTACTGAGAACGCGCCATTTTGCATGTCTCGCTCAAGCCTGTCGAGGAATTCCGCAAAACTCATTTCCCGCAGTCCATACTGCTCCAAACGACTCAAGTCACTGGTTGCATATAGGGGAGAAAGATACTGTTCAGGTTTCAAGTCAGGGAGCAGTGGCCTTCCCAACTTATCACGCATCCTAGCCTGAAGCAAGCGCATATCCTTAATGCAGCGCATACTGGAATTACTCCGAGTCAATAGAATGCTAGATCGTTGGAGCCGGGACCGAATTTCAGATGGCAGGTGCTTCCAAAAGCTATCCTGAGCATTCCACCCAATATCAGGCAGATACCTCATCCACTCGTACGGTAGGATACGTTGCGTACAAAGGTATTCCACAGTCTGTATGAAAGCGCGCGCAATGGCCGGAAGAAGTTTGATATTGCGGGCAGACGACCTAACGATATCCTGTCGACTCGCATCCGTCACGAAGTCTGCTTGAATAAGGAACTATAATTTGGTCAGTGGTATATGGCAATGTCGGGTGGCTACTGACCGGCAAACCCATATTTCGTATTGGCAGAAAGGCAAATACTTCCTGTGGCTCAATAATTGGAAGCCAATCGTGTGTCAAGGGGAACGCCAGAATAATATCTGTTTCAGCGTATGCCCCAGTTGCGATCTCTACCTCCGAATACTGTCGATTCTCGCTTCTGGGGATATCATGGGCTGTGAGTCTTGTTGTATAGTAGTATTGCTCGTGCATCTGTGTATCACCATCTTGCATTGTTACTTGCGTCAACGTGGCCTTGGTCCCCTGCTGGCCTTGTATGGAGAAGATCGTATAAGAGATCTCATTGTTGGACTGGTCGTGAATCCTGACCTCGATGCTCCGGAGATTCTTCATAAACAGGAGAAACGTAGCCTTCAGCTCCCGGAACTGCTGAAGCATCATCTCGCGTTGCCTGGTAAGCATCCCGTCCGTGTCATTGTCATAGAGAAACAGGGTAATTCGAGTAAGAGGCTGTGGCAAGACCTCGTCAGTCTCTTCCCATACAGGCGAAATCATTCCCATTCCAGAATCCCCCTTTCGATGTCGAAACGAAAAAGAAAAGTCCCGCGACTGAATATGGACTTTCCATGCTACCATGAAAACCGATTTAAAACCGATTCCCTTCTCCCCAATGTACCCCTGGGCACCCGTCTTGGAGCTTTTGCCAACGCTGCAAATCGCCACCAGGTTTTCGCGCGTGAAACCGTCTTCATTACACTCGACAATTACCCGCTGATCGTGGACAGAGAACGAGACATAGGGGCTGGCATTCGCTGCTTTGGCGGTGGTATAAGAGTTATCGTCTGCGTTCTGCAACAGTTCAAACACAAAGCGGGCGCTACTGTTATATAGATTCTTTGCGAGGCTGAGCCATTGGCAACGAGTTAGAAAACATTCACAGGCTATATATTAGGGAATAAATGCATACGTGATTGTCGAAGACCCTATCATTCCATCCTTCTGTAGCATCGCATACTCGATTTCACTTCGCTGATACGGCTCCAGCTGACTGAGGAATTCCTCTGAGAGATGGCCATGGGTTCGTGTAATTTGCCGCACCAGCTCACGAGCCGTAGATGACTTCATTTTGCAGTCAAACTATTCATAGAGGTTGAGGAAGGAATGAACTGGTCCTGTCGAGAGTGAAAATAGTTCAGGGTGGAAACCCCGCTTCGGCGCGTGGTGGGAGGACTCCAGTGATAAGACAAGCTCCAAAGTACCATATTATTTTCTTTTTCTAGGTATCAGGTGCTTAAGTACAGGGGTATGACTCGTGGCGCCTTTTTGGCGCGAACTAACCCAGCAACCAGGGCCTACCGTTCTTGTGAGAGGAAATGGCCAAATAAACCCGGCGGCTAAGTTTATCTGACTGGAAGGCCGTTTCGACACTGTCTGGCACATAGTGAGGTACATTCTACCGACGAGACTTTATGCAGAACAGGGAGGCGGTTGTGGTTGTGCAGATAGATAGGGCAAAGATGACGACGAAGAGAGGCTTTTTAGGGAAATGAAGAGTGGCTCCCGGAGAGCGTGACTATATATAATCGTTCTACTAAATAATTTGCCAACAGGACCTGTAAGATTCGACTACCGCTTAATCAGATTGTATCTGTTATATCTGATGTAACATCTACACCAGCTATAACTAGCTAACCGCCACAGATAGTTTGTGGTTATGCAACTAAAACGGGTGACGGGCTCTTCCGTGAGGGGATCGAAGGTCCGGGCGCGAACTACGAGATGTCAAACGGCGTACGGCCTTTTTACCATGTAACCCGCAGAACCCCTTGGGTAAGTACATATTTTAGAACTTTTGCGCATCTTCTGATCTACTGTCCAGGTCGCTGCTACACCCGTGAGGTTCTCGAGGCCTATATGGGGTTCTGTCAAAAGCACAATCTCCATCTCATAACCGACGAGAGCTATGCTCTCTCCACCTGAAAGAACCCAGATTTCCCGATTGCCCTGGTTTCGAATCCGTCCTTTCCATCAAGAAAGACGGTCTAATTGACCCAAGCCTCGTGCATGTTCTGTGGGGAATGAGCAAGGTACGAAGTCCGCTTCTCCAGATTTGATCGGATATAGTGACTGGTATAGGACTTCGGCTCCAATGAAATCAGACTTGGCTGCGTGATCAGTCAAGACAATGAGCATTTCCTACGTGCTGTTGAAGCGAACTCCTACTTCTCTTGCCCTTCGTCTCTATCAGACTCGGCAACGTCGCGGATGCTCTCTGACGACACTTGGGTCGAGCCATTTATACAAACAAATCGTCAACGGCTGGCGCAGAACTATACCATCACGATCAGATTGCTGGAACGCCATCGGATTCCTTATAAGAAGGGTCAAAATGCTGGCTTCTTTGTTTGGGTGGGCTTGTTTGATCGTCTCCGAAGGGAAGTGGATGCCGCTCTTGAAGCAGGTGTACCGGGTACGTCTGAAAGCACCGCAAGGGATCTCCAGAACAAGCTCCAAGAGACTTTACTAAAGCAAGCGATCTTCCTCGCACTTGGTATGGACTTTGGCGGTGATGCGCCCGGCTGGTACCGGATTGTCTTTGCTCATGAGAAGGAGTATCCCAAGCTGGGGTTGGGTCGGATGATTAATGCCTTAAGACAGCAGCAGTGGTGCTAACCTCATACTGAGCAAATCCCAAAGCTGCAAGGCAGGAATACCGAGCGGGTTTCCATGGAACGGACCAGGAATCGAGCCTAGTCCTAATACCGTCTAATGAACCAGTTACGACCAATTCGGACAAATTAGATACCTCCGGGATTTCTCCGGAGTTTCTGCGAGACTGGGGATTCCGCGGGGCGCGATCAGACCACGCCGACAGTGGCGCTGTGGGTCTATTGCGAAGATGCCAGCCTCTGGGGATAGCTTTGGACGGTAACCCGTTTTCTCAGCTGCATGGCGTTACGAGGGGTAATAATATCTGGACTGTCTTAGCTGATAAGCAGAGCGTGTGCTTGCCTGGGCTGGGGAATGCCCCCCCACCCCCGGATGTCATCAGAGTTGAAGAGTGGAGGTCAATCGTCCCGATAATCGGACGTCGAAACCCTGGAAGTATTGCGGACTCTAAACCCGAAGAGTATGAATAGACATAACTGGTCTAATGAGCAAGTGTGAGTGGGAGGTATTCGGTATTGTGGCATTCTGCTTAAGGGACACTGTCCTTATTTGAACAGTTCAGATTCTATTGGGGCAGATACAACGATATTCTATAATATGGAGATTTGAAGTGAAGTGAACAAGTAAGAGATGAACAACAGTCCAAGAACCGGGACCATTGTGGAGAGAATAGGATAGGCCAACTAAAGCAGTTCACCCGCGTGGTCTTGGTGATACGATGGCGATTGACGTAGCCAGAACCGCCTTGTGTTAATCAGACCTTGCTAGCATCTTCATAACCCATATCTGAAGGCTTAGTCTCTTCAGTGAATGAGTCCTTGCGGTGAGCTTCAGAAACAGACATAGAGCGCAGTTCCGAACGGTAGCTAGGGCTCTTCCACGCCTTGGAGACATTCTCATACAGCTCATTGACCTGCTCAAGGGACAGGCCCTTGGTTTCATAGATCATGGTGAACGAGAACACGAACGCGATCCAGCAGAAGCTACCCCAGATCCAGAACACGTTGGACTGGGTTGGGTTGAGGGCGCTAGTCAGATACGGCGTGATGTACGATAGCAGCCAGTTGAAGAACCAGTTTGCGGCCGTGGTCATGGAGAGACCTTTGGCGCGGGTTTGGAGGGAGAAGATCTCTCCGGTGACGACCCAAGCGCAGGGACCGAAGGTGGATGCTTTTAGATGTTAGTGAGGCTTTCATATATAGTGGCAGGGTGCTTACCGAAGAAAGAGACATAAATGCAGATGAAGGCGAACTGGGCGCACTGCGAGCTGAAGTTCGAAATCGGGGTTGCGGCACCACAGGCGGAAACAATATACTGGGAAACACCCATACCGACAGCTCCAGTCAGAAGAACAGGGCGGCGTCCGAAGCGGTCGATTGCGTAGAGACCAGGGAGGGTCATGACGACGTTGACAGAGTTGACGATGACCTGCAGGATGAACGAGTCGGGAAGGCCTTCGACGTTGTCCGCGAAGAACGAGGTTCCGTAGTAGATGATGAAGTTGATACCGACGAGCTGTTGCAGGGACTGGAGGATGATTCCGGTGATGGTGCGTTTACCAGCACTGCCCTTGAAGCATTCGAGATACGAGGCAGAGCCGATGGACTGTTCGTACTCCCAGTTGCTCTTCAGCTCTTCCAGCTCGGCGAGAAGGTCTGGATCTTCCGGGCCCAGGCGGCGGAGGAAGACCAGGGACTTGAGAGCTTGGGCATCTTTGCCTTTTTTGATAAGGAAGCGAGGAGTCTCGGGGAGGAAGAGGAGGCCACCAGCCTTTCAGTCGTCAGTTATGCTGTCGAGCTATCTTGGGAGAGGAACGTACCAGAATGAGGGCCCATGCGAACTGGATGGCAAGAGGGATACGGTAGCTCCCTATACTCTATTAGCCTTGCTTCACAGTCTTGAGCGTTTACATACCGCTGTCAGTCCTGTTCTGGGTGGCCCAGTTGACAATGGCAGCCAGGAAGAGACCGATTGTGATACAGAGCTGGTAGCATCCAACAACAGCACCTCTGATCCATTTTGGCAGCGTCTCGGACTGGTACATGGGGATTTGAGCAGAAACGAGGCCAACTCCCAGACCAGCAAAGAAGCGACCAGCAATGAACAGAGGCTGCGCTGTAGCGGCAGTCTGCAGCGCGACGCCCAGATTGAAAGGCAGCATGACAGACAGGATGATACCCCATCGACGCCCAGTAATGTCTGCCATGATACCGGCGGCGAGGGCACCAACGAAGGTACCAACAGACAGGATAGAAACAATCAGGGCGATGCGGCCTTCATTCGGGTTATCGAATTCTTCAATCCAGTAGGGCATTGTCTGGATGCCGGCGATGGTCCCGGTGTCGTAGCCATACAGGATACCACCGAACGAGGCGAACAGCCCGACCAGGATGGCTGGCCAGGCGGCGCCCTTCTCGTTGGAGGGGCGGTTGATGAGCATCGCGGTGTATAATTATGGATGGGAAGATTCAACGAGATTCAACGAGGGAGGCAGAGCTGACAGCAGGTCCAGGGGGCGATCGCCTTAAGTACTGACGTGATGGACACTCACCACCAGACGACAGCGGAAAATGATCTCCTCGAGGCATTTAAAGCTTTTAATCCCAGGATCGCGGAGCGTCGGGACCATCGCCAAGTTGGTGTGGGGTGGACTTACGCAGTGCAGCCGGCACAGGAAGAGGGCCAAAGGTTCGTCGAATGTTCGCTGCATCAACAGAATTTGGCCGTTTCAGGGCATTTGCAGCTGCAACCAAGGTTCCACGATGCAACGCCACCCACGGTCTCAACTGTTCTTGTCCAATTGACGCCTCGATTGGCGTGTCTCGGTGGGCCGCCAATTTTCCCCGTGGGTCTCCGCAAAGCCAAAAGATTCCATAGCCCCCGCGAAACCACCAACTAGACGAGGAGCAGGACTTGGCGGCTGCAATGGGCGTCGAATTGCCACGTCCAAGACTTCCTTAGCCTGTTTATTGCTTGTTTTTTTCGGGAGAGAGAATGGCTGAGGAAGCCGGCTGGGCGTCGGTGCTCGGTACGTTTGCCTGCCATGCGATGCTCTGGTGTACTCTTTCTTTCGATGGAATGCATTGCAATCCCCAGCTTGGAACCCTTTGACACCTGCATTAAATTCAACTCCTGCCGGACTGGTACAGAATCACAAGCCGAGTCCGGACTTCCGGTGGTGGCCGGATATGGCCTCGGGCAATTGTCGGGACTCTCAGCGCCCGACGGAGACGATCGGTACAGAGTTAGTCTAGGCCAGGTTGCAGGTGGAGCAGCCAATATCGAGCAGACTCGGCGCCTCGAAAGGGGACTCGGTGTGGCCCCGATGCCGAGACAGCGCGGTGTCTGCCTGTTCCGAATGAAGAGACAGGCCGAGTTTACGAGACCGACACTTGAATACGAACAGAGCCCTCAACCGTGGGCTGCTTTTGTCAAGATATGGATGGTAAATTGCAGCCAAGGAACACTTTCCGGGTGGCTTTCGGAGGATTGTCGGAGGGGGCTATAATATAACTGTCATAATAGGCTAAGGAAAGCTCTGAAAATCTCCTCTATTGGGAGGCTGATATCCAGGCTTACCAGTGCTAGTACCTCGGAGCGAATGCTTAGTCCTTAGCGGTACACTATGAAGGAAGAGGATCGGATTGTAACCAAGGCTTAGAAGGCGCGAAGGAAACAGTCCTGCTGGTAACAGTATTCTGGCGAACAAAGCGAACACAGGAAAGAAAAATAACTGAAATGAGGACAGTAACGACAAGTAGGGCTGTATCTAATCTAACGCAGTGTTTCAGCCCAAATCCAGGCCCGATGAGATGTACGACCATGGACCAGCAAGGGCAAGTCAGTCTCACAGTTTGGTTATGGCCAGCAGAATCGGAGCGACCTTCTTGATCTGGTCGGCATCGTCGAGATCCCATGGGCCAAACCTGTAGAGCTGCATGAACGATCTCTTGCGCTCAGTCCTGCTGCGTATAAGGAAGTCCCGCCATGCTATGGGTGTCACTGCAACTGTGATATACAGTTGCATGGCATCTTGCGAGACCATGAAGCGGCTATCAACATTAGTTCCCGTTCATTTTCTGGTGTTGGTAGGTAGGAACATACGTTTCTGGGGATTGAGGAAAATCCTTAATCCAAGCTACGAACAACGCAGCCTCCTGCATTGCTATTGTGGTATCGTCGTCACCCCGCTCATGCGCCTTACACTCCACAATCGCCTTCACCTCGTGGGTGGTCTTTGACTGGAGTTGCCCGTCTGTAGCCGCCACCATCTCCCTCTTCGCCCCGCCGGCCAGTGTCATAAATGTCGCTTTGAAGTGGATCTTTGTGGGCCGCCATTCAGCAAGAGGCGCCAGTGCTGTGTTGGTGATCGCCTGAAGGAGCATGAGGAGGGACGTATTTACCGCCGTCTCATCGTGTCTCTGCAGACGGCCTGGGTATCCTGCGTCAACCTGACGAAGTACATGTGTATACATGTCAGGGATTGTCCGGAATTCGCCTGTTGCGGGGGGGTGGCCATTGCGGATGTCCGTTAGAAAGCTCTGGAAATCGTCGGACTCGTCGAGCTCATCAGTTGCAGCATCAACCTGCTCGGTCATGTCCCATTGTGCTGGCTTGAAGCTCTCGCGCTTTCGTGGAATGATTAATGTTTGGAAGCAAAGGTATTGTGTCTTGCTCACTTTAGAAGCTGAGTTGTGTTTGTCAAAGCGCCGGAGTGTCATATCCTGTACCCTGGCACGGGTTGCTGCTATAAGCCACTCCCCCGGAGTTTCTGGTATTGTATCGAAAGGATGTGTCGCAGGCTTGTTTCGAGGACCCTATGTTTGGATGTTACGGCAGTGTAAAGATTGAACGCATGCGTTGTGACCGGGGCAGGGGATAGGAAGGGCAATAGATTCAAGCAGAGGCCAACATGGAGGCCACTACATATATGATCAAACTGGCTATCCATTGACACAAATACAGGCCAGGTGAGGGAATGTGTTACTCAGGATTCCAGATTGTTCCTACGGTCCATGGCCAATTTTGATGGCTAGTGAATGTGGTATCAATTGTTCAATAGAGGTCTACCACTAAGTATTAAAGGGGATAGTGAAGCAGGCATGGTATCGCAACTGCAATCCCATATTCTATATAGATGCAATCCATAAACTTAATGTGGTTGGTAACCAAGAGTGAAGTTACCACGCCACCGTGAAACCCAAAATTAGGGTTGGGTGAATTCATCATGCAGGCGAGGCTCTTATGATACTGCCCCCCTCGCAAGCTTTTCTCCTCTTCCTTTCGCCTTCTTTTCGTTTCTTTTCTCCTCCTCTCTTCCTCCCCCTCCCGTCTGACAACCGTCCTCCCCTTGACCCCTCTAACCTCGCGTTCCTCCAAACAAGTTCCGTTGACAATCAACATGCCCGGCGCCATTCGCAGACGGCTGCACGACCTATGGGCCACTCTAACCGATCCGAGCATGAAACAGCGTCTTGAGCGCGATAGTGTTGTGCCCTCACGATTCCTTACAAATAACAAAATTACCCTCGATCTCGCTGCCTTCTCATCGACAGATACTGCAGCAGACAACCTCAACAAGAAACCACCTATTCTTTTCCTCATGCGCTCTGAAAGAATCATTACCGACCATCCCATCGACATGGCCGATGAATTTTTCAGGCCAATGGGGAAAGCTCAGGTTCGTGAAGAGAGTCCCTCGCCTGAGACTCAGGTGAGGATGATTTTGCAGGCCGAGAGTAAGGCTTTTCACCGTGGGACATCTCTCAGCCATTACATTAATGAGTGGGTAATGTATGGATATCCTCGTGTCATCCCACGGGGCATCCCCAATCTTGCTACTCGGTGCAACATTCATGGCGTTTCGTATGTTATACTCCTTCCTTTCGCTGCCCCCTGCTGACAAGCCTTCCAGCTCACCGCATGCGTTGAACCTCGAAACTCGCGGATTTAGGAGATCTGGCCGACTGAATGACATTCGATGGAAAACTCGTATTTATGAATATAACCAAACGTCTAATGGGCGTCCGGCTTATCCCCACCTGATTCTGTTAGGGGTACAGTCCTGCGATGGCTATACAAATACCATCAGCCTGGGCGAGCTCACCTTAATCGTCACAGCCATGCGCAGCCGAGCATACCAGCCTGCTGAGTTTGATGAAGACGCGATACTAGTTGGCGATGCCGAGCAGTCGGAAGACGGCAATTATCTGCCAGGCCATGAAGACAAGTTGGCGTTTCCACACCAAAGGCGGTTCCCGGTACGCTATCTATTGTTGATATCGGAGCTTCATGGCCTCCCCCCCTATAGTCGATGGATGTTTACTAACCTGCTCCTCTGGCGGACTAGGTTATGATGGTCTCCCTCGTCGGTCCCCAGCATGCCCGATTTATCTATGCCTGCATGGATGGCATGACGCTTTCGATCAGAATGTCTCAATGCCGGGCTATGGGAACGGACTCGGAGACGGTTATGCGTGATATCGCGGGTGTGCTTCTCAGCTATCCGTTGGAGGAGATGGCTTAGGGAGAGGATCAGCCGGCTATGGCCGCGGTCTTGAATTCTAGGTAATCCTAGCTTGCAGTATCGACTTGTGTGTTTGGTGCTCCTCTAAATCCAGCAAACCTGGCTAAGGCTTCTCGTATGATGAGTAAGATCCATGGATAACTTCAGTAACAGTGCGCTGGACTTCATAAGAGGCGTGCTTTTCCGCTCTATACCGAGCAGCCCGAGTGGACTAACCGTGATGTATAATCTCGGCTCCCTAGACCTGTCCTTAATTTGTACGTGCGCCTTTATCTGTTGCCAATTGGATCAATATAACATGTAAAAGGAGGTTTAAGGTAAAGATTTAACCCCTATATAGCCAGTTTAGACTCGACCAGCAAATAAACATCTACGTTGACTTATACACTCTCTTTCCCCCGCCGGGAGCGGGAATGAGTAAGTAGGGGAGAATACAATCCAAGTGAAGAGAGTGATGAGGTGAGGAATATCGAAAGCAAGATCAATGTTCTGCTGCTATCTAATCTAAAGGAGGATTAGAAGCCTGGAGAGAGTCTCCCTGGCCACAAAGGAACGGTGAAGTGGTACAAGCATGCCCCAAGCGCAAACATACTGTCTCGTCAGAGCTCACTTCATAGAACAACCTTGTGCATCACCTTGTGATAGCTAGTAATATCGCCGCAACTTCCTTGACGTGGTCGGCCCGGCCCAGGTCCCAGGGGCCGAACCGATGCAGTCTTAAAAAGCTTCGAGGGCCGGAAGTCCTGTTGCGCCTGAGGAAGTTGAGCCATTCTGGTGCGATCTCGGCAAACGTGATGAAAAGGTGTAAGCCGTCTTGGGAGACTAAAACACGCCTGCTGAGGTTAGCTCCCTGCTTGCTGCCTGGCACTGCCCAGTGGTCGGTAGGAACTTACTGCGTCGGGTATGTTTGGTACTCCTTCATCCATGCGATAAACAATGCGGCCTCCTGCATCAACACGCTGGTGGATGTCGGGGTGATCCGCAAACTCTTACATTCAACGATTGCCCAGACCTCGTGCGTCAATATCGACTGTAGCTGACCATCCGAGATGGCCACCATTCCCCTGGTAATACCGCCGGGCAAAGTCCCAAAACTGGCCTCAAAGCGTACCTTTGTGTAGCGCCACACGCCCAGCGCACCTGGCTTAACCTTGGTTAGGCCGTTCAGCAGGTATATGAGAGAAGTGTTCACCGGCGATTCATCGCTGCTTTGGAGCTTTTCGGGATAGTTCCTATCAATGGGCTTCGAGATTTCCTTGTGCATTTCGCGGAGCTGGGAGAATTTTCCCGTGGGTTCCAGAGCATTGGGGTTGTGTATCGCGTTAAGCAGGCTTATGAAGTCACCGTCATATTCGAGTTCGTTACGGGCTGTTGTGACCTTGCGGTCGAGCTGCCATGACGCCGGATCGAACTCCTCGGCGTCATGCGAGATGATTATGGTCCGGAATGAAAGGAACTGCGCCTTTGTGATCTTCGAGGCGGACCGGTGGTGTGGGAAGCCCAACAGGCTGGTATTCTCAACCCCGGCCTTGCTAGCTGCCACCAACCACTGTCCCTCGGCTCTCGGGAGCGCGTGAAACGGTGTGGAAACGGACATTGTGGGAGGTTATAGATAGGGAACAGAAAGTTGTGTCACGGATTGAGTAGATGAGTGAAATGTAGAAAGGAATCTATACAGATGAACTTGGAGAAGAGGTCTTGATCCTCTCATTGAACATCGCTATCGAGGACGTATTTATATGTCTACATTCTGGAACTAGCAATAAGCCAACGTTTTTCAGTGTATCATTATGGTGAAGGCTTTGTTGGTAAATAGCCCCCCTTGCACATTCGACGTTGATGGATATGAGGAAGGATAATCCCTCCACTGACACTGTCAATGTCGACCAGGAAGAGTGACAACATGGTCCCCATCTCTATATGCATTCCAGAACTGACCATGGCTCATTGACGACAACACAACGTTTGACCAAAACACAACGTTTGACCAAAACACAACGTTGAGTAAAGGACATTGTTATTCTAAAGTAGACCCTGCACTCTATTCAGGACTTTGTGCAGCTTAACGGAATATGACAGCTGAAGTTGATGATGGCTGGTGCATAGCATATTGGCACACGGTGTTATACCAATATCTCCTTGTACCAGCTTTGCTACTGGATCTGATTGGCTGCAATGGGATAACAATCTATTCGTTACCAGAAAAATGCAGTCAGCCTTGACACCAACAGGAAACCCAAAGTTAGGGCTGCGTGAATTAACCTTTGGACGCTCATGACATGACTGTCTTCTCGCTACCTGGCAAGGTTTTCTTCATCCTTCACCTTCACCATCATCCTCTTCTCTCATTTCTTCTCCCTATTTCTTCTCCCTATTTCCTTATCCTTCTCCATTCTCACTCCAGCGTCTTCCGACCTTTCCCTGAAGATGACTGGTGTCGCCCTTCGCGATCGGCTGCACAGCCTCTGGGTCTCTCTCACTGATCCGAGGATGGAACAGCGGGTTGATAGCGACAATATTATACCATCCCGGTTTCTCTCTGACAATAATATTAGTCTAATTCTCGACTCCTTCACACCCAAAGCCACCGAAGCGGACAGCTTGAACAAGCAACCGCCTGTTCTTTTCCGCCTCCGTCCTTGTGAAATTATTATGAACCACCCCATCAATCCCTGGGACAGCTTTTTCACGGACAAAATGCAGGTAGACACCTCACCGGCCATTCGGGTCCAGAGGATCTTTGATCGCGAGTCCATGCCCTTATACCGCGGAAGGTCTCTCGCCCGTTACCTCGACAAATGGGCCATGGGCGGATACCCTCGTCACCTCCCGCCCGCTGTGCCAGATCTCCCTACGCTCTGCGGAATCGACAGCGTTTCGTACGTAGCCTTTCTATATCCGTTTGGAGCTCCTTTCTGATGTGCAATTTAGAGACCCCCACCCGTTGAACACGGAGACACGCGGGTGGCTGAAGCCCGGCCGGTGGACTGATATCCAGTGGGAAAACTACATCTACGAGTACACTGAGACCAGGCCTGATGGTAGTATTCTCCATCCTCATCTGATTCTGCTCGGCGTGCAGTCCTGCAACGGCATAGACAATACTATAAGCCTGGGCGAGCTTACTACTATCGTCACCGCCATGCGCTGCCGGGCCTATCAGCCCGCCGTCTTTAATGAAGACGCAATCCTAGTCGGCGACGAGCAACAGTCGGTAAACGGTAACCCGAGCCCGGGTAGCGAGGATGAATTGGCCTTTAAGGGCGAGAAGAGGTTCCCAGTATGCTATCCCCTTTTTACGGCCAATACCTACGCGTATATGTATGTACTAACCAGCCGTTATACTGGACTAGGTCATCATGGCTTCTCTCGTCGGCCCCCAGCATGTCCGGATTATTTACGCTTGCATGAACGGCTTGGAGCTTTGCATCAGAGCATCGGCATGCCACAAGATTATCCCGGAGACCGAGATAATGGTGCATAATATCGGCAGTGTCCTTCTGAGTATGCCATTGCAGGAGGCTTCTTAAGAGCAGCAGGGATATTGCGGGTACTCACTAGTACCAGCGTGCAGTCCCGGCTTCTGTACTCACTGCTCATCGAAATGGAAATTCAATTGCTACGTTTACTTTGCGTACGTAAAGGGCGGATGGTTATTCCCAACGCTTTCAAACAAGTATAGAGCACAATAGTATTCGTATAAATCAAGCAGTAAACACACATCTACTTCAATTTAGACGCTCTCCCTCCCCCGTACATTCTCCCAATGACGTCTTGTAGCTGCCCTCGCAATTCCCAGAATGCTCAGCTCTGTCCCCTTCCTCTGAAGCTGTTCAGAATCCGCTTTGTCCTTGCGGTGTAGCCAAGACGATAACGAATCAAAGCGTTTATGGATCGCACCTCTCCGGTGCCACGCTAGCCAGACGCCCATTGTGGCAAATGTCAAGGGAAGCGCTACAGCCCAGTACAGCCAGAAATGCGAATGCGCCCATCCGCCTTCCGAGGGAGAGTCAAAGTCGAAGAAATTTGTTCCAAAGACACCCTATATAGTTAGCTTTAATGTCAAACAAGGTACTTGGTGACGACATACAGAAACAAAAGTACCCGGAAGATACACCATACTGACAAATGCGATGGTCTTCATCCTCTCGCCATCAGCCTGCAGAACAAGGTTGAATCCCTAACGCTGTTAGAGTGACTCGTCGTGTATTATTTGGTTGTAGAGTATGAGGCTTACTAAATTAATCTCATTCAGCAACCGCTCGTTCAGCGATTTCGACTTCGCCTTGAGAGCATACGCATTCTTCTGCTGGAGGAGCAGCTCCTGATGCGAGTCCAGCCAGTATTTTATAGCGCCTCTCTCCCTCATCCCAGCTTCATCTTCCTTTCGCCACCGTTCCTGCTCCTCTATGAGCCGGGAAAGAGTGTGCTCGGCGACACCGATGATCTCGCTGTAGTGGAAGGCATGCCGGGCAAAGTCGTGGAGGTCCGTGAAAAACGTCTTCTTGTTTACATTGGAGCGGCGGCTACTCTATACGAAGTTAGTAACTAGTTTCAAGGGCAGTGTGGTCTCGGAAAACTAACTTTCTCATGTTTTCGAATCGGGTTTCTGACGTCCCAGTATGTCGCTTCGTATTCCTTTAGGATGCACCTGGAGAAGGCCGCGTGCCATGCGAAGGGGTTGTGCTTTCTTGCTTCAGGGGATGGGAGCTCTCCGAGGAAATTTCTCTCTTTTGTGTCTGCTGAAAGTGGAAAGTCGAATATGTATACTACTTGTCTCCCTGTTTGCTGGTCCCAGGTAATATGGAGGCTGGGCTGCTTCCACTCGTATTTTATCGCGCTGTTGACGCGCTTCAATTTGAAGCAGCTCCATGATACTGTTTTTAAGTTAATGGATAACGCGCTCGGCAATGGGTCACGTACCATTTGGCGTTACTCTGTCTCCGGTATAGTCATACTGGCAGTGGGATGTTCCGTTGAGGTCCTTGTCTATCACCGGCCAGAATGGCTCTTGGAACAAGTTTTTGTAGTCAATGTGGCTCTCAGCAAACGCGGTCGGGCAGAATCTATATTTTATTTAGCGACCATAGGCAACTGAGCTGTCGATTAACTTACATTGCCATATTTGCGACCAATTCTCTCTATCTGTGTCAGCGTTTTCGTCAAATACTCCCAGAAAGCGCAAACCTCTACGACCGCCAGTTCCGACCCTCGATGAATCCACCCATTTTCTATACCAGCTTAGCTCAGTCTATTTGGTATTCAGAATAAGGTGAGATGGTACCAGTTTCTTCGAAAACCTGAATCGGATCCTGCAGGCCTTGCCATTCGTCGTTTTCCGCCATCGAAACTATGGGGGTCCGCAGCCCTAAGCTGAAAGAATCAAGGAACAAACGCAAACATAAACTCACAAGGGGCTTTGTTCCAAAATTTAAATACGGGGATTGTGCTTTTGTTTGCTTATTCTGCGCCTCCTCAGGGCGATTCGAGGGGGGCTGGACTGGGCATTGTGCTTAAGCGCCGGCTGGCGAAATTGACAGGGATATGCGGATTCTTGCAGAAGACTCTTTCTCCTCAGGATATTCATTGGATGGGGCGTCGGTGACATTGCCCATAATGTAGCCGCCAGCCTTTCGTCTGGATCGGTCGCGCAATGGGAACTCGCCGGGTGTGGCAGTGTGCAGAATACAGCCACAAACTGCAAGGCTCTCGAACGTATCTGAGCTACTGTGGCCACTAGATGGGTGTCTCATGAGAGTGTGGTGTGATGAGGTTCAAAGTAATTTGGCAAACATTTATCTTCATGAAATTATGCTCGTTACTGCATCACGGGTATATAAATTGAAACAACCAAGCAAAACAAATATTCTAGCTAAGAAACACCCTCCTATCCCCATCCCAATCGAAATCAATCTCCTCCCACAACGCTGCAAAGTCGATCTCCTGCTCATCCAGGGCATGGGCATCGGGCTGCACAGCCATAACAGACGGACCAGGCAGCTGGGTGGCAGAGAGCCCATCACTGGCGTTTTCCGGCTGGTTTCCAGTACTTGAGGCGGTAGTTCTAGGGGAGAGAACCGCATCAAGAACAGAGCGGATAAACCAAAGACCCCTCGTGCGTGTTTCGTGGTCCCCTTCTCGATCTGGGAAGAATGTCTCCAAGTGTGCGGCAAATATACTCAGATTCTGGATTACCTCTGATCTGGGGAAGGAAGGATTTATGTTATTGGAGTGCGAGTGACGGAGGAGCTCTTTTGATAGGACTCCGGCTGCTGGGAGGCCGATATATGACAGCTAGAACTGTTAATTTTGATCGGGTAGAGTGGTGATTGGAGCTTGTACGTACATCGTTGCAGGTTAGGTAGTCAACATTGCCCATCCGGACCTGCTTTGAGATTATATTTAACATATGATTGATGATCTGGCGGGAGGTGTCGATGCATGACTCCGAGGTCTCGCCCGTTCGTTTCGCAACGGTTTGGGAGAGGAGTAGCTCCTGGAATAGGAACTCGAGATGCAGTGAAGCGGCTGCAGAGTGCGTATTCCCCGTCTCAGGAGACCACTGGAGAAAAGAGGGAAGTCCAATTCGCAGCTCGTTTGCTTCATGGCGGATCTTCCTATATGCTGTCAATAACGGACTACACGTCTAGGCAGGTACGTACTTGACCATGCCTTGCAAATCGTCAACGCTATAGCAAAGCGACACCTCTAGTATCATCTCTCTCAGAATACCCATTAGGAGGATAACCCGTGGTTTGGAGCTTTCGCCGCGTGGATCTTCTTGCGTGTCCCACCCTTCCGGTCCCAGACGGCGCAGTGCAGCGTCGCGGACTGGCGCGTCGGCAACCAGGTCTTCCCAGGAAATATCGACCGGAGGCTGCAGGTTGCAGTATCGGCGGCAGATGCGCGGAGGGCGGCCAAGAAATGTTGCTAGTTCCTTGTCATTGAAGTATGCAGCCACCACGGTTCTACTGCGGATTTCGGATAGGAAGAACGGGGCTCGTTCGTCGACCTTTCCTTGGTGAAGCCCAAGAGCGAATATAACTGTTGCTACATCGCCATCCGCTTTGGATGATCGAGAGTCTGCGAGTGTTTAGTACCTATCTCTATCGCGGACGTGTATCCTACCTGTAGGCCCATGCATATCAGCGAGGAACGTGGTCAGCAGGATTGTCGCCCACGCCAACGGATCGCTGGTTATTCCCAGGTTATGGCTGAATTGCAAGCACATATCAAGTGCTGCCAGGCTGATCTTGCGAAACCCTTCCTTGTTCATCCCCGGCATTCCCTCTCGACTGAGGACTGGCTCGTTCGGGCTGATTTGGTACGTTGACCGTCCAGCAAACCCCAATAACGTCCCGATGGTCTCCCATCTCGGTGCGATGATAGCAACGTACTCTTTTAATGTCATCTCGGGATGCGTCTCAATTTTTGTGGCAGTATTCTGGAATATACTCTTCGACCACTCCAACAGCCTCGCCTGTCTGCCAGCCGCAGTCGAGCCGCGAATACATTCCTGATACAGCGTCTTCAACCTAGCCAGCACCTCCCAAGCAAGTGGCGGACCAAAGTACATCCCATGATACAATTCAAACCGCTTATCCAGCAGCTCTTTATAAAACGAGGCATGTTCCAGCTGCGCCAGGATCTGCGCCCCGACCTCCACATCGCGTGGATCCGCCGCACTACCGGCAACAGGAACATCACTAAGCGACTCGCATCCAAAGTGCTTGAGATTCTCAAAAAAGTCCCTCGAGTGGCTCGTGGGACCTAGGAAGCTGGGAGAGGGAAATAACTCCTCGCTCTCGTTTGGAGTCGTGGTCTGGGCTATGCGCGCCGGCACGGAGGGCGCTTTGCTTGTCCAGTCGTAGAGCTTATCGGGTTCAACACTGGCCGAGGGAGTGGTCCTTCTTGGTCTTTGTTGTCTGGATTGAGCCTTTCTCTGTCTGTTTTCACGCGGTTTAGTCAATGGGCAAGGATGGTAGATGCATTGGTCGGGTCGTTGGCGCGCGATGCAGCGCTGGCAGACTGGGACTGTGTGGTCGCATCGCAGTTTTGAGGTGCGGCATGGCTCGCAGGAGGGCTGCTGGCCATTTTTGCGAAGAGTACTGGTGGTTGCCATGTATTACATCTGATAATGCAGTCCTGGTGATGATTATCCTGCAGCCTGGTTCCGCAGAAACCAGTTGGGTTCCACGCGCTAAAAGCTGACATTAATACACAAGTCTGCCTCAGGCAGCCAGGCAGGTATGTCTGTATCTATCTTACTACTTTTATCACGGCTTGCCAAGACTGTGCCATGTAATATCTACTATAACTCCTGTAGACTACTACTAGTATACCTATATAGTAATACCTAGCTAGTATAAAGGTCCTTGGCCTTTGGGGTTGTTACAAATAGTGTGAAAGAGTGTAGAGGTATAAAAGGAATATAAAGATTATGAATAATATGTTCTAAAAAATAAAGATTATTTATAAATTAATACTAAAGTTCTAAGTACTTTTCTTTTATAAAGTAAAGAGACGATATAGAGTACTTTAGTATTAATTTATTGATAATTCTAATTTTTTAAAATATACTGGAATATCTATAGCGACGATCCCAACAAGCAGCTCGACGACCGTCGAGATAAGGCAACAATATACGGGATGAATCTCCACTTGGGGACCATCTTGTAAATGTCCAGAGCGGTCGGGTCGTGTAGACTTGCAGCATCTTGAAAGTTTCCGACGCCCATTATTTGACCCATAGAACGATTATTATATGGTAGTGCCTGTGTTTGCCTGGTGCCTAAGCGAGGCAAATTTGTCTATACTTTACATTTCTTGCCTCACGGTCAGAAATTATTCTAACCCCTCAAAGGGCATGGGTTACATTCACAGCGTCTTTGAAGGACAAACATTCGCGATTATTTCATGTCTTGATGTTATAAACAGCAATTCCATGGTAGTTTGTTGAATTTGGTCTATGCTGGCCTTGCAAGATATGCCAGTTAGAGCGGGTATAGGCTCGGGATGTGGTCATGGAATCCCATCGAGGTCCCTACCTACTACCTAGTTAAGCAACGAGATGCATTTACAAATGTAAAATTTTGTTATAAACATTTTATATTTCAATTTGACTTCCTTCGATTTTCTGACCTCGACTTCGACCCGCTCCAACGTAGCATTTGGTTTAGGCCGCCACTGCAAGGGAGCGTTCTAAGCATATCCTTCCAAGCTACCCCTCTCCGAGCATTCGAACATAAGTCTTACCTCTTTATGGCTCGTCCTTGCTTGCCGTCTGGTTCTGACTCTCCACGCCAAATTGGATTGGGTTAAGTGGGTGCTCACTCTCCGGGATGTAACCCAGCTCGCACTTCAAAAAGCTAACCTTGGGCTGCGCGGCGTAGAACGCGTCAAACCGCTGGTCCAGGCTCTCCGCCAGGCTGTTGACGTCGCCAGCTGGATGAATTACTTGCCATGGATAAATACAGGCGTGACCCTTGCAAGTCTTGAGCGCCAGCGTCATGGCATCCAGGCGAGGGATGATGTCTTCGAATCCCCTGTTGGCGATGGTGAACGAGGACGCAATATGGGCGTACTCTGGCGAAAGAAGATTGCGAAGCTGGCCTGGGTCGTTCTATTTGCAAATTAGCGGTAGACTCATGCCAGGCCTTGCCGGGATGCCCTTACCTTCATATCGTAGAACTCCTTTTCACCGGTGCACCACACAGAGTAGTACAAGCTGTAGTCGTCCGACTTGAGGCGCAGTCCCTTGTAGTTGTTGTACTTGGAGGAATGGGCGCCTTCGGAAAACCCATCTCCAGGCGTATCGGTGCCATAGTCGCCGTACAAGCCCTCAGGAATCGCCAGGCCCCAGAACTCAATCTGCGCATGGTCGCGGCGAGCGTTCCTCTCATCTTCCTCGCTAAGCGGGATGGGCGTTCCGTCAGAATCGTCACTGGGAGCACCAGCAAGACGAAGAATCGTGGAAGCCAAGTCTGTATGTGTTGTCACCGCCGTCGAAACGTGGCCAGCAGGAACGCCGGGACCGCGAACGATGAGAGGGATGTTAATGTCAGTGTCAAACCCACACTCCTTTCCAGGGTTCATGCGATGTTGGCTGATGTGGAACCCGTTATCCGTCGTGTAGAAGATATATGTGTTATCAAGCTGTCCTGCCCGCTCGATCTTCCTAATCATCTCGTCCAAGCTCTCGTCGACGCTCTGCAGAGTTCGGAGCCTGGAACGCTGGTACTCGTCGTTGTAGTCAATGACAGTTTGGTTCAACCGTGGCAGGTCCTTAATTCAGCTCACGCCGCCCTGTACTTCCGGGTTGAAATTCTCTGTACGGGGGATCTTATAGTCCTTAAACAGGTGCGCGTGGCGATCAGCGTACATGGGCATTTGATCGGCTCTGTCACGATTGCCGCCACTGGAACTGACATGCGAGTGCGGCGCAATCGGTGCGTGGACGACGAACCACGGCCGGTCCTGATGGAGGAGTGCCTCGTCCAGGAATCCCAAGGCCTTGGCAGCAGTCAGATCAGGCGAGTACTGGCCGTCGTACGCGACGGGCGGCGCGCCATTGCGTGTCATTCGAGGATGCGTATAGTCATATGTGTACGGGTCGAGGAGAAAATCTGACTCGTTGAAGCCAGCCACGAAGGGACTGTGGTAGTTGTCCACATTGTGTGCGTTCCAGAGCTTGCCCGTGTAATATGTATTGTAACCCGCATTCTGTAACCAGACGGGGAGCCAGTTGTCGTTGAGGCCCTCAGTGACGATCTTGGGATAGCCTCCGTATGGAGGAAAAATGTCGGTGACGTTGGTGTTGTGGGCGGTTTTACCAGTCCAGAGGTTCACTCGGGACGGGCAGCAGATAGCCACGGTACAAAAGTGCTGGGGGTACAGTGTGCCTTCATCCAGCAGGTGCCTTTGGAGCAATGGCATATAGTCCATCGATTGCATATGCCTAGCGTTATCAGTATGGTGCAGAACACCCATAGATACGGAGCTCTCCTTCGCCCCCAGACTTACACATCTTGGTCATCGGTTAGAATAAACAGTATGTTAGGCTGCTTGGATGCAACGGCTTGCCCAGCACCAACAAATGCAAGGAGGAATGACGATAACTTCATGGCGCAGGCGCAGACTTCCAACTTTTGGTCAGAGTTGCTTACTGAATGGACAAAAAGAGCTGAGGCATGAGGGGATCTTATAGCCCGCTGCCTGCTCAACAATGCAATAGCTAGGAAGGGTCCGAGTGAGTCGCACGCCCAAAGAAATACACGATAACAGCATTACCCTAGCGGTCGACCACCCTTCTCGCAGTTGTATTCTATCAACTCTCCTATTATTCGTTCAACTATTCTTTTGTTGTCCCTGTTCCGGTGCCGCTAACCGAGCCAACGATTACATTTCTCTTACGAATTTCGCCGCTGTAGAGTCGGCTATCACCTGCTTTAGGAAGTCGATCTCTCCCGGCTCTCGGTCAAGCCATTCTGTCTACTCGTTCCGGGTCCCATTCCGCCGGATTGCCCCGCATTCTTGTTATCTCCAAATAACAGCACCGCGTGGTGCGGAGGATAGTTGTGGGGTTGATAGTGCCTGTTCAATGAGTCTGTGGCCATCTGCCGCGCTCAAAAATTGAGGCGGTTGTGTTAGCATCCCTACTAAAATAACACTTATTCTATAATATTACTTACTTATCTTGGTTGTGCAGTACTTTATTATCTAATAAATTTTTTTATACTAAATTAATATATTTTTAAAGCTGTTTAAGTTACCTAATTTAATAATATTTATAATTTATATAGATATCCTGCTGTTTCTCTAATAAGTTATATTTTTTAGATTTAATTCTATTAAACTTATTTTAGAAGTATCTAAACTCTCTTCTCTCTATAATAGAAGTTTTAGATTTATATAGTAAATAATAATATATTAATTCCTAATTCTAGACTAGTTTTATAAAGCTATTATAAAAGAAACTAGTATTTTAAAGTAATTAATAGAGTATTTATAATATAATCTCCTCTATTATAGTAGTATTAAGAAACTATAATATTAAAAGCTAGAAAGAGCTTAAAAGCTTTTTAAAATAGATAAAAACTCTTTACTTAAATATTTTCTTATTAAGGGCTAGTAGATATAGAATAAATTAATTTAATAACTATATTATAAGTAAGAGATAGAGGTTTCTTATTAAATAATTAGATACTTATTTTAATATTATAAATAATCTAGAAAGAATTTAAAAAAAATATCTTTAAAATAAAATAAGTATCTTAAATACTTTTATTTTAATAATATATATTATTATACTATAGAGGACCTAGTATTTCTTAATAAATTAATATTTAATAAAAAGACTAGCTAGTAATATTATAGCTATATATCTATTAAAAATAAAGCTTATATATCTACTAATATTTAATAAAATTATATATAAAGTATATATTTTATAATAACTTTAGATAGCTGGCTTCTCTATACTAGTATTAGAAAAAGCTACTTTAAAGTAGATAACTTTTTTAAATAGATTTATAATAAGCTACTCTCTACTCTAGATATTAAAAACCAGGGTTACCTAATAATAGTAATACTTAATAATATATTAATATATATTAATAATAGTATTATAGAGGCTGTAAAAACTATAAAATATATTATTTATTATTTATCTTTATATTCTCTAGATTATAATTCTATTAAGTTTATATTTTTAGTATTAAAGGCCTGGATAAAATAAAACTAGATCTTTTTATATTAATTTTATAGAAATTATAGGGAATTTCTTAAATTATTTATTTATAAGAGTTACTATAATAAATATATTTATAAGTAATTTAAATATACTAGTAAAGAGAGTATCTATATAAAAAAGAAAGAGATAATTAAATTTTATTAATATATAAAAAATAATAATAATCTTAAAAATTATTAAACTAATATCTATACTATAAAATTAAGTAAATTTAAAACTTATATAGTCTTAACTTTTTTTTATCTTATTAATATCTATAAATCTTTTTAAATAACTATAATTTCTCTCTAAATAATCTAGTAAAGTTATTAAAGATTTCTATTTTTATAATATAGTAATATATTACTAATTATTTATCTTCTATAAACTTTAGATCTTAGATTAACTAGTTATTTTTAAGTATAATATTTTATATTTATTTCTATTTAATTTTCCTGCTAGAATTTCTGGTATTTTAGAGCTTCTATATAAAAAAAAATATAAAAATTTCTATATTCTCTTTTATAATATTAATCAGGCTTAAAATATAGAATTAAAAAATAAAAAAAGCTGCTTAGTTAATCTCTAATACTTATAGAATTAGTATAAGACTCTTAATTATATAATTTATAGTATTTTATAGCCCGGGAGTTAGTAAATATAGCTTAATAAATAACTCTAGTAAGAATACTAGATTTATAAGAATATTTATAGATCTCTATAGTACTTAGTAGGTTATTATAGATAATTTATATTCTTATATATTATATTAAATTTAATATCTCTTATTTTTTTTTTATAGTATTTTTATTTCTTCTTTATAATCTTTATTAAATCTATTATTTATTACTATATTATTAGATTAAAACTTTTATTTTATATCTCTAGTAATATATTTATTTTTTTCTATTATAATATAGTAGTAGTCTTTTTAATAGATTTATAAGATTTTCTATTAATTAATCTATTATTTTACTAGTAATTCTATAGCTTAAGCAGGGGATTTACTAGTATAGTCTTATTTTAAAATATTATATTTATCTAGCTATTATACTATAGTATAGTAATATTATAATACTTTATTTTATTATAGAGATCTAGGAAGTAAAAATTATAATAATTAGTATAATTATTATTATTATAGTACTAGTATTCTATTAATTATTATTAAAAATATCTAGTATTATAAATAGCTTTAACTCTAATCTTATTCTACTTTATTAATATTATTATATATATTTTATAACTCTTTATACTAGTAGAGTATAATCTTAATCTATCTAGAAATAGTAAAGAGCTAGAAATAAGACTAGATAATTTCTAATTCTTTTTTTAATTAGATTTATATATAAGACCTATCTTTTTTTATATATACTATATATAAATCTTCTAGATCTAAACTATTTTTAGTATTAATCTTATAAAGATATTCTAGAAATTTTTAATTATCTATAATACTTCCTCTACTACAGGTATAGAGAACTAATTAATATTATAGTATTTTATATTATTATAACTAGTTTCCTACTTAAATAAAATAGATATCTTTATAATACTCTATTTATATAGTCTAATATAATAATTTATAAGACTAATAACTACTTACTTAATAATAAGAATATTAAAAATATAGTAAGTAAAGTTCTGCTAGATAATTTAATAGTTTATAAGCTTATTATTACTCTATAAATAAATATAGATTTATATTAGGAAATCTATAATCTTTATAATATCTTTAAGATAATTCTCTAGCTTAAAAGTCTTTATATTAGATAGTTATAGACCTGGATATTATTAATAAATCTTTTTTATTATTTTCTAATAAATTATAGTCTTATATTATTCTTTAGTAGTATATAAGATATTTATAAAAGCTTTAATTTTATTAGAGAAAACTAGTAAACTATTATTATTAAATTTTTTTTCTTTTTTATAATTTTTTATTATTTTTATATTATTTTTTTTTTCTTTTTTTTCTTCTTCTCTACTACTAATAATAAGATAGCTAATAATAAAGCTACTAGAGATCTTATTATATTTAATATTATTAGAAATATTAATATAACTTTTTTCTCTATAATCCTGACTTATTTATTATTTATAGCTAGTAGCTAATAGAATATAGATTATAATCTTAACTAGGATTTAGTTTATAGATATAAAAAGAAGATAAATATAAAACTTATTTTTTTTATTAGTAAGAATTCTAGAACTTTTAAAATACTATATTTTTTAACTTTATTCTAAATAGCTATAACAGCTTTAGTTATTCTATAAGATATATATATATTATTATATTATTGGGCGCTGGAGATATATTAATATAAAAAATAGTAATATAGTAGAGATTATATAGAATTAGGTCTTATAAGATCTAATTAGACTTTTCTTTAATCTAGTATAATATTTTAATAACTTTTATAACTTTAAATAGCTTTAATTTAACTAATTTAGAAAAAAAAATAGAGTATTTTATAAGACTAGTAGATAAAGTACTATATAACTAAGATAAGTAAGTAATATTATAAAATAAGTATTATTTTAGTAGGGACACTAACACAACCACCTCGATTTTTGAGCGTGGCAGATGATAATGGGACTGTGTGTAGGTTGACTCCCTTCTGCACGAGCACGAATGCAGGGGCCCAAGACAGCCCCCGCACGCGTGTATTATTACTATCATCATTGGCAAAGCATAAACATGGATTTAGTGGCTTTTGGCTTCACTTTCCTGCGGGTTTTCGACGTAAAAGGAAAGATCCCTTGAATAACTTCAAGTTCAAGTTACCGCTTTATCCGTGCCTTCTAGCTCATCCACAGCGCTTCCCGCAGCCTTCCCCCGGTGCTTTCAGCTGTGCCAACAATGGCCTGTAAATCCGGCGTAGTATAAGAATTAGGTCACGTATTGAATCTCACACTGTTGCTTCCGCTTCAGGCACCTCGAGATAAGCGTGCACCACCCTATATTCGATCTGCATATTTTACATAACTGTGGGATTTTCGAAACTTGAATCTATCCCGGAGATTAAGACTCAGCTTTTGTCTCATTTATCGTCTCTCCATTCAGTTTTAACTTAATTCCTGCACCTCTGTGTCAGTTTCAAATTTTCGCACTTTCGACCAAGTTTGCACAGCCTGACCTTGAGCAGGCTTAGATTAGTATGTGTTTTCTCGATGATAATCTTCCTGTAATATGCTTTGATATAGTTTGGACATTCCCTGATAGTCGGGCTTTCCATTCTAGGCCAGAGCCATCGTACCCCCCTTCATGAACTATGTACATCCATGACCAGTCGCTCGGTCTAGATCTCACCGTACTGCTCCGGTTTTGGTTCATGCTTGTAAAACGCGGAGTACGAACGAGGATGACAAATATACCGGTAATGAAGTCAATCAGAAATGACATAATAAAATCCCGGCAATTAAAGCCAAACATCAAGATGTGCACCCCACATGCTATGGGTGCTCATTTTCAAGGTCCAGGCATGCCTTTCCTTGTTCGGGAGGTTTCCGCAAGACCCGCCCTCGGTAAACTCAGTAGCTAGGTCTGGGGACGATATGCATCGACAGGGCTCCGGAGGTCGGGGGAACGTGGAACTGGAATCGCTACCCGGGCGCCATGAGTGATACTGAGAGCTATCTCTATCGCTATTCGTGGGACAAAGAGGACTTGCGCACCTACCCCTGGCAGACACGGTATCTTTACCAACCGGAAATCCTCAAATACCTCAATCACATCGTGGACAGGTACGGCCTACGCAAGCTGTTCCAACTGGGGGTCATTGGAAATGGATCGACTGGCATCCAGGTCATGACCGCTCTCGCTCCAAAGGTGAAGAGGCTTATCTCATTCCAGAGAAGTCCCCAGTACTCAGTTCCGAGCGGCCAAGGACCTGTTTCCAAAGAGTACAGAGACTGGCTCAATAAGAATTACGACAGCATCTACGACGATGTCTGGAAGTCTCAACATGGCCATGGGATATCTGAGGTCACCCGGCCTACCATGTCTGTATCCGCGGACGAGAGACATCCTGGGCTCTAAAATAGTTTAGAACCAAGTCCTTTTGCGGCTCCTCGAGTGTAATTGCTTTGAAAACAAGCTCCTGGTCTCTATGCAACAGTCTAATAAGGCTTGATGCTTGCTTGACCTCTCCTGCAGTGAGATCTCGTAACGGGTGGAACGCCATGGTGCTTAGAAACTGTCGAAGCGGGATGAGCAGAGATGATTGAGTCGATGTGTTTTTGAACTTGGTGGGCGGACATTGGACTTATATAAGATTCTTCTGCTTGGCGTTCCCTTCTAGCAAGGTCTTGCAAGATCTTCGTCAAGTCGAGACAGACCGAGTCTGGGAACATAGAGCTGGCGTAGTTTTGACTACTTCAGGATTAGCGTTAAAATTTGGCGGGCAGCGTTCATCGAGAACGCTAGTGCCGGGATTGCTCCATATTAGGTAGGCCTGGAAGCCAAGATCTCTTGCCCTTAGCTTAGATATACAGATGGAAGTATATTAAACAGGCACTATTAGTTACATTTCCTATCATATGATTAGGCGGACGTGTACACCCCGCCTAAAGGCTCAAACGGGCAAGTTGGGCCTCGCCAAAACCTTATATGGGTAGGAATATCCTACCTATACTCGCCACGACCCGCAGGTGAACCTCTGGTCGCTGAGACTGGGACCGTTTTTGGAGTGGCTTGCTTATAATGGCAAATTTTGAACAAACAGTCCGATATGGTGTTAATTACTGCTATAATCCCAACCTTTGTTTTGGTTGAGCAGCCCGAAAGTATTATCTTTGCTGCGATCTTTTAGTCGACTCATGTGCATAATGAGTGCATACGTCAATAATATATATATCTTCCCACTGCCAACATTGCACTCAAACAAAGTTGTAAGATGCCTACTGCTATAAGACTACAGCAGAACCGAATCAGAAGTCTCCAACTATCCAATTAACACAATTAAAATAATTAAAACGCCAGAGGAGATCATGGCAATGTTTGATGAACTCTCCAAAAGTGGTCGGTCGGTTGCGTTCTCTCTCCTGCCTCTCTCTTTGCTCTGCCTGTCTTCTCAGCTCTGCTTCTTGCTTTTATTTTATAATATTATATCTTGATTTAACTCTTAAGAGGTATAGAAGACTAAAATAGCTATAATAGTAAAATCCATCTAGAGTTATCTTTATAAATTTCTGGTTATATAACTTAGGGACCTTATAAATAAGTTATATATTATATAGAATATAGCTTTTTATATATAAAGTATAGAGAAAGTAATTATATATATTTCTAATTGTCATGGCCTGCCAAGGCCGTGCCACATCACTCCTACTTTAATACCATAAAGCCCGATCCTACTTTAATAATAGATGGCACTACTACTCATTCACCCTCCTCTATAATAAACACAATATCCTCTATCCCCAGCTCTACGGCGCGGTATTCTGGTGATAGTGAAGCTTCAAGATGAATGGGCTCTTTGATTGCTTTTATAAACCTCCAACCTAGTTGGCTCAGTAGTCACTAAATCATGCTTTTTAACCCTCAAGTCCTCACGACCCTGCCGCCCTAATATGGACCCTGATCGGATCCCCCTGCCCATACACCATCCCATTCCCATTCTCCAGCATAATATGTTCCTGGCTATCCGGCCTCCTACCAACCCTCCCCTCAAACTCATCATACAGAGGATCCCTATCAACCGTCGAGGTAACCTCGTAGGACCTGAGAATTCCCCCGCCTTTCTTCCACGCGCGCCGATTATCGTGGGTTGGTGCAGACCCACTGCCGGTACCGCGGATATCGTCCAGCTCGTACCGTCGCGAGGACCCGTATCGCTGCCCGCTGCTGAATATGGATTTGATCTTGAAAAGCTTCCGGAGTGAGCCGAGTGAGCCCGCGAGGAGTCCGAAATTAAATTCGATCTCCATCCAGATTAGGGACATTGCTGCTGAGTCTTTTCAGAGGCGCCCGCGGGCCATTTGTCAGTATGCGGTAGTGATGGGGAGGGAGGAATGGAGGAAATACAAGTCATATCTGTTGTGTCTTTTGTATACACCAGTGTCGAAAACCGCACTAGGGCGGCAACACAGGCGATAACCCCAAAACTAAACAAAAAAAGCACGAGCAGTCGCTTCTTCAGTGCCATCTGCAGGCCCCAGATTGCCGGCATCGGGAGCACGATGATGACGATGTCGCAGACGAACATAAGCACACCCTGGTACATTGTGATTGCGAAGAGCGTGTCGTTCGAGAAGCATTGTGCCGTAATGATTGTCTTGTCCCAGAAGGCGCGTACGGGCTTGCATTGGAAGGCCAGGATCAGCTCGCCTGAGACTGTAAAGGCGACGATAAAGAATATGATTGCATAGCCCGTGCGCTGGACGTAGCGCTGTGGGAAGACGCGCATTATGAAGGTCGTTAGACTGAGCTTTACGGCGGCGGCTACTACCAGGTAGCTGCAGAGGGCGGCGTAGTAGATCTGTGATGTTAGGGTTACTGATCAGGGGGAGGATCCGGAGATGGGATGCTTGAGGGTACCTTCAGCCAGGTGACTAGGTCTCCCCTCGCGATAACGTCGGCTTGGTGGTCGCCCAGGCCGTAGTAGCTGATTGTGTATGCGAGGGCAGAGAAACCATTGACGAGGATCTATGCTGTTAATTTTGGTCTCAGGGTGGTTCCAGGTGGCATACCAAAGCGACTATCACGAGGTAGTCGTCAACGTTGAATGACTTCACGACAAAACGGCGCATATACAACTGCCGCTGTCAGCGAATCTTCTGGCACACCAGACGTGGACCCACTCACCCGTAGACAGCAAACAATCGTACACAAGATAGCCATGCAGAGGGTAATGCCACGGACGGCGTCAACCATGGGGGTGGACCCCATTGTCGGTAGATGGTTAACTCCAGCTTGACTGGCGAAATTGCCGAAGATGAACGAGTCGAAAAGAGAAGGGGATGGAACCTGAATTATGTTTCTCTGGAGAAATCCTTCGACTTGGAGAGTCGTTGTGGCTTGCCCAGTCCAACAGGGGCTCACATACCGAGGATGCAAAACTATGGAGAAGGCAATCTGACAGCTGGTGCAAGCGAGCTGTTGCCGCACCATCACCCGCTGTGGGCCCAGAGGGCTGGATCGCAATCCAGTAACCTTCCACAACGCGCAGAAAAGCGCAGTTTAGCTCCAACGGCAGAGGCTTTTTAACTTCGGCCGTCGACGAAGGAGTATGCCATCTTCCATGACTTCCGGTTGCCGGATAGGGGCACTTAAGAAGCCTCGCTTCGCCGCATTTGCGTCTCCAGGCCGAGATTACCTTTGATAGATCCTTCTTTGTTGGAAATCCGAGGTCGATTCAGTTAATCTGGTTCCAATTTGAACCCCAAGCTTCATCGCCTTGCAATGCCCCATCTCGCCAGCGTCCCGTCCCTTCTGGACTTTCTCCCAGTGGAGCCCTCGACCCGGGCCGAGGCTGAGGATCTCCTGGTGGCCTTTGCTGCGCTCCCCGATAAGGAGAAAGTCTCAGCTCAGGCCTCGCTGCTTCCGGGGATCTTTCCTCTGGTGTTCCGGGGAAATGCCCTGGTCGAGGGGTCCCCCAAGTACGAAGAGAGCCGAACACAGCCTTGGTAACCCTCGAGCTCTTACACATTAATCTCAAACGAATAGGCGCTGATATAATATAGGTCTACAAACTGCTGGCTCTCTCCCAAAGTGATCCTAACTCCCTCAAACACCGCCGAAGTTTCGCAAATCCTGGCCCTAGTCCGCTTTCTCGGCGCAACATTTTCCATCCGCGGCGGCGGCCGTCTTCAGAACCCTGGTTTCACAAGCAACGACGGCGGCGTTGTAATCTCTTTGGCCAATTTCACACAGCTGGATCTGTCGGATGATAGGGAAAGTGTCAAGATCGGGCCAGGTAATCGCTGGCTGGATGTCTACAAGGGTCTTGATAACCATGGGGTCACAGTTGCTGGCGGCCGGGTTCCGCATATCGGTGTGCCGGGTCTCTTGCTTGGGGGTGGCCTTTCGTTTCAGAATAGTGAGCACTCGCTGGGGTGTATGAATGTTGTTGATTACGAGGTGAGTACGCTCTAAAGACAGCTATGCATGGCCTTCCGGCATACTGATGTGCTACGCAGCTCGTCCTCGCAGACTCGTCAATCATCCACGCCAACGCAACCCAGAACAAGGACCTCTTCTGGGCCCTCAAGGGCGGCGGTACAAACTATGGTATCTCCTCTCCTATCCTCATTCTCATCTGTAGTCCTAATAGTAGACCAGGAATCGTCACAGAAATAACCATGAAGACAATTCCCAACCAAATTTGGTCCGAGGCCCGCGTCTACCCAGCATCCGCCAACGCACAGCTCCACGAAGCCCTAATGACCTACCACAAGCTCATCGAGTCCGACAACAAAGCAACCCTCATCTGGCACACGATTAACCAGACTACACTGCTAGTCTTCTTCTACTGCGCCCCTGTTGACAAGCCCGACGTGTTTGTCCCATTTTACGACATCCCCTTCCTCATGAACGTCGTCCCACCCGCGAAGCGCACCGTCTACGAAATGGTGGATGCAGTTAGTAATGTCCTTGCTGCGGAGCAGCTGCAGTATGTCACCCCCTTTGGTGCCCCCTTCCTCATTTCACACTTTGAGTGAATCGTCTGATAGAAAATAGCCACGACATGCGTACAACAACGACCCTCCCCTCCCTAACTGTATACGAGGCTGCCGAAAAAGCGCGTGCGGAACAGATGGCCGCCCTCTCCGACCTTGAGCGTGCGGATCTAACAATGGTAATCCAGCCCATGTCCTCGCTCGCCATCAAGGTCGCCGAAGAAAAGGGCGGAAACCCACTGGGCCTCCAGAGCGTGGGCCACCAGTGGTTTCTCGTCATGGCCGACTACAAGAACGCTGCGGATGAAGACCGCGTGCGTGCATCTGTCAAGAAGATCGTCGATGTTGTCGAGGAGACCGCGAAGAAGGAAGGTGTGTGGTTGCCCTTCAAATACTCAAATTATTCATCGCGCGACCAGGATCCTCTCGCTAGCTATGGAGAGGAGAACCTGGCTAGGCTGCGTGAGATTGCGGCCAAGTATGACCCTGATCGCGTCTTTCAGGTGCTGCAGAATGGGGGATGGCTGCTTTCAAGGGCGGGTGAGGGGGCAACAGGTGCCATCTAAATGGATATATGACAATCGCACAAGCTTCGAGGATGTAACAAAGCAGTAGTAATACCAACAAAACGCTCAGTTCCACACATCCAGGTGCTGCTTGCATCCGGCCACAGACGCTCCGTAAAGAGATCTTGTACCCCACATCTACCTCGCCATCCCCGTCGTTCATATCACCCTTAAATCTTGCGCAGGTATCGGTGTCTTGGTTGGAGACAAGAGTAAGAGCAATCATTCTGGACTGCTGTAGGACTAAATAGGCAATATACCTCGAAAAATATTCAGTAATGGCCGGCTGGCCCAATGGCAAGGCGTTTGACTACGAATCAAAAGATTGCAGGTTATCCCTGCGTCGGTCAATACATTTTTATTTTTTATTTTATTTTATTTTGTACTTAAATGCCTGCGAGCGTAGTCTTGTCAACAGTTTCCTATTTAACAATTAGATGGAGATATTATGATAATCCTTCCTTTGCACCATGCCCATGAGGAAGTGTAGCCGCGTGTACTGCAAAGTCTCTTTGCACATGAAAATATATATATTAGCCACGACCGGGTCTCTCGCCAAAATTTATTACCTCGCACCCAAATACATTTAAAGTTTTACCACTTAATACCCAGCATTGTATTGGAATAGTACACCTGTAAACAGCGCTAAAGTCTGTGACAGCTATACACAGGCGTCGGGCACAACTTAATAGAAGCTTGTCTTTGGCGAAGTTGATTTGAGAGGGATTCAATCCCGGCCCAGCCTACCAAATCACCAGGCCATATCTTGATTTAATATTCAGTGCTAAAGATAATCTTGAAAACCACCTCCATGGGGGACAGCGAGCCCTAACAAGAGGAGATACACATGACATCACTGATATAGTGGACCTTTGAGCTCTTTTTGCTTCTTTGAGATGGATTTCTCTGGTGAGATGAATTAGTCATGCGGGCTTGGCTGGATTCCGGCGAAGCAGATAAGCTATAATAAGCTAATTATCAATTATTGAGTGGACTTTACTTTTCGACTGGATTATAAGAACTACTATTATTGGTGTGATGTTGTCGGTATTGACGATTCTGGTGAAGTGGAGCCTACTAACTATTATCTATATTCTAAATTTCTATCTATTATTAGAAATATTTATATTAATTATAATGATACCGGTCAGGTCAGGGCATGTTGAGGATTCTGGTTTAACTAATTAGAATCTGACAATAGTACCGATATCCCGAGCATAAACTTGAAATTTGCGGTTGAATAAACCAGGAATAGAGCGAGGTGGAACAGCACGTCTCAACCCTGCCCGACTATGTCAAATATCTAGATGCTTTCAAGGTCCTTGCTATCGGTCTGCCATCCGTCGGCCTCAGCTCCGCCGTCGAGGAAATAAGCAGAGGCTTCTGTCTCTCCGCGGAGGACCCAGCGGAAGTAAGATTGACCAGCTGTGCCGAAGACGCCACCGTCTGGGTCGAGGTAGGTACCACCATGGCCGACATCGAAGTTCCCGACCCAGGACGGTACGCCGGCGTTGACGGCCTCGTAGTCTCGCATTCCCTGTTCACGTCAGTTAGCAGCGGAACGTTGTAATCTCCTTTTAGCTGTAACGGTTGGACTTGACTTGCATTCTCATAGGCAATATCGGTAGGCCCACCGAGGAAGAAAAAGATGGGCACGTTGATAGCACCCAGTGTTGCGTCGGTCTGGGAAGCGTCGAGGGTGCCCGAGTTGAAGATTCCAAACGCCGTCACACGGGGGTCTTGGTTCTGGGCGTAGGCCTGGGTGCCGCCGCAGCTCATACCGGCAGCGGCGAGCTTGGTAGCGTCAATGTTTGCCCACTCGCCCTGGCCGGCGTTCTCGCTGGCCCAGTCGATGGCCTGGGTCATCTGCTCGTTGCTGGTGGACCCGCCATTCCCGGGAGTCCCAAGGGCGATGACGAGGATGCCCCAAGACGCAACCTCCTCGAGGAACGGACCATGTCCGGCGACGGGGTCCGCGCTGCAGGCACCGTTGCCCCACACGAGAACCGGGAGGCTCTCGAAGTCGCTAAGGTTTTCAGGATGGAAGAGGGTATGCTCAGGAAGAGACTCGTGAACATAGTATGTCTGCGGCAGTCTCGTTTAGTAGTGCGAGACAACGGTGATTGTGGGACATTGCAGGCTCACCGTGGGCACTTGGGCCACTACGGCCTGGGCCAAGGCGAGCGCGGGAGCGTAGGCGAGAATGCTCTTCATGGTGTTGAGAGATAAAATGAGAAGCTGTCTTGGTTGCCTTGGTGCTACATGAGCTCAATGGCGGCGGGAATCTGCTCCCTTTTAAGCTTCGCGAAGCCCCTCCTCCTTATTGTGCGCTTTGTGGAGTTTCTCAATCTGCCCTACGAGCTGTGACACGAGATGTCACACACGATGTCACACAAGATGTCGATCGTCTCGTGGCGAGTCTTCAGGGCTAATATAGTTCTTTAACCACACCAATAGCAGCTTGATCAAGTAGTCTTCAGCGGCGGTCTTTTCCCCACAGGTCACGGCTCGAACCGGCTAAATCGGGCACGTCTCCTACAAGTAAACGCCAAGACAATGAGAAGTTTCATAGTGACTCCAAATCCTGTTGGGAGCCTCTCAACTATATTGTCTATGTGCCTAGAAGAAACCGAGATCCTTGCAGCCGAGGTTTAAGCAGGCCCACGGAGGGCAACTCTGGAAGCATTGCGCACATAATATCGTCCTTGGCGGCCTCAGCTGGTGTCAGACCAACATAAAGGGGAGCTGAATATTAATGATCATAAAGGCAATAACCTGTTGTTAGAGTTCACCGGACAGCTGGCTAATGATACTTGAGCCTGCGTCGGGTAAATGCCACTGTACAACAGCCCCTGCTCTCTTATACACCGGTCTCAAGCGTCTAAAACCCTGGGCGCCAACGTTGAAGTCACTTACTATTCTCCAACTCATCCCCCTTAATTCCGCTCTCAACTGTAACAATGGCTAGCCTTCGCCAATACACTTACCCTGGCATCGGCAAGTGGGCGCGCAAGGAGGTGCCCGACTGCCAAGCTGCCCGCGTGTGGACGTACAGCACCGACCTGAAGGCCACGCACGACCTGCTCGTCGCCAGCTTCCACAAGTACATGCCTATCCACTATGCCGTCAGGACGGAGCGCGGCGTGACCCAACTGGGTCTTGATACAATGCATATTGAGATCGAGGTCGAGGCGCACGACCCGGAAGGAGCTCTGCCGCTGCGGGCGAGGCCAGGAAGACAAATTAGAAAGGAACTGACTGGGGCTTTTGTTCTTTGTTACCTATGTGCATGAGTAGATGCGTAGGATGAAGATCGAATGGAATCACAATTTCTACGGGGGATTTTGTTCAGTAGCTACAGTATCTGGTGTCCAAGAGGATCTATCCTCGCCCTGGATTTCTTATGTATTTAACTAAACCGACGTATGTGTAGGACTTCCTGGAAATTTATTGGAAAGCAGCGTCTATTCAATTAGTCATTGGGTTATGTTTTGATATACTCTTGAGAGTGGTATTCAGAACAGAAGATTTCCAAAAAAAGTTAAAAGTAAATAATGCCTTTATACATCTATTATTATGACCATGATTAAGAATGATGTCGTAGTAGCAGTATCTCCCATCAATTCAAACTTCGTATTAGTTCCTGCTGTGCCTTTATTTGCAAGTTGAGTGTCGTATCGGAAGTCATACTGGTTTAACCGGAGGGCGTAAGGGGCTTCGCTTGACAGTGGTTGAAACGGAATCTGTGCTCCCAAATGACTGAACATCTACTCACTATTTTCAACTTGAAGTCCACAGTTTGCGCAAGGAAACGACACGCCGTATTTAGTAATTGAGCGACTATAATGTCTTATTTGGAGGAATACACTATCCGAGAGTTGTTACATTTGGCTAGTTTATATAACGAGCGAGGCTTCACAACAACGCTGTAGACTACTCTGTAGAAAGTTAAACTAGGTATTGATGGAATAGTCTCTAGGTTACTCAGTAAGATATATGTAGCTTACTCCACATGATATCCGGCGCCCCGACGGCCGTGGCCAGAATCGAAAAGTCCTCGCTAGCACCAGCAGGCTCAACATCAATAAGATTATCTCCAAAGTGCGAATCAGATGTCTCTTGGAATGTCCTGACGGCTCACTCGTCGTCCTAGCAGCGGTTTCTATATATATGTTTAACGACTGGCTTCTTTGGCGCGCCGGACGCCTCACGTTCTGCTTCGACGCTCCTGTAGGCCACGATAGCCAATTCGCCCGGTGCGGTCTCTCGACTGACGATGGTCTGTGGGCGGATGATGATCAACGCAATGTGGCGACGAGCCCCTCTGCAGCTGAACATGCGCACGTCAAGGCGCCCGACGCCGTGGGCAATCGACCGGCTCGTATGCGGAACGGCGCAGCCTTCATGCGCATAACATGCTGCACAGGACAACGTTCGGCTTGGGAACTTTGCCGTATAACCCATCATCGACCATCGCTTGGGCGGCGGGGAGTTTCTCCTCTGGTGGCTGGAAGATGAGATCCAGGGTTGCCGACCAGCTTTCTCGTGCGTGGCCAAGGAGCTCAGCGCTGCTTATCTGCTCGGTAATTCGAGTCTCCGAACTAATACAGCTGGATAATAAAATCCCGGGTCAATCGGTAATCGCTTGTCATCACCTCCATGACTAAGAATTTATCGCTAAGTTCAGCGTCTGTTGCTTGCTTGTATCTTTCGCGAGCCTCTTCGATATAATTAGGCTGTTTCGGTTGCGAGGCCCAGGTTGAATAAATACTGGTGACATCGTTCCACCAACTTCGCCCGCTAGCAGCTGGACGCAGCAACTGGAGCAGGGACTGTTTATTCTCTGCCTGGTAGCGTTCTATCAGCTGTGGTAGCTCTGCGTATCTCATCCTCATCTCGTCACCCTGTTCCTCCTCTCCAATCCAACCGAGGAATATAAGAAAAATGACGCAAGGATCGGCTCCTAATCTTAGGTATGTTTCAATCGTCCGCCACGCGTATACTCTACTGACACTGCTTTCTGCAATTAACGCCAGCCAAGCGGTTATGGTAGATGCTTTGATCTCACTACCCTGCTGCTGCCAGGCGGTCGTGACGGAGTTCGGTGTCACTCCCTTCTCCATAAAATATGGCAAAACCGCTTCTAGAATTTCCTCGTTTCCTGAGAGAGACGCGGAAATGAGTGCATCAACCAGGTTATCACACCGCCGTTGTGTTGTTGGAAACTCCTTGATTCGCTGTATTAGGTATGGGAGGGCCGATGGGATGTATACCGCCAGGAAATTCAAGCTGGAAAAAGAACATTCTCTGTTGTTGGTCTCCCGGTATGTTATTTTAGATTGACCCTCTATGGTACCATAGCTGGCGCCAGAAACCGTGTGCGGTTGAAAAATCGATATTTTCGACCGGTTGTTGTCCTGAGTCTGTAAGGAGGAATGCAGAAGCCCCTTATAACTGTCAAATATTCTTTCGATCTCCTCGCAGTATCGACTTGGCAAGACCGTCCTATCCTTGCTTAGCCAGTCTAAGGTCTCCCTGAGGATGGTCAAGTTATCGAAACATGGCTCAAAGTCTGGAAACGGCACTGTATAAGAGTCCATAGTGTAGGAAAACTTGACTTCCGCCAAAGCTATTCGTACGTAGGTCTCGAAACCCGGAGGTTTCTTGTCATGCCACCGGGCCAGCAAATATTCTCTAAAGGAACGATGGAAAAAGTCTATCCTGCTCCTGAAGAAGACGTGAGTTTCGATGCCGAATCTGGCCCTAGATGGCTGGATTTCCAACATTCCCCGCGTTGATGCTTCGACCTGCTTTTGTATTCGATCTAATCGCTGCTTGATTTCGATATTGGAATAACAGCACATTGCCTTATCGAAGGGAAAATTGGGGTTCTCGAGAGCTTTAATCCAGGAGAACGAAAGAGCACTGAGGGTGTAATATGGACTATGGGCAGCGAGGAGGAGAAACTTTTCTGCTTGCTGCTGGCTCAATGGGTCGAGATCTTCTAGCAGCTGATCAAATAGACTGTCCAACGTCCGTGGCGTGGCGCGCAGCATACCTTGCAACTGCTTGATGGAATAGATCTGCAATTTCGAGCTCAGTGATCTAACAACCAAATAGGCCCATAAAAAGACACCCTCCGCCCGAGCCACTATCTCCTTGGCTAGGGTCAATAGACTGGAGTGTGTAGAGCAGTCAGATGAGGAAGCGTCGCAGAAACTATTCATCGCATACTCCAAAATATCTGCCTTTGTATGTTCGTGAAGCGGCACACATCTTTCATGGTTGGTAAAGGCGTGCATGTATTCCGGATGAGGACGAGCACTGCAGATAATCTTAACATTTTCTTCAGCGCCCCAGGTTTGAACCTCCTTGACCAGCTCAGCTTTGTCACGGCTATCACCCTCATACTCATCAAGTCCATCGACAAATAGACAGAGCCTGTACTGACCATGGTGCAGAATCTGGACTAGCTTGGCCATGGATTTCTTGAGAAGAGGGAGCCTGGCTTCCTCCCATTCAGACAGACCAGATCTATCGCCAAAGACCCCAGTAGCCATCCCTGGGCATTGCCTGAGCACTTGATATAGAAGCGATCGGTAGAGGCCTTCAAGGGACTTCTGCAGGCTGCCGCCAGCGTTCCAGAAAAAGACAGCAACGGATACCAAGCGGCAGCCTCCAGCCCACTTGTTTAGGGATCCCCTTACAGTCGCATTCTCAGAGCCCGCAAGGTATTTCATTAGTGTGGACTTCCCTGATCCTGCTTTTCCATATATAAAGAATACAGAATTCTCATAGAGCAGAAACTGCATGAACCTGCTTGCAGATGTTTTTCGTAGGGATACTTCTTCTTCGAAGGCCTCTTGAAGGCAATGAAAACAGGCATCACTTTTCCTGTTTTCGATATCGCCTTCATCGTCTTCGTCCTGCTCTCCACTTGTACTGTGGGCGACAGTTTTCAGTGCTTCTTGTTTGTCGGTACTGTGTTCCTTGAGTTGTACAAGCTCTGGTGATACAATATCGGCAGGTTTTTCGACGCCGTTGGGGGCAGAATCCGTAACAGAATTATCGAAATTGTTTTCCCTAGTGGCCGTACGGATCGAACTGTCCTGCTTTGATTTTTCGCTACACTTGCACAACTCATTCTCGCGAATCAACCAACGGTATGTATCCCCTACCGCTACATGGATATTGTCGTCCCTGTGAAACATCCCCTTAAAATACAATGCACGAAGGATTTCGTTTCGGTCCGGTATTTTGTTGGCACCAGATTTCGGTTCTTGCATGACATCGTGACATGCAGTCAAGCCGGAAGAAACATCGTTGCTTGTTTTCATTGTCTCTAGGCGCTGAATGAGGCCCCTTAAAAGATCTTGTTGCGTTTGCGCCTGTGTATCATGTTGATCCTTTAGGTTGATAGCTTGCAGCTCGAGACGCTTCAAGTATTCCTTGATCGGCGACTGCTCATTACTGGTGATGGTCAGGCTTTGTCGCGGCGGACGGGAGGCGACGAGCGACTTACTATAGCATAAAATTGAGACGCAAAATTATCTGCGCTCGATACTCCCCAAGCCGTCGCTCAATTGATAAAACCTTCTTCTCCTTTACTGTACTCTTCCAAGCTGCGCGAATACTAGACCAAAAGCGATCGTCTTTCTTGGGTTTGAGCTTAGAGAGCATGTCTGTCAGCTCCGCCGACAGGTCCCTGCACTGGGCGGCGAGTTTAACAAGCTCAGCCTCATGCTGGGTGTTCCCTTTCAGATTCGTAATAAGTCCATCCGTTACATTTCTCAACTCATCAACTGTCGAATCCAGGTGCGCATTTTCTTCAGTTAGGCCAGTTGCAGAGCTTGCGACCTCCTGAATTCTCCCGCATAGCTTCGCGCCAAATTCGACAAATTGCAGGATATTTGCCGCAACGCCAATTGCGGACATGGGGTCCATACCTTCCTGTTCGTCGTTGCGTCGGTATATTGGTTGTTTCTTGCCCTAGGTTCGAAGGGCCGTTTCCGGGAGGCGTAGTGGCAGGCTAGGGAACATATATCTCACTGCTGGAGAACATGAGTGGTAATGAATCGCAGCTCCTGGGACTGAGGGGCCGCTTATATGACCGACCAGGACGAGGCTGTGCGCTCAGGGTTGCACCTGGCGGACAGCGATTGGCCTATGGCTCAGTGCACCTTAGCCTCGCTGAGCAGTGAAAATCCCAACTACTGGAATTTCCGAGAGGAGAAAAGATGGACAAGGGTGATGGAGTTCGATGGTTAAAAATCAAGAAACAATGTAGGGTCTCTCTTTTAGCAGTCTTGTTAGGCGAGGTTGCTTATTATTCTCCATGTATTCAAACCACCGTTTGAAGTATCCCGATCATCGTAATCCATGGCCCCGAGCGCAACGAGCTGCGGCGGCAGTCCATTGTACGAGGCTGGCGAGGCTGGGGAGAATCTCCCTCCGTCCATCATGCAAATCTCACCCGGGCAGCACCCAGGGGACTGCTACGCGCGTTTAAGCCATCACTATCAACGTTGTTAGACGTAAAACAAGCCCTGGGCGTGTCTCCACCTTTAGAGGTGAGAGACACCAAGTCCAGGGTAAGTATAAGTAGTACAGATAGTAGTGTGGTCAGAATATCATCCTGGGTAAGTAGGGGTCAGAAATACGACATTGTAGACCTGTAGGCTGGTAAAATAATTATTTTCAGTTTAGGTTAAATATCGAGGGCTCTTCTGTACTTTCCCTCACTCTTCTATATACTAGATACTTGCAAGAACAATACATACGATATATGTTTACTGTCTGCCCTAATTTATTTGGTGATGGCATAAATAGTTGTAGTTAAAATTATTAGTCGCAGGTGGCTTTTAAGTGAGTTTACTATTACCTCCTGAGTTCGAAAAATCATAATTACTTATACATGCTAATTCTATAAGGTATTATTAACGCTCTTGTAACAGGTCATTTGCAGGGCTCAGTACCTCTCCCGGATCATAAACCCGAGACGCTGGGAGAGCAACTAAACGACGAAGGACAGGAAGACGTTTTGGACTTACTTGCTCGATATCAACTGGGTTCCTCAGTTTTTAAGGCCCGTAATCCAAGGGCAAGAACATTACCCAGTCCGGGTGAGTCTAGTATAATTTAGGTTATCACTATAATCTCCTAAAGCTTAAAATAAATAGGACTGGCCGCTTTATAGTTACGCGACTTGGGCAAGATCACGATAAGTGGAACACCACCAATAGTGGAAAGTGTTTTAAATCAGTACAGGTATAGAGCGATCTGCATAGAGAAAACTGAAGAACTTCCTTGATTGCAATGATGGGTAAACTAGGTATTCTATTAAATCACAGGGTATTTCCCGGAAAAGGAAATAACCCTGACCAAGGCTCAGTAATCATCACTCATCAATGATCTGCAGCTTATACATAAGACAATGCATTCATGTGGTTTCCTTTCTGGGTAATTTCTTTTTATTTTTGTTAGTAATCTTCAGTGTAATCCGAAAAGATCATATGCACGTGTCTTCCCATGGAACGTATATAAGATGACCGCAAACAGTCACACCCCACTTCCTGTTCATATCTTAAACGCTCCATTTGCCGCCTTTCATTCTCGGAAAACACACAAAAACACCAATCAATATTCTGCACAGTCCATCAATATGGGAGTTGACGTTCCGACATCTGACAGTCTTAATGACCTCTTCAGCCTTAAGGACAAGGTCGTCGTCATCACCGGTGCCTCCGGTCCGCGCGGCATAGGTATCGAAGCCGCTCGCGGGTGCGCGGAGATGGGTGCAGACGTTGCTATCACCTATGCCTCTAGAGCTGACGGCGCTTTGAAGAATGCCAAAGAACTCGCAGAAACGTACGGCGTTAAAGCAAAGCCGTTCCAGTGCGACGTGTCCAAATATGAGGATACTGAGAAACTGGTGAAGGACGTTATTGCTGAGTTCGGCAAGATTGATGCATTTATTGCCAACGCCGGGAAATTGGCTGATAAGACCGTACTCGATGGCTCTGTCGACGACTGGTACGGTGTTATGAACACTGATCTGAATGGCTCATATCACTGCGCGAAGGCAGTCGGTCAGCATTTCAAGGACCGTGGCACCGGAAGCTTTGTTATCACCGCTAGCATGTCTGGCCATATTGCCAACTACCCGGCCGCATACAACACCTCTAAGGCGGGCTGTCTGCATCTGGCCCGCTCGCTTGCGAATGAGTGGCGCGGTTTTGCACGCGTGAACAGCGTCTCGCCTGGATACATGGACACCGGTCTAATGAATTCGGTCGATCAGAAAACCCAGGATCAGTGGAAGTCGATGATTCCCATTGGTCGGTATGGTCAGGCGAAGGAGTTGAGAGGTGCTTATGTTTACCTGTGTAGTGACGCCAGCTCGTACATGACCGGCTCCGACATGCGCATCGACGGTGGCTACTGCATATGGTAGACAATGGTCATACCCAATTGTATCTAAAGAATCTTATTAGAAAATGAATGCCTGCATGGCCCTTTTGTTACTCACTAACGGTCACCACCACTGAGCGGCTATTTGTATGGGCCTTACGAAATAGGGTCTTTTTTGGCCTCGATATGTTCATAATTTTATATCATAATCCTTGGATATCAGCTTTACAGGACCCTATATCGTATTTTATAACTTGTTTAAATTCTTAAAGTTCTTATTGTAAGATACATCTTCGTAGATTAGGGTTCAATTACTGGACTGTCTGAATGCTGCAGTCCCAGGTAGATACCAGTTGTGCGTATCAGGGAGCGAGTGATGTGACGCTATCATGCTAGTCTGATGGGGAGAAATAGGTCTACTTCATAAACAACAAAAAAAACTAAAGATCCAGTAGTCACTTGATTAAAGAATATAAGAGACATTTATTCGTTGGTAAAGATATTCATAAATCCGACAGAGGATGTTTACTGTCCACCTTGCTGAGCCTTGCCAGCCGACTCGTAACTCTGCATCAAGCACCAGTAGCCAGGGATATGGTCGCGCCAGATGGCACCAAAGCCTTCAATGTCGCGGCGCCAGTCTCTGTGGAGCTCGCCGGAAACGGCAGCCCAGTTAAGCAACTGGCAGCCAGCCGCAGCCATGCGCTTGTGGGCAGCCTCCCTCGTGTGCTCAGCGAAGGTTCCTGAGCAGTCAGTGACAACGAAAACGTCGTAGCCCTGCTCGATCAGACTAAGAGCGGGGAAGGCAACGCAGATCTCCGTCAAGACACCACTACATATTGTTAGTAAGTATTTGCCGTGCGTGAGACAGATAGGCCACCTACCTGATAACAACCTGCTTCTTGCCGGTGGCCTTGACGGCGTTGACAAAGTCCTCGTTGTCCATAGCATTGATCTGACCGGGTCGTCGAATCAGCGGTGCCTCGGGGAGCAGGTCGGTGATTTCCTTGACAAACGGTCCATTGGGACCGCTGTCAAACGATGTTGTAAGGACAGCTGGGGCCTTGTAGTAAGCGGCAACTCTCGCCAGTGCCGAGACGTTGGTTTTGAATTCGTATGTATCGAAGTCGCGAACGAGTTGGATCAGACCGGACTATTTCACAGGAATGGGTCAGCGCTGCATCACAAGCCGAGTGAGGCTACGTACCTGGTGGTCGACGAAGAGGAAAACACAGTCCTCAACGTCGAGTCTCTTGTATGCGGGAGGAGACATTGTGAAAGATGAGATGAAAAGATTGGCCCCGTTGGATTTGGTGGTATGTGCGATGAGATGAAGATGAGAATGAAGATGATTGCAAGTCTTCCCGATGGGACTCTGGCCGGATTATATAGCATCTGGAAACCGCGCCGTTAGTCAGAGCTTATGCACATTAAACTCATCATCGACCAGGTCTTCGGCCGTTGAGTTGATACCCCGCTGAGGGGTTCTCGTCGTTGCATACTCTATAGAGTCCGCTGGTGGAGCAGCTGAATTACAGATCTCTGCGATATCGTGAGTAAGACGGGGATGCCCCGGACTCTGCCAATCATCAGCTGTCCCTGTGTGTCTCCACCTCGTGTGCTGTGGGTCGATCGTCCTATCAGGAGCATTGGCAAATGATGATTCATCTTACTAAGGTTACCTCAGCGCCCCAGCCGGAAGTAAGGAAAACAGGGTTCCATCACCGTTGGCCTTAGTAACGCTTGATCATCATCCTGGTCGTCCTGGAGCCAATATGCACAAAAGTATGGATGGCATACGGAGTACGATACTGCATCTACCTTGAATTCCTTTCTCTCTCGCGGCTTCCACCTCTGACCTTCAGCGTCCTTTTACATTTCCTGTTTGCCATTGGCGCATCTCCTTTCCCATGAAATTCTATCCAAGAGCCCGAGAGCAACGGCCGAGCATCCATCACGCCTCGGTTCGGCCACGTCGACTGGGAGTGCTCAAAGCGGCCGCTATCAACCTTGTCTTGCTCCAACTTCTTTTCCTGGGTCTCTTCTGTTACATATTTGGCTCGATTTTCCAGCAGACCACACATATCCACAATCTCACTATCCTGTTCGTCGACTACGATGGCGGCGCGATCGGAGACTCAGTTCGCAGCGCGTATGAGAAACTCCAGGGACCGGGCTTTCCATCATTGATTGAGCATTCTACCGCTGAGTATCCTCAGCCAAACGTTGTTGATAATGCGGTCTGTAACATCAACTATTGGGCCGCGTTATACACTACGCCCAACGCGTCGAATCAGTTGACAGCCGTGCTTTCAGGGGAATCTGCTGCTTCGACATATGACAAAAGCGATGTCCTCACCATGGTGTGGAACCAGGCTCGCTATCCGACAGTCGTTGATGCCGCCATCTCCAACTCCGTAAAATCGCTATCTGAAGCCGCACGCGTCGCGTACTCTACAACAAACGGGCAACAGACTCTGCAGAGTTTGAACACATCCGATCCCGCGGCGATAGCAGTTTTGTATGAGCCGTGGTCCCTGTCTTCTGTCAACTTTCAGCCGACAACACAAGGATCAAGACTCATCTACAACAGCCTAGTCATCATTCTGATCATCATCCAGGAATTCTTCTACCTGGGTTATGTCAACGGTCTATATGTTCAATTTAAACTCTATACATCGGTGGCACCTCATCGAATCGCAATCTACCGGCACATTATCTCTGCCGTTTACACTCTGATCGGGTCACTTTGTACCGCGGGGGCCATCTGGGCCTTCCGAAATGGCTGGACTGTCAACGGTAACCAGTTCGTCCTCACATGGATGGCCTTGTGGCTCTTTGCGCATCTGAACTTTCTCGTTCTAGATGTAATAACCGTCTGGCTGCCACCTCCCTACGTGCCCATGGCAATGGTATCATGGGTTGTCTTGAACTCCACGTCGGCCATGCTTCCATTCGACCTCTCTCCTGGATTCTATCACTGGGGTTATGCCTTGCCAGCCCACTGTGTATACCAAATCCTCATTGATATCTGGTCCGGTGGGTGCAATCCTCAACTCTACCATGCACTACCGACTCTGTTCGCCTATGAAATCGTCGCGATGACCGTGAGCACGATTGGAGTCTATCGACGGGCGCACTATGCATGTCTCTCACAAGAGCAGGAGGAAAACTCATGCCGAGACAACATATCAGCAGCACTACTGGACGTGCGAAAAGACCTGATGGCACAAGAAGCGATGCATGACGGACAAGGACAAGGAACATCTGAAACTGAGAAGAACCAAGGACCCGCGACGCAACAGCCTGAATCTGCCACGATTCTAACTGAGCAAGAGAAGCTGGTTCACATCATGCGAAATGAGATGGCGCGTGCGAAGGCTGAGGATGAGAGTATGGGCATACATTTCACCCCGCTTTAAACGATGGCACATCAAACTAGGGGCGTTTGATATATTTCAATGCGTTTCTTTTGAGTCTCTAAAATAAGATAACTATCCCTTTCGTCACCAAATCTCCCCTAATTTGTAGCTGAGGCTTAATACCCCCTAATAGGCCGAAATTTATTTTCGCTCGTACGGTGGTACGCAAAAGTATAATACCCCATGAGCAATAGCAGCGCATATAGGTGCTACCCACTGCATCCAATGATAGGTGGAAAAATGAGATCCAACCATTGCTCCGAAGCATCGCGCGGGATGTCCTGCTGTTTCTTATTGTTAGCATATCGGCCACACACATCTTCCCAGAGCCACGCGAGGGGGGAGGTAATCCCATACAGAATCCTGTATAACCGGGACGAATGATGCCGGTCGAAAAGATACACAGTGCTAGTGGAATTCCAACGAAGATCGGACCCAAAGTCGGACCAAACACTCCCTTTTGACGAGGATCAAGACCAACGCCAAATGAAAGGAGAATTACTGCGAAATCCGTGACGAATTCAATAGCGAATGCGCTGCCAATTGACACCTGCGAGGTATCCACGTAACAACCTGGAACTATAAACTATCGATTTGTATTAGAAAATCCCGCGAGACGAGGGGTAAGAACATGTTGGGGCGTAGCAGAGATTTACATACAGATCTCGTATCGAGGCTCGCTCTTACCAGCCAACCGGCGATTGCCGAACCAAATATTTGGAATGCAACGTACAACACACATCTGGGCAGCGTTGTCAAGCGCCCGAAGAACGTAGCTATAGTGATCATCGGGTTTAAATGGGCTCCAGAAATAGGACCGATTGTAAATGTAAATAGAGGAAGCATGAACACCACTATCAGGCTACCAATCAATGTAGGCACAACTGGGCCAGTCTCAAGATTCCTGTTTAGCCAGTCGGTTAACGTCGCTATGCAGGGAAAGAAGGGCCAAAAGGCTTACCCCATATTTTCTGATAGTCCAACGGCGAAGAGGATGGTTAGGTATACCAGCAAACACGTCCCCAATCCTTCAACGACAGCTGCCTTCCACAGCTCTATCTGCGAGAATTGCGTCACGGATAAAGCATCTCTCAATGGAACCCACGGAGCAGCATCAGGAGTTTTTTCCAATAGCTCTCTATCTGTACAGTGGCTTCGAGATAGAGAGAACTCTTGGTTTGCACCGAGGCGGCCGGCAAATGGGGTAGGGGCTTTGGCCGAAGGTACCGTGTCCCTGTCACTTCGCCAGAAACTAGCATGAGGAATTGTGGATGGCATTTTGCGCATAGAACCACGAACAAGATCCGTGAGGGGAAAGGAGTTGATATGACAGTATATGAGACAAAGGCAGCCCGCTGCAACAAAAGATAGGGATGAAGTAGGTCATTGGTCATTATTAGTCACCGTTAGTTAATCTTAACAAGATCTCAGTTCCCCACTTATTATGCATATGGAGTAGATTTCGATTCACTCCAAGTTCGGTTAGTGTTCCAGGCTTTGGCTTGGATCCACTTAGAATAATAAGCACTTGAATATATTATTCAACAGGGTGTCGAGTCATTGCATTTGATTTTCCAGTCAACTGGCTGCACGATGCCCGTTAGTTCTGTGACACGTGGCAAGCTTCAGAGAGCCGGTAAGCAAGCATTGCCCTCTTTAAAATTAGTAGCTCGTAGTCAGTTGGAGTGTAGATGTCGGATAAAACCTCTGCTGTGTGACGAACACTGCGAGTTCCAATATTTTCAGGCAGAAATATCAGACTGGATCCTGAGTTCTTCCTCCACTAAATTTTGAGACAATTGACACGCTTTGTGAATAGCTTCAGCACCCGACGTGTGTGAGCTTCCTGGTGTGGGGTGTCCCCGCAGCCGTGAAGGATGATGTCATGGATCAGGTACTCTGGCTCGGATAAATGTATGACCGGCCGGCCGAGAGCAACAATTCCATCATTGAGCATGTTCGCGCAACCCCCCTCTGACCACGTTTATGTTTGAATCATCATGGACAACCAATACAGTTGGGGTTCTTTTATTGGTCAGCCGCCTGACTCTGCTTTATATGTAGATGTCGGGCAACATTTAGACTACGGGTATCCATACGAAGGAAATGTGCAGCTGGTGAATACTCCCATGTTCCAGCATCAATATGCCTCTCTCCTATTATGTGATCCATACTAAAACAGCACGACATTAAGGGCGCAGCCAATCACGCTTTTCCAACACCCATTTCTGTAGGAGGGTTGTCTGATCGGGCGACTGCGGAGGCTAGGGATGCGTACGTCCACGGAGATGGTTCAGCAGGAGGTACAACTTGTTCATCGGTCGCCCGCGATGAATCGAGCTATGGCCAACAAACTCAAGACGCTATCCATAGCCATGCGGTTGAAAGTCTGAACAAGCGCAGGGCGCAAAACCGAGCATCGTACGTTTCAATATTACACAATTTAATGCCATCTCAATCTGCAACACTTTAGCTTGTACCTCCTTCTTTGCTGACATCTCCGTCAATCCATTCAGTCAGCAAGCGTTCCGTGCACGGAAAGAACGTCACAATGCCGAATTAAATCAAAAGATAGATCAATTGCAGAACAATATGTCAGGTCTGCGTGACGAAAATGAACAGCTCCAGCAACAAATTGCGGAAATGATTTCACAGAATCGTGTGCGTACGGAAGCACGCACGAGGCAACCTACGTCTGAACAAAAGAACCCCATGACGTTTTCATGGTCATCCGAACGTTTCTTCGACTCGACTGTGCCTGATGGGCACGAAAAACGGCCGGTGTATCGACTCACTGTCGATAAAAATACAGGCGAGAAACTGTTGGATATTGGGGCAACTTGGGACCTTATCCAGCAACATGCATATTTCAAAATGGGAATTTTAGATCTAGTCAAAGTCTGTGAGTATCTGCGTAGGCATATACAGTGCGATGGTCAGGGCCCTGTGTTTGGCGAAAGGTTCATCTTCGATGCCATTGAATCAGGCCTTGTGGGTGATAACTTGATATAACAAATCTTGCTAGGAAACAAAAACTACAAGCTTCCCTTGATTTGCGAAAAAATTCAGATAAAAAGTAATCGAAACTATAGGAGGTGGGAGGTGTCTTTTTAGATTGTATGCTTAGTCGTATAGTGGGGTGAGTTATAACGGCAAGTGAGTCAGGTTTGTAATCTTGACTAAGATGGCTCGTGGGATGTCCGTTACCTGAACGGTCAGAAATTCTGTTTCTGCGGGTCATCAGAGAGAATCTATCTTTTAGGGGGGGCATTTTCCAAGACGATCCATATCATGAACTCTCTCTAGAGAGCCTCTGCCGGCTTCAACACCCGCCTGCCGCATTGAGGCGATGCGTATCAAGCCCTCAAGCCTCAGTATTCATTTCCGCCCTCGAACGTCTTCAGATGTTGGGTTACTTGAAACAATATTCTACGTTGTTTAAGGATGTCGACCATGCTTCCGCACCAAAAATTCTGGGGGAGCGGACATAATGCTGATGGATTACCTTCGCCAACTACCATCATCCCATTCGCTTGGCGCATTCGTGCCAATCCATAGTTCTCCTCCATACCTCTATTAGTGATCTTCCCTGTCCAGGGAGTCCTAATCATTTGGGTTTCTTTAATATTATTATCATGGGTAGGCTCAAAACCTCAAAGATTGCCTTATCGACCCCACAGCAGGCGCAAGGGAACGGCGTGCCTGGGCCACCAACGAATAACAAAATACGGGACCAACTGGCCAAGGATTACGGTATTCTGTGTTTTCAGATGGAAGCAGCCGGTCTAATGGATAAGTAAGTGTCCCAGCCATTTTGAGAGCGTAAGGACGGGGATAACAGTCCAGTAGCACCTCTGTAATTGAGGAGGCAAGACGAGGCTCCTCGACACCCACTGTCTTCTTCTACTGCGATGAAACCTCTGTGTCGCGGCGAGCGTTCACCGTGCTGTCTAGCTTCATCGAGCAGTTATTGGAGCTCTAGAGGCGGACACACTCGTCGGGTCCGAGTGACATACAGGAGATTCTCCGGTGCTATTTCAGTCCAAAGGGAAGAACCCCCGATGTTGAAGACCGACAGGAAATCTACCTTATGCCAGGCGCAATCTATGTTTTGTTCTTGATCAAAGCGATGCAAAATTAATATTAACCCATTACTTTCTAGTAGAAGGGGCCAGGGGAAATCATTTTTGCTTCTTTTTTAATTATTTAACAAGACTATCAAGGTCCGCTGAGTTATGCATTAGACAAGCAAGGCCTGCTGAAATAAGTCGGTGAGCAGATGAGAAGATAGGTATCCTTGCGGGCCGAAGGCATGTTGTAACCTTGTTGTAGCATGCGAGTCAAGGGCACATTCAAGTTTCTTTCCAGTTGGTGCTTGGAGATTCTGATATCTTAAAGTCCTGTTATTGGTATCCTGGGTAATGCAAATAGGCAAACCGGTCCTGCAGCTTGCCCTATGCATACCAGTCCTAAGTGTCACGCTTAACAAGTATCAAGAAGTAAGCCATGCTTGAGGGGCTCGAGCCTAGTAGCAGCAAGACAAGTCTAGTATATATTACACGAAGTTCATATACTGTGAAAAAGTAATGGACGGGCTATATAGTGCTTATCTAATCCAGCGCGGCGAGTAGGCCATGCATTGTCGTAGTAGACCGCAGTAACTCCTTAATTGATCAAATTCAGGCACCCAGTCCGAGTCCCTAGTTCAACACGGGAAATGGCGGGTATATCAACAGCCCTTTGCTTGCCAGGGCTAGTTCGATAATCCATGATATTCAAACTGTAATCTAAAGCAGTATGAAGTTACTGTGCCAGTTCACTGGCCGAGAGCAAGCCCAAGGTCTTTCATGATAATGGTAGCTGCCTTCTCAGCAATTGCATATGCAGCGGAAGCCGTATTTGCACCCATGTTTTGAGGAACAATACTCAGGTCTACAAGTTTCAAGCCCTCGATGCCATGAACATTGAGGTCGGCATCAACCACGCCGCCATCCGCTAGCGCGCCCATCCTGCAAGTACCCAGCGAATGCCAGGTGGTGCCGACATTCTTGCGCGCCCAGTCCCCAATGATCTTATCGTCCTCCGCAGTGTACTGGATGTCAGAAATATTCTTGTCATTTGGCCTTTCCAGCTTGACAAGGGCGGCGGCTGAATCCTCAGCAAACGGCGGGTGCGCGCTAACAACCTCTCCACGATAAATATCCATTCTGCGCACAATTTCTCGCTGCTTCTTATACGCCCAAATGAGCTTCTTGACATCCAATTCACTCTTCAAGAATCCAGTCTCAAACGCTATATCCGCGTCGAGATCTGGGCTGGTGATGTGGACGTGGCCTCGGGCGTAGGGGTAGACGGTGAACGTGGTCGTCGCGAGGTATTGTGCTGGCTCAACGGCGGACGGATCACCGGGGAAGCCGCCCAACAAAGCCAGTAGGGCCAGGGGCTTGTTGGGGTTGGAGAGATAGTCCCTTGCATATACCGCCTCGAATTCAGGTCCAAGGGCAACGACGTCGGCCTCCGTGGGACGCAGCTTGCAAGAGGCATCTTGGCCATTCCACCCCAGGATTGGTGCATTTGATTTGATCAACTCTTCCATGTTAATTCTACCGCCCAGGGGGGCATCAAATGTCTCGCTTGGCTCCAGGGCACTGTAGTATGGATGAGTCAAGAGATGATGATCCTGGTAGTTCCGGCCGATTCCAGGCATATGGGCGACAACAGGAACTCCGGCTTTCTTGAGAATAGCTTCGTCGCCGAGGCCGGACCTCTCGAGAAGCAATGGGGTCCCGAGAGCGCCACAGGAACCAATTACAAGCTTCCTGGCCTTGACCCGCTGAACATTGGTGTTGTCCTTTTGGAAGGAAGGATTTGGCTTGAACTCGACCCCCACAGCTCGCTTGTCCTCGATAAGGATCTTGATAACCTTAGTCTCAACAAGGACGTGGAGGTTTGGGTGTGCTCGATCTTCCAACCTTGGATGCAAGTAGTTGCTGGCGGCATCCTGGCGGCGGCCGTCTGTGCCGACAAAGCGGAGGGCCCGTTGAACGCCGTTATTGGTGTCTAGGTCTTGAAGATCTTTTACTGTCGGGTAGCCTACCTCGTTGGCGGCAGCAATAAATTGATCTGTCACACGCTCAGGGCAGAATGTTCCCTTGGACACAGCAATAGGGCCATCTTTTCCATGAACAGAATCAGGGCCAGGGCCATGATACGTCTCAAACTACAACAAGTAATGCGGGTTAGTGAAAGAGTGTAGCTTTAACAATCCATTAACCTACCCTTTTTAAGAAAGGGATCATTTCATCCGCCGACCATCCAGGGGTGGCCCACGAATCCCAATCATGGCGTTGAGCACGACTGTACATCATGAAGTTGATTGACGAACCTCCGCCCAGAACACCACCTGCTGGGACGGTCATTTCGCGGTTGTCCAACTGTGGCTCCGCATTTCCCTTGTAGAACAGGGTTGCGGGACTGGTGGGAAGCAATGCAGTTAGGAAATAGAGAGGCAACGCGATCGAGTCGTTGCCCTTATTATTCTGTCCGCCCTCTACTACGAGGATAGACAGCGACGGGTCGGCATCGGCGAGTCTGGCAGCAACGACGCACGCCGAGAGACCGCCTAACGAGAGAGAAGGAGCCTGTTAGTATAAGCTTATGATGAGCAGAAGAGGTGGATGAACAAACCGCCAGCGATGATGATGTCCACCTCGTCGATGCCTTCCGGTAGCTGAGTATAAATGCCCATATTGTTGGATGTTGGTGATGGAAGCAACTGCGCGCAGTGGATAGGATGACGCGAGATTTAAGAGCTCGGACAAGGCTGGCTGTCAGCAGAACTTAGGCGTCCCAGACATGGCCGGCGGGGCTGGATATACAGCGCCACAGCTAATGACTGGGTTCATCTTGGGTTGCATTGCGCTACGCCCTGTAAAGTATGACGTAGATCCAAGTCAGCTGGGATTAGATTACAGCTCAGTAAAACCCAGCTTATCACATTCGAGAGGAGGGGAAAGTAGGAAGCAAATTTAAGTAAAGCATAGAGGCTATAAACTGCGTTGGTGGCCTGAGCACGGACATGTGCCGTTAACGTCGCGAACTGGTTACTTCCCGCTCTGATCTTGCCAAGATGAGCGTTTGGTAGAAGAGGCGATATCTCCTCGCCAATAAGAATGCACTGTCAGCCTACATGGTCACTTACTGGGATTGTAGCTAATTAATATACCTAACTAACTGCGAGGATACTTCTGTTTCAGTGATAAATACAGGAAAGCACTCACATATAGGGTCTCAAAGGCGAATCTTAAAGTACTTTATATGTACATCGTGGTTGGTGGGAAGTATAACTTATTGTCGCCCTGATAAAATTGTTAAACAGATGCGCCCGGAGCCCTAATTGTAGACATCTACAGCCTGATTTGCACTGCCACCCCTCAACTGCCAGCGTTACAGTTAGTGCTTACTGGCTGTGGTTCACCTTGGTCCATAATTAGGCAGCATTTCCATAACATGCAGCGCGAATGAGATTTCTTCATACTTTTTATCTTAACGGAAGGTTGCCAGGAGGTGACTGGGTATGTAGAGCGCACTAGTATCTCACTCACAACAGCTAGGATACTTCCAGCCGATCCAGTCGACAAATTCTCACCTAGCAAGTACTTCAGCGATTACCTCGGTTGCCATTAAAACTTCCTCATCCTGGAATCTCCAGCCAACAATTTGGACGCCCACTGGCGCTTTGTCAACCACAACAGGGTCGTCTTGTTGAATATTAACAAAAATGCGTGCGTTGTGTGAGGCCTTGAAGACCTTGGAAAATTTCATTTTCAACTTACAATTTTCTGTTGCAGGCAAGTCCAATGATTTGTCGGCTTGCAGATAGGGGACCACAGAAGACGGGAACTATGAAATTTCGCCAGTCAGGATTGCAGGTAAGACGGCTGGAGAAGAAAAAAACAAGCGGGTACGCCTTACATCAAGCAGATTCCAGATAATCGTGTACGCTGGCACACCATACTTCCCATGAGGAACAGCGGTCGTTCTACCACCCGGACAGAGAAGAACATCGAGTTTTTCCTCGCGCCAGATCCTCCCCCATTCCTCCCTGTAATCCTCTTTGTCTGCATTGATGCTCCATATCTCAGCCAGGTTAGCCTCACGTCCACTTACCAATTCATCCGGCCGCAGTTCGCGAAGAGCAGGAATGGGCTCCTCTCCGGCTTCAGCAAGGATTTTGAATATACTCTGATCAGGATCCAGGTCAAGGGAGCGACCACCTAGTATTGCGGCGGTCTTCAACGAGGGAGGCTGAGTAAGTAACTTGACTTCATGACCAGCAGCCTTAAGCTTCTCGACCGCCGATGCCAGCGCACGGCTCACAGGCGGAGTAACCGGGAAATCAGGGTCAGACGGCCAAACACCAATGCGCAACTTGCTCTTCCGGGGCACGTCGCGCCACGCCACAGCTTGGGCCGTTGAATCACGTACCCAGGGTTGGCCTTGGACAATAGACTTGAAGAGTAGTGTCAAGTCTCGTGCGGAGGTTGCATGAGGGCCTAGGGTTGGCATAATCCCTGGCCAGCCCTTAGGGATAAGGGCCTGCTGCTTGGCATAGGGGAGCCGATTCGCGGTAGGTTTAAACCCGAACGCACCACAGCAGAGCGATGGGGCGCGGATTGACCCACCAATATCACTCCCTACTCCCAGGACTGAGCCCCGAAAGCCTACTAGAGCTCCTTCGCCGGAGCTGCTTCCTGATGGAGTGAGACACAGCTTGTGGGGGTTCATTGTCTGGCCAAAGACGTTGTTGTATCCTTCACAGATCTAGGTTACAGGAAAAAAGGAGAACGGAAGCGCAACTGTTAGTTCTTCTGCAGCTTTCATAAAAGACAGGTAGGGAGCACATACAAATAACGTTTGCGGGACGTTAGTTTTCACGTAAAGAACCGCCCCTGCGTCGAGTAGCATGTCGACAATCACTGAATTCTCCTCCGCGGGAGGCTTCTTGAGATACGAAACAAATCCTAGGGTAGCATACTCCCCTTTAACCATCATTGTATCCTGTTTGCCACACGTTAGTCGACCCATAATGCGTTGCTAGTATAGTCAAAGTCTCACTTTGAGACTAATAGGCAGTCCATGAAATGGGCCCATTGTCTTCCCTTCTCTGGCCAGGTATTCGTCCAGAAGTCGTGCTCTATCCAAGGCCTTGTCAAATAATATTTCGGTCAAGCAATTTGTCTAAGGAAAAATTATCTTAGCACGTACGTATCTTTCCGCATCGTAGGACTTCAGGATACTAAGCTTAAACTTACCAGCTGCTGGGCAATGGCCGCACGCTTGCAAAATGCAGCCGTTACTTCTAAAGAACTGATTTTCGCGGAAGCCAAAAAGCCCAGCAGAGCTGTGGCGTCCCATGATTCGGTTATCTCTATTTCACGCGAGGTCAAAAGGTTCGACTCCTTCAAAAGATCAAAGGCACTTAGGTTGGCTTCGGGGTGTATTTTGTCCATTATCTGAGAAGGGACACGCCAGGCAGATGGAATATATGAATCCCGAGCTGCACGTTTCTGAGCTATAAGCTCTTGCCATTCGGGAGAGATCATGTTTGACAGATTTGATATTGAGACGTTGGATTCCAAAGAGGAGGTAGCAAGTAAGAGCCAAGGTGTTGAAGGTAATGAAAGAATGAATTTGACATTGATGGGGTTATGCAGTTTATATATGATTCTTACCTCAGTTGGCCCGGCTCTAGGGAAACAAAACAATGTCATATGCCGAGGTGGCACGGTGTCCCATCTGCTAACTATAATTCACGACGGATGATCCTGTAGGCCTACTCTCCGCTGAGGTTGTAGGATCAATCCGGAGTCGACGCTGCGGGGGTTGTCCAAACTTTGCTGTGCGGGTGCGTCTGAATATCTCGCCCAGAGGGGATAACCCACACAAATCAGCCATATGGAGATAGCCCGCAGACCCCAAGACTGCTGATCTGTTACTGTGATTTGCCCCCCTTCCTTGCACATGATACCGGGGCATAACATTAGAATCTTTCCTCAGTCATCTATCTTTGCCGTAGCTTAAGACCCTCTGCTGTTAACACGGGCAAAGGTTTAGAACGACAACAAAGTCGCCCTTTGATTAAAAGCAATCTTTCAATGGAGTGTATTTGAGCACCCCCTGATCCGTTCTACTCATAGAATATCGCGGCCGCAGCAATGGCGACAAGCTCTTGTCAGTTAGCAGTTAGGGTTGGATGTAAGAGGTAATTACGCATTCCGAATGGAATTTTGATAGGCCCTCGGCAAAAACCCGCGGACTTTGCCCCGCTGTGGGCTATCGCCTATTGGTCGCATACAAGTGTTTAGAAGTATCATATCCGTACCGGTAAGATAAGACCTACGGGGACTTCGCTTCAAAATTCCCGACTATCTACTGTCTCACAAGAACTGAGATCGATTACCACTTACCAGCTGCGCTATTCACTATTGATGAAGCTTCAAAATCATGTGTATATGCAATATGAGTGGGAAATACCTGTTCACCAGAGGCTATGTGGCAACTTTAGAGTATTTACTTGGAGGTTTTTCCAGAGGCGCAGTGGTCGTTGAGAATGGGGTCATGAAAGTAGTTGCAAAGGAGGACGACCATGTCACCATAGATACAGAAATCATTAATATAACAGAGGGTGTGGTCATGCCAGGCACGGTTAACACGCGTCGACACGCCTCCATGTCGCTGACCAGGCTCTACACAAATCTTTCCAGCTTGTCTTGTCTCTATATTTCCACTAGGAAGTGCGTCTAGAGCTTTCTAGAATTCATCCCAAGTCGGGTAACATTTTTTTAACGCCCGCCAAGAGATGTCGCAGATGAGACATTGAATCATTATCCAAGCAAGCATGTACCTCAGCTTCATCCGAGCGTAGCAGTACCTTTGCAAGCAACCAAACCTCTTCCCCACTTATCATGAAGCCCACGCGCTTCAGCTCCGCCGCCGAAGTTTGGGTTTTCAGGCGGTCCCAAAGAAGTTTCCACCTTGAAAGAGCTTCTTCGAAGGAATGAATCAGCCGTCTTTTTGTCTTGTTGGTTAAAGACGAGAATATCATGGAATATAGTCCTATGCAGAACAGAGGGATTGGTTAGCGGAACCCATGTACTCTTTTTCTCGAATTATAAGTGTATACACCAACCACATATTACCGCGAATAAGCCAAAGAAGCTCCTACAGTGGAGCAGTATGGCTTCTGGCCCACACCAAGAATCCCCCATAAGTATTTCGGTGATTTCAGTTAGCGATAGTGGGTGTTGAATCCCCTGTTTTTCAGAGCCACCGGGGAGATATATTACTGAGTCAGGAGCCGAGAACAGACTCTCGGAATTCGGAAGGCTCCCTGTCATCTCGACGATAGTGATAAGTGGCGGTGATTGGAAAGCTGCAAGGAACTGGCAATCAATGATGAATAGGAATGCAGCTGTCCTGTGCATTACACAATATAAGCCGCGGGATCCTCATTTACTGGAGGATTTGGAAGGATACTTACCTGATATAAGTCTCTTTCTGAGCATATGCAGATGTGACTGCCAAGTTCGTCTCACTCGGCTCGGTTTCATGTTTGACGTTGAACAATGACAAGGAACGCGCAGCATATACCAGTATCGGAAAACGGCGCGTTCGAAGCCTTCGGCGTATCATCGCATTATTTCGACTAAGCTGTAAGCATACGACGATGATGGCGGCCATAACTGGTTCTATGAAGGCCAGGAGCTTCCCTTCCTCTTCATCCACATCAAGAATACCACCACCACGCCCACCACCTATCATGTCAATATCAAGCAGGTTGAAGATGTACTCTTCCACCAGGTCCAAGCAACCAATTGCTAGGTGATAAGTATCCCGAGGGTATGTGAGTATCGCTCCACCCATAAATATAGCCATGAGAAGAGATAGTGAGGCGGTCTCAACGGAGGTTGAAGGCAGATGAAATATCGGGCAATGGCGATAGAACTGTTGGACGTAGAGCTGTTCGAAATCCACGATATTCACGGCCGAGAACAGACCCCTGTTCACTGCCTCGTCCAAACACAGCTGCCATACACCCTCTGCTGGAGTTGAGACTCCTAGGCGTGTCGCCAGGAAAGTCAATGCATCCGTCATTTCTGCTGCACGCGCGGTTAGCTGGTCGCACCGCTGTCGATCTAGAAGGACCCGAGGCATGTTTATTGTTGGACTTGTTTCCACAGAGGAACCAAAGTGTAGGAGCTGAAAGAGTGGGAACATGGCCGGGTCGTCTCCAGACAATTCAAATAATGTCTCTGACTGGGAGCTCACGAAGGGCGTTTGATGGATATCAGTGTTCTCAGTCCGTTGTCCTATCCTCCCTGATTCTAGGGCATGAAGTAAATCCAAACACGAATTATTTTCGTTGTAGTAATTTAAGAGGAAGGGAATTCTGGCGTCCAAAGATGCCGGGGTTGGTCTTTTTCCCCGCGATACAACAGAAGGAGCGGCGGCGATAGAGGATTAGAACAAGGATGTGGCCGCCTCCCTTGCCCACTGATCAAAGTCAGCCGCGTATAAGTACAGTTCAAACTGGCTTCTATGCAAAAGCCGCAAGGGTTGCGACCATCGCATGCGACCTTTGCAGACGCGCAGCCATCACAGGAGGATCTGGCTCTTCCCTTCTTTCGCTGCTGTGGCATCGGCCGGCATCCCCGGTTTCGACATGATTTGGCATGTCGGCGAGCGGTATCGCTAGAGAAAACGTCAATATGCATGCTGTCGTAGAAATTAGTACTACATACAGTCGAGAGAATGACTGGGGGCAAAAGAAGCAGCTGTAAGGCCGGCCTGGTATATCTACTAGTGGTTCAGTGGGAGAGCCTAGAGGGGGGAGAGTTCGTTTAACGTACGTGATGCCTGATGGCGACGGAGATGGCTACTTGTGGATAACTTTGCATTGCAGGTTGGGCATTTGTATGGATGTCCCATGCTGGGAGAGTATAAGCTGCGAGTTTACAAGTGAAATGCATTCAGTCTGCGCTGACACTGCTTGGACTCTCACTATTGGCACCTCTTGTCCTCCGTAGCCGGAAATTCCCTGGATTCTATTGGCCAACTTGCGTCGACAAAAGTAACATCTGCTGTTATTGATGCTTATGCAAGTCTAACTACCCCTGGAGAACTTTTCCAGATACTCACGGACCGAAGTAGGCTTGACTTCCGGGCACATCCTGTTCGCAACTGGCTCAACATACCCTACGTCAGGGAGATCTTTGCAGTACGCAAGCTGAAGCTCCGCCCACAGCCACTGCATGTAATCGCCTGCTTCGATGGACGATATTTGTCTCTCCAGCTCCCTTCTCTTCAGGACCTTAACATCAAACTTCCGTTTCGCAACGGCTTCCGCATGCGCGAGCAGTTCCCCCATTGTGAGCGTTTCACCAACCATTGTCATACTACTCCCCCACTTGGGGAGCTCCAAAGCTTGCGCGACGAACCGCCCAATATCCTTCATAGTCGTCAACGTTATGAGAGGCCATTGCCCATCGGCCCTCTGAGGAAGCTCGGCGGTGCCATTTCTCATCGAGAGAAGGAACGCCCCCGAGCCATCCTTGAAATTACCATTCCTTTGGAGACCCTCGCAGGCTTCATCTTCACCTTTCGCATATCCGTTACCCTCACGTAGCCGCCTGAGCTGCTCTTCCTCGCTTCCCCGAGCAGAATCAGACAGCGGACTGTATATTCCATGCCCTAGGTAATTCATGAAGCAGCCGTGGTTGAACCTAGTGCACTCGATACTATCTTTGAATTTCATGCACTCGTCCCACACACCCGCGACTGTCGCCGCTGTGGCAGGAACCATCTCCCAACCTGTAGGGCCAAACCCCCCACTGGGAGGGGGCAAACCGCGCGCACCTCGCTTTCACCGCTGCATGTAGTAGATTCATCTGAACGAGTCGCTGGGTGCCGTCAATCGCAGAAGTTACCGAGATCAGTGTGTGCACGTCTTTGAGTGCTGGAATCAGTGAGTCCTGGGATAGGTAGTCCACCGCACGAATCTCGGTACGGAATCCGTCTGGGTCAACTGCACGCAGCCAGAGGGGCTTATGGACGGAGCGGGACAGTACGACAATATTCCAGCGGGAGCCGTGGGGAGCGGACAAAAGGGCTGTTACTATTGCTCGTCCGAGGCTGGGAGATGTCCCTCCGGCGACTCCTAAGGTTGGCATTTTCGGAATCTCCGTGCGAAGAAAGGTAAAAAAGTAGAAGAACGGGTGAAAGTTGTTCAAATAAAAAAAAAAAAAAAAAAAAAAAACGAGGTAGGTGTTGGCCGAATTACCGTGCTATATATTTTGATTCTCCGCGTGGATGGATTTCGTTCCCTCCGGGGAAAACCCGCACTGGTGGCCATACGGAGATAACCCGTAGGGGATCTACTGGTCGCGCCCCCCAGGAGAAATTAAAACTGCGTCCTTACGGATGACAGGTGTATGGCGTGGTAACATACTCTTCTGATCGCATCGTACTTCCACTTTGAGAAGGAGAAGTTCTGGCCGGGCTATTATGAGGGGGACTGGTTCCATTATGTTCTGAGCTGGTGGGAGCACTGTGACAGTAAGAACATTTTGTTCCTGAAGTATGAGGACCTTACGAAGGATACCGTTGGGATTTTGAAGCATATTGTGCAGTTCTTGGACATTGAACTGGGCCAGGAGAAGAGCAACGAAATCTTGGAGAAGGTCCAGTTCCAGACTATGAAGTCGGATAACGTGCTGGGAGATGTCAAGGAGATTGACAAGTTCTTCCGCAAGGGCAAGGTGGGCGCGTGGAAAGTGCAGTTCACGGTGGCTCAGAATGGGTTCTTCGGTTAATTCTGCAAGGAGAAGTCTGAGGGCACTGGGCTGTTGTTTGACGGGCTATAATGGTATCTGGAAGTCTCTATAGTGCTCAACTAGTATAGAACTCATTGTGCATTTGGTCTGGTGAGATGATTTTGCCAAGTACTCTATTGAAGACTGAATTTGATTAAGAATATTTCATACGTATACAATAATGGGAGGAAGGTGTGTCATAATTCGTGATCTATAGTAAATAAACAGCAGGAACAGTTTCCGATTTTTGTCTTCTCTGTATCCTCGCGAGTCAGTGCAGTCAAGGCACAGGTTACTATTATACAGTGCCAGCCTAGTAACAAATATAATATGTATAAATATAGCCTGTACATTGAACTGATCCGATTCGTCAAGTAATATATTATGCTATACCTGCCTAGCCCTAAGGGTGGCCTGAACCAGGCACCCGCCGCTGCCTGAGAGTTGGAGGGCCTAGACCTGGATCCCAAAGATTAAAACCACTCCAGTTCCCGGAAATTCAAAAATCTGTTAAAAATCTGCTATTGCATCTATTGTACAAAATCAACAATGACAAAACGCTCTGCGAACCCCAGCACCCCGAATCCCCCCAAACGGCGGGCCAACCTCATCAGCGTCGAGAAGCGCGAGTTCAAAGCCACAAATATAACAGACGGCGAGCATGTCCACCAAACCTGCATCGCCATCCACGGCGAATGCCAGATATTCGACTATTCACATGAAACCAATTCCGTCTCTGTTTCTGTCACGGACTGCTTCAACCAAACTCGACCGGTCCAGCATTGGCCCCTGCACAAGGGCTACTGGAAGGCCCTTGTCATGCTCGCCCCCGGCCTCAACAAGACTAACCTGAAACTACACCATGCTGGGGGAATCCATGCCTCCGTGCACATGGCGCTGAATTATATTCCGCTCTTGCAACTGCCGCCACTCCATCTGGCGATTCTGGTCGCGCGCGATTCGCCGCTGCTCACCGACTGCCCGGCGTCCAAGTACGGCGCTATCTCGACGGCACATAGCGGTATTGACGCGGCGATTGCGAAGCTTCGTATGGCCGCATATATGTGGCAAGCCCTGACGGCGGAAGACTTTCGGCAGAAAGGTCTAGGCAGGCGCGCGTTCCGGCTGGATGAGGAATGGGGTGTTGACACGACGGTACGGGCTGGGAACAATGGGGAGAATCGAACAGGCTCAGTAGCGAAAGTGCACATCATCCGGTCAGAGAAGACGCTCGCTGAGCTTCGCGACCCGCAGGTGGCGCAGCAGAACCGCCGTGGTAGCGACAGGGATGCACTGCATGGATACTTTGAGACAGCGCTGTTGAAGTCGGGGGCGCCGTTTGAGTCCAAGACTCGGCCTGTCGTGGCGGGGATGTTGCTAGACTCGCATTATGATGTAGAAAGGTCGCTTCTTTTGGGTCACGCTGCTCTGGGTTGCCATAAGCCCTATGGCCTGTCCTTGGGGATGTTTGGGAGTCATCTCACATACTCTTGGCCGCGGTTTCTGGAGGAGATACCTGCCTGTTTGACCGATCTCGGGTATCCTGGCGACAATGTCTCTAACGATAACTGGGAATGCGGCACGACCAGTGCAGCTTGCTTCGTTGGCCAGGGCGCATTTCTTCATGAGGTTGGCCATGCCTTTGGCGCGGGTCACACAACAGGGATCATGGCCAGAGGATATAGCAAGTCCTGGGCGATGAACTTCATCGAGCACGAGAGCAACGACAGGCTAACAAACAAGACCAAGTGGGATTTGAGCGACCTCCTCAAGTTCAGGTTGCTACCGCATTTTGCACTGCCCGGTGACGAGTATCCTGTTTCCAGCGAATTCAAAAATGCTGCTGTTAGCATTGATGCCGACTCCGAGACACACAGTGCGCTGGCCGATGAAAGTTCTGATGAAGAGCCCGATGCCATCCTCAAGGTGTCCTGTAAGGCAGGGCTCGCACTAGTGAAAGTCCAGAATGGCCTGAATGATCCCAAAGAGTACAACTTCGTAAATGAGGGAGGGAACTACCCCCCTCCGTCAACCCTGCACATCAACACGACAGTCGAACAATTCGACCGCCGTTAGCAGCTCCACATCACAGCTCTGGGCATGAACGGCACGGAGCGGATATTCCCAAATGCCTGGAAGCTTCTGCAACAGAAGCCCTATATCCGGATCCCGGGCAGCCGCCTGGTTCTGCGCAAACAATCAGTGGCGTCCGACGGTTTCCAAGAAGGCAACATTGACCAGTATATCGGATGGGCTGTTCTTCTTAAATATCGATCAAAGAAGGATGGCGAACTATATCGCGCGACATCCATTGATCTCCGCGTAGGATGTACCATGGACGGTGCGGTCGTTCACTATGAAGACGGCAGTCATCAGAATTGCGGGCCTGCGCGCGATGAGCAACACGGGAGAGAACATCAGTTCGGTGGACACGCCTCAGAGGACCACGATATTCCTGACGGTGAAACTGTTTCCAAGGTGGCAGTCTCTAGGACCAGGAAATCGTGGGGAAGCCTCTCCGGTATTCGGATGACGCTCAGCAATGGTGATGAATGGGGTTGTCTTAACGGGGACTGGGACGAAGATGAGGATGAGGATGATGAAAGCCAACAAGGGGAAGATGAGCCTGTCGTTGCGCTTGAACCGGGACACAATGAGAAGATCGTGGGTTTCTTCGGGCACAGTGACCGCAATTCAGGATTCACTTATCAGTTTGGTATTTTGACGGCACCCAAGGGGGTCGACTTGCCGGAGGTCGTCTATGATATGCCAGAATTGGGCAATTTATAGCCTTCGGTACAACAGCCTGCGTTAAGAATTGCCCAGGACCGGATACACCACCGGGATTGTCTGCCGCGTTCGTACTGGGCTGCGGCTTGGAATTTAGATTGTTGATGTTCTTCGAGCTATTATTGTCTTTAACCCTTCGACGTAGAATATTTGGGCGCTTGCCACGGACTCCGTTGCCCTTGTTTGCCATGGGGACAAGAGCACAATCGACTGTCTCGAGCCCGTAGAGGAGCTGTTTAAAGTGTAAAAGAATCGGATCTATTGAATTGAGAGGGAAATAGGCAACGGGATGCTGTGCTTGCAGATCAGGGAAGAAGCAAGAAGGGATGTGTGAAGAGAAAGTGGAAGCCCGCGGAATATTGAGGGATGTTGTGATTTTTCTCTCTTCACTCTCTCTTCACTTTGCAACTCTCTCCTTCCTCCTCTTCCACCACCGAGGGCTCTTCCTTACCAACACATTTACTACTGATTGTTTCCGTCTGTTACCGGTATCACCCCTTGTGGAGCCTATAATCCAGGCAATGTTTGTGTTACGCATATGAGAACTAAGCTATCGAGGCAATGAAAGTTTCGTGGTTCGGTGTCAACAGGTGTAACACAAAAAAGGATTTTGAAATTATTTATCGTCAATTAGTCTAATCGGTACTTGAAGGTATGTAACAGGGCTATTTCCAGGGCTAGCATTCATTGTCATCATACCATGCCTTGCTTTAGTGTGCTAGACGACTTTCCAGGTTGGAACGCATGTAAAGAAATTCAGGAACACTGACGAGATAATAGAATTTCGCAGACAGACCCAATAATTTCGAACTTTAAAACGACTGCAGAACCTCTTGTGGACATGGCCACTCTTGACTCCGTGAAGCACGCCCTTAGGCATATCGCCGATACATCACGGCCAGCGGTTCATCAGATATTGTCCGACGCACTGTACAGCTCTGCGTTCGATCTCCTATTACAGGGCCCGGGATGGACATCTTACCGAGACTTCATTATTCCACAACTGTCTAAGCTGCTGGACCCCGTATTCGACTCGCACGATCATGTTTCTGTACTGGAAATTGGACCCGGCCCACAAAGTATTCTAGGGCATCTCTCGGACCGGGCAAGAAGGAAGATCACAAAATATGCTGCGTATGAGCCAAATGAGGTTTTTAATAGCAAGATGCGAGAATGGCTGTGCCCCAGCTCCCAAGCGGAGCACCCGTTGCCTTGTTTAGAGAAACCCCCTGATATTCATCAGGCCCCATTCATGCCAGCCCAATACGCAGGGTTCGGGGCACACAGCCACAATGAACAATTTGATATCATATTGTTTTGCCATAGCTTGTACGGAATTAAGCACAAAGCCGATATCGTCAAGCTAGCGGTGAACATGCTTCGCGAGAAGCCGGAAGGCGCAATGGTGGTGGTCTTCCATCGAGATGCGGGCCTGCGGGAGCTGGGCAGCTTGGTCTGTCACCGCACCGCTTCGCTGCCTACAGGGATAATTCGCATACCGAACACTGACGAAGCCTTGGACCAATTTAGTTCTTTCATAGCTGGGTTCGCTGTACAAGATGGCACAATCCGAGACAAATGGCGCGCCAAGTGCCGTTCCCTTGGCCACTCTGACGACGCCCACCCGGGCCAGCTCGAGTTTAGGTCTCCGGAAATTATGGTCACATTTACTAGACACGCGGCATCGCTCCAGGAACTCACTGCGCAACTCCCGTTGGTGGAAAGGCAACGAACCATCAAAAACAGAGACGCCCGACTGCATCAACGAGCGGCTATCATTAGGCCAACAGAAGTAGGACACATTCAGGCGTGCGTACAGTGGGCTCTAAAGCACGGTGCCAGTTTGACTGTCATTGGTGGAGGTCACAGCGGTCACTGTCTATGGCCCAGTGTTGTCGGGGTTGACATGAGTGCTTTCAATCAAGTACATACTGCAACAGCAACTGAGGATCAAACTGACGGGTCCACCCCCTGCTCGATAATCGTCGCTGGAGCCGGTTGTACTTCCATCGACATAATCCGTGCTGCCAAAGCAACTGGTATAACGGTACCATTGGGGACCCGGCCCAGTGTGGGTGCGGGACTGTGGCTACAGGGCGGCATTGGACACCTGGCTAGAATGTATGGACTCGCATGCGATTCCATTGTCGGTGCTGTACTGGTCTGTGTCCACACTAGCCAGGTGCTATGCATCGGCCATGTACCAAATGAACACCGACCAGCTGATGCCGTCCGTCCAGAAAAGGAAGCCGATCTACTCTGGGCAATTAGAGGCGCCGGGACCAACATCGGCATCGTAGTCAGTGTTACCTTCAAGACCTACACAGCCCCAACCTATTCTGTCCAAACTTGGATCGTCCCGCTCAACAACAGCCTTGCCGCGCGCTGCAAGCTTCGTGATTTTGATCAAGGCATCGCAGGGAAGCTCCCTCGCAGTTCCTCTGCCGACGCGTATCTCTACACCGAGGCTGGCAAGCTTCATCTTGGCGTGGCCATGTTCGAAGCTCTTTCAACTGACCCTGAGATGATATCCGAGAGAACGCTCACAACTGGACGACATATTCTAGGCCGAGAGACGAGTTCAAAGGTTGTCGATTGTATCGGTCTATTCGAGGTTGACATGTACATATCCGGCATGCATGGTGGACACGGCGGCGGGAAGACTTCCTCATTCAAGCGGTGTTTATTTTTGAAAGATATCGGGCAACCGAGTATGGTTGACGCCCTTACAGCAGCTGTAACGACGGCCCCTTCGCCTTTTTGCTATCTCCATCTGCTCCACGGCGGAGGCGCGGTAGGTGAAGTGCCTCCCGATGCCACTGCGTTCGGGTGCCGAGACTGGGATTTTGCATGCGTGATAACCGGTGTTTGGCCGCGCGATCTAGATCAAACCCATTTTGCCCGCGGGGTAGTAGACTGGGTTTACCATGTTGCCAATTCCTTGCTACCGTTAAGCTGCGGAGTCTACGGCGCAGACCTCGGGCCAGACCCCAGAGATACACCATTGGCAGCTCGAGCGTTCGGCCCTAACTTGTCGCGCCTAGCAAATCTGAAGCAGCGGGTCGACCCTCAAAACGTACTCGCCTACGCCTGTCCACTGCCAAAGAATACCCTACTCAGTAATCCTAAGCTCATAGTTGTGGTCACTGGCGTGGCCGGGGCTGGCAAGGACTATTGTGCTGAGATCTGGGCCTCACTGCTCGGTACGGAAATGGGTCGCACTGCGCGCACAGCCAGTATCAGCTACGTAGCCAAACAAGAATACGCTGCAGCCAGTGGCGCAGATTTTACTCGCCTGCTTCATGACCGCGTGTATAAAGAGCAACACCGACAGGCTTTGACGGCTTTCTTCCAGGCGCAGGTGTGGAATGAGCCTTGGTTACCAGCGGAGCGTTTTATGAGGACGGTCGACGAGTCCCGAGACGTGGATGTGCTGTTGATTACCGGAATGAGAGACAATGCACCAGTCCCATCCTTTGCACATTTAGTACCGACAAGGAGATTACTCGAGGTCCAGATCGCCTCCGGCGACGAGACGCGACGGACTCGTCGGGGTTTCTTCGATCATGGGCTTGCCAACAATCCCTTGGGCTGCTCCCCCAATTTTACCTTCAATAATGAGAAGCCCGGAGAGGAAGCCGCAAAGGCTTTTGCTAGACGACATCTTGTTCCTTTCCTCCACGAGGATCTGCAGCGCCTTGCTGACATGGTGCGGCTGGTCCCCGAATTCCCTCGCCCAGGAATCGAGTTCCGCCACGTGCTTAACATCGCCCAACACCCTGGCGGTCTTGCCCTTTGCACCTCGTTACTGCGGTCACACTTCGCTGGGGACTGGGCAAAAGTCAACGTCGTAGCGTGCTGTGAAGCAGGTGGATTTGTCTACGCATCCCCTTTGGCTTCCCAGGTTGACAAGCCCCTGGCTCTGATTCGCGAGGCTGGGAAGCTCCCTCCACCGACTGTCTCGGTCCAGAGGTCTACCTCGCACATTGGAGCTTCGGGGCCTACAAATCCAACGGATACCAGAATCGAGCTAAGCCGAGATGCAATTCCCAGAGGCGCGTCGGTGGTCGTAGTAGACGATGTGCTCGCTACAGGAAACACTCTCTGTGCAGTACTCCACCTACTACGAGAAGCCAGCGTACGCATTGAGGATATGAGTGTGATGGTGGTTGCGGAATTCCCGGTTCATCGTGGTCGCGAACTGCTGCGTCTGCGTGGCTTTGGCAGGGTCAATGTACAGAGTCTATTGGTTTACGATGGCGTTTAGCTAGCCATATGAAATCTTGGAATATAGGTTTGTGGCTCAGTTCAAGTTCATTTTCTTCTGCTGTTGCGTTGACTCAATGGATACATCTGACATAAACTAGCGGGTTAACATGAAAACAAATAACTAAGTACTGCTGACATTTTCCTTGGCCAAGCTAGCCAAGGTCGCACGTTCCTGGGTATCTGAGTTTTGCTCGAGATAATCCAAGAGTGTTTGCAGCTTTTTCTTTTCCTCCTCCTGTAACTCCTTCCACTCCGTCCGATCCAGACCGTTAACAATACGTTGCAGCACCGCAACCAGCTTTCGGTACTCGTCGTCCTTTTTCATCTTCCACGCGCTTATCATCTGGTTCCGATACCTGGTGTAAAACATGGGGATATTCCAGCTGCGTCTCTTTTCCTTCGGCTCATTCAGCTCTGCTTCCCGACAGAAGAAACATGCCTTCGTGGCCTCTCCTCTAATTGCATATAAGCGCCCCAGCCGACGAAAGACAATATCCTTGCCAATGTAAATCTGGCCGTGGGCAAGCAACTCGAAGAGGACCTCCTCCTGCGCGTCATAGTCCTCAAGCGCCTGGTGCATCTGGAGTAGGATGACCATCTGCGCACCCCAGTACATCCAGCCCTGGCGCTCTTCCTCGCTTATGACCTCGTCGAGGTGGCCGCTGCTCGTCCGATCGTTGCGAATGGCTTCGATCCGGGTAATCAAACGGTTTCGTTCGTAGATCACTTTTGCTCGGCTTACTGTGCGGTCGTTGGGCCATAGGAATGGCCAGTCGGGATCACGGGGGACCTTGATGTTGTCGTTGTCGCTGTCGCTGTCGGGATCGTTCGAGAGGCGAGGGAGGTTACGGAGGTCAGGGAGGTTGTCAGGGGGTTGGACTGCACATTCAAATTCGACATGGGGATCAAATTCGGATTCAGATTCGGATGCGGATGCGGATGCGGATGGGGATGGCGAATTGGATGCATCGACTCGGGTGATAAGCAACCCGCTCATTCGTGCCTCGACTGAATCCATGGTGACGAAGATAGGTTTCTTGGAGATCGAGTTGAAGATTTGATGAGACGAAGTGGTGATAATGACTGGAGTGATAGAGACGACACTTCATCCAGGATATCATGAGGTTTATATATTTGCCTATGCCCCAATTTGAATGACTTGCGAAAGTGAATACCAGCAGAGTGAATTGGAATCTGCCATATCTAGTGAGCTTCACATTCTAAATAAAGTCTAGTTGTGAATAGGCCTTTCGTATCTATAATGAATCTGATGGCGAAATAGAATCCAGTTGTGAATAGGCTTTTACAACTATGATAAATTTAAAAATGCGTAACAAGACTCTATTAGTGAACATATCTGTAATAGAAAGTTTCTGGCATATGTACGGCAGGCCGTGTAAATGTGAAGCAATAGTGGTAGTCTGTAGTGACTATACAGGAAAGGTGACTGATATACTGCTATACAATGGCATCATATTTGCTAGTCCCTCAAGGATAAGCAGTCGGCAGCGCATGATAATACCGAAACACATTATCAGGATCATACATCCTCTTCAGCTCCGCCAGCCTGGGCAGCTTCCTCTCGCTATAAACCTCTTCAATCGTCTCATCCCCATGCGCATAATTCAGATAAACCGCAAGCCCTCCATACCCAGATGTTGCCGCCAGTTCCTCCCGGATAGCCTGTGCAGTCGCAGCAGCTGCATCTCTAGCACCGTCGTCTCCCTCGGTCCAGGCATTCTGAACACTCCTAGACAGCCAGTCAGTCACAACTGGCTAGATCAGTAATGAAAGGGGGACATACACATAAACCTGCGTATCCCGCCACGGATAAGCCGTTTCCTCATCCGGCACAGCCATCATAGCCTGATTCGACCACGCCTCGAAAAGCACTGTCCCCTGACGTGCACCAGGTGTCGAAGCATATAGCTCGTCCATGGCGTTGAACATAGACACCCACGCCGAGGTATTGCGGTGGCGCAGGTTCGCGGCGAAGAGCTCATGCTGTCCGCCTGGGGTACAGATGCTGGCATCTAACCCGAAGGAGCCCTCCGCTGTGAGGCGGCTCCAGGGGAGTTCGGTGATGTTCTTTTCTTTGGGTCCTAGATCAAGGATCGGGGTGAGGAGATGGATGGCTTCGGCTTGGGGACCGTGGTATACGCAGCTTGCTCTTAGGCCGGTCTGGGGTTGTTAGGAAGGTATACTCTGACGGGGTGGGATTAATACTTTGTTACTGGCAGTATCGTAGAATATGTACGTCGCTATTGCCCAGTTCTCAGTGAGGTTAAAGTCGGCGAGGGCTTGGAAGAAGGAGGAATTGAGACGGGCTGGGAAAGCGAGGTCGATGCTTGTGAATGTCCCCGACAATGGATACAGCTGGTATGTCGCAGATGAGACGATGCCAAAGTTGGGACCGGCGCCTCGAATAGCCCAAAAGAGATCCGGGTTGGAGGTTTTAGAGGCTTCGACGACCTCACCAGAGGCCGTGACGACGCGGGCAGAGAGGAGAGCATCAAGCACCAGACCATTTGAGCCCTGCTGGCGTCCAATGCCGGCTCCAAGGGTGAGACCAATCATACCGACGCAGCTGCAAATACCAGTTTCTGTTGGTTGTCAGTCTCATAGCTCATTCTAACACCAAAGAGACTTGCGTATCTGATATCCTGCTTCAAAAACGGGATCGTATATCTCGCTTACACGCACCCCCGGCCCAACGGTGAGCGTGCCAGCAGAGCCATTAATAGATATAGAGTTCAGCGGACTCAGGTCGAGAGCGAGGCCATCGTGGAGATCGCCCAAAGTGCCACTATAGCCATGACGGCCACCAGTGGCCAGAAACGGGATGTTATGCGCAGTGGCCAGTTTGACCTAGTCGCTGTCAGTCGGTAGCCTTCATATGGGAAATAGGTATCTCACAGCCGTGACTAGGTCTTCTTCAGATCCAATGGACAAAGCGGCCGAGTATGATGGGGCCCGGTACTCTGTCCATCTAATCGTCGCATTTGTGAACTCGCTCTCTCCAGGAATCGATAGCTCTGTGTTTGGTGACCAGTCCTGCCTGTTAATAATGGAGCTGATACCAACCGCTGCATTTCTGGGTCCAGCTGCAGTGCCCTGACAGAGCCAGAAAGCTGTCAAAAGAAGGATACCAGGGAAATGCATTCTCAGGGACTTGACAACGGGATGTTCTTCAGAGGATTGCTGGCTTCTTATGCGGGGTTCACGGACGTGCCGCGGACATAAACAGCTGGAAGATCCGAGCATTGGATGTCACATTCCTCTCGTCACATTTCTCAGGTGGAACTCTTGCGGCGAAGCCTTGAATTGCGAGTCATGATCGTCGTGCATGAACCATCGATCGAGACTATCGATGATCCACTCGCTAGTGGCTGTCGCAATTCTTTGTCTAAGACCCAATAGCCCAGTCTTGTTGCATTGACTTTAACTAAGTTCTTACTTTCTTTGAACTATTGCTGGGAGAGAGATAGTGCGCCGTGCCGCGCTTGACGATGGAATGTAGCATACCTTTAGTTTCTGACTAGACGGTCGTATTAGAATGCCCAGAATATAGTTCAAAGGATATAAGTTCAAAGGGTATACTATTAAAAATATACATCCCACACCAACTCCGCCGCAACAGCAACATGCTCGAACCTCTCCTTAATGGTGACCATCTTCTCGACCAAAATCCGCCTCGACATCGCCTGCAAATTCCGAAACGTAAAGATCACATTCTTCATGAACACAATATCATCAATCCTCTTCGTCGTCTCCTCCAACCCCACCACGGGCCCATGGATAACCACATCCGCAATCGTATTCACAATCTCCAGCAGCTTGCTCAGAATCGACGACCCGTGGATCTGGATCGTGTTCTGCTCGATCTTGGTCAGGAACTGGCGCAGCTGGTTCGATAGTGTCAGCGGCATCTCCAGCGAGAAGATCGGGCATGAGGCGTTCGAGGAGAGGAGACAGTTCGACATGGCCATTTGCCAGAGTAGTGTGCGCATCCATTGCCGGGTGACGACGAGGTCGGCTTGCTGCATGTCTGTTAGGAGAGAGACTTCGAGATCCCATAGTGAGTCGTCGAGCTCGCGGTGTTTCTGCTCGACCCAGGCTGTTGTGACCTGGTTGCGGTCGCCAATCCAGAGGTTGATGAAGGTTGGTTCGAGGAGGAGAAAGGTTTTTATTACCTGTGTCCAGCCGTGGTTGATCTCTGCTCCCAGGGCTGGGTCGTCTTCTGGGAATTCGGTGTAGGGGGAGAGAGTCGTAGGGGAGAAGTGCACGATTGAGACGAAGCGTTCGTGGATAAAGCACAGCCAGTAGAGGCGTTGACGGCGAGATCGCTCTGTCAGATCGAGGGCTTCCATTAATGATTTGTCGTCGGTATGGAGGAGTTGTAAGATGGAGATTGCTTCGCGCAGGTAGAAGAAGCCCAGGTCGGAGTGGCCCAGGCTCATGTAGCACATTTGGATGAAGACCGAGGTGACTATACGCAGGACAGACGGGCGAACCCCTGGCAGGAGAGGCGTTCGTAGCTCTACAGCCCTCCGCGCGAGTTCTTGGATTTGCTCTGAGACGTGCGATGTTGCGATATTCGACTGCGTGAGGTCGATGGTGACCCCGGTGAAGGCGTAGACGAACGCCGCGTGGTCTCTGTCCGTGTCCATCTTGGATATGGAATCTTTGATGTCGTCGCTGGTCATTATCGGGTTGAATGGGTATACATATAGCATGTATTTAGGTATTAGTCCATGGAGGTAGTCGTTCGATAGCGGGAGAGACATGTCTGGCGGAGAGGCCGGTCCTACCCCCACGGGTAATAAAGGGCACAGTGAATCACCGCCATTTTGATCTGGAGATTTCTTGTATTCTAAGATATGGGTTCCTCGACGGAGGGCGTTCTTGCGCGATCGCGCAGCCTTGTTGTCCGTGTACGTGCAGCGCAGGTCGAGGTGGGTGCACTGCTGGCAGCGCTGCTGGCCATTGCAGCGCACTTTACGCCGTCTACACGCGTCGCAGGCCTTGAAGGGCTGGTATCTGCGCGACCCGTCCATATTGTTGCAAGGGCAGTGCAGCGCAGACTGCAGAGGGAGCAGGATGCTGGATAGATTACAGGAAACAGATGGGATGCAATCACCCCACACGGGGAACCGATTTGACATGCAGCCAAGACGCTATTAATTGCAGCTAAACTGCTTCTGGCTGTTCTGGCGGTTCTAACTCCTTCTAGCTTAGACTAGTGGGCCAGTTCATATATTCTCCCCTCCCACGCCTGCAGATCCGTGCTCTCCGTGCTCCCCCCGCCGCTGCTGATCAGCAGCTTCTCCCCATCGGCTTGCGCAATCTTTTGGGGGCTGTCAGAGAAATTCAAAGTCACAAGGATTGATCGCTCTGCTGATTTCTTGATGTAGCTGAAGACCTCCTCATTCCGCTCGTCCAGGAGCTCAAATGTGCCGAATACGAGCACATCTGCATACTCCTTCCGCAGTCGCATCATCGTCTTCCAGAACGACAGAACAGACGAAGAATTGTCATTCTGTGCCTGCACATTGACGTCTGTATAGTTATCATGGGCCCTCATCCACGGCTTCGCAGACGCCGCAGAGAAACCCGCATTGGGCTCTGCACTCCACTGCATCGGCAGACGCGAATGGTCTCTCGCCAGATGCTGCATCGCAAGTAGGGCTTCCTTCAGCTTACTGGGATCGCCGTTGCTCATCTCCTTTACCATGTGGTAGTAGTTGGTGCTGTCGCAGTCCTTGTACTCCTCGACGCCCCATTCCTCGGGCGCATTCACCATGCCGATCTCCTGTCCCTGATATAGAAATTGCGTACCGGACAGCGTGCATTGGAAGATAGCCAGCATCTTGGCCGATGCGTCACGCAGCTCTGGCGTCCTGTCGCATCCAAATCGCGAGACTGACCGGCCCTGGTCGTGGTTCTCCATGAACACCGTGGTCCAGCCATCGGTTCCATTGACGATGTTCTGCGTCCGCTGGATTGCCGTCTTCAACTCGGGCAGTGCCCAGTTTCGCTTGCCTGTGAGGAACTTGTAGTCTTTGCCCATTCCTAGATCCACGACGTCAAAGGAAAAGACCATGTTGAGCTGCTTCTCTGCTGCGGAGACGTATGCAAGCACGCCCTCCATCGTCGGTGTCTGTCCAAGCTCGCCAACTGTCATGGCATCGTACTTCTCCAGCACCTCGTTCATCTCCTTCAAATACTCATGAATGCGAGGACCATTACAGAACAGCGAGAACGCCACCTGCGTATCCGACTCCGGAGCCAGGACTGGCGCATCCGGGTACGCCGGGTCCTTGCTGTACATATTCACCGTATCAACACGGAACCCATCCACACCCTTGTCCAGCCAAAACTCCATAACATCCTTATAGACAGTCTGTCTGACCTGCTCATTCTCCCAGTTCAGATCCGGCTGCTCCACGCAGAACAAATGCAGGTAATACTCCTGCGTGGCCTCGTCCCATTCCCACGCCGGCCCCCCAAAGATACTCCGCCAGTTATTCGGCGGGCACCGCTTCCCATTTGCATCGTACTTCGCCGGTCGCCAGATATACCAGTCGCGCTTGGGGTTCGTTTTCGACTCCCTCGACTCCTTGAACCACTGGTGGTCCCACGAGGTATGGTTCACCACGAGATCGAGGATAAGGCGCATCCCGCGCGCGTGACAAGCGTCGATAATCCTCTGCATATCTTCAACTGTGCCGTAGGGGGGGTATACCTTCTGGTAGTCGGAGACGTCGTAGCCCATGTCGTATTGCGGGCTGTCGTACATAGGGCAGATCCAGATCGCGTCGACTCCCAGTCCGGCGATGTAGTCCAGCTCCGAGAGGATTCCGGGCAGGTCGCCGATGCCATCGCCGTTGGAGTCTTTGAAGCTGGCCGGGTAGATCTGGTAGATGATGGCGTTTTTCCACCATTTCCGGTCTGTTGGTGCGGAGGGCATGGTTGATGGTTCAAGTCTTGGTGTGGGGCACGGACTTGCGGGGGTGAAGGGAGAATGAAGAGGGCTCGACTGGGCTACAATTATGGAATCCATTTATATATCATTATTATACTCTGGTGGCCCCCAGGTGGCAGTAGATGCAGTAGTAGATGCATAGCAGCGCAGTAGCAGTGCAGCACGCACAGCACCGCAATTGGGGCAACGTCGGAGCGAGCAGAACCAAAAAAGGCCAGACTCGATCTGGAATCCGGTTTTGCGCGTGTTACAGGCCATTCAGAATGCAGTTAGCATGCGGGTCAATGTTCCTTAGGCCTGTGCTCCGCTCCGACATCTGGCCAATGTTGGCTGTCTCCATGTGGGCCAAATGCATCCTTCGACTCCATCCAGAACCGCAGATCTTGCAGTCCTTCATGAAATGAACAGGGGGCGGACAGAAGACGGGCCAAGAAGGTTTGACGAGAGAGTCACCCCACAAATTGCCGTGGAATCCGGGGTTCATGGGTCTGGCTGCTACACCATGCCTGACGGTCCCTGTCTATATAAGGACCAGTCCCACTCATCGATCTCTTCAGCCCCATAAATCAATACTTGGCTGTCACTCATCGCCACCAATGGCACACGAGAAAGGAATAGATCATGTCGAGAATACTACCCCCCGCACTGCTGGCCACGAGGTCGTCGCCAGCAGCGAGGCGCAGGCTGCCCTCGACAAGGAGCACACGATGACGGCCCGGCAAGCGTTCAAGATCTACCGCAAGGCCGTCGGCTGGTCGCTGCTCATGTCGTGCGCCATTATCATGGAGGGCTACGATGTCGTGCTGATCGGCTCGTTCTTCGCCTACCCCCAGTTCAACAAGAAATACGGCCATATCATGTCCGACGGCGAGTACGGCCTCGACGCCAAATGGCAGGCCTCCATGACCAACGCCATGGCCTGTGGCCAGATCATCGGCGTGTTCCTCAACGGCATTGTCTCGGAGCGCTTTGGATACCGCCGCACGCTCATGGGCTGTCTCACAGCCACTGTAGGCTTTGTCTTCATCCTCTTCTTCGCGCCCAACGTCGGCGTCCTCGTGGCTGGCGAGCTGCTCATGGGCATTCCCCTGGGCGTATACCAAACCCTAACTGTCACCTACGCCTGCGAGGTCTGCCCCGTCGCCATCCGCGCATACCTTACCACCTACGTCAACCTCTGCTGGGTCCTCGGCCAGCTCATCGCCTCTGCCGTCCTCAAGGGCCTCGAAACACGCACAGACGAATGGGCCTACCGCATCCCCTTCGCCCTGCAATGGGCCTGGCCAGTTCCCCTCTTCATCGGCGTCTGGCTCGCCCCCGAGAGCCCCTGGTGGCTCATCCGTCAAGACCGCTACGACGACGCCATCAAGGCAGTGAAACGGCTCGCCATCGCCGACGCAGACCCCAGTTCCCCCAACCCCGACGAAACAGTCGCCATGATCGCCTACACCAACGCCCTCGAGAAGCAGGTCGAAACGGGAACCTCCTACCTCGACTGCTTCCGCGGCGTCGACCTCCGACGCACCGAAATTTCTTGTCTGGTCTGGGCAGCCCAGAGTCTCTGCGGCTCAGGCCTAATGGGCTACTCCACCGTCTTCTACCGGCGCGCCGGCCTGGCAGTCTCACAGTCCTTCACCATGTCCCTAGCCCAATACGCCATCGGAGTAGTCGGCACATTCGCCTCCTGGGGCATGATGACCTACTTCGGTAGACGCACGCTGTACGTCGTCGGACTAGCAATGCTCGCCTCTGTGCTCTTCGTAACCGGCTTCGTCTCCGTCCCCCCGCAAACGACAGCCTTATCCTGGGCAACGGGGTCTATGTTGCTTGTGTACACATTCATCTACGACTCCACCGTCGGCCCGGTCTGTTTCTCGGTGGTGGCGGAAATGCCCTCGTCCCGTCTGCGCACTAAAACAGTGGTGCTGGCGCGGAATGTATATAATGTCCTCAATCTAGTTAGTGGGATTATCATCCCGTTTATGCTGAATGTAGATGAGTGGGACTGGCGCGGCAGGTCTGGCTTCTTCTGGGGTGCGCTGGGTGTTTGTTGTCTTGTCTGGGCGTTCTTCAGGCTCCCTGAGCCGAAGGGGAGGTCGTATGCTGAGTTGGATGTTTTGTTTGAGCGCAGAGTGAGGACTAGGGAGTTTTCCAAGGCGGATACGGGGTTGGTGGATGCTGGGGATGGGAAGGTTGTTGTTTGATCATGGATCTTGTTCAGATATGCCTTCTGGAGATTATGCCTGATTGAATGCTTTATGTCGGAATATGCAATTCATGCATAGAACAATCCTACAACAACAAACATCAGAATCTACCCTAATCTTCTCCAGATAGGTCTGTTGCGAGACCCCGTCGGAAGATTCCCCGATATAGCTTCACGCTTTGACTGCAACTTCCACCAATCAACAACGCAACCACCACCTTCTCTGTCTATATGAAGCAACCCAGACTCACATGAAAGAATCTAGTACGATCTGTGGTCTTTAATATGGCTGGCATGAATCCGAAGCTGTACCAGTTCCTGGTCGCCCTGTTCGCCTCCTTCGGCTCGTTTCTATACGGGTACGACCTGGGCGTCATTGCCTCCGTGGTAGCCTCAGACTCCTTCATCGCCAAGTTCATCAATGGCAATAACACTGTTGCGGGCACAGTCGTTGCCCTTTTTACAGCGGGTGCCTTCTTCGGTGCTTATGGCGCTGGCTTTACAGATCCGCTGGGCCGTCGAACCACTCTAGCCCTAGGCTCTGTGCTCTTCATTGTCGGGGGTGTTCTACAGACAGCCTCTATGAATATCGGCATGCTGTACTTTTCTCGCATCTTTGCAGGATTCGGTATTGGTATTCTGGTGGAATCAGTGCCTATGTTCCAGGCTGAGATCGCCCATGCCAGGATTCGTGGTATTCTGGGCTCGTTACAGCAGACCATGTTGGGTATCGGTGCTCTGGCAGCTTCGTGGATTGGATATGGATGTGAGCATCACTGGTCTGATACTGGGAATAGTGTTCAGTGGAGATTGCCGTACGTTTCCTGATACATCTTCCTTTGTTGAGTAGCTAATGATATCAGTCTCGCATTGCAGGTTGTCCCTGCTATTGGGCTTGCCTCGTGTATCTTCTTCTTCCCTGAATCTCCTCGCTGGCTGATTGACCATGACCGGCATGAAGAGGGTCTACGCAACCTGGCCACCCTCCATGCAAACGGCAACGTCAATGATCCATACGTCCTGGCCGAGTTCGAGCTCATCAAGCAGCAAATCGAAGAAGAGCACCAGCACGGAGCCAAATCCTACAAGGACCTGTTCTCCAACCGGTCCAATACTCGCCGAATTATCATAGCCTGCGCATGTCAAGCCTCATCCCAGATGTAAGCCATACCCCTATATACCAGAAAGAATACTAATAGAATAGGACCGGCGTCTCCGCAATCCAATACTTCTCGCCCGCCATCTTCGCCCAAATCGGCATCTCCACCTCAAAAACACTGCTGTACCAAGGCATAAACTCCATCATCGGCGAAGTCGCCCAGTTCATCTTCTTCTTCCTCATCGACCGCGTCGGCCGTCGCCCCCTGCAAATCGGCGGCAACATCGCATGCGGCATCGCATTCACCATCGGCGCCTCGCTGATGGCCGTATACCCGCCCTCATCCACCAATACCTCAGCACACTGGGCCTTCATCGTCTGCAGCACCTGGCTGTTTAATTTCTGCTTCTGCGCCTCGGGCACAATGTCCTGGATCATCCCAGCTGAGATATTCAATACAGCCACGCGTGCAAAGGGGATTAGTCTGGCGACGATGGTCTCGTTTGCGTTTAATACTATGATTGCAGAAGTCACACCGATTGCGTTGGAGCATATTGGCTGGCGGTACTATATCTTGTTTATTGTGTGTGATTTCAGCAATGCGCTCTTCTTTTATTTGTTTTTGCCCGAGACGAAGGGGATTACCTTGGAGGTTATGGATGATCTGTTTACGAACTCGCCCCTGCTTGTGCCTGGCAGTCGGTGGGAGCCGAACCCTGAGTTGGATGTTGAGATGGTCAAGCAGAGGAAGGATATTCTTGTTCGGGCTGAGCAAAGTGACAACACAATGTAATTGTTGGATCTCGTGGGCAATCTTACATGATGGGATGGACATTATATCAATAGGACTGGATATTAGTCTGCATTCATCCTAGACGCATATACTTCCCCCTACGCCCATAACCCAAAAGAGCATCTTACTCCATTCTCGCAGACGATAATTACCCCTCTTATTCTGATCTCAACTTCTCCGAATCAACGCCAAGAAGGTCATGGAGGATCGATCAGAAGAGGGCACTTGAGGAGTCTGGCGACAGAACTTGGAAGAAGGACTGACTTCTGTATACAGTGATTTTTGCATAGTGCCGGGGCTCCTCGGCATCTTCTGCCGGAGTAATGTTATTGCCTTCAGCATTTAACATGCCAGCGAGGCTGCAATACTAAATGGCAACTTGGGCAACTTTTAGAGGTACAGCTACAGAATGAAGCACTTGTTCTTAAAAGCTTCATATCTGCCCACCAGTAAGGACCAGAGTATCTGCAAACTCCCGAAAGTACCAGAATCAACCCCTCTTTCCTGCTGTTCATTTGCCTTGTTAGTGCAAGATGGCGTGTCTTGGAAGAGATAATCTTTCCTTCCTTCAGATCCTGCAGCAGCGCTGAGTTCGGATTGGACCAGGCTGCATCCTGGCACGCACAGACTGCTCAGCCTTGTCGTCGCAAAATTGGTTATCACCTGGCTGTCCCCAGAGCCTTGTCTCTCATGTTCCTGCACACTCGAAATTTCTTGTTGTTGAAGACTTTCGCTGGTGGATTCGGATTCCCACCCCGGCATAATGCGCCCTTTCTTCATTGGCAATGAGCGCCGACAAGATAGTGATACTGAAAGCTCAGTCCCGAGCATATGTTACAGTACCTGTAGTAAGTCATTCCTCTCTAGCTTCGCTCTCTTTAGGTCTTCCTGGCATTCTTATACTGATTTGGCACCGTCGACCAGATGAGGCCGCCGTCGAAGCCCAACAAGTCGGCAAAGAACCTGCTCTCTGCGACCAAGATTCGACCTTCAGCACTCTGGTGGACCAATGCACAGAATGTATTAAAGAGGGCACGAAATCGGGAACCGCGTCCAGCGACCTAGTCCCTCCTGAATTCAACCAATTCATCGACTACTGCGCGTCCCAGGGAAACGGCACAGATCAGATCAATGCAGCAGAGGTCAGCACGCTGCTTGTTGCCTATTCATCGGCGGTCGCCAGCCAATCTTCTCTGGAGGCAGCTCTTTCGTCCAAAGGGTATAATTTTACTACAACTAGGATGGATCTGTCTAGTACGACACCGGAGACGAGACTCACGCTTACGGTCTCTCAGACTGCCACGGGTAGTCCTGATGGCACGGACGGTCCGGATACGAATTCCCCGAACACAAAAGTCATTGTTCCTGCTGTTGTCGTGCCCGTTATATTCTGCCTCGCCGCTGCGGCTGTTATTTGGGCATTGATGCGACGGCGGAGACGACGGATGCAGCAAAATAAAGGAGATACTGATGTATTTGACGGCAAAGCGCAACTCCATGCCGACGAGTTCAGGCCAGAACTTGAGGCTGAAGCCATGACCACAGCAAAGGAGAAATCGACTGATCCAGACAGGAACAGTGTCGTGGCGGAGTTGCCTGCGCGAGAGCTTGTTGGGAGTGAGATGGATGCTACGAGCCAGACAGCCGACAGGCGAGCATCGAGTTGATTTTATTAGAAAGAGTTGATTCTGCTATATACCCGGGGTGGATGATATTCTGGAGTTTCTGCATTGGCATCGGATTTCAGAGACCATTATTTTCATTTACTGAATGATCCAGGGCCGTGCTGGAGTCAATGGTTTACTTGATAAACTGCGGTTCAGTAGTTGAATGCGTAGATTGTTGCTGATACTTAGATATGACCCTAATGCTATACAATGCTTATATCAAATTGTCTAATCAACCCATGTCCCCGGCATCACCTCCAAACCCCTCTGGACGGATTCCCAGAATTCCCCAACATACTCGTCCACAGGATTTGTTATAAAGATATGCCAGTCTTCTGGTTCGGGGCCGTACTCGAGACCCAAAACCTTGCCCCACAACGTCTTGTCATTGCTCTGGTATTTTTGCCGAAGATCATTCCGTACACGAAGATAGAAAGAAAAATGACCGTCCTTGAGCAAGGCCTGTTCGTCGGCCCCGTAGGCTTCTAGATCAACACCGGCATGCTTCAAGGCCGATACCCAGATGCACAGAATGTCATCGAGGGGCCTGGTCCGTCGTATAGTATTTCGATAAAGTTCAGCACCGAACGGTAGTAAAAACGTATGTAGAGGACTCAGCGCGACCTGCCCGTACCAAGCTAATTGGGAGAGATCGGCTGACGCTGATATGGCTTCCGCTAGCAGCAGGCACCATTCTGCCATAGCATCAGTCCGCTTCGTTGCGTGGGCACATGCCATGCCATGTGCTATTCGATGCAGCAGCGTCTCCCCCCAATATGTCTCCATGCGAAAGGCTGCAGGGTCAATACTATCACCGCCGCCCAAAGCAATCCGGATGGCCAACGGCCTTGGATCCCCAACCCAGGGTCTTACAGCCATTGCTCGTTCCCACCGTAGTCCTAGCGGCAGTTCTGAGTATCGTTCAAAGTGATGGCTCTGGATAAGGCTGAGAGCTTCGGCTGGGCCGTTAAATCCCATGTCAAATGCGCCATTAGGCCGTAGCCAATAATTCTCGAAAAGCTCTTCTTCAGCATAGGCGATGAATAACTTGTATAGCTCGAGGAATAGAGACTTGCTCGACTCTGGTTCCTTAGGAAATTTAAGATCAATAATTCTAATACTGGTACTAAGCAACCGCTGTCAGCATCATCCGCGCCAGTTAAAGTAGGCATACACTCCCAGATTATCTCTGTGGCCTGGATCAGCGCCAGCTTGTAAGAGGAACCGACACAAATCAAGGTCGTGATTGACAGCAGCCACCTGAGACAATGTTATCAGTGGTAAACTCGCAACTCCAGGAGGGGCAAGGATATACATGAAGCAGTGACCAGCCATCGGGGTCACAGTCGAAAGGTGAGGCCAGACCAGCTGAAAAGAGTCGTTGAATTTCGGTGATCTCGCCTCTCCAGCAATGTGTCAGGACTGGAGAGCTAAATGGTATGACGCTATTCACCTGGAGATTGAATCCCCAGCTAGAAAAGGCGCGGGTTACGCTTATAGTCCACAGCTTATCTATGAGTATCAGGGGTGTACGGAAGCGGAACTTCCGTTTATATTCATCTCGAGCGTGTCCTTTTTTGCGCTCCACCTGGTAACTGTTTCTTGTCAACTGCCTTGCTTGTTCACCGAGCCCGAGGCAGTACTTACAATATCTTTTGCGGGTCATGCTGTGGTTCTTCGCTAATGGTAAGCGTTGTCTCTTCTTTTAAAGTTTCTTCTCTGCTGAACTTTGCAGCTATCTCGTATAGAGATACACTGGATATCCAGACATATCAGTCCCACTGTAATTGAGGATAGCCATTTCAAGAAAGGAAGCTACTAGGGTAATACCTGTGATGAGCCTGTTGAAGCAATGAGAGGGTAGATTTCATATACTCCAGATTTTGCCTGTACGTACGGAGCACATCTTTCTTCAAAATGAGTTTCAATGCCCCGAATCGCTGGCCAGTGACGGTGTTCTTGTGTTTCGATATCTCCAATATAACCGACTCTAGGCTCGTCTGAAAGGCATGTAACCGACGTTCAGCAGATGGGAAATGGGAAATATTTGGGCCTTCTGGTTGCAGAGATATCAAGACTGTTTGGACAATCTCGCTCTCGTCGATGAGATCTTCCATCTCTCTGGGAAGGGTCCTAATGAACTCCCTGAGAGCCCTCAGTTTGGATATGGTCTTTATTGTCTGCTCTAACAGAGTCAAGACGCCGACTGCGGCTCCGAAGGCTTCGGCCATTTCCACCTCGATTGTGAACTACCAGGTCAAACTTCCGATTATGGTGGAGAATGGTTTCGCTTTTGAGGTTTTGCTTTGACGAGGCTGGCCTTGAGGCATTGCGGTGGAGGCTATGCAAGGCTGTGCTGGACCACGTATGCAACCTTGATAGGTTCTTTTAACAGGGATCTCAGTCTGATCATCGAATAGCAAAATGGTTCAATCATTGTTTAAGCTTCTTAAAGCGGTAAAAGTTTCAAGGTAAGTCCTTAAAGAACTCCTGCTTCAAGCACTATCCAACCCATCTTAAGCACGCCTACTGCACCGCATCAAGAAGCACCTCCTTCCAAATCTCACAAACATCCTTAGACATCTGTCTATCCTGTACAATTTCAAATCCTCGGTTCGTCACATTAAGCACATTTCCAGGCACCTCATCACCCAGACCACTGACCCTTGGCCAGTATTTAAGGTGATACTCTCCACGCTGCGGTACATTCGGACTCCCCGTCCTCGCGTGGTTCGTGAGATACCTCTGGAACATTTCAAAAAGCGGCTCCGTATATCCTTGCAGCTCCGGATTATACCAAGTAGCAGGCGCATCTGAACCATGAGTCCCGTTAACAACACCATCGATGAAACTGTACTGCATCAACCAGGAGTCGTTAGGGTATGCCTCTAGAACAGTACGCATGTTGCAACCAAAGATGAGATCAAAGTACATGACTGCCACTTTCTCCTTCATACTGTAGCTTGGATAGTGGTCTTTGTAGTACTCCACCATGCGCTTTGTCCCAGCGGTTGAGTTTGGTGGGAGACTGCCGGAGATATATGACTCCATGAAGCCATCTGGGATTGTATCAGGGAGGAAAAGACTCGCTTCGTCGATGACGTGGCTGGTGATTACAGAGTCAATGTCTTTCCAGGAATTGCCTCTCGCGTATTCCACCAAGGCGGGACTCCGGATATACTTCCCATCTGGAATAGGGGAAGCTTCTCCGGCGAAAATCTTCCCATTTGCCTTCTCCAAAACAGAACTATTAGCTGCGCGAAGACAGCGGAGCGAATCTTCTCCCTTTGGTGGACATCCTACAGCTGCAGCAAAAGACTCAAATCTCTTCTGATACACAGGCGGGTTCGCATTCACGCCGAAGCCAGGACTTTGTAGAAGTGCCCTCCTAAAAAGCGGATCCAGCGTGCCCCCTTGTGCAATAAGGTGGTACATGATAGAGCCCGAGCCACCAGACTGGCCCCAGGCCGAGACATTATGGCGGTCACCGCCGAGTAAATGGATGTACGACTGGACCCATTCAAGCGCGGCTCGCTGGTCGTGAAGACCGGCGTTGAATACGCCCTCGCTGCGTAGAGGCTGTCCGGCGAGAAAGCCAAACCCTCCGAGACGGTAGTTGATAGAAACCACAATCAGATCGTTGTCGGCGCGCGAAACAAGGCTTGTCCCGTCGTAATATCCCATTCCAATTGCCTGGTCTTTGGAGCCAGTGACATATCCACCGCCGTGTATCCAGACGACTACGGGCGTGGAACTGTTTCGACCTTTCAGAGTCTTTCCTGGTACGTAGACATCGAGGAAGAGACAGTCTAGTCGAGGTTAGCTGTGTATGAACATGATGCCAACAGCTTACCTTCGGCCGCATTCTTGGTGATATTCTCGAATATCGGGCTTTCAAAGTTTCCTGGAATAGGCGCAGGAATGCAGTTATGGCCGTATGAACCGTTTTGTATGCCATGAGTGAATTCAGGAGGTGCTGGCTTGGACCAACGCAGGTCGCCCGTAGGGGGAGCAGCATAGCGAATATTGCGGAATGTGTATACCTTGCTAGTCAGTCTAGATATATTGCTTGCGAGGATAGTAACTTACATCTGCACCATCGTCGTAGTGGTGCGCTCTCCATGTTCCATACGGAAGATTCAGCAGAGCAAGGTGATTGCCGTGCTGGACGGACGTTGTAGTGTCTGCAGTGCACTCTGACAAGACCGATAAAAGCAGAAGAGTGATAATTAAACTGAGCATTAGCATCTTGGTCAGTATCAATACAGTGGGCTTTCAATGAGTTCCGTCAGCAACATGAGATATTGCCCTTTATATCAATTCGGAGAGGGACCATGAGATATTTGACTAATGATGACGACCATCCTGAGGCTCAACTCGTATCTGATTACGAGTTCCCAATTTGATACGCCCGGGCAATGTTGCCCTAACCACGTTCCACCGTCTGTCTCTTGCCCTGCTCGAGTATGGGTTGGCCAGCTCGAGTTACCAATGCAGACGCACATTCTGACATCTTCTCGAAGCAGTAGTTGATAACCTTCATGGAACCAGACAATTGCTGCAGCTCGTATTCGTGGCGAGCTGATTCGCTGCACTGGCCGACTCAGCCTCGCCGGGCATGCCAGGATCTCGTATCCCCAATTGGGAAACGAACCACTTCAAAGGCTCCAGGGTTCCAGGTTCGCATCGAGAACCAGACTCACCCACTGCTGATGATGTGGAATCGAGTACTCCTTTCATGGTTTGTCCTCCCCGTGGTTGCGCAGACTGAGAACAGTCGCGATGTGCTCTGCGTCTACCCTCTATCCGGAGTATATGCTCCTCTCCAGCGGATCCTCTTCTATCTCTTATTGTCATTTGGAGTCATCGGTCGCCGCCAGAGATGGCTCGTAGCTGGAGCCCTGGCAAGTGCTATGACCTACTGCGGCGCCGCAGCAATACACTCGGTCTTACTCCTTGCCAACGCCCGGTCTCCAGTCGTTGATCTCGATGTATACGGTGTCTTTGCTGCAACATCCACCGGGATCATGCTCACAACACCTCTACTTGCCTGGTCAACGACACTACAGGCTGTCGAAAGAGAAGTCCGGATGCTCATCACCCTCTGGACCCTCCTCATCCTCGTCGGCGCCATCCTCGCGATCGCCACGATCTATATCAGGGGAGAAACCAAGGGCGCTCCCTGCTACGACTCATTATCTACAGTGGACATCCCATCCACAGTATCAACACTACGCAATGTCACCGCCAGCTGCACATATGTCTGCTTCCCAGAGGAATCCCCTCTAGGCCGCTCACCAGACGACGTTCTCGCCTGGGAGAATACTCTGTCGCGCCCGTTCGATATCATCTCTGTCTTCCTCCCAACCATTGCAGCCTCCGTCCCAGCTGCTTTCATTGCGTGGACTCAGTATGTCTTCCGCAGCGGATATTCCTATCTCATCCGGCCGCCGCCATTCTTCAGCCGTCTCGAACTAGGCTGGCTCGGGGAGTTATTATTCGAGAAGCGCCGCGATAGCAACCTCAATCACAATTCGTCCTCGGCTAGAATCCCATCTGAACCATCCCCAGGTCAAAGTCCAGTCCGGTTCCCCTGGCTGGCAGTGGCATACCAGTACTACTTCGTGCTCGGCTCGTTTGGCGTCTTTGTCGTGAATCTGGTGATGAATGAGGTGCGGTTTCGCGAGCTCCCCGTGAACGAGATGATGTATGAGGTTGACCAGTGGACTTCTTGGGTGGGTGTTGCATTGATTCTGCTGGCGCAGGTGCTCAGTCGGTTTTTTAAGCGTTCAAAAAGGCATACTTCACAGACTGTGGGAGATTGTGAGGAGCTTCCATGGGATCAAGAACGGGGTGAAGATGCGTATAGGAAGATGGGGATACGGACAGACACATTTCGCAGTGAAGTCTCGACATTTCGACGGAGAAATAGCTTATAGCCCAAATCATTAAATAATTTTGTATATCTTGACCGAGTATATTATAGTATATTATATGGGGCTGTAACCTCATTGGCGCAGAATACGAGGGCCAGGCTGCAGTGCACTGCGGCTCTGCCTATTTATGTCCAGCTCCCCGCATCGTCTGGCTGTTTTCTTTCCTTTCTTCTGTTACACGCCTCGCGAGTGAGGATAGTAATCAATATGACTGACATCGCGACATCAGAGGTGTTCATCTCCGAACTGTCCGCCAAAGAGGTGACTCTCGCGCCCAAACAAGCCACCGTCGTGCGCGAGATCCCCACCACCATCCAGGTAACGCCCAAGTTATTTATTTATTAAAAACTTATTCTAATCTGATAATCAGCCTGGTCAAAACGAAATCACCATCCTGGGCCTCGACCCGAACGTCGACCGCGACTCCATCCGCATCGAAGGCTCCGGCGCCGCGACAATCACCGACATCCAGACGAGCGTCGTCCCACAGAGGCTAGACTTTAACGACGTCTACCCGCTCGAGTCAGATAATGAGGAACAAACCAGCGATGAAGACGAGGATATCTCCGAGGACGAGGACGGGCTCGACGATCCCGAGCTGCAGGCCATCCGCAAAGAGATCGAGAAACTGGAAGAGCGCAAAGCGCGCGCCTCGAGCGATATCAACGCCGCGCGCGGGATTCTAAATATCATGGATGAATACGCAAAGGGGCTACGGAATGACGAGAAAAAGGATGTTAAGCAGTTTGAGGAGTTCTTGGATCTATATAGCACCCGTCGCGACGCGCAGGCTGAGCGCAACCAAGCTGCTGTTGCAGAGGTCAAAGTCTGTGAGAGGGAGCTGGCGAAGGTGCAAAGGAGGTTCGAGCGGCGCAAGGCGCGATATCTGCAGGACCAGCGCGCAGCGTCTAAGGCGATCCGGCTGCGCAACGAGAAGCGAGCTAGGGCTCGCGAGCAGAAGAAGAGCGAGCGCGCACGGAAGCGCCGTGAGAAGAGCTACTTCTGGCCCGGCTCGGTCGGGCAGGTCATTGTCTCGCTGGATGGGCAGAATGCGCTATTCACTCCGGGGTCGAGTCGAAGAAGCTCGGTGGTGGAGAGATCGGGTGAAGTGCAGGAAGCTTCATCGGCCATTGATGTCGTCCTGCGCTTGAGCTACATCGTGCCCAAGGCGAGCTGGTCTTCGCGGTACGAGTTGCGCATCAATTCGCCCTCGTCGTCTGCGCGGTTGACATATCGTGCGGAATTCATCAACTCGTCGACCGAGACCTGGCGCGATACTCGCGTCACACTGTCTACGTCGCAGGCTTCGTTCAGCGGCATCGGGGCGCGCATCCCCTCGTTGGATGCGTGGAATATCAAACTGCTGGACGGTACTTCCAATGCCACGTCCAATGGCCCTTCTTGGGATCGGATTCTCAATGCCCCCCGGCCTGTTCCTGTGCATCCCGAGACAGTATCCCGAAAGCCTGTTAACTATTCACAACTGCCGCCTTCTATTCCACCAGCAACGTCCGCCAGCCCTTTTGCACAGCCAAAGGCGTCAACGGGGGGGCTCTTTGGAGGACAACCTCAACAACCACAGTCAACCGGGGGAGGCCTCTTTGGGGCAGCACCGCAACCAAAGGGGGTTGCACAACCAACAACGGGGCTCTTCGGGGCAGCACCGCAACAGCCTCAGAATTCGAACGGCTTCGGGTCGAATTCAAATAACGTGTCGAATTCAAATAACGTGCCCGCGGCACCACCTCCTCCTCCTCTTCCTGCTGCTCCTGCTGCTGCTGCTTCTGCTCCTCCGGCCCCAGCTAAGTCCTTATTCGGACAGTCAGCGTCTGCAGCCAACAACGCCGGTCAATCGTCCCAGAACAACCCCTTCGACACCGCAGCCAGCGCAGCAGTGGAGCTCGAGGAGGACGACTCAGATACCCAATCCCTTACATCCGGTGCCCTCGAGCACCAAGACTCCCTCAAGCAAGACTACGGCATGACAACCTCGTACGAGCTCCCCAGCCGGCGCACATTAGCCCCCTCGTTCGTTTCCCGGCGCCACGTCCTCGCAGACCTCGACCTCAAGTCCGTCACGCTCACGTACGTGGTCGTCCCCAAGGCCCGGGAGGCTGCGTTCCTGCGCGCCCGAATTAAGAATACCTCCTCTCTCACGCTACGTCCCGGGCAGGTTGGGATCTCTGTTGACGGGGCGTTCGTTGGCAATGCGAGTCTCGAGATGTGTGGGCCGAATGTCTTTTTCAACATCTCCCTCGGCATTGACCCGGGGATTCAGGTGAAGTATGCAAAGCCGGTCGTGAAGCCGCTAACAGGTGCACTGTTCTTCAATAAAGAAGATGGGGCTAAGTTCCGCCGCTCCTGCTGGGTGAAGAATACGAAGACCACGGGCGTGGATCTTATCGTGTTCGATCAGGTTCCTGTGACGGATGATGAGAAGCTGAGGGTGAATATTCTGCAGCCGTTTGAGCTTGAAAAAGAGGGTGACGAGGTGAAGATTGAGATGGAGAAAAAGAAGGGGCACGGAACTGCAACTCTGCAGAAGAACGGCCAGGTCAAGTGGACGCTGCGTCTTGAGCCCCGGGAGGAGATCCGGCTCGTGCTGGAGTATGAGGCCAAGGTGCCAACTGGGAGCGATGTCATCGCGGCATAACCTTATATAGTCCGTATTAGATAGATTCAATCAACCTTATCTACCAGTCAAAACTTCCTAGCATTTTCTTCCCTTCTTTCCCTTCCTTCGCATCACCATTACCCTCCGCATCAATCCCCCATCTCTCCCTCCAACAAGCCAGCTCCTCTCTCCAAAGATCATTAACACACGGATCACATGAACTCCCGCAGCACTCTCCTAACCCCGGTTTCGGAGGGGGATCATCAACGTCCCGCGCGGCAGCCTTGACGAGCTGCTTTGTGCGCGTCTTGGTGAGTCGTTTCGCGTTTTTTATCCGCGGGACTTCCTCAGGCTCATAGAGAGGTGTTTTTTCTGCAGACGGCATTTTTGTCACTGTCACAGGCATTGTTGATATATGTTTACGGTAGATATAAATTTCTATATAGTTTTTTGCAATGTATATCACGTGTAGCGGACAGACCCGGGCGGGTGAACAAATTCCCCGAGTCACCCCGAGCGTGCTTCTTGTTTCCACGCATTCCTGACTGACTCTCGATACAGTGTATGCTGAACGGTAAATCGGCTTTACTCCGTTGCTGGAATTAACTCGGCCATATGACCGTCCATCCCAGACAATTCGGCAGCCATTAAATACACGCTGCAAACTGTTACAGCCACAGAGCCTTTGACTCGAGTCATCACATCACACTGAGCTCAGGGGCGTCGAATAAGGCTGCAACCCAGACCGACTTCGAACCAGAGCAGCAGCCATCCAACGTCGCAGCAGTAACGGCAATAATAACAGCGACACATATTAAATACACGATCGTCACCGGGATCGGAAAGAAAGGGCAGAGCAACGACGAAACGGGTGCATTAAATTTTGCTTGGCGCGTCCCTAGCGCAGGAGAGCTTGCCGCAGCTCCGGGCTGCCAAATTTTTCTGCCGGGTCGGGCTGAGAGCCTGAGTAGCTATATAGCAGTGAAAAAAATGTGATGAATTTGGTTATTTGGTTAGAAGTGAGCTACGGCTAAGGTTATCGTTTGGTGGTCTGCCCAGAATTGAGTTGGAATTGAGTTGCAATTGGGTTGGGGATGGTCATGGGAGGCGACAAAGCTGACGTCTACACTGCGGCTTCCACGGCCGGAGTTGAGGCCACGCATCCGCAAGTCTCCGTAGCTACTGCCAGCTGGAGCTGAGAAAGCCCGGAATACGGGGAAGCACTGTTTGTTTTTTAAGCTACAACTCGATAATGGACTACAATTGACAAATTCAGCTGAGTAGAGGCACTCGTTAAGTGGTCATTTTATGGTCTATATGTACAGTGTATTGCTTGATGACGGGCCGGAAACAAAGGGAAAAAATGGAAAAAGATGATAGTGTAGTACATGATAATAAAAAGACCACCACAATTACCTCCTACCGGCTATGCAATAGCCAACCGAATAGAAAAAGTCCCAATATCGAGAAAAATAGAAAGAACCAATCTCATTCCCAATCGTACACAGCTCGAAAGCGGAAACGTGAAACTCAGTGTATTTATCCAATTGCCGGGGTTATAAAGACAGGCATTCCAATTTTCTCTCTTGTCGTGGTGATGTGATTTTATTCGAAGGCTCTCACACCCTCAAATTGTCCGTGGTGTGGATTGTCGTAATTTAAACGTACTTGCACATCATGGCAACCATGAGGTCGAACAGACCAATGGCTTCGACGAAGGCGAAACCAAGAATGGCGTAGGAGAAGAGCTGGCCACGGAGAGCAGGGTTGCGGGAGACGGCCAGGAGGAGAGAACCGAAAACAACACCGATACCAATACCGGCACCACCGAGACCGATGGCAGCAGAGCCCATACCAATGTTCTGGGAGACCTGGACCATGGCGTCGGCGATCTCAGAGGAGTACTGGCGGCGGGCAGCGAAGCCCTGGCGAGCGGTGGCCTGGATCATGGAGGGCTGCTGGCGCTTGACGGTCTGGAAGGGGATGGCCTGGCGCTGGGTGGTGAGGGTGCGCTTGGGGACGGCCTGGAGACGAGCGGCAGGGCGGGCAACCTTGGAGGTCGCGGCCATGGAGGTGGCCAGGCGCTGGGCAAAGACACGAGAGGCGGCCATTGTGAGGAATGGGAGTTGAGATGGAGGAGAAGAGAGAGAGAATGGAATTGGAGATGGACTGAGGATGGAAGAGAAGAAGAGGAAGAGAAGAGGAGAGAGAGAGGAAGTCTTCCAGGAGGGAAGAAAAATGGGGAGGAAAATGGCCCTAGCAGCTAAATACGTTTCCCGCTTAATTTTCGCCCTTTTTTCCCAAACCCGCCGCGCCTTTGGTGCGCTAGCTATGTTGGGAGGCAGGGAACAACCCTACGCCGAACCTCCCGTACGATGGAGAAGGGGGAAGAAACGGTGTATCGACGATTCCCTGTATTCTATCCCTATCTGGCCTCCCTGGCATTCCACCCTGGGGAGGTCGGGTTCCTTCGGGATGGGGCCAAGCAGCCTGAGTTTTGGTGCAGCCAATAATGCGCCCACCCGTGGAGCGGTGGTGAGCTGTCGAGGCGTCTATCGTGACCATGAATTGCTGAAGCAGCAGGTCCGCGACGCAGTGGAATCCACTGGTTGCTCCAGCCACGGAGGCATTCCACGGCGAGCAAGCCCACTCTTCCGTCTTTCCGTGACCATGACTGCTAACAACAAATAATCCTCTACAGTTGGCAGCAACTACTATCTGATTCTGAGCTCAAGTTGCCCAGTTGTCAATTGCCAATTGCAGTTTCGTCCACCCAATGCCGCCAGCCAGCTGTGCAAAAAGAGATGATGTAAAAAAATTCTTCAGTGGGTCCACGCTAAATGGGTCCGATAAAGTGGTACTGGCCCACTAATTCCAGCCAATCACCAGCTCAGACCCTTACAATTTAAATGGGCGGCGGCTTCTCGGACGCAAATCAGCGACCAATCCGGCCCGAATCGGGAATGCGGCTCCACCAGCGCCGGACTTGGTCAGACAAACTGGATCCCCAATTCCCCCAAAACAGGCTGGCAAACACGCTTGACCGAGGGTTCGGCTGGAAGGAAATCCTGTCAGTTTCAAGTGATGGGGGGAGTGACCAAGTCTGAGCGATCATGCGCCGGGGAAGACGCGGCAGCAGCTGCTGACTCGTCCGGGCCCCGTAAATTACCGTATTGGCATCTCACCGAACTCGGATTGGGATTTGCCGTTCTGGGCCGGAACCCACCCAAGCAACAAACAGCACAATGCTGTCGCTCAGGAGTCAAGGGCAGAAATCACCACCATCCTTTCGAGGGGCGAAGTGCCAGGTTATATAGCTTGTCTGGATCCTCCAGACGGCTGCTGAAAACCTGGTGCTCGAAGAAGCCGAGTCGATGGACGAAATCTCGCCTCGATCCCGAGTTCGTCATCTTGCTTGGCTATTTTGCCTAATTTCCCTCACCTGCATCTCGATCGGTTTGTTACGCCGCCGTCTGCAGCCGTATTATTTACCTTTGCCCCCTTTTGTTTGCGTCCTGCGGCTTCCCATTCTTTGTTTAGGTTTCTCCCAGCTCGCTTTCTGAAGCACTATTTGTGATGCATACAATTGACACAGCAAGCTGACCAGCAGCCTGAGCTTGACAGCTTCTGACGGTAACTTCCGCGTGATCTCCAGCGGATTAGGTAACGAGGCCGAATAAGGGGCACTAAAACAAAGCATGTGTTTACTCCGTAAACGTCCAGCACAGGATGCCACTGCCAGGCTGCCAGGATGCTGCTCCTGCGCTCCTGGTTCCGGCGGCTTTTCCCGAGTCATCTCTCCCAGCCTTGTTCGCTGTCCGCCGGCGTTCGAAAAGTCTCTGAACCCTGCAATAATGGCCTGTTTTATCGTTCAGTTTCCCCCTGTCGCAGCTTGCAGTAGCGGATCGATTTTGTCGGTACAGCACTGGTGTCCTACGGTGTGCTGCCAGGTTTGGTAAGTTTGGCGCGGATACCGCTGGGCCTCGGTTATTGCTGTGCTCTCCGTCCATTATTCCGCGGGCGGACGATGGGAGCCAGGGACGTGGCCTTTACGCTTTCTGCCGTGGTAATTGTTCGGCGAGGACCCGGAGGTTTTCGTGAAATACTCCGTACGGTCCGGGTGTTTTCACCTCGTAGTTGATACGCTCGTAATTTATTGATTCTCAAGCCGAGTCTTGACACTTCAAGCTTCTTTGCCTTGGCCGTTGAGATTCGCATTCTGAAACGTAAATTGGACCGTGGATGTTAAGTGAAACGAGACTGGCGATGCGAGTCATGTGATGTGTTTGCATTGTTTGATCATGCGCTTTATACTGTTTAGGCTCAATATTCACCATTCAGCCTATGATCTTTGCAAATATGTCTTGTGGTTAATAAATGGTGTAGTTTAAATAAGCTTAAACTTCTGTATTCATAGAGATTTTATGCCGGCATCATCCCAGTTCGTCCTCAAGTTAAACATGTCCCGACGATATATATTTTGGTAGCGAACCATGGAAGTGTAATATACAAACTAACAGACAATATTTTTGTGAATGAGTACTTGATCGAATAAATTGAGCTATGACCTGCCATTTAAACTAGGCTAAACTTATAATATCTTTCTTCAGTACTGAGTTGATTTGGGGCCAAAGTGAGCATAGGTTGGATTTAATAGTCGAGAGAGTTAGAGAGCTGTTATCATAACAATCGGAGAACTCCTTGCATACAATATCCATATACGATCATTACCACTGTCTTGGGCCAATGCGAGAAGTCCTCTTAATTTAGTGTCGCATAATTGCCGGCTTAATGCAGCTTCCCGCATTTGATACTGCCCCCTGCCCAGAAGTAGAGATTGTGAGTTGATGAATCCCACTATTAACCTGAATGCTAACGATCTGAGTTAGAACGATGTGTAGAGCGCATCAGAATCTGCCTACCACGAAGGATATGGTCGCCAAAACGAGAGGGATAGTGGGCCTTACTAACTTTGGTGTCTTGACTCTTCTACTTCAGTATCAAGGTAAGCTCGCCACTTAGCTTAAGAAGTGGGATTAACCACAATTAGTTGGGGGACTGGAGGTATATTACGAACGCGAAGACAAACACTGTCCGGTTAAATATGTCCACGATGCTTATGTTGTGAATATAGGTGATATGGTGGCTATGGACTCGATCACATAGTATTAATAGCAACTGACAAGTTTCTTCTGATAGAACAGTGGGCGAACAATCGTTACAAATCAACTCGCCGGTCTCAGGCAAAGATCGATACAGAATTGCATTCTTTAACGAAGGATTATTGGAACAGGTTCTTGAATGCATTTGAACGTGCATTGAAGAAGGGAAGAGGCCACTATATGTGTCTATTACGGTGGAGATGCATTTGCTTGACCGCTACGAAGGGGCATACTAGGTACTCTAGGTGATGTTATTGTGCAATAATGGCTCATAAATACACCCTTCTGTCATCCACTAAGAAAAATCTTTCCTAGGAAGATGTTTACTTCACCCGAGAGAGGGTGATAGCCATAAAGTTCAGACGTTACGATAAACCGTGCCGCAGTAGCCACAACGGTACCTTTGCATCCGAATATCGCCCGGTTGCAAATCGACGCGCAGCTCACCCTGAGAATCGCCGCATTGATGGCATTTAGATCTCTCCAAGGCGTTGTTCATAAGGTTGACTACAGCCCTGTCCCAGCTAGGTTCCCATACTTGGCATCGGTGAATCAGGTCCGAAATAATACCCCAGCCAATCTTCCCCTGCGATTCCACAAACTGTGAGATAGCCCCATTTCTTACCAGTTCCACTATGTTCTCGGAGATAACACTGGAGATAGCTTTGTGGAAGCTAGTATCGTGTGGCGGAATCATAGCCATGGAAAGCTCGAGTACAGCATGAAAATCCTTGGATTCCCAGTTGTGTTCGCACCACTCGCCAAAGCGTTCTGCAGCAAACTTTTTCAGAGACAGAATCCCGAATTTATCGGCGGCCACGTAGACCCGGACGTGATTGTATGCTGTAATATTCTCGTCCCCGCCTTTCTTTTTGGATCGAGAAGCCGAAGTGGTAGCCTTGCGAGTTTTCAAATGGGGACTCAAATCCATGATATGGCTGTCCTCGCTGTAATAATTGAAATACAGGAACGATAGAACGCGTTCAATCGTTTCGAGGTCGTCTTTCGGCAGATCGACTGTGAGACCCTTGCCCTCCTAGACGCAAGCTGTCAGTTCTAGGACTGCATGTGGGTTATGTTTAATGTTATACGGAGACTGACCTTGAAGTTCCCATTCATTGCGGCTTTGAAAAAGTCAGACTGAGTGCACAGAATCGACCGGTGCACTTTGAAGGTGAATCCCTGGCAAGTAACGGTCATATCGGAAAATTGGCTGTGGAGGAACAGGTCCTTCATTGTGGTCTGGATAAGTGATTTCGGGGAGGTTGCTTGTGACATGATGCCTGGGTATTGGTATCAGACTTGTAAAGAGACCAAAGACAGCGGAGAGGGACTGATGAAGACAAAGCTGGTTTGGAGATAAAAGGAAAGCGAGATGATGGTTTGGGTATTGTGTTACCCGAAGAGATGGACCGTGGAGAAGAAGAAACCCCCTCACTGCCTCAAAACAAAGCAGAAAGTGTTAGCTTTATTGGTTGTTCACTATTTATACATATGACTCAGTCAAAAAAACCCGCTATGCAGAAAGGATACCCCCCGAATACCAGCAACCACCTATCTCCAAACCTGGATAGCCTTAGCACTCGTCCACAACAAATCAAAAGCTTTGCCAAACCTGTCCATCAATTGCAACCAGCCGATTAAACAGCTCATCCCGTTTCCCCATAGCCGTAAGCCGGAACGTCTGGTCCTGCTTGCCAGTGACAACGATGCCATCGACAACCTCCTTCCCCCCAACAGCCCACCCGGTAACCAGCTTCCCCTTCCACCCCATCCCCCCAATCTTCCGCATCTCCTTGATATCAGTAACCGGCATATCGAAATAGATACTCCCCTTCTTGCGACTCTCCATCCTGTAGTCACCAAGCTGCGCAGTCTCGTCCGTCGTAAAGTAAAGCACCGGCGGCTCATGCGAGGAATCGATAATCGCCATCCCGCGATGTCCGTGATACCGCGCGTCAAACTCAACAGGGCCGGAGGGGAGAATTTCAAGACCCTTCTTCTGTAAAACGCCCTTTTGGTTTTTGGCGTGCGATGTCCCGAGAACCGGCACTTCTGCTCGGGCGTGGGAGACGGCCAGCTTGCTTTCGATGCCGGCGGCGGTGGTACCGCGGAAGAAGTTGAGGACTTTTGCGGAAAATGGCTTCTTTTTGTGGGAATGCTTGCCTGTTTCGGTTCGGTGTTGTTCTTCGGCCTTTTGGTGCGTTGGCTCTGGGGCTGCAGCTTGGTCGATTTCCTCTGGGGTTGCCCCGATAGCGAGTTGTTCGTGGTCGATGGAGGCTGGCTTTGAAGGCGCTTTACTGAGAGGGTCTGAAGGGGGTGGTGGTAATGGTGCAGCGTTTGTCTCTCCGATACGGAGTAGAGTGAGGGTGAGTTGGGCGTTTGTCGGGACACCCTTGAAGAGAGAACTGGAGTCGAATATCAGATATTGTCCATGTTCTTGTGGTAGAGACATACTTCTGCAGTTCAGACAACTCCTTCCAGTGCGGATATTCGCGGTCCAGATACTGGATACCACGTTGGATAATGGGGTCTCCGAAGAAACCAAACCCAGTGAGCAAGGTGGTCATCTTGACGAACACATAGCTGGATGTTAGAATGGCCGCTAGGAGTCCAGATACCAACACGCTAACGAGTCGCAGACGAGGCGTCATCATCGAAAACGGAGGCGTGGGTGACAGTGAACTGCCAATATCAGCAACAATATCAAAGACAACGGACGATAACATACTTCCCAAACCGCTCCCAGGTATCAATCACATCAGCCATGACCCGCATCGCCTGGTCCGCGCCATTAAGCACGGTCTGCCGCATGGGCTCTCGTGTCTTATCATGGTCATCAGAGGGATCCTCGCCCTTCGCTGCGGCCTGCGCATCCGCAGTTTTGGAGACAATATCCATAGCGTCCGGAACTTGGTCCTCCATCGGCGCATCCTGGGGCGTCCCCTGGTCGTGTTTACCTGCGGCACTCCCCACGGCTACAGTCGCGACGCTGGCCATTAGGTTGCTGGCTTCCTGCTCTGCTGCCTCGCCCTTGAATTTCTCTGGTGCGCCTGTTACGCTGTCGTGGGAGCCTAGAACCCCAGCCTTGGGCTTTTGGACGCCGCCTGTTTCTGTATCGACCAATGCAATGGGCGCAGGTGGGAATAGCAGCTTTCGTGATTGAGGGAAGATGACCAGGACTATTAGCGTGATGAACATTGTAGGAAGTAAGATGTCCCAGAGACACGCTGTAAAGTAGACCTGTCCGCCTTGATTAGCTGCCTGGTTAGCCATATATCTAGGAGATGGGTGATACCGAGCAGAAAGCCGTCGTCCGAACCGGCTCTTTCCACGAGCGCAACCTAGCAATATGTTTAATAAAGGCCGCCAAACCAATAACGATAGTCGTGTAGAACCGCTCCAGCGTCGCACGGAGCTTATCCGGAGAGAAGTGATCATCCTCGGCGCGATTCAGATCGAGTCTCTGCAACGGGGCATCAGGGGTGGATTTGACATTGTAGATTTGCTACGCATGATCAGTAACTACGTCTCACATCTCTCACATCAAACCATCAAAGTGATATTCAGGGCAATGAATCACCTTATTAAACCGTCGAATCAACAAAAACAAATCCTCATTCGACAACGCCTGCACAATCCGCTCCTCAATGACATCCGACCTCCCCCAGCCAAGATCAGAGAGCTGATTATCCTCGCCAGCCTTTTGAGCGAGACCCTTGGCCTCTTCGCCTGGGTTTATCTGAGAGAGGGTATGGCTATCAGTAGGTCCGCTGGCGCTGCTTTCCGCCGGTTTGGCCTCTTTTTGCTCCGTCGTCTTCCCCTGGAAGGCATCGTCTATCTTTTGGTGGCCGGGCCGGTCTTGGAGGAGTGAGTCGGGGACGTCTGACATGGTGATGGATGTATAACAGGAACAAGTCTGGCCACCTTAAGAAACACTTTACATCATGGATGCTGGGTGTATACTGTAGACGTCATCGGTGTGGTATTTATACGGATTACTAATGTTATGCTGCACAAGCTAAGAGCAACGTGATTTATGCTGCCCAATTGGGAAGTATACAGGCTACGAATGGTGAGTTGATCCTGTGTTCACAAACAAGGTAATGGTCACTGTAAGTTGCGACCGATGGAGTCTGCTATCATATAGTAAATAGATTAATACTACACTAGGAAACAATAGGCAAGGTATAGCCCTAAGCTGGAAGACAAGTTTGCCGTCACGCCAAAGTTATCTTGGATCTGCTTTCTTACAATTGGAAGAGTATAGAAGCTCACGTAGCATAAGCAAAAATCTCAAAGCCTTTTTGTTGGATCTGGCGAAGCGAATAGCCCTGTGGAGAAGACGATCATCGAGGCTCTGCATTTGGCCCCAGTCGAACAGCAAGAGCCAGCAAGGCGCAGTTTGGGCCAAATGCCCGTTGAGTTTCTAATTCCGATATTATAAGCAATTACGTATGCATGCTTACCCATAATTTGCTGCTGCCGTAATTGCACTGGCAGGTTATTTGTTGCGCACGGCGAGGCTGAGATGGCGAAGGATGCGCCGGCGCGTTTTAAACCGTCTTTAGGGGCATTCTGACGGAAGTGCCAGCAAAGAACTGGGGAGAATACAGGAGAGAGCGTGATAAAAGGGGCTGTCGTGGTTGGTTTTGCAGCTGCCTCCCAAATTGCTTGGTGTTCAGCGTCCATTGGCCAGTGCGTAAGTAGGTGCTGACTGCAATATTGGCTGTGACTCCACAGTTAGCTCGTATTTGGTGGGAAAGCGATGCCAAATTATTTAACAGCGTTTCAATGTTTAAAAAAAGCTACTGTGCTGCCTGTGCCCCTGCCCCTGCCAGCCTCACTGCCGAGGCAGAGCACAAGCAGCAAGCAGCAGGGATCGCCGGTACAATTGGCCAAACCAATTAAAAAAAAAAAAAATGAAAGATTTCAGAAACCCGGAGGACACTGGTCTACCAGAGCCTCGAGGAGTGGGTGGCCCGAAAGCTTATGCTGGATGCAGTTATTGGTGCCGCCATGGACGAGGCAGTGCCAGAACAGCTCGTATGGCCCAGCACCAGCTAGGATGATGGCGCTAATACGAAGTACTTGAAGAGACCGCCTCCCCGGGGATGCTTAGCCTGTTTCATTCTTGTGGGAGCTGCTGAGCAGGATGCTACTCCCAAGACACTGCAGACGACTGGCCATATTTGCCATTGTTTTGGCGACACTCGTGTGTTGGAATTCATTACGGCACACTCATGGAACGGCCGTGATAAATTCACAAGATCAATATCCGTTGCTCACAAAATACATTCGAGGGAGTCGAGTGCAAGGCGGAGGTAGGTTGTCTTGTTGACATCCAGGAGTATCACCAACTGACCCATGTTCGTGTCGTTATTATAGCTTTGCGTCTGCCGAAAGAATGGTCAAAAGGAATTACGAGCCCAATTGATTCCATCTTAGCTGCTGCAGAACTCGTTCGGAACAAGACCAGCTCTGACCCTCAGGGCCACATCCCCAATTCAAATATACCGCGAATAATCCACCAGACATGGAAGGACAAAAACATCGATGCATGGCCGCAGACATACCGTGAAAGCGCAGAAAAGTGGATGCAGGTTGTAGAAGAGAAGGATATCCCATATTTATTCTGGGACGATGTCGGCGTCGCCCAGTTCATGAGATACTTCGAGCCAGACTTCGAGGCCGAATTCTACTCTCTACCCAGCAATGTCGAACGCTCAGACGTCTTTCGCATCCTGGTCTGCAAATGGATTGGCGGCGTCGTACGTATCCCTCAAACCCTTCCTGATATCCCTAGGGATCCATATCTAACTCTCAACAGTACGCCGACATGGACACAGCACCCATCCGGCCACCCACAGAATGGATAAGCCAAATCGACTTACAGCCCTGGACAGACCACAAAACACAAAAGAAATACCAGTCAAGCAAACCCGTAACTGCCGTCGTCGGAATCGAAGCCGACAATGACCCCGAGCGCGATATCTACTGGCGCATGGGCTACTTCTTCCCCGTCCAACTCACCCAGTGGTCCTTCGCATTCGCACCCCACCATCCAATCCTGCAGATCTTCATCGACCGTCTGCGCGCGACTATCCGGCTATACGCCAGGGATGTTAATAACCAGCAGCCACTGCCGGATTCGCACCCAGGGGTTCTGGACTACGTTGACCCGGTGAATTTGACCGGCCCTATTGCGTTTACGGATGCAGTGCGCACGTATCTCGAGATGGAGGGGGATCTACGCTGGGATGCTGTTACGGGTCTGCAGGACGGGCCTGATGGGGGTGTCAGTAAGCTTGTTGAGGATGTTCTTGTTCTACCGATTACGGGGTTTAGGTACGTATCCGCCCACGTCGCATAGTTGTATAACGCAAAGCTAATGTCTAGAAGCCCAGGGAGTCGTCGGTTTAGAGATATGGGATCTAAGCCCGTTACGCATCATGCAGCGCGGCTATACCACCACGCGCAAGGATCATGGAGGAAGTGGAATTTGCGGGTGGAGATGGGCAAGTTCTGTCGGACGGCGTTTGGGCTGTGTAGGGACTGGTCGAAGGTGTCGCATGGGGATAGTTGGATTTTCTGATGGTTTGATGTCTTACGACTTGGTTATACCCGGGCGGCGTTTTGATGATTTTAATTACTTACGATTAATATTTGTATAGAAGTATGAGTATGAGTATGGGTATAGAGAAATGTTATGTTCTAAAAAAGGTTGCCTACTTTTAATCTCCAGGCAGCTGCGTTCGAGCTTGCGCTTGGTTTATCTCTGAAGCTTTGATCTGCAGTACAAGATGACGTTGCAAGGACTAAATTTAGAGCCGGCCTAGTTATATTTACAAGTCAGACTACTTCTAGATCTCGTGAAGAATGCAGTAGCCTGCTGTATGGGACATCATCTCGAGAATATGCTGTCATATCAGACTAAGTTATGTAGTATATCTGCCGTTAAGAAAACAATTTTGAATTATGGAAGTAGATTAACTAGTAAATTATACATTTCGAGAGTGATTATTGCTAGTAATAACAAACATAATATCGACATAATAACTCAAACCGCATAACCTCAGCACACCAGACATGTTGAAGTCCATCGAACAGATAATGGAGTCATGATATGTTGAATACGATCACTCAGCAGTCCGGGTCCCCTGATACATCCCCCGTCTTCTTGACAACAACCCTCCAGCCATCAACATGGTAGAGTGTTCCGGAAACCTCCCCCCAAACGTTGGAGCACTCATCAATAATGCGTTCGACGTCGTCTCCAATCTCTGCAAACGAGCCGAGCTCTAGCGAGTGGTTCGGATCCTGGAGTAGAATTATAGGTTAGCATCGCACTAATAGCGTTCGTAATACCCTATACAGACTCCCTGGAATGAGCAAAATAGGATAGGGAGGGAACAGACTCACGTCATTGCACCAGTGGATAGCCGACCTCCACGAACAGCTAACCCGCGAACATCGCCATTTTTGAAGGTAAGGCCTATGTTCAAGGCTGTCCAGATATTCGATGCCCTTCTCGATACGCATTTGCCGGGCGGACCAGTATTGGTCGCACTGGATATGGTAGTTGCCGCCGCCGCGCGTCTGGAGGGTTGAGTTGCTTTCGGCTCCGTCTTCCACAGTGATGTTGGTGGTGGTGCCTTTGAGTATAGCGTAGATCTCTGCGTCGGCATCATTGAGGGAAATGTCACGGGAAGTATCATCGAGGGCTTGGATGTCGGAGGGATTGACGACGGGGACCTGGAGGTAGGGCTAGTTAGTATGGTACAGTATGGGGACGATAGAACGAGTACGTACAGCAGATACAGCCAGGGCATGGAGTGCCAGCAGGAGGGCTGGAGTAAAGAACTTCATGATTGTAGAGTAAGATAACGGATCCTTGAGCAGTAAAGTGGATGGAGAGGGTTGAGTTGGAAAGCGGATTTCAGATGGGCGGGGGGTTTATATACCCCTGGATAGCGTTATCGGCCTAGATTTCCGTTTTAAAACGGAGGTAGCGGCGTACGTGAATGTCTGCCCTGGATTGTATGAACTATAGGGTGGCAAGTTGGGTTAGAGAGTCATAGATATCAGGCTGTGCAGAAGTATTCACAGAGATGCTTGTGATCACAGCTTCGGAGTTCTGGACTGTCTGGCGTTTATTCACTGTATATAGATCGGACCAATGATATACTTTGTTTATAGATTAGAGACAGATAAGGATAACGTTGTGTGAATACAACTGACTCCACTAGTTTGTTTGTAATAATTAGATGTAGGTCGAAATATACGGCCGCTATCCCGTTGCAACATCAATCTGGAAACAGTATCAGTCATAAAGATGCGTGAATACGTTATAGTACTAGTTATTTGCTAGTTCACTCCAACAATCTGAGACCCGGCTGGCCGCAATATCCGACCTCCAAATCACTGATAGCACCAGAAATTGATCATGCGCCGGTTCAAGGGCAGATCAGCCAAAGCCTGCCACTATTGCCACACCCAGAAAGTGAAGTGCAGCGGTGGTATGTTGTACCCTATTGGATAGAGGCAGAGTTGTAACTTGTGATCCAGAACGCTCCTGTACCAGATGCCAAGCGTCCCACAGAGACTGCATCTTTGCCTCCAAAGACCGTTTAGTAACGGTGCCGGAGAATTATGTACACACACTGCAGAATGAGGTTCATCAGATCAGGCAGCTGCAAGCCGAACGGGGCCCTATACCGGGAAACGCCGAGCGCCAAAGTCTGCATGATGCGAACCCTGAACGGCTGATTGAGAATTCAACGACGGAGTACTTTGTATCGAAGCTCAAGGGCGCATGCTCTGCTTCAGAGGGTGATCGATATCAGGAGAATGGTATTCCAGAAACACCTGAGAGTACTTCAAGAAGTGGGCTTTCACACCCCCAGCACTCGATCTCCAACTACACCTATGTCCCGTTATATTATGGAAGCAGTAAGCTGGAATCCACATATGGAGTGCTATGCACCGATCAGATATCTGCAGATGCAAAAGTAGCTGTCAAGCTACCCCATACTCCTAGGCCATATACCTTCCTAACCATGTCGAGACTTTCATCGGCTCCGACTGGCACTGGTACCACAGGCAGCATTCCTTGATATATAGACTTTTGACGCAAAACTTTATATCAGAGTAATGAAGTCATCTTAACTTCATCTTGAATCCTCAAACCTCCTGGCTTGTGAATGATTATAAGTTAATCATAATCCTTAAAAAGTTCAACCAAACAGCAACGACAAAAGACCCAAGATGGCAGCGCAAGGCAGGACCAGAAACCACGATTTCTTCGCACTTCCTTCCACTACCGTCGAATACGAATACCAGGGCAAACAGCACCTACTCGACGTGGTGGAAAGAACGAGGGAGACATCATGGAAGGAGACACACATCATCTTCACCGGCCTTGATCCGCAGACATTTGAGCATGAGATTGAGAACACAGACTGCCGTCGCATCAATCAATCCTTTGACACGTATTTGCCCCAGTTCGGTTTACTGCTTCTCGAGATGCCTGCGTCGGACGTTCACGAAACCACCTCCAACAGGCTCAATTTAATGATAATGGAAGCGTTGCCTCGACGGCTTCGCCGGGCCCTTTCCATGAGAGGAGAGACAGGATATCAGTCCGCTACAAGACAGAAATGTGCCGACCAAGCATATGTGCCCAAAAGGCTTCCTTCAGGTCGCTCAAATCATTGGCCATCAATGGTTATAGAGTGTGGCTGGAGCGAAACTAGAGCAAAGCTCGAGCGCGACTGCCGTTGGTGGTTGCACGATTCGGACGGGGATGTCAAAATCGCATTGTCCATATCAGTCCATATGAGGAGGAAGCAGATCATCATTCAAAAATGGGAATCCTTCCAACTACAGACACGGGCAGGACAGGCCCAGACGGGGGAGAGACTGGCTCAAACAATCGTTCTGTCCCAGGTGCGGGACCATCCAATTCGTCTGACGGGACCGCCCCTGCGTCTAGAATTTGATAAAGTTTTCTTGAGACAGCCACTGCCCACTCAGGGAGAACATGATATTGAGATTACAGCAGAGGACCTTCGGTTTCTGGCGCAGGATATTTGGCAGGTCCACCCAAATGTTGAGTAACAGTATTCATTCTCGTCCCGTAGGAGCTGGTGCGTGACGGCTAGCATAATATCCCCATTCTCAACCAGTTAAAGACCTAAATGCGTCCGAAAATATGGCACTGAATATTAACATTTTGTTAGGAATCCTCTTCCTACCCGACGAAAACGGCCGACCCAAGCTCTGCAGCTGCCGCTTCATCATAAACTACTACAACTCACACGTTCCCGGCTCTTCACTAGAGCATTCCCTCGCCGATTATCCTGCAGATAGTGTCCCGCGATAGATTAAAGAGAAAATACAGAGTTTTGTCCGCGATATGATTCCCGAGCTAGCGGATCAGGAGTGGGTATCGGCTCGGATATGCTGGTGAGTATGCCTCCCATGTAAAACCCTAAACCCATGAAAAGAATGGCTAATAAGGTAATAGGGACGGCGACACCAAAGATATCAACTTCCGCATCTGTCCGTTACCAAACACCAAGAACCTCTATATTGGCACAGGAGGCTCCGGGCACGGCTTCAAGTTCATGCCAATTATTGGGAAATACATTGCGGATATGCTGGAGGGGAAGCTGGACAAGGAGTATGAAGAGCTCTGGAAGTGGCGGTTTGGTGCTACGCCGGTCAAGACTGGGAAGGAACCGCATCCATGGCCGCAGAGGGACCCGGGGGAGTTGGTTGGATGGAGGGGGAGGAATGCGAAGGTTGTTAAGGGGAGGTTGTAGAGATCATAGCATTATATTTAACGGTTGAGTATCCAGTATATTCCGGCTTCTGTAGAGATAGAAAAGAAGTGGAGGTTTTTGTTCATTGAAGGCGAGTTATAAGTCTGGCTTGATGTCTTATCGGCCTGTATATAAGTATCTATCCCAGGCGTGGAGTATGAAGACTATTATCACCATGATGGCTGCCTACTCTTAGAATAGACCAGCCACAGCCAGACAGGTTATTTCGTGCACCGGTGCTGGCACTACTGCGGCTAGAGCGAACCCTGGCCCTGCTCCGTCTCTCAGTGGTTGAAACAGAAAATAATACCGCCAGGCTTCTATTTTCAACGCCTCGGCGCCTAACGCAGACAGGGATACAACACAGCCCCCGCGGCGCAGTTTGTGCCTTGCTGTGGCATCATGGGCCTCCATATTTGAAGGTTCGGCCCGTCGTGTGGCAACTTCTGCTCCACTGAGCATTCATTTCAACTGATAATGGATTTGGGTAGTGATCTCGTTGCCACTCCGATACTTCCAAGCCATCCTTCGGAGGCGTTGCTGGGGTTGTCTATTCCGCCGATCTCGTTGGATGAGGATTTACCAGAGACTCCCTCCCCTTGTATAAGGAGGGAGTCGAGACGCGTGAAAAAGGTCCGAAAGACACCGAATCATCGATATATCAAAGATCTGGAGCGAAAGAATCGATCACCGGAGTTTGCCGCCATACTTCGCAATCTCAGCGGTTCGTCACTTAGAGAATCAGCTAAAGCTGGGGATGGCCTGGATGAAACACGATCGCATGATGCAGACAATCACACTTCAGATTCAGCAGAATCTTCTAATGCAGAAGAGCCTCAGACTGATGACTCTACTGAGCCATTGCCCTCCTTCACCCCAAATCGCTGTACCCTCCAAGAAATATTCCGCGATATGAAAGATGTAATGACAGCCTCCTACGACGAGAAGCCCGGACAGGTCTACATCCTCTTCGACCGACTAGATCAAAGCCCCTTCTTCAAGATCGGAAAATCTACCGACACCAGAAAGCGAACGGTGACGCACCTGCAAAAGTGCCAACTCAAAACGTGGGCGTCTCGAGCAAGACCCGCAACACCTATCCGGATGCCCATGCGTCTAGAGCGCCTGGTGCAGACTGAGCTGCAGAATCTGAATTATGTTCCAGATTGCCATTGCACTGTTAACCATATTGAGTACTTCTGGGGGCGGAAGGAGATCGGACTTGAGTCGCTGGACTTTTGGTACCGGTGGCTGCTGCAGCATGACCCGTATGACTGCGATGGACAGCTGAAGGGGTTTTGGGCCGATCGGTTGGAAGTATTTCAGGGCAGTATTGATAAATACTTCAGATGTGATAGTCCTTCTTGCGCAGTACAAGACGAGGATACCCCGTCTTGCCGTGACTGCCTGCGAGCTGGGTGGAAGGAATGGACAGAACCAACACCAGAAGACGAACTGGACTTCACCTGCAGAGCGAATGTCCCATCAAAACGAGTCCACCAAGGCATTCAGCGGTTTAGCAGATTTGGTTTGGTTAAGACATCCAGCCTGGTATCTTTTGTCAACGGAATCGGCCTGCTGCTGTCCATCTGTAGATGGCTTGCTGACCCTAGCGTATACCTGTCCCTTATACCTCTCAGGCTGATGGTATTCTGGCTCAAGCCGACTCAGCTGCCCGAATCTGTGATAAGGATCTGTCTTTCATTTGCTGACACGGTTCTTCTGGTTGTTTGTGTTTATGCTCGGTTTCAACATCGCGCTGGGTCTGTCGGAAAAGGGAGTCCTAGATCTGCTAAAAGAGGGAAAAGGAGGAGTGTAGGAGAGGCACAGGGTGGTGTCAGTGTTGCAGATGGACCTGGATGACTTGAGTGAGTGATTCATTGCATGATAATTCGTGGTGATATTAACCTAATAATAGACGAGCTAACCCAACGTGGCGATGACTCAACTCCAGCTTATATTCAACACCACTTCCACTCCGCAACTGAGCACCACGTTCTTCATTACAGAATGTCTCAGCCAATACTACAGCTGCCCAAGTCCCGCTGTCTGATCAGGCAGTTCGTCTCTTCCCCCACAGAGGAGGAAACACTGGCCACTGCGGCAAACAACCCCCGCCTCAGCAAATACATGACCAACGGGTTCCCCAACCCATATACAATCGCCGAAGCCCAAAAATGGATCGCATTCACCAAATCCCAGTCACCTGCCCGCGACTTCGCCATCTGCGATGCGGAAACCAACTCCGTGATCGGCGCTATCGGGCTCAAGCCGAGAACAGATATCCACCACCGCACCATGGAAATTGGGTACTGGGTTAGCGAGACGCATTGGGGGAAGGGCATTGCAACGGAGGCAGTGAAGCTATTTCCGGTCTGGGCTTTTGCCAACTTTGCGCATTTGGTTCGGCTGGAGGCGGAGGTTTTTGAGGGGAATGATGGGAGTAAGAGGGTTCTGGAGAAGGCTGGGTATGTCTTCGAGGGGAGGAGGAGGCTAGCTGTTGAGAAACACGGAGTTCTGTTGGATACGTATAATTATTCCCTGCTGAGAGAGGAGGGAGAGACGCATGAGGGTTCAAAGACGGCCTGGCCGTGATGGTGATATTAGTTTACTTGGTTGTTTACTGCAGGTCCATGTGTTAATTAAAAAACAATGGACTTTATTCACTCTGCTGTGCCTGTTGTGCCCCATGGGGAAGGAACGCTTAAGCGAGCTGTCACCAGAGACACAGCTATAAATTCCTTCTCTCTTCTGTTCCTCTTCTCACAAGCATCCTCTCATTCACCTCCATCTACTTTCGTTCACCTCCTTCTCAAGACTTCATCAAAGCTTCATCAAAGCTTCATCACTCGTTTAACCACCTCAACTTGACGTTCACCATGCATTCCTTCATGACCCTCCTGCTTGCAGTCCTTGCTTTGACTGCCTTTGCTGTATGTCCTATCTGTATACCAACGTCATTCTAGCTGACTGAATAGGCACCCAACCAACCCAGCCCACCGGCCACAGTCAAAGTTCCCTCCTCTTTCTTCGACGCTCCCATCGAGCAGCCTGACAACCAGGTCAACTCCACTAACTTCATGCTTCGCGAGTACGAGCATGTTACCTGCGGCGACTGGGGCAGCGTCGACGTTCCTGAGATAGAAGTCGGCATCCAATACCTTCGCGGTGTCAAAGGCGAGCCCCATCTCGACGGACATACCTGTGAGCGTGTTAGCTGCTCGTGGAACTCGGGCATCTACTGGTGCAACGACGTAGGTTCTACATTCTTCATGCAAGAGAACACAACTGACCTATCATCCGAAGAGGAACACTCACAGACACCTACCCGGGTACTATAACATTGCTGACGGTGCCGCTGAGATCTACCGCATTTGCCAGCCTGTGTTTGGAAGTACTGGCACTCTGTACCACAATGATGACTGGAGAGTTCTTATCGCAAAGCCTAGGGGCAATGGCGATGACAAGAACTGCTAGAGTGTCTTGTATTGTCTCAGAGACACATTTCTGTTGATGCTGTCTAGCATATCCGATCATCTGTTCATCTCGTTTGCCACTGGCATGCCATCTCGGCATCTTATTCTAATATGAGTTTATGAATGAATAAGCCACGATGGATTTGACTATGCATTGTATTTAAATCAGTCCTTAAGCAAACGAGTATTTCTCTATTTTGTCCTGAGACTCCAAATTCCATATCCTCTGCACAGCATCCTTGAACGCAGGAATGTCCTGGACGTGGCCATACTTTGCAAGCGCCAGAGCCTTTGACTCAATCTCCTCCCTAGTCAACGTCCAACCTGGATCGCCCTTCACGACATCCACTGACCTTGTTAATGTTCTGCCGTCTTTCGTCTCGACAACAACCCTCCCCAGCCATCGAGCCGGGAACTCCTTATTTATATCATCGTCCAGCACCATGTTAACCTTCCCTTGCAACTCCCGCAGCTCAGGATCCACCAAATCAGCCTCCGTAAAGTCCATCAAGCCAGCGGACCCCTTCTTCGCGGCGACAGCCAACACAAACCCCATCGAGAACTTGCTCTGATGCACCGTCTTCCCTTCCCCACTAAGACCCAACACATCAATTGCCGCTTTGTACGTGTACGCAGTGATACTCGCAATATCAGTATACTTAACACCGTCCTCTTTCAGCAGCGCCAGCAGCGCATCAGCCGAAGGATGCGTATGTCTGCACGAAGCATGCCACTTGAAACTCGACTCAAGCACAGACCACTTCTTCCCTAGATCGCCATCAATCGCACTCGGCGTCGGATCAAGATTCCCTAGCGCAGCACCCATTCCCCTCGACCCTTCCAGGATATCGGCTGTACCTAGGAGACCTGATGCAGAGGTATAAGCTGAGAAAACACCGGTCGCGCACGCCTGCCCCGTGTGAACCTGTTTGCTATGTGTCGCGTCAAGTAGAAACTGCCACAGCCCGGCAGCCTGCGTCCCAGCCGTACCGATTGCAGAGACAAACTGGTCCGCGTTGAGGCGGAGCAGATACGCCGTTGTTGCAGCTGCACCAAGCACGCCTGTTGTAGCTGTCGTATGGAATTTCTACCAATTTATTAGTACCTCAACTAGACTTGATGATATGAAAGACATACCTCGTAGTGAGCCTTCCCTAGATACTCCCCAGCCCGACAAGCAAATTCATACCCAACCACACAAGCAGTGATAAACTCCTTCCCACTGGCCCCAACATCCTGCGCCACCGCCAACGCAGTAGGATAGATGATCGTCGCCGGATGCATCACAGAACTGTTATGCAAATCATCCTGCTCAACAACATGCGCCGAGGCCCCATTCACCAGCGCCGCAAAGGCCGGAGACGTCCGCACATCGCTGAACCCGATGACCTCGCACTTCCCGTCCGCAGGACCCATTGTCTTCGCGTACTCCAGCATCGCGGTCACGGCGATGTGGTCCCGGCCTGCGACGGCGCAGGCCAGGGTGTCGACGAAGAAGTCCTTGGTGCGGTTTATGACGTCTGCGGGGAGGGTGTCGTAGGACAGGGACAGGGCCCATTCGACCAGGGTGCGGGTGCGTGTTTGGTGGGATGTCATTCTTTCCTTTCTTTCTTTTCCTGCTTGTCTTTTTTTCTGCCTTCCTTTGGATTCTTTCTAGGGATGGAACTCCGTATAGTGGCGTGGTGGTGGGTGTGTATATATCGCCGTAGCCGAATAACCGAGTCGGCTTCTTGGGCGAATGTGGGGTAGAGTTATGCGCCGAGATCGGCAGGCTTGTCCATCAGACATACTACTAGTATAGCTTGTGATTGTTGGATGTAGAATTCTTGGTGTGGCCTGGCATGATTCGGTGTTTCCACGGGTGTCTTATGCTGGTGGCTTGGTGTAGTTGTTCAATGACCTGCGGCGAGCAATCGTACTGGACATAACTTTTATTGCTGGCGTTCTTTGCAGGCTTCGGTATTGAGTATATTGTGAATGAGTGTCAGTTTGGCTTCTGGTGAATTGGTCGGTGCCAGTGTCTGCTGAGTGGTCCGATGGTTAGCAGTGTTAGATATGCTAAGATTATGGAATAGGACTTGGAAGGTCTTGTGTGAATCATATCCTGTTATCAGAGACACAGTACCGGTGTTATGTGCAGCCAAGTCTGAGGTGAAGCTCTGAGATGAGCATAGATGAAGCACATTAAAGCACGTGCCTAGAGTAACAGTAACATCTTCACTGTATCGCACAGTCAACTTATAAATAATAGCTTCAACCATGGTCTTCCTCTGGTATCCACTGCCCCAGCTGGTGGATACATCTATCCTATACAGGCACACTATCAACAATATATCTCGAATCCGCATAATCCAGCAAAATGAAGTATATCTTCACAACACTCCTCCTCTCCCTCTTCGCAGCCATAGTCACTGCCGCAAGTTTTTTTACAATCATCATTGTCAGTCTACACTAACTCTTACCACTAGGATCCATATACAGTGCAATGTTTTTTGAAAGGCGGTGCCTACATGAAACACATCGACGAGCTGAAGAAAGCGGTCACAAAGGGACAGTCAACCAGCTTCCTGATCCCTCCCAAACTCGATTCCGGGGAGTGCGAGTCCCTGAAATGTGTTGAAGCTAGTGCTCTTAATTGGTGCAATTATGTATGTATCTATCTTAACTATCCACCCTCCATCCTTCCTGCAGTCCCCGTGGAAGCTCCAAGCTAATAGCCCTGCTCGTAGAATAGAAAAAGCGCAAGCCAGATCGAACCCAGCGATATCGCCGATGCTGTCGACATCCTAGTCAAATACTGCAAACGGGGGGATCGCGTGAACGGCGAGCTTTACTACCCTGGAAAGCGCATGGTTGCTCTTCAGTTTCACCACACCGAGAGTAAGTGTGTGGAGCACAAGTTCACTGAGGACAAGGAGAATGGTATCCACGGCGACTGGATGACTATTGGGCCTGGTTAAGCCTGTAGCCTGGATTCGAATGAAATATGGGGTTGGTTATTCGTGTCTGTGTTATGTAGTTAGCAACCTGGTGTCTAGGAAGATATCTCTGGTCCCAAATGCAATTGAATCTATGATCTACTTTTGTCTTTAAACATACTGCAATATTCAAACAGTATCTCCACTATTCCTCTTCGCAGCCATCTTCACCAAACTCTTCAACTCCTCCGGCGCATCCTCCCTCCCCATAACAACCTCCACCATACAAAACCCCTTTCCTGCAGCAACCTGTTCATCGGCAAGTACATCCAGCAATTCCCCCCAATTCTCCACCCTCCTTGTAACAACCGGATAAGAAGGGTCCTCAACCGGCGCCCCAAAGAAACTCGGCGCATCGAGATACCTCCACGGATGCACATCGTTATACCCCGCCTTCATCCCGTGGATATACCGCTCGATCGTGTACCCGTCGTTATTAATCAGGAATATTATCAAGTCGAGTCTATTGCGGAAGAGATCACTCAGTGCCTGTGCGGTCATCTGGAAACTCCCGTCGCCTTCGAAGAGGATTGTTCTGCCGGACACGTTGTTGTTGTTGATAGCCAAGTCTTTCTGGGCTTGAGATACCCCAACTGCTGCGGCCAGTGCATATCCAATGGACAGCCACAGCGCAGAGTTAATCATCTTTACACCTGCCGGAAGAATCAGGTCGTTCGCACCGAGAGAGGCCGTGCCCGTCTCTGCGATGACGATATCATTTGGACGCAGGAACTCCGTTACCCTGGTCCAGAACGTCTTCTGATCAATCTCCGCATCCTGGATAGGGTCAGACAGAGCATCAAGAGTATCTCGCAGCCACGGGAGAGGCAAGTATCCCAACCAAACTGGTCGTCGGTGTATATTACCCTCCAGCACGCGGCGCAGAAGAGTCTTTGTCTCGGCATGCACCGTTCGCCCATCGATATCGATCGAGGTCCAATGGACGGAGACGGTATTGTTGACGGGCGTGAGCGCTCTGAATCCGAATGTGTTTGTGTCTGCATCTAGCGGTCCAAATCGGATGACCAAGTCGGAATCCGCAATCCAGTGGGTACGGGGCTGGTTGATCTGAACGTGCCCGGTGTACACGCCGTGGAAGTTGGGGAGGGTTTCGTTTACGGAGCCTTTTCCGAAGGGTGTAATGTATGTCGGCCAGCCGGTGGTGCGGATGAGTTTGTCTGCCTCGGGGAGGAGGTTATAGCGGGGGGTGAATCCGTCGACGATGATGGCTGGCCGTTTGGCGGTGTTGATTCGGTTGAGCAGGGTGGAGACGATGGCGTCTTCGAGGTTGGTGTCGTTTGGTTTGAAGGAGAGGTCAATGTTCGTGTCTAAACCTGCTGACGAGACCTTTGCTTTGACCATATCGGTTGGTAGTTCGATGTATATGGGACGGCTCTCTTGTAGGCATTGCCGGAGTGTCCTATCGATCAGCTCAGGTGCAGTAGTAGGATCTTCTAGATTGGCCTGCGCACAGGTAAACTCCTTGAATACTTCCGCAAACCTCCTGAAATTCCCATCTCCAAACGAGTGATGCAGGTTCAGCCCTTTCTTCTGGGCAGTTGTTGGAGGGGTCCCGACGATGTGCACGACTGGGGCTTTCTCGGCATACGCACCCCCGATGCTATTGAGGGCTGAGAGCTCTCCGACGCCAAAGGCTGTGATGAGTGCTGAGATCCCCTTGATACGGGCGTATCCGTCTGCAGCGTATCCAGCGTTCAGCTCGTTCGCGTTTCCTGTCCAGTGCAGACCAGCGGGTTGGAGGTAGTCGAGGGCAACGAGGTTGTAGTCTCCTGGGACGCCGTGGACGGTTCGGACGCCGAGTTGGTGGAGTCTTGTAAAGAGATATTCGGCCAGGTCGATCTTTTCGTTGCTGATTGACCCCATTTTGTCAATTAGGATTGAAGTGTTGTGTTGGAGAGGAATGTAGGGGACAGTCGGATATTGCGCTGTTTATGAGAATTCTCATCAACGACAGAAATGAATCCATTGTGCGTTTGTTTATTCTACAACTGCAAATGAGCAGGTAATTGAATGTCCAATTCACAGCTTCAACTGTGAATGCTTTCACCTTATGCTGGTCTAGACTGACTGGCGTCCTTAACAAAGAATACATAGTTTCGAGATGCTATACAGATGTTTAGTCAGCTAGACCTTTACTGGGGCCTTTCTATTTTATAATATATTAGTATGTCGAGCAGATAGTCTGGACTCATCATGAACTGTTCGAATATTTAACTTGATATTATGGAATGCCGCAGTTATCACGGTCGCTGCCATTACTACGGCCATAGTTCTCCTTACAGTACAGGAAGTACTTTATATTCCTATACCTGCTGACGCTGGACTACGGAATTAATGCATTCTATGTTTATACAATTATTCAGCACTTACATCATGATGATTATGTCCAGCGCAGTAAGTCCTAAGTCCGGCTCCACTGTAAGCACCGTACTCGCCGACTGCCCAATCGAGGCACAATATGAACAACCCCTCATCATCGTCTCCACTGAAGCTTGTTTATAAAAGGCAAATGTCGTCGTACTGGAACTGGAACGAACTGGCAACCCTTTCATAAGTTGTAACCAATACTACCTGAATCATGTCTATTTTCGCACCCGCCCCGAAACCTCCCAGCCTTCTTGGCTACCACCGGGTCCTCGCGCCCACCGCCGGTGTGAAGGTGTCCCCGCTCTGTCTCGGGGCGATGAACTTTGGTGATGCCTGGTATGAGGCCCAGTTAACCCATTGACCGAGTTAACATGAATATAGGAAGGACTTCATGGGCGAGTGCAACAAGGAGCAGACCTTTGCGCTCCTTGACGCCTTCTACGAAGCAGGCGGCAACTTCATCGATACGTATGTATCTTTCTCCCTTTTAAGGACCTTGCTAACGTTAACAGGGCGAACAACTACCAGAACGAAGAGAGCGAAACCTGGATCGGCGAGTGGCTGCAAAAGCGCGGAAACCGCGATCAGCTGGTGTACGCACTGCACTGCCCATCCTAAGCACCTTGCTTGCACTTATACTCATCCTGATATAGAATCGCCACAAAATACACCACCGGCTTCCGCAGCGTCCACCGCGACACAGAACCCATCCAATCCAACTTCGTCGGCAACAGCTTCAAGTCCATGCACGTCTCCATCAAAAACAGCCTCAAGAAGCTACAGACCGACTACATCGACGTCCTCTACCTGCACTGGTGGGACTTCACCACCTCCGTCGAGGAAGTCATGCACGGGCTCAACAGCCTCGTCACCTCAGGTAAGGTGCTGTACCTTGGTGTCTCGGATACGCCCGCGTGGGTAGTTGTCAAGGCGAATGACTACGCGCGCGCAAACGGTCTGCGCCCGTTCTCCGTGTACCAGGGCAAGTGGAATGCCGGGTACCGCGATATGGAGAGGGAGATTATCCCCATGTGCCGGGACCAGGGGATGGGGATTGCCCCGTGGGGACCGCTGGGCGGGGGGAAGTTTAAGTCTGCTGAGGCAAGGAAGGCCGCGCAGGGGGATTCGAGTAACAGGGGTGCGCAGCTGAGTGAGACGGATGTGAAGATTTCGGATGCTTTGGAGAAGGTTGCAAATAAGAAGGGAGGGACATTGCATGCTGTTGTAAGTTTTCCACCTATCCATTCATTCGATAACCCGTCTAACGAAACAGGCACTGGCATACGTGATGCACAAGACGCCGTATGTATTCCCGATTGTCGGACAGCGCAAGGTCGAGCATCTCAAGGCCAATATTGAAGCTCTGAGTATCAGTCTGTCTGCCGAGGATCTGGCTGAGATTGACGCCGCCGCGGACTTTGATATCGGATTCCCCATGAACTTCATCTTCAGGGACTACTCGACCAGCAACACTGCCTCTGATGTCTGGCTGACCCAGGCGACGACTCATCTCGATGTGCCTCCACACGCCCCGCCTGTCCAGAGCAGACGAAATGTGTAATCGCTTAGCTATCTGATCCATCCAACTCAATTAAATCACTAGATCTGCTAGAAATATATTGATGTAACCAAGCTGTCTGATATTTACAACTCATCCCTCATCCTCGCCAACCGCGGAAGCAACCTCAACGCATTCCCATAATTAATCCCATCCCTCAACTCCTGACCCATATGATACCCCTCCAACTCCTCCAAAAACGCCGGATAAGCCGTGAGAGGCGCATAAGGAAAATCACTGCCGAACAATATATGCTCATGCGGGACCATCTTCAGAAGCAGATCAAGCACCTGCGGCGCCGAACTCAGCGCCAGATCATAGTGGAAACTCCGAAAGGATGCCATGGCTTTCTCGTATGTCGTGCCCATACGATGCGAGACTGCAAAGTCAGGAGCTTTCTGCATGGGCGTTGTTACTCGCGAGATCAGGTACGGTAGGGCCCCGCCCGCGTGTGATAGTATCACCTTACAATCCGGATACTTCAGTCTCGTACCGCTGGTGATCATATCCATTGCCGTGCGAGTAGTTTCGTGCGGATAGTCAATAGCTGGCTGGGGCAGTTTAGGGTTTACAGGGTTCGTATCAACGGGGTGTGTAGGGTGGATGAAGACGACGCATTTTCGTCTGTTGAGCTCGGCCCAGATGGGTTCTATATCTGGATGTCCGAGATATGTATTCGACGAGCCGTAGCGTGTGAATAGGGTGACTCCGTCGGCGTGTAGGGTGTCCAGTCCGTATGCGATTTCGGCCAGGGCGTCTTCTGTGTCGAGGATGTTGGGTAGGGATAGGAAAAAGCCGAACCGCGAGGGCTCGGCGTCGCGAAGGGCTGCGGAGTATTCGTTCATCTGCCGTGCGAGGCGGGCTCGTCCTGCACGGTCTGGGAGGATGCATGCTCCTGGGGCTGTCACTGAGAGCACAGCTGTTTGTATGCCGGCGCGCTTCATCAGCAGCTTCGAGGCGTTAGCGCTCCAGTGGGGAGTTGGCCAGCCGCTGGGGTCGCCGCCTTGGTCTTCAACGGCTGTTTCCGTTAGCAGGGTCTTGAATAAAATCTTTAATAAGAGTATACATACCCTTGGCGTAGAATGGTGGAACGCAGTGGTGGTGGGTATCGATCTTGTTGACTGGGCTGTGGATCCATCCGACAGCCTTGTCCTGGAGCCAGTCAAGAGCGCGCTCAATCATGTTGCAGTGGCTGACGTTGCTAAAGTAGACGAGCACGAGAATTGCGACAGAGGACAGACGCATGGTTAACATGGTGATATCACCTGGAATAGTGGTCCATTGCTCTTAAATGTTAAGATTGTACCACGGAACTGTTCCGGTGGCGAGGCTCCGGGTTCAACCCGGAACACTTGTCTCTATTTAACGAATGAGATATGTTATATTGAATTACTATGCATAATAAATCACTGTGCACCCCACCGGGCTGCAGCCGGGTTAAAAGACATCTCGCATCTCGCTGTACGGGCATCAATGAACAAGCACCATGGGCACAGTTCGCGCACAAGTCTTCGCAGCCGCCGAAGCATATCCAACCAGCACGATAGTAATAAGCATAGCTACGTGCCTAGTGACAATCTGTCTCGTCATTCGAGAGATATTCACTCCAGTTGGCAAACGGAGACCACCCCCTGGCAAAACATGGAAGCTCCCTCCTGGCCCTCGAGGGATACCCATACTCGGCAACCTCCCTCTACTCTACAAAGCACGAGATGATCAAGATTTCAAAATGGTGCGTGGACAATATACCAATATAGACAGAGAATAGGCTGACCGATAAGCAAAACGACCTCGCCAAATACGGCGAGATGACCACCCTCCACCTCGGATCAAAGACCTGGATTCTTCTCAACAGCAAGCGCGTCGTCAGCGAAATCATCGCTAAGCGCGGCTCTCTCACGAACGGTAGAAGTCCCATGCCTATCGCCAGTGGGATCGTGAGCCGCAACGCCCGCTCCCTCCTGCTGCCTCCCTCAGGCTGGACAGAAAAACGACGCGTAATGCACTCGCTGCTTAGCGGGACTGCCTTGAAGCAATACGGCTCATGGCAGGAACACGAAAGCACACAGATGCTCGCAGAGTACCTCTTCCAGCCGGAGAGGTGGTACCGCCATCACTACCGCTACGCGAACTCCGTCGTGCACCGCATTGCGCTCGGGGAGAGACTGACCAAGACGGGCAAGGAGCTGGCTGATCTACAAGACGTCGTCACGTACTTCGTTGGCAGCATCGGGTCCAGTCTGGTGGACTGGTTTCCGGAACTTGATCGACTACCTCGTGTCCTCCAGCCGTGGCGGAAATATTGGGAGAGGCTTGGGGACTGGAACGAGGAGGTGTACAAAGCGTGGTGGATTCCTGTCAGGGAAAAGGTAGACCAAGGCACCGTGCCTCCGTCTTGGGTTCGTGATGTCCTTTTGCACCCTGATACCAAGTTTACCGGCAACGACCAGGAGGCCATGTATGTCGCTCTGCAGCTTCTTGAGGCTGGGTCCGATACAACCAGAGAGGCATTGAACATCTTCGCTATGGCGGCCTTGCGCTATCCTGACAAATTCCAGAAAGCCAGGGCAGAGGTGGACCGTATATGTAACTCTGGGGGAAATACCCGTCTTCCGGGGATTGAAGACCTCGAGCAAATGCCTTACATCTGCGCGATGATCAAGGAGCTCCTGCGATGGAGGCCGATTTTCCCCTTCACGCCCGACCATGTGCTGACGTCTGATATGGAGTTCGAGGGTTATCATTTCCCGGCAGGTGTTGGGTTTGTGATCAACGAGATCCCGGTGTGCAATGAGTGCGAGGACCCAGAGGAGTTTAAGCCTGAGCGCTGGCTGGACGGGCATGAGACTGACCCAGCACACGGGCTTTGGCAGTTTGGAGGAGGTCGGCGTATTTGCGTTGGGTATCGACTGGCATTCAGGGGGTTGTTCATCAATGTGGCTCGTTTGGTGTTTTGTTACGACTATGCTGCAGTAAGTCAACAACAATTCAGGCAGGCAATAAGCTGACATCTCCAGGCTGGACCATACAAGCCAACCCGCTTGAACCATCACAGGACCGATGAGCCTTTTCCCGTGAAGGTGACTCCACGGAGTGAGCAGCATGTCGCTTTGATATTGGACGAAGGAGCTTTACTGCAGGTTTTGGACGACGCAAAACGGCATATCTAGTTCTTTAAAGCTGTAGCAAATACGACCCATATAAACTAATATAGGGCCAATAGGGCCACGAGTGTCTTAAGGTCCCGTGGGAATCCTTATAAGATTCGGGTTGAAATACATATCAGTTCTTTAAACAAGCTACAACAAAATCTGTAATGGCCTTCGTCGTTCCACTGGGAGGCCTTCCAGCTGAGAAATCCATCAATGGCCCATCGTGTGCTTCGTCTGCCATGTACAGAGCAACCTCACCCTTACTCCTTCTCTTCAGCATCCTGCCCAGCAGCTGGACATGGTCGCTAAAGACCTCCTCGTAGCCACCAGTCACCAGGATACGATCTACAGACTCTAGACTGTCCCACCAACTTTCCGGCACGTCGAGGGCCATTCCCCAACCATTCCCAGCACAGATCTCGTCGTTCCAGGGAGAATGCTCAACAAGATAGAATCCATATTTTTCAACGGTCTCCCTACTAAGAACATCGGCACTAAACCATCTCGTATAGGAGGAGGTATTAAAGCTGAATGATGACAGTGGTGACACGAGGAAACACCCCTTCACTGGGCCCGTTAGGTCAAGATCACCCTCTACTGCAGAGGGATACCGGCGGTGGAGGTGAGCCATCAGGCCAAGCGATAGGTGGCCGCCTGCAGAGTCGCCTCCAAAGACAATCTATACATGTTAGATCTATAGCAGTTAGACGAGGTTCGTGAGACAACGACATACATCAGATGGCCTATATCCGTTATGCAATAGATGGTTCAGTGCGAAAATCCCCTGGATCATTTGCCTGGGATACGGGTTTGATGGAACCAGGTCTGAACAGTAAGTATACGCTTCATTCATCATTGGAAATACGCACCGTATTCCAGGATGCACACGCTCAGCTGAATGCCGGCTTTTTCTGCCTCCATCTTGATATACGCCATCCAGTCCAGGTGACCTTTAGACAGCGGCATCACATATCCGCCCCCTTGACTATTAACAGCGGTCGGCAGTGAGATATACATGAGGTATCATACCGTGGAAGAAAAGAACCACCTTTTCTGATTTCCTTGGGCCTAGCCAGAGCAGACGAGTGGTATTGTCAGCTGGTAAGATATCCACCGCACGGTTTGCACCATGAGACTCAACCCATGCGTCATATACGTCGATAGTAGATGGCAGGATTGCCTGCAGTTGAACTGGGGGTGTTTTGGCCATCAGCGCCCCGGCAAATCCATTCCATATGGCCGGGCCCAGGGGCAGTCTTTTGAACCATGCACGGAGTATAGCGCCGGAGATTCTGAGTGCTGCCGAGGGCAGGACAGAGAAGATGAGGGTAGGTAGGAATCGCCACTTTGCGACGGCTGGCATTTCAGTATTCATTATCGGCACTCTGGTGCAGATGATGCATTTCTCTATTCGTGAGGATATATCCAATCTATTGATATAACGGAATGCACCCGAGATCCGGAATGGTTCCGGTAGACGAACCAAGATGGATCCAATAGATCAACTCTGGCTCATCATCCATTGACCCACAGGTTGATCCCCGCTGACGTATAACCGGAACGCTCCCGGGTCGTTTCTTCTTCCATCTCTGCAGATTATGGTCTGCCAGACACTGCCAAAATGCCACCAAAAGCTGCTGAGTCCAGGCGACGCAGCACGCGGAGAAAGGTTGCTCTGGCCTGCGACTCGTGCAGAGAGAAGAAGATCCGGTGCGATGGAATTAAACCCATCTGTGGGCCATGCACCAGGCGGGCGTATCGGATCGACCAGTGCGTCTACAACTCGGATAATGCCCGGTCTGCCAGCAGAGACGAGTGAGTATCATGCATTGAGTTAAGCAGCCCTAACGAGAATAGATACTTTCACACGCTCCACCAGCGAATCAGACAACTAGAGGATGTCTGTTTGAGGGCGGGAGTCTCCGTCAACTCATCAGACTCCCTGACTCGACATGCCCCAGATAGCCCCCAAGCTGTCGATACTGGGCCAAGTCCAGTCCCACCGGAGGAACCCGTCATAGCCAGTCACACTGACGGTGGATCAGTGGAAGAGCCTACAGAGAGTACCCGAAATGCAGGGGCCTATGAATCGCCGTTGTTCGACGACGGGGGAGGGCACATTACAGGCATGGGCCAGATAGCTGCCCTAGACGATGAAGCCAGGCGCCAGTCCTCTCGATTTCAATTCTATGGCAGCTCTTCCACAGCCTCCCTCATGCGGTTCGCCTGGCAGTCGATGCCCTCGCCAGTGAATGCTTCGTGTCCTGAACATATGACTCTTAAGGATACTTTTACTGAGTACCGGTTCGATGACTTTGCACTCCCACCGCGGACACTGGCAGACCATCTTGTCGGCTGCTTTTTCAACCACGTCTACACCCTCTATCCATTCTTCGACCGTCCCGCCTTTGAAGCGGCGTATCGGAATCTCTGGCGTGCCGAGGATGAAGCTATGACTCCTCTCACAGACCTGCGTATTGGGCTGGGTTCAGCTGCAGAGTCCGGGCCTAGATCAATCCTCTTCCATTGTGCATTAAATTTTATCTTCGCTCTGGGCTGTCAATTTGCAGATATTGCCCCTGGAGAAGTCCAGCACGTTGCCAACTCTTTCTTCCTTCGAGGGAAGCGGTTCGTTGGACTTGACTTCCTTGACATCAATACTCTCGGTGTAGTTCAGACCTTGCTTATCACGGCGCTGTTTCTGCAGAGCTCTCCCTATCCCAGCCGATGCTGGCATTCCATCGGGGTTGCTTGCAGAGTGGCACTGGGGCTGGGACTGCATGAGTCGGATACTCTTGCCACCTTGACGCCGCTGGAATCTGATATTCGGCGTCGAACCTGGCACGGCTGTGTGATGATGGATGTGTACGTCTACCTCTATTATACCCTTCCTGGCTAATTTAATGCAGTACTCTGAGTATGACATATGGCAGACCAACCATGACGACCCATCTGGCTCCTCTTCCTCCGCCTGATGGTTTCGACACCTCCCGTCCAGGCGCCAGTAGCTCGACACTAATGGCATTCTATAATGAGGCCATTAAGCTGTATGGTATCCTAGACAGGATATTATCTGATGTATACTCCGCTTGGCGTGGCCGACGCCAGGGTCAATCACAGTCCTCGACACAGAGCCTAGGAGGTCTAGATATTGTGCTTGAGATCGAACGGCAACTCACTCTATTCGAGTCCAATCTTCCGTCGTTCCTTAAGTGGAACTCTGCCATGCATCCAGATACGGGTCTGGATCAGGCGATCGCCCAGCAGAGAAACGTTCTTCATGCGAGGTACTCCCGGCCTTACTACTACCTAAGTACAGCTCCTGATGGCTATACAGATACCTGCATCTCCACCTCCTTCTACACCGTCCTATCTTCACCCAGCTGTATTCGGAAAGAGTACGGGAGCGCGAGTCCGCAGGCCACTCTAGCACGCCAGAGAACCTGGCCCACGTCGCAACTCGACGCACCTTGTACTCCTCCATGGCGACCAAGTCGGCAACAGCCTGCGTGATGGCAGCTATCGACCTCACGCAACTCGTTCACAAGACGTATCACACCAGCGCTACTGATTCATGGTGGTATAACGGATTCTGTATGCATTTACCCCGAGTTCCGTTTATTCTCATACTAATTCTAGTCCAGATGTATCAACCGCCGCAATAGTCCTCCTCATGTCTTTCTCGGCACCGTCAATGCTTCGACCATCCGCCATGGATAAAGCGAGAGAGGCCTGGAGAGAGGCTACGAGTGTTCTCGAGTCTATGGCTACAGTAAGCCTGTCTGCAAGCAACACCCTCCGATTTTTGCGTGCTGCATATTGCCAGGCGGTTCCTGGTTATGGCGACCAGCAAGCGGAGGCAGATTCGAATTCGGCTTCTGCTGCGTTTAATTTGCATATGCAGGACATGACTCACACTCATGATCCGTTTGATCACCCAGATCACGACCTACTGCAGGTGCCGTTCTTCAATTGGGAGGAGTATGCGGCCAATATGGGACAGGGGGAGGGGCTGGATGATTTGGGGTTCTTGACGAGGCTGGACTTTCCTGATACTCTAAGTTGATAGATCTAGTTTCAAGGAGTTTTCATTGGTTAAGCCAATATATATCTAGAAAGTCCTAGTATACATTCGTAGCACGAGCCTTCAATCATTCAGCAATCTTCACCTTCTTGACCTTCTTCGGTCTATCCCACCCCACCACATCCGTCCCATGAATCCAGTCCATCAACCCAATAGTCCCATAATTAACCCGGAACTTCTCATGATGCAAATCATGCAGTTCCGCCGGTGGCAATTTCAAAAAGTCATATCCGCTATGATCCGCCGCAGCCTCCCAGAGCTCAAAGACAACAAAGCCCATGATTGACAGGGAGTGCGCACCTTTCAGATACAACGGCAGCGTAATCGGCAGGACGTTTGCGAGGATATGTTCCACCGGATGGGCGTACTCGGCTGCGAATGCTACCGGCGTGACGTATTTATGGTGCATCTTATGGATGTAGACGTAGATGCTTGGATGGTGCAGTGCGCGGTGGATGTAGTAGAAGGAGACTTCCCTTGCTAGGAGGCCGAACACGAAGTCGATGATGAAGTCTGTCCAGGGCGGTACGGTTGGATCCAGGTTCATAGTTGCGTGGTCTAGGCCGGTGAACCAGATCAGAAGGCCAGGGAGGGCTACTACCCAGACGTGGTTGAATAGTGTCACTTTGACGCAGTGCAGCACTTGCTGGCGAGTTGGTTGGCGGCGGGCATCTTGGATTTTGTGGCGCCGCGAGAATTTTGGGAATATGGTGTCGATCAAAATGTAGAGTGTTGCTGGGATGATGAATCCGATGACTTGGGTTAGAATCACCCCCGTCAGTTCGATTGTGCCTGGCTTGTATGTTGATATGATATGGCCCCAGGCGGCCTGCAGCTTGCCGTGGAGATCCATGGTGTTGTCTTGGAGTCTGATGTTGGAGGTAGCTGGCTGATCACCAGCTGTGCATGGATTTTTGGTCTAAGGTATAAAAACTTAATATATATTGTTACTGCTGCCACTATGACTTGGAAAATGGAGCTGTTCCGGGCTATCATTATCTAGCTGATAGAGCAACCCGGAGCGGACCCGAATAATGATATGACTCCTAACTAGAGCTTGCACATGTCTCCCCGGGACAGTCCCGGCATCAATCTAGGAGCCGTACTTAAACTTACCACGCCAGAGTCCACAGCTTGTAGACCAATTTGTAAACAGCCATGACTTCGAAATCTGAACCTCCGTCCTACAGCCAGATCGCCTGTGTTGGTGCAGGGCTATCAGCCGTGGCTCTGGGAGCAACGCTGAAGAGATGGTACGAACTGGAGGATATCCAGTTCTTCGAACGACATCCCAACAGTGGTGGAACATGGTACATCAACACCTATCCAGGTCCGAGTTCCTTACCCCCTAAAGCGAGCCACAGCTCACACCACCAGGATGTGCCTGCGACGTCCCAAGCGCGCTGTACAGCTTCTCCTTCGCTCTGAACCCCAACTGGACCAGGCTCATGCCCTCCAACACTGAAATCAAAGAGTACGTCGACAATGTAGTCGACACCTACAATCTCCGCCGCAAGATGACCTTCGGCACGGAAGTAGTCCGCAGTGTCTGGCGCGAGGATGCAAGTCGCTGGCTGTTATACCTCCGCGACCTGAGCTCAGGACGCGAATACACCCACGAGTGCCAGATCCTCTTCGCAGCAACAGGCCAGCTCGTCGAGCCGCGGCCGTGCGAGATCCCTGGCGCCGCGGACTTTCAGGGAAGTATCTTCCATTCAGCGCGGTGGGATCACAGCGTAGACCTGCAGGGGAAGAATGTCGTTGTAATCGGGAACGGCTGTACGTGTTTTCTTTACTCCTCAAGACAATATGGATCTGATTATACTAGGCACTGCGGCACAGATTGTGCCGGCCCTGGTCAACGATGCAAATATCAAGTCTCTCACGCAGATGATCCGGTCTAAGCACTGGATATTTCCTGCCCCGAACTTCACTTACCCGCGGGTTTTACAATGGATCTTCCGCTATGTTCCATTTGCCATGAAGCTGCATCGGCTTCATATCTTCTTGATCGCTGAGAATGATTTTCGCTTGTTTCCGATGACCAAGGGAGCAGCCAAACTGCGAGAGAAGAGGCGGGAGAAGGTTGAGAAATACATGCGCGAGGCAGGGCCAGAGAAATATCACGACCTCCTCATTCCGGACTTTGATGTAGGATGCAAGGTATGTCTATCCTTTGCATATGCTTACATACTTGAATAATGCTAACACGTGCAGAGGAGGATATTCGACCCCGGCTACCTGGACTGTCTACACAGCGACACAATCCGTCTAACTGACGCAAAAGCCGAACATATCACCGCAGACGGCATCAAAACAGACAAAGGCTTCGTTCCAGCGGACGTTATAATTCTCGCAACAGGCTTCCAGACAAACAAATTCATCCCGTACATGGACGTAGTGGGACGCCACGGCGAGAATGTATCACAACACTGGGCCAAGTATGACGGGCCAGCCGCCTACAACTGCTCTGTCCTGAGTGGCTTTCCGAATTTCTTCATGCTGCTGGGGCCTAATGCTGCTACCGGGCATACTTCGGCCATGATGGCTGCTGAGAAGTAGGCTACCCATTCTTTCCCATCTCACGACACGGTTAACCATCATATAGTTCAATTAACTACGCTCTCCGTGTTCTCAAGCCCGTTTTGAATGGTGACGCCGTGTCGGTTGATCTGAAGCCAAAAGCTGAGCATGACTACGTGTACTGGGTGCAGAAGGCATTGAATAACCGTGTCTGGAATGCGGGCTGTGTATCAGTAAGTGTAACCGTCCACCTGCCATTAACTATCTAACAATATAAATAGTGGTATCTGAATGATAAGAAATGGAACTCCATGTCCTATCCGTGGACACAAGGCCACTACTGGTGGAGGAGTCTCTTTCCCACCTGGTCTGATTGGAATATCAAAGTGAGTCTCCATGAGTCAATCGGAGGGTATCGTAACTAATACTGACTCTAAATAGAAAGCCGCCAAACCAGTATCGCGTCAATCGTGGAGGTTTGTGGTTATTGCTCTTCTTTGCATTGGTGCTTTGGGGATCACTCAGTACCTTCGCACTGATGTGTGTCTCGAGCTTGTTAAAACCTATTTCCCTAGGGTACGATCCAGTATATTGAGAAGGTAGCGGCAGCAATCAGCCGAGGTGTCATGTTTCTTATCATTTTATTGTGTCATATATTTCCTGCAATGTCGTTATTTATAGGGCTAGTGTATACTATGTAGCTTTTGTTGTTATCAAACTATTATTAAACGCGTAATCAGCAACATCGTTGATTCAGAACTCTCCTAATAAAGCCATGTATAATGGACTATTTGAGGTACAGGTATATAATTATAAAGTAGAGCTTCCACTAGTAGATCTAACTAACTCTTTACTATTACCCGAGAAGCGGACCACTCGACAGGTTGAAGAGGAATAGGTGCCATCTAGATATATTATATATTAGAACAAGTCTAAATTAACTACTAGAATAACTTCATTTATGCAGCCTGTGCTGTGCTACCTTGGAAGCAGTGATTCGCAGCCACCATACATTCTATTGCAAGCTCAACGAGGTAGTCAGCCACTTGTCCTGTAATATCTGCAATATCCAACCCTGATCTCTTATATATCGACCCGTCAAGCACGTCTGTAGTAAACGCACGCAGACTCAGCATAGGAGCCTTTCCAGACCACAACTCTCCGCGTCAAAAATAGCTCCTCGCCTAGCATTTCCACAGCCCATATCTACCGTGTGTAAGTTTCAATCGCCGGAAAAGCTTGACATGCGTACCTGCTCCGCTGTCCACCCAGAGTACACACTCCGGACAAGATCGTGAATGAAAACTTTATCCATCTCTGCATCTGAACCTGCAATTTCCGGCGTCATCACGACTTCCTCCCTCAATATAGATTCTGAATCTTTGGCCACCTTCGTGAAAGGGTCAACAAGAGGCTGGACCCGGTCATCCGCAACCCTGCGTCCGGGAATGTAGTGGCTGCGAATGATAACACGGCCGAACAGGGTATCGTCATGATGGAACTCAGTCCAAGTTAACGGGCGTTTCTCTGGCGCCCCTTGCAGTCCTCCAGTTAGTGCGGGCTCTAGCATCATCCACTCGGTCGGTGCCCAGGTCGGTCTGTCGCCGTCTATATCGGTTCCCTGTGTGATCTTCAATGTAGTCGTTGCCGCGGCGATCGCCTTTCTCATGATCCAGCTGATTCCTTGCTGATGCCGTTAGCTTTAGGCTCTATATGTAGCGAGATACTTACTAGTTTCAGAACTGCGTCGAGGTTGGTCGAGAGGTTTTTGTCCTGTTTCGATAAATGAGCCTGAGGCTAGCTCCATGACATTTGCAGTATGTTTACCATCACCCAGGCTCCGCTGATATTTCCAATCCTTGCACCCTGAGGAGTCTCTTTCGTCTTATCCATGGCGTCACTCACGGGTCAACATACACGAACAAAAGAACATACAAGACCCAAGTAGTCAGATAGAAATGCGGCTAAGCAATTTATTTCGGATACCAAGGATAGATATCTATAGCAGCTATCTACTGCCCAATCACAGAGACGACCGTTAATACTCGGGTCCTTCCGGCTGTCAGGGTGATGGGTCTGTCATATGCAAATATCCGGATGCATTCCGGGCTCAACCCGGAACGATCACGAAGTGAACTCCCGGGAGTACAAGACTGCAGATACCTACTATATAATGTTGTGTGGTAACCACCTCGTATAAAACGCAGGAAGTACATGATTCCTGACCATTGCCGGTTCTTCCCCGGGAATACGAGCACAATGGCCAAACGCCTCCTCCCCCGTGAAGGCCTCTACATCGATCCCATAGTATCAGGCCTACGAAGGTCCATCTTCCATCCACTCTTCACATTATCGTGCCTACACCTAGCGGGAAGATTCAGCTCCCTCGCGCCATATGGGAATCTCGTCCAAATCACCGCAGCAGCCAGTGTCCTCCTCTGGCTCAACGATTTGCTTAGCACCAAAAGTCGCAATAACTGGGCTACAGACGATACATGGGACTGGAAGAAAGAGTTGGTCGTGGTGACTGGAGGGAGCGGCGGTATTGGGGCTGGAGTTGCTCAGCGTCTTGCTGCCCTGGGTTCGCGTGTTGTCGTGCTGGATATCATACCTTTAACTTATAAACCTGGTAAGGAATATTATCTTTTTGCTTGTTAGGCGTTGCTAAGGCTAAAACGCAGAGAATAAACGAATCTTATACCACAAATGCGATCTAAGCGATGAGAAAGAAATCGCAGCTATTTGCCACAAGATCAGAGCTGAAATCGGCGATCCAACTGTCCTAGGTCAGCATAAGACTCTCAATGATATATTAGTACCCACTGACGGCGCAGTCAACAATGCTGGTCTATCGCGCGGACGGACCGTAGTCGAGAGTACTTACCACGACAACAGTATAACCCTAAAAACGAACCTGCTGGCGCCATTTTTCCTATCCAAAGAGTTTCTCCCCGCTATGATCCAGCGAAATCACGGACATATCTTTAATGTCGCCTCGATGAGTGCTTATATCCCACCGGCCGGGCTTGCTGATTACGCGGCGTCGAAGGCTGGGTTGATTGCGTTTCACGAGGTATGTCAGTCAGTCTATATTACAAATCCCAGCTACTGATCTTTTACTCGAATAGTGCCTCATGCAAGAACTCCGAGCCCAGAATGCTCCTAAAGTCCGCACCTCTCTCGCCGTGCTGAGCTTCACCAAGACGCCGCTGTTCAAGGGCGAGACGAACCAGTCTCGGTTCCTGATGCCTCTTTTGCATGTTGATACTGTTGTGGATGCCATTGTCGATATACTTACCAGCGGTCTCAGTCAAACAGTGTTTCTCCCGGGGATATTTGGCTTTTTTTCTGGATTGGTGAGTCATACCTTCACTGATGCAGGATTCTTGCTGAAACTTGGGTGTACAGCGAGGAATGCCGGATTGGGTCCAGGATCTTGTCCGCGGTGGCACGAAATCTTTGAAAGTGGATTTTAAAGGGCGACAGGAGATAGATCCACAGACTGGGAGGCTCGTTGACGGTTTAAATAGATGATTTACTGATGGTCCATTACCTTTGACTTATAGTATAATCTCCGTCCAGGAGGAGATTGATATCTCTACAGCTGGAAAATCTCACTAATTTATTTAAATTGTGGGTTTAATAAAATTATATGCGTAACATTTAATTCCCAAAGGATGGCGAAAGCAGAGTAATTGTATTATTAAAGGAAGGTGTCTATTACTAGTAGGGCAGTGCTAGCTCTTAGTAAGATATTCTACTATGAATTATATAATACTAGTAAGTATAGTTATGTCTACTAGGCCTTAATATGTTTTAATAATCCCCGCTAGTTATTGATTATGGGTATATTATATCATACACAAGTCACTCGGTGCTCGATAAAACCCAGTATAGGTAGCTTATTCCTTGACAGTAGTGGCGGGCTAACCACGTTACAGGAGTACAGCGCAAGCCTGCCTAGAAACCAGTCCTTACTCCTGTGGTACCGTAGGCACACCGTAGGGAGGATGTTGAGTTATAGTACTTCCATGTACTGTCCTGTAGCTTCAGGCAAGACCAATCTTCAAGGCACCTTGATATCTCTGTGTCTTCAGTAGCTATTATTAGTCTACAAGCAGGTGTCCTGCTGCAAGGGCAGTTTCAATACAGATGGCGCTAAGGTGAGGTCGTGCTAGTCTGGTACATCTTATATTCCACGAATTACCATCTACTCTCCCCCATTCCGACGCTATCCCCGGTTAGACCTCGTGATGCGGGTGACTTTGTTATCACAGTAACTAGTATGCCAGATATACTTATCAGCCAGCTCGAGGCCAGTCGGAAGCGTAGCAAGTGGTTCAGTTCATTAGACTGAGGACTCTCACGGCTAGACATTCTATCCTATCCCTTCATGGTTACCCTCTGAGAAGGCTATGTTGTAGATGGGGCCATCGTCATGACAATCAGGCAGGTGAGGAATTATCTAATAGATAGCAGATAACTAGGACCAGTTACCGAGCTCCAGATCCACTGGATGAACTGATGGTATCACTCCACCAGGAGAGAATCTCAGTGGATCAGGACGCAATGCCCACTGACTCGGGGGAACGTCAACGCTACGCCGATATTACAGTACCAATCGCCCAGCACTCGGGCCCCGGAGGGTCAGTATCTACACCCGTTGGCCCGAGCAGCCCCATCAGATACCGACTGCGCGGTCAGCCTGGCATTCCCCTTGCATTTCCCATGACGGACTTGGTAGATCGCCCTGCTGCACGGGCTGAAACAAGGGATGGCCATGATTGGAGACTGCATCTCGCCACCCGCCGAACTTTGAGGATTAGCGTCTGGGATAGAGGCTGCCTGGGGGAGTGGAGACAGGGGGAGTCTTTTTTCTGTATGGAGGATGAACCCTACAAAAGCCCGAGAGTGGGCTGGCTTAAGATAAGCTTAATTTTACGTTGTTTGTGATTGCTCATCCAAGCTTGCTGTAGGTGTATACAGATCAGTCTATGGTGTTTACCAAACCGGACAGGCGCGGATATACGCGGGACACTTGCGGTCACGTGGATATTAGTATGAGTAACTAAAGAATTAAAAGATGAAGGAAGAAGGAAGAAGAGAACTTGGGAGCGCTGTTGGAGACGTGGGATCGCTCGGGCGGAACACTGCAGGAATGCAGTTTTTGCGAGCTCACGAGACATCCAGACGGCCTCCAGTGACGTATCCGTGCAGGGTGCTCTGACAATCCATGCGGGATGGACGAGGGTGTCGCGTCCAGCGGACTGTGCCGCAAACCCGTATGACGTGAGAAGGGCGGGATCAGAGAGGGGAAGCAAAACGGCCATGCTGGAACAGGTAAATAGGACGAGACATCGGCCTGGGATCGGTGAAGATCAGGCCAACGAAGGGCGCAGGATAAATATCCAGCAACGAGTGCCAACGAAGAGAGGCCGCGAGGTTGCGATCGGCCGGTGGATCGGAGGGCAGGGTCTGATGACGAATACTGGACCCTCGCACGGTACTACGATCAGTCATTCCGCATACCTTAGCTAACAAGTTGTCAGTGAAAAATCAGAATCCGATGCAGCCGGATATCCGGCTTATTGAAGCCGGAGGCTGTCAGACCGGGGCGGCACCAGCCGGAGAGAAATGCCCGAATGGGGGCAGATTAATAATGGACAAAGGCTTTAAGACGGGGCCTGGAAGGACTAGAACTGGAACTGGAACTGGAACTGCACGCATGGTACGCCGTTCGCGCCGTTCAAGCCGACCCGGCGCATCCCTATAGGGCAAGGGGGGTGACGATGCCGGCGCACTGGCCAATGGAGTCTGACGCCATTGATGATCAAGCATCGCGAGATGCGTCATTCTTCTGCCGAGACTGTTGGATGTGTAGTAGATGTAGTGTAGAGTAGGCCGTAGAGTAGGCCGTAGAGTGTAGATATAGATGTAGAGAGAGAGACTGCAAGTATACTCTCGTTCTCGCAGTATAATCAATAGTATAATAGTATATTCAAGTATATTCATCCGACTGTTCCGGTACCAGATCTGGAGCCCACTCATGCCACCAACCACCCTCTACGACTCTAACTCCCCCGGGCAGTCAGACGGCAAATCAATATAACTCGCTCTTGGAGACCCCCGACGCACGGAGAACAAACTGGAGCTCGAAAAATAAATCCCCTTCTGGTATTTTTGGCGCACTAGGGCCGTCTATAAATTGGGCCCTGGCCCGCCTCGTCCGTCTGGCGCCTGCTTTTCCATGCGATTGCTTGACATGATATTCTCCGTCTCGACATAGCTGTAGCTGTATTCTCCTCACTGTCATCATTCTCGGTCATTCTCGCTGAGAAACTACCACCAAGTGACCAAACGGCATCTTGTATAATGGCCCAACTCGCATCGCACCGCTCCGGGCGCAGCTCCGAGAGCTCAGTCGACGTCGTCGCGACCGAAAAGCAAAAGCTTGCATCCGTGCAGCTGTCGCAAGAAAACATCAACGGGCTGCCGGACCTGCGCAACTCCGCCTCCCCCAAACGCTGGAAGACCTTCTGGAAGTCCTTCCGCTACCTGCAGCACCTCACCCCGAAACAGGTCGACGACTTCATGGCCTCGTACGTCATCTACAACCTCGACTGGTCGGACGAGCAGGAAATGGTGCGCGTCCTGGGCGCCAACTACCAGGAAAAAGTCGGCGACTGTCTGCAGGCGTACTATGGCGTGCTCAACCACTTGTGCGCGCTGGGCGATGTCGAGAAAATGTATATCCCCCCGTTTATGAGCGCGCGCGCGACCGTCCTCGAGAACCAGCTGCTGTACGAGGAGTCGATTGCGCACGACATTGGGCTGAACAGCGGAGATCGGGTGTTGGATCTGGGCTGTGGGCGCGGGCGCGTCGCGGCGCATATGGCGCAGTATTCCGGCGCAAAGGTAACAGGGCTGAATATCGATCCGAACCAGGTGGCGCAGGCGACCAAGTTCAATGAGGAGATGGGGTTCGGCGAGACGAATGAGTTTGTCGTGCAGGACTTTAATGCGCTGCCGCTGCCCTTTGACGATGCGAGCTTCGATGCCTTCTACCAGATCCAGGCGCTGAGTCTGTGTAAGGACCTCGGTGCGTTATTCCGCGAGATCTACCGGGTGACGAAGCCGGGGGCTAGGATCTCGCTGCTTGACTGGGTCAGTCTGCCCCGGTATGACGGCGCGAACGAAGAGCATGCCGAGCTGATGCGGCGCGTGAAGCCGTTGATTGGGGCTGTGGGCACGCCGACGCCAGAGATCCTCGAGACGGCGCTGCAGGAGGCCGGGTTCACGGTGCTGCGGTCGGATAATGCCAGCGTGGGCGACCTGCAGGCGCCGCTGATTGACAAGGTGGACTTGTACTTCCGGTCGATGCGCCAGGTGATTCTGGGGCTGGTCAAGACGCATGTCCTGCCCAAGCACTTCAAGACGCTCATCAACCGGCTGTGTCTGGATGGGCAGGCGTTTGTCAAGATGGACAAGCTGCGTCTGATCACGACGAGTTATCGCATCATTGCGCAGAAGCCAACCTGATGCCAGAGACGCATCTCTGCTGCTGCTGCTGCTGCTTTTGCTAGAGCTGTCTTTAAGCCGGAGTTGGTTTGCATCTTTATTGTTTTCATTTTTTCATTTCGTGTTTTGTTGTAGGATACCCGGTTGGGTGGGCGTCCATATGTCCATAGAGGCGTATATAGAATTGATTCTCCCAACTTTCCCCGACTGACTCTTAACTGAATCATGCAATAAGCGTTAGCGCACTGGCCAGCCTGACAGCAAGGGACTTGATAAGTTAGTTCGTGCCCCACAGGCTTCGATCGCAGCCATCCGTTTGCGCACGTTGCCATCCTGTGGCCTGGATCCAGCTTCATCCACCGTAATTCCACCGTAATTCCACCAAATGGCGTCTCTATCTTGATAATGCCGTCCCTGGTTCCTAGCTTGTCTCGGCCCAGCAGCCTCTGCCTCCGTGGGGATGCTTGCAGGAATTGGGCGGTACTTAGGCCCTGGGTAGCCACCTAGAGTTCTCTGTCAACTGTATCTGACTGACATGCTTGCTCACTGCTCTGTCGCCGATCTGCCTGATCCGCACGATCGTCGAGTTCCTCGCTGCTGGAACCTTGTTGAGTGAACTCTGCCTCCTGCCACCATGAATCCGTTCTCTCACCAAGAGGCGGACGACTGGCCCCTCCCTGCCAGTCGACGAGAGAGCACCGTCTCGTCCTCAACGCGCTCATCTGGCTCTCTCAGCTTCGTCTCCTCGCCTCCTTTCTCGCCCTCGCTCAGTCCGTCAACATATTCCACGCCCGGGTCGCGACCGCGGGAGGGCTCCGTCAACGATGAAGTCGCCCGCCTGCCCCTCAATCCGGCTGTCACAGTGTATGCCTCCCTCCTTTCCTGTCTTTTCATGCACACAGCTAATGGAGTAGGTCGTTTGTCCGGAGCAATCGGCTGTTCAAGCTGCGGTACTCGTTTATCAACATCCGCAAGGACTTTACCGGCGCGCTGAAGTGCCTCGAGCTGGGCGGCGCCGTCGGGCAACAGAATGCCTTTCTACACAGCTGTAACTTCTCCCTCTTTTCATTTACATCTTCATCTTCAGCTAATTAGATAGTCAATACAACCCGCCTCCCCGTCCCGCACCTCGAACACCCCAAAATCGGCACCGAGCCGTCGCTACGCATCTCCTTCCTCGAGGAACAGACCGTCCAGACCGGCACAACCGTCTTCGCAACCCAAATCTCCTACACTTTCGAAGACTGGACCGACTGCCTGCAGTTCCAGGAACTCATCCTCGCCTCAAAGCTGGCCTTCATCGCCGGCATCGCAGAGGCCAAGTCCAAAGGCCGGGGCGAGGAATGCATCAGCCAGAACCTGCGCATTCTGCGCGGGAATAGCGGCAAGCTGGTGATGCTCTTCTTTGCGAATTCGCAGCGCAGGGAGCGTAAGCGATACGTGTCTATTCCACGTATGCCTCCATATTGCTCATAATTTGTTCATCGCTGACTCCCCCAGTCAGCTGCATTGACAGCGTCACCCCTGGCAAGAACTCCCGCCGGCCGGTGGTTCTCCAGCTGCAGCCCAACTTCGACCATCTGGCGGTGATGAAGACGCTGCAGATCCAGTTTCTAGACAGCGATGGTACGTTATTCCCTATCTTCAGCTACAACGGACAATTGACTAACTGCTGTAGATCAAAAAGCGTTTGTTGAATTCCTGGCAGCAAATAGCCGGTGACTGCTCCTTTCCTTCATTTCTTCTTGTTTCACTGTTAGATTAGCATGGATACCAGGATCGGTTTCGGGTTGATGGCATGGGCGTTCTTTACTGTATTATTCTCTATACCTAATGAGATGACGATGTGAATCACGGCATGAGATTCTTCCACTTTCTCTTTTTTTTTTAACTTTCTCGCACCAACTTGGAAGATCCCAAAGTCATCGGTAAAACCTGAAAACGTGGGATGCGGCGCAGCTCGGATAAAAACAATAAAACCGCAGGCGACAGCTGAGGGCAAATCACAGCACAAACATCGCGATCACCGAGTGTGACAGTGGAGTGGCGGCACAGATGAAGATAGAAGCAGCAGCGTCTCTGAGTGCTCTGGCGCCGCACGTGGGGCGAGAATTGGTTCCTGTTTCTGCGTCAACAAACACTCCACCCCGGGAGCTACTTTAGTCTGTTTCCACGCCCAATGACACTCTCCATCCTGCCACGAGCTTCATCCTACACACTGCACTGCAGTGAGTGCCCCGCGCATCGCCTTCCATTGCAAGCCCATCGACTGGTCTTGCACGGCCAGCCCACGCCCTGGCTGGGCCGGTTTATGTGCGGCGCTCCGGCCATGTGCTCGCTGCTCGTGGGCTGACCCGCTTGACCGACACTGACTGACACTGACTGACACTGACTGACACCTTCGACCCTCCTTCGAGAAGTCTCTTCCACTCTGGTTCTTGCCGTCGTGGCATACTTGGCTGTGATGCTTCGCTAGACAAGACTCTTATCCTTGGACTCATCTCTTGGAGCATCTCTTGGAAGCATTCTTGGACGCTGGGCGCTCAGGCACCATGAGTAAATTCCGCTCCAGACTGTACAAGACCGACCGGGCGCGGGACTTTGAGCATGAGCAGGTAGGCTTCTCACTTTGACCTCAGAGAATGGACTGACAGAATAGGACCGCCATGTTCGCACTCGCCAGATCTACGAGACCATCGACCGCCAGTCGTTCCAGTGGGTTGTTGTCCTGGTCGCTGGCGTTGGCTTCTTCCTCGATGGATATACAGTAAGACTCTAAGGCTCCTCATCATAGTCATTGATCAATCCATACTGATCTATCGGAGCTCTTCGCAAGCAACATCGCCCTCCCCATGATTGCCTACGTCTACTGGCACGACGACCCCTCCTCCTTCCGCCTGACCTGCATCAATATCGCTACGCTCGGCGGAACCCTGCTCGGCCAGGTGCTGTTCGGGTACCTGGCGGACCGCAATGGGCGGAAGAAGATGTACGGCGTAGAACTGGCACTGCTGATCACGTCGACGCTGGGCGTGGCCATGTCGTCGAATGGCGAGCATGGCAGTATGAGCGTCGTTGCGTGGCTGATCTGGTGGAGGATTATTGTCGGCATTGGGGTTGGCGCGGACTATCCGCTCAGTGCTGTCATTACATCTGAGTATGTCTTCGTACGTGCTTTTTTTAAATGATATATATACTAATTTAATATAGGTTTGCTCCCACTCGCCATCGAGCTCGCATGATGGCGGCCGTCTTCTTCATGCAGCCCCTCGGCCAGATTGCAGGCAACCTGGTCTCGCTCGTCGTCGTCGTCGTCAGCAAGAGACAGGGCTTCGACGACATCTCCCGCACCGTCGACATCATGTGGCGCTGGGTCGTGGGCATCGGGGTTGTTCCTGGGGTCATTGCGACTCTGTTCCGGTTCTTCATCCCCGAGAGTCCTCGCTTCCTGCTCGAGATCGACGACGACCCGGTCCAGGCCGAGTTCGATGCCACTACGCTCTTCAGTGACCCCGGCTCACCCGACATCGACGACAACCTCAACAACCCTTTTAATAACATCAACCTCATTGCCCCCTGGAACGAGATCGCCCTGCCCTCGCCTGCCCTCTCTGCCTCGCAGCAACCCCCCGGCACAACCACCTCCGTCGCCATGACCCTGCACTCCATCGACGAACACTCCAGCTCGGCCGCCTCATACCGCTCCAACTCCCACGCCCAGTTCATCCAACCCGCAACCCTCAACTCCCACTGGCGCCTCACCCACCAAGACATCATCCAGTTCTTCTGGACAGAGGGCAACTGGCGCACCCTCGCCGCCACCTCCCTCTCCTGGCTCCTCCTCGACTTCGGCTTCTACGGCATCGGCCTCTCCTCGCCCCAATTCCTCGCAAAAACCTGGGCCTCGCTCAACCTCTCCGGCCCCGCCCCGCCCTGGATGACAGACGACACAGGCAACACAGACATCTACACCATGTTCCAAGACACCTCTACCCACTGCCTCATCATCCTCAACACCGGCTCCTTCGTCGGCGGCATCCTCCTCCTCCTCGTCATCCACAAACTCGACCGCGTCGCCCTCCAGAAATACGGCTTCCTCGCCCTCGCCGCACACTTCATCGCCCTCGGCACCATGTTCATCACAGTCCACAAAGAGGGACCCGTCGCTGTGGTCCTCTACGTCATCGGCCAGATCTTATTCAACTTCGGCCCAAATGCAACAACATACATCATCCCCGCTGAAATCTTCCCAACCCGGTACCGCGCAACATGCCACGGCATCAGCGCGGGCGCTGGCAAACTCGGCTCCATCCTCATCCAGGTCTTCTCGGCATATTACAAGTTCGGGACAGGGCCGGGCAATGACCAGACTATTCGCCATGGGTGGATGTTGATTGTGTTTAGTGCTTGCATGGTGATAGGGGCTGCGGTGACGCATTTCTGGATCCCGCCGAGTCAGAGGGGGAAGGATGGGAGGGGGAAGTTTTGGGGCGGACGTCCGGAGACGTTGGAGACGTTGGGGTTTGGGAGGAGGGGGTGGAAGAGTCGGTTTGCTGGTGTGCGGAGGTGATCTGCCAGGTTTTTTATATATGTTTCTTGTTTGGGTGGTGGTTTGATTAGATAGATAGATACCCTTATATAAGACCGCTAGGTCTGTTGCCTCAACTTGGAGTATAAATGAGTATTATGATGAAAAAAAAATAAAAATAGACATATTTTTCCCAGACGAAAAAAAATCCCAGACGAAAAAAGAGTGCATCATCCGTGAATCGAACACGGGCCTCATCGATGGCAACGATGAATTCTACCACTAGACCAATGATGCTAGTTGTTGTTTTTCGGCCCGCTTTTGACATCACATTCCAAACGTCTTTCTCCTGTCGTTCAGTGTGGGAAGTTGTACGCTTGTTTGTTTACTCCAGCTGCCTCACAATGGGCTTTTATTTCATGGTTGAAAAGTCTCTATCGAGATTACTTAGTAAATCAAAAAATAAGAAACAAATGAGAATGGTCGTGGTTGAATTTATATGACTTACTGTCGATTACGATGATATATATATAGACCATTAGCAGTGGAAGATTGTGGTCTTATTTTTGCTGTGTAAGGTGACAGAGGTTAATGAATCTTATTGCGTACCGGTATGATACAAGGAGAGGATGGTATATATAACTTCATACACCTGGTCCTGTTGAGGCCACTCGGTGTCGAGGGATGGGATACGTATACTGCAAACATCTGAAAGTTCACAACCAGGCTGCCACCTTGAATAGTTTCTCAAAAAACAAAAACAAAACAAACAAACAATTCGAGTCTGCAAACATAGGAGACAGCTGGTCCTTGTGATGTAAGGAACGAGATGGCCCGTCCTATTGGCAGCACCCTTCCTGTCCATCGGGAGATTGAACCGGAATTTGTTCCCGATCAAGTAAAGCCCAAGGCAGCTGGAGAGTTATAGGTGCACAGTACGTAGCCCATGTATAGATGCCTGACTGACTCCATATTCCCAAATGGGACGCGGGCGCAGTGAGGGCTGTGCAAGGACCACTGGCGCCCATTCCACGTCTCCACGGCCACCATCTCAGATGTGGAGAAGGCAATGAACACGCCTGTCAGCACAGGGTTCGGGCAACCTCTGGATGGGAAACTGGTCAGGTAGCTGGAGATGTAGACCCCATATTCCTGAAGCGACAGTATACAACTCCCTCTGATCAGATTGTACTTGCGGCCTGGTATGATTGAATCATAGAAGCAAGCAGCGGCCAAGATTACGATCAGCAGTATACAGCTTCACATCAACACCGATGATGATCCAGCTGCATGATACCGGGGAAAGTCCGAGCTGGCTGTATAGAAGCCTGATTGGCGGTTGTCCTGGCAGCTGTCCTGGAGGCACAGGCGGGGAAGTGAGGGGTTGACAACACAGTCAACCTTCTCTTCCCTTCTCCCTCCGTCCTTCTTTCATCTCACCATCAACTGCAGAGAACAATGGCATCCGCCTCCAAGATCGAGCCCGGCTCATTCAACACCCCCGTCGGGACCTTCCCGGCAACTTGCACCTCCACAAACATCGACGCCCACGCCGTCGCCACAACAGCCCTCAACGCCCTCAACACCGCCCTCTCCCAGAATGACATCCCAGCCATCACCTCCCTCTTCCTCGAAGACAACTCCTTCTGGCGCGACCACCTCTGTCTATCCTGGGACTTCCGAACCGCCCAAGGCCGCGACAAGATCGGCTCATTACTAACCTCCGCATCATCACTAAAGAGCATCAAGCTCGACATCGACAAGAGCACGCCCTTCCGCGCCCCGCAAGTTGGCGCCATCGACGCCCTCGGCGAGGTCTTCGGCGTACAGTTCTTCATCACGGTTCAAACGGCATTCGGAACCGGCCGCGGCGTCGTGAGACTCGCCGAGAAGGGCGCGGGGAAGTGGTTCATCTACACCCTCTACACGGTGCTGCAATCGCTAAGCGGGCACGAAGAGAAAGTCCGCGAGCGACGACCATTTGGCGCAACGCACGGCGAGGTCGCTGATCGACGGAACTGGCAGGACCGGCGCAATGCAGAGCAGAATCTCTCTGACGAGCAGGCCCAGCCTGCTGTTGTGATTGTGGGCGCGGGTCAGTCGGGACTGTCGATTGCGGCGCGGCTGAAGATGCTTGGTGTGGATGCGTTGGTTATTGACGAGGAGGAACGTATTGGTGATAATTGGCGGCGTAGGTATCATCAGCTTGTGCTCCATGACCCTGTCTGGTTTGATCATATGCCGTATCTGCCGTTCCCGTCGAATTGGCCGGTGTTTACGCCCAAGGATAAACTGGCGGAGTTCTTTGAGTGCTATGCAAAGATTCTAGAGTTGAATGTCTGGACGGGGTCGAGTATCAAAAAGTCAAACTGGAGTGACAACGACAAAATCTGGACAGTGGAAGTTACGAGAAAGAAGGACGATGGAGGCAGCGAGACGAGAGTCTTGCGCCCACGCCACGTTATCCAGGCAACCGGACACTCCGGGAAGAAGAACCTCCCGACATTCAAAGGCGTCGAGTCCTTCACGGGAAGCCGAATCTGCCACAGCTCCGAATTCCACGGCGCCGCAGCAGACGGACAGGGGAAGAAAGCTGTTGTGGTAGGCTCCTGCAATTCCGCACACGACATTGCGCAGGATTACTACGAAAAGGGATACAATGTAACGATGGTGCAGCGCTCATCGACCTGCGTAATTTCATCCGACGCCATCGTCAATATCGCACTAAAGGGTCTCTACGAGGAGAATGGCCCGCCGGTAGACGACTCCGATATCTTCCTCTACAGCATCCCCAGCCCTCAGTTCAAAGCGCAGCAAATCAAAATCACTGCAGTTTCAAACGAGCACGACAAGGAACTACTCGACGGTCTGGCCAAGGCTGGATTCAAAGTCGACCGCGGACCTGACGATGCCGGGTTGCTGCTAAAATACTGGCAGCGCGGCGGCGGATACACGATTGAAGTCGGTGCCGGGAAGCTCATTGCCGAGGGCAAGATCAAGGTGAAGCAGGGCCAGGAAATCAGCGAGGTGGTTCCGCATGGGATCCGGTTCGCTGATGGTTCGGAGTTGGAGGCAAGCGAGATTATCTTTGCCACGGGGTACCAGAACATGCGAACGCAGACGCGGATTATATTCGGCGACGAGGTCGCGAACCGCGTGAATAGCGTCTGGGGGCTGGACGAGGAGGGCGAGCCGAGGACGATCTGGCGGCGTAGTGGGCATCCTGGGTTCTGGTTTATGGGCGGGAATCTGGCGCTGTGTCGGTATTACTCGCAGTTGCTGGCGTTGCAGATTCTTGCTGTGGAGAGGGGACTAAACTCTTAATTTACAGCCAGCCAGATTGAGTCTGGTTTAGATAGATTGCAATAGTAACAATAACAACATAATCATTCTGGGTATTCACCTATACTCCGGGTATACGCTCAACAAACAAGCCACAAGAATCTATAGAAGAGGAGCCGCACGACTAACCAACCCACTCAGCCTCCCTGGCAACCCAAACCGCCATCGTCAGAATCAAAGTGTACAGCCCCGCACCGTCGTCGATCATCAACGCCCCCAGCTCGCCCTGCCAGCCCTCAAGCCCACCAACATGGATGCCACGCCGAGACAACTGCGCCAGCCAAGGCCGCTTCAATGACGTCGTCTCACCCCCGGACTCACATACCCCGAGGACAAACCGCTCGCCGTCATCTTTCTCCGCGGTTACTGGACCCGACCGCGACGGAGGCCGCCTCTCCCAGTCAAACACTACCACCCCCTTGTCGTCTCGGAACCGATACCGTCCTGGCGCAGGCGAACTCGCCTCCCACGACCATCCACACAGCGGGAAGAACAGCTCTGCATGTGGCGCCTCGGCGCCTTTTGCTTTGGGTTTCGGCGAGGTATGAATCACAGCTACGACGTCATTCTCCTCCTCGTCTTCGTTCTCCTCAGACGACGCAGACGCAGATGCATATGCTGAGTCCTTGCTCGCCTTCCGCCGCCGCGGCGATCTGAATCTCGCTTTCCATTCGCTGCTGCTACCACCACCACCGCTAACAGGTTCTCCTCCTTCCTCGCCAGAGACGGAGCTCGCCCCGGATCTCGACGCCCCCGAGCACGAGCGTGGTTTTGTCGCGTGCCCGTTTCCAGGCGGGGTTAGGAGGCCGTTCGAGTGCACACTGGAGCGTCCATTGCTTTTACTTCGATTCCGGTTCCGGAGGTGCGTGTACGGTTCGCTCTGCGTGAGGTATAGATCGCGGCCGTGGACTTTGCGGGACTTATTCTCGTTGTGCAGCGGGATTGACTTGCCGAATGAAGAGGGGCGGTAGAGTTCTAGGATTGGGGTTACGCGCGGCGTGGAGGATGTTTGCTGCAGTTGTTGGATCTGGAGGAGGCGGCGGGTGGATAGACGGAGGTATTGTCGGGATTTCTTCGCCTTGCTGGAATTTTTGGGGGGTGGGTGGGCGAAGGGGAAGGTTTCGCCGTGGGGACTGTAGGGCGTTAGTTAGTATTGTGGAAATCGAGGGCGAGTGTAGATTGTAGACGAACCCCTGCGACGAGCTTGCGTCGGAATTTCCGCGTCTCGATCTGCTCATGTTGACGATTTGCCGAACCGCAGAGATTGATTTGAACAATGGTAAACTCTGAGCTAAGGAGGTAAACGGCGACTATATAGGCTCTACAGTCATAAGCCTCATCAAGCCTGGGGCCAGGGCGCAGCACAGCCAGCCGATCAGGCGAACGACAAATTAGAGTCTGGCGCAAAATATGATGGACCCGAACTCAGCCTTACGAGCACACCAATGGGTCATATCGTAACGGGGCGACGGACGTGCCCTTTATATGTCCACTTCCACAATCCAAGTCTACCGGTTTTTCCTTCGTTCCCATGGCTCCTTCGACCGGTGAAAGTGTCGACTGGAGCTTGCAAATGGGAATAGAAACATCGCAGCCTAGCTTCCTTACGGAGCAAGCAGTGATGGCGATCAGAAGCGCACTTGAGACAGCGGGTCCGTGTCGACCGGACTCCGAGCCCTGATGATCGGTGCCAAACGAACGAAAGGAGAAGGCGTCTCGTAGACTAAGCAGCACTAACCACGGCGCTATGCGTGAAACTGGAATGGGGCGAGCTCAGCTCGTATTCGTGTTGGCACAGCGGAGGCTGTCATTGGGCCGCTGGTAAGTTTGATCGAGCTTGTCGTTTGTCCGCTTCTTTTTTTGCGTTTTCGTTTCATTTCCTTTTTTTGGGGCTCTCGCTCTCGCTTTCGTTTCTCCGGTTTGGGAATCTGGCTTATCATTGGCATTGACCATTGACTTTGAGGTTCTGCCTGCTGTGTTGTCTAGCCCTGTGGGTCGATCGGGATACGAGTACGACTACGGAGTCTTTGGCTATTTGACACCTGGAACGTGACGCCAAATTGAGGGGCACGAGCAGTTTCATGTGGAATTGAGATTGATCATTCATATTCATATTTTGTGCCTGAGGCCGAATAGAATGAGTGGGTCAAGTACAAAAATAATACAGCGGCAGATGCTGTCAGCAGCACAGCCTTCAGCTTCAGGCCTGGATAACTCGGGGCCAAAATCGGACCCGGTCACGGTCGCGGACTCGGCCACCGTCCGTCTACCGGCCGTAAGCACAAGTCTTTGCCTGCCCGTCCGTCATCCAACGGCTCGATGGTTATTCCTCGGTGTCGCGCCCCTTCATACAGCCGTTCGCACGCAGCCCACGCCTGGAGGAGATCCTCCTCCGGTGCATCTGCTAACTCCTTACTGTACTTCCCCTGTTCATAGTCCATGTCAAGCACAAAGGCCAGCCGCTGCAGCTTGGGGAGGAAAGTGTCTGAGCTAAAGGCCGTCACCCACTCCTCCCACCGGTCCGACCGGCAGAGCGAAACGGGGCCGCGAAAATGCAGCGTTGTGAGATTCGGCGGGAGACTGGTATATAGAGCCGGGAGTGTTGTCTCCTCGTTGAAGACCTCTCCAACGCTGAGCTTCAAGGTCTGTAAATCTGTAAGCTGCGGGAGAACCTCTGCGAAGCAGCCCTCTTCAGCCCACGAGAATTCGGGCCGGCCCGAGGTCGAACACAGGTTGAGTGTTGAGACCTTCTCGACGACGTGCGGTATCGCAGCGCACATGCGGAGGAATGTGTCGAGGGCGTCGTTCTCGATGATCTCGAGCGTGCGTAGACGGCTCTCCTGGCCCTCCACGGGTCGGTTTTCCGGCTCGAGCTCTGCGTTTGCAGAGCGGTCTCCGTACTTCTGGGCTATCCACTGCTTCCCGAGCTGGCTTATGTATATCACCTTAATTTTGCTACCAGGTATGTATTCGTGGTTGGCTTCGCCGCGATTGATCGCTTCTTGGTATGCGCGAGTCAGCTCGTCAGACCGGGGACCCTCGAATCGCAGCTCAGATGTGAAATCCAGGATAAGGTGCTTGACTCGGCCCTGTAAGATGTGCGGCGACTTGGTGACCTCTCCGCAGGCGCCGGAGATCATCAGGCGATCGAGTGGCCAGTGAAGGGGCATCATCCTGTCATTGAGGTCTTCGTTAAAGCCAGTGTCGATCTCCAGATCGCGCACGCCAGTGAAGTGGTCGCTGAGGAGGGCCCATTCTGTATCGGACGGGGGATCATCCCGGATGGTCAGAAGGGGAGCATCTCTGGGGAGAGTTCTGAGTTGAGCAAGCAGAGGCTCGCGATGGTCTGCAGCAGCCTCGTTCTCGACGTGAGGACCCTGGACAGTGACTGTGAGGCGAGCCATAGCCGACAAACAGCGGAACCGTGGCTGGCCGCCGATCGCTCGTCGCAGGGGACTAAGGGTGGAGATGCGACGCAGAGCGTTCTGAAGAAATTAGGACTGGCACTTGGTTCGGAACTAAGGATCATTTCCGCTCAATCGACAGAATCGCTCACCATCCTCGTGGCACTGGCAGCGGCTTTCCTTGGGCAGCCGCTCTCACGATTCGCGTGGAGTAACACATTTGACCTGCGCTGGCCCCTTTCCACAGCGAATCTGTCAGACGCTGAGAGCTTGTTGGGTGGCTCATCCGTGGCTTATGAATTCCAATTCGCAGCGTCCAATCGCAGCCAAGAACTGTCGACATCGCCTGGCCAACCAGCACCGCGAACTTGCGAGCTAACGGTGAGACTCTCCGCGATCCCTGTCAGTGTCCACCGACGGGCGCTTCTGCCAGAGAAGCGATCAGAGAGCAGAGTGCAGAATTGAGCCTCTCTGAGACTGCGTGAGGAGGCTCGTCTGGAATGCCAACAAGGGCAAACACGACGATCCGTTAGAGAAATGGAAGAATTCTCCGCAGTCCAGCCGTGTCGCGACTCGTGCAGAGTCTCGAGTGAAAGTGCAGAGCGCAGGATTTAGCAGCGTGAAGCTTAGCGCAGAGGGACAGTGCAGAAAGTACAAGCAAGGCGCCGCTCAGCCTTCGTTTAATCTCACTTCTTCCCAGCTGAGCATCCCAAGTCCCTTCTCTCCCCATCCCATTTCCATCCCCAGACTCCTGATTCCATCTCCCCGTCCCTCTCGCGTGTCCTGCTGATCCAGGCGCGCCCTCTCCATCGCCAAAATGGTCACTTGCTACGATCGCAATGGAAATGAGGACCCAACTCGCTTTCCCTGCTCAGCGGACGGAGACCCCGCCCAGTGCTGCGACGAGGGCGACTACTGTGCCACCAACGGTCTCTGCATTCGCCCAAGGGACAACGGCGATGTTGGCTACTTCCAAAACACCTGCACTGACCCGGACTGGATCAATGGCTCTGTCCCAACGTGCCCGACCCAGTGTGCCGAAATCCGGAGTATGTCCATTCTCATCCCATCCCATCCGATTCATTCTATCCATTCCATCCCGTACTCCATCGTCCATCACTGACATCTTCCAGATGCTGGAAACGGCGTGACGACCTGCGGCAGCGAGAAATTCTGCTGCACCGGGTTCAGCGGCTGCGACTGCAACAACTCCACCCAGACATTCTCCATGGAAGCTGTCGTTCGAGCCAACACCCAGACCGTTGGACCGGGCAGCCTCCCCACCTCATCATCAACGCCAAGTCCAACCTCCACTCCCTCACCAACACCCTCCCCATCAGAAGGCGACTCCAGCGGGGGGAGCAATAACCTCGGCGTCGGCCTGGGTGTCGGGTTAGGCGTGGGGATCCCACTGGTCGCAGGCGCGCTCTTTGCATTCTGGTTCTTCCGTCGACGAAAGCGCAATGCCGTCGCTGGGGCCGCGTCAGGGCCCATGGAGAACTTCACGCCGACGCCGCAGGATAAGCGATTCGTGCAGCAGCAGCAGACTGCTCCTATCCCGCCGCAGGAGTTGCCTTCGGAGGAATATGGGCAGGTTCGGACGCGGGGGCCTCTCCAGGAGATGCAGTGAGGCTGTGATGGGCTGGCAGGGAGCATTTGGGATGTTTTGTTTATTGCATTGGACATATACCTATTTACGTTTAATCTTTTGCTATCCGGTTTGTATACCTCACGATGTACTATGAGCACCCACTATTGAATACATCAGTTTGGGAGTTGTGGTCAATAATAACTTGGTAATACTGCACTGGGAATCAATCCTTGTTATCCAGACCCCCAACTCGATACACCATATAATAATAAAACCACTAAAAAGCACAAACACCCGCAACAACCCCCAAAAGCGGCAACAACGCCCTCACCCCATTCAGAGTCCTCCACCTCGCCAAAGCCCCCGTAACCTCCCTCTCCTCCTCCTCCCCCTTCTCCCCACTCGGCGCCCAAGCCGCATTCCCCGCCCTCTCCAACAACAACCGATTAGTCCCCATCATCGTCGCAAACGTCCACGGCACAATCCCCACCGTCAACGCCGCCGCAAGCGCATAGAGCGTCGACGCGTTACGCGGCGCCAGAGCCCCGACCGCAACATCCCGGTGCACGGACCACGCAAGGAACGCGAACGAGGATGCCGCCAGGATCGCGATTGGCGGGTTCTGCGCGTGTCCGGCTTCGTACATGTCGCGCCATTGCTTGACGATGAGGGTAAGCGGTGCTTGGTACCGCGTGTGTGCGGTTTGGAGGGCTGGGACGCTGGCGAGGGTGAAGGATGCGATGTTGCCTGGGCATGTTTAGTCTTATCCTTGTTTTTTGTCGGGTGGCTTGTTTTGTTTGGATCAGAACGACTGGCTGAGACTGAGGCTGTGGCTGCAAGGGCCTGTGCAAGGCCTGCAGGGGTTGGTCCTTTATACGAGGGAGGCTGAGGAACTACTAACCAGCTAGGTATGCGGCGCCAGTCAGGCCCACGGCCTGGGCGACGCGGATTCCGGGTGGATATTGGGCCATTTTCAGTTGTAGAAGATGCGACAGATGGGAAAGAAAAGAGTCAGAGGAGGTTAAGAGGAGGCTCTTGGGAATAAATAGCTGGATACAGTGGGGGCCGGTGACGTCGACGACAACTTTGTTTGGTGACTAATCGGAGATGCGACTCATTGATAAGAGCTGGATTATTTATTTGTATTTTTATTTTTATTCTTGGTCCATTGATTTAAGAATTGGAAATAATTGTTCAGTTTAGTTGATTGACTGCTTGTGTAGGGGAAGTGGAGGTATAGATTTACCCACAGTGGAGATTGAAACAGCACGTCAATATATATTGAATTCCATTGAGCATCTAGAAAACTTATATTTGCTTTGATAGCGTCCTTAGAAGGGTTCCCGGAAAATATTGTTCTTTCTGTGAGAGATTATGCTTCCACTTGATCATTGGATATAACGCTAGAGAAGCTGAAGCCTGGGCTAATTCGGGAAACGATAATAGTACTATACTGCCTACTGGTGCATGACTGATTATTCTATATACATATATAGATTTATCTTTGAGTACTGCAGTATTTAGTACTTTACAAGATTCCTGTTTATCAACAGAGATATAATGAATTTAGAGCAGTTGAATTTTATCGCATTGCTCTTTAATGATAGAGCATCTTCGTTTCATCATGTTTGCTGCTGACAGTGGAACAGGCTCCTCCAGCTCTTTACTGGCTCTAGCGCTCGAAAAGGACCCTTCTTTATGTGACCTTTTCCACGACCTCCGTTGGACTCCATGATTTTGGTATCATTTTTGAATCTGAACCTGTCGTAAGCAAGGGCTGTGTGTAGCAACACCTCTAATAGTCAGCATCTTCCAACATATAAATACTGGGAACTTTAGCCTTGAGCCGACCTGTCCTCAGCCTCGTGCTTGGTTGCGTGCGGCAAACATCGGGGAAACCAAGAGGGGGAACCGGCATCGCAGCAGCCTACCGTTCAATGCGGTTTCGGGCCTGTGTCTGGTGGCGGGTAAAAGAGGGGGTTGGCTTGGTCTGACCTTGGCCTACCTGCTAAGGATATGAGACCTATAACTGTATATACCACGTATGAATGGTTATGGATTGGCCCTTGCAATCCCACCGCTGACGAGTAGCTACCTAGGTACCTGTGAAAATTCTTGGATGCACTGCTACACGGGTACCTGATCCTTAGACCAAGCTGCTGGGGGAAATTCGTCTTAATTGCCTGGATGCCTGATTGACCAGTTATATGCAAAGTAGATCAAAACAATCAACGAATCTACCCATATGCGGAAACAAAAAAAGAAACCAGTTCCATCAAGTGCTCAATCCACGCATGAGCTAGTCTATCCCAGCGGTATTAAGCATTTCTGCTGCTCTGCCTTGCTAATCTCCTGGCTCCTTCAACGGTCGAGCGATGCAAATCTTACAAAGACCGACGATTCCCCATGTAATTTGTATAGGCAGGTTGCAATCAAAAGGAAGGATTCCCATAAACATGTTTAGTATCAGCTTCAGGTAGATCAGCTTCGTCTTCAGTGAGCTGGTCGGTCATGATATATGAAACCCTTCTAGAAAATACATATGCCTTCCCACTCAGCACTATATCTCGCAGAAATTTGACCCTGCATAAACCCGTGAATGTAACTTTCTCCCACCATTTGGTACGAATTCAGCCCATCTTCATCAGCCAGCTGTATTGCTTGTGAACATTTCTCATCGACTGTGTCGTTCCCTGCCCTGGGACTATGAATACGAACTTGTCTCAAAACAAATGGGACTCCTGTCCCGCTGAGCACATGCACTTCATCTCCTACTTGAATATCCTTAGATGCGAATCCAATGAAGTTGTTTTCAGTCACAAACAGACGTCTGTTCTTGCAAGCCAGGAACATGGCCCCCAAAGCAACAGAGTAAAGATCTGAACTTTGTGATTGGGGGTTGCTCGCAGCACTGACATCAGCAGAACAGCCCTCATCAGGTTGAGCTTCATCTGACTGGGAGGCATCCGCTATTTTATAGATGTCTGTCATCAACGTTGCTATGACGGCGTTGGAACTATCCTTCAAAGCATCCTCCATTGTTTTCCCGCGATCAACTTCCGTACGGAGGTAACGATGAAAGTGTGTTTCAAGAACATGACATAATGGAATATGGAGCTCCTCCGGCATTGGGCTATGACGAGATGGACCGGAGACATCAGCGACACATGTCCTGCAGAATACATCCGGAGTGAATTCCCCTGTCGGGTAGTGTGGTCCGATGATTGATGCCATGCGTGTCCACTCTAAAATGACACTAGGAAGTGTGTCAATGTCGTCCATGAAGTGCTCAGAGACAGAGACAATAGTTTCAATCTTGCATGAAGATGTGACAAGAAGGTCAGGGCGTCCCTCGTATGGCCACGTCGCGGTGATACACACGTCACCACATGCGTGGTATGGATTGAGCGGCGTGGGCCGACACAAAGATGTGAGACAGTCGGGGCTTTTCGCTGTTAAATCAGGGACCCAAGAGGGAAGCTGGTCCAATTCTTTGCTGGAACGACCACTATTGATACCGCAAATGGCAAAGGAAGAGGATTCCATGATGCAAACCTTTGCCGCCTGAAGAAAGACATCCTCTATTGATTTCTCATAGTCTGCCTCAAGCTGGTGTGGATAGCTGGGCCTGGGGTTGGCCTTCCGGATTCCTAGAATAGAGTAAACCTTGTCTCGAGGATCCGATGCCTCGAATTGGAAGGTAGAATACAATAAGCTGGTCAAAGACATCCGTTTGAAGCCATGGAAGTCTTCCCGGAGGCCGTTCATCAGTACGACGTTACTGAAACCAGGTATGTCGGTAGCCTGCGGGGCGGGATCAGATGGCAATGGCAACAGACCCGTGTATTTCCTCTTCAGTCTGTGTTGTGGCAGCTTCACCAGCCAACACCGCTGGGCGAGTGTTTGAGCCACATTCGACAAGTCGGACCACTCAATACTAAACTTCCCACAGTAAAGGACGATTTTTTGGGCGCTAACTACTTCTTGAATGACCCAGCAACGGCTGAAAACCGGTCGATCAAAAAGATTTAACACAGAAATCCAAACGTTCGACGCAAACGAAGGCAAGGTCATCATTTGATCCGGATCAGGCGCACAGCCTTGCTTCTTGAATTCTCCAGCAATCTTTTCCAGGACGGTAAAGACTTCAGATGTGTCTTCCTCTTCTTCTCCAATCCAGAGCGTTACTTGTTTTGCTTTATTGAAAAACCATTGCATCCCAGAGACCTGGAGTGTGCGCTCTTTAGTGTCTTGTTGGTTGATTGAAATTTGATCAATCCAATAGGTCCTGGTATCAGACTTGTGACGTATCCGCTTCAAAGCATCGCGAAGCCCGGCATTTATCTTCAGGTATCGCTCATTCCCAGAGGTGGAATCGCAGTATACAGCGTGGAGAACCCTTGCTATCTTGCGAGCAGTATCAACGGCTTCGCGGGGCCAAGATGGATGGATAGCTCTTTCATAAGTCGTTTCCCTCCAAGTATAGGACAGAGCCATGTAATCGGGACTGGTGTTCATGTCCACAATGCGTATACCGATTCTAATCTTATCGTCGAAATCACCAGGCATGATGTCTACAACGCGTGTCACAAGGCGACGCTCGTTTGCCCACTGATAAAAGGTTTCGTTTTCACCATAGTCATAATGTTCGAGTTGCCCCAGCATGACCTTGATGTGTACATCCGGGTCTTGGTGATGCATCAACATATCATCTTCCCTGGGGGTCTTCGTAGAGCCATCGTCCTTGTGATATTGCTTGACTCTCACGTTTCCAACTTCATCAAGCTTGTAAACATGCATCCCTCCTGGTCTGCCATCTCGAAACTCGACGATGCCGCGTTTGTGAATGCCAGGAGTGTACCGACTTGCGGGCTTCATTGCCAGGAATAAAGTAGGAGACGGGTCCGGCAGCAGGTGGAACATTTCGTTCGGGTGAATTGTATCTCTGGACTTTGAGGCAATCTCCGATTTTAGGCACTGCGTTTCTGGTAATCCATACACGATGTGTGTCAAGTCCTCGACCGTCATGGACGCCTCTCCGTAAGTCTCGACGCATTGTCTCTTTGATTTATCATCAATGTCATGGATATTATAGAACTGATTTGGTAGCAAACATCGGATCATTGGGTGACCACCGTGGTGATTGTTATGAAAGCTACTCACGCAGGTGAGACAAAAGTCCGTGTTTTCGCAGCACACGCATCTGAATCGGACCCCTTTAATGTACCTGGACTCCCCTTTGCAGAAAGGACCATCGCAAATTACACCCTTGTGTTCCAGTTCGCTTGCCAAGATTGGGATAATTCTTTCCGCTGCCTCGACTTGACCCGGTATCTCCCAAACTTGAAATCTTATCCGGTCGTTGAAAGGGCCCGGCTTCCTTTCAATCGCAGCCAGACTAGTCGCGAGACCAGGTGGGGGACTCCTGGGTGGAGGGGGTAATGACGGATTAATTTGTGAGACTTGTGGCGAATCCTTCGCGAATTGCTTGTCATCCGCTTCGGACGATCGCACAGAAGCGTTGAATGAGGCCTTGGTTGACGAAGCGCTCGGTAGCTCAGGGCAGGTGCACCGTTCCCTTGAGCTCATGGCGGATGCCACGTATTCTGTATGAGGCGCCTGTTTTGGACCATGAGTTGCTGAGTTAGTGCGAGAAGAGGATGATGAGGAGCTTCGAACAACCTGATCCACCGACAAATAACTCACCGGGTCACTTGCACTGGGAGCAGTATCGACAAGAATCTTGCAGAGTTCGAAGTCTTCCTCAAGGGCTGACTCGCTCTTTTGCAGTTGGCCCAAGTCAACTAGTAATTTATCTGCTTTGTTTTCAAGTAAGAGCTCGGTCACTGAGACATGACCACATCTGATGGCCCAATGTAGAACCACCTCGCCCGTCTTGTCGTTCCTTGCGTTTACTTGGGCGCCGGACCGAACCAATATCTTGCACATTTCGACGTCTCCTGATTCAACAGCCCATTGAAGTGGAGGGTCACTATCACTGTCGCATGCTTCGATATCAGCTCCCTGTTGGAGGATCAATTCGACCACATTGTACATCGCACGTGATACTGCCAGGTGTAAAGCTGTGTTTTGATGATCACCATAAATGGTGTTGACCTTGACTTTACGTCGCAACAATATCATGGCAGCTTCCGATTGCTTCCCTTCGATGGCTGCCCGTAGTGGCGTATATCCGCTCTTGTCCATAATATCAAGGTTTGCGCCTCCAGAGACCAAGATATTGAGGACTTTTAAATGTCCGGAAAATGAAGCTATCAACACCGCGGTTATCCCAGTGCGGCTATGGACAAAATCAATTTCGGCACCGGCATCGAGCAAGGTCTGAGCAATCTGATCTTTATCGGATGCGGCAGCGTTCATTAGCGGCGTACGCCCCCTTGAATCCACAATAGCATCAACGTTTGCGCCCGCAGTGATAAGCATTTCAAGGCATTCTAGGCTATCAGCGTCACATGCGTACTGCAAGGCTGTCGCACAATTGATTGATGGTTGATCGATGTCCATACCGTATTTTCCTTGAGCATCCAGCAAAACTCTGAGGGCGCCCACTCTGGCCGATGCCGCTGCTAGGTGTAGTGGTGTGAGCCCACCAGGTTCTCGCTTTGCATCCGGTCTTGCCCCGTGCCGTAACAGAATTTCAGCCACCTTATGATGGCCATTTGCCGCAGACATATGCAGAGGGGTTGTTCCATCTGGTAGGCAGAGCTCTGGATCAGCGCCGTGATCAAGTAAAGCACCAACAAAGTCCGGGTAGTTGTGAGCAGAGCTAATATGCAGTGCCGTCCAGCCATCGTTAAATTTCGTATTGACATCCACACCGTTGTTGATTAATTGCGGTACAATTCTAGGGTTGTTCTCCAGTGCAGCACGCTGCAGTGGATGCGGCGGTTCGACTGTAGCTGATGGATTGCTTCGCATGCATAGTTTGAGGACCTTTTCCTGCATCTTTTATCTCAAAAGTGGAAGTAGGCCTAGAGTAGAAAAGCTCTTGGGATTGAATGATAGAAAGCGAGAGAAATTTAGACCATACCATGGACAAACTCAGTTTTGATCGGGATCAGTTGGCAATGATATGGATCATGAAGGCTACCGCGAACAGAATACCGTCACCTTCCAATATGCTCAAAAATGGAGGGACAAGGGGGGGGGGTCAAACCCAAAGGGGGCTGTGATTGCTAGTCTTGCAGGGATCTGCTCCCAGTGTACCGACTCAAGGAGGCTGGTAAGATTTATGCGACGAATGAAGCGCTGTATATCGTATTTCATTCCCCCAACCGTATTGATACAGCATGCCTGCGACGTCTTTCTATACCACTGATAGTCATAATCTGACTGCATGCGCCAATCGCGACCTGTTAGTTTGCATTGAATGGCCGAGACTGCATGTGAGCCCAACGACAGAGAAGGCTGCGCCCCATATATCAGCCTTGCCCGACGAGCACGGTGTTTAGTTTGACAGCCCCGTACTTCCTACGATTCATGTTGAAATCCCACAATATAACAAGGACCTTGCGTCGAAATATATGTTTTCCACCTCTAGACGGCATTGAAAGCTGTTTTTCTTCATTCTTCGCACCAAGCCAAAATTTTCTGAGAGCAATATGCCCATCAGCTTCACCACTGCTGAACATCCCCCACGAAAATGGGAAGCCCGGAGGGCATCTAATATCAAAGAGCTATTTGAATGGTCTTGTCACAAAGACTATCGCTCCAGTGAAAGATTGATGCAACATTCGTTTCCCCCTAGTCTCTTTCGCACTTCTCATATCTCACCCTCTCATCATGGCTTCGTCTGGGCAGTGTTCCTTGCCTACAGCGGTCACCAGAATTTGACAGTACGACCAGAGGATGTGTGGTTCTCCATTTTGACCCAAGTCCGATACTATATCAACGCACATGCAGAAGAATTGCGATCATCATTTGTTTCACACGAGGGAAAAAAGGAGCTCGTGGCTGTTGATAATACGCTGATTGGCGGCCCCGACTTTGGTGCCATGGCACTGAAGATGGCTGCGTTGATTGAGCAAAATATAGTGGACAAGGAGTTGCGGAGCTGGATTATGCCGAACTTTAGTACCACAACCGAATCTGACGATGTGGTTGCAGCTATCCTGATGATGGGCGCCATGGAGAAGTACTTTTCGTATGTAATGGTCCTTTGTGGGATTCCATCCGTCACTTTGTTGGGCGAACGAGAGGACTGGGTAATCCTTGTCGAGAAACTTGAGAAACTACATCAGCTTGGAGACGAACCTGCGCGATTTGCTCAGCTTCTTCGACCCATCCTGAATCATTTTGTGGCCTCATTTGATTATCCAGAGTCACCAGAAGTAGTAAGTTTCTGGAATAGGTGTGCTCACAGAAACCATATGATGAGTGGAGTGGACTATTTATGTGGGTGGCTTTCGGTATTCTGTTTCTGGGATGAAGATGGGAAACTGTTGTACCCAGAGCCGATTCATCCCACCAGCTCATTGGAGTTCCACGCACGAAACACTGTGGGATTGGAAGACGCCGTATCCCGCCGTGTTGACACCAGCGATATCCCATCGGGTTTCGCCTCCGTGCCAGTTACTGTCAAGGCCGAAGGAAGGGAGTATGAGGCAATGATGGTAGCTGGACTGATAGGCATTCAGGCCACATCAAGTGGAGCAATGTTGGATGGCACAAGAGACCACAAAGACAGCAATGCGTACCGATATGACGAAGATGAAGATTCGAAGCCAATCGCTTATAGCATTTCTCCACCAACCGAGGAGCCTGGACTGGATTCCATCCAGCCATTATCAGGATGGTTGATGTATGAAAAATCTCGTGCGGAGGAGATTGAATAAAAGTGATCATGCTGGAAGAATTTAGTTTGGTGGTCCACTTCTCTCTCATTCTTTTCATCATATATTCCCCCATTCTCTGCAGACGTTTTCATGATTACAGCTTTTCTCTCATAATGTGCGATTCATACATATATCCCATAATCTTCAGAGAAACTATTCGCTGGATCTGAGTGACTCATGTCGGTGTGGCGAATGCAATTTGCGACAATGATAGCTGCAACAAGTGACAAATAACTATGATAATCCAATAGAGTGGGCTTCAGGGTACATGTTCCCATCAAGATAGTCCATATCTTCGTCGCGGCCACACGCCCCTCCACGAGAGCCTGAACGCACTTGTTTTGACTTGGGCACTCAGTCGTATGGCGTTACTGCTATAAACCACTTTCATATCGCCAGTGGGCTCTGCGCCTAATTTGCCCAAGGCAGATTCACATTGCAAAATTGTTTGACGGCGATGGTGCCCTTTCCGACTTTGGTCTTTGCATCGGCCAGAATTAGTTCCACAGGCACTATGCCTACTATCTCTGCCATTTAGCAGTCTCCTGAACAGAGGTACTTGGTTAAGTATCTTTGTCTTTGCGTGGCACTGTGGGCGAAAAAAAAAACAAAAGGGGGGGGGGCAGTATCTCCTACCCCTCTACCCAGGTATAGTCGCATTGTGTGTCTCTGTGATTTGGTTAAGGCTGGTTTATGACAGGCAAGTATCCCCGCTTTCGAGTCTGTTGTGATCTGACATATATGCTTGGCCAGTATGAGAGCAGCCAGTCCTATCACTTGGAGCCATGCCGAGGGCTGGACATCCGCAGCCTTGCATCCAAGTCTCAGCGCAGTGTGGGCATATAACGTGGATCCAATTAACCCTTGCAGTATGCGGCTGTCCTGGGCACTCTTGATGCGGGAATCCGGCTAATCAAACTAATTGATCGTTCCGCCACTTATTGACTGGTTGGCTTTTTGCCTTTTGTGGATTTGGTAGTGGCAATTGCGCAGATCTGCCTTGGTGCAGCCTTGTCCACAGCCTCGTCCGCAAAATGTAAAAGGCGTTGGGGATGCATAACAGACATGGATATAAGAGCAATCACGGTTCAGCCCCGTGGCTTGGCGGGCAGACTCGAAAACCACCTGCACCCAACAGGCCTTATTGGCCGGAGCGTCATATGGCTGGTCTGAACCTCGTCTCCCTTCTCACCGCAGATATGTTGCTGATTCTGACAACAACATTAGGACTTAAACAGCCTCACAAATAGTCATGTTTTATCCTTGGAAGGGTCTTTCGGAGTGGGCCCCTTTTGAAATCGATGCTCTCGGCCTGCTGACGCTGTTAGGTGCGAATGAGGTGGATATATCTGTTGGTCGACTTGCGCCTAGCTATTGGCTTGAGTATATGCCCCTGCTTGCTGGATATGTGTTTGCAGGCGACAGATTCCGTGCCAAACAGCCAGCATTCACGTTATACAACGTCTCCAGCGGGATTGTGACGGGGAATCTAGCAGCATGGTTTACCAGGTGGATGCAAGCGCAAGAGTTTCATGTCTCCCGGAGCCTGGTCTACTGGGAAGTCAACAAGCTATTGCCCCCACAAGTTGACCAATGGTCCTACGTGCTTGTTCCGGCCTTGATCTCAGGTGCGCTCACAATGTTCCTCCTTGCGATGACGATTCTGTCTGGGGACTGGTACGGCTTTGCGAACGCGATTTCCATTATCGTACTCGTCCTTGTCCGCTCTTACATGATCCACGTGAACCGCAATGCAATTAACAGATCTGTTGCTGCCGCAAAACCACTTCCATCAACCTATACAAGCGCCCTCGAGAGATGGGAAGAGCAACGGAAGAAAGACCCGAAGGCGCCACGACCCCTACCGGACTCCTCCTCCGCCTCCCCTCCACGGTGGCGCCCGGAGGTAGTGAAAATCCTGGTTGTCATGCCTGACTCACGGGCCATCACCATGTTCATTCCCGAGCATCTTCTTCGTGGGGTGTTTGTCACCGAGACCCCTGTCCTCTCCCCCGGCATATATCGCATCGCACAATGGATCGGATGGGTGGCATTTACTGTCCATGTCGTCACACTAGGCATGGCGCGCCTCGCAACCCAGCTCTACGTGATTGCGTTTACAGTGATTCCAACCGTGTTGATCTGCTATGGCTTCGGATGCAACGACTCCCGGGTACATAAAGCGTGGTGTTGGCTCCGGGGACAGGACGCCGGGCCCTATATCTACCAGGCCGGGCCTGAGCTGAGTGCGACTGTGTTTGAGTGGCCTGAAGACGTCGAGTTCGCTACAGACAGCAACGGGATATTGCGCAGGTGGGATGCGCCTGCGCTCCGCACCAACGGGCTGGGTTGTAAAAAGCGATCGACAGCACGGCAGGATTTATATGCTTGGTTGAATCTCAGCAGCGAGGAGCAGAGGAGCCTTTGGGACTGGCATTTGCTGCCTCACAGGCGGGGCCACGATGATTCGTGGTGGGATGCATTCAACGAGAAGAAGCGGTTGATTAGCGAGCGGCCTCCGGATATTCGGGCGCTGAAGGACCGGATTCGGTGTGATTTGGAAGCAAGGCGGGGTGGACGTTGGTTTTTATGGAGTGGGTCGAGAATTAAGGGAGATGTTGAAAAGGGGCCCAGTTAAACAAACGAGACCGAGAAGAGAAGCCTGCCTTACGGTTGAGGAGAGCGCCAGAGCGGTGGCCTCGTTGGAGCCGCCTTTTTGAGGCCGTTGATCAGGAACTTGTGACACTTAAGACCGAGCAAGATGCTTTAGCAGATCGTTAATCAGGAATACGAGACCAGAAGAAAGAAGAAAAGAACCCGCTACAAAATGGAAAATCCATGCCAGCGCCAGTACAAGCAATGTCTCAGGAAGCCGTATATCAACATAAATAACTACACCATCCATCCACTAGTCGCAACTGAAAATCTCACAAGAATCATATCAAGGTGAAGGTCTTGAGCGAAGAAACAGGAGCCTGGGAAATGATCTGATCCCCTGTGTTGGAACAGACTCTCGCTTCGCCAATTACCCTGTAAAATCGACGTCCCTGGCAGACATTGCGAAGGACCACGAGCTGCTCACAGCCCTGGATTGCGCATATCCTATCGCCGTTGCGCGCCGCACGCGGAACGATAGCAAAGTCTACCCAGATTGTAACCTCCTCCTCATCATGCCTCGTTGAAGGGGCATCTACTACGAACATGCAGAGCTGCATTCCATGGAAGGACTGTGAAAAGTTACTCATTTGGGCAATCTGGGACCCACTGAATCGAGGCCGTCGCCGTCCCTTTGTCCTTTCCAGATAGGAGATCAAATTATCCCCAGGGCGAGCGTCCAAGGCTTTTCCCAGGACTCTTTCGTTCAAGTCGACATCGCCGCAGAGGCCGCTTTCTTTCATGAACTGGATGCACTCGTAAGCGTAGTTCCGCTCATAGAATAACCTCGCCACATGCTTAGCCTTCAGTGGCTCGAATGGCCGGTTCGCTGGAGGGAAGCGGGGGAGTCTGTCACAAATCTTGCCGTGCACGATTCCCTTGACGTGGAGGAATTTCCCGTCTCTTGAGAATGAAAAGGTGGGATTGTCGACTCGCAGATCACCAGAAGACCTGGGGGGATCCATATACGGGACGCCTAAAAATGGACACCACGAGGGAAGAGAATCCTGCCACTCTTGTTCTGGCGATGTCTGTCTTGATCGTAGCGTGATTATCTTTAGGCTTCTAGTCGCTGTCATCATTGCCTGCACCGCTTGGCAAATGACTTCAACTGCCCCGGTATCGTAATTGATGTTGATATGGCGTTTTAATTCCCGAGGAAGCAAGTTGTAGAATGCGTAGATGTGATCTCGCGGATCCTTGCACTGGCTTTCCAGAAAGCCATTCAGGAAACTGTCTATAGATATGGATGGATCTGTCGATATAAGCTGGTCGAAGCGCGAGTGCCACGTATTGGAATAGCCGGCATCAACAACGTGGCGCGAGGGGTGTGTTATAGGGATTGTCCTTTCTATCGGCTCGCACACCATACCGGCATGGAATGATTCCAATGCTGAGAAGGAAATTCGATCCTTGCCACACTGGAGATACTTATGAGAGGCCAGCACCAATTCTTGTACAATCCAAGCACGCTGCCAGTAGCTGCGAGAAAGGAGCGGGCGCTCAGCAGCCCCAGCTTGCCAAGCATCATCGAAACGAGAGATGTCTATCTCGCCCTTCCAGTCTTTCAGAAATTGAAACAGTTCCTGGCTTCCATCCTCATGCGCGCCGAGAAAGGCGACTACCCGCTCCGCGCTCCGGTAGATCTCCCCCATGAGCTTAACCTGCTCCGCCCTCTCGGCGTTGTTGGCTTGGTTGATGCATATCGCATCGATCCACATGGTCACTTCTGCCTCAGTGCCCCTCAGCATCCGAAGAGCTAGCGCCAGGCTCGGTGACACGCTGAACTTTTCGAGTCTTTCATTCCCAAGATAAATGTATTCTGTTGCGTCACAGGTGCCCCAGGCATACGACAGCGCTTCATAAGACGGGGAGTCGCTGAGCAATTTCGGCTGTTCAAGACGGCAGACAATATCATCAGCCTCTAATCCCGGCTGTATGCGCACCACACGAATACAACCCTCTGGTAGAGATTTGTATATGCGCCCTGATGCCTCCATATTCATTGTCGTCGTGTCGACTGTCGGACTCTGCGCCATGATTATATGCGCCTCTTGAGACCCTGCAACCTTCAAATTTGGTTGTTCGAGATGCGGTGCGTGCAACCATATATAACCTTCTTAATCCTATCGCCTCAGCCTCATGGGTGCAGTCGAGAAGCACCTTTGAGGGCAGTGCAGACGAGGGCATATGAGGCTGTGCCGCCGGCATCAGTCATTGGGCTGCACGCCGGCGCCTCATCATAAGTTAGCGCCATGGTGCAACAGGTCTATTCGATTGATCCAGGTTGATTCCTGGGAGCATTTGGCAAGCATGCGAGCCCCACCCGGAGCATTCGCGGAACACAGGAAGTTGCCCTGTAAACAAGCCCAGTTATAAGATCTTGCAATTGGCCAGAGCTAGGTATGAGGGCAGCCAGGAACTGTCCTGCCCAGACGGCCCTTGTCATCGACTCAGCGGCAAACCCAGCCCTTCTGTAAGTAGAGATATTCTCCTCCTATTTATCGACACACTTGAGAAGAAGACAATATTTGCTGCCAATAGTTCAAGACGGGAGGGAGATGGATGAATATCCCATCAGGTAGACATGGGTCGAGGGAAACCGCTTTGGGTCTATTCTGTCCCAGCCCATGGTTCTTATGAGATCAGGAATAAAAATTATAGTTGTAAGATAAAATATACAAGCTTTTGGTTCTATAGAAGCATACTTAACCTGGCCGAATGGGTCCGCTCGGCTGCCCACCGGTTTTCTGTTATATGGGAGCAGCGGTATGAGATCACGAGAAGCAGGTACAAGGCAATCGACTGAACCGTTCCTCGCGCCCCATAGCCAGGATAGTGCAACAGACAGAACGTCACTTCCGTACCTCGTGCTGTTGATTTTGACGTACCAATGTGTGTTTGACCACGCGGATCAGGATTCATGAGCGAGTCGTCCTCAGTTGGCACTCTTTCAAGACACCAAAGAGGCCTCTGTGGAGATGGCATTCCAAAGCGCCTGCAAAGTAATTGGAGTCTAGGAGTGGTGCAAGCGCTTTTGCTATGCCTGACGTGGCAATCCTTATGCAGCCAAATTATTAAACCATCCTAGCGCATCAGCGACACAAGGCTGGCAAGCCTTGTGCCGGGGTCCATTGGCTGACACTGAGCTAGGGACCCTTGCTTTGCTACGTCGCGACTGCCAGCTGGGCACAGCCTTCGAATCCACTTGATCGGCGCTTGCAGCTGGAAAGGTGATTGAGCGGGGGGAACTGAGAGGCTCTGCTGCTATCGCCCGTCCGGCGCCGGTTTATTTCACCGTCCCCCTTCGTGTCAAGGGCCGAGTCTGCCTTGCGGTGAAGCCTCCCCAAGCCCAGCTATCCTATCAGTCCGGTTATTGCCCCACTGTAGAAACAGCGGGTAAGAGTGCATGATGCTGAAATGTCGTCCATTTCACAGTCGGGCCCGGCCCTTGGTTAAGTGTATCGCGGGAAGTCCATATCCCACCCGTTATAAGCACTTCCCGTATTCTCCATTGATATCGCGGGCTTACACCATTGCACTGGTGGGCCTGGGATACAGGGGCTACAGAAGCCATTTGCTTAGCCTGTTAGGTGATCCATCTCTTTCAATTATCGCCGTTTGTGACACGGACCCCGTGGCGCTGGAGGCTGTCGCCGCTACACACCAGGGCATTCTCGCCTACTGTTCTCTACCACAGCTTCTACAGCGGCACACGCCAGATTTTGCCATTGTGTCTGTGCCTCATCGCGCTCACATTCAGTGCATTACCGCCCTTGCAGCTAAAGGTATTGCGGTACTAAAGGAGAAACCTGTTGCAGAATCCATTACAGAGTATGAGTGGATGGCCCGTCTGCCGGTGAGAATCGGAATCACCTTCCAGAAACGCTTTGAGCGACATTTTCTGCACTTTCGGAGCCTCCTCCCAATTGTTGGAGATGTTGTGGCGGTTGAGGCAAGCCTGGCCCTGAATATTACGAACCTCGAGGAAACATGGCGGGCAACAGCAGGGGTAGGAGTCACAGTAGGTTAAACCCGCGTTGATTAAGCGTAAAATAGCGGGGTCTAACCTCTCCCTGGTCAATAGGAAGACCTGGGCTGTCATATGCTCGACATGCTCGTGTGGCTATTCGGACCGCCAACTTCCGTGATGGCGCACCAGGTCTCCTCCGTGCGGCCGGGCCAAAGATACGGCGGGGACGATATCTCTGACATCTTAATGGACTGGAGAACAAAGGGCTGTATTGGTAATGTCCGCCTCTCACGTGTGGCTCATAAATCTGCCCAGTCTATCACTGTGACAGGAACCAATGGTACACTTCGTCTTGATGGATATGAAATCACCCACCACGATGGCAAGGGTTGTGAGACAATAAGGGTCAAACACGAGCCAAGTGAAAAACACGTAATTCAAACCATGGCCCATGAATTCGGAGACTGGGTATCTGGCCGTCGATCTGGGTTTTCAACCTCCTTGGCAAATGTTCGGCGTACAGTTTCCGTTGTGGACGCTATCAAAGCATCGCTCGCGAGCCGTCAAATCCAACACCCGCTCATACTCTCATCTTCGGGCCGCGATCTTAGGGCTACCAATAACAACCAGCTTTTTTCGAAGGCAGTCATCAGTGGCCGGGAGTCTGCTGCCAGCTTCTCTACTTCTTCCTCCGGCCATTCCAACAGCCGTGAAAGGTCGTTCCTTCTCAATACCCGTGCCTCGATTCCAGCTGTTGGCTTAGGTACTCGCAGGGCGGCGAGACCAGGACAGATCTATGAAGCTGTAAGTGCAGCATTGGAGGTCGGCTATCGCCACATTGATACGGCACAGTCGTCCGGGAATGAGCACGAGATTGGTCGAGCGATTAAGGATTCTGGTGTGCCGCGTCGGGAAATTTGGATCACAACCAAGTTAGACAACAGATGCCATACACAGGTTGATAATGCCCTGAAATTGTCTCTCGATGCACTGGAAACGAACTATATTGACCTCTATCTCATGGTAGGCGCTCCGCGAGCTAACAAATACCGCGATTCACTGACTTATTTCTCAAGCATTGGCCTGTAGCCACCAATCCCAAGGATCCTACAGCCCAGCTGCCAAACTGGGACTTTGTCAACACTTGGTACGACGTAAATCAACCCCTACAGCCCAAAGGCAAATCTCTGATGTTCATAGGTACGAGATGCAAAAGCTCCAACCCCTCAACGTGCGAAACATTGGAGTCTCGAACTTCAGCATCGCCCACCTGCGGCGACTATTGAGTCATCCAACCTGTAAGGTCGTCCCTGCAGTTAATCAAATTGAGGTAACGGCCATACCTAGATCTGTAGTAGCTGGACCCAGCCGCTTCTAACCTGCTACAGCTCCATCCCCACTGGCCGTCTCATGGGCTTCTCACGTACTGCAATAACCATGGCATTCACTGCACAGCATACTCGTGTTTGGGATCCTCTGACTCCCCGCTGTTGCAAGACCACGCGGTAGTCAGGATCTCGCAGAGGAAGGATAAGTCACCACAACAGATTTTGTATGTGCTACCACTTCTAGTCTTCTGATATTTTCCCCAGTTCGTGTCTCCTCCACACTCTATACATACTAATTTCTCACCACCAAAGAATCAAATGGGGCATTCAACGTGGTACAAGCGTCATACCAAAGAGCGTTAGCGTGTCGAGAATTCGACACAATATCGAATTGGATGGCTGGGAATTGAGTGGTAATGAGATGGACATGTTGAGTAGTTGCACAACGCGGTTTAAATCTTGTAATGGTGACTGGTTGCCCGGCAAGGTGTGCTTCGATGAAGACGGCTAAGCTGGTGGGCGATTCTAATTGACTATATCTATTCTCAACCTTTTATAAATCTTCGATCAATGCATACTAGTCTAGACGGTCAGAGAAGACTCTATTTTATAAAGAACTCAGGTACTCTACTATATCTAAGAATTCCAGGAATCTTGTAAGATCTATTAAACCCTTGTCCTGGTGCATTCTAAGAATACTACTACTAAATTTAAGTTTGAAAGAGCCCGTGAAAGACTTGTTAAACAGAAGAATATCAGTACTAATTCAAGAAAATATGAATAAAAGTAAGGAAATACTCTCTACTCCTGATTGACCACACAACCTTCATTGGCCTAGCTCAGATGAGCTGAGTCTAGTAGAAGAGCCCTTTTTACTACTAAATCAGTGCAGGCGGGTGATCTCTTAGACTCTTACTCTGTGAAAAAGCTTTTGTCTATATATTCTCAGATACTATGAGCCCTGGCAAGCACCGATTACTTCTAATAGATATATAAACATACAAGATAATAAAGAGTGCTGATATATAGTTAATTTCCTTAGCTATATAGAAGCTATAAAAGAACCTATCTATAGCATTAGCTATAACCTCTCTATATTTCTTATACACGCACTATATAAGTGCCCTGTAACACCGCCTGAAAGTAGAGCACGACAAACATTCTTCCTCCAGCGGCCTCTGGCGTATAGCGTTGTACATCAACCACGCCTGCTACGCCAATGCTAGGTAGAGGTGGAGGGAGAACTGTTAGAATCCTTTATATCTCTCTGCCTTCGACCTAGGTGGCAATAAATCAAAAAAATTCTGTTATTCTACAACTAGATGTGCTGTGGTCTAAAGTACTAGAACGCATCCATTTCCTGGCACAGAACCAACCCCTTATTTCTACTCAGCTGATACTATATAAGATCATACACTTGGAAATCTTCCTTTTTCCGCCCCCGGCCGCACTCACGCTCCATTTCAATGACTTCCCCGTCCATGATACCATGTACATAAGACTGTCCGATAACAATATGACCCTCTTCATACTGTCGTAGTACGATAGGCACGGGCGCGCCTAATAAGACAGCGATCTGATCCCCAGGCTGGATATTAGGATGTCCAACCCCGATAGAACCTTTGGCTGTGCGGAAAAAAACTAGGTTGACGCAATGCAGATTGATATTTCCAAAGGCCCACCACTCCGCCCCTTCCTTCCTCACGTAGAAAATAAGAAAATCTTCATCGCTCTGGGACTCGGGTGGGAAACCGCAATCTACACCGGGGCCCCAGATCACTTCTGATAGAGTTTCTTCTGTTGGCTCGGAGGGGATGCGTCGGATATAAAGTGGCTCACGCATGGAGCGAACTCGATCAAGGAGGAGCGTGCGCCAGAATGCCTCGCGACGGGAGTGTGGACTGAACGGGTAAGTTCCCGGGTCATCTAGCCTGGCGATCTCTTTCCACTGGTTGACGATAGAAAGCTGGATCTTGTTATTGTGCTCTAAATTTAAGACGCCCGTGGTGGTATCGAAACTCTGGGACATAGTCCTTCCGATGTCCCATGAAGAGCCGACTACCTCTATCGTATCGAATGGGACACCGCAAACACGAAGGATCCCTCCATCTGTGGAGAATTCAAGCGGAAATGGGGAGATGTCGTGTAAGCTGGCATTATAGACTTGGCCTGCTTGTTCCGTGCTTGGGCTTGTAGTAGTGCTTGAGGATGCTGGTTTGATCACGTCTTCTGAGTCCCGCGAATGATGCATAAATGGAAAGAGCGCGTTGTAGGGAGAGAAAGAACTGATCCATATAGAGTTTAACTGCCAAAGACTATGAATGGTCCAGTCGGGCACCCATGACGGTAAATCTTGTTTCCATCTGCGAATTTTATGCATCTGATAGTCGGGGGGAGCCGCGTGAGCAGTGATAATCTCTAATTTCTGAGATTGGACTAGGAATCGCTGGGCAACTTGGATGTAAAGCCACCGTGTGGGAAGCATATAGTTGGGCCGGAAATCATTACGCTCGTCGCTGGCCTCGTCAAGGAGAGTGATCAGTCCAAAGATCTGATCGCGCGGGTCAGAAGCATCAAAATTGATAGTCAAAGCCAGCAGTCTAGACATCGAGAGGGAGACTCTCCCTCCTGTCTCCTGCGAAGCCCTGTGTAGGAGGAAGAAGGGAAATGTGGCGCTGGCTGCCCAGCAAAGCTCCCAGCGAGCTTGTGCCCTCCTCGTGATGCCGCTGTTGTAATGAAAGCCGGATTCTTTCAAGCTCTGGATCATTGAATACAAGGCTTCCTGAAACAAGGGCCATTCTACGGCCTGAGATCCACATTGCAGTATTATTCGCCTGGCGTGGATCACCTCTTGAAGCACCCACACGCGTTTCCACCATCGCCGACGGAGGATTTTTCTATAGGCCTCTGTCAAGTTCAGGAGATGTTGTAGCCAATCCACTTTCAAGCTGCAAAGTTCCTGGGGTAACAATGCTTCTGGTCTGCTAATTTCGAGCACGGATTTAATTCGAGCCTCCGTCACAACATGCTTATCAGAATCCCAGTTGAATGGCTCTGGATGAAAAGGAAAGTTAAGGGACGAGAGAGTACTTTCAAAATCGTGTTTTTCACGCTCCTTAGATACGAGGTGCAGGGAGCGAAAGATACGGCTGCTCGTCACTGATTCCCTCCCGAGCCAAACCACTACTCTAGTAGCATTGAGGTAGACGCGATCCATCTGCATAACCTGCTGAGCACGTTCTTGTAGGTTGGATTGATCAATGCAAATAGCATCCACCCACATGACACGCTCCTGCTCGCGCCAGCGCATGTCCCTGAGCGCTGCCTCCAGATCTGGTGTCACAGCGAACGACTGATCATTCACGGTGATGACGCTTCTAGCATCAGATCGACCCCAAGCGTAAGATAGCGCTTCGTACTCAGAATACAATGCAAGGTCTATCTCGCGAAGAGAACATTGGATGGGATTGTAGGACTCAAGGCTCGGTAGCACGGAAAGTAGTCGGATGTTCTTGGGGTTGGATAGACGCTGATAGACGTTTTGTCCGACTATCTCAGGCTCTATGGTTCCACTTTCGTCGTACTTGTGCGCCTCTGCCTGGACGATAAATTGGCGCCATCGACTGGGCAATTTATTGACAAACCGCTGAATAAAATACTGTCTTGCCACCTCGCTTCGACAGGCCGTGTTCTTCACCTTCAATTCCTTGAGCGATAACGCATGGGTGATCTTGGCAAACACTATAGCTTCGTAGGGCATACACTCTTCGCTATATGTCTGGTTGTCGTGCTGGATCAGAACACAGCATCGTGAATGATGGTGAGACTGAGGTTCCACCCGACATTGGGTACCGTTTGGGCGGGCGAATATACCATCGGAATCGTCCACCACAGACCAATTTTTGGCAAAGTCACCCGTGCGGACCAAAGGAAACACTCTGTCAGCCCACACCTGCTGGATATCTTCTTCCGAAGGATTGTCACCGAGTGATTCGAGGAATTCCAATGAGTAATCTGACAACATGGTGACTGATTTTTTGAGGTACTGTGGTAGGTAGTATGTCTGGATATTTGGGAGATGTTGACAAGAAGTGATTTCGCCAGTGCACACAAGAAAATGAGCTACAGGTGGAGAGAGGTAGCCTGTTAGCCTTCTTCTGGTAAAGCAAATCGCAATTTGCCCGACTGAACTGATAATGATGCTACTATATATAGCAAGAGAAGGCTGAAACAGCCTCGCGGCCTTATGCTCTACAGGCACTATTATTATTTGAGGAGATAATATATCATGCGAGAGCATCCTCGCAGCCTTGCCCTGATAACAGCTCAGATGAATTAGCCTTCTCCTGGTAATGCAAATTGTAATTTGCCCGACTGAATTGACACTGATGCTACCATATGCAATAAGAGAAGGCTGAAACAGCCTTGCAGCTTCGTGTTCTACAGGCGCTATTATTATTTGAGGAGATAATATATCATGCTCGCAGCCTGGCCCTGATAATGGCCTGAGCCCTATATTTTGCAGGAGTTATTATTATTTAAGGAGATAATATGCAGCCTTTCCCCACTTATATGGCATTGCTCTCAGCCTTGCCCCGACAATGGCTCAGATAAAAGAGCGAAGCTGACAGCTTGTCACTGAAAACATCAATTTTTTTCCCCTCACTTCTGTCAAAAACAAGAACTGCACATCGCCATGTCGACCCAACCTCCAGGAGCAGAAGATTTGCTGTCGCCCTCACTCACGGACATCATAGAGTTCCTGAAGCCGGGCGAAGAACCAGACAAAAACGCCCCAGCCCGAGCCCCGGCTAACCAGGTGAACGGGAAAGATACTCAGCCCGCTGAGGGATCGGAATGCGCAATCCAAACCCTTTACGAGGGGCCGCCCAAATGCCGGTGCTGCAAGAACTGGGTTGAACAATACCCCGATGACTTGCGTATGGCAATTGAACAACAACCCCGAACAAAGCAAAGGGCACTGATAGTACGCATGGGTATAAACCACGGCGATGGTAAGCCTCTGGCACTGCATTCGGTTGTGATTCAGAGCCAGTCCCTCAAGGACACGCTTGGCGAGGTTTTTGAGGGCTATAAGGGAATTACGCCGTCCCTGAAGAAGGTCGTGTTCAAAGCGCCTTTCCGCCCATTTTTCTACCGCTGGAGTCGGTTCTGTCAAATCCTCGAACGCCAAAAGAAAGAAGACCCGACAGCCGCAACGTATACCCAGCTACTTTTTGATGTCCTCAAGGCGGAGCTTGCTGAAACGATGGCAGAGGTTGATGACCTTCTGCAACATAGGGTTGTTACCTACCGCATGCTGTGGGCACTTTTTGAGCCGGGTGTCTGCGTTGTAACATCAGCATCGGGCTCCGAGAGATTTTTCCTAGTGGAGGACTGTGAATATAACGACGAGAAAGGCTACCTTGGAGTAGTGGTCCGCTTCGTTGACTGGGATGGCAAACGGTTTGGTTATGATACTGGGTGCCTTGCAATTTGCGGCTTTGCTGGGACCAAAGCGATTACGGACCTCGATGTTTTCCCCGTTGCGTTTCATCCGTCAAGAGAACAGGCAGAAGCTGCCGCGATCAGTCGTGGCCGACGGTTCCGCGAGTTGTGTGGCCTTCAATACATGGCCTACTCGGGACTGATCACGTACAAGGTTGGAGACACAACAATCGAAAAGAATGTAAGTATGCGGGGACCCTTAGCAGTGTTATTGTGTTATTCTACTCACTTCCCAAAGACTGATGGTCGCATCGTCATCGACGCGAGCTCGTTCTTTCACGCCATGCCAGGTAGACAAATCCATTTGGAGCCCTTGGGATCAATCCCGGCTTCACCCCATATCGAGGTTGGGGACGACCACCACACACCAGAGGATCCGGGGCATTTACTTCTGAGAATGCACAGGGACAATCGGTCCGTGTTATCGAATCGTAAAATGATTGGGAACATTGCTTCCAAAGAGAACAATGACGTCGGTAAGTCTATATGATATAACACATCGAGATGGTACTAACATTACTCCAGCTGAAGAGGAGCTCCTGGAGAAACATTTTCTGCTCTGCACGACCTATGTTCGAGGATTTTCATTGAAGTTGAAAATATGGGCCGAATTCGCGCTGGAGGGAATCAGAACCATCAACTGGAATGATAGCGCATACCCCCAGTTAATGTTGCCGGCCGGTTACCGAGATCTGGTCCTGGCATTCGTGGAAGGGCAAGCAAACAACAAAGATGTCTTTGATGATGTTATTGAAGGCAAGGGCCTCGGGGTCATCATGCTGTTCGTGGGTAGTCCAGGTACGGGGAAGACACTAACGGCGGAGAGTATTGCAGACAAGGTTCGGAAGCCCCTGTATGTCCTCAGTTCTGGGGAACTGGGGCAGGATGCAGGGGTAGTCGAGCAGCGATTGCAGGACGCGTTGAAGCTCGCGGAAAAGTGGGACGCGGTTCTCCTTTTCGATGAGTGCGATGTCTTCTTGCAAGAGCGGTCGTCCCATCACCTCGGGCACAACGAGATTGTGGCCGTTTTTCTTCGGTGAGTCGGTCTGAGTTTATGAGATTGGTGCCGCTGCTAATTACAGTATGACAGATTGTTGGAATATTATCGTGGCACTTTGATTATGACTACTAACCGCGCCGATTCCATTGATAAAGCTTTCCAGAGTCGGATCCATCTCACACTGCACTATCCAGAACTCGAGGCGAGCTCAATGAACCAAATTTGGAGGCGATTTCTTGGTCGCTCAAACTCAGACATCAAACTGACTGACGAGCAGTACGAGAGACTGTCTCGCTTGTCGTTGAATGGTCGCCAGATCAAAAACACTGTCAAGATCGCGACCCTTCTGGCCTGTCAGCAGAAGCAGCCGCTAGGGATGGACCAGATCCGAACCGTTCTGGAGGCTTCGCGGGAGATTGATGCTGGAGGCTTGGTTTGATACTTGCTTTGGCACAAGAGACATTGCACAATGCAGTGGTCACGGACGATATGATTAGGTCTTGAGACCTTTCAGCGAGGCTGTGTGCTTCATGTACCTGTGAGAGGTTCTATCGATTGAGGACGACATACGAGTGTTTCCAGGCCTAATAGATTGGTTCAATCAACAATTGATCTCTCCCAGAGCATAAAGTCCAGGATATTACCTGTTTCATACCAGCAGTAGCCGGGCCGTCTTCAAATTATGTTTATAGTTTCCGGGTAGGCGCCACGGTCAAGAAGTCGCATGAATTTTGCGTTTCGCGGATACGCCAAGCGGCGGTAAGGCGCGTGACTCTAATCGGAAAGCTCGCTATATAAGAACCGCAAATTCACCATCAGCGCAGTGGCAAAGAAGGGAAGATAGGCTTGTAATGTCCACCGCCCACACAGAGTCCTACCGGATTGGGGGGGGTTAAGGCCCCAGGCTCCCCACCCTCATGGGCTCAAGCTTTAGCAAACCACCTACGGTACCATGTTTCCATCGGGATTGGTCAACCCACATCAGAATGATCAGATCAGAAGTATCCATCATCGAAGGGCTATTAAGTCGACTTTCTAGGGGTTTTGTCGGCATATAATGCAATAGAAAGACGGCCTAAAACCGCTTTTTTATGGTCGAATGGTATTTCGATAGATGAGGTGGTCTTGGATATAGAAGCACAGCCTCTTCTATACATGCGAAAGTGTTGAGACTTGAATAGATTACCGAGATATACTGACAGCTATCTCTTAATATGATGGTATTAAGTAACTACAAAATCCCCAAGAAAGTCAGCAGCCTGATCACCAACTTCCCCAGCGATGCCAACTTCTCCGTATACCCATCGACATCATTCTCATCCAGCTCCTTAACCGTATCCAAGATCTGATCGGCCAGGTTATTAACGAACGTCTCCAGCCCATCGCCCGGCTCAATCCCTCCCAAAATAAAGCCAATCCCGCTATCAACAACCATATTCAGAATCTCCTTGACGGGCCTCGTCGCACTGACCCGGATCGTCTTCAGCGCCTTTTCCCAGTACTGAAGGTGCTCCCCGTTATAGACGACGGAGATACCGGTTGCGGTGGCCATAACATTTCCTTCTTTCAGATACGGGAGCTCGGACTTTATGATCTCCTCAATGTTGTCTTCGACTAGTTGGGTGTTGAGCTTTGCGCGGACGACGAAAGTATTGTTTCCTGGGACGATGTCGTTCACGGCGACGGTGGCTTGGCCGACTGTGAGGTTTGCGAGGATTACGCCGAGGGTTACTTCGCCCTGTAGCTTGTTACTTACTGTATAGTGAATGGAAGGGATGGGAAATGCGTACAAGAGTGACGGTGGCTGGGGCAGGGTTGAACACGACGACCTCGCCATACACATTGTTGCCTAGATCGTCTGGCGGCATGACCCCGATTTCGTTGATCCAGAGGTTGGGAAAGTTGTTGAATCCTGGACACATTAGCTCGTGGATCAATATAGAGTCTACGAAAGTGAGACAGACCTGGCAAAGAGACAACCTTCAGCAAATCGACCGTAGTCCCCAGCGTCCCAACGTGAACCCTCGTCTTTGCCTGCCCTGCAACCCTGAATGTCGGATTATACGCAACGTCCTCAACAAGCGCCGCGAACTGATCGACGTCACCAAGTTTGAGACTTTGATTAACAAGGGAAACCTTCTCGTTGGCCCCGAATTTCAGCCTCGGCAGGTCCACAGTTGCAATGGGAATTGGATCGTCAATTGTTTCTGCGCGGAAGAATAACGCCTGCATAGGGTCGAACCGCACACTCACGGCGTCGGGGACTTTGATCTCGCTGAGCACGGAGAACTGGATGCTGTCGTTGGTTGGATTAAGCAGGTTCACTTGGACGTTTGGGATGGGGACGTTGTCGAGGAGGTAGATTGCGAATGCGGGAGCGGCGTATATAATTCTACGAGCGTGAGCGGTCGACTTTCCTGTGTAGGAGATATTTGGAGAACATACAGAAGGGGAAGTCCAGCAGCGAGGAGGACTATACCGAGAAGGCCATAGCAGACGAAGTACCGGGCGACGTGATCGTTTCCGTAACCCCTGCATGGATTAGCATTGTCCACGAGAGAGTGATATGACCAACTTAATCTTCTTCTTCTTCTTTACTGGCTCCACGTTTTCTCCATCCTTTGCCTTAGCTTCCTTATCATCCTCAGCCCCTTGGATGTATAGCCTGTTTCACCATTAACATGGTTGAATAATTACCCAGGATGCATTACTTACGGACGACTAGCATATTGCCCGATATTGAACACGACGCCGAGGATCCTCAGACCACCCTATATCCAATTAGCATATATAACCCTAGATTGAAAGACACTCACGAAGAAAGCACTGGCAAACCACGCCAAGGCCAACAAAAACGAAAACGCCGTGCCAGCCTTATACGTCGCACACTTGATACCATTATCCAGTCGAAAGCCATAGCACTCGGAGTCGATAAACTAATCAATTAGCACTTTCTGCCATTCAATAACTAATAGACTTAATGAGCTAACCTGAACAACCAGCGCAAACACCGCACAGACAGCATTCGCCAGGGCCCAGAACAAATCGTAGACAAAGTTCGGATACGGCGGGACAAGACATGCTAGGGCGCTGAACGAGGCGAGAGCGATGATGTAAATGAGAAGGTCATCGCTGTATTCTGTGTTCGTGAAGAACTTCCCGTTGAGACCGAGTGTTATGATGGCTGATATGAAGACTCCCACGCGCGCGAGGAACCCGAAGAAGGTGAGGATCATGATTGCCTGTCGGGGAGGTGATCAAGTCTGTACATATGGGCTGGATGGTTGACAAGAACTGCGAGGAGGCCTGTTTTGAGAACAAGTAACAGGGGAGCCGGGCACGCACCAGCAGACCTCAACTTAGCTCAAAGCGGGGAGTAAATATGGAACCGCGGGGAAGGGACAACATAAGAAGAATATCCCTCAGGGATTTGGGTGGAGCTGAAGGATGGACCCTTCGTAATTGCATGCGAGCAGAGCAGCCAAGTGCTCACGAGCCGAGTCGGCGTCGAAAGGTTAAAAGCCCTAAGCAGACGGTCCGCGGTAGGGACGGAACACACAGCTGGACTTCTACTTACTCCGCATTGATGGCTGGTCTGGGAAGGAGGCCCTGGCTTTCATGGGCTAGCGAAAAAAAGTCAGACAGGGGTCGGAGCTTGTGATGGAGTACAGGCCAAGGTCTTTGCGCCGTTGGAATTCTAGCGTGTACTACACCAGTACGCTTGGGCCGGGGATTGCACCGAGTGATTGACAGGAGGGGTTTAATTCAATTATTTCATCGGATTGTTCATTCAGTGCTCGCTAGTCTGACACGAGCTATTCTCAGCTATTTAGCCTATTTATCAAGTGTATCTACTCTGGAAACCATCCAACTTAGCAGTTATTGTCCTCTCAGAACTATCATGTAGTTACACCATGGAATTGAGTTGTATTAACATATGGGAACATTGCATGTGCGGTAATACATGGAAGCGAAAGTAGTACATCATAAACGTCATCATGCAATTCAAGTTAAACAAAAAAAAAGAAAACGAGAATGAAAGACACCAAATCAAGGCTTAACAAGCTGCCCGCCTCTCTTCTTAAGCTTCTTCCTAAACAACCTCATGGAATAAGTCTTCGGGAGCTGACGCACAAACAGCGGCGTAAACGGATACACGCAAGTCATCCCAGAAACAAAAAGCCCCGAGATCATCCTCGATGACTTGCTCGACTTCAAATGAAACTGTTCGCGCAGCGACGGCGGGAGCTGCTCAATCGTCAACCGTCTAATAAACGGCATCGCCACAAGAACCGCAGGCCTCGCCCACAGCGGAACACTCTTAACAGGGTGAAAGATCTCCTTGAGAACCAGCTCCGCGTCAGGCGTAACCCGAAGCTGATTCTCAATAACATCACACCAATACATCCTAAACTCCTTCAGATTCTTCGGCCACATATCCTTCGGCACCTGCAGCGACGTGCCCATGACCGAGTAAGCCTGGAAGACCCGCTCAGCCATCGCAGGCGGCAGAGGCCCGTAGATGAGCTCATACATGCCCACCATAGAGGCATAGATTGTAATCGCAACCCAGAGCTGGAGTTCCGGATCAAGCGCGCTGTATGGTCGAGGCCCGGCCTCGGACTTGACGCGCGCATGAGCCTGGTCTACCCACGCCTTCATGCTTGCTTTGTCTTCGGGCGTGCCGAATATCATCACGTAGATGTACATCTGCGTGTACTGGACTCGGGCAATGGCACGCTTTGTAAATGTGCTGTGGTCTGCAACACCCTGTCCGACAGAAGGGTGGGCGATTTGGAGGAGGATGGCGGCCGGACCACCGGCGAGGGCTATGCCTTCGCGGGCGACTTTCTTGAGCTCTTTCATTGCGAGTGGAGATACCCTGGAGAAGGGGTTGTTGGGGTCTTCCTTCTCGACGGTGATGGTGAATGAGCCAGAGCTGGAGCTCTCGGCTTGGGAGGTGGCCTCGGGGGCTTTCTCGGCCATGGTTGTATCGATCATGGTATATCTTTCGACAAGACTTTGCTTTGGTCAAACTGAGAGATATGAATTTCTTGGAAGCCCAAGGCAGGGAAGCTCTAGTAAATAAAGCTTGAGTCTCTGGATAGAGCGTACACCACGCCATTCTGATACAACTGATGCCGCTGACTTTCCGCATCTTGCCTCTGTAAAGGAGGGTAGAAGCCCGAGGGCCCCTAGCCGCTGCCGCGAACCGCCATCGGCACCTTCAAAATCTCATGCTTGACCATTTTAAAGAGTGAGGCAATGGGCTCTTCCCCTCATTCACGCGCCAGATGGAGGTCACAAGCGGAACGGACCCATGGGGGATCCGGGCGAACATGATGGGGAAAGCGGGGAGATGGGATATGACGATATCACACGGAGACATTCCTGGATACCACTGCGAGAGGGAGATGGGCACCGAGCAATAGATCGACGATTGGCGAGGGTCCTCGAGGCGAGTCGGAGAAATAATCAATTTAGACATTTAGTAAATTTAGGTTGTTCGGGACTTTGGCTGACGGGCCGAGACCCACTTGGGCGGGTCCACTCCGAGATAAAAGCCAATAGAATATTAGGAATATACGGAGGGTGTAATTTTGGCACTGTCAGATTACGCCATCGTTACCGCTAAGTAACGACGTCCTTCGGATCCTGGAGGCCCATCATTGATGGTGGGTTAGATCATGATCAATACGGTCGACTCAAGCCCCGCAAGAATCAATCCAGCTGTGTGCGGGTGGTACAGTAGAATGTCGACGTTGATAGTATGTAATCGTCTTTGCAGAGCTGAATCCGAATTGCAGAGCGTCAGAAACGAGGATATCGTGCGTTGAGGCAATAATTGCACCAGTGTATATTTGATAGTTTACTTTGCTAATTTGAAGAAGAATATCTCGCAAGGGAAGCATAGTATTATTAGCGGAAGGCTACATAAAGCCTAATCAACATGTCCTCCAAGCACTGCGACTATATACAACCAGCAACCCTGCATCATATCCAGGAACATTCCTTTCGAATCCACCCCAGATTACCATTCCAACATCCAATCCACGACAGGTGGTTTGCCTGTCTTATATATTGTGACCTGCCAAAAGGAACCACTCGTAGAGCTGGACTATCCAGGATAGCTATGTCTTGTCAAGTTAGCTGCAGCTCAACGAATTGATTCCGTTTGACGCGTCTAGCCAAAGATAGCTCCGAGGACACCGGAGATGAGCTGAACAATGGCGTTGATGAGCTAGAATAGTATTAGTCAAATTTCACAACGTTAGTGGAGAAGGTCATACCGGAGCAACCGCATCAATCAAGCCGCTGATAGCCTTAACAAAGTCAGGAGTCAGGAGCTCATTGGCGCTTCCAACAACGTTGATAATGTTCTGAGTGGTCTTGTCGTTCAGCAGCTTAGCGGCGTTTGTGATGATTGTCGACAGCTTCTTGACGGTGTCGGGGTTGATCAAGTCGAGGAGAGGTCCAATGGAGTTGAGGACGTCGCCAATGGTACCGCCGATATCGCCTAGGCCACCGAGGAGGTCACCACCGCCGGTATCGTTTTGGCGGGCAACAAGGGCGCTCTTGAGCTGCTCGACGGGGTCGGGAGCTGGGATAGCCAGGGCCACGAGGGGCAGGACGAGCAGAAGGAAGAATTGGAAGTACTTCATTTTGAAAAGCGGACTTGGTGCTGCAAGGAGTTAGGAATTATAAGTTGAAGGCTGTTTGGCGTGAGAGAGAAGCTTGGAACAACTAGGAACTCCTGAGATTGGTGAGGTTGCTGATGAGGAGAAAGTTGAGGGTGAACATCAGGATGCTTTTATATTCAAGAAGCCGTGCTCGTAGCTGGACGGATTCATAGTACCAATTGCAAGAACGGTATGTTACCAGCATTCTCTCCGTGCCCATGATCCATGTGACGGCAAGTTGGTGTCCTCGCTTTGGCACATTCGGTAAACAGCCCGCGGATCGACGGTGATAATCAGGAGGAAAATGATGAAAGCCACTCAGAAGATAGTGCGGGGTTTAGAAACCTGCAGGGTCTGTTTACTCATTGCCTTCGGAGATGAGACATCACGGCCGGTAAGCAACTAGCAGGATGTAGGGTGCCCGGAAAGCTAGTCTTGCATTTGTGGGATCATTGAACCTTGCTACAATATCTGGAGCTCTAGAGATAATGAAAAAATGTTATTCTGTCTATATAGCTGTACATGAATAGGGTATACCGTATATCCCAGCAATTCCCGAGATCAAACAGAGAGTGGTCTAAAGTCCAACGCATACACGGCATATGGTTGCGCAAATGTTGTGATTCCGTGATAGACTAGCTTTACAGTCATATATTAAATTAAAAAGAAGTAAGACACCTCCAATAGCTTTTCGAGATGCTCCATCCGGGTGGCGGCTCGTCGCCAGACCCATCATGCGGAGGGGCAAATTCCACCATAGCTGCACGGCCCGTGGGCCCCCGGCCGAAATCAATATGGAGATTTGGTAACTGGGGCGATCGACAAGGAAATATTCATTTGCTGAGTCCAATTATGACGCCTTTGGGTGACCTCGGGAGGGATGGACGGACCGCGGGCTGGTCGTATATTCAACAATCGGTACTATATCCCGCACGATTGACACATCTTGAAAGACCCTCGCAATCTGTGGGGTATGCAGGCGAAGAAAGGTCATAATCACAAGTCTTATATAGCATGTGCTTGGCAGGTCCCTCGGTGGATTCTTGGAGTATGTCTACCTGCTCTTCCCCCTCCTTGGTTTTGTCTTGACTTGACCTGACATTGATTGCTCTTGTGTGGAGAAGTTACCTCGTCTTCTGCTTCGCATCAAAGGTTCTGTTCACTCTACTCTTATTGTTGTATTCAAGTCAAGATGCGTTTCTCCGTCCTCGCCATTGCGTTCGCCGCAACCACTGCCTTCGCGCAAGACCAGGAAAATGCCACCACCACCATTCCCGATATTGGAAACTTGCCCTCGCAAATGTTTGTCTAGATCCCTGCTTCAGATGGAAAAAAGCAAAAGAATGCTAACGCTACCAGCTCCCAACTTGCGGGCATGTTGCCAACTCTCCCTCCGAACTGGGAACTCCCCGCCAGCGTCAAAGATCTTAAAGACTCGCTCCCAACACCTCCCCCAGGCATCTTGACCGACCTCGTCAATGCAGTCCCTACCTCCGTTCTTCGCGGCCTGGTGAACCCTGCTTCTCGCAGTGCGCTTCAGGAAAGCGCTGCCAACGGCGAGGTCCCCGACTGGTACAAGGACCTCCCGACCCAGGCGAAGTCCTACCTGGGTCTTTTCGCTACCCAGATTGCCGATCGAAGCATTAACTACAACCCTACTGCGGCCGTTGCGTCTCCTGGCAGCACCGTCAAGGCTAGTGCTGATAGCGCGGATTCTGCGAATGACGGAGGCGAATCTGGAGGTTCTAGCGAGGCCCCTGACAAGGACAACGCGGCCTTTTCTTCTTATGATAGCAAGGCGATCTCGACCAGTGTCTTTGTTGCAGTGGGCATCCTCGGTGTTGCGCTTGCGCTGTAGGTGTGATATGAACATGTCAGTCGGATAATATCGTGGTGGTTTACATGTGAACGGGACAGGGGAGGATAGGGCTGCAGCAGAGTAATCTATTGTACTTAGTTCCCAACGGCAATAATCATATCGAGTACGAGTACATTGCTAATCAAGTTTGGCTTGGAGTCTTTTCGCATTCAATACCTTTCTCGCCTTAGTCGTGCCAACGCCTTCAGGTACCGTCCGCCGTGCGTTGTCGATCATCTCGCTTACAGCTTGTTCCCAGCGCCGTTAAAGGGCTGGGGGCAATGGCTAATCTAAGTCTCGGCCCGAACTGGGTCTGCAGGAGTGTGGGAGCCAGTGGGCTGTTCTCTCGGCGTCGCCACGCTGCTCGCTAGATCTGGCACTAGATGCAGCCCCGGCACTACCAACGGCCCTAACGTCTGCCGATGGACTAGTATTTTACAAGGCATATACACACACTAAGTCTATCGCCCGGCCCGACAGCAAGGGTCCTCTGCTGGTAAGACTATTGGTTAGTATTGCTTGATGCTGTGGTCTGCTTCGGGCCGGGACTGGTCATACGGAGTACAATCCACAGTCGACTGGGAGATGGATATCCACCGTGCAAGGGTCTCACCCGCGGAATATTCACTTTGTAAGTGGTCTCGCACTGGTATCCCAATATAGACCTGTAAGCCGTATAATATTAATGGTTTGCCTCTGACTGGAACGAGGTTGTATGCCGAACCTAATCCCAACGCCTCTCTAAACTTTGACGTCCGTGATATCTGCACGCCTCAGGAGAATGCGGAGTACTGCGGGGAGAGATAGCAAGTCGGCTCCACTAAACCTAAGAGGACTTGCTCCGTTTTCGCGACAGGGTGTTGGTGTGATATGTTTTGCTGCTGGTAGTATACGTGGGCTTCCACGTTCACTCCAGCGCGAGGTGATTGCTTTATTAAGATCCTGATCCAGAAGAATGAACCTTGAAAGGAATTGGAAGCGCAAAGTAATCGCCAACATGAATTCCAACGAAAGCGAACCGCTCTTGATAGAGCCTTCTCCTGAGGCATCCAGCTCCGAAGCCTCCCTCGGGTTCCAGAAGATCAAGAAGAAAGGCCCGATAATGGACAAACTGAACAAACTGAATAAACCACCCCGGAAACGCTCTCGCATTGCGTGTACGTGGTGTCGCGATCGAAAAGTCCGCTGCGATGCCTCGAGCCACGGCACACCATGCACGAACTGCGAGCTCGACCAGCAGGAGTGTGTTGTTCATTCAGCATCACAGTACGTTTACCAAGACAGTCAATGGTTACTAGCAAGCTGATATCAGAAGGAGCAAGCATATTCGTGCGAAAAAGCCAGCCTCGCGCCATCAGCCATATCCATCGCCCACCACACCAAGTACAGCCAAAGCCTCTATATTTCAGGCCTCAGAGGCTTCATCACGCAGTCCGCTCATATCCCACTCATGGAGCGAGAGAGCCGGCAGCCAAACGCCCTGGAGGACGCCTCCCCATCCAAGCTCTTCTTCAACCTCACTAGCATCAACATCCACTACCCAGTCCAGCGCAGTTCCAGACGTCTTTTACTCCGCCTACCCATTCCTGACACTCCCCGGCCTCTCTGACATCTCGCAAGAGGACTTCCAGTATCTCACCATAAAGGGCTGCTTCCGTGTCCCTAGTGGTGCAGTACTGGATGAGTTTATCCGGAAGTACTTCCTCTACGTGCACCCCTGTCTGCCTACTATCAACGAAGCCGAGTTCTGGCAGATGTACTACCGGCCGCCTTTGCCTGATGGTGAGGACGGCGGTATCAGTCTGTTTACGTTCCAGGCAATGTTATTTGCGAGTTCAGCGGTATGCCCCCCACCACGATTCAGAATATACTTGCTAATACTCATTCTATAGTTCGTCTCTCCAGAGACAATCAGATCAGCAGGATTCCCAGATACGCGAACAGCGCGCAACACACTCTACACCCGCGCCAAAGTATATCCCCCAACATATTAACCTACAAGCAAAAGTACACCAGCTAATCTGATCAGCTCCTCTACGATCTAGGCTGCGACAAATCCCCCCTATCGACAGTCCAAGCATCCCTCCTCCTAACGCACCAATCCTCCCCCACAGACCTCCACGCCGGCTCTCTCTGGCTCAGTATCGCAATCCAAAGCGCCATCGTCTACAACGCCCTAAGTCCATCAACAGACACCATAAAGAAGCGCATATGGTGGTGCATCTTGCTCCGAGATCGTATAATCGCGCTCGGCCTAAGGCGGCACCCGCAGATTACACCGCAGACAATAGGCCTTGACCTTACGGGGACGGGTGCTGCATGTAGGACTGTGCTTGCGGAGAAGGATCTCGAAGATGAAGTCTCCGGGTCAGAGGTGTATGACCCTGAGGCGAAGAGGTTGCTTGCGAAGGTTGTGGGCGTGCAGTGTGAGTTGGCGGTTTGTTTGGGGGATGTGCTGGGGGTTGTCCATTCTTCTGCGTCTCCTGCGAACATGGGAGGTGGGAATATTTGTGGTGATATGCAGTCACAGGCACAGGGGCAGAGACAAGGGGAGGTAAAGAGTGTCAAGAAACAGGTCGCAGAGTGCAAGGCCAGTCTCCTTCGGTGGTCGACAAACGCAAAGGCTCCGCTGGGGGCGGTCGTGAACTCCCATATGACACATGAGTCTGTGGGATTATTCTTTGGGTTGACGTTCTTCCACTACCAGTATGTCTTTTATTGCCCTTTTCTTGGAATTTGACCTGGACGAAGCTGATAGTGATCAAAGTGCCGCCCGTCTAGCCCTCTGCAACTTCGAAGCCCTAAGCATCCAACTCAACAAAGATTCAAACACACCGAACACTACAAATACAGACCAAGACGAAGAAGATGCAGACAATGAACGAATCCAAGACGAACTCGAAGACGCCACAGGCTGCATCACAGACACAATCAAGCGATTCCTCGCCCAGGGTGTCGCCAACCACCTCCCTATAAGCGCGTACGTCCCCAAGGAAGCCAAACCAAATGTCAAATACCTAGTCCATACTAATACTAATAACGTACAGTGTCCCCCTAATAGCCCACCCCCTCCTCCTCAGCGCCCTCGACGTGAAACTCTCTTCGACAAAATCCCAATCTGCCACTCGCAAGCGCCGGTTCCGCTACTACGCCAATCTCATGCAAGTCTTCCAGCAGCGCTATGATGGGACGGATAAAGTTGCTGCCTTTATTCAGCAGACGTTGCAGTTGGCGGATGGGATACTCCCCCGGCCGCGTGCTCGGACGCTCTCATCTAGCAGTGATTGCTCTGAGACTGGGTCTGGGCCAGGTGGGACGTGCAGTAGCTGGCCTGAGCTCTTTGCGGATTTCCCGAAGTTGTATCTCAGGCTCTTGTTCGCGCTGGATTATGCCTTTAGTCGGGGGTATTTTCCGCCTTATGGAGAGGTACAGGGGTTTTGTGGCGGGAATGATACTCATGACGCTGGGGAGACTGGACCAGTGCAGCCTTCAAGGTCAGAGGGGATATCTGGGTTAGGGATACGGGCATCGATATCGCCATATACGGATCTTGGATCTGGATCTGGATGCGGCGGACAAATGCCCATGCAGCTGACGAATCTCTACACTTTGGTTGATTCCGAGCAGCAACAGCAGGAGCATTCTCTGCTGGCTTCATCAGAAGAACCATATACAGCTTCTGTTTGCGAGACCCAAGTCCTCGACCCTCTAGTGATCCCAGCCTACAATCCCATGCTGGATGCGGATTACGCATACCCGGCGCATTTACCGTTCGCGCAACAGAACTACGAATACGGTGTGTATCAACTACATGACAGTGGAATGCTAGACGAAAATGGGCGTTCCGATTTTCTGAGTCTGGGGAGCTCGTCGTCGGAATCATATTCTGATATCGTGACTCATCCTGTGGGTGTTGGGGAGGAGGGGTTTGTGTGCATGGGTGATGGGTAAGGTGTAAAACCAATTTAAGATCACATTCTTTCTGCTATGTATATACGCAAATAAAAACGAAAAAATATATTTTATATGAAAAGATCGGCTTTGATGCCTGCTTAGCCAGTCAGGGCTCTTGCCGCTGTACGAACCGCGGGAGAACAGGAGAATAAAGCAAGCAAGAACAAGAGGGGACGAGCGTCTAGATAGTGCTACCCCGACCTCTATATTAGACCATAAATCTTAACCAGACATAGCTAGAAAAGGACTTTCCCTCCCGTTCGTTCTGGCCGCAGGGTACGATCTGGGGTGCAGTCCGCGGTATCAACAACCGAAGGATGCGAAAATCAACAAGAGCCGGAAGTATGAGCCAATAGATAGATGCATCATCCCCGCTACTGGCGACTAGTATACCCTTGAAAGACCAGACTAAGCTTTTGCAGGAATCACGCTCCCGCGGCATCTCGGGTCGGAAACGGCAAGGGTGTCCAGGATGGACTATTAGGAGCTTGGCTTAAACCAAGCCGCCATGGCCCCGGGCCTGATCGTCGTTTGGGTAGTGCGGAGGTGGGGGATACGTCAGGGAATAGAGCATTGAAGGGCCGTTACTGGCCGTCTCATTATAATAGTCAAGCACCCACAGGTTAGGCGCGATATTGTCGTCATCTGTCATGTATACTTGGCCAAGATCACCAGATCCGCCCATTTCACTTCCCATTACCGGTGTTGGAATATCCCCAATTCGTCCATACTGTCCATAGCCTAAAGCCTGACTTGCGGATGGCTGAAAAAATGGCACAGGTGTTGGCGGCATCGGGTTCATCATGTCCAGATTGATTGGCCCTTGCTCGAACGTCACCGGTGTCGTCTGATAGTTGTGCATGCTATCATACTCAGTGCCGTCCTGCCATAACGCTCCAGGCATGGTTTGAAGCTGGAGGGGGGCCTTGCATGTTCCTACCATTGATCCACTTCCCGCAGAACCAGGCAGAGATAATCCATCGTTCTGCGGCCGAATGAGAGAGAGTGGCCGTGCAGGCGCGCAATATGATGGACACCAGAAGTCTGGACCAGCAACGTTTGTCGGGTTGATCAGGTCCGTCTTCGCCATCCATGGCAGCGTGACCTTTGGAGTACCCGGAAGTATATTTCGAAGGAACTCAGGAATATCATTATCATGGGGGAGGCGCCCGACGGAGAGGCTGTAGTCGACTGAAGTCGAGATCAAGAGGTATGCTCGGGGATAGTAGACGAACACCTCCATCCAGTTCGTTATGCGGCTGGTCAGGTTCATCTTCACATTGGTTCCCATGGGAGCACCCTTTGCAGACGGAACGGTCGACGCGTCCGACTGGTCGGCCCTCAGTAGGAGCTCCTGAGATAAACTGTAAACGAGCTTCAGGATCTGGTTTGTTCCGACCGCGACGTAGTTGGTGACATTGTAGATCAGGGCGAGTCGGCGATAAATATCTGCCAGAAGGTCTACATGTCGTCTCCGGGCAGCCATCTCCTCATACGATCGCGCGAGCTTGACATCAAAGGCAGCATTAACCAGCGGCGTGGCAACAAATGCGAGGCTGGACGAGTCAGTCGATTCGAGTTTGAAAATAGAAAAAAAAAAAGGGCGCTTACGTGCAGAGTGGGATATTTTCCACGTTTTGGCAGTCACTGAAATACTCCATAGTTTCAGTCAGGCTGGCGACGGCGTCCTTGAGAAAGGTGCCACAATCAAGTAATTGGCTATTGTAGCTTTTGCCTGCGAAGTCTGCGTGGCTCTCTACGATCAGGGCCTCGTAATGAGAAAGATTAGATTGCGCAGCACTCGTTCAAGTTAGCTACGCAGTGTAAAGGGGCCTGACACTCACTAGTAATACATGTAGGTCACCTTGATAAAGGTTGTAACAGGTCGTGGAAGAGCTGAACCATCAGGCAGCATCTGCGGTGGCGTGAATCTCCTCTCCCATTGTAGAAGTTCGCTTCGCAACCTTTTTATTTCACACCGATGTGACTGGAAAGCTTTGAAGGAAAGAGAGGGTGACGATACGCCGTTCGTGGTGAACATGAATGTTGCCATATCGGTTACCAGAACCGCCAGACGACACTGATGCTGTAGCGTTTCAAATAGAATCTTCTTCGAATTTTTGTCATAGACGTTCGAATGCGCAATCTCGTCCGCAAAGTCAGCCTCTTCAAAATAGCTCGTCTCTGCATTGAAATGCTTCGAGGCGATTTGAGTGCGGCGGCGCAGCCCAAGGCAGAGACACCTGTCGCGAAGGAGAATGGACCACCATAGCCGCTTCTTCATCGAGTCTTGAAGGTCCCCAGCAAACGATACCGGCTGTTGCCCAAGAATCACGGTATTCTGCGTTGCGTAGACGAGCCATAGACTGCCGGTCTGAGGGTCGTCGGGGGAGACTTGATGCGACAGGAGGACCGCACCTTGAGCCTTATTGAGTGGAGAGTTTTCTGCTCTGAGGTCGAACAATAGCTGTAGACGACCAGGTATTAGCGCGATAAGATGCCTAGACTTCTCGCAGGTCACAAACCTTAGCGCGCTTATAAAATGACGCTCTCGCTGTCTCTTTGTCGCTGAAACCGCATCGATTGATGCTCTCGAGAGACACATGCTGGCAATAGTTAGCGACAGCAGTCGATATGCCAGTTCATACCCACAGAAACTGCGTTGAATAGCATCGCATGAAAAACAAAGAGCGACATCTTCTGCTCGGGGCTTGTTGCCCCAGTGCCTGCTTGCAAGTATAGACGCCAGAACCGAGCTTCGTCCAACACCGGCGTTTCGGGATGAATGTGCAGGAAGAACTGGTTTATAAATTCCTCGAGAATGGGCTGGTCGGGAACTGAGAAGCATCCTTTTGACCGCATATAAGCGACGTCTTCGTTATCGAGTGCTTTTATATTGTTCAGTTCCAGAAACGAGTATCGCGAGAACTCGACGCTGCCGGGTGGCGATGCGCCTCGTGTGCGGTCTTCTGTTGCATCCCAGCACTTGTTAGCTATCAAACCAAGGCATTTATTGAAGGGTGTTTACCATCAGTCTGAACACTCTGGCGGTCATCAGCGGTAAGTGGGCTTGTAAGGGCGTTCTGATAGACGTTCCGCGAGCTGCGACTGGTTAGCCAGGCCTATAGTGAGATACCGGATCGGTACGGGAGGAGAGGACTCGGGCCGGGCAACTGACAAGCGAGGAAGCTTCTCACGAAGAATACAAGTCTCCTTTCCGTCTTGCAGACATCTTGTACACGGGCAGCCGCGAAAGGATGCGTCACAGCGGAGCTTTCGCTGGTGACAGGATACGCAGGCGCGCGAAGCCCTTCTGCCTTGTTGAGAGAACATGTCGGCTGTTAACTGGAAGAGCTCTGGAGAAGTTCAGATAGCTTTCTTTTTTCTTTTACCCCCCGCAGGCGAGAGCGGCTAGCGGAAACTGTCAGTGGGTGGTGAGGTGACGCTGTGAGCCTAGTCAACCGCTGACTCGAAATGAGGGCATCATTCGATAGGATACCGAGGGATGTCTCGAGTCAACAGCAGCAGTCTTGGGTCTCGGTCGCGGTCGTGAGAGCTGCTGGATAGGCTAGACAGGACTGGGGATAGTCATCAGGGCATGAACGTCTGGGTACCCCGCACGCAGGATGGCGGAAACGGTGGATAAAAAGTGGGCAGCTGGTCCCCATTCAAGGCGATTGATATCCAGAAGGATGGGCTGAAGGATGGGCTGGCGAAACACCAAGTCCAGTGGCAACGCAGAGCCCTAAACGGGGACCCGGTTGCCCACACCATCCTGCAAACTCACGATGCAGGGAACGCGAACTTACACATTCACCTGGGAGGCCCTGACATGTGGGATGATTCGTAACCATGTCGGAAGCACGGTAGTCTTGTGCCTAGCACTCGAGTTCGTCGGCCAGATCGGTCAGCGTCCGAGTCTTCCAACTCAGTCCGGATGCAGAATCTGATTCAGAATGAGATTGATAACCAGAAAATGCTCCGAGGATCGCCCGCAAGAAGCTAATAGACGAAGATAGAATGATTTCCATTAATCACTGGCGACAATCTGGTGCAGTCTGCTGAATCCGCCCTTCCGGGGTCCGACGTCGCCCTGGACCAATAATCCCAGGCCTCATTATTGGCCGACGGCGAGAGGGCGTTAATCTCCATTAGTACTGGTGGAAACCTAGCGGACATTTGCAAGACGCTATCTTCCTCAACAGCAGATGGCAGCTTGGCAAACGCGGGGATCGCATGTGAGGAGATGCGAGGCAGCCTCGGGCTTAGGCACGCCTTACTCGTACGGAACGAGTCATGAAGTACGTAATTCTGGCGCTGAGAGGCTGTTCTCCAAGTCGTCAAGAAAAGCAAAGAGACTCGACGTGATCGCCCTGTTCGCGAAGATGGTTTCTTCGTAAGCGACCGCCCCCAACGCTCCTCAATCCTCATGGCCATCGCAATTTCAGCCGTTTCAAATAAGCTTTGGCTTTTGTTGCGAATACCAGCTGAGAGGAAATGCCGTGGAACTGCAAGGGACAAACCCAATCCACCCAGCCAGGCTCGTACGGCGGGAACTGCGATAGGCCCATGGCATTGACAGCGGCGTCATCTCCACCTGCGGCGACGGTTCCTTAGAAGAATCAGCCTGAATGATTGCAACAAGCGTAAAGACCATGGAGTCCTAGGTTTCGAAGTCGATTAATAAGCTGGATAATGGGATGGGATACTGCGCTCCGGGATGGTGTGATGAGTTGAAGTCAAAATCCAAGATGTGTTGTGTTGAGGAAGTTGCGAAGCCGAAGGGGGAAAGTCAACAACACCAAATCCACAGCCTAACATTTTACTTTAGTCCAGCTTTGTGCTTTTTCTCTCTTTTTCATTTCGTGACAATAATAATAATAGTGCTACCCTGGGCCAGTGGCAATATATATATATATCTATTATTTATTTGTTCTGTTTTTTTAGCAAGGGTTGTTCGGGCACTGGATAGTTGACGATATATATGCCTGGTACACCATCGGACCCAATGAATTAGACCACCTAAACAAAGGCAAAGAACATCATAAAACATGATATTCAATATAATAGGAGACGAATAAAGAATGTGAACTCAAGTGCCAAATATCCAAACCCAAGACTAAAGATGACCATCCACTTCGGCCTTCCTCAACATCTCCGCAATAGTCAAAAACCGAATCCCAGAGAAATACTTCTCGCGCTGACGAAGTGTGGTATCTTTAGGACACGCCGTCGCGCCGGTGACAGTCCACTCCTCCAGTTCAGCGATATCGGATTGAGGGCCGGGGTTTGTGTCGTATTCTGCCATCGAGGCGGCGATGTCTTCGAGAGAGCGATAACTTCGTTTGAATGGACGGTCTAGATACATCGTTATTAAGAAGATGAGTATAGAAGAACGTTGAGGATATATTCTTACTATAAGTCTTCTCCAGCAGCTTCGCGGCGTCATTGAACGTGCCCCATTCGCCGGTGATGTATATCTCGGGCTCCTATACAAAAGAAAACAGCAAGTTAGCAGATACGAGGATATGGATAGCAGACGAACTGACCCATGCTATATCCGTATTCAACAATGCCAAAACAGCCTTGGCAACATCTCTCCCACAAGTCCACCCCTGAGGTTCATCGCCCGTCCCGCGCACAGTATACGTCCATGCCATCGGATCAACAGGAAACTCCCCTGGGATCCGCTTCATATACGACTTCTCCTCTGGTAGGAAGTACTCCATGAACCAGCCGAAGTTGACAAGAGTCCATTTCAAATCCGATGGAGCGGTTGCTTTGAGGATATCCCGCAAGGGTGCGCGGGTATGAGCGTAGGAACGGAGGAGATGGGGGAATGTTTCGATATTACCGGCCCATTCGGAGGGGATGAAGCGTTTGCAGGTCTCGGATTGTAGGCACGCTTTGACTAGTGCTGTATGGATTGGGAGGTACTCGTTGCCGTCGCAGCGGATTAGAGAGATCAGGGCCGTTGCAGAGGTTTCGTCGAGGATGGAAAGGACGGAGGATTCGGTGTATTCTGTTTGGTGCACGGTAGTTCTTGGGAGGGAAGGACTGTAATCTGTCTTTAGGAGGGGTGAGAAGTGTTGCCTAGTTTAATTTGTATGGAATCAAGGCAGACCTTGCGGGTTAATAGGGCGACGGTATAACTGCCGTCCTTGATGAGCTCTTCGTGAAGGTACCGGCCCAAGTCGCCAGTCCCTCCTGCGAGGACGATAACTTCTGATTTATCCATTAGATGGTGAGATATTCAAAGGCTGATAGATGTAGGAAACAATCTACAGCACAGGACTACCAGGGGACTTTTACCAAGGGCAAGGTGGTCGTGCCACCAAGTGAGACCAAATGGAAATTATGCTTGATGACCGGAATTACAGCAAACATGCATTGTCCACTTGCACGACCACTGCAGCTCCGAGAAAGGCAAATGCAGAGTGTCTTATTTAGTTGGATATCCTAATTATATATAGCATTGCTCGGCTAAGTCCTCCAGAGAGCTAGGTACGTAGCCACCCCCATCACTAGGCAAGGTATTGCTATCACAGTTAGCCTGAATCCATAATCCGTGGGGAAGACCATACCAAGCATAACATTCATCAAATAGTAGCCCACCGATTCCGTCAAGATACCTGAGAGCACAGGCCCCAGGAACATGCCCAACTTCCAGCTGATGTTGGACATCGCAAACGCACGAGAGTATCCCGAGCCGGACCCAAATATACCAGGATTCTCTGTAGCAAGCTCATTGGCGCCCTCTAGTTGCTGCTGTTAGATACGTATATCGTGATATGGAATGATAGAGCAGTTGGAAAACCGACTTAACACCTCAACACCACCAAAACCATGCAGCAGCGTCCTGGAAACCCCAATTCCTACAAGTGTAGCGATATAAACTGCCTCTGCAGTTCGGGGGTCGTTCGCCCACTGAAAGTGTCCATATCCAGGCAATCCCAAGAACCAGAGGAAAAGACCCATAAGCAGGCAGAGTGGCAGATTGCTATTCTATACGCCAGCTACGATAATCTCAAGAGCTGCCTATCAAAAGCATGGCTCACTCGAATATGCTTTCCGCCACCTTGGATTCTATCCAGATTTGTATCCAACCGTTCGCCTCAAGCCCCGCTCGTTTTGAGGCATCATAATGCTGACTGCCGTGGTAAACAGTTCCCTTAAGTTGCTTTAATCCCTGGAAGCCGATCGGCTTGGGCATCGAATAGATACCAGTGCACCAGGCGATATGTCGAGGTTGAAGCGTTCGCCGGACACCGTCACGCACAGGCTCAACTGTCGATTTGCCCTCCGTGTCAGAGTAATCAGCAGTTTGGATACTGGATTTCGTCCAGACGTTCAGGTCCATGATGAACGCGTACGATTACAACCAGTCTGCCAGCTTATCATTTGGGGTATACTTCGGCGACGTCTTGGGGAATGGGAGATATGCCATGTGGGAAATCTCGGCGTGGTCGTGAGTGACAAGCGTCTAGACAGTTAGTATGGTATATTAGGCAAGGAATGCAATGGATATACCCTGTAACGATTTCTCCAATTGTCGCCGACACGCTCATTCCTTTCTATGACGAGGCAAGATTGTCTGAATGCCTTCAGGCGGGCGGCCATTGTGTGCTTCTACCGTCGAGACGCAGTCGATTCCAACCAGGGCATATTGCATGACCGGCCTGGCTGACAGTCCTCTGCATTCCAACAGGTCTAATTCCAATTCAAGCCAGCTGAGAGGCAAATGCCGATATTATCAATCTTATGAAAAAAAAAGAAAAAACAGAATGGCCAGTAGCCTCCGCAGCTTGGCTGACTCGACGCAAGCCAGGATTGTGATACCCTAATATGCAAGACTCGTCACAGCGGTTGCTCGCGGACAGTCTCACAGGCTGTCACACAGGATAAGCCACGACAAATCTACCCCTCATCCCAGCGGAGAAAGAAAAAAGAAATGCAAACCAAGGTGATGCTGCAAGTTCCACGGAATACCTCTGTTGTATTGCAGCAAAGATGCCTTGGAAAGTGGTTTGATCAGGCGTAGAAAAGGACCTTGTACAGAGAATATGATCCATACCTCGCCGGGCAAGAATTGCCACAGGCTGTTCCTTTTGTACTGAGTGGATCTGTAACTCTCTTGCTATTGATAATGCCCTGTGATGTATCTCGTTGAAGGTGAGTGTGCTTTGTCCCTGTTCAACAGCTACACTGTCACAAAAAGACAGTAGTAGTTGCCGCAGAATGTGGGCTAGGCCAAGGTCTCCTCGAGGCCTCGAGTGCATCGTAAAACAGCCTCGAGAGTTCACTGTGCAACTTCTGGATATGGGTGAATCTTCAAGTATGGTGCGATTCGAAATCAGCCACAGCGTGAAGACGGAATGCAGGCCGCTCTATGCAAAGGGCTGACTCAACAATTCATAATGAGGGCAGACCTGTGTTTCAGCTATCTGCTGGGGTATAAAAGAGCACTGGAGAGATATTGTGCGTAGGCCTGAAATGCCCCAATGGTACTCGCTGAATATCCGAGCCAAATAGCAGTCTACTCTCAAGATGAATCCATCTAGCGTAAACCTGTTGGAATACCTTCGTTCAAAGACCCAAATCGATCTGGATAGTTTTGACATCACGGGTAAGGCTGCCGCGTGATATTCTTATACAAGCCAAGCTGATACTGCGTTTAGTCGTGGAAGAATTCGGCAAATGCGTTGACTGCACTTCAAACCAGGTATTCCTATATGTTTCCCTTATGAGCAGTATTAATATCGAGCAGTATGAATACTACACCGAACTTACGAAGCCAGCCAGAAAGGAAATTCTTGAGAAGGCGCTGGAGCTAGCTTTGAATCTCCATGATCAGTTCCCTGAAGTGACGTTTGAAGAGCTCGCAGTGGAAGTTGCAGTACGTTAATTCCTTGAACCAGCAAACTATTGATCCTTACATTTGTTACAGGCAGTTCTCCTAGGGCATGAAATGCTACCAGCCTTTACGGGGTCCCTCCATGTTATGGCAAATCCGAATCACGCCTATTCGAAACAGAAAGTCGTTGAGACAGCGAAGAGTATAGATAACCTATTACAAATCGTATTATCCTGATACTAATTTGTATAGGAATACATAGCATATTCGCGCTCGTTGATCCCTTCTTCCCCACTGCACGCATTGTCATCAAGGTCGCTGCAACCTGGGAAGGCCTTCAGGGATGTCGTGAACTACGGGACTACGGTATCAAAACTCTTGCGACAACAGTATTCTCGATGGAGCAGGTTATTCTAGCTGGAGAAGTTGGTTGTGTATCTATCTCGCCGTTCATTCACGAGCTTAGAATCCTCCTCGATCCGAAGTAGGTCCATCTACCTCATATGCTCATAAGTTACTGGGTATCTGACAGCGAACCTCAGATACAGAGATCCTCATCCTCTGCTTGACCTATGTGTACAGGCCGAGGAATACTATAAGCGATTGTCTCTGCCGACCAAGGTAAAAGCCTGTTCCAATGCCAACCTTGATGAACTTCTACAGCTAGCAGGGGTGGACGCACTTACGCTGGTACCGGATGACCTAAAAGCGCTCAAATCTAGTTATAGAGACGCAAAGGAAGTGGACGAGTTATCCCTATTCAAGGCCGATCGTCACGATCAAGGTGAACCCCAGAATGTGTCGTATATCAATGATGAACTCAAGTACCGCGGGGACTTTGAGCGGGCACAAGACGGAAGGGCGAGGGGAAAGCTTGCTGAGGTATGTTGATATTCAGATATATCTAGCCTACCTGCTAACGATTTATTAAGGCCATTGACATTTTTCGTAATTTTCAAGCAAAGGCAGAGGCTGTCATCAGGAATGCCAGATCGTAAAATCGTGAACGATTCAGCACGCTAGGCACTATGCAATTAGTATTCGGTAAATTTTATCAATAACCTCACATAACATCCCTCCGATATTCTACCCTTTAGCTGGATTTTGTCACTTCAACAGAAGCTTCTATGGGGGGTGGCCACCCTAAAGCCTCACGCGTAGGCAAATCTCCAAGCCTAGGAAAGGAAAAGGCCCATGCATCGTCCACCACTTGATGAAGGGATCTAGACCAAAATATGCATATGCATGACTATCACACGAACCGTGGTAGACCGAGAGTATAATCATGACCGAACAAAGAAAGCTGGGGACACTCGGCTTACTTGCAGCACACGAACCAATCCAGGACATCAACCCTTGCATTGAGCTGAGAATGCCATCCAACACGGTTACACAAGATTACTCGACCCAGTTTTCCTCTTTACCGCTCGCCCACAGGATTATTGCCTATAAAAGGGAGCCTCTCACAGCCTCTCGGCCTCCGGAGTGCAGTTCCTGCACGTCAAAAGCAAGCATGAGGGCCCAGGGAATACTGTCCCTGCTGTCATATTTCCCAGCTCTGGGGAAGGCCGGCAACAGCCCAGAAACTCGGTCTCTATTTACCTTGTATGCTATACTCAGAGCCAGCGCATGATCAAGGGATGGGATGTTCGGGCTATGTACAACAACTAACTGCCACATCCATGCCAACAGCGGCGACTCGTACTCAAGCACGAAGTTCAATGTCTCGTCGACGCAGCCCTCGCCGGAGAACCCAATGGGAAATCCTGAACTCGGTAGGACTCTTCTCAACTCGTCTGTTGTACATCACTGACATCTATTCGACAGGACACGGCACCGCAGCGGACTCGATCAACTGGGTTGGGTATCTGACAACACAGTATAATGACACCACCGTGCTGAGCTATAACCATGCCGTATACGGTGCCACAGTGAACAACTCCATTGTTGTATCTGACCCCGATGTTCCGCAGGATCTGGTGTACCAAGTGGTAGACGAGTTTGGGAAGAACTACTGTCCCCCGCATACAACTGGCCTCGGATGGAGTTCTGAGGAAGCGTTGTTTGGAGTGTGGATCGGAATTAACGAGTAAGGCTATCACGGTCTGATGAAGCATAGGTTGTCTAATGGCTGAATTTGAAGTATCTACTTCTCGTACCAGCTTCCTGACCCCCTCGCTGCGCTCTCTCGTGTCTTACAGAGCTACTTCAATCTCGTCGACAACCTGCATACCTGCGGTGCTCGAGACTTCCTCGTCTTCAATATCCCACCATGCGACCGAACCCCGAATATAGCGGCACTCGACAAGTCGGATATAGAGCTCTACGAGGCCGTGACAGCGCAGTTCAATGGCCGGCTCCACCATGCAGTTGAGGACTGGCGTTCATCTAACCTCGATGTGAGTGGACATATAATGAAGCCGATTTCGAACCTGTCTAACTAGAGAAAGACCACAATGAGGATATACGACTCCTGGTCCTTCTTTACGACAATCCTGGACAATCCGCAGGAATACGGCTTCGTTGACAGCACTTGCATAGGCCACGAGCAAGGGTGCCTCTGGTGGGATGATTTCCATCCTGTCTCGGCGTTCCATAACCTGCTTGCTGCGGATGTTGGGAGATTCTTGGGGTGGTAGGTGATTAGACATAGGTTGCTGCTCTCAGCTACGTGGTTAGAGGCAGACCGTATAATAGACCATTCCATGGCAGATTTCTCATTATGGCAGTGGGCTTGGAACTACTGCACTGTGGTATCCTGTTGGCTGTCAGTAGTGGTTAGCTACGCTGTTTTCTGTTACAACAGATATAAGCAGAGCTGGACCAGATTAAGATTCACCGAATATGGCACCCAAGGCAAGGGTCCTTTATGGGGAAGCGGGGTAACGCATGTCCAAAATGCCACAATCTAGGACGAACTTGTTAGGTATCCAGGACCTAGGCCGGCCTTGAGTCCGAACAAGACGATGTGTAACGGTGCTTCTGCGGGGCGAACCTGGACATTGCCAGATAATGACCGCTGCCAGGTCATGAACAAGGATCTTCAAGGACAGCTACTGTAGACTGAGGTGTACTCTGCTCCCCTGCTTGTCTCGAGCAAGCTGCCAGCAGATTATCGACACATAAAACCAACGTATACAACCTGGAAGTAAAATCGGCACAACAGTACTCATGGGCGGCTACCCCACAGTCATACACACCACAATGAACACTCCATGGAAAGTCGTTAATTCCCCTTCGCCAGTTCCGAGTCCCACCAAGCTGTCCCACGGTTTCACCATCCAGGCACCATCCTCCTCCGACATGTGGGGAACTCCAACAGGCCCGGTCTTCACCTCCCCTATGGTCTGCTAATCGATCCCCCTCGGATCGTTCCACAGAGCCCGTGTTACAATAACTGCAGATCCCAAAGAGCTGTACGGCTAGGGCGGCTTGGCACTTATAATCCATCGGCCTGACGCAACCCGCGCATGGGTCAAGGCAGGCCCGGGGTTTATCAACGGGGAGCAGCTTGTCTGTGTTGCTGGGAGGGACAGGCTACCTGATTCGAGTCTAGGGACTTCGATTATGGCCAGTTCTGATGGAAATGCTGAGGTGACGATCGAGATGGCGAGAGATGACACTGGCCTGGCTGTGTTTGAAATTCAGGCGGAGGGATCGGGTCCCGAGAGGAAAAGAGTCATTCGAGAGACGGCGTGGGTGTTTGCAGGTAGTGGAAATGAAGAGTGCTGGATTGGAGCGTATGCAGCCAAACCACTGGGGGATGCGAAGGATCCTGATATAGTGGTGAGATTCAGAGATTTGGTTGTTGAGATCTTAGTGATACTCAGGGATTTCCTCTTCCAACATACAGTGCGAGTCCTTCGAAAGGCGGCTGCTATCCCAGACGACAAGCAGCGGGAAATGTTGGATAACATTCTTGTACGGTGGGAGTAGCTTTTGTTAAAACGGGAAGCCCTGTGCTGTCTACTCTATAGTAATATGAAGTCTAGGCTCCGTCACTATTTTTTACTATATAATGTTTACATACCACCGAACATGAGCATTCTCGGGTGTTTATTAAAACAGTGAATCCCATATCACAATGGATTCTGAGTACTTTTATAGTTTTCGAGTATCAGAGATGCCTGTTTGCCAGCTCTTGTGTTCTTCCGAGTAGATCCTTTGTGTCGGTTATCAAGGAATTCAGACTTGCAATAAAGACTTCTCCAAGCTAAACAAAAGACTATAAAATGTAACAATCACTTATCTTCTTTTCACAAAGACGTGGGCAAGTGCTATTCATACTGGTTTAAGAACCACACCCCTTACTATCCACAAACACATTCAACCATTACTCCTATAAACGAGCTATTGTCCGCAGGACAAGGTAATCTGAAAGTGACCTGGCCGACGTCCCACCATAAATGAATTCTTGAACCTCCCAAGCGAGCTAATTGAGCCGATTGGGGAAGCATCAAACACCCAAGACGACGTCCTGGCTCTATCCCGGACATGCAAATCGTTCTATACCCTCCTAAAACCGCGCCTAATCCCATACAGCATCAAAAACAGAAAAAGCTCTGGTCTTCGTGCGGCAGCTCGTCTAAACGACATGGATGTCGCCCAGGAGTTCCTCCGCCGCAAAAGAGTTGACGTTAACAGTACAATTCTTGACCAGTGCGGTACGCTTATGACACCCCTTCTCATAGCCGTAGACCACGGACACGAAGACATGGCTATCCTCCTGCTTAGAACGGAGCGCACCCAAATAAGGGCGCCAGGTGGCACAGCCACAATATATTCTCCCAAGCCTACAGAAGTGACAAGTTCCGCCTCGTTCGCAAGCTCGTCGCAATGGGATGCGTGGTTGACTTTCGCAAGGTCCCCATATACCATTTCAGCGTGAGGAACCTGCCCAAGCTCGAGATCCTTCTGGGGTGTTTCAAAGCACAGCACTTCAGCGATTCCGAGGAACAGATTTTCCAGCTGCTAGGGGAAGTGGCGCGTGTTGAGGCTGTAAACGTTGTTCAAGCTCTGCGCCTCGAGTAGATGAGGATATGAACCGCCGGCGACGAGAAATACTGGAACTTCTGCAGTGTGCTGCTGCTTCTGTTGCTGATGATACTTATCGTGCTAGAGTGCAAGGAGTACTCGAATGGGTGCTTCAATATATTGAAGTCTGATTGAACATGTACTTCATGCGAACAGCTCTCTGTCTAGGTTAGATACATATTAACATTGAATATACATGTTCAAATCCAAGCCATCGAAGAGGTAACACCCAAACAACCGTAGCCTTGCTCCTACTATTCACCTTCTCCATAAATGATAGACCCGCATACTTGTGCGTTCACGGCTGTTCAGTGCGTTTAACTGGCCATATAGCATGGGCATCAGGCAGCGAACTTCTATTCACCAGAATATTCGCAAGTCCAGCCTATCCACATCATCTGTGCCAGCCACTGCCTGGTCTATAAAAACGCCCGCTCCCACTGCTGTGCTGTTTCCTTCCTCAACCTGTCTTCATCTTCATCTCGAAGTCCACCAAACATCTCAATCCATCCATTCACACCAGATTACGCTTTACTCAAGTTACTCTTAAACTCCACAATGGGCTTCGCAGACCTCCCAACCGAGCTCGTCCTGCAAATCGCAGAGACCGCTCCCACTCCTCGCACCCTCCTCATGATGGCCATCCTCAACCGCCGCTGGTACAAGATCATCGCCCCCCACCTCATCGAGTACAACCTCAAATACCACAAAGGTGTCGGGCTCGTTCACGCCGCGAAGAAGGGCAACCTGCGCGCTGTCGAGCTCTTCCTCGACGCCGGGGCCAACCCTAACACCGCGCCTGTTTACACTACCAAGAATATTGACTTTTGTCTCTGGGGTGTTTCGTACTTCCACGGCAGTCTGGATGTGCTCGACCTGCCTCTGTTTCTCGCCGTGAAGAACAAGCATAAGATGACGGCGTTGTATCTGCTCCAGCGCGGGGCGAACCCTGATATCCGTAGCTGGAAGGGTCACCCTCATGTCGCTGACCTGGCGGAGTTTGGAGGAGACTATGTACTGGCGACCTTGTTGCGTGTGCTGAGCCGTTCCAAGGTAGACGTGGACATCAACTGGCTGGAGTACAGGTATCGCCGGGGTGGTTTTCCACCAGTTCCTTTGACTTGACTGTTGGAGAGTCACATTGGCTTTTGTTATTTGGGACCTGATTAGGAGTCTCTTTCTTATTTAAGTGAACCTTTGTACTCTGATATCTGTTGTTAGCCCAGTGCTCTATAGCTGCCCAGAATACTGCCAATTAACACAACAAGGATTATCGGACTTCTGACCCATTCCAGCATATCGTACCCCTTATCAATCCAATCAGCAGGTTGCAATTGGCAATGCGCCATGTCCCCGCGCCGTTGAGAAGCTTATTAGGGCCGGTAGCGTCACTCTAGCCAGAACAAGTAGCAGACTCCACGACGACCGCTTTGACCCCAAAGGGGATTTAATCCGCGACTCTGTCGTCTAATGTGACGGTCCTAGTGCGACTTGTCCTCGTGTTGGCGTAATGTTAGGCGTCCCAATGCACAATGTCATAAATAGCCTTATCCTCGAGAAGGACACACGGCCTTCAGGCTCATGACATGACCTCCATCAATATGGCCTTGACCACCCTTCTCAGCGCAGCAATCGGACTCGCCCTGCTGTATTTAATTAAAACAGTCTTTGATAAAAAATCAATCGCCCCTCTCCCTCCAGGCCCTCCACCGAGGCCGATTATCGGCAACCTCGCAGACCTTCCGTCTCCAGGACAGCAGGACTGGGTCCACTGGCTCAAGCTCAAAGATACTTACGGTGAGGCTAGCTTTACTATCCAGGATAGTCGTTAATTACTGTAGGTCCAATAAGTTCAATCACCGTCCTGGGGCAGACAATCGTCATCATCAACGATGCGCGAATCGCATTCGACCTGCTCGATAAACGGTCCAATATTTACTCCTCGCGACCGAGGATGATCTTTGCCGGTGAAATGTACTTTTTCCGCTCCTGTAAATTCGGAAAGTAAATATCTTATTAGCGGCTAGGGTCGGATGGGAGGATTTCCTCGCGATGCAGCCGTACTCTGATACATTCCGTTCCTACCGCAAGGCCATGCACCGCGTGCTGGGGACGAAGAATGCCGTTGCGCAGTTCAATCAGCTTCAAGAGGTTGAAGTACGGCGGCTTCTGCTGCGTGTTTTGCAGAGGCCGGCCGATTTGAATCAGCATATTAGGACGTGAGTTGTATCTATATATATGTTGTACTATGCTGATCAGCCAGGTTGACTGGCGCGGTTATTCTGAAGATCGCATATGGATATAATATCGAACCACACGGTCGTGATCCTCTCGTTGAACGTGCTAATAAGGCGCTGGAGAATTTCTCTGTTGCGGCCACCCCTGGGGCTTGGATGGTTGATACTGTCCCGTTTTGTTAGTATCGCATACCTCTCCCAAGGATATCTCTGATAATGATGATAAACAGTGAGGTATATACCAGCTTGGTTCCCCGGTGCAGGATTCAAGCGCACGGCTGCATCCTGGAGAGAGAATCTCCTAGAGACAACTGAGAAGCCCTATCGTCTTGTCCTGCAGCAGATGGAGCAAGACACATACCCGGCTTCATACTTATCCAAACTGCTAGAGGAATCCCAAGGCCGCAGCCTCACACCAAAAGAAGAACAGGTGATAAAATTCTCAACGGCGTCTCTCTACGCTGGTGGTGTAGATACAGTAAGCCATCCCTAGTCTTTGACAGTAAGGCAAGTAAACTCGACTAACAGATAAAGACCGTCTCGACCATATCCTGCTTCTTCCTCGCAACGGCTCTGTTCCCAGATATCCAGAAAAAGGCCCAGGAAGAACTCGACCGTGTCATCGGTCCTAATAAACTACCCTCCTTCGCCGACAGATCTAGACTGCCTTATATTGAGGCCGTCGTCAAAGAGTCTCTGCGCTGGCATCCCGTCGCCCCAATGGGTATCCCACACATGTGCACCGAAGACGATGTATACGAGGGATACCTCATCCCTAAAGGATCCTTGGTGTTGCCTAATATATGGTACTCCCCTTTTCCATCACGTACTTAATATATCTAAACCATTTGTTAATAATTTGTTAATAGGACATTCACCCACGACCCATCCGTCTACCCAAACCCAACAACATTCAACCCAGACCGATTCCTGGGCGTCAATCCCCAGCCAGACCCGCATAATCTGACATTCGGCTTCGGTCGCAGAATCTGTCCTGGTAGGATTCTGGCGGATTCGACGGTATTCTTGACCATCGCGCAGTCGTTGGCTGTGTTTGATATTTCTCCTGGTGAGGGTGCAAGGGCGGAGTTTTTGCCGGGGGTTATTAGCCATCCTGAGCCGTATGGACTGGAGATCACACCTAGGAGTGTGCAGCATATGGAAGTGATTAGGGAGGTGGAGGTGGACGTTCCGTGGGGGAAGGATATTGAAAGTACATCGTAGAGCCACTATGAAATTTCTTCCCACTCATCAATATACGAGGAATAGCCTTTTTTATGCTTGATCACGTCTATTCACCTAGCCACCTAAATAACTAAACAAACAAGAAGCCAGCACCCTACTCTAGCCAGAAACAGAAACAAAGAATCTATCTTGATATCGCACTACTTTCGTAGCACTATGTCTCGATACACTGAGAGTAGTAAGGGTTGAACTGCTGGCAGACAAGACCAGGGGCACAGCCACCAGCCCCCTTGAAGTTCAGTCCACCGCACTGGCCCCAGAGCTGGCCGTCGCCACCAACACCACCGGAGCTAGAGGGCTGGGCAGGGGCAGTGGAGCTGGACGGAGGGACCGCGGAGGTGGTAGGGCGCACGCTGGTGGTGAAGGTCGGGGCGGCGGTAGGGATGGTAGGGACGGTAGTGGTTGCGGCAGGAGCTGAAGCAGACGAAGTAGGGGCAACGCTGGAAGTAGGGGCAGCGCTGGAGGTAGGAGCAGCAGAGGCTTCCTTGGAGGAGCCAGAGGCAGCACCGGAGGCACCGTCCCAGACGGCAGGGCCGGGGATGGGGTAGCTGTCGAACTGGTTGTAGATGTCGAAGAGGACGCCCTTGTCGTCGGCCTTGTAGGCACCAGGGATGGAGACACCCTCGGGCAGCTCCTTGGTGCCAGACGAGGTGATCTCGACTTGGACACACTCCATGTAGAACTGGGCACCGCCCTCGCGGGTACCCTCGTGCAGGCCGATGAGCTCAGGACGGAACAGGTACTTGCCAGCGGGGACGTCGGGGACGGTCACGGAGTGCTTGCCCTTGTTCTCGACGAGGGTCTCGACAGCCCAGGTGCCATCAGTGTAGCCGTCCTCGGCGATCTTGACCCAGCCGTTGCCAGCAGAGCCGGCCTCGCTGGGCGCCATGTAGACCATGACGGGGCCCTTGTGGGAGAGGTCGATGATGTCGTCGCTGGCGTCGCGGCTGTTGTGGTGCCACTCAAAGGTGAGCTTGTCGCCACCAGCGGCCTTGATGTACTTGGAGGCTGCGGTGGAGCCGCCGACGTTGCAGGTCATGTCCTTGGAGGTCACGTCGGTGACGGGGGAGTTGCTGGGAGGAGTGCGAATGTAGCCGTCCTCGCCGCTGCCCAGGCCCTGGTCCTCGTCATTGACCCAGGCGGCCATGACGGTGGTGTGGGCGGAGACGAGTTTAGCGCTCGCTGCCAGAGCGAGGAGTCCGAAAGTCTTCATTTTGAAGGTATTCAAGAATCAAGTGCAAGAATTGAAGGTTAATGAAAGTGGTGTCGCCGGGACAGTAACAGCAGGAAAAATAAAGAATGAATAGTGATGGAATGGTCAGAGTAAAACAGCAGCAGGGCAGCAGACTTTGCTCTTATAACTCGTATACAGGCACTCTGAGGCATGGGATGTTTGATGAGCAGCCCTGCCAAGCGGCGTGTTTCATCTATACAAAACCCGCTCCACCGCGCCTCACGCAGCAGGGACAGCGCAGGGACAGCTTTTCCAGTCCCAGTCGGCCTGTCCCGACCACTGACAGACCCTGAAAAGGCTCTTAATCAAGCTCAGAATCTTGGCGTTTCAGCGACGACTATCACCGCTGCTCTTGGCCGCTCGATATTAACCGGCGGCAACATGCAATATCCGGCTTACGATGTTAATATCGGTGTTATTTATGGGAATGAGTTAGTCTCGTTCAGCCTAAAGGGGCGGACCAGGTCGGTTCCCTGAACTGGTTCTTAATCCTGGCCTGCCGTGGCGATATAGATGACCCCTATACCGATAGTATAAACTAACCCCATCAAGTATGATTCAGAGCAATCTTTCAAGGCCCATAAAGGCCCATAAATAAGTCCAGCAAGGCTTAATATCGACATTTCTCCGAAGCGATCATCGTCATCAAACTGGGTCCGAGATTTCTCCTATCCGCGAGATGAGGCTACCGAGTACTCTCTGTCTATCACCCTGTTATTTATGGAATAGGAGTATAATTGAAATCATCATCATAACTCATAATTGTCGTAACTATTTACAGACGCCGTCCTATAAGCACCATCCGCATCGCCCCCTCTGCTGCCTCTGCCAGCCACTGCTCAGTCTCCTCCATCGCCTCTTCCAACGACAACGGTCGCTGCAGAATAGAAGCAAATGCATCAACTCCTGCTTCATAATTCACCCGTGAGCCGCAGCCGACTGTGCCAGCCAGCGCGATAAGGGGTATCCCCCGTTCCTGCGTGCGCAGAGCCACCTCTGCTGGGATCTTCCCCCTGGGCGTCTGGTCATCAATCATCCCTTCAGCCGTGAATACCAGGTCCGAGTCGTTGAAAATATCCTCCAGGTGGAAGTACTCAATCAACGCATCGTATCTCGGACGCAGCTTTGCCTCGATAAGGAGCAGACCTGCCCCTAGTCCGCCCGAAGCACCGCTCCCTGGCATATCCGATATCTTGATCCCGAGCGTGCGATGGATGACAACAGCATATGTTTCCAGTGCAGCTGCAAGCATTTCCGTCTGTGCAGGGGATGCGCCCTTCTGAGGCCCATATACACGCGCCACTCCTTCAGGACCGCAAAGGACGTTCTTCCAGTTACACACGGCCTCGATGGAGACTTTGCTCAGGCCGGGATGCATCTTGGAGAAGTCAATCCCGGCAAGGGAGATAAGAGACTGGCCTCCGCCTGCCCGAGGGAGGTCCTGCCCATTACGGTCTATGAGTCTAGCTCCTAGACCCTGCAGCATCCCTGCACCCCCGTCGCTGGTCCCTGAGTCGCCGCAGCCAATGATAATGCGATCAACGCCTTCATCGAGTGCAGCGGCAATGAGCTGGCCAACACCATACGTGGTAGTTATGCATGGATTTCGAGAGGCCTTAGGGATCAGGCTAAGCCCAGCAGCCGCAGCCATCTCGATCACAGCCGTCTTGGCTTCAAAGGGCGGTGTGGTGCCTAGGATCCCATAATACGAGTCTATGGGTGTGCCCAGAGGGCCAATGACACGGTGGTTATGGATTGTTCCACCCGTCGCAGAGACAAGGGCTTGGGTGAATCCCTCTCCACCGTCTGCGAGAGGCACCTTGCGGACTTTTGCTGAGGGCATGGCTTGCAGGATGCCTGCTTCAATGCAGTCGGCAGCTGTCTCGGGGCTGATGCTCCCTTTGAAGCCAGAGGGGCAGACGAGGATATTCATGATGGCAACTAGGAATGTATAAAAGCGAGTGGGTGGATTTATTGGTATTATGAGCGAATGGATATATTGATTGATTGTGAACGAAAGTGGTTGATAGGCACTGGATGTCTATGTTTACATCCGGTCAACGCCCTTTTTATAAGGTACAACCTGGTCAGTCTTCACCTTCCATCACATCACATCTCGTTCCAATGCTCTCACTCCTGCTTGGGCCGCTCCGCCTCAATCCCAGTCCAAGATACCTCTCCAAGACCCAGCCCAACCTCTCAGGCCGTGCGATAAGAAGCCCACCCATTTCTAAAAATTGTTATATCGCTGCCTGTAGTGGCACAGCAGCGGCAGGTGTATGGATCGCAGACACGAGCGGTGGACTGGTCGACTGGTGGTCCTGGGCCTGGTGCCCAGCCTCTGACGTCGAGCCACATCCCCCCCAGGTATCTACAACTCTCGCATTCAGGCCCAAATATAGAATAGTTTTACTTAATCAGGCCATCGCGTGCACACGATCGCTTAACACTTGTGGCTTAGACGATCGACATTTGCGGAGATTGTGGGTTCTGGGCTTCGTGAAGAAGCCCGATATCCTGTTGCCTGGAAGGGTCATTGGGAATATTACTGGATCTTGGCCAAACAACAACATCTGCGCCTCATTCTTGTAAATGTGGGCACGACAATTATCATCTGGAATGGGTCGAGATGGTCTCGCTGGCGGGGCTGGAATATTGCTGTTCTGATGTATATAAAGCTGTAGCTGGTAGACTACCAGACTATCAACACCAATATCATTTATTCTTTCATTCATACATTCGCTTTGCAAACAGTCATTCGCTTAAACATGTTGAATCAATCCCCCCAGAATTACAATCGTTCGCTGGATCCAGAGTCTGGGCACCTTCTCGAGGAGAGACCTCCATCCCCTCCAGAATACGACACAAAGCTGGTAAGACAGAACAACTCTACCTTTACCAGATTCAAACTCATAATCTCAGATAACCTGGTCATCCCCTACCGACCCAACAAACCCTCTCAACTGGAGCCTGAGTCGAAAATGGTCTGCTACACTGCTGGTCTCCTGCTTCACCTTCATCTCCCCGGTATCCTCTACAATGGTCGCACCAGCCCTCGACCAGATAGCCGCCGACTTCAACATCACCTCCGGAATCGAGCAGTACCTCGTCATGTCGATCTTCCTACTCGCATACGCGCTGGGCCCCTTTATCCTGGCCCCGCTGTCGGAGATGTACGGGCGGGTTGTGGTTCTGCAGTCTGCCAATATGGTATACCTGGTGTTTAACACGGTCTGTGGGTTTGCCACTTCGAAGCAGCAGATGCTTGCGTTTCGGTTTCTGAGTGGGCTTGGGGGGAGTGCGCCGCAGGCTGTATGTGACTCTGCCTTACTTGTTGGCTGTTGCTAATAGTATAGATTGGCGGAGGAGTCTTGAGTGACTGCTGGAGGAAGAATGAGCGAGGATCTGCCACCGCTGTATACAGTGTGATGCCATTCATAGGTCCTGCAGTTGGACCGATAGGTATTTCTCACCTTCCCTTGTCAATTGAAATGGCCCTTGCTAATATATACAGCCGGTGGATATCTCACGCAGTACATGTCGTGGCGGTGGATATTCTGGATCGTATCCATGGCCGACGCCGTAGTGCAGATTCTATCCTTCCTGTTCCTGCGCGAGACATACGCGCCCAAGATCCTGGCAAAGAAAAAGAAGAAGCTGCAGAAGGAAACAGGGAACCAGATGCTTTATACGGAATACGATGAGCCGGATCGCACATTCGCCCAGCTTCTGCGGAAGAACCTCGTCAGACCGTTTCGGATGCTGTTTACCCAGCCTGCTATCCAGGCTATTGCGCTTTACCGCGGGTATCAGTATGGACTGATGTATCTTGTTCTGGCTTCGTTCCCTACGGTGTGGGAGGGTGTGTACAACGAGAGTAAAGGGACGGCGAGTTTGAACTATCTTTCTCTCGGAGTTGGGTTTGTTATTGGGCTCCAGTTCTGCGGCCGTCTTATTGATATTGTAAGCTACAACTGCAATCCTTAGGTCAGAGATAAAACTAACAGACTAGGTATATCAACGCCTCGCGAAGCACTACAACAACAGCGGCATGCCGGAATACCGCGTCCCCCTCATGATCCCCGGCGGGCTGCTCGTCCCCGTCGGCCTCTTCATCTACGGCTGGACAGCAGAATACCAAACGCACTGGATAGTGCCCAACATTGGCGCCGCTCTCTTCGCTATCGGGCTGATCATAACCTTCCAATGCTGCCAGACCTATGTGATTGATGCGTATACCAGGTACGCAGCCAGTGCGACGGGCGTTACGGCGTTTGTGCGTACAATGGCGGGATTCAGTTTCCCGCTTTTTGCGGATGGGCTGTATAGGGCTCTGGGGCTGGGGTGGGGGAATAGTTTGCTTGGATTTATTAGTCTGGGGATGGGGGTTGTGGCGCCGGCGATGTTGTGGTTTTGGGGGGAGTGGATGAGGGAGAAGAGTCCGTATTGTGCGGGGGATGAGACGAGTCGTGTTTAGTCTTATCTAGACCATTAATGCGGCTTGGTGGCGATATCTACGATTGATGTTTTATGAGTGATGTGAGTATGTATATACTAGATAGATGGTCTACAAGACCTTGCCCTATACAATAAAGCTTATAGCTTCAACAACCACCACATCTCTTACATCAACACGCCACGTGCACCCGATGGGATCCAATTCCCACTATTACATCGCAGTAACATCATGAAAGCTGACTATAACAGCGACACTATAAGCAGGGAACAGCCCCGCATACAAATGGCTGGACCGATGATATCACCTCATCCAGCCAATAGAGCCGGTCAAGGCCGTTCTGTGTCCACGAAATGACGAACTCTAAGCACTCGCCACGGGTTATAAGCCCACCGTGTCGCTGCCCCGAGTTAACCTTACTTTCTCTACCTGATATTAACCCAGCATTACGCGTAACAGTCAACATCAGATTGTATAACCATGACTAAAGAGCTGGTTGGTGTAACCAAGCTCCCCCGAAAGTTGGTTGTGCTAAACAGAGTAGAGCTTCGATATCCGGTTCGACAGTGTCCCGGCTCATGAGGAGTATGGCGATGGGAAGGATCTTGCAGAGAGGTATGCCTCCTTATTGACTTATTATACAGCAGGTGGATTGGTTTCTTGGTATCCAATATTGATCTATTGGTAGAGTCCGCGAAATATATAAAGGCAAAAACCTCCAGATCCCAGATGATTTCGACTCGACTTTGACTACGCCGCCTGTTCATTTCATGCAGTGCGTACTCTATTCACTGAGTTTATATCCGATACTAATTGTATAGGGTGTTCGCGCCTGACGACGTCGACATCAAGGAGCTGAAAAAGGTGACTGTTCCGCGTGGGCTGGACATCGACATTATGGAATACCTGTATTAGAATGTACATATATCAAACCTGTTATTATTATTTATCATTAGTTATCGGTAAAGCCAACTCTACGGTGTACTCCAAAGTGGTGAGGTCATACCCGCCCTATCCGAACCTACACCTGTATACAAACCACCAACAATCTTCTTCACTAAAGAACAGTAATTATCAGTAATCTTCAAAATGGTAAATCTCTCCCGCGTTGCACAGGAATCCGATACCCACCGCGACCGGCGCTCCGCCCGCGACAGCTCCGTCACAACAACCGAATATGCCGGCGTCTACGGGACCAAATACGCAGCAGAGGAACTGCCTCTGTATGTGATGAACCAGAGCGGCATGCCGGCCGATGTCGCGTACCGGTTGATCAGCGACGAGCTCAGTCTTGATGGGAATCCGTTGTTGAAGTGAGTTTTCTCCTGAGCTTCCCGTTGAAATGTATACTAACCGCCCACAGCATGGCGAGTTTCGTTACAACCTATATGGTACGTTAACACTTTGCAATTACAGGACGATGCTAAGAAAATAGGACCAACAAGCGCAAGACCTCATGGCCAACGCGATAAGCAAAAACTTCATCGACTTCGAGCAATACCCGCAATCCGCACGCATGCAGACACGCTGCATCAACATGATCGCAGAGCTCTTCAATGCCCCCAAAACCCCACATTCGGACTCAGCGAACAGCAAGAAAGAAGGCGAAGCGGAAGGCGCAATGGGCACATCGACCGTCGGCTCCTCAGAGGCTATCATGCTGGGCCTGCTCGCCATGAAGAAGACATGGCAGAAGAAGCGCCGCGACGCGGGGAAGGACACATCGCGACCGAATATCATCATGAATAGCGCCGTGCAGGTGTGCTGGGAGAAGGCGGCGCGGTACTTTGACGTTGAGGAGAGATACGTGTACTGCACGCCGGAGCGTTTTGTGATTGATCCTGCGCAGGCGGTTGACTTGGTGGACGAGAACACGATTGGGATCTGTGCGATCCTGGGCACGACTTATACAGGGCACTACGAGGATGTCAAGGGGATCAACGACCTGCTTGTTAAGAAGCGCATTGACTGCCCAATCCATGTTGATGCAGCGAGTGGTGGGTTTGTGGCGCCCTTCATTTGCCCTGAGCGGCTTTGGGATTTCCGTCTTGAGAAGGTCGTGTCGATTAACGTATCCGGGCATAAATATGGACTCGTACGTTTTTGCACTCTTTACAGCTTTATTGACTGACAGTACAGGTCTATCCTGGCATTGGCTGGGTCTTCTGGCGCTCTCCAGACTATCTTCCCAAGGAGCTCATCTTCAATGTCAACTATCTCGGCGCTGAGCAGGCCACATTCACATTGAACTTCTCAAAGGGAGCATCGCACATAATCGGCCAGTACTACCAGCTAATCCGGCTGGGGAGGAACGGCTATACGGCTGTCATGACAAACCTCGTGCAGATATCCCAGAAGCTCGCGCGCGGCCTCTCGGAACAGGGCTTGATAATCCTCAGCGACAACTCCCAAAACGGAGGCAACGGCGTGCCACTAGTGGCCTTTCGGCTACCGGAAGACGATTCTAGACTCTTCGACGAGTTTGCGCTGTCTGCTGTCCTGAGACGGCGCGGGTGGGTTGTGCCTGCTTACACGATGGCGCCCAAGAGCAACAGCCTGAAGCTCATGCGCGTCGTCATCAGAGAGGACTTCACGGCACATCGGTGTGGGATTCTCATCGAGGACGTGAAAATGGCGATGAAGTCGCTGGAGGAGATGGATGAGGAGACCATTGCGCGGTATACCAAGTACGTTTGTCCATGCCAATATTATTACTTCCGCTGTCAATGTCATTTCCATTCGTGGCAGTATTTCTCCATGATAGATGCTAAGTCCATGTGACAGGTATGTCGCCGAGCATGGAACGAGTCTTCCGAATGCGCACTCGTTCTATGGTGGCGAGCAGCACTCGCTCCAGGGCCAGACGGGGAAGACACACGCGGTGTGTTGACGCGCGCTGTCAACGTCAATTATACATAACTAGTTCATGCATTTGCTATCAGGTGCTCTCGTCTTGGTCAATTGGCCATAGTTAATCTGGTCATAGCAACCTGTTGGTGCGACATTCAAGTGACACCTAAACCACCTCTACATGGTGCAGCTATGTATCATGAACAGCAAATTTCAGAATTGAATTCAATAGACTTCTCGTAGCTTCGATTTCCATTCTATCAAAGCTAAAGCCGTCACCCCTGACTTGCCTCCGCGTGTTCACGCAGAATTTCTCACGAACACCCTCAGGCTCCACTCTGATATATCACACGTCAATGTGATATATCAAGACCATGGTGCCTCCAGATGGAGGAATTTCGCTTTGACATGCCTATCCATATCCATATATGCAAATACTGTCGCACGATACTTTCTCTCAGCCAAGCCCACCCAGAAGTATATTTTATCTCCTGAATATCGTTACTGGAAGCACTGTCTCAGAACTATTGAGGCCGGAGCTCTGCTAATCCAATGGCTAGATACGCCCAGGGAATAGTACGCCGTATTGATTTGAGTTTTGACATTTGAGATCTGTGGGAGACTGCTTTAGGTTCGTTGGGCGAGTTGAGTGACTCAGGGGTGAAGGTGAAGGTAAAGGTATGAAGTACTTTGTAGAATGAAGAGGGTATTAGTATGCTCAAGTCCCCCGAGGAATTGAAGCAGGTTATGCTGCTGTCTTCCAGTTCTTCTCTCCATTTTGCTTCATTCCTGCTGCGTTGAGAATGTCAACCACTCAGCTATGGGTCCTCCCCATCTTAGTATCCCTCTTCACAATCCCCCAATGCATCCAAGCAAAGGCCGTCTTTGCCCACTTCATGGTACGCCCCAATCAACCCTATCATCTTATATAAACTAACACAAACAGGTCGCAAACACAGCCAACTACACAACAGCAGACTGGGCATCCGACATAACGCTAGCAAAAGCCTCCTCGATCGACGCCTTCGCCCTCAACAGCGGTTACGGGGAAAACCACACAGAAAGGGCATTCAAGGACGCCTTCGCCGTGGCAAAGGAGCTTGATTTCAAACTCTTCGTCTCCTTCGATTACTCAGGAGACGGACACTGGCCCAAAGACCAGGCTGTGAAATTACTCAGCAACTACACCGGCCACGACGCGTATTACCGCCATGAAGATGGGCGCGCGCTGGTTAGTACCTTTGAGGGCTTCCAGGCTGCCGGTGACTGGGCGGATATCAAGCAAAAGGTGGGAAAGAACGTAGGTAATGATACGTGCTGCTACTTTATCCCGGAGTGGGCGTCTGCGGGGGTAGCCAAGGCGTCGATGATAGCTGCGACGGATGGGCTTATGGGCTGGCATGCGTGGCCGTACGGGAATATGGAGATGAACACGACGGAGGATAAGCAGTTTATGGACGCGCTGAAGGGTGATGGGAAATCCTATATCATGCCGGTCTCGCCGTGGTTCTACACGAACCTGCGCCAGTTTAACAAGAACTGGGTGTGGCAGGGTGATGAGGTCTGGGCGCAGCGGTGGCAGCAGGTCATCGAGGTGCAGCCCGAGTATGTCGAGATCCTAACCTGGAATGACTACGGAGAGTCTCACTATATTGGGCCTGTGAGGGAGAAGGCCATCGGAGTGTTGGAGAGCGCGGGGGCCCCGTTTGACTATGTCTCTGGGATGCCGCACGATGGTTGGCGGGCGATGCTTCCGTACTGGATCAGTCAGTATAAGGCTGGAGACACAACCTCAAGAGAGGGCGTTAAGATCGAGGACGAGGTGCTGAGTGCCTGGTACCGAGTCAGTGCGGCGAGTGCGTGTGGGGATGGGAAGACCATGGGCAACAGTAAAAGTCAGAGCCAGAATCTGCTGAAGCCCGGGGAGGTCCTTCAGGACAAGGTTTTCTACTCGGCCCTGCTGGAAGGGAGTGCCGACGTGAAGGTCAGTATAGGGGGCGAGAACCGCACGGCAGAGTGGACGGATGTGCCGGAGGGGGGCAAGGGGGTCTATACAGGGTCTATCCCGTTCGATAAGCACACTGGCGATGTGGTGGTCACTCTGACGCGCGATGGGGACTTCCTGGCGCAGATGAAGGGCAAAGATATCGTCGACAGTTGCCCAGGCAATCTCACCAACTGGAATGCGTGGGTTGGGAATGCCACAGCTGTCAAGACGAACCGGGCAGCCGGAGCAGACGGCGATGACTCGGCGGGCGTCTCGCTACCGAGAAGTCTGTGGCTGCTGGGGCTGGGTATGGCGTTTTCCTTATTGATATGACTGTATGTATAAATTATGTTCCTTATTGCAATAGAGACTTCATCGAGCAGTCTAGATCCGCCTCGCAGGGCCTGGCCGAGTCTACGCCGCCGCCGCCAACCAGAGTGCACGTAGATATCAGGCTGTCAGGCTATCAGGCAGAGACATCCGAGCTGTAGACCCACGGTTCTTCAACCCCAGGCCCATGGGAGAGCTTATCCTGGCCTCGACGCAGCGTGATTCGTGGGAAGCGGCGGACAAAGTCTATGACGATTCTACAAGGCCAGACCACCCCCACGCTCCCCTCGCTACCACAGCCCTAACACCCCGATTGGCCCGGACTGGACAGCCTGGTATGCCAGAGTTCGATGCTGACATGGTTTCCCCGTGGCGATTACCCTAACAGCGCCGCCATTCCAGGCCGCCATTGGTTGGCACCAGCTGTCGGCGTCTGTGCTTCCTTTTAACTTTCATCAGGCCACTGGAGCTGCGAAATTCCAGCTCCATTCCATCTCCATTAGGCAGGGCCCGCTGCAGGTCCGGCCGGGTGGGGAGGAAAAGGCAGTCTGTGCAGAGCGATTAGGTTCTTACACCCTATATAAACCGGATCGCCAGGTCTCGCGCTACTCTCAATGCCACTTTCACAAAACCACTGATCTCCTAATATCCTACTACAACTGAGCCATTGTACATAACATCCATTGTACAAACCAAATCCGGAGAATGGACCGCTTCTCCCAGCCCAGCAAGCCCAACACGCGCATCCCCCCCATCCTCATCGCCCGCCAGAATCAGGCCCTCGAGCAAACCACAAAAGCCAATGTCGTGCCCCAGGATCAATTCTCCCGTCTCGCATCCCTCTCCAAGCACAGACTCTACCGCGAAGCCCAAACGGGCGACCCGGATCTCCGACGATGCATTGGCCACCACCAGCTCCTGTGCCGGACGATCATGGAAGCAAAGGACGGCATGAAGCGGTATCTCGAGGATGTACTGGAGAGCGAGAGCGACAGTGATAGTGAAAGTGACGATGAGGACGAGGTCTTGTATGAAAAGGGGCCGATTGCTGTTGAATATCCCCAGACGGACGAGGACGAGGATGTAGACGAGGGCCTTCTATTCCCTCCTACAAAACAACCACAACCACAACCACAACCACAGCAACAACAACAACAACAACTATCCACGACTACAACTACAACTACAATCACAACAAACAATGACCCGCCCTCGCCTTGCGTGAAAGAGAAGATCTTCGGCGTGGTCAAGGGTCTCGTCCGTCGACGGAGTCCATCTCGCACTGTATCTCCTGCATTGGACGAAAAGACCAGCCCCCTCATCCACCTTTCAGAGAAGAACCTCAGCTGCAGCCAGCTGCCCGTGCGAATCCACATCCACGAGGACGTCGTGAGGGACGGCATCAATGGTCTGAAGCGCAGCCACAGCCAGGACGCACTGTCGACCAAGTCGTCCTCGTTTGGGATGCGTGGGAGGCAGTATGCGCAGAGACTGGGGATCAAAGTTACGACTGCTGCGGCGGTGCCTGTTGCGACGTGATACGATATGAATTTATGGTTACTGGGATTGATGATGACGATATAAATGAGCATCAGCATTGCGGGTGTTGGGTTCTTCTGGTTTTTTATCTTCAGATACGACTACTTTTTACTTCTTCAAGACTGTATGAAATAACGAGATTAGACGCATTGATGAATCATTACATACTACATACTCCCTCTGATATCCCGGTAACATCACTGAAGTCGTTAAGATCAAGACCACACCTTCATAATCACATTCTGCAAATCGCCAGGGGGAATCGCCGCCCTGATCCTCCGGCTAAAGTCGCTGCCTGTGCGCTGCATGAGAGCCTCCTTGACCTGCTTCAGGTACGGGGGGTTCCAGTGCAGCCTCACAGCCCAGTATATCAACCTCTTGATGTCCGGATTTCCCCCACCAACAGGCACAATCGCCAGCATCGTCTCGACATCGAACTTGAGCGGATCCTTTGCCCTCGCCAGGAGCGCCAGCAGCGCCTTTTCCAGGTGCCCGCTAAACTCACTCTTGATCGTCTTCTCCAGCGAGATGTGGTACTTGGCCTCGAAAGCCTGCGCAACCGCCACAAGCTTCTGGTCCGACGCAGCCAGAAACACCGCCGCAACGCCAATCTCATCAGTGCCCGTCTTCGCATTCGTCGCGAGATGCAGCTCATGGACATCCTTCTCCACGGCCGCCTGGTCAAAGTACGTCCCGCGCTCCGGCCGCACCGCATTCAACAGCATCAGGAAGAACTTCTCCGTCTTCCCGGACAAATCACTCTTGATATCCTCCACCAGCGCCTTATTATACTTATGCACATACTGGTACTTAATCGCACGCAGGTCCGCATTCGAACGACCAATCAGCACATCATTAATCGCCGTCTCATCCGTTCCAATCCCACTCATCGCATCCCGGAGATACATAATATCCTGCCCCAGGGGACCCGACGCAAGCGAGAGCATGGCAATCTCAAAGTCCCCGGAAAGCTCGCTCTTCAGGTCCTTCTCCAGACTGCGCCCGTGCCGCTCCGTGTATGTATTCCGGATCAGCTTCATCTGCAGCGGGTCGGGCTTCGCCAGCACGGAGATCAGCGCGGCTTCGTCCGTACCCCACCCCTTCATGGCTTTGCGGAGGGCGTCGGCTTCTTTCGAGGCGTCGCCGGATGCGCGCTGGTCGGGGTCGTAGCCTAGCGATGGGGGCGCGGGGACTGGGGCTGCAGGAGGGGGATATCCGCCTGGTGCTGCGCCATATGGACCGGGAGGGCCTGGAGGGCCGGGGGGAGGGGCACCGTATGCACCTGGTGGTGGACCGCCAGGCGGGAAGTGGCCCTGGGGCGGGTATTGGCCGGGAGGGGGGTACTGGCCGCCAGCCTGAGGAGGGTATGGGGAGTGCGATCCGGGTGCGCCGTGGGGAGGAGGGGGAGTGCCGTATTGAGCTGGGGGAGGGGCTGAACCCCAGGGGGGTTGGCCGTAGCCAGCGGGCGGCTGCTGGAACTGCTGCGGGTGCGCGGGATATTGCTGGTATGGAGCGCCCTGGTATGGGGGTTGCTGGTGCGCAGCTGAATGGGGAGGATATCCGGCGCCGGCTGGGGGAGCAGGACTTCCTCCTGGTGGGGGAGCGCCGTATGGAGCTGGATGCTGTTGGGGATGAGCTGGATAGGAGGCGGGGGGATACGCGGCGGGGTAGCCCTGAGGGGGAGGGCCCTGCGAGTACTGGCCGTAGTTATTCGGCGGCGGATAAGACATGATGGGATAATAAGAGAACGGAAATGAAGAGAAGGGGAAAAGAAAAAGAAAGAAGAAAAGCGACAGAGAGAGGGGCATCGGCTAAGGAAATGTGGCTGAGTTGTATTACCGTCAGATCATCACCACTAGCACGACGGCGCGAGATCTACTGGAGGACCACGAGAAGGCCCCATCGCTGCTCGTATTCACAATGGTTCGCAATTTAATCTTGGAGTATCGTAAATATTGGGTAAACAGTGTGGCGAACGTGTGGAAATATGCGGAAATATTGTGCTGTCGCGGATATGGATTTAACCATGTCAGGGAGTCAGTATAACTTCAATGTCTTTATTATTATTATATTGCTATTATTATTAAGTCACCAAGTAAAATTAAGTCTCGAACAGTTGGTCAGGGCTGCGTGTCAAATATAATACAGTGGGTCAACGGCCATAGTGCGCTGTCATGCTGATCACTGACCTTCAACTCATCAACTTCAACTTCATATTCAGTAATATTATAGTCATTAGGGTATTATGCATGTCCATTCGACTCGAGTCACTTTGGCATCTCATTCCACCGCCGAATCACTGCTGCTCGCTCCTCTGGCGTGGCCGCCACCATCTCGCCTATTCCCTGCTTAATCCGTGACGCCAGTATATCCCGGATTTTACTCTTGGAGAGTGAATTGCGCAGCGATTTATGGATTCCTTTCAGCGGGTATCCTGCCAGTCCCCAGAGCCCTGACTCGTTAGCATCGAACTGGACAGGGTGGGTTGTCCTACCTGCAGCTGGCTTCAGAAACACACCCCCAACGCCCTTGCCAACGCCTTTAATCATTCCTACAGTCCCAGACTCTTTGTGTCCGTGGATGGGCTGGGTCACTATCCCAGTGATGCCCTGGTAGAACTCCTGCGTGAATTCCTACACACTTAGCACAGCTTCTACAGGTTAGGGCTGGACTTACCGTCCCAGCAGCACGCAGTCCCCCACGCACTCCTCGCACTGTCGGCGTCTCCTGCACCATCGGATCATGATACAGCTTCGGCGCATTATGGAAGCCCTTGGAGAAGCTCATCGTCAGATCCGTTGGGAGCAGAAGCACCCAGTCGAGCAAGTGCTTTCCAGCGCGCGAGACATGGTATCGAGCGTCCGTCAGCACTTCACGCACTTCAACTGCTTTCTCTCTGCTTTGCTGCCGTCCGATTGTATTCTCCAGACTTAAGGCCTTCATGCCCGTGACGTCTTCGCATGTTGGTATTTTGGCGAAAACGGCTGTGTCGCCGGATGCCATGGCGTCTATCTCTCTATCTCTGCCTGCATTGCTGGCCGCGCCGGTTTTACGGCCGTTCGAGGCTGATGACGATGAGTTTGCTTGTGCTTCTCGTGCTGATGTGTATGATTCAGACGAGCTGCTTGGACTGGTATCACTCCCTGCACTCTCTGCGCTCTCTACGCTGTCTCCCTCGCTCTCACCATCACCATCACTCTCACTCTCACTCTCCACCCCCTTGTCCGTCCTCCCCTGCGCATATCTCTCCTTCTTCCACGCATGAATCGGCCGATTATGCCCCCCATGCCTTAGATGCCTCCTCGACCGATGCCGGTGTCGATTCCCCCTAAACGCCTCCGCCACATCCGTCGGAACAGCCGCCATCGTAGCCACAAAGTCCGTCACAACCCCATACAACACCTCCGCCCCCGCCGACAACGGGCCCCTCGGATCCCGACTCGTATCATACTCTTTAGACCGGTACAGCACCATATCATGAGGCTTCACCAGCCCCGTCTCAACCAGCACCGTCGCCGCAAACGCACTCAGCTTGATATGCGACCGCTTCACCCACCACACAGCCGGCCGCCCGGGACACAGCGAGCACTGCAGCGCCTCTTCGTCTAGATGCCCGTAGAATGAACATACGGCGTTGCGAACGCCTTCCTCCTGCCGCATATCCGCCCCGATCTCGGCGGCTTTCTCCCTCGTCCCCTCCTTCAACGCAAACCGTATGGCATCAGCAAGTTTCTCCGCCGTCAGTCTCTTCCAGGGAATCGGGTCCGGCCCGGCCCCCGCGCGAGAGACAATACTGCCCCAAAACGTCTGGTCGCCAAAGAACGGGATGACAACTGTAGGACAGCCCAGCGCGAGTCCTGCGGCTGTGGTGCCTGCCCCGCCGTGATGTATAACCACGGAAACGTGCTGGAAGAGCCAGTCATGCGGGACCTTGTCGATCATCATGATCGAGTCGGTGTCTGCTTCTTCGGCGCCGATGTTGCCCCAGCCTTTTGAGATGATGGCGCGCTGGCCCGTTGCTTGTACGGCGGCGAAGACGATTCGGGTTAGTGCTGCGGCGTCGTCGACGACGATGGACCCGAACCCGATGTATATTGGGGCTGGGCCGGCGTTCAGGAAGTGCTGCAGGTCTGATGGGGGTTGGTAGTCTGAGGGACGGGGGAGGGTCGAGAAGCCGACGACGTCGATGTTTTTGCCCCAGTCGAGTGGTTTTTCGAGCAGGGCAGGGGACCTACACGTAGTCAATATAGGGTACTACTTTGGCCTGGAGAGTGGGATAAGCACCATAAATATGTATACGGGATCTGCAGCCGGTGCGCGATGGCCGGTGCGCGGATCGCATCCAACGGATCCAGCCCTAGTTCGCGCCTGCGAAAGCGGTTGATCAAGTCTCCCAGCCCTTCCCACATCATGATCTCGACGATGGCGTACGAGGCAAAGTTCGCAACGGACGGGCCGGTATTCTGCGACTGGATGTTGGCCAGGGGGTGAGGGAATGCCTGTGTCGCTGACCAGGGCATGCTGTATACAGTCATTAGCATATCACCATCAAGCAGTATAGAATCAGTAACCTACGTAAACATCATATTCAAGGGAATCCCCAACTTCTCCGCACAGCTCAAATGCGCAAAACTGGGCGGATTCGCAATCACCACGTCCGCCACAAACGGCACATCCCTATAATCCACCTCCTCTCCCCACGGATCCTCTCGAACATGATGCTCAATGCCCGTCCCATCGCCACTCTCAAAGCAAGACCGCCAACACCCGGTAAAGATACTCTTCATCTCGCGCCGCCGCCGCTGGATCGCACCACTCCGAATCGTCCGCATATCCGGCATCAGCCCAGGATTCTTCACCATAAACGCCATCAACTCCGCCGGGTCGCCTCCTATATTGAAGAACTCAAGACCCTGCTCGAGCACGGTTTCACGGAAGGAGAGGTGCGTCGCTAGTCGCACGCGGTGGCCGTGCGAGGCCAGGTACTTCCCGATGGCGAGGAAGGGCTGGATATCGCCGCGCGACCCGACGACTTGGATGACGATGTTCAGGCGCAGCGGACACCGTTCTTCTTCGCCCGGTGGGAAACATACTGAGGGTTTGTGGTCGGCGGGCCCGCGCGGATATGGGTGTTCTTTGGTATGGCGTGCGATGCGCTGTAGCCAGGGCTTGTTCGGGGTGAGGTTTATGTTGAGCCGGCCGTCCTCTATATTGTCAGTTAGTACTTTTTTTTCTTACTGTGGGAGCTATATTTCAGTTATCGTACCCATCACCCGGACGCCCGTGTCCAGGCCATGGCTCTCGTGCGCCTTCGGGCCCTGGGTAGGGTCGGAGCTTGTGCGCGCCCAGTCCTCGGAGGAGATGGCGTCGCCTTGCTTCTGCGACTCCGACTGCGACTGCGCCATGCTTGCAGTCAGTTGGCAGCTGAAAGAGAAAAATTGGAGGAGGATAGGTGAAGTCATGGTGGTGATGTCAGCGTGGGATTGTGGATCCACAGGGCTGCACGGGCTGTTCTGTGTACGTTTTGCCAAATGCGTCTACATATATTACTGTTGAATTTGTTTTGATCATTCCTGTCGAACGGGTGTTCAATTGCACGTCTTGCTGTGGTACTCTAGCTATCGAAGACACAAGGTGAATGCTCGCTGCCCCAATTTTGCAGCAGTATAAGACTTGGAAACCCTTTCCTTTAACCCGCGAAAAACCCCCCATCAGTCCTCCAATAATTACCTGTTCCTTCGATCTCGGCGTATCGCCTCTTGATCTTGGTAGGGGGTCCGGCTTAGCACTGCAAGTGCAGATTAGCGTTCATGAACCTTTTGCAGGGAGTATTTGCACACACCTTGCAGTTACCCAACGCAGGTCCCAGAGGGTTGCGAGTTTTGTACTATTTGCAAGCTGCGTTAGTAACTTTTGACTGTCTCACGCTTTAGTTGCTATTCGATCCACTTACCTCGCAGCACCCGCGCTATACCAATCACCTCCATTAGTCCAGGTTCTGGAAAATAAGAAGAACCACTTACTTTGTCGCAGGCATCCCCTGAAATACAAATGCCCTGCGCATTTAGGTTTTCTAGCGCGGCGTGTTGTTTGTCTGTGAGCTGCAGGGCACCGGAGGCCTCAGCAGCAGGGGCGGCGGGGACTGCCATGGAGGCGCCGAGGAAGAAGGCAGTAATGGTAAGGATGCTGAAGCGCATTTTGACAGAAATTGATAGTTATAAGAGTGGCTTGAGTACTTGATTCGGAAAGAGAGATGGTGAAGGTCCCTCCTCGTTGCGGGCCAGTCAAGCTGGATTTATACATGGCCCTGGTCGACCTGATTCCTATAGATCACAATATCTGGAATCCAGAATGTTGTACAAGGGATCATGGAATTGTGCAATACCACATGCCAATTAGCAATAATCTTGTGTAGCATTCCATCTGTGCGATCATTCTTCGGGAGACGGCGCCACCCCGACGACTCGTTCTTTACAGACTTGACTACTTGTGCTAGTAATTTTATTAAACCTAATGTTCATGCTTATATACATTCAAAAGCTTATATATAGTTCCTACTTTGGATTCTTCCTCAGCTTGCGTCTATTTTATATAACCTCAGCATGAAATCAGACATGTTCATTCTGCGAAAGTCCACCCTGATCAAGCATGTTTGTGATCTACATGTTATATTCGCCAACTGGTCCACCCTTTCGAATTCACGGAGGCGGCAAACATACCAACCCTATCGATCTATGTCATTGGAGCTGAAGCAGCATCCGGTATTTGATTAGTGTCCAACCAGTCCACTCTCATGGCCATCTTAACTTGTTTTGTCCTAGTAATAGAAGGCCTTCCTTGTTCCGTCTCTGATGCAACAGTGTCAACGTAGTCGGGCCCGTGTACTGCAAAGTATTAGCTGGTGATTGATATTCAGTAGCATTCCATATAACTCACATACCTGGATTTCATAAAGAATGATTGTCCACAGGCCTATCGGCAACTCCGATCTATGCCACTCGGGATACTGGCTGTGCGTACAAAACTCGTTAGTTTCAAATACAATACGCGTAGGTGGAGGAGACGCTTGCTGCAGTACAATCATCACCAACCCTGTAAATGTCTCCCTTCTATCTCCAATCATTGTGTGATTTAGATGTCCACATCGGTCTGCACATAGGAGTATAGGACCAGGTGGCTGTACACATGGAAATTGAATAAACAAAATACATCCAAAGTAGGCACTTTCTATGGTAGTTTAACGGTGTTTAGTAGAATTAAACGAGTTCATCTCTTAATACAATCAATCCAGCGCCATGAAAAACCACAAAGCTGTATAACAAAGGAAGCGGCCCATTTCTACAAACACAGGCTCATAAAAATTACCAGGCTCTTAGCTGCTTCCGACGATCAGAGCTGCTTTAATGTCTTTAACCGTGACTCTATACTGGGCACTAAAAGTGAATGCAGTCGGCCTGGGGGAAATGAATTAAAACTACGACTGGTTGAAATTACCGCTATTATCATCCACTCCCTCGCAGCGCTTCTATTCGAACATACAAACAAGCAGCCATACAAGTGTCCGGCGCCCGAGCGGAAGATTATTATAGTAAACGGCCTACCAGAAGTAACGGATGAGATAATCAGCAATCCTCTTCCAACTTATCTGTATCACGATGATTATTTCGATCACGCCCTATATCCGATGGGTGTTGCAGATATCGTCGCTTACTGGACAGAAGCCCACCTATTTGGCGGCGTCGTTGTTTTTGATCACGGCGAGTCTGACACAGAAGTGCGCTGCCTTTCAGGCATGAGTCTATCACCGCGGCTGACAATCCTGCAGTTCCTCGACGTTTTCCTACATCCAGACTGCGGCTTCAATGTCTTCAAGCTGTCGGACGCCCAAGTAGATCAATTTGTCAGCTTTGGGCTATACGGGGAACCAGCAGTGCCCTCGCCGTTTCCAATCAAACCAGACCGTGATGCGGTCAGGCTTTTACCCGAGCTTACTATGCAGAAGAATATATATCGTACCAAGAGTGACGGGAGGGTCCCCGAGCTCCCATCTGGCTGGCGTCCGGTGGGGCGACTAGAGGATGATCCTCAGATGATGGAGTTTATGGACAAGTACAAAAACGGCGATTGGACATATGGCTACAATGAAATATAGGCTGGCTCCTGGGTGTTTTCATTTTCTTGTCCGCTCTGTAATGTTTTAATAGAAAGGCAGCAGATGCAGTCTAGCCCGATTCGGAAGCGCCACCAGCGCCAGTTCCAGTCGGCGCTTCATCTTTATCATTCTGTCCTTCAGCCTAGGATTATCCTACAACTTGCAGCAACTAGCAGAAGCCATGGTGACCGAAAGTATCTCTCGAGCCGCTCTCGCGACATTGGATGAACAATACCTTGCTGTCCTGCAGGCTACGGTGGAACATATCCTCTCTACTCAGCTGGCAGAACACATCTTCGCACTGGTGGCAGAGGGTGTTCCGACAAAAGAGACTTCTAAATTCAAGCCCCATGGGAGCATAACGCTGTTCTACTTTTCCCCGAGTTTATCATGTCGCTTTATCACATCTATCGCAGCAAAAATGACCGCAGGGTTCAGGACATTGACGTCAGTAGATGGAATATGGGCGGGCGGCTGGAGGATGACCCTCATCTGATGGAATTCATGCAGAAGCATAACGACGGCGAGAATGAGTCGTCTACCTGAGGTCTAGGACTAACCTGGTGCTTTGGCAAGCCTGGCTGCGCTGATACTGCACCTTAGCTTGAACGAAGGAGCATTGGGTGCTTTCCTACTATTGGCCAGATCTGCCCTTGACCCACTTCCATCCCTCACCAATGAAAGCAACTAAAGCAGAGTCCACTCGGTCCAGCAACAAAACATTCAGCTGCAGTGAGCTCTCAGCTCTCCTCCATCTCCCCATCTAGCCCAACAATCCCTGGATATCATGGCGCTCTTCCCATTTCCGCCATGGATAGTGCCATTAGTAAATTGGAATCTTATTCAATCCATCACCGGCCTAACAGTGGCCTTCACTGATCCTCAGTCGCCCCTCCGACCACTCACAGCAGCAACCACAGCGCTGCTCGCATATCTCCTCCAATCCAACATCCAAACCCACTTCGCAGGAACCCGTCCGTCCGGTCCAACAGTCGCAATGTGCTGGGTTAATGCATTGAACGCATTCGACCTGCTTGTTCTCACCCGCGCCTCCTACGAAGCCCAGCTTGCCTTTACTACATCAAAGACATCCAAGAAGGATACCCCAACACCTAAGACAAAGACTTCATTCTGGGATAGAATTCTCTTCACCATCGCCTTGCCTTACAACTACCGCCGCATCAACACCCCCTGGCAAATTTCCCGCCTGCCGCGCTTCTCCTCAACAAACCCCTCCTACATCCCGACAAAAGCCACCTTCCTCCTCCACTCAACAGCAAAGCTCCTCATCGCCGGCACAATAATACACCTCCTAACCCTCGATCCAACCGACCCCCACCTCTCATCTGCACTCTCCCGCCTCGACGAATCCAAGTCCGTCCTCGTCCCTTTCAACTCCGATCTACATACCATCCTCCTCCAAGCCCGTTTTACCCTCTCCTTCGGCCTCGTCACCCGAGCCGCAATAGTAGGCGGGTACACAGCCGGTTCAATCCTCGCCGTCCTTCTCGGCTCCAGCCCAGCCTCGTGGCCGCCAATCGCGGGGTCATTGAGCGGTGCTTGGTCACTAAGCAGACTTTGGGGCAGTGCATGGCATCAAACCCTCCGACGCCCACTAACAGCGAACGCGACATTCCTTTCCTCGACGCTAGGGTTAAAACCGACGAGTCGACTAGCGCATTGGAACCGCGTCGTTATCGCCTTTATCGGGTCGGGTGTTGTGCATTCCCTTATGGATATTGGGTTTGGGGTCCCCCTGGATAAAACCGGAGGGTTGGTGTTTTTTGCCTTGCAGATTCTGGGGTTTATCCTTGAGGGTGTCTTTCAGTGGCTGGTGGATGTGTTGGGTGTTTCCGTGGGGCAGAAGATCGAGAAGTGCATTGGGTTTATCTGGGTCTGTGCTTTCTTGCTTTGGAGTACGCCTGTCTGGATTAATCCGATTCTGGTCAGTTTGGCACGCGATGGGACGAATGTGATGTCGCCCTGGCTTGGGTTGCCACCTGCTCAGATTGGGTTTTAGTTGGAGTCCGCTTAGGTTTGTCCCGTAGATTAGCGTTCGTTGAACATGAGTTAGAATTAGAATCTTCCATATTTTCATAATTAGAGAACGCAATTTGTCTATGATATTAAAAACTACAATGCTAATAAGAGACCCACCCCCACAATCCCCGCACCCAGCAACGGACTCACACCCCGGCCCACCACCGCTGCATTTCCAGGCGCGTCGTCATCACTATTATCATCACCACCAGAATCCGGATTAGTCGCATCCACAGCCGCCGTCGTAGACGGCACAACACTAGCCGTCCGACTCGGAAAAACCGGAGAATTGGTAAACCCAGTCGGAAGGACGAGCGAGACTCCCCCCGTCGTGACAGAGGCAGTAGTAACGGGGTTTTCCACAGCCGTGGCATGCGGGACCGCGTCGTCGCCTTGGCCGATTTCAAGAATCTTGTCCTCGCCAGGGTCATATTTTGCCTGTGCGAGTGAAACTTCGTTATTGTCTAGATCGAAGACGACGTATGCGCTGCGGAGGAAGGTGTCTCCTAGGATCGGGAAGAAGTCTGCTGAGGGGAGGATGCCGAAGGTGCAGCTTTGTTCGCCGTTGATGTGGAGGATGTCGTCTGCGTACTGTAGGGAGTCTTGGAGGACGAGTTCGGAGAGCGGGATGGAGACGGTGGCGCCGCTGAAGGAGAAGGTGAGGTTGTAGTCTTCGCGTTCGGTTAGGTAGGTGTTGCAGGGGACGTAGCCGAGTTGGGCCTCCTCGTAGAAGTGGACGTCTAGGGCGGAGTAGATGGATTTGACGAGCGGGGCGGGGAGGTAGGTGAGGGTTGAGCCGGAGTCGATGAGGACGGCGAGGGGGAGACTGTCGCTTTGGAAATGGTGGTCGATGGAGTCCTTTTCTGAGGCGACGGAGAGCTCGGTCATGGTGATCCAGAGATGGACGTATTGCTTGCTGTAGGGGACCACGGGGACGGTTTGGAGAGAGCCGGTGTAGTGCGCTGTGTTGACTCCGCCGAACAGGATGTTGCCTTCGTCTTCCCCGAGGCGGTTGAGCCAGAGACTGTATGCGCTAGAGGCGGTGATGTTGTTTTCCACGAGGAGCTCCGGGAGGTTGGGATACATGGTACTCGCAACTTCGTTCACGGGATACCCGATACCTAGGATGCCCTCTGGTCGGGTTAGCAGATGTTATACTTGTCACGGCATGCAGCTTACTGTCAATTCCAGACGCTATCGCAACAGCGAACTGCGCCTCGGGGACTTCCGCATCTTCAATGGTCAAGGAGTCTATGGCATAGTACCCCTCAGCCCATGACGAGTCGCCATACTCAATCGAAAATCGATCGGATAGGGTATTCGCGTTTTTGGACTCGCGAGGATCGTATGTGCCGAACGAATCGCACTGGGCACCTTCGATGCCACAGATTTCATTATCAGAGTAAACCACCCAGAGATCGCTACTCCCCGTGTCGACGGAAACCTCAACGCGCTGCGGGGGATTTCCTAACGTGAGATTCGTCGAGTAGATATCGCCGCCCATCTAGAGGTCATTAGAACAACAACCAAAGACCGAGGAAGCCATGAACGAGTAAGACCAACGAACCGAGTCACCGTAAAGTCCAACGTCAACCGTCTGCCTCTTCCATCGCTTGCGATCCCTCCCCACCGGATCATGGTGATGATTCCGCCTCAGCCCAAGCTGTAGAACATGCGGGGAGTCGCTCTCATGGACAGAGAGAACGCACAAACCCGGCACCGCAAGGGCAGCGAGCGAGGAGAGAAAGAAAATTCGCATGGTGTCTCTCCCCGCGTAAATATAGGAGTGGAGCAGAAAAATAGACTGGCCCCGGGGGGACGGGGATTTACAGTTTATCTACTCCTGCCGGTCATCGTGTCGATCCCATTCTCGTTGGACAAGATGGAGTCAGTGAAGGATCCACAGTCTACGGACCATACGCGAGAGAGAGCCATGGCCAGGCCTGAGAGTCTGTGTCACATTGGGGCGTGATCCTTGGACTGCCCAGGACCGTCAGCTCGGTCTTTGTGAATTGAGGGGAGGATATCAGGCTGAGCAGTGGGTCTGACTCAGGCCAGCGATTCACAAATGCGGAGGACGCCATCTGAATGGGCCTGAAGAAATGGCGTTATGGGGCTGGTGTCGTCTGGGCAAATCGTCAGCTGCAACGAGAACATGTTTGCCTTGGAATCTGAAACGTCGAACAAACGAGGCGGACCTGATCCGAGAGGAAATGGATCTCTCATCATCTCCCGTCTCGCCCCGGTGTAACTCAACGCGGCTGCTAGAGCGACGGTGCGACTACATAAATAACGCAGTATCTCTGCTGTTATTTTGCCATATCTTGCCAATTATCGCTGAGAATACGGCCATCGTTGGTTGGAGGTTGGGTGTAGTAGATGGCACGTGAAACCCCCTGAGGTGAAGCTGGATCCAACAACCGAGCGGGCCTTGATGGAGTTGACCCTGTGGAGACTGGCAGTTTGAATGCACCGTGGATCGATTTACCCGCAGTCCGATATACAACTTCAGGCAGTCCTCCGTTGTTGCTCTGAATATCCGTATCCCGAGGAGACTACTCTTCAAGTTCATTGTCCTAGGTGGCTGCCTTGCGGCCTCAATCACGCAATAAGCCTTGGCATTTCGCAATACGCAACAGACCAAAAGGAGAGCTCGACGCGGTGGAACAGCCCCCGCCTGACAATTTGCTTATTCTGCTAGTCTGTACAGTAGAAACCAGTATATATAGATGGCGCCCCGTTTTTGACGCCGGCGTCGTTTTCACCTGCCTGGAATTGCTTCCCGACTCCGAAAACACCACCTGTCAAGATATCGTCACAGTGATAAACACCGACAGGATGAAAGTAACTATCGTGATCTGCACCGATTGATTAGCTCAGATCGTGATAACGGTCCAATTGATGAAACTCACCGCTGCCGTCAAGAGCCCAATGCAGTTCAATTCCCAGCCCCCCGTGTATATTGTCCCCAGCGCGATCGCACTCTGCTGCTTCCAAAACCGATGCGCTCCTAGCACTGTTGTCACCATCGCCGCGCAATGGCAGGTCACCGACAACGGGACGCCGACTTTATGGAATCCAAGACCTTTGCTGGTGTGAGGCGACTGCAGCCGGAAGAGCTGCGCGATGAGAACACCCTGCATCGCCAGGATGACCGACGTGCGGATATACGCGAGGAACGTCCTTTCGAGAGCTAACAATTCATCGTCAGCACTGATTCTTTATTCCTTCTTTCGATTCCCTGAATCCAGTTCAATCCCACCCAGGGTCGAACCGACCGATCCATCTAGGGGACGGACGCACCAAAATAATCGCGATTTTTCTTCTGCCCCACCGTCAAAACTACATTCCTCGTCCAGAAGCGCTGAATCTGCCCGAGCACTCCCTTGCGTGGCGACCGGCTACGCTGACTTGTCCGCGACACCGTCCGCCGCGTGGTAATACGATATTCGCCGGAGGAAATCGAGGCCCCCGAACCATCGCTGCGCTGCGTCTCGATCTGGTGTAACCGGAGGTTGTTCTCGCGGTCGAGATCAGGGTCGGAAGTGTCGCTCGACGACGAGCGTGGGCTTGGGCTGCGGCTGCGGCTGCGGCTGTGGCTGCTGGTGATGCTGTGCGATGAGGGCTTCGGGTCGCGGCCGGCTGTCGGGTCTGGCCGATTGCTGGTGTTGCTGGTGTTGCTTCCCACAGGGTGGGTGGCAGGGCGAAGAAGAGTATCTACCATTGTGAAGGTGGGTGCGGAAGAGGAGGCGGCATTATTCAATACGCGGGTTTGGAGAGTGATGAGTGCGAAGGGCGAGAGCAGGGTCGGGAACCTGAAAATGGAGAATGGAGAATGGAGCCCAGAATGAATGCGGGACCAGTCGAGAACGCGGAGAGAGTGACTTCATCCCGCCCCACCACAACTATACCCTCAACCAATATATTGATCTATCCACGCTCTAAACAATAACACAACTAGGTATCCCAACTCCATAATCCAATGTTCTATGCTCGAAACTAAACCGCTATGCCCCAACATGACTCATTAAAAGCTTCATCTTAAGCGTGGACCATTTGATGAACGCTCGCTCGCGCAATGGTTGTGCTCGTAGTTAGGCAGAACGTCGTTGCGCCGAATGGGGTCACTTTCAGGGCTGATTAGTAGGGGCCTCGATTCGGTACTGGAACACTTGCCTCGTGCATTGTAGAAACATGTATCTTGCCTTTGGAGCGCTTGTACCACTCCGGGCGTTTCTTGGTTTCTCGACACAAGCCGATCCCCGGAGCGGTAGACAGGTAGTATGTGATTCTGTAAACGCCCTTTGGAGGTATAAGCATCCTGAGCGTCTGTGGGTAGAACAGGTTTATCTGACCGCGGGTATGTCTAGCTTTCCAATACTTAATCCCGGCTATGCATATCGGGACCGCTGCAAGAACCACGGCAACAATGCCAACAGTGGCTTCAACGGAGATAGCCATCATTGTACACTTAGATGAATGGGTTGGGATGCCTTATGTTTGGACGCAGGTGGTTAAATAAATATACGATAGTTTATGGCGAGGGTGGTTGCTTTGGATATCCTCTTTCCTGAGTAGATCAAGTCAACCGATCGATTTAAATTCACCTGCTAGAAAAATGCAAAGACCAAGCACTGCCCTAAGAAATGAGCCACTGGGCTGACCACGATATTAGCAGACAAACGGTCAGCCCAGCCTGATTCGCTGTCCGCATTCCGTTATCGGCGTCTGGGGCCTGAGGCCGGGGCTCAACTGGAAACGTCAGTTTTTCGAGACTCCCTTTCTGCACTGCAGGTATACCTATAATTATATTGGCATATTCAGTCACAGGAGACCTGAAGGCCTAGTTTTTGGCAACCGCAGTATTGGTCGGGATAGTAAAGGGCCGACCTATGGAAGAATGGAAGATGGAAACCAGCCTGATTAAGCTGGCTTGGTTCCGAACTATTATTCAAGGTGTGTAACTCCCAGGTAGAAACGACAGTACGGAGATTCAAGGATATGGGAATGTTTGACGGTAAGGTAGAGCTTCCAGGAGTGTGCAGTTGGTATAAGTATATCTTGTCCATACATATACTACCTTAGCCGAGTACTTACTCCACATAATGGAGGGTCTTCTCTAGGTGTTGCCGTATGCAACCTTTGTTCTTACAGGGTTACATGAGCCAAAAAAGACCCATTTAAGTACCAACCCGAGACTGCGAGGGGATATAGGCATTCCAGAACTTGCTATGGCGGGGTTTAGATACTTTTGGTTCCAGTCAGCCAGTAACGGAGTTAAACCCCCGCCAAAGTCCGACCACTGTATAAATTGCCAGTCCCTCTGACTTCTTCTATCCAAGACATTCTTTTCCATCATTTCGCCAGATATTTCACAGTAAAAATGTCGCCCCAAAACCTCAAATACCTCGGAAAGCTCCAAGGAAAGCGCGTGCTCGTGCTAGGAGGCACATCGGGCATCGGCTTCTGCATCGCAGAGGCTGCCATCGAACACGGAGCACAAGTGGTTCTCTCCAGCTCAAACCAGACCAAGCTCGATAACACCGCTGCCAAACTGCAATCCACATACCCAGATCTCCTGCAGCGAAACCCAGTCACGACACAGGTCTGCGACCTGTCCAACAGCGAGGCTTTGGAACAGAACCTGACCGACCTGCTAGAGGCAGCGACGCAGTCTGGAAAGTCGAAGCTCAACCATATCGCTTGGACTGCAGGTGATGCGCTGAGACTCCCCGCTCTGAATGAGCTGACGCTAGCGGATATCAACCGTGGTGGTCTTGTCCGTGCTACGGCGCCGTTGCTCATGGCTAAGCTCCTGCCGAAGTATATGGACCTGTCGCCTGAGAATTCATTCACATTTACCGGCGGGTCGAATACGCAGAAGCCTAACCCGGGATGGTCGCTGATGGCGATGTGGGGAGGAGCAGGTGAGGGTCTTATGCGAGGACTGGCTGTGGATTTGAAGCCGCTCCGGGTGAATCTTGTCTCGCCGGGTGCGGTGCATACTGAGATCTTTGGGAGTGTGCCTGTGGAGAGGCTGGATGGTGTGCTGGACGGTTTCCGTCAGAAGTCGACGACGGGGACTGTTGCTAGGCCGGAGGATCTGGCTGAGGCTTATATATATATTATGAAGGATCAGTTTGTTACCGGGTCGATTGTGGAGTCTAATGGTGGGAGGCTTTTGCTGTAATAACAAATAGATAGAAAGAGCAAGCAGATACTTCGGATGAGGCCTTTTAAACCAACGCTGTTAATTATATCCGCATCGTTGAACCAGGACGGCCATGAGACTCCCATGAATTCCTGGTACAGCCTCGCCTGGCAATAACCCTTATTTTCCCACTTCTGAACTGGATGTCGTTCTTAATATAAGAGACTTGTCCGAATTACATCAATCGATCCTTATCCCTCGTGACTCACACTAACGCGTCAATGTTGGGCCACAGGGAACCCCTCAGCTCGGTATCAACCTCCCCCCTCTCTTCATATAAAACCATCGACAAGACAAAGGCAAAATGCGTGTCCCATTAGAGATCCTGCGCTTTATCCTGCAGGAGATGGTCGCTGTCTCGCCCGTCGAAGACCTGGTCAGAGCGAGACTAGTAGATCGTGCGTACCGAGAAATCATCCTCCAGAGCAGACAAACTAATGTCAACGACAGCTATATTCGCGAGTGAAATTATGCCACTTTTACTGGATAGCCCTTGCGTCGCGAACAGCGATTTCATCTACGACCACTGGTCACGGTTCCCCTACACACACCACTTCCTCAGACAGAGAATCGGCCAGCACCACCAACACCCCTGTCTCTTTTCAACATTCATCCATGAGATCCTGCAAATGCCATCTATCTCCCATATAGCGAAAGAAGAAAAAGATGAATTAATCACTGGCCTAATCGATGTCATCACCTGGTCCCGCCACCAACCACACAACCTCTTCAGTCCCCGGCGTCTCAACGAGGGGCCATATACACGCAGAAGGGAGACGATCGAAACAGACCTCCACATAGCACTAACAGCCCTCTCAATTATTCGCAACGATATAGCCGAGATCAACCGCGTGCTCGACCAAGTCAGCACCCCAGGCGGGCCCAACTTTGTATGCCAATACAGCTTCCGCTTCGGCATACTCCCCATCGAAATCGCCGTAAATGCGCGCAACCGTCCCATGCTGTTTCCTGACTGGTACACCAACCCTCGGAGACCGTTTGTTCTTGCGGCTCGCTATGCAAATAAAGGCTTCTTCGAGGCTTGGTTCGAGGGAGAGAAGAATTCGAGCAGACCGTGGACTGCCCAGGGTTGCCTTGATGCGGCGCTGTGCAGCGCCATTAAGGCGCGTAATCTGGATATGCTTGAGTATCTAGGAACAGTTGGTATAGATCAAATCGCATTTGCTGACATTCTCGGCGAGGCGATCAAGACTGGGGAGGAGGAGCTTGTTCGGTGGTGTTTGCGACATGAGGACTTCCACGTACACGGTTCGGGGCGATACAAGGGGCCGCTATGGATTGCGTTACATGATTGCCCGAGGGCGACGAGGTTGGTTATTTTAAAAATGCTCCTTGAACGTGGATTTGATCCGAATGATGCTTTTTCTGAGAACCGGGAGAGTCTACTTCAGTGTGCGGTTCGGACTCAGGGTGTTGAGTATGTAAAGCTGCTTGTGCAGTATGGGGCTTATATGGACGTGGACTCTTCAACATCAGCCTGGGTCGAGAAGCAGAGATCGCCGTTGTCCTTGGCGGCGTTTAAAGATTCTGATACTATGCAGTTTCTGCTACAGAAAGGGGCCATTAGGAGGTGGACATGGAGGGGGAAGGAGTATGTCGTAGAACATGACGTCCAGACCGTTCGTCACATAGAGGATGTCTTTAAAGACTTGGGTTTTGGCGAGCCGGATGTACAGGAGAAGCACACTGAGTATTATATCATGGTGAATGGATGATTTGTATAGTTCATAAAACATGCTCTTTGCCATATTTGGAAATAAATATAAAGGGTGAAGTGCCAGTTATCTATTTTAAGGCAATTCTTTCTTTCACTGTTTCTCTGAAACAACATCGGTCTTGATGCACCTATTCTTGCTTTAATAATCAAGATAAAGAGCTCTCCCACCACAAACCCTTGTTTAACTCCCCAGGAGAAAGAACATCTAGAGGAACATTGAAATGGCCTTTATGACTCGATACATTTAATGTAGTACATTAAATAAGTCAGGTGTTTCTCATACATTCCCTAGCATAAAGATAATATCACAACTGCCCTCTTTTGTCTCCAAGTAGTTATATAAACGGCCCAAACGCCCATACTAAGTAGCTACTAAACTTATAATCATCCAAATCCACAATACAATTCCTCCTATCAACGTTTATCCAACCCTCAGCACAATGTCAAGCCAATCCGAACCTGGTCGTGACTACGTCACAGCAGGATATCTCACCAAGGAAAAGACCCCTCTCACCCTCAAACACCCCCCATTCAACAAGAACGACGCAGTCAATCTAGTCACATATCTAATCCAGTATCTCCATGGCCAGGGCTGCACATACTATGGCATCACCTGCGGATACCGCGTCCCAGAGCAAAAATGGCAATTTTGCGCCTGGTACACAATGCCAGGTATAACAGACGAAAAAGCAACGTCAATACGCACGGAGCTGTTGAAATACTCGGCCGGCCCAGCCAAATGTGATGGCCTTGCTGTGAACGGACCGTTTAATCCGCGTTCGTTTTACTCTGCTGAAATGTCTGAGGTCCAATGGCGCTACGTGACAAAGGTCGCTGTTTGTGGGCCTTCGGTATTTGTGAATCGGGATAACGATGAAAGAAACGTTAATGAGATGTTTGACTTGAGAATAGTTGACTCTGAAATATATGATATGGATCGACCTGGGTCAACTCTGGAGACCATCCTGGATGTGTTGACGTATCGGAACGAAAAGCCGTGGGCTGTGAACCCGGTTTACGTTTCTAAAGGTTACTGAAGATTTAACAAGTAGAATGTTTGTTATTGAAATTAAAGACTGGTCATGCTTCATGTTCTTGATTATAGTCAAAGACTCACAGTATTCTAATTACCAGGACTAATCCATCTGGGGCTGTTTTAATGGTCAAATTGATTACTACCACAAGGACTCGGTATATTCGTTTGAAAGGCACATTCATAAGGGATCTTTCAGGTCCTCCCTGGTTCTCTTTCATTTCCACTTCCAAACAGCCATCTAAGCCCAATATCTATAGCTTTGCCTACCATACCTTCTACTCCAGACTCCGCAATATCGAGGCCGAACGTATTCATTGCTGCCCCATCTGGCCTCCTTTGTGGACGTGGACTTTGTGTTCGCAAACTCAAGTAATTCTGCCCTTTCGACGCTTTGGGTCGTTCACGGCTTGGAAGGCTGTGTCGCCGATGATGCCGTGTCTTGCGCTGCTCGTCCGTCAGCAATATGCTTTCAATATAATCCCTCCTGGGTCTAACTTTTTGACTCCGACTCTTCTGTCCTGCCTTGGCCGAGCTCGTTGTCTTCCGGGCTGCCACACCCTTTCCCTTGCTTTTCGTCAACTTCCTCCTGCGCAGGCTGAGCAGGACTGACCATTGCTGGACCCTCACCAAACACAAACGGATACAGCGATTCCTGTAGATACTTCTCGCTAACGCCGAGCTTCGACGCATCAGACATCGCCAACTCCATACGCTGGACGTACTCGTTCCGAATCAGCCCATCCTTCCTAAACAGTCCGCTGAGATACACCAATGCTTCCACTTGCTCAACACCAGTCCCTTCACGCGCCGAGCTCGGTTTCTGTGCCTGCAACACCTTCAACTTCTCCGCCGCAAGAGCAGTCGGCTCCCCCTCCAGTTCTGGAACAGCCAAGGGCTCAACATCCACCCGCCACAGCGCTTTATCATAGAACTGCTTCGAGATTCCCTCGCTGCGGTCCAGCGCACGGACATCGCTCGAGCTGACCGTGAAAAGGATCCCCTCGACGACGGACTGTGGTTCTTCGCTGCGTTTACACCGCACGATGTTCGCGACGCCGCGCTGGTTTATCTGCCATCTGTACCCGCGCAGAATGCCCCTTGCGAAGACTCCGCTGTTGGGACAGCGGGAGGCCATTTGTGTGAGGTGCATGTTGCTGCCGAATGCGAAGTAGTATTGGGGGATTTCTTGGGTATGGCGGGGCATGGTTGTGGTTGTTGGTTAGTTGTGTTGAATGAGTCTGTTTGATAATTGATAATATTTGAGTTGGATAAAAGGAAGAAACGGATGGATTGTCGGAGCAGTCGCAAGGCTATATCTCAGCCTTGTTGGCAGTGATGATGACGATGAGGATGACGATGACGGCCCATCAGGCAGAATCCAGGGCCTGCATAAGAATAGCTTCTTATTGGCAGTCTTTCGTGCTGGTTTAATTGGCGGCAGTCTGGAAGCCTTGTCTGGTCGTCAACAAATACGGCCGAATGATACGAACCAAGGAGAAATCAAGCAAAACAAGCGAAGATACAGTCACATTACGAGTCGGATTTGGTTAAACTTGGTGAGGCAACTCGATCCTGATCCTTCGCTGTATGCAGCTGTGTATTTTACGCTACTTCGTAATGCAGGGCGAGGCTTTGTGGCGTTACCACTGTTTCCTGTCGGTATTCTGTGTAAGGGCGCAGTTATATGCTTCATGAGACCTATATGGCTGGGTGGAACCTACACACTTCCCAGCCACGTCTATTCACTGTAAAGTTCAACATGAGGGACTCCTACTACTTCGGTGTAGAGATTGAAATCATCGCGGAGCCTCGAGTTCATTCCAGTCGACACAAACGAAAGCACTACTATGAAATGCTGGCGAGCGCTTTACGGCGCTATGATCAACCTGCCCTCGCTGACCGTCTCGACGAGAGGTACAGAAAGCACAGCGAGCATTATGACAAGTGGTGGATCACAAAAGACGGTTCTCTAGGGGACCCATCCTACCCCGAGAGTACGTTTACCCTATCCACCGTCATATAATCGCTAACCAATATAGTCCCACTGGAAGCCGTATCACCAGTCCTATCAACAAACAGCTACTGGGAACTCGAGATAGACACCTTCTGGAAAGCAGCCAAAAAGACCTTTCATAAACCCACCAAGTCCCGCAAGTGCGGCAGCCACATCCACGTCTCCCCAGGCCCAAACATGCGCTGGGAAGCGACGGAACTCCAGGGCATTGCATTCGGGGTCATATACTACGAGCCTCTAGTCAAGGCCATCCTACCACGTCATCGACAAGACAACACCTACTGTAAACCCAACTCTGAAACTTCAGCAGAGCTGCGCGCATGCTATCAGGGCGGGGAACTAAACCTCGCTCGCGTTTGGCGGCTGATGGGGCAGCAGGTCAATTCTAGGGAGGGCCTTCGAGATCTGATGCAGGGAGGAGGCTCGCAACATACCCGGCGTGTTCTTTGGAACTTCGACAACATAGTCGCTGGGAAATCGGGGACTGTTGAGTTCCGAGGGGCCAATGGGTTTCGGGATTCAATGAGTACGAGGCGCTGGGTCTCGTTTGTGGTGGCTTTTATACATTTGTGTCTGTCGAAGGTATGAACCCGTCCATTGTTTGCTGCTTTGGTTAACTGACTAGATGGAGGGGTTTCATCGCGCGTGGCGGATTCTTGTTGGACGGCCGTCGATAGGCAAGTTCTGGGGGGATATTCTCAAGGCTGCGGGCAACATCGGTGTAGAAGCAGACCTTCCAGTTGATTATCAAGATATGTCATGTTCTAGAGCAGTTACTTATGTTTGATGATATTATGGTCAATGTGAATTTAATTGTATATATAGAATAAAGAGCTGTATACACCATATACCTGCACTCAGGCACCCTCATTCATACTCCCATAGGTATCTGGAATACTAGACCCCAGCCTTAACCGATTTGCATGCTTCTTAATCTTCTCCCAGAATTTCGTAGCATCTGCCTGAGAGTTCGTCCAGACCTTATACGACTTGGACGAATTCACCAGCGCCTGCGTTCATATTAGCCCTAAGCACTTGATAGCTTTCGAGAGAACTCACCTCCTCCATAGCCATCAGAATAAACACCACTGTAAAGGTAATCCACCTCTTCGTCCGAAACCTCCCTCTCAGATGCCTCCCACCCCGAAACTCCACCGTCCCCGACCCACTTCCAGCCGTATTCGCAAAATTCCACAACACATACCTATCCGCCTGCATATAGCCACAGAAATCACCAACCCGCGCTATCGCCTTAATCTCATTCGCAAGTTGCCTCAGCGTCGTCGCCGTACGTCTTTGCAGCGTCTGCCGTAGCCTCTGCGAAGACTGCGAATTCAGCTTACAGTAGGTATTGTTGCGGCGCTCGGTAGGCAGCAGGACGCTGATGGGGTTCTCGTATAGACAGATCGCGAAGGAGATTCGCTTGAGGTCCTCGAGACTGAACCGGGTCCCGATGGGCGCGACGTGGATATGACTCCCGCAGTGTGTGTCTGTCTGGATCTTGAAGACCTTGCGCATGGCTTCCCAGAATAGCTCGATTTCTTTTTCCCAGTCGCCGTCGGAGCGCAGCTTCGGGGATACCACTTCCATGCTGACTTTGCGACCTTGATTAGTACTGTCTTAACATGGGTTGTTTAGTGTCGGCTTACTGTTTCCTCCGGTGGTTGAAGCGGGCAGGGATCCGTCTCTGGTAATGAACCACTGGTTGTAGTATTCGGGGTGCTTCTGGTATCGGGAGCCGGCGACGTCTGCCTTTGCTGCTAGATGTCGGTTTCGCAGGGCCTGCGCGAGTCGTTCGTAGTATTCGTATGGAGACCAGTTTGGTCGGATTTTGTAAGGCTTGGCCACGGCTTCGATCTCGACGCCGAATCCAAGTGCGGTTGGAGCCATGATGTAGATATAAAACGGTCAGATGGCCTACAGTCTGGTTCTGGAGGTATATTGGGGAAGCTGAGAATTGGGCATGATTAGAGGCTTTGCTGAGGCCAATGACAACTATATATGACTTGCAGCATGGCTATTCATCTCTGGGGCTCATCCTCGCCATCCTAGTTAGCCGTCGTATTTCAAGTTGTCATCACCCAGCAGCCTCTCTACAGAAGGATCAATACCTGGCTGACTGCGCTGGACCAACCCGGCCAGCGTAAAAGTCCATCTGTCAACCTTGCTGTTCTCCCTCGGATAGCAGTTCACGATTGTGGCAAGATGTCATTTTATTGGCGTTTGGTATACTCATGATTCTAGCCTTGTATTCCTGTATCGACGAGGCTGAGGGATCCTCCGTCAGCTCCGAACCAATCAAAACATCTAGTCCCTACTTAGACTAGTAATAGCGCTTGTCCGGAACTGTTTTGCGCGGGCTTGGTATGACCCCGTCGTACTGAGTGTTTACCTATTTAGGGCAACACTGAGCCCGGATCAGGCTGTGTCATGTCGTCGCAGGATTTCGTTAGCCACCACACATGGTCTATGTCAGGGCTTCATCGTAAAATACGCTACTCCCTTTTTTCGCAAGTTTGAAATTAAACTATCTTCCAAACCTGGTTGGTAGCCCCAAATGGAGCTGCTGAACTACTGGCAGTTACATACGAAAAAAACATATCATTCTTCTAGTAAACAAGGCAAGATAATGTATGTATCAGCGGAAGTGGCCCCTAAAGTTGGCTTCCCCGTGCTGCAAGCCCGACGTCTGATACCCACCACGTCTGTGCCCACCACGTCTATTCCCCCTCTGAGGAACCCTCTTCTGATATCTCACCTCAGGCTGTCTCTGGCCCTCGGTCCCTGAACTCTCTCTCACCCCAGCATTAATGACTCTCTCCAGCCATACCACGTAGTCCGGCGACAACCCCAGATCAAGCGCATCACTCAGCCCAAGCCTCATCCTATGAACATACTCATCCTTCGCCCGCCCATCCAACGTATGATTCAAACTGACATACACCAACGCCGGAATAATCTCGCCACGCTGCCTGCCATCCCCCCCTCCCAAGGAAAGGGGCACACTCCTAACCTCCTCCACCGAACACCCCACAACCTCGCCAACATCCCTCCCGGCAATCCCCGCCTTGCCCACGAAAAGCTCCACGTCCAGCATACTCTTCCCATACGCCGTCGGAACGCCCTCGCTGCGATCTAGCTTCGCCTCGTCTTCGCGGTTAATCAAGTAGCACAGGCCCTGGACTGAACTCGATAGCGAACTCAAACTGGAACTCGATGAGGCGTAAGGCACCCGTACGACATTCGCGTATCCCCGGTCGTTGATCTGCCATCTGTACCCGTGCAATATCGCCCGCCCCAGGTATCTGCTCTTGGGACACCGCTGGGCCATCTGGCCTAGGTGGAGATTACTCCCGTAGGCGAAGTAGATGCGGTATTTAGGTCTGGGTGCTGGTGCGGATGCGCGGGGGTTGGAAGTGTGGAAGGACATCTTTGGATGGATAGATAGAGATCTATTGCTGCTATGTTTGTAAATGAAGTCAAGCCGTTCCTCGCCAGCAGAGAAAAGGAGCACGGTCCCCACAGCGGGGCTGATGAGTTCAGCCTCAGCAGTTGAGGTCGGGTCTGGAATGGCGTGAGATGGGGTCATAGTGTGGCTGGCGAGTTGCAGCTGCAGTGGCAGTGCTGTTCTGCATGTTTTCTTCGCATGTCTGTATTCCAGCCTCGTCGTTACTTCGGGGACTAGGGCTAAACATCGGGCTCTCGTTCAGTGTGGCGACAACGCAATTAACACTAGTCGAATGATGAGAGGACACTAAGGAATATCTTACATACCGTAGCCTCTCATTCTGGATTCTTGAGTGATCTTTCAGCCTCGTTTTCACCCCACGCCTTGGTGTACGAGCGAAACGACACCTAATGGAGCTTGAGACGATTTGCATCATCTGCCTAGTACGAGTGTGATGCCTAATGGCTCTCATCAACATACCCGGAGTGCAGCCTTTGGCGCCAAACTTGTTAGGCCTATTCGTCGCCTCGTCTTCATAACGGGAGATATCGGGTATTTGGGTAGTCAATTACCAGAATTCCGTGGCGAGCTTTGGATACGTGTTTCTGCCTCTGTCGGGTTATACTCCGTCCAATATCGCCACGGGTGAATTGGGTGAACCCCCAGCCAAGATCAATGGAAAACAATCTATCCTGCTATTATAGGTCATCTCAGATAGATTCCAATCTAATTTGCATTGGAATCTGAACTGGTATCCTGGACAATAAGACTCTGTCACCGTTCTAGAGGTCCGACCCCTAGCCACATGTTGCTGCTACTCACTTGTTGGTATATTGAACTTCGTTAATAGTAACCATAGTGGACTCAGCTATGAGGATCTATAGAGCTTCAATACATCTTGTCAAGTCTACTGCGGCAGCACCGTATCCACATACAGTGATGAAGCAAGCGCATCCGGATACCTCCCACCAAACACCTCAGCAGTCTGGATAATACTCCTAAACTTCTTCTCCTCTTCCACCGTAAGCTCCACCTTCACCGACTCAACATTCTCTACCAGCGCATTAATCCTCGTCGTCCCCGGGATCGGAAAGATATCATCTCCCTGCGCCAACAACCACGCCAGCGTCAGCTGAGTAACCGAGCACCCCTTCCCTGTTGCCAACTCCTTCAACTGATCCACAGCCTCAAGATTCCTCCCAAAGTTCTCCTCACTAAACCGCGGCAGGAAAGACCGAAAATCACCCTCCCCAAAATCCGCCCGCGAGCGGATCTGCCCAGACAATATGCCCCGGCTTAGCGGCGAGTACGCAACAACCGCCACACCCAGCTCCCTCGCCGTCTTCAGGATGGCAATCTGCTCTGACTCAATCTCCAGCGAGAAGGGCGAGTACTCGACCTGCACGGCTGCAACATGGTGCACCTTGCACGCCCGCCGCAGGGACTCGCTGCTGCATTCACTCAGCCCAATATACTTGATCTTCCCCTCGTTCTTCAACTCAACCATAGCTCTCATAGTCTCCTCGATTGGGGTATTTGGGTCGAGACGGTGAGCGTAAAACAGGTCGATTGTGGGGATCCCCAAACGCCGGAGACTCTCGTTGCAGCAGCGCTTGCAGTTCTCGTAGCTAGTATCTGTGACGCGCTCGCCGTTGACCATGCGGAAAAAGAACTTGGTTGCGAGGAAGATGTCTTTGGCTTTGGAGGGGTTTGCGGCGAGCCACCGGCCGATGAGTTCTTCGCTGTCGCCGTAGAGTAGGGCTGGTTGGGGATTCTATAAGCATCCGATCGGAAAGACGGGAAGGGAAGGGGGGGTGATATGAGATATACCTGAGTCCCAGAAGGTCTCGCCAAGTTCGTATGCCTTATCCAGGATAGCTAGACGCTCCGAGTCTGGCTTGGGAGGTCCGTAGAACGCACTCAGGCCCATAGTGCCGAAGCCAAGACGAGCGACCTGGGGTCCATTTTTGCCCAGGGGACGAGTTGGAAGTGTAGTCATTGCTGAGAATTTGCTCTGATTCTTTCGTAAAAGTCTAGTCTGTCTTAGTTGATAACTCGATATCAGACATACTCTGGTGCAGTTCGGCGTCTTAAGTAGGAGTGCGCACCTTGATGGAGAGACGGACTTAGTCGGACTTTGGGGCTTCGTCCGCGGGGGAAGCAAAGATGTGTGGATATCCGGGTCATCACCATGGCTTTTGCATCTACCTGCGAGACTAAACAGGATGTGGAACCTGAAAGGCACTCCCGAGGCCCTGCCAACCCTCTGATCGCAGCTTCTATAGGTGGGGTTGCTTTTAGTCCATGGATATATGATTCGGATGCCCCGGATGAGTTCCGCTATGCCAACAATATGTACATAAAGCGTTAAATAACTCTATTCTTTCCTATAAAGTATTTTCGGTAGCTTACTAGATTGGTAATCCAGATTATTATTTGCTTAAACTTGTCTCTTCCACAGAACATCCGGTGTGGCTGTTTCTACTTATACGATACGGAGCGTTGTCAGTTGGTGCTGCTCTTGTGAATAAGTCGATTTACTGCACAATGCTGAGTGAATATAATCCATGGACGAATTAAAATGGTAACTGACGGTATTTCGAATGTCCATCTCATTTCTGGAACTGATATGGGAGCACTCCCTATGCTCGACGAACTGCTGGTAGACACCTGAGGCAGGCAGACACGCTCCGACATCGGCCTCGAAGTATACTCCGCATGAAGCAGCAGCCAGGTATAAAGGAGAACTAATCACTGAATCCAATCACTACAGAAATATTTCTAATCATCAGTGTCTCTGTCACGATTTTACTGCTTGTTTAATCTCTCTGGCTTGTCTTACGATATATCGAGCTCGACACTACATACAATCATATCCGTTATGGCATCGCTTACCCAACATCAAACTGAGCAAAAGGACCATTGGTCGGCGGAGGTGAGTTCTGAAATCCACATGCTCAGCTGCAGGCTTTCCCCCGTTAGGATTATTAACTCAATCCAGGCCTACGAGGCATCCGCAGCGTTCGTTCCCAAGTTGACCCAGACGCTCTTGAAATACCTAGATCCGCAACCAGGCGACAGAGTTCTCGATGTTGGTTGCGGAGATGGGAAATTCACCAATCTCTTCCTGCCATACGTCGGCCAGGTAGTTGGCGTGGATTCCTCGCCGTCTATGATCGAATCCGCGAATAAAGACTACGGCGGGGAGAAAGCGGACTTCCGCGTTCTGGACTGCTGCTACTTGGAACAGGACAGAGGGGTGGCGGATGGGAGTTGGGATAAAGTGTACATGTTTAAATGAGGATTATGTCCTTTGGATCAATGCTAATTGGTTTTGATTATAGGGTATCTAACGCTGCGCTTCATTGGATTCTGCGGAATGACTCGACCCGTATTTCAACTCTGAAGGGCATCCACGCAAGCCTGAAGCAGGGTGGTAGGTTTGTCTTTGAAATGGGCGGACATGGAAACGTTGCCGAGGTCACCACTGCTCTCATGTACGCGCTTGTTTGCCGGGGCGTTTCCATTGAAAAAGTCAGGGAGCTGTATCCCTGGTTCTTCGCTTCGGAGACTTGGATGACAAACGCGCTGGAGGGCATTGGCTTCAAGGTTATTAAGATGGAGACTGAATATCGTCCAACCCTGCTTACCAGCTCGGCTAATGGCGGTCTCGCGGGCTGGGTCCGGCTGATGGGCGCTAATTTCTTGGATATCCTGACTCCAGAGAAGAGAGAAGAGGCCGTTCAGGAAATCTGCCAGGTCTTGCAGACAGGCGTGACTCGTGCTGAAGATGGGAGCCAGTGGCTCGGATATGTTAGGCTCAGGGGGATCGCTGAGAAGCTTTAATAGTTTATAGGTCAACCCAGTTTTGCTCGTCTGCGTTGCCGCTGGATTTATCTACTTCAATGTGAACGGTGTTGTCGCTCTGCTCGCTGTTGCATCAACATGGCTAGTGGGATATCCTCCTCGTCGTAAAATTCTGCTTCTTCATCAACACCGAAGTCACGTAGGCGTTCACCCTCAGAATTCCTCCACGCTTCTTCGCCGTTATCGGAGCCATGGTCGCTGACGCCCCCGTCGCTATCCGAGGAATCACTCGCAGATTCGTCAAACCTTGCATGGAACGGCTTACGGCGCTCAACTTCGCCATGGGCTCTCCGGCGTTTTAGGTCGGCCGTCTTCCGCTTGTTAAAGGCCTCGACATCAATATGGCCCGTATTCGTAGCGGTGCCATATGCAAATTCATTCTGCGGTGCCCTGGGCGGAAGAGGGATGCGATCGGGATCTGGTGGTGGCCATGAGACAGTCGAGTCTATTTAATGTTAGCAAATGAAGTTTAGACACTAGGTATGACTGACCTTCGAATCCATTTTCCTCGAACTCCAAGCCAGTACTCCGCTTAGGTGTCCTCGCCAATGGCCAGAACCAACCGATCACCTAGTGAATAAAGTTAGCTGGCAGTGGCACTATCGCTAGAATATGAACTAACATTAAAACTCCCTCCCATTCCGGCTTTAATGTTGGACCAAATCCCTATGTCGTAGGGAAACTCCTGTCTCGTTATCCGTACATTTATCCCCCCTGGGCCAGGTAGAAAGCCTCCAAAATGCCGAGCTCGTCGGAGCAGGGTTTCGTGCCGTTCAATCTCCCACGATTCAATCGTGGTTGTGTTTGACCCCAGCGACCAGAGAGTTCTGACAAGAAGTACAAAGAGCGCAAAGAGCGTAAGACTGTTTACAACGAACAGAACGAACAGATGACCCAGTTGTACAACACTAGGCCCCAGATACTGTAACGTCATTGTTAGCCCGTAATCCAAACGCCGGGTATAGTAACTTCCTTACACTAGGGAGGTTTCTAGATGCCCAAACTTTTGAAACGCGCTTAAAAAGACGGCTCTCAAGATATGCTATCCCGAGTACTGCGTAGAACAAAAACCGCACAAAATGCGGAAAGGTAAAGTGGGAGACGCAGTTGGAGGTCCACGGACAGTGATGGTCCATCTTTGGGACACATCTAAGAAAGTGTCAACCAGTGCATTTCCCTGATGATAACTTCAAGAAACAAACCTCCGACACGTTTTACAATGATGTGCTCTTGGCGGCTTGAAGGCCTCACACCTCCGGCACCATCGCTGACGACCACTAGCTTGATCGGCCTCAAGCTGCTTACGATCTGACGGCGTCCATCCTTTTGGGACATGACCCGGGTCTACCGTGCAGGACCGGTAGTAGCATACCCAGATGCAGGTTGCAAGAATATTGATTCTCCATACTTCATCCCCCGTGAGCGGCGCTTCCTCAAAATATAGGAAGAAATACTGCGACGTGTACGCCAGAAACGCGATCAACGTACAGACTGACGGAATCGCGAGCCGCGAAATGGAAAACGACGAGCAGAGCATTTTCTATGCATACGGCCGTCCTCTCTCAATGATTGAGGCTGCCGCTGACAGCGAAACTCGATCTTCTCTGGTGTTTTGTTGTGGACAAGCCTCGTGCTGACTAATCTCACGTGCGCTGGTGGCCATCGTTGTGCGTGGAAATATTCTCGCTCCTTGTTGATTCCAACCATCAATCGCTCCAGGCTGGGCTACTATATTTCACATTTCATACCAAATACTCTCATTTCAGGCCAATTCGAGGCTTATGGCATTGCATGAAGGGCCAATTGATTGCCGCAGCCATTGAAGATGCCGATTGTGGCTCTTCCGCCCACAACGGTTCGGGCCATTGGCTCAACATCTATCATCTCTGACCCGTACTCGGTGGTCAAGGAGTTGCTGGACAATTCTCTGGATGCTGCAGCAACTTCTGTATCCATTGAGATATCGCTAAATACCGTCGATACCATCCAGATTAAGGACAATGGCCATGGGATACCCGCATCCGACTACGGACTTGTATGTAAACGCACCTTCACCAGCAAGATCCATACTGTGGAAGATCTGAGGAAAGTCGGCGGTAAATCGCTAGGCTTCAGAGGAGAAGCATTGGCGAGTGCCGCTGAAGTTTCCGGTACCTTGGTCATTTCTACAAGAGTCCAATCAGAACCTGTGGGCTCTTTTCTGAGGTATGGAAGAAATGGAGAACTACTCAGGTGAGCACCATCCTTCCACCTCCTTCGCTTGGAGACTTATTTTTAGCTCTGAAAATGTCGCCCATCCTGTGGGCACAACTGTCAAGGTCTCAAATCTATTCCGGCAGATACCAGTTCGGCGACAGACCGCTGTGAAGAACTCCAAGAAAACGCTACTCAGAATCAGGAAGATGATTCAAGCCTATGCCATGGCTAGGCCTTCCACTAGACTTTCTTTGAAGATAATAAAGGCCAAAAATGACTCTGGCAATTGGATGTATGCTCCTGGAAAGGAGTCAACGCTCATTGATGCAGCATTGAAGGTAGCCGGGAGGGATGTTGCCTCTAGTTGTATCACAAAGGAATGGCCAGGTTCCCATTCCAATAATTGTGAGTCCTCGCGAGATGTAGATCCAGATATAAAACTTGCAGCATTACTCCCCAATCTCGGATCAGGTACGTCACTACCCAAGTAGGTGGACATTAGACTGATGACAGTAGATTTCACACGATTCAACAACATGGGGCAGTATGTTAGTATTGACGGCAGACCCATATCACCCGGGCGGGGCGTTGCTCAAAGCATAGTGAAGCTTTACAGGTCGTATCTACATTCGGCTGCCTCTCGTGGTGGTCTCTCTCCAACGATCACTGACCCATTCCTTTGCGTCCATGTCCTATGCCCCGATGGAACCTATGACGTTAATATCGAACCTCTCAAAGATGATGTTTTGTTTGAGAATCAACCCGCCATTCTTTCTCTATTCGAAAGCCTCCTCCAAGATGTCTATGGTGTTGAACCGGATGCAAACCGGTTGGAACCCGATAATCTCGCTGAGAACAGAGAACCCGTTTCCGAAGATAGATTTGAGGTGGCCTTGTCTGAAAGATCTCAAGAGACTACACTTGTAAATCCTCCAGTCTCTCACTCTCAGAATGAAGACATTGTGAGCGCTCGCACATTTATGCGCCCAGGGCCACCCCGTCGGAGCCCTCAAGGGTCTAGGCATAGTCTCGGAAACCCATTAGCTTTATCCACCAAAACGAGAACATCAGATACATCTTCTGTGGTTAATACCCAGCGCCATCATCGCTCATTTTCCCACCGGGGAACAGAACCATCCCCATCCAATTCAAGTCCACGCGAGATAAGGCAGACCACAGACCTTGGTGCCCTCCCGAGTCCAGTGTCTAGTTCTGGTTCCCCTCCCTCTCACACGGCATCTCTTTCTCCTACAACTCCGGTGCGAAATCCAAGAGAGCAGCAGAGGGAGCGGGATAGAGAGCGGTACGGCAACGGGTCTCTGGACACCTGGTTTCTGAAACTGTCCCAGGCATCTCAGACCACTGCGACTACAGGTGATACCCAAACACATGACACAGAGCCTTCATTGTCTCAGCTTACACAGCATCGTTTCGGCTCTGGGGTAGCTAGTCCGAGCAATGCGCCCGAGATTCACGTAGGATCGTCTCAACAAATCAATACATCTTCCAGTCCTACACCAGAGTCAGAATCGGTCCAGGTGTGTCCAAATAATGCAGCACAGGCTTCGAGAGGCGTGAACAAGGGCAAGGGTCTTCCGGTCCTGGAGCAATGGGCCGCCAGATTATACAATACTCCAAACCCCGACGAAAACCCAGAACTCCAAAAGGCGCTTGAATTCGAGACAAGGAAAAAGGCCGCTATACAAGAAAGGCGATTACAGATCCAAGGCTCAAGACCATCTGCTCCTACGAGCTCCCCTCACCAAAGCAGGTACCTTGCTGCTCGAGCTGCCTTGAACTCAGAGCCGGACTCTACTATGCAGCAATCGAAGCCCGTAGGTGCCGCAAACACCAACGGGGCATATAAATCAGTCCTCAACCCGCACGACCCTAGGGCATACCTCATACGTCTTCAAAATACTGATGCCTTGAGTAATTCGAAACTCAAGCGCATTAAATCAAACAAACTACCCTTTGAGAAAATTCCCGAAGGACATGACCTGCATTCTCTTGGCTGTACCTCGCCAGCAAACTTATCTTTGCTCCACACATCCTTCAACGAAACCGCAAAGGTCGATCTATATACGCGATCTGGTGATCAAACCGACGCATTCAATCCACGCGATTTAGACGCGGCTATCGAGTCCTGGAGTTACCGACTGTCAAAGTTGATGGAAACCTATTACCGGCCAACGGAGGATTCTGATATTCCTCTGCCCCAATTCGATTTCTCCTCTATAATTCGAACTTCTAATAACAATGGTTTACCAGTTGCCAATGCTTGATACCTCCAATTATATATCGTTTTATACTGTTATTTCCGGCAATTTTCGTGCTTCTCTAGGCGGAAATATGTTTACCACTGCCCTGACTTTATTATATAAGTATATGTCATCTAATCTTTTCTGATGGAATTCGGTCCCGACGAGCTTCCCTGCCTTTTGTCCTGTCCGTGTTCAAAATACTGTCTCTTATTCAGGGCGCTAAATATAATGATTACGAACTATATACCCATATTCAATGCAATTAGTATGTATATTGAATGCCTGTTCCATTTGGCACCTAGTCGGTTTTAATCCGAGCCATTCGATTTACTTTTACGTGCACCATAGATGTTACTTACTGATACATATACAATATGACGAGTGCAACCTGACCTAGTATTCAGGCAGCCGAGTTATAAATCGAAAGCTAGATCATGAAGTGTATATAGTACTAATGTTCAAAATTCTAATATCCTCTCCCCCGCCTATACTCATTGATCAATTTCTCTCCCCTATTCACTTTATCCAAGTTCTCCTTAACAATATCAAAAGACCTACTAAAATACTCCTCTGACAACGCGCTTATATGCGGACTAATCTGCACATTGGGCGCCTCCCACAGCGGGTGATTCTCCGGCAGGGGCTCCGGGTCCGTCACATCCAGTGCAGCCCCGCTAAGTTCCCCGGACTTAAGCGAAGCAATCAGGGCATCTTGGTCGATCACCTTGCCGCGAGAGATGTTGGTTAGGTAGGGGTTGCGATGTTTGGGGTTTTTGTTCGATGCCAGAACAGCGAATTCCTCGGCGCCTAGGATGTGCGTTGTCTGAGGGGTTAGAGGCAGGGAGACGACGACGTGGTCCAGGCCTAGTGAAAGGAACTCGTGCAGAGCTGATTTGGATGTTCCGTGGTGCCAGGAGACGGGGAGCGTGCCGTCCCTATCTCCAGTGCCAGGGACGATATAGTGCTCGTCGCGGCGCGATTCGGGCGTTGTTTTTGGAGATGCTGTGTATGCGTAGACGGTTATGCCTAGGGCAACAGCGACTCGGGCGACTAAGATTTTTTTTTCGTTAGTGTTTTGTTTTTTAGCATTGCAAGCGTGTTGGTGGAAGACATACTCTGTCGCCCAATACTGCCATACCCCAAAATGCCCAGTTTTTTCCCGACATGGTCCTGGATCCCGCGAGCGTAGTTTTCGGCGGGTCCCCATCTGTGTTTCTTCTGGTCCTCGTATGTGATATTGTATTTCCGTGATGCGACCAGCCAGTTCAGAACCGTCCACTCCGCGATTGGAGGTCCGTGGATACCGGAACTCGTCGTTACGGGAATCGAGGAGTCAGTTAGGATGGGGTCGTCAATAACCTTGTCGAGACCGGCAGAAAAGAAATGGATGAACTTGATGCTATGGATGCTGTCAATTGACATCCTTTTCACAGCGGTATTGGACCTTGAATGTTCTGGGTGACTTACTGTTTAGCATCTTCGGGTTCCGGGAGGCTGCGCGAGGTGACAATGAACTCGGCCTTTTCCACGGCATCTTTACTCTTGTTAGATATTTAACGAGCCAAGCAGGAGTTCATGGTTGAGGAGGTTTCTTCTTCTCACCCTTCGGAATGCGATCGCCCGGTTCCTGCGTCAAAGTACTAACCTCGGCATCAGGAAATTTGGTTCGAACTTCCTCGAGGAATGAGTCCGAAAAATCACGATAGAACGAGACGAGGATATGAGGCTTAGGGAGCGCAGCATCGCCCATGATTGCAATATTTGGAGACAAAGAGGCCGAGTCGACGCCGCGGCGCGGGACATGAGGGGATTATATACGGAGCGGGGCGATAGTGACTCCAATAATGAAATACCCGGCCCCGCCAGGTCTTAGTATATTTTGGGAACGATAACATCTCTGTGCCAATATTGTCCCATGCTCACGCAAGAAGTCATCATTTGAAATGAATTTCGAGCAGTCGCTGTTGGTTCCTCCGTTGGAGTAGTAGACATCGGTGCCCACATGGCGCGATGGCGGAATTGGCCGATGCAGCACAGCTTGGTCTTAAGCGTTCATAGCTGCATGCAATCTGCAAAACGGCCGTCATGCTGTTCAGGACAGGTGGATCTTCTCGAACAGACTGCGGAATATGTCTGGGCAGGTCGAATCTAAGTCTAGTGATATTCCCTTCCGGATCCTCCATGATGGTACCTTCGTTGTCAGAGATGGCAAAGACGATTTCGATGTTGCTGAGCAAGACCAATTGGATACTCGAATTAGGGTGTGAGCAAGAGCTGATCAAACTAGCGAGGCAGACGGCAGTTAGGCTAGTATAATATTCGACAAATGTATAGCGTTCTCTGCCTTGAAAGCCAGCATGACAGCCACAATATGCACCCAGAACTCATAGTATTTGTAGCAGAGTGGCTTCAGGATCTAGATGGCCTCGAGGTAAAGGAGCTTGTTAATCCCATTGTTCGTTCTCTTCCCTAGTTAACGTACTTCTTTGCAGAATTCGCACAACAACAAGCTTAGAGTCACGTGTGCACGCCTCCATCATCGCCGTCGCCACCCCACAACCCCCCCACGTCACCCAAGCCATCGGCGTCTACGATCTGCGGTATAATGTATGATGTATGGCCCCGTGCCCCCAAGGCCGAAGAAAACTGGCATCGTTCGCTCACGTAATGGATGTAAAGGCTGCCGTGAACGAAGGACTAAGGTCGGTTTGGTGTCTAAAACGTGGCTCAGTGACTCACTATCATCATATATAGTGTGATGAGCAGAAGCCATCTTGTGGGACATGCACCAGGTTAAGGAAGCCCTGTGAGCCTGTTCGCCGTGGATTCAAGTTCTGCGAGGTAGCTGGGCCAGCTGGCCCAATATCACGAAAAACTTCTACCCGGCTAGATGATCAAATATCGACCCCCGCAGCGAGCGAGAACCCCGATCTGCCGAGTGTCGATATAGTCCGGATGCCTAGTCTTGATCTTGTCAATTCCCTGCAGCATACGGAGAGAGATCTGTTCTACTCTACATATTGGGAAGACGCTTGTCTGCCGGCTTTACATCCGATGTTTGGATCAATCTCCTTTTCAGCTGGGGAACAATCGATGTTGAAAGACGCCATTTTAGCTCTGTCATCGTGCAATATAAGCCGCATTAAGCCTGATCGTCGAGGGCCATCTAGCCTGCCAGTGGCGGCTTTCAGTCCGAATCTTGTCCATCAAACGAGAAGTCAGCTGTACTACTCCTCGGCCATAAGGAAGTTTATGTCGCTAAGCCTCTCCGACTTTCGTTCCAACGCGGCAATAGTATTCACCGTGCTTGTTTTATTTGCTTATATCGAGTCTTCAATGGGCAATTTCCAGGGCTTCCAGTGCCATGTGCAGGGGTTGACAAACTTTCTCTTGGAGTTGCGTGAGGTGATGGGAGAGGCCATGCTAAAAGCCCTTCTATCAGCATGGATGCAGGTTCGTTTCGTTGTTTGGTGGGCTCGTGCCTATTTCAGCTCAATCAATGTTTATCGGGATCTGCCATCTGTACGACTGCCGGAACTGCTTGCAGAAAATTTTAATACGATGCAAGAGCGGCGCGTTATGGTCCTGAGCATCATGTGTGAATCGCATCGACTGAATTCCAGGGAGGCCCTTAGCCATTGGAGACCGGACATCAGCGAGAATGAATCAGAAATCCGCAGTTACCAGACCGGAGGCAGCAAAACAGCAGACACCACTTTTCTTCAGCTGGCTGAACAGGCGAACAAATTGGACGAGTGGCTCGCGTGTCTTCCGCCATCAGAACTACCATTTCCCTTATATTCGAAGCAAAGCGACTGTTCTCAACGCGTCTTCGACAACACCGATGATCCCATCTATTTCGAGTCTCACCACGCGGCTCTCAGCTTTGCATATTACGTGGTCGCACGAATAATGCAATGTACGCATTTGTTGCGGGAGCTTGACGATCCGAGCATCTTTCACTCCGGGCCTAGACTCTCCGAAGAAGAAGCATGGATACGCTTTCTACTACGAGTCGCAAAGGGCACCAATATCAGAGAATCCATCTCGAAAAACAGTTATACAATTGGATTCTCTGGTCTGATGCTTGCTGCGATACTCCGGTGTCAAAATCGCTCTCTCGGGATAGAGATCCAAAACTGGCTGGAGGCATTACAACGACTGCAGCCCACGGAGGAAGGTGCGTTCCCTGTTTACCAGACTTTGGCTGTTGTAAAAGCAGTCAACCAGCAGAAGATGATGGGGCGCGAGATATTTGGCGTTACATTGCCGTCAGACGACGCGGGCGGGACACCGAAGTTCACTGCTTATAATAGCCAGACTATTAGCACTCTGCTGTTTCATGGGAGATGTCTCAGTTCAGGGGAGCTCTTTACAAACTGTATCTTAATTGACTTATAAAAAGCAGGGTGTGAATTATCCGAAGGGGACAGGATAAAAATATTTGGTATGCTTATGGAGTTGACAGAGCATCCGGGGGGAGGCGGTGCTTCAGGGTTCCAAGTCTGCGTGTGTGGGAGTACGTGCTCCAGGATCCATGATAAGGAGGGAACCCGGTCGGTGAGATGCCGGGTGGGAGGGCTTCTCGTGTCCAGGCTGTCAGGAAAGAATATCCTCCACGGCCCCACCCAGCCACTTCTTCACTCTTCAGCCTTGCCAGACGGCCTTGTATAAGCAGGATTCAGAGAATTCCAGCTAAAACATGCTGACTGCCTACCAGCACGTCCGCGTCCAGGGCCCGTCTGAAATCTGAATAGATCCATGGATCCATGGAGAGCGTGGCCACGGCAGTGTGATTGGCGGGTGGAGAACCGAACAGACCAGTAAGGGGCGGCGGAAGTTACTTCTCTGCCCCAGTCCACCGACCACCAGGACGTCAAACACAATCTTCGGGCGGGCGACTTGCGTTTTTGCCGCTTGTCTCAGTTGGTAAGGGTTCGGCTTCTATCCGCAGACAAGGTTACTTTTCGTGAAGATCCTGATGAAGCTCGTATCATTTCGAAGTGTTCCTGTGGGCGTAATCCTATTTGAGGGGGCGTATCCAAACACCGATCGGGGGAAGGAACTTCAACCACCTCGTGGGTAGATATCTGGTTAGAGGTTGAATTCGATGTGAGCTATAGTCGACTCGTCACAATAAACTCGTCGAGAGAATACAAGCCATCGCTCTTTGATAGGGCCGTCATATCTGTTTTGAATCGTGTCCATTTGGATTGTTCAATTAAGAACCGCAAGCAACCGTGGCTCCGTCCGGGAGAAAGTGCGGCAGGCCGCTGCGGTAGTGGCTTTGGCCTCCCGAGCAAGGTGATCCAAAAAATTGTTGGTGGCACTCAATGTTCCGTTGTTGGGCCAGGTGCCCAAGGCTTGCTTAACTCATATCCATAACCCCAGAGGCCAGGACGGGAGAAAAAGGCCCTCCCCGGTCCAAGCCAATAAGGTGCTGTAGCCGGAAGAAAGCCAATGCGCCATGACGTAGTGGCTTCACCGGCGGTCCAGCTGTCCAGCGGTTCCTATCCTCATTTATATGCCAGCGATTTTCCCCTCGCACGGCATGATCAACCTACCGTCTGACAGAACACTGTCTTTCTTCCTCTGTGCCTTCACTGCAGGAAGGCTTCCGGCACAGGAACTTCGTCTGGCAGCCTATATCAGAAAGCAGCTGTCCTGCGTTTGTGAGCATCCCTGAGAAAGTCGGCGTTGGCTTGGGGATTCTATACGGCCAGCCCATTTGAAGATGCCTGGACGACAAGAAAATCAGGTATGTGCCCATTACGATACCCCAGCGGTGCCGGGTGTATCTTAGTGGTTCCTTAGGACAACGAGGAAGACCCGGACCCGGACCATGTGGCAGCCGAAGCGAGGCGGCACAGGCACGCGCTGCTCCTACTCGTCGAGACCCTCCGGAAAAGTCACCCGTCCGAAACGTTTGAGCTTATCAACGCCATCAAGAACTCCCAATCTGTGCCAGAGGCTGCTGAACTGTTGATGCAAATGTCAGATGCGAAGACATCGGGAGAGGCCAATACAAGAGAATCTGGTTCACGCACCCAGTGAAAAGCAAGAGGCAGCATTTTAGTGACGGCTCACCGATTTTGGACATTAGAAGCCAGCCGCATCTCTATTTTGCGCGTCAAATAGTATAAAGCATAGATGAAGGCTACTAAGTATTCCATTGTCGATAGCTCCTGTTTGTTTCATCAGAAGATCGCTCTCCGTGAGGTGGAAAGCCACAACAACTGTAAAGCCACTGCAGTCGCCGCTATTTCCACCGGCATCGACTTTGTTTGGGCTGGGGTTACCTAATCAGGCCCGGTCGCGTGTCGAGTCACGTGTCGCTGCATCTATGCAACCTGAGGCTCCAAACAGCTTCGAAGTTCCAATACTGCACAATTGTTAGTTGAATATCCGGCCTAGCCTCGACGCGCTTCTTTCAAGATGCCTACCTCAGTACCAAGGGCCCCCATGTCAGTAGAAGACGGTCCCATCTCTCCACCGCCATCACGACAGCATGATATGGCCCGACAAAGTGGGAACCTGGCATCCCGGGACGGACTGTCACCCATTTTGATGCCGAGGCTTGACGGCGATCCCTAATACTACATTCATTCGGTTCGTCGAAGGATCAATTGTTTTAGCTTTAGCTCACCGTTTTGTTTCACCAGGTTTATATGTGCTGGAGACGTTTTATACGATAGATCGTCAACCAAATTAGTAACATATTATAGAGGAATGGCTCAAATGATGCATATTTTCTCTGTTATTCTTCATCTTCGCGTTCGGTAAAAGTGGAACTCCTTTAATTTTTAATTTCATAGGCGAGTTCAACTCAATTTATTCTCCGAGACAATGCGAGCCTATCATCACTCATCTGGTCAAACGACGTTCTCGCTCCAAAACTCGCCTCCAGTCACTCCTCGGCTTGGCAACAAGGGAGCGCAAGGCCATGGCTGCAAGATGATTCTTCGAACAAACCAATTCTGAGTTCGCTGACGGCGCATTGTCTTGTATAGGCTATCGCGCCATTTCGAGGGCGTGACCTGGTCCACAAGCGAGATTTTGACCTTCAGTTGACCCTATGGAGGGGAGGTCAATCCACGCAAGGCAGTGGACCCGGCTGCATGGGTGATAGTCAGGGAGACACTGTTCACGAGAAAACCCTTTGACGACGATTCTCGTGGCTTTCCTGGGCCCATGACGTGTGTCACCATCCTCCAGTTAGAAGCAGCCACTCGAGGCCGTCGCGCCCGTGTTTGTGATCGGCAGTTTCCTCCAGCGATTGCTTCACCATTCATCGTCGATACTCTGATCGTGTTCATCTTATTGCGCTCCACTTAAACTAGCGCGCTGCACTGAACACCCTTGGATCTGTCGGTCAGCGCAGCTTTTCCTTCACACCTCTGCCATATTGTTTTGTGCCATGCAGGGACTCGGTCTAACAATTTGCAATTCAAGCATCAGAACCACAGCACATGCGTCTCTCCTACGCAGAAGCTTCCTCGATCTAGGTCCGCCTTCTAAGCTTGTATCACAATACCGTGCTCGCTCCAATTTTCAAATTCCAAGCCGATCAGAGAGCTCAGAGTTCACACTTCTGCAGCATGAGCACAGCGGGCCCCGTGCCCCCCCAATGCCTTGCCCTTACTGGCTGCGAGCTCACAAATCCCTCCGTGCAGCCCGTGCTGGTCCCATGGGTTCGCCGATTCAGTGCAGATCTGCAGTCCCCATATCCACCATCGGCAGGGTCTTGCCGTCCCGTAGAGTTGGTCCAAGAGGTGGCTTTCGCACCCGGCTGAATACAGAGAGACCCTCCCCACAATAACAAACAATCATAGGTCTCGGGGTTCGAGCTTGAAAGGAAGTGCCGACCTTCCGAGCTCTGTGAAATGGCGTCCCTCCCTTCCTGCGACGGAAGGCTTCATGGCGCAGCGGAGACCAGCCGGCTTACAAAAAGGAGCAGCACCCCCCTCTTCACGCGTTGCTTCTCAATCCTTCCGTGGTCTATTCTCGCGTCTTTTTGATCCGGGTGTTGTTACGGCTCCAACGAAACAAGTAGATCACCATGTCACAATCAGAAGGATTCTCAGGCCGAAGCCTTGCGCGGCGCCTCATATTGGCAGCCCTTAACCATGAAGACAAGGGCCACTCTACTCCAACACTACCTCGTCAACCGACGATGGCGGACTTGGAAGCTGGGATCAACTTCAACGACCCAGAGTCCGCCGAGAGTCGGGCAAAACGCCTGACGGTCACGAGAACAGACGCCAATGTTCTCATTCCTCCTACCGACAAGCTACTCGTCTTTCGTGCGCTTACTGGCATTGACAGCGCACCTGCACTGAGTTTATCCCACCATAGTCCTCGAACCGCTCCTAATGTGGGCATTTACACTCGTGTCGTGCAGGCTGAAACGAAGGCTGCAAAACACTACCGCTTCCACTCTCTCTTGATCAACATCTGCCTTGGAATCCAAATCATTGTTGCCGCTACCCTGACAGCCCTAGGTGCTGCGCGGGGCCCTCACAATGCCATCACCGCTTTCGGTGCCATCAACACCATTGTTGCAGGTATCCTCACCTATCTGAAGGGCTCGGGACTCCCGGACCGCCTGAAGCACTACCAGAACGAATGGCGCAATATCCGAGAATACATTGAACAACGAGAACGTGAGCTCTGTCTGCAGAACTGCGAGCTGGACGTGGAAGAGGAGATACAGATCATCGAGCAAATGTACGAAGGTGTAAAACGCGAGATTGAAGCGACAAAGAGCGGAGGCGATAATAATCGAACATCTGGCCGCGACAACACTAATCGACGCACCATCCTACCGGCTGGCGCACACCAGAAGGAACACGCCCCTCGGATGCCGAGCCCTGCGAGAACTACTGAACGCCCTCTGGAGAAGATTTAATTGGCCCAACCCGTACCTATGGGGGTTTTGCCGACTATGGTACTGAGTGAGGGGAGAAATTTTACTGGTGACTTTGCCTTTTAAATCTCTGTATTTGACAGCGTGGAGGTTGATATTATCGTCCAAAAGGGCATCATATTTGATGTATGAATAATGTGTGATATGCGTAATACCTAATAAATTCTGTTTTTGATTCAGCTCATCTTTGCTCAAAAGTTATGTGTTGGCTCTCACCAACATGCCACTCTTCCCGCTCCACCAGTCCACGCATCTTTTTCTTCTTTCCACCACTGCATCCATCCTCGGACAGGACAAACCGTGCATAATACCACGACCCAGGGATCGACGCCCCCCTAACAACTACCAGATATTTTCTACGCTCGACTCATACAACTATGTACGAACGGTCAATATATATGCTGAACTCCCATTCTGGATCAGAGGAATACATCAACCATACTCATCAACTCTCAACATTCTGCTGTTGAACCGAACTCAGAGTGACCATGACAATGATACTGTCCCGTAAACAACTATGCTCGAAATGATATAATGGACAAAAACAGAGTGTACATTGACGCTGCTAAAAGTATGGAAACCGGACAATTTATAGATTATACCTGCACACAGGGAAAAGGGCGATGCTCGTCACCAGGATACCGCTTCTTGCCGTGCTGCTCCTTAACTAGGGACTGACTGTACTCCCAAAGGTGTTGCTTTGCTACAGCGAAATGCATGTATCCATCATCACCAGGCAGCAGACACAAAGGTCTGGGATGGTCATCCTCGCCGAACCCACCAACTGACGGCGTTGAGCGAAAACCACCTGGTTATAATTCCACTGTTCAAATCGTTAGCACTCTGTTTTGGATAGGCTTTATTTACTTAACCTCAGCAGTAGACACATACCTCACCACCACCACAAATCTCGCCAACTCCATTGAATTTCCGATACTCCGCCTCTGCAGTAATGAAGGATGCATAAAGCCGCTGAACTACAGTCAAGACAGTAACGCGGCATTCGTCACATTGCGGGTTTTTCTCGCCAGAGGCACTGAAGAGCAAATATTCCACCAACTCGAGGACATCTGTCAGGTCTTATCGCCAAGCATCCCAGCCTTAGTCTCTCTCCGTTATTATCACTCGCTCAGCTGAAAGAGCCGGGGCACAAAATATAAAAAATAAAAAAAGTGAACGGCTTAGCGCAATTGCCATGATTAAAGAAGTGGCAGCTGAAGGATCAGATCCGGAAAATAAAACGTGATTTCCCCGCCGCGGCACTTGGTGATGAGGAAATATTGCGGGATATAGGCATACAAATGCGATTGATACGCTCTAAATCAATACCCAGTCGCATTCATCTTTGTCACTATACAACAGAGGTAGGATATTAGTGCAAAGCAACCCGAAGGCAAAACCCTGCAAAGCCTTTCAGTGTCGTCAAGGAATCATCTTACCATATTTTCCTCGGTCTCACCGAATCGCCGGGTCCATTACAATTCATAAAAGCTATACCTCAAAGTGAATTTCAGGAACGGGACCGCTACCAGAAAAGTAACGGAGATCGCCAACAACAACACTGAAACAAAGCCAATAACTGGATGGAGGGCGGTGATGTGCATGCAGATCGGGCAGAGCAAACCGTCAATGGAGTCGTGGCAGCCAATCTCGGGTAAGAAACACTGCTGATCGTCTTCATCAGGATCCAAGATGCGGAGAAGATATAGAATTCAATCTCGAGGGTCTCTGCAGATGTATCATTGATATGGCAGGGCAGTAACTAGTAGTACTTAGGCGCTCGCATAAGAATTAGGCGCACAATGCAGTGGCAGGAGGATAGGCAAGATGCGTGGTGGGTATATACCGCTGAACATAAACAAATCGGCCAAGAAAAAACTCCCCAAGAGCTCAACTCGAGTGGAGTCCCAGCTGTACAAGAGCAATAATAAGAAGAACAAGAGGAATAAAAACAACAGCTATTCTACTACCAACCCATCGCGCCGACCACAGCAGCGACCATGCCCAGCGCCAGTCCATCCCCACCGCTTCTTCCGAGACCGCTCCCTGCGCCCGTATAAGCCGGCTGCTCCTCCACGCCCGGCGTCGCGCTCCACGACGGCCACGGCGTTGTCGGGCTAGTGGGAAC